CCCTGTCCCCCCCCCCCCCCCCCCCCCCCCCCCCCCCCCCCCCCCCCCCCCCACCCCCCCCCCCCCCCCAACAAAAAAAAAAAAAAAAAAAAAACGCTCTCAAATCTAAGTTCCCACTTCCTAACCCACCCCCTCTCCCCTCCTCCCCCAAAAAACAGGTCGGCGCCAAGCTCGACAAAGCCTCCTCCTCCACCTCCTCCTCCCCGTCTTCTTCCGAGACGACCCCTTCGGGCCGCGCCGTGTCAACCGACGAGGGCGCGGCGCTGGCCCGGGCGCGCGGGGCAGCGGGCTTCTGCGAGGCGAGCGCGCGGACGCGCGAGAACGTGCGGCGGCCCTTTGTCGAGGTCGTCGACCGCGTCGTCCGGAGCCCGGACCTGCTCGCCGCCGTGGCGGCCGGGAGGGCGCCGGGGACGGTCGCCGTGGGCGGCGGCGGTCGGGGGGGTGGCTATTCGTCTGTGTGTTCGTGTTGAGGGCGCAGTGGGCGGGGGGGTTTTCTGGGCGGAGTTGGTTTGTGGGGGGGATGGATGGTAGATAGGAGGGGAATGCTGGGCTAGGGAGAGAGGATGAGGAAGGGGGGAGAGGGATCACATTTGGTCATTGCGTAGGATACATGGTCATGATAGATTCCCTTTTGGAGATACTGATACCCCCATACATATCATTTACAGCCCGTCGTCTAGATGGATTTTGCATCCTCATACAGTCACGAACCCCTTTCTTGTCGAGCGGTTATTGTACATATATGTCAAGCACACAGTCCACCTCCTTTCGCTCAGTCATCTCTCGGACTCAAGAATCGAACGACAGCTAGGAACACGGCACAGTTAGATTCCGGGGCCTTGTTCATTCACAGCCGCTGCTAGGGGTGAGTATACTGACCTTCCCTGAAAGCCTCCGGTTTCTCCGAGATGAGCCAGTGTCCGGCCTCGATGTCGGCCAGCTCAAAGCGAGGGAAGAACTGGCCTATCACCGGTAGCACCTCGTCGGGAACGTACTTGCTGTGGGTGCCGCGGATGAAGAGGGCCCGCTTCTCGAACCGTACCTGGCTGGGGTCCTTGTATGGAAAGTCGCCCAGGTTGTCCAGGGTTTTAGCCAGAATGTTCAGCGGCACCCTAAACTTCTGGCTCTTGCTGCCTTCCGGGCGGTGCAGGTTCCCGAGCAGGAACTGGCGGATGGCTACTGACTAGATAGGTGGTGGTTCCAAAGTCAGCCTAGGGAGAGCGTAGGCGAGGCGAGGAGAGGCGAGGCAAAGCCTCTTAATTCTCTCCGAACTGAGAACGTCAAGTCGAACCTACCTCTTCATAGGGCCGGAGGATCTCATCTGCCTCTGCCTGCCGAGTCACTTCGGCATCGTCGATCTTTCTCATGCCCTGGATGTACCGGCCAAAGTCGCTACCCAGGGTTGCATCGATGGGCGCGTTGTCCACGGCGACTAGGTCGTTGACCGTATCTGGGGACCGGAGTGCTAACGCCATTGCTGTTTTGGCGCCCCTAGGAACGGAAGTTAAGCCGCGTGGCCCTCCGATGGAACGATTTGCCGTGGGCAAGGCAGAGCATAGACATACATGGAATGGCCGATCAGGGTCGGCTTTTTGAGCCCGTGCTCCTGGATGAAGGCAGCAAGGTCCTCGGCCATGGCCGTGTAGTCGTGGCGAGGGGCATGGGGGGATCCACCATGGTTTCGAAGGTCCTGGTGGGCAGTGCCTGTCAATAGGGGTCGCTCAAGGCAGCTCGTCGCCATTGTATGACTCTAGGGCAGGCTCACCAATGCAAAGACGTACCGGCCCAAGTCGCGGGCTAGGACTCTTCAAGGAAATCACACTTAGCATGCGCTTGCACGAGCTGACCAGCAAGTGTAACTGTTTACTCACTTACTTATGGTCCTGTTGTTTTTCTTGGATCCAAAAAGGCCATGGAGGAAGAGGATAGGAGCTGTCTGTTTGTCGGTCACGGGCTTGGCAGGCTCATGAAGGTCATATACCAGCGGAACTGGCCCTGCAGAGGACGAATACAGTCTGCGGCCCACAAGGACTCGAATGGGTCCATGGCAACCTCGCTGAAGGACAGGCGCAATTGCTCTCATCACGTCTCATTAGTGGTGGGTAAACCGGTAAAGAAGACTTTGGCGTCCAGTCTCTCTCGCATCAACACGTTTTGGGTAAGTAGGAAGTACACTGTGGGGCAGGGTCAAACTCCTTTGCCCTTACTAATAGTCCGAGGTTACGTCTTGGAAGCTCGTAATACCCAAGTCGCTAGGAAGGGGTTTAAAGAAAGAGCAAGAATAAAAACATTCCTGAGTGCTTCGATGCCCAGGATTAAAGGAACGAGAAAGTGCCTATCCTAGTGCTGACTCGAACTCTCAGCCTCTTTTAACAGGAAGTAGGGGCAAGTCAAGAAATTACCGGCTATGCCACAAGTCCGAAGAAGAAAAGGTGTCAGGCAGACCAAACACAACACGTCCTTGTGTAATGGGTAGGGGTTGTAATAGATAAAAAAAAAGATCATGAGCATTTGATCTTGAGCATTTGATCTTGATTTCTCTATTGTTAATTGGAGAGAGGCAAAAAGCGAAGTCTCCCGTGTGACCACAGGAGAAAGTAAATTCCTTATTGTAAGTTGTTCGCTACTTCGCTGAGACTTCCAGGTCTAATTTAGTATATAAAAGGGCAGTTGCAGGAACCGTTTCTTGCTTAGTCACAATTTGGCGGGACGACCTCCCTGAACCTCGGCATCTCTTTCCCTCGGCGTAGACTGACGAGAAGGATAACGAACGACATGGCTGGACAACTCCAATTACTTCTCATATATCATCATCCAGCGATCTCCTGAGTATACCTATCTTATTACCTAGTCCATCCATCTTCTAGAACCCCGTCAAGTCCCCAACACGAACCAATATGGCAGAAGCACAGCTCAATGACTTCCCGTCACTCTTCTCCCTGAAGGGCAAGGTCGCCGTTGTGACCGGCGGTTCAAGAGGATTAGGCCTATCGGCCGCCTCAGCGTAAGCCGTCCCCCCCTGACACCAAATCCGAATCCGCAGAGATGGTTCCCCCAAGCTGACCCCATCCTTTCAATCAGCCTCCTCCAAGCCGGCGCCTCCAAGGTGTTCATCTCCTCCCGCAAAGCCGCCGCCTGCGACGCGGCCGCCAAGACTCTCAACGCGCTGCCCAACCTCCAGCCCGGCGCGGCCGCCATCTCGGTGCCAGCCGACATCTCGACCGTCGCCGGGGTCGAGCACCTGGTGGCCGAGGTGGGCAAGCACACGCCTCACGTCGACGTCCTGCTGGCCAACGCGGGCGCCACCTGGGGCGAGGCCTTCGACAGCCACCCGGACAGCGCCTTCGCCAAGGTGATGGACCTCAACGTGCGGGGCGTCTTCAACACGGTGCGCCTGTTCGCCCCGCTGCTGGGCCGCCGCGCCTCGGTCGCCGACCCCAGCCGCGTCGTCATCACCGCCAGCGTCGCCGGCCTCGGCATCGGCACCCTCGGCGCCAACGGCACCTACGGCTACTCGGCCAGCAAGGCCGCCGTCATCCACCTGGGCAGGAACCTCGCCGTCGAGCTGGGGCCTCGCCACATCACCGTCAACAGCATCTGCCCGGGCTTCTTCCCGTCGAAGATGAGTAACGGCCTGCTGGCCATCGGGGGAGGCGCTGACGCGCTCGCCCAGAACAATCCCATGGGGAGGCTGGGCCAGCCCGAGGACATCGCCGGCGTGGTGGTGTACCTGTCGAGCCGGGCGGGGTCGCACGTCAATGGGGCGGCGATTGAGATCGATGGGGGCGCCTTGTGGGCAACGGGCGAGCTCATGGCACCGGGGAAGAGCAAGCTATAGGTTAATAATAATAAAAAGCATTGATTATTGTTCCCCCCGATGGCTCTCTAGTTGTACGATTCTATGCATGCTACCTGCCTCCTGGTATTGTCTCAATGCCACGTATAGCTCCAGCTGGAAAGAGAACCATGCAGCGCACCCCTCCCCAGCGTACATCTAATTCGCCGACCGGGTAGGTTTCCGTACCACCCAGGAGCTCGCCCTGTACACCGTTTGCAGCATCGATTCCGAATCCTGTATGTAGGGTGCTTCTATTCCGGTTTGCCGAGAGACAAGCACGAATCCGATCTTTTCCAATAATGCCATGACCTCGTCGTCGGAGAGCTCAAAGCTCCCTGGGTCGGCAATACCCGAAGTGTCGTTTTCCATATCCCCGTCGCCTTCGTGATCTTGGTTCCCCGGTGCTTGGTTCTCAAAGTGCCACAGTAAGGGGCCGATGTTGACCAAAACGCCTCCCGGCTTGAGGCAGTGGAAGATGGTTTCGAGGTAGCGGATGAGGTTGGGTGCCGTGTCGAGGAAGAAGACGGTCGCAACAGCATCGTATGCATCCTTGTGCTGCTCGTCGCCGTATAAGCAGAGGAAGTCCGCAGCGCACATGCTCATCTTTCCAGGATTGGAAACCTTACTGAGCTCCGTGGAACAATGGATGTCTGGAACTGGATAGCCGCGCAAGTGGTTCTTGCGGGTCTGGTGGTTTGAGAATGAGTGAACCCAGGGATAGACAGTATGCTGTCCGGCCCGTTCGCAGTAATTGAGAATGTATGACGAGGCAAGAAGCTGGTGATAGGAGATCTCATTCCCTTCAGTATCGAGGCCTCGAAGACACAGGTCGAAAACCAGCCGGCCAAGCCCAGCACCCGGAACTAGAACCTTCAGAGGCTGACCTTGATCGCTCTGTTGCTTCTCGGCTTCAAGTGCACGCATCACCGGCCCATAACATGCCCCTCGCTCCGCAGCTCCCTCGGCTGACCAGTCGCGGTAGAACTGGCGGATTGTGCTTCGGGCCTTGTCGACATCCTGGTGCTTCGCACACCCAGCCCAGGCCTGAGGTATCGAGGGTCGCTGCCCGATCTCGTGCTGGCCAACCTGAAAAGACTGCAGGCCGAAGTCGGCTATAAGCCTTGCCAGTTCGGCATTGGACTCAATGGCATCGTCGACCTTGTCCAATGTCTCTAGATAGTTGAAGGGAGGCGCTGCTAGCATCTTCCAATGGGCCTGCGGCAGGGCATAGAACGACTGCCGCCGAAGATGCGTACAGTTGAAGTGTGCTACTTTGCCATACTGCCTGTGCTGTAGGTCAGTAAATGTCGAGAATTTCGTGCTTGAAAAGCTGAGCATAATGTAATGCAGGAGGTATATGGGAAACAAGGCAGCTCTTGAAGTCAAGATGACGCAGAATTTCGGAAATCTGGTCTTGTAGGTAAATCGGTCTTGGATGTGATCCCGGCCATATAGCCTCGAAGTCTTTCCACTTCTGCTTCCAATATTCGAAGCCGGTGTCCCATCTTGCACTAGAAAAATGTGCACCTTTATGACAGTCCTTGTGCCAATGTGTGCCAATGTTCATGAGCAACATGGAAATGTGACGAAGCCAAAGGGCAAAACGCCACACGGTCATGAGAGGCAGGATCCAGGCGGCGCATCAGAAAAGGAGAGGGATGATCAGGAGCGAGCAAAATGGACGTAAAACTGACAAGTATGAGTCCAGGGAGCTGAAAATAACTCTCAACTCCTCAGGATCATCGACTGCTTTCTCAGCACCATCCCATTGGCTTTCGTCTGCCATTTCTGACTCGGACATGTTGCCCTCGACGACGGTAGCTGCTACCGGGGAGGGAGGCGGGGGAGTTTGGCGGTGGAAGAGTGAGACCACACTAGTTGACGAAGATTGGCAGTAATGACTACCATCACCGCCCCAGAAATACCAAAAGTCCCATAATGAGAGCTCACAAGTGAGGCGACCTAAGCCAGCTCAATACCCTCATAAAAAATAAGGATATATCCCCAGTTCCGGCCAAGGAAAAAAGGAAACAAACAAATGCTCCAATCTACAATCTGAACATGGAGAAGCGTGTGACGTGACGTGCTTACGACGGAGAGATCAAAATCTACGGCCAATCAAATCGAACTTGAAGTTACTCCTTCTCAAACTGGGCATCTCTCGACAAAAACTCAAAAACCCCATCTGTCCTGTCACACACTTCCATTCATCGACCATCTTACCGTGAGAAAAGGATTTCGGCCATGGATAAGGCGATTCAATTGTCGATCCCGCTCCCGCGGTCTCTTGATTCGCGGATATACATCAGCCTGACAGTCGGGCAAAAATCCATCCTGCTCTTCCTCACAACAGCATCAGCAGAAGAACTAGCAGTGGCCCCTCCGCTAGGATCGTTCGTCTACGCCTTGCCTGACGTACGTTAAGAAGAATTTTGGAGTTCGCTTCACCCTGCCGCGCGATACTGACCTTATCGTAGAAGTTCAACCCAAGCCTGCCTTTATCGACCCCGCTGTACACAGTGGAGCCGACGCTGGAGTTCACATCGCGGCTAGCAAAGCTGCTGGCCGGGAAGACGCAACGGCCCGTCTATGTAGGGAACTCTGTGAGCTTCGCGGGCGCTGGCCTGGGTGGCACGGTGGAGGAAGAAATCGAGGCCTTCAGGAATGTTGTTAAGGTGGTCCTGTCTCGACTGGAGGGTATCATCGGGTCCGCAGAGGCCGTCGCGAATGGGGTGAGCAGCTCGTGACAGATATCCAGGTTTTATGTGTGTCCCGAGACCCTCGACCGCTCTTCCTAGGTGACACTTGGGAGTTACCGGCGCCTACAAGGGAGAGGACATCGTCCCGCCCGGGATTCCAAATCCCTACGACCAGTCCATATCCACCCAGGTCCCCCCACCCCCCCCCTGCTCTTGGTGTGCCACGAGATGCCATCACTGCCACGGCACTATGGGACTGCTGTGTTCCACCGAACGTCTGGAGGAGGACGGATCAAAATCCCGCCAACGAATAAGGATCCGGGGTTATCAGACGGCCAACTCAGCAAGTCGCCCCTGCCAGTCCCCGGCCAATGGGCATCCTGCGGCGCTTCAACATTGTCCTGCTAGGCCTCGCTACCTCGCAGACCTGTCATGTCAAGTTACAGTGAAGGCGAATGGTGTTTGCAGGCTGTCCCTGCTTGTGCAAACCGCGGAAATCTGCCTCTAGGAGATAGTGGAAGCAGCCGTTAAAGCAGCTGACCATGTGTAACTGGCCTACATTTCAGAGAATGCCGATGAAGTCAGTGGCCGGATCTACGAATACGTGACCAGTTCGCCGTCAGGATGCTCTCCGAAACCCGATCGCGACTCCGAGAATAGTTGGAATTCGGTCCGTAAGTTTAATTTCTTGACTTGAGTCTGTTGTTGAGAGCAACGCGTGAAGACGTAAGGCAAGTAGTCATGGCACCGTTGACTCGCGTCAAAGGAGGATGAACTAAACATCGAAACAATTCTGCAGAACATCGCGGCTCAACTGCCGAAAGGGACAGTTGATTAAATGCGTCCCGGGCTATATCCCTCTTACTTTGGCACGACGGCTAGATGTGAAAGACCTGCCAGTTATTTCGTCCAGGGGTTCCAAGTTTGATCTGCTTGGGTCTGGTAGGAAAATCACCCCCCCCCCCCCCCCCCTTTCACTATAGACACACCCAATACCATGGATGGACCCCGCCTTCCCGTCGTTAGGTGGGTCCGGGTTATCGATATCGCCTGGCCGACCACTAAGGCCTTGGAATGTGCGGGTAAGACGTACCTCCCTTCCATTGGAGCCCCAGCTCCCTAGTATCAGGCGGGGGGAAAAAATGCAGCGGGACATCAACTTCATCGCACACTGAAACACCCCACATAACGAATTCTGAAGATTAAACAAGAGCACCAAAAAGTCGCCTCAAGGTAAAGTGAGCTTTGCAATACTGCTTTCTGAGATCATTCCTAACTAGACGACTTCTAGTGCGACTCCCCGACCGCCAACCCTTTGTTGGCTAGCCAAGCTGACTGGCCTCCATCCAACCTTACAGATGCCTGCTCTGATCTACCGACGTGGATGACGTCTGACTCGCCGTGATACTCGCTATTACAACTGTTTCTCCGATCCTATACAGGGCGCACCAATTTACCCACAAGTAGGGTTACTCGCTGTTACTGGAACCTCCCCTTGTTGTCCGGCCTTCCATCCTCCCAAGAAGATACGATGGCGTGGCAACCCAACGAGGAGTCGTTGAGGACTCTGGCAGCATGTCTGAAGGATTCCCTGAGCGGCTTTGACAAGGCTGTTCAGAAACAAGCTGAGGGTGTAAGTGCGCACCTGCATTCCGAATCGGGTTCACCAAGTACTGAAGCGCAGCCATTGTGAAGATGCTAGCCCAGGCGAAGAGCTCGCCAGATATCAACAACTACCTCGCCCTTATATTCTCGAGCGAGAGCCCTCCTGCCGGCCTTACCCTTTCCAGCCAAGATTACCTCCTCGTTCGCTCGGCTGCCGCTATCATGCTCAAGAACAATGTCAAGTCCCATTACAAACAGATCCCCGAGCCCAGTTTCGCCTTCATTAAGATGGCCATCCCTCTGGGAATCCAGGATAAGAATCCCCAGATGCGGAGCTATGCCGGGAACATTGCCACCGAGTTGATCCGCCGTGGTGGACTCTTCAGCTGGCCCGAGTTCCTCCCCGAGTTGCTCAAAATGTTTGGCAACGAGGGAGGCCAGTTCTCTGATGCGGCTCAAGAGGGCGCAATATCCGCCATGGCGAAGATCTGCGAAGACAACACAAAGATGCTTGAACGGGAGCACAGTGGCCAACGGCCGCTCAACTTCATCCTGCCCAAGCTCATCGAGGCGACCAAGAGCCCCCTGACCAAAGTTCGGGCCCAGGCGTTGACCGCCATCAATGTGTTTACCCCGAGGAAATCCCAGGCCATGCTCAACAACATCGACGACCTCCTACAGCATCTCTTTTATCTGTCCGAAGACTCGTCTACCGACGTTCGACGGCAGGTATGCCGCGCGTTTGTCCGTCTCGTAGAGACACGACCGGACAAGCTCCTGCCTCACATAACCGGGTTGGTGGATTATATCATCACGCAGCAAAAGTCCCAGGAGGATGAGGAGTTGGCTTGCGAAGCCGCCGAGTTCTGGTTGTCTGTTGGAGAGCACGAGAATTTGTGGCAAGCTCTCGAGCCGTATATCCACAAGATCATCCCTGTTCTGCTCGAATGCATGGTTTACAGCGGCGAAGATATTGCGCTTCTTGGCGGCGCATCCGATGACGAAGATGAGGAGGATAAGGAGGAGGACATTAAGCCCAAGTTTGCGAAGAAGTCGGCGGTGCGGATGCTCAATAGCGAGGCATCGGCAGATGCGAATCAAAACGGAAATGCGTACGAGAAGCTGGCCAGCATGGACGGCGACTTGGAGGAAGGTGAGATCGACGACCTGGACGATGGTGACGAGAACCCCGATGAGCGATGGACACTTCGGAAGTGCTCGGCCGCGGCGCTAGACGTCTTTGCTCGCGATTTCGGCGCTTCCGTTTTCACCTCCATCTTCCCCTACCTCCAGGCCAACCTCAGGCATGCTGAATGGCCACACCGAGAGGCTGCCGTCCTCGCGCTCGGCGCTGTTGCAGAGGGCTGCATGGACGTGGTCACCCCGCACCTCCCGGAACTGATCCCCTACCTCTTCACCCTCCTCGATGATCCGGAGGTGGTGGTCAGACAAATTACGTGCTGGACCCTCGGCCGATACTCTCTGTGGGCAGCCGAGCTGGACGACCCGGCCCAGAAGGCCACTTATTTCGAGCCGATGATGGAGGGCATCCTCACCAAGATGCTCGACAAGAACAAGAGGGTCCAAGAGGCTGGCGCATCCGCCATGGCGAATTTGGAGGACAAGGCAGCCAAGAGACTCGAACCCTATTGCGGCCCTATTATCCAGCAGTTCGTCCGGTGCTTTGCAAAGTATAAGGACAAGAACATGTGGATCCTCTACGATTGCGTCCAGACCATGGCAGAGCACGTCGGCCCGGTTCTGGCTCGACCCGAACTTGCGAATCAGTTGATGCCGGCTCTGATCACTCGCTGGCAGAAGGTCGGCGACCAGTCTCGCGAGCTCATCCCCTTGCTCGAGTGTCTCTCCTACGTCGCAATGGCGTTGGGCGATGCGTTCACTCCTTACGCCGAGCCCATCTTTTTACGCTCGGTCAACATCATACACCAGAATCTGGAGCAGTCTCTGGCTGCTACCAACAATGCGAACTTCGACCAACCTGACAAGGATTTCCTCGTGACCAGTCTCGACCTCTTGGGCTCAGTTGTTCAGGCGCTTGAGCAGGCTAAGGTTGGCGCGCTTATAGAGAAGAGCCCGACTTTCTTCGAGTTGCTGAGCTTCTGTATGGAAGATCCAGCTGATGAGGTTCGACAATCAGCTTATGCAGTCCTCGGCGACTGCGCCAAGTACGGCTTCGAGCAGTTGAAGCCGTGCCTGCAGTCGATCTTCCCCATCTTGCTCAAGCAGCTTGACCTGGATAATATACTCGACGAAGAAATCGACAGTGGGTTCAACGTCGTCAACAACGCCTGTTGGAGCGCCGGTGAGGTTGCAATGCAAGCCAAGAAGGACATGGCCCCTTACGTTCCCGAGCTCCTCCAGCGATGTGTCGAAATCATGTCGAATCCCCGAGTCCCCAAGGGCGTCAGTGAGAACGCTGCAGTCGCGCTGGGCAGACTTGGCATCGACAACTACGACCAGCTTGGGCCGCACCTACAAACGTTTGCTGCCGATTTCCTGTCGGCCATGGACGATGTCGACCCTTCGGACGAGAAGGCCACAGCATTCAAGGGATTCAGCATGGTTGTTGGACAGAATCCGCAGTCGATGGAGAAAGATCTGCTCCACTACTTCACGTCTATCGCAAGGTATCAGGATCTGAAGCTACGGAACCCAATTAGACAGGAACTGCACGAGGTGTTCCAGAACGTGAGTATCCGCCCTCCAGAGCCGTCAGAGACGATGGAGCCGCTTACTGACATTGACGACAGGTTATCAACGTGTATCGGCAAATGATACCTCAATTCGATCACTTCATCAGCCAGTTGGACCCGCAGGATCGAGAGGCCCTCAAGGCCAACTACGTATTCTAGAGGATTCCGGCCAGTGCAGCCTCGAGACATGCGAGGCCTTCGACTACTGCAATGGTCCGATGAGACTCAACGGCGTTGGGCACGAGGGGCACAATTTATCGTAGATAGCTTTAGCACCCAGTTTTCGTTTTCTGCCGGACACGTCCCGGATTTGCATCTTTCTTCAGCACAGCGGATGCCGAATAGGCGGGCGAATGCAGGGCGCATCCTCTAGGGTGCTTGGTAACGGGCAGCCGGGGACTAAGCATGGCCATTTTGAGAGGCAAGCGAAGGGAGCTCTTCTTGCTGGGGGCGGGGGTGCCATACCAGTTCATGGTGCATGGGTTGGACTCGGTACGTTCGCGGATTGTGGGAATGGGGAGGGGCGGGATGGAAGGGGGCGGATGGGAGATATCCAGGACAAACGGGTACCGAATAGTTGTCGGTGACCCTATTTTTATTAATGTCGTTTGTCCCGCGAGAGGGGATCATGAGAGCTTCTATGGTAGCTACGGTTGGGAGGGCATATAAGGGGCGGCATGGCGAAACGATACTTCTTCACACACAACGTAGATAGCTGCATAGAAACAAATCAAGCGATGACGGAAAATTCTACCTCTTGGAGTCATTTCTGTGCAGGGCTTGGTTGAAACATTCTATGCTGTTCCGGGAAGGCGATTGACGGGATTGACTCAAGGGCAGGTAGATATAGATGTTTGGGTGGCCGGATCTTTTGATATGAAGTGTCGCAACTCTACATGGCGACGCCCTCTTCCTACAATATAGATTTCCCCCGGGGGGGGGGGTCTTTCGATGAATGCTCTCACGGACATTCCCTACATCAGAACTCCGGGTTGTGGCACCCGGGACCCATCCCCCGCAACCCGGCTGCTGTCCGGCGCCGGACATTGGGGGCGCCCGTGGGAATTAAGGTCAAGATGTGAGCCTGCTTGGGGAGCATATCGCATACATGGCGATTGATGAGATGGGCGTCTAGCATGGGCCGGCTTGCACCCCATTCTATAATCTCCGGAGTATTCATCTCGGTATGATCCAGGGTACTCCTATTCAGATATATCCGATTTTTTCTTCTTTTTTCTTTCTTTTTTTCTTTTTTTTCTGTTTTTGGGGGGGAGGGGGGCGGAACGACGATCAAATAAGGACTCTGGTGGGACGCACAACACCAGGAGAGGACGCGAGACCCAAGGGCTTGGTAGGGGACCCCCAGCCTACGTAGTCTTGGACAATGCAAACAAGAGTTTACGACCGGCATGCGGTAGCACCGCCCGTAGAGACCACTATGATGGTAGCCGGAGGGCGAAACGCCGGACACGGATCGTGATCACTTCTCGGCCGGGGAGGTGGATTGAACCTCCGATGCATATATTGCTCCGTAGTCCTTGATTTTGAAGCTTGACCAAACAAAACCCTCAGTTATCCTGTCATAGGTTGTGTCATTTACTTGGTCTCATGTCTTCTTTTCACGCAGTAAATCTCATCGCAACGTTCCACTCCGTTGCAGCCGAATGGTGGCGACTGGTGAGCTGACGATTACTCAGTATGTGTGGGTGGTTGTGGCTGGGAACGGCTGTAATTTTTTTTTTGGCTAGTTTGGTCAAACCTTGTTGGGCGTCTTGTCTCAGCCCTCCCGCCATGTGGCTTGCGACATGCTTGCTGGCTGAGCGAGGCGGGTTATCCCGTGACAAGGGCTTAGGATCAGGGGCCAATGGTAACCGGGGAACCTTTTCCAATCGGTCCGGCCGGTCATTGTCTCCGAGGTCTTGGACGGTGGTGGGGGTGTTGGCCTAAGCGGGGTTGACCCCTTGAGACAAAAAGGGCTGGTGCCAGGGGCAAAGAATATGAAGGGCTGCTCGCTGCTGTCCTCTGATTCCCAGGCGTTGGGTCAGCTCACACTACCCACCTCATGCTTAGGTAGTTAGTAAGAAGGTCGGCGATGACATGAGATTTCTCGGCACGGAGCGATTAGCCCGGGTTAAGCGCAGCCTCCAAACGAGGGGATTAATATCGGCAGCTGGGCGTCGACCTGCGTCAGTATATTTTGTACACCAAACCCGCTATGAGGGTGGCAGGATATCCCGGTAAAGGCTTAATTATATGACGAGACGAGGGACGAACTCCCAACCGGGGTCTTGTAAGATCGGAGGCGGCAACCTCAGAATTGATCTTTGCCCCAGGGCGTCAGCCAGTTGATTGCCCCCCTCCCCACCAGAAAACCTCCCCACCAGAAAAAAAAAAGAAAGAAAAAAAAAACCAAAATCCCAAGACATGGGAGAAGAAGCCGGGTGGATAGTTCTGCTTGTTCTGGTGTCGAGACATCCCAATCCTGACACTGTTCAGGCATCATAAATTATGGAGGTAATGGTTGAAACTGTGTGTACCGTTCCATTCTAGGGATCGGAGAATTGTTTAGGCAAGGGTCCGACGATCGAGATCGGCAGACGACTTGTGAAGTGGAGGTGCGAGTCCCATAGTGTCGGCATCGACATAGGTATCGGCTGGCTACGGCATGCGAATCTTGGCCTTGCTCACCGCGACTTGGGGTCTGACAAGGCACAGCAAGGATCAGGCGTCCCTGAAGCACAGCACGCAAATATCTGGCGACCTGCTTGTGCCCTGTCACGGGGTTGTTGTTGGGGGAGGGACTGGGAGCGAAGCTCAACCACCAACGTTCCAGAAAGGCAACAGAACACAGCACGAGCCCTGCGTTGCCATTGGCCAAATCGACGCTGAGGCCTACATAGTATGCGGAGAGTGGGATGATCGTCATGCAAAAGAAGGCGTGCATACGCCTGTGGGATGCGAGTGTTCGAATGCGGGAGCGCTTTCTGGTTGGCGGTTCCCGACCCTCGAATACATGGTACTGCTCCTCTGCGGCCGGGGGCCTGATCACATGGTCACACTACCGCAATGTTTCCCAAATGGGAGAGGCTTAACTATATATAACTAGTGTAGTTCCGCCCGACAACCGGCGTTCGGCAAACCGGCTCCTTGCAGCACTCCGTTACTGAACGAAGGAGCGAAGAAGCGAAGAAGGCCGGGGGTGGTTGGTGCGGGGGGAGGTGGGAAGGGGGCAGGTTTGGCCGAACCCACTTGGAGAATGGAGATGGAAGTTTTCCATGTTTTCTGCCGTGTTTCGAGCCTCTGGCGCTTCCGTCGCCATCCGACGGCAGCGAATCCAAGGAGCTAGGGAATAGCGGAACTGTCTCCCCAGTGAACGGCACTGATCCGCACCACAGGGGTCCTGGACGGTGCCTCCGGGGATGTGGGTGGCAAGAACAGAACCAGCCCCCGGCGGCAAAAGAAAGTACTGTTAGGAAAAAGTTGAGAAACGCCGAGCAGAGGTATAGGTAACTTGTCCCGCTCGGCCATGCATCGCATCCTTTTGAGGCTCACCGCCTGGAGTTTGTGTGCCACCATCAGGGCTAAAAGGCCAGTGCAGCAGGTCTGCTGTCTGGCGTGTAAACTAGCCGTGCTCTACCCCATCATGAGCGATTTTGTTTTGCCTGATTGCCGTATGCGCGAGAGCGCTCTTGCATCGAAGGTTGGGGTAAATTTTTTAGCACCTGATGCAGCTGGCATCGGATGGGAAGTTTGGGAACTAAGAAATCCTGCGGTCACCGCGGGTCACCGATCCTGGAGCGAAGCATCATGAGCTGCTTGTTGTAGATCAACGAGCCGCCTCGTGCACTATACTGGAACGGAAGCGCGGAGGAAACTAAGCTGGTACCTTCTCCGGCGAGGGGAGGCGAGCAGTAGTGGAACGTTGTATTCTTCAGTGAGATGCGAAGGGTCGTAGGTGGTGAGGTCGGTAGTACAGACAGAATAATTAATATCGAAAGCAGGAGGCAAAACCTTCCACTCTGGCGGAGTCTGGCGGAGTCTAGCGGCAGGCAAGAGGTACCGAGGTACCTACATAGCTTCCATAGGTCCACAGGAATAGAAACAGATTAATCCAGAAATGGGTTAGTCGTAAAGACAGGAATATGATGACATAGTTTTGGGCAGTTAGAGTTTCTCCAGCCGCCTCTCAAGTTAGGCCCACTGGCGGCATTTCCATCATCAGGTGAGTTGGTACCGTACCTAGGTAGGTAAGGTATGTAGGTACCTAGTTGCACTAGGTAATGTTCGGTACCTAATAGACGAGGGCCCGAAGTACGAATACAACTGTGGCAGTGCCCTCAACTTGCCATAGCCTCCCTCTGTGAGCGGTGAATGATTTGAACACGCAACCCCAACCGCGACAATGTTTGGGTGTCTCGGAAGCCCGGGGCCACTGTGGGTGGTTGGGGCCCGGGGGAGTCTGATCCATGCCTCCTTGCTAGATGATCATCAAGAAGAACAAACAGTGTCGCCTGCAACCTTCTTCCCTTGCAGCTGCAACAAAAAAGTTTGGCAGATCCGCCTTGAACAGATGGGTCCAGCATCGCTCGAAACAAAGAATTAGGAATCAGAAGACCATAAACATTAGCTAAACTAATGACACTAGAGGGGCTATTTTGAGGCTTCCCGAGTGTATGTGTAGGTAGTGTCGGGTCTTGGCGCCCGAGGTTGAGTGCTGGCGCCCATCGGTTTGGGTGAACCCGCGGATTGGAATCCCTGGTGTTTTGGCATTGGAGCATCTCACGATGACCAAGGCCCAAAAATGGACACGAGAAACGGCTGTTTCATCCAACCATGAGCCAGGGCTTGAAAATCTGATCGACCTGGCATCGGACAGGGGTCCTGCCAGACGGTGAATGGCCAGGTTGTCAGACACTAGGGGTGGACCCTGGCTTTCCCTAGCATTCTAACGGCAGGGCCACCATGTGAGGCGGGGTCATCTTGGCGTTGGAGTTTTGGAGAAGCCCTCTTAATAAGTGTTATTTTATCAAAAAGACGACCTCGTACAACGAAATAAATGAAACAAAGGTTCCTGTGAGGCAGTGCAGTAAGGTTTTCGCTCTGCCCCGCCTACGAAACTGATGATCGTGAGTTTTCGATAGAGAGCCATACTCTCCGTCTCTCAAACAAGCCGCCCCGGTGGCCTCGCTTCGTTGCTTGCCTCCGGAATGGAATTCCTCGGCCAACAAGGGCTGTCACTAGTGCTAAACCCCACTCGAGCCAACTGTTGTGTGCTGCGTACCATAACCACGGACGTTCACACATACGACCTACCTACTTCGTGATAACTGCCAAGAAACCATGTCTTCCGAATGATGACATTGCCTGTCGGCCAATGGTTCAGGGTTTTAGCGCCGTTGGTTGACTGGAGGATCTAGTAACGTACATGTAGGTAAGTCAACAAACAACAAGAGATATACCTCCACTGGCAAGAAGTTATGCCCAAAGTCAAGAGTCCATCCGGTCGAGTTCGAGTGTTGGGATGGTTCGAGACGGGACGGAACAGACTGCATTCCGGTCCCGGGGGGAGGAGCACCAAGAGCACCTATGGACGGGAGCATGCCCTCTGCCTAATCGGTGGAGCCCCGACGTCACCAACTTAACCCTATTCGTGCGATTGACATGAAACAAGGTCTTGGCTCCAAAGAAAAAAATTATTTTCTCTCGCGTTTTTGCTTACTTCTTCTGGTTTATGTGGGACGGCGATAGAGCCGGCCGGATATGGCAGCTGAAGCGGAGGGCTGGGAAGTGGGGGGACGCGTGCCGGGCGGGGAATATTACCCCGACATGTTTGTTTGTGCACTGTACGCTGTCCTCCTGCTGCTTAGGTACCTCCATATTTAGACATTGCTATGTATCAACAACCAAGCTGGTGCTCGGCGCCCAAAGCCATCACTGATTAGGTAGTTGCCCGGCCGCCAGGTCGCTGCCACGTTGCCAGCTTTGTTTTCGGCCTACCCTCTATCTCCCCACATCACATGCTCTTGGTGCCCTAAACGTCCAATGTCTCGTGGATGCCGAACCATTTTCCCAGTGGTGGCAATGAGCCCAGGTTCACGCAGTAGAAGCGACGAAGATGGCCAAATACATTGCCGCATCGGCAGTCCATTTAGGCTCCAAGAGAATGAATGGCAAGCCACTGAAGCTAGGGATGAGGGTATATGTTTTGAAAGTGTGGTGGCCGTTGTCGAGCAGGGAATGCACACACTGTCACACCAAGAATACCGTTTATAGCCAACGAGGTGACCGAGTCTAGTCATAGCATGGATAGTAGAGACGCCCAGGGAGTTCGTCAACCGAGTGTCCCTTGCCCGTGGTCGAACCGGCTGCCAGCCAGCCAGCCATCTCACATGTAACAATAGCAGACTCCGCCTCCCCCTCTCCTCATGACCTATAACGGCTTGGGGAACAACAGCATGACTTGGACGGTCTCCCGTGATGACTGAGACCAGCTTAACCGTCAGATAATCGGAAAATATCCCAAGGCCTATATTACGATAAAAACTAGCTGTGGTCAGGAACAGTCCATCTGCGCCATGTGCTACACAACAGCAACACTCATGCAATGCGTAGATGCAATAATTTTGTACATGACGGTACAGTGCGTAATCACTACTATAGACACGGTATGCGATGACCAGGAGTGAACTGCTGGAAGTGACTACTTTCCGCATGCCAAACCGAATTCTTGTTCAAGGATTGCTGAACAGGTATCTACTGCGGTAAACCTACCACGTCAGCCAACTAACCACATGTGCTCTTTGCAGTTTCTTCTCGCCAATCTCTTGACATTCCGTCCGCCTCAGATGCTGTTGCGTTGGATGCCAGTTGTGCTTACATCACTTGGTCAGGAAGTTGCTGCGTGCACGCTAATACTAGTCTTTCATCGAAACTGCTGGGGCTCCCCTGCAAGGCCAGCCCAGCACCAATGACACAACGGGAAACTTTGCCCCACCCCTTGACAGCCAGGTTTTATTTAGAACTTGATCTAGCTCTTCTGGGGATAGCCCATTTCCTGCCGTCGGGAACCGCTCGATTGCGGCTGTCCACCCAGCGCAATATGCTACCTGTCGGGGAAAGGCGCTGCTGCGTAGTGTGTCGCTGCTTCTCGCCTGCCCGCAAGGTCCTCTTTCATGCATTTCGGCCCCTTAGCGGCGACACTTGATGGTGCTGGGCGCATGGGGGAGGGGGGTTGCTATTTAACAACCGGCGCCCCTCCAGTCGCCCTCTTGCCCTTCCTTTTCCGTCATCATCACTAGATTCATATCACAGCTCCGTTGCTGTCACCGCACCACCCACATTCGCTTTTGCAACCCATCTGAGGAAGTCCTCGTCGACTCCTGTCATTCGCTTGTTTACTTTTTTTGTTTTTATTTTGTTTTAGTGTTTGAAGCCTCCCGAGACCAGAAATAACTCGTCCACCCACCCGAACCTCGAACTCCACGAAGCACCCATACAACGCCTCCCGAGCATCACACTGACAAGTAGCCTCTCGAACCATCTACCTCCCCCTAACCAAGAACCCCCGGATGTAGATTCCCCCCAGTGTCAGCTCGCCATACCTTCGTTGAGTTTACTCGGAGTCTCTTCAACACCCAAAAACCACCTACGATCGCTACTGTATTGCCAACGGGGCCCACGGAGATAGAAAGGGGGAAAGAAGAGTCGGAATTGAGAAGAGGAGACCATTGTCGGCGGGAGATTCTGTTTGGGCCAACCACCAATATCCGCCCAGCTTCAACCCTTCGTCGTTAAGCCAGCGTCCTCAACGTGGCCGCTCAGGAGTGACGAGATCCCAACCTCGGGCTTGCTCGCTATATAGCCGCCTCTTTTGACTACGACCCCGGGCATCCGCTCCGTTGCAATACTACCAGACGCTCGCTGCTCTTAAACGAGGGACCACTGTAGCTCTCCCATTCGCGTAGGCTGCACGCTGCTCATCTGTCTCGCTGTCCGGGAGCCTCGAACCTAACGTGTCGACACTTAGTTCTTTCGTTCTAATTCACTTTGCCTATCGTCGAGATGGCCGGTCCTGGTGGTGGTCCTCCTCGAAGGAGGTGAGCATTTCATGACCAACCCTTGCTTGATATATAGACTTTCGGCAGCTTTCTGACATTGCCATAGCCATACCAAGTCCCGAAAGGGCTGTGATACCTGGTGCGTTTTGTGCTTTCCTAGGAGAAAACGCGAGATGAAGACAACATACTGACCCCGCGCCTCAGCAAGCGTCGTCACATCAGGTGTGATGAGAACTTTCCCCAGTGGTGCGTATTCTCCGACCCGTTCATATTCTTCGGCGCCTAACTCGCTTCCCAGTCGTAACTGTACGAAGCACAAGATCCGTTGCCCTTATAACGACATCCCTGTCCCGGAGGAGAGATCGGCCACCCCTGACAAGCCAGATCTGATGTGGACCCCTGAAATCGAGGCGGCGATAGAACAATGGCAGCACACCGGAGTCTTCCCGTTCCCCAGCCTTCACATCTATCCGGCGCCTTCTCCCCACTACTTGTCGATGGAGGAGATGCGGCTGATATTCCACGTTGCCTCCATCAGCGACCAGTTGGGGCAGTTGGGGCCGTTCGGGCCAATCGACGCCAATGGCTTCACCCTGTGGACGCGCCAGATTCCGACGTAAGACAAATGATGATCCCTGCAATGTTTGTTTATATGCCTCGGCACAAGAGTACTAACAGTTGGCCGCAGCATCCTCAGGATTGGTGCAACGCATCGCTATGTCTTGCATGCCCTCCTGGCCTTCTCTGCCATGCACCTCGCCTTCTTGAATGAATGCCCGTTGGTTGGGAACATGGCCTACGAACACCGCGGCATCGCGCTCAAGGGTTTGCAGGAAGCCATCGGCACCTTTTCGAGGGAGACGTCAGATGCTATCCTGGCGGCATCTCTTGTCCTGTCGTGGCAAGCCACAGATTGGTAAGCCAATATAACTGCCCCCAGCCAAGCCACGGCAACGCAAGCTACCAAGGCTAACCCCAATATAGGAGGAGCTGGACCCAGCTCATGCAGGGCACCTCTTCGGTCATCGAAGCCATGGATCCCTGGAAGCACGAATCCCAGTTCGGGGATTTCATCGCCGAGAGAAGCACCTTCCCCACGGCGCCGCCGTCGCCCTCTCCGGATCACAAGCCCAGCCAGCCACGCAAGGAGGACCTCGATATCTTCCAGCGCACCATCCAGCAGCTCCAAAAGGTCGAGTCTCACCTGAAGCAGACGGGCGAGGACACCAAGCAGTTCGCCCAGCTCGTCAACTTCGTCAAGGGCGCCCGAAAAGTCAGCCCCACGCTTTCGGTTGCGCAGCAGTTCGACCGCCTCCAGCCCCTGCGCCAGTGGCTCTTCTGGCTGCCCGTGCTCTACTTGCAGCAGACTGGCGGGTCGCCAACGTCCTTGGTCATCATCGCCCACTACTACACCGTAGCCCTCTTGATGGAGCGCCTCTTCCCGGAGATTGGTGCTGCTTACTTCGGAAGCCTGGCTATTGCTCCCGTCGAGGAGATCGCCCGGAGGCTGCTCTCCTTTGTCAACGTGGCTGGCAGCGGGAACGGCGACGCCGAGACCCCACTGGCTCTCATGGAGTTCCCCATCGACACTGTTAACGAGTTCCGCTCGAGGATGGGATGGGTTCAACCCGTTCGCACCCCGTCGTTCCCCCAGTTCCACTCTTCCAACTTCTACGCCGGCGAGTGTGCTCCCACGCCGATGCAGCTGGCCTCGACCACCCAGGAGTATGTGCCCTATGCGCACAATCCTGCCTTCAGCTACAGTACCGAGGACTTGTCCGTCGTAACCACGGAACCCGGCCCCAACGGCGCCATCAGCCCTCTGCAGCTGTCGTCGCCCTTCACGAACTCGCGCTATCTCAGCATTCCAAGCCCGTCTTACGGAGGGTACAGCCCCACATCCAGCAACTACGGGGACTACGGCGACTACGGCGACACGTCGTCGGTCGTCTACAGCGACCACGAGGATTATGGACCTCTGGATATGGGATTCCCCGCCAACGGTCCCCTGCTCGGTGGTTCCAACGCATTTGGTCTCGGGTTCGTGCCTCCAATCCAGACCGTGTGGATCTAGCCTCTCTGGTGCACCCCACCGGTCGTTTCTCCGGTTTGGATACGAGGCAATAGTGATTGACCGTAACACCCAGGACTTCTGCGATGATTCCCACCATGCCGCCCAGCTACCCGCCATCAGATGGTCCTGGCGAATTCCACCCTTCGTCGCTCCCGAACCTTGCTCCTTCCCCGTTCCTCACATCCTCACACCTCAGCCCGCTGCCCCCACCGGGATCTCCGATTCCCCCAGCGGCCCTTCCCTCGCCTCGCTCTCATCGGCACACCACCTCAACCGCATCTGCACCCCCAGCTGTTCCGGACGAAGGGAACTGGGAGGAGGAAAACGCATGATCCCGAGTCCTCGGCTCCAGCCCTCTAATGAATCTCAAACGAATTCCCTTTTCTTCCAAGCCTGCACGAACACGATTTTGCTTGGCCGTTTCGACCCGCCACAGACGCAATTGTACACCACACTCCTTGACAACGATCATACTGTACTACCACCCAGACTCGCAGCGATTCCAGACATCCCGAAGTCTGATTCACTCCTTTTACGACTGAAACGACCAAAACCTAATCTGTATTCAATAATACCAAGACGCTCCTTTGTCACACCGGTCGGCATGATACCCCCACATAGACGCTCCTTTCCGGACCACCGCTTGGATGGATATCCAGCTATAGACGCTCCTTTTTTGAGGAAAAAAATCACTGTTACCGGCCGGGCCGGATGCACATACTATTACCCGGGCATTCCTTTGACGACTAGATTATGACGACACCTCAATCGGCATAGAAACACACTCCTTACGGATATATTTGATGATCACGATACCCAACTGCATAGCGGCTGTTTTGTTTTGGACTAAATGTTGTTCTTCCTTGGTTTTTCTGTCTTTGGCTTATATATATTTCTGTTCCTCGGCTCGGCTACTAGCGAAATCGGTGCGGATCACGGTCACGAAAAAAGGGTTGCTCTTCATGGCGTTTTACAGGCTGCATGTCTTTTTTTCACGGCGTTCATTGCTATCTCTGGAGCGTTTTCCGCACAGGCATATGGGATTTCCTAATGTGATGGGAAGGCCTCTAGGCCTAGAAACAATTGGTTCAAGAACGTTGTTTTTCTCTTATTCGCTAGCACATAATGAGGGTCTAATTCATTAATCCGTGCTCTGGCTACCAAGTTTACTGGTAGAAGAAGAGAAGGGAATAGAGCAAGAGAATAAAATCCCAAGTTGAATGCAAGCAAGCATGGCTATCGTAACGTTCAGAGGGTCATTTTAATTATGGACTGCGTGACAGTGTTTCTCGAGCTACATCATATAATCGCGGTCAAGACAGTGAAAAGTGCCGTAGTCTATATTACCATGGTTTATTCTGATCTATTCCAGATGGAATAGCAGATAGAGCCGTAGCGGGATGTAGGGGGGGAAAAACACGGTAATCCAGAACATCGATCTCCTTTATCATCTTCCTCACAAATCAAGCTACGGATCCATCACCACTTCTACACCCCCCCACCGATCAACCCCCAGCCTTCCCTCATTCACATCCTCGACGCCGCGGCCTGCCGCCTATCCTTCCCGGGCCTCGACGCGCCACGGCCGCGACTGCCACCGCCACCACGCCCACCGCCACGACCACGGTCAGCACCGCCGCCGCCACGTCCACGTCCACGTCCACGTTCACCACCACGCCCACCACGCCCACCGCCGCCGCGGCCCCCGCCATCGCCGCTCTTCATGCGCGCGGCGCTGAAGCCGGACAGGTCGCCCGAGCTCATGGCGTCGCCGGACTTTGCGTGGCGCTTCTTGCCGCCGAAGCCGTACTTGTCGTCCTTCTTCTGGCGCTTGCCGGGGCGGCCGCCGGAGCCGCCACGGTCGCCGACACCACCACCGCCACGGCCGCCGGCGCCGGCGGTCCGCCTGCCGCTATTGCGGTCGTGGCGGTTGAGCTCGCTGTCGACGGCTACGTCGAAGAGGTCGTCTACCTCTGTTGCGCCGAGGGCGGAGGCTGAGCCATCTTGTCGCTCTGGAGGGGGGGTTGTTAGTTCCGTGGATGGATTGATAGATAGATAGATGGGCAAGTGAAAGGAAGGGGAGAGGAAGGGGGAGTGATCAGGGGAACTCACTCCTCTTCAGCGTCTTGATCTTCTCGAGAGTCTCCCTCTTCTGCTTGGCCCGCTCCTGCTCCTTGGCGACCTGGACCTGCTTGCCGAACTTCTTGAGGTCGCGCTGCTTGCGTGCCTCGGCGGCGGCCTTCTTGGAGGTTGCCTCCTCGACCAGCTTGGACTTGACCTTCTCCATCTGGGTGTCACTCTTGACCATCTCGGCAAAGTAGTCGGTGGGCCGGCTGAATGGCACGCCCTCCTTGAGGAGCAGGGAGCGGCCCTTCTTGGCCGCCTCGAGGCTCTGCGAGTAGAAGGCCAGCTCCCGCTGGAGATCGTCTTGGATGTCGGGGATGGATTCGGCGGTCGGCTTGCTCGAGACGACGGACTGGTGCGTTGCGAATGCGACGGACGAATCCGTCGGAAGGGCGATACGGCTGAGAGAGGCTAGGAGAGCGGTGTGGTTGTTGATTGTTACACGGGTGTGCGGAACGAGGTCCTCTTTGTCCTCAGGGTCGAGATCCTCGAGGTCTTCGAGATCAATGTCTTCCTCCTCGTCGTCGTCCTCCTCATCCTCTGATGATTCATTTTCTGGGTCTTTATCGTCCCCTCCCGCCTCTTCTTTACCGGCTTTCTTTATCTTCTCCGCCATCAATTCTTTGGCGGCCTTTTTTGATAGCTTTGTCGGCGGGAAGGAGGTTGGCTTTGGCAGATAGATTCTATCCTCCATCTCGATCTCGGACTCGCTCGAGCTGTCGTCGCCATCCATCGCAGAGAGATTGACCTAGCACCACCGTAAGTATAAGTGATCGAGGGCACGGAACCTCCAATAGGAGCCTTCAGGGATGCTCACCCCTCCGCCAATTCCATCGTCTTCTTCATCATCGCTCTCTGCGTCCTCGTCCTCGTCCTCGACTTCTTCTGCGGCATCATCAATCAGCCCATTACGATCCTCGTCCTCCTCTTCGTCCTCGTCCTCAACACCCTCCCAGTCGTCGCCGTCATCATCGTCAGCATCAGCTTCCTCGTGCTTCTTGGTCTTCGCCCCACCCTTTCCGGCGTTTTCTTTCCGCTTCAATGCCTGCTTTTGTTTCTTTTTCAGGGCCAATTTCTTGAAATCAATACCCTTCTCGTTGGCCAACGCCACTTGTAGCCTGCTTTTCGCCATGTTGAGGAGTGCACAGTTTGTTGCGCTGGCAGTCTCTTGCTCTATGCACCTGCGAAAGCTCACTGGAGAACTTTTTTTTTTCCTTAGTAGACGAAGAATTCTGCCAGGCCTTACGAACTTTTGGTCTTCACCGCCTCCATTCAGGGGCGGGGTTCAAGAGCACATTTAACCCTAACCCTTGAATGCCTGGGGTGGGCCGCCTTTTTAGACTGGCACGACTTGCAAGCAAGCAACTTATATTTGGAACTTTTGAGGTGCGATGAGTGCCATTCCTCTACTGGTACGTGGAGGTCGCCAATTAGACTGTGAATGCAAAGGGGAAGACGAAACCCATTCGAGATTGGGGTCCTCACAGTCACACTTGGAAGTCACAGCAGGTCACAATGCAGAAATGTCCCGAAGGAAGGCATAGAGTCAACCGGTTACTATTTCAATATGGCCATATCTAAGGAACGCCACAGAAGCCTGCTGGCCCCTGAGTTCCCTCCCTCCCGCCACCATCGCTGGTGGCCAGCCAAGAAAAAAAACCTTTTTCAGACAGCTCATCGCGAAATCGCCATCCGAACAGGTTGTAAGGTCAAAAAGTAGGACAGCCGTTGCCAAGGGGTAGCTGGTAGACATCCCGCCCCGGCTGAAGTTGACATGCGAGGCGGCTAGACTGGCGGCGGCGGGCGAACGACGCCGAAGAGAAGAGACAAGTGTCGCGGTGCAGGGGTACCGGTGAGACCGAGAGTGAGGACCAAGAAGTGCGGTGAGGGGGTGGTGATGGGGCAGAGGGCCCGCTCAAGGTGCAGTGGGCCATGCCGAGGGTGAACGGGGCTTGCTGGGCGGGTGGTTGAGATGCGCAGCGAGAGGGAGACTGGGTCGAAGGCTGGCGCTGGTCGACAGGGCTATCGTGCGGAAGGGGATCGTGAAAGAGCTGCGGAGCGGCTTCCTGTGCCGGGCTTCGATGACTTGGAGGAGGAGAGGGGCCGTCTGGCCTCTTGCCCCGTTCGGAAGACCCTGGAGTCATTTACATGACAACGCAGTAGCCGTTGAGGTTGGTGGAGGTCTGGGGAACCTTGGTGGAAGTGGTGGAAGGCATGTTGATTTGGTGTTGGCGTTGCGAGAGGTGCAAAGTTGGATGTGTGTCTTGAATGGTCTGTTGAGGACTCAAGATGCTTGTGTGTGATGAGAAGAGAAGAAGAAGATCTGGGAGAGGGATCGAGGGGGATTCTTATAGATTTTTCGAGAGACAACTTGCCACTCCCTGGATGGAGGCATCGAGGCGGTCGTTGCCCATCGCACTCTCCCAATCTCCCAATCTCCCACGAAACCAGCGAGGCTTGAAGCATGGACAAAAGAAATGCATTCGTATTAGCAATGAATCTGCCATGAGAACATGCTTAATATTGTTCCTTACTATTGTTCTGGAGGATCAAGGAATGGTCTTTCATCACCGAGTTGACATGTGGAGTCGGTGAGTCGCTTTTCGAGGCATCCGTCGAGAGGCCAAGTGTGGGCGAGTCTTTCGAGAAGAACGTCGTCTTTGTGACGAGAACGAAAGGCTTGCATATTATTAGCAGGAACAATACTAGGGGCAAACGATGTTGGTGATGGTGTGGAGTTTCCCTCTGGCTGCGATGCCTTGGTGGTTTAGCGAGCGGCTTCATATTGTTCTCTTAGTATTGTCCCCCCTGGCAACAATCAGCCTCACCATCACACCTCTCCAACACGGCCAAAGAATTATCGAAGCTGGACAGATTTGGGTTCACATGCTCGGACTAGCTACTAGGAAACAAAGGGAATGTAATCCACACCATGGCCAGATGAACGATGAAGTTTGGTGTTTTCAGCTTCGTGGCTAGTATCGCATCCCTCAAAAGGTTCCCAACCAAAGCAAATGAGACTCCAGCCACCAAGGATATCGCTGCATTAGAACCGAGTGAAGGGAAGCCTGGCTTGTTAGCATAATCGAGCAGATGCCGGGGTCTATGTAGCAATGAGATCACCATACCATTTGCCCTTGAGTGTGATGATAACCCATGCGGCGCCAGCCTCATCGACCTCCTTCTCGACCTTGGTGTTGAAGCAGATAGCACTCATGATACCATCGCCAAATTTCTCGTTCAGGATGGCCTTGTAGGCGTAGCCATAGTTCTGCACGATCTCGTAGAGCCGATAGATCAGAGGCTCGACAGGAGGCATGGGTCCTGCTCTGCCCCTGTCCGGGAACCCCGTCATCTGGGCAACGAAACTCTCCTTGGGCACGCCGAGAATCTGTGAAAGCTTTTCGGCATCCTCAGCAGACGCTTGGGCCTGGCCATAAAAGATGGCGGCAACCGCGACTTCACTACGGCCAAGCTGCTGAGCGAGGGACTCGAAGCTCAAACCCTTTTCGGTCTTGGCGTCGAAGAGGGACTTTGAATAAGCAGGTAGACGATCGACGATCGAGCTCTTTCAATCACTATAAGCATGGTTTCCGGATACAACGGGACTTTTGTGGATCTTACATCAAGCGTGGCGAGCCTAGGTTGATCTGACATGTTGTATGTGGGCGACAAGATGTATGTGTGTGGATGGGGTGGTATGATTGCCAAAAGAAGTAAACTATGAACTTATTATGAGGGAAGCAGAGACCCGGAGACTTATAGACTCCCAATAGACTGTGCAGCCCGCATCAAAACGCAAAGTCGATCCGAGGTTGACGAACCAGACGTCATGATGTTGCAGCAGCCGGTACTTGACCCCGCGGCCAAGATGTCCCCGCGCCGGAGAAATGCCGGCGACTCGGGATATTAGCCGTCACGCGGATGCCTCAAGCCCACACGACCATGAGGCAAGCCCACACGACCATGAGGCAAGCCGTATCATGTGCCAGCGCCGTTTCTCCACGGCGCGTAAATGCTTACTTAGTCTTGCGGCTGGATGGCCTGACTAGCAAAACAAGATAAATTAGAGGCCATCGCCTTACCCCAGGGAAGGGCCTGAGAAAGGGACGATGCGCCCAGACCCCAGGACGGGGAACCCCTCTTAGAAACCCCTCAGTCGGCCTCAGAACGCGGGAGCTTGGCTGCAGACCAATCTTGCATGGCAGCGGCCACTAGATCATCCACATTGAGAATGTCCACACCCTCCTGAACTAGCACCTCCCAAACATGGTTCCTCAGTTGGATAGGCCAATCTGGCAAAGCCCAGTACCGCGCCTTCAGTCCTCTCTGATGAGCCTCTTTGACATGCTTCCGAATCTTGGCAAGTTGGACAGGACTTAACTGCCCATGATCGAGTTTCCCAATGGCGGTTTTGAACGACACACTGGCGTAGAATGAATTGGTCGAGTCAAAATCACCGTCCTCGAGCTTATCCAGAGGAGCGTCAAAGAATGAGTCTCGTGAAGTCGAGTTCGCCACGATTTGGCCGAAGGGAGTATTGCCCGTTCCTACGACGGTGATGGGGCCCCTGTGCACCTTCCCGTCCTCGAAATAGGTGAGCCAGCCTCGACTTCGCAAAGGTTCGAGCTGCTCAACGACGGCGTGCCACGTCTCCTCGCCCGCCGTTTTCAGATCGACCAAAAGCACCAACGTCTGATATGGGCTTGTGTCAAAGACGCCGTTGCCACTCCCGTTGTAGAACTTGGTGGACGGGTTTTGCCTTTCCAGAAGCTTAACGAGAGGGTCGATGTAAAGTGAACTAAAGGTCCTGTTCGGCTGCAGTGCCGCCGTGTCATGCCCGATGAGGAGTTCATCATCGTAAAGCCAGACATCAGCTTCGATTCCAATGCAGCCGGCATGTATGGCGGAGAAGAGAGGCACGCGCCGCCAGTAGTCATTGTGAGAATGACACGGAATGGGCGTGATATCCCTGAGGTAGTCCGTAGGGTACCGAGCAATCCCTTCGGTTCCGGAGCCAGGCTGGCCCCAGTCCCCCATGATATCATCAAGGTCGGCACTGGGGTCGTCATGGACTTCTCCCCCAGCCCGTTTCCATTTTACAAACGTGGTGTTCAAAGCAAAGAGAACAGACCTAGCCATGGTTAGTGGAGATCAGTTTTGGTCATAAGCAGGCACAGAGCCGACGGCATACAAGAAAGCTAGACTACAAATAGCAGCGCATGCAAGAGGCGAAGGTCTTCGGAAAGATGGTAGCCGACTGCGAGGCACGACAGTTTCCTGGTCGTAAGGCGATTCGTAGCCATGGTCAACGTCATGGTCTCTATCTTCAAGCAGCGGGTGCTCCTGCTTTCTCCCGGATCCAGGACCCGAGGCTGCCGAGTTCACACCGGGCCTCATATTGAACTGGTTCCGATTCATGCCTCACGCCCGAAGAGCGAAAGGGTGACCCAGTATTGCCGGATTTGCGTTTTGGGCCCGCATGTCCCGAGGAGCTGGGCTTTGTGCGCGACAATGGGCGTATTGAGTGATTATAGAGACTCAAAAGCACTTCGTTGAAGTAAGGAGGAAATTAATACTCTAGTGCCCATGTTGGTACCTAGGTACTGTATCTCGTCATATGAACCTACAGGTAGTATCCTGCTGATGACCCATAGGTGCACGTGATAAGGGGTGGTGGATAGGTACCTATCGAGGAGAGCACTCTTTTTTGGTTAAAACTTTCCCTTTAGGTTGTTGCTGTCATTCCGCCGAGACTTCACAAGACAATTGATGAGATCGAGGACGAGGCGCACTTCGATAAATCTGCAAGAAGAGAGACAGTAAAAAGAGCCCAAATGTAGAAACGCAAGCTTTGGAGCCAATCCTGTCTCACGACCTTCTTATCTTATCAGCTAGGACCTACAGTACAGTACAGTAGTGGGGAAAATTTACGACTTGCCAGTTCTCACCGGACTTCTTGTTATCCTCGATCTCAAGACACCTTACGAGAGCCTACCTTGGCTCAGAGACCTTCAAAATGCCTCACAAGCACACAAGACGGGTAAAGGACCCCTCGACGTAAGTGGAACCCCATGGCGCACATCCAAAACTCAACTTCAACTGAGACTTTGCACAGATTTGATCTACCGCCCTCGCAAGTCGCAAAACCTCTTCCTACGAGCGCAGCACCCAAGACAAACGGACCGCAGCCAAAAGGCAAACCGCAGCCAAAAGGCAAACCGCAGACAAAGGGCAATGATAGGACGGACAAGAAAAAACTCAAGAGGAAACGGGATGGCGTCGAGCAAAACGACGCGCCTCGGGCGTTCAAGAGGCTAATGGCCTTCGCGGGAGGGAATAAGCCACGATCCGGCCTTGATGATGGCACGCCGGCCCCAAAGAACAAGAAATCAGGGAAGACAGCCGAGATCGATGCAGGATCTGAAGGAAAAGAGGCCGTACCGTCTATCCGGCCCGGCGAGCGGATGTCCGAATTCGCAACCAGGGTGGATGCAGCCTTCCCTCTGAGCGGCTTGATCACCAAGACCACAAAGGGCAAGGACCCGCTGGGCCTAAAGGTGTGGCGGACCAAGAAAGAGAGGAAGATGCACAAGCTCTACGACCAGTGGAGAGAGGAGGACAAAAAGGTCCAGGAGAAGAGAGAAGAGGAACTCGAGCTCGCCGAGGAGCGTGAGATGGACGATGAGGCTCTCGGCGTGAAATGGAGGATGGACCTCGAGGATGCAATGTCAAAGAACAAGAAGAAGAAGAAGGGTGCGAAACGGGGCAAGTATGTGGGAGAGACGGCTGGGGCAGAAGAGGATCCTTGGGAGGAGCTGAAACGGAAGCGGGGAGAGCCCAAAATCGGCCTTCACGATGTGGCATCAGCGCCTCCAGAGCTTAAGCCAGTGATGGCCAAGTTCACGGTGCGTGGAGCCACGGTGGATGTTCAAGACATTCCAAAGTCGGCTGGCAGTTTGCGGCGAAGAGAAGAGCTGCAAGGTGTGCGTAACGATGTGGTTGCCGAGTACAGGAAGATAATGGAGGGGAGACGCTCTAGTCGTGCTAAGAAAGGCGAGAAAAAGTAAAGGTACTCGACTTGCGATTGGGTTCACGTGAGCTTCTCAGTTCTCACCAACTTCCATAGTATTTTAGGTACCTATCTGACGTGCGTAAATCACAAACACTTGTGAGAAATAAATGCGTTCAATACCGTTTCCGTCATCCAACATAGAAAACCCTGCTTGACCTATTTCCCTAGCACTTTTTGCTTGAAGAGGTTCTACAAATTCTATTTCCTATTGTCCCGAGCTTGCTAGCTACTAAAGTTACGGGTTGCTCACCGTGCCCACACCTCAGCGCCCATTTCGCTCACCTTGAGATTTGGCTTGACCCCAAAAGATAGGTAGCCCGCCACCAGCCCGCCTTCTTTCCCCACACCCGCGAGTCAAAATAGATTCTTGAATACCGGAACGCCCACAGTTCAATTCCCGACAACCACATTCTCCATCTCTTTTTCTGCCCATGACGTGTAACACTTCACACCATCAAGATGAAGGACGGGCTCGAGGAAGTGGTCGAGCACATTCTCCCGGACCTCGTTTTGTCGGGCGAGAAGGGTGAGTTTACCTGCGCGTTCCCCTCCCTTCTCCTGGTATCACTACGCCTCGCTCTTTTGGCCTCGCTGCTTCTCTCCTATATAAATATGTGGACGGGTCTATGATGGCTTCCTCGAGTCAAATTGCCAAGCTGCTGCTCACTTCACATCTGACCCATCACCGTTTTCCGAGTCTCACGCACGTGACCCGGCTGTGAGCTCAGACTAACAGCGTCAAATAGGAGCATCTATTACTGAGTTTCTCGTGCTGGCCAAGGGGTATTTCAATGGCGCAGACTCGGGAGCTATGGCTGTGCCCGGTCATTCCCAGGGCGGGCCAAATCCGCCTCCTGGGGCAGTTACCCCGGCCCTCCTCAATGATGCCGAGATGTCGTTTGCTCGAGCAGCATGGACCTGGCTAGTAGCCCGTCCAGAGGTGCTTATCGGCGGCAATAAACGATGGAATCGTCTTGAGCTGGACGAAGTCCTTGCACTCCCTGAACCACAACCTGCTGAAGACGAATCGGCCACCGCGGATTCAGCACACACTCAGGTTCGGTCAAAAGGGCGGTTGTCTGCACCTGCTACGCCGCAGAAACAAGGCCGGAAGCCTAGAAAGGCTCTCGAAGTGCAGCCACGAATCTACGTCACCGAAGATGCCCTCTGGAAGAGACTAACCCGCCATGGCGTTGATTATAAACGAATACCCAACTTGGAATGGAAATGCCTGCTTGGCATTGCCTCGACGAGGCGAGACGGTATTCTGCAAGGAGACCTTCGACGTCTTGTCGGTCAGGACCAGCGCTCCGTCCCGAAGCGAACAGATTTCCTTGCTGAGAAAGGCTACATCGTGAAGAGACCCCTGTTTGCTCAGGGGACCAAAACAAGCAAACTCTGGCTTACCGACCTGGCTCCCGCTATGTTTCCCGGAGCGGATGGAAGCGCTCCGACTAAAGGAGTGGATATGTCGAAGGCTGCCTTAACAAGAGACACCGAGCCAGTCTTTTGGCACAAGAAGTGGACGGGAAAGGACATTGACATTGAGGCCTTTGCTGAAGCTCTCCTAGCTATAGTCAAGGCTTGGGGGGTAATGAAATATTCGGACTTACGGTTGAAGATGGGGCTGGAGGACCTTCGGTGGCAGATGAGGGCTATGTCGAGAATGTGTCGGAAGGTGGCCGACATGGGTATCCTCAGATACGTTGCGGCTACTTTCATCGACTCCCGAAAAATCTGGAAGGACTGCATCAAATTCATTCGCGACCCAACCGAGGAAGAGTGGGAAACAATCTTGGCCACGGGGAAGAAAACCTCAAATCGGGGCACCCTCCCCAGGAACCTGTCAGCCCAAGCAAATGCAGCTTCAACCAATGCCAAGCCTTCTGGTACCCTCAAATCAGCAGAGGACGACGAGGACGACGGAGAGGAACCCGACGAAGCCTCAGCCTCCCAGCCGATACCCTCCGGCTGGGTACCGGAGAAGCCAATCGTCCATACTCTCTTTGATGCCGTGCGAGATGCTGGGCCGCGTGGAATATCCAACCCGCAGCTCAGCTCTTCCACTGTCGGCTACCACTTCCGACGCTATGTCAGTTCAGCCCTGACCAATTCTGCCAACAATCAGCAGCCGGCACACTTGAAGAAGTTCCAGATCAGCAGCGAACTCGTTCGGCATGGCAAGACCTCCACCTACATGTATTCGACGAAACAGGCCATTAGCTCACCGGGCGAGGTCGACAACGCTCAAGCCGAATCAGCCAGCCAGGCCGAGGATAAAGGGGGCGTTCCGAATTCCTCTGCATCTCCTCCCATGACTCCTTCCTATGGATTTCGCACTATCCAACCCCACGCCTTGGCTGGGGAGAATGCCTCGACCTTTTCGGCTCTCAGCCAAGCGGCAAGAAAAGGGTGCCCCAAGTTTTCCAAACAGCGAAGATTGCGCACGCCGGAACCTGTGTCTGCAACAGGCACCGCAGATGGAAGATCGCCTAAGCGCCGCCGCCTTGAGACTGATGGAGCCACGAAGGAGGAAGAATCGGAGAAAATGGCCGAGAAGCTACCAGGCAAGCCACCTGGTGCTTATATTGGCGAACCTGGCTCGCTGAACCCTCGGCGAAGGATACTAGGAAGGCCGAGGAAATCGCTAGTCATCATCTTCAAATCCGAGAAGCTGAAATCTCCCGATTACCTTATCACTCTGCCTATAACCACTACGGGATTCATCCCAGTCAACCAAGGCGGCCTTGAGGATGGAGACAAGATCATGGCAGAATATGCCGACATTACCTTTGGAGTTCAGTACAACGGAATTGCTGGCGAGCTTTCCTTGCCTGGCAACGACCGGAAGCTCGTATTCTATAGGCAACCTGGAGAGACTGGCAAAGGGCCTTTGACCATACCGCTCACTCACTTGCTTGAAGATCCCTCCATTCGGCCTGTTCCTGGAGGAGACGATAATAGTCTGGTCTGCACCACTAAAGGTGACGGCGACGAGGAATCGTCCTGGACGTACATTTTCGTCTTCAAGGATGACCCCCATAACCATGAGCAGGCAGTGTCCCTTCGGGATCGCGTCGTCGCAATAAGAGCCGGAACCAACGCCGACGAGGCGCCGGAGGAGCCCCCGAAACCAACAACTGGCGGGCGTGGCCGTCCAGGAAAGAAGGCTGGTGGAGCAGGAAAACCCTTCAAATGCGACAAGTGCGGCGGAGCCTGGAAGAATGACATGGGGCTCAAGTATCACTTGACAAAGGCTCAAAACCCATGTAATCCCAGCTACGTTGCAGCCCCCGTTGTGGATCGACCCAAAAAGCGTCGGAGGATGCCATCCTTATCGCCTGAACCGGAGAAACAGCCAGGCTCTGGGGATGGGCCAGCGACGCCAGCGGGGAGGAATCGTCGGGGCCGTCTCCGTGCCAAACCAGTTACCCCCAAGGCCAGAGCAGCGCGCAAGATAGCTCGACTCATCCGAGGTGCAGCGCCCAATTTTCGGGGGTTGGCGATTGACGACGACCGGCCACGCGAAAGACACGAGGAACAGCCAATTCTCAGCGAAGCGCCTCGGAATGAGCCCAGGCCTTCGGTGCCGCTAGTTAAGCCCCCTGTAGTGGCACTCCCAGCCGCTGCCCTGGAAGCCGCGAATCCCCAGGCATCAAGTCCTGCCCTGCCGACGCCGGGCAGCCCGGTTGAACCGTCAGAAAAAATAGAGGCTTCGTCTCCTCTTATGAGCTCTCCCAATCCTCCAGGCAGCCCAGTTCAGCCTCCTGAAAAAATGGAGGTTGAAGTTGAGGTTGAGGTTGAGGTTGAGGTTGAGGCTGAGGCTTCGGTTGCTGTTATTGGCTCTCCCAGTCGTCCAGGCACCGGAAACCCGCAGGAGCATATGTCTGAGGCAGCCCAGGACATTCCCAGTGTCACACCAAGGCCTCGACCACCGATACCTGCAACGGTGGCCCCTGTCACGCAGCAAGAAATTCTTGATCATCAGCTGCCGGATCCTCCACCAACAGAGAACCAGATGACTCCCAAGCCGTTCAAGCCCAGGGCAGATTACAGTCGCATCTCTGTGGAGTCGAAAGTCAAAACCGTGCAAGCTCTGGATATCATCGAATATTTGCTTGAGAGCAATGGCGGTGTGTTCCCAGGAGACAAGGCCCTCTTCTACGCTGTGATCCGAGTATTCTTGAAGGAATTCGGCGGCCAGAACCCGCCAACGCTTAAGAATTGTAAGATTGCGCTTAAGATCCTCGAGAACAAGAAGAAAGCTCGAGAGATAGGGCACGCGTTCAGGGAGAGCAGCGGACAGCTGGCCGTCATCACCATGCTCGTCAAGACAGAACTGGATCCCTCCAGCATCCTTCCAGCCGTGCTCAAGGGGAAGATGCAGGACGCATACCCGAACATCTTCATCCCGGCAGCCTTCTCGCCATCAAAGGAAGAGCTCAGGATGTTGCAGGAACTTGACAGGGAACCGGCCGACGCCGAGCGCAGCGGCAAGAATGGACCAAAATTCCGACAAAGGCGGGACCAGACTGGAGAGGTCGAGGTCCTGAGCGCACCGTATTACTCAAAGGGCAAGTCCTCAGGGGCGGTCGAGAGGCGGTCACGGGAGGTCGGCGAAGGCGAGAGTGGGAAACGATCGGAGCGGCAAACAACGAAGCGCCAGCGAGAGCTTGATGCCGACGAATTGGGTGAAAGGGGCAACGCGAAGAAATCCAGGACGGACTCGGGTCCAGTCACAAACCCGTCCATGGTAAATGAAAAAAGCCCCAGAAAATCGGTATCCGGTCGCCGGGAGCAGATGCACAAGGGAACAGTAAAGCGTAACGCAGAGGATGGATTGACAACTCCTCCCACCGTGAACGATTTAGTCTCCCACCACCACTCGACAACGCCTCCCACCGCGAACAATGTACGGCATGCTGCAGTCGAGGCTGAAGGCGAAAAACATGGTGGTTCTGGCAGTTCTGTCCCCACGACGCCTCCCCCCGCGGCAAACATGGAACTCAAGCCCACGTCGGTGGTAGACGCGATCAGAACGTTTGGTTTGCTCCCTGCTAAGAGGGGACCGAGGAAAGGGCACACAGCCGCCCCAAGAAAATTGGCTGTGCGAAACAACCCAGGGCTGGACAGCTTACCGCCTGGCTTCTTCACGTTCGCTACCGACACTCTCGCCCACCCGCAGCCCCGTACCCCGCATGTCCGGTTTCTCGAACCCAATACGCACCTCGACAGCCACAAAGAGTCTGCATCTGAAGATGAAGACCTTCCTCAGACTCCAGATACGAGCTCAACCGGTACACCACCGGATACTAGCCCCATTGATCTTCCCGAGCGGGAACGGGGCGAGGGGTTTGCCTTCGTGCCATCTACTCCGCTCAAGGAAGAGTCTCAAGGCGCCTGGCCCACCCTGAAACGACGGCACTTTATTGAGGGTGGAAACCAGAGCTTTGTGCTGGAAGGCTCGCCTCCCGACCGCAACCTTATTCTTTCCCAGTATATGCCGGCTGATGTCGACGATATCATAGCGAGGACCAAAGCCGACCCCGATGGATCGACCTCTTGGGCCGATCCACTTCTAGGAGAGTTCTGCCAAATTCTGGATCGCATTGAGGCTTGGGAGTTATCGGAAGACGGCAATGCCGTGCTCTCGGGGGACATGGTAGCCCCTGACTGCATCTACATCAATGTGTCAGCGCCCCCGGTGAGAGCTAGCATGGCACCAGTCACGCCGGTGTGGTCAGCGGAGAACATGTTTGAGATGCAGACCCTACCTTACGACCTCATTGCGGAGGGCAAGTTCGAGGACTGGGGAGCCCCTTCCCCAAAGCCGAGAGGTCGCCCTCGCAAAAATTTCTCGGGGCCCCTTGCCATGAATATCTCGAAGAGGAACGGAAGGAAGTCGGGCAAGGCGCTCCGTGTGGTACCTCTCAATAAGAATCGCTATCTCACGGCGTATCCGAAATCGGCGGATGAGTTCATTGCGACCCATGACAGCGACGAAGGCAAGGAAGACTGGTACAGCGAGTCTACAAGACTTTCGGCCTTTGTTTGTATTACGACCCTCATGGGCGGAGTCGGCCAGTCGGTTGATTGGGGCTTGGTGCTGAGGCTCTTCCCGAAGATGACTCTCTCAGGCCTTCGACGATTCTGGATCACGGCGCGGAAAGAGCAAAGGTCGAGTATTACAAATTTGACCCAGAAGTTCCGGAAGGAATTCCTGAGGGCGTACGAGAACAACGAACTCCCGCCGATCGACTACGAAAATGTCATTGCCTACGATTGGAAGATGCTGACACTCTGGACAAGGGAGCTCCTCAGTACAGAGTCGGTATCCATTCGCCTGCCTGCGTCCCTGGAAGAACTCGGCGATCAAAAGTTGGCCATAGTCGAACCGGCGCACAAATCGCGGGAATGGCGTGAGACCTACTTCATGACCGTACGGTCTTACTTCGACAGGTTCCAAGACGCAAGCTCGCAAGCCATTTCCATTCCGATCGATGATAACCAGGAGACCATCGCGGACAGCTTGACCGCCGCCATGTCTTGGATCCGCGCTCTCTGCGTGACTCCGGTGCCGAGATATTCGTCCCAAGCCGTCAAGGAAAGGCTGAATCAGTTGTGCGGATTGCCTCAGGCCGATAGAACGAGGCTCATGGAGGACGCATCCATCCAGCTCCGGAAACTGGGCATGATTGCCAAGTCCACTCGCCAGTCCGACTACAACCGCATCTGGAAGCTAAGCGGCCGCGTCATAAAGGTGCTGGACAAGACGGCCCAGGAGGACAAGTTCGCCAGAGCCGTCGAGTTCAAGAAGGAGCTCGACGCCTGCTTCCGCGAGGGCCGCAAGGCGGTCGTCAGGTACGTGTGCAACGACGGCGCCATCATGGCGATCCTCAACCTGCAGGCGCACCAGCGCATCGGCGTCGAGACGACGGGCCAGCCGAGCGTGCCCATGGGCTACGAGCCGTTCAACTACGAGACGCGCAAGTACCCCAAGCGGTACCACCACTTCCGCATGCACATGTCGCCGGCGGCCTCGTACCTCGACGACGCCGACCCCGAGCTGGCCGCCCTCCGGGCCCGCGTCGCCGCCGCGGACCCGCCCTGCCGCGGCCCCCGCGGCGAGATCCCGCTGTGGTGCGACGTGTTCGGCCGCCTCGACAGGCCCCGCTGGTGCAAGTGCCTGGGCGCCGCGCTGTTCATGCTCTCGTGCCGCGGGGGCGCCGGGGCCGCGGCCCTGGCGGCCGCGCTGCAGCCGGTGCTCATGGCGTTCGAGGCACAGATGATACTCGACTGGGGCGAGGGGGTTGGCCTGCTGAGGCGCCGGGTTGAGGGGACGGCGCTGGCCCCGACTGAGTGGTGGTGGTTGGCCGTTGAGGCGCAGAGGGGGGAGGGGGATCGGGGTGCTCCTACTGTTTCTGGTGTTGGTGACGCGGGAAAGGAGAGTGGCCCTTGTGCTCCCGGCCCGGCAGTGAGTGGCGCCGCTGGTGACGGCGTCATGGATGTGGACGGGTAAGGGGGGAAGTCAGTGGTACGAAGAAGCGAGAGTTTGAGTGCCTCTGGGCTCTCGCGTACCCGCTGGTTCAGAGCGAGCGGAAAGCTGGAAGAAATGGTCCTTCCAGAACTTGGCAGGCATTTAGAGGTCCTGTGGGAAGGCGTTCAAGGTTTGAGGATAATGTGATCGATGGAGTTTGGACGCAAGTAATAAGGGCTTGCGGGATGATACCAGACTCATGTGTACTCGGTTATGCTACTATTGTTGCCAATGAGATTATCCTATATATCAACCGGTCTCAAAGAGTGCCTCTGATATTGGTGATCAACCTCTTTCTACCAAGCTTCAGACCTGACCAAATGATTCACACATCTACCATACTCGCCAAAAAAAGGGGGGGGCGGGAGGAGGGCAGTTCTCTGCTAAAGGTTACAATTTGTTACTTAGGTAGAAGTGACTGACCACTGACTTAACTCCCAATTGCCCGAGGTTCGACAAACTCATCAAGGGAAACCTCATTAGGCAGGTAGCTACCCCAGCTCTTTCGGCCAAACCGAGGCTGGCTGTGCGTCCTGCTATCCCGCCTGCTTCCATGGACTCAGCTTTGCTAAACACAAAAATAGTCTCAGCATCATGTTCACGCATCCAGGTTTAACTCTGCCTTCATGGATGTCATTATCCCCACATCTCTACCCGCAATGTGTCTATCCATATATAATGATTTGGAAACTCATCCAAGATCTTCCCCACGTAGATGTGCCAGTCATCCTTCTTGGCCTCGAAGGTAAACATAGCCGTGGCATACTCCCAGTACACTGGATACCACCCTGAAGCCGCCCAGTCCACAATAACGGTCTCTCCGTTGGGCCTGATAATGATGTTTTTCCGCTGGAGGTCGTTGTGCGTGAATACTGCCGTGCCATTTCCTTGCAGAACCTGCGGAAGGACGCGACGATAGTATTCAGCTCTGTGGCGCACGCGGTCCCCACAGTCGCGGATATATCTCTTGAGCATGGCCTCAATCAGCTCGTCTTCAGTACTGAAGGGACCGTTGATGGCTGTGAGGTCTTCGTCTGTCCAGAACATTCCATCTAGGGGTTTCCGTCGCTCAACACTCCCAAAATAACCTGGAGAGGGTAGCTGCCGCAAGGTATCGAAGCTCTTCCGAAGCTGACTGGCGATGGAGGCCTATTCCAACCCGCTCAGACCGTCCCATAGCGAAATGAGAGTTCTTCCGCTAATGTTCTCCATCACGATATACGTGATCTTGGTGTCTTCCCACTCCTTCTGATAGATGGCGAAGAGTTGGGGAACAGCCACGTTGGAGTTTTCCCGTACGAACAGGAGGGTCTCTCCTTCAATTGGGTCGTCACCCACACCAAATTTGACGACGAGCGACTCGCACAGACGGACAGTACGGTGGACGCTAGTTTACTGAAGAGCATCCACAGACTTCTCTATCTTCTCCAAGGACGGAAGTGGTTTCGCGAGGCTAGAAAACGGAACAGAGAAAAGGATTTCGTGTTTTGGTGTTTGGGCCATACTGTACTCTTCTGTTTGGACTGAAACGAAAGAGGTGATTGCGAGAAAACGCTGGGAATGGGCAGCTGACAACTCAGGGAATCTCATGGGTGGGAGATGTTGCTTGTTGTATTTTGGCTGGCGGCATTCATTCATTCGCAGCCAATTGGCCACACTTTTGTTTCTAGCCCGTCCTAGTTTTGTGCCTCTTATTAACTTGCCTGGCGCTTAGTAGAATGGCCTAGCCAGTCTAGATTCCTTGATAAACATCAGGCTGGCCCCTAAAGATAGTTTCTCCTCTCTGCGATCCTTCCACCTAGGCGCTTATAAGTCCACTGGGACTGCGAAAGAACCGCCCCGGTTAGCGCACAAGTCTTTCGGAGTCGTTGTCTTCGTCGCTGTTGCGGTACTGGCTGGCTTCTTCAGAACCAGGCAATGCCCCTGAAACCAAGACACAGCCTCTGAAGCGGCCCGCTCGGCTTCCTGTGCGTTTACAACAATCTTTTAGCCCAGTCCGTCCTCGCAGACATGAGATAGCGACGCCGCTCAGGCTAGCTCAGTTGATGCTGTGCACCTCTAGTCTGCCTTGCGACATGACTGAATGACCCACATTAGGCAGCCGGAATCCTCACTCAATCAACCAACTGCCAACAGTCGGACCTCTTACTGCTGAAATCAGACCGTATGCACTGGACAGACCACGAGCGGGCATCGCAAAATGACTGGGGAGGAGACCCCGACCGGGGGGAGGGTGCCCATGTCTGCCCTCGGGACCTTCGGTCGGCCAGAAGTAGTCTGAAACGGCCCGTTTTATACACTGTAAAACTTGACTGATGGTGTTGTGGAACTTGGATGATGACTTACACCGCCTAGCGCCCAGATTTAGAGGCTATAGGCGTGATTAGGCCGGGAATCAGTTATTTGCTGTGCAAGCACTTTGACGATTGCTGTGCGTCTCTGATCTTGCAATAACCAGTGTTATGATTAGACATTGTTCGGTCGCTGTTGGTTTACCCCCTTTTTTAAAAAAAATAAAAATTATTACGTTACCCCTTTTCGGTTATTCGTGGTTGCCCAGTCAAAAATATTTGTCAATTATTGTCGCCGCATATCTTATTCTCCCGTCTTACTCGGTTCGCTCGTTGTAAGACAATTAACCATGTGCGCTACCCCTTTTTCTGTTACGAACTCGTTCCTCCAATCGGTTGAGGAGAGGCTGCCCCCCCGGCCGAGAGGCTGTGCATGTTGCGAGGCCCGCTCTGGAACCAGAGAGGACCCTGTCGAGCGTACGTACTGCCCCAAGATTCGTAGTGGGACCAATGCCTCCAAGACTGCCAAGACGCCGCTCGAGGGTGGCCGTACGCGTCTTGGTTGCGCAAGACGTGGAGTTACGGGGGATCGCAAACCCCCGTCGTTCCGTTCGTTGCCTCTCTGGAAGGAATCGCGCTTGCACAGCCTACACGGCCCCCACCCTCCTCCTCCGCGTCCCTACTGGAGGGCGACGGTGTCGGAGGGAGGCGTCCACTTGGCACGGATTGCTTGTGGAATGCGAGGGGTCCATCTCTCCACCACTCACAAACCTGTCGGCTTACAAGGCTGAGGGCCGGCAGAGGCGCATGTGGCTCCCAGAGGCGGCGGCCAGACCGGCGGTGTGAGAACTGCGGTACCTCAACGGGGCGAGGGAAGATGTGCGTCCATACTCGAATGCAGGCTGTGTCATTTTGGGGGGGCGGTATGGCACGGGAGAGACAAGGCAAAGGGTACAAGGTCTACGGGGTGTTGTCGGCAAGGCGACCAGGCAGATGGCGGTCACCTCATGCCACGTCTGGCGAGGACCATGGGGAGCTGAACTCTCAAGGTCTAGGCCGGGCTTGGCGATCGGGGGCTTGTCTTAGGCATCGGCTGCATGGCGCGTGCGATGGCGAGAAACCCGGTGTAGCCTCGAGGACCGTGGATGACGTTGAGTTGACGACAGCAGAATGATCAAAGAGAGGAGTATCCGCCGCCTCACCGGTCTGGGGTGACAGGACGGGGGGAGGGAAGAAGGAAGAGGCAAAAGCAAGCAGGTTTTCGACATCGAGAGTGTTGAGGCAGCAAAATGGGCGGGCGAGGATGACCAGCCACATGCAGCCCCTCGAACGCAGGGTTCCTGGTTCCTGCGCAAGAGGCGGCGGCGAGAGAGCGTGTTTCAGGTCGCAAGGCGTCCAAAGCCACTTTTTTTCTCCGTTCTTTGTTTGAGGCGCCTTCATTGCGGTTGGTCGAGTCGGCGGCGCCGTCGACGCAAGGCGACCATGCACCTCGATAGCTTCGCTTTACCAACTAGGCGCGTGCCTCTCGGACCGATTGGGTTTAGGGGTGTTTGCGGCTGGCTGCAGATTATTATGGGTTCCCTGTGTCGCTGCTATGGTGCAATACCTGTCGATCGTCATGTTGGATGCGTTTTTTTTGGTTTTTGTTGGTGACCAGGAAACCCAGGAGAGAGTCCACTCAACATGGTTCAGGGATTGGTGCAAGGCATACCGCTCGTTTGCCTGCTTGCTTTCGTACTGCAGTGCGCCCACGTGGGTAACACATGTAGCGTTTGCGAGCTAGGATGGTCTTGTGCGCATAATATTCACGACAAGTCGGTCATCACTTTCCATATGGGAATAACACCGAGAGGACAGAGCGATAAGCCCGGCATGGCTGACCACCACCCAGGAGGAGAAATGCGCACGTGGCTGGCGTTGAGGCGGTTGGAAGCGCTTATCTCGAAGGCTCGCCGGCGTATCACCGCCTAGTCCGCCTAGTCCGCCTCAAATCATATTCTGGCTGACGATGACGAAATAGGGCAGGGTCTGGACCCCCCGGCGATACGGAAAGAGTCTGGATTCCTGGGCGAGTGGCTGGCCAAGAGTTCGAAAGAGCCATATAACTTGAGATTGATCAGTCATTTAATGTCTAGCAAGCCGAGAAGATGCGGGCTTAAGCTCCGAGTACGAGCAAAGGGAACGAGACATAGCAGAGCCTAATGCGCCGAGCGACGGCGTAGGCTGTCCACTATATGCATGACCAGAACAAGCGGGATAGGACATCTGAGCTGTCATATGATTTAAGCACTGAGGGCATACACGGAAGATGTGGCCCACAAAGCACGCCATGGTCACCCGAGTCCTGTTAGCAATCCAACCCTCGTTGATGTTATCACGAGATGTTGGCCAACCAACCACTCTAGGAGAACAGGACGACGTCGAGGTGTCCAGAAGTATACCTACGACCGGGTACACCCTGAATCCTCACTAGGATGTCGCAATATCGGCCCTTCAGCGTCCCATTGAGGGCCGGATGCTGCAAATCAATGCGGGAAGGAGCATGGTGAAGACCTAAATTCGGCAGGTTGAGAATGATACATCATATTTGGAGTCGACACGCTGGCTGATGATGCATGAGGCTGAGAAGATGTCGAGCTCAATCGGGCAAGGATAGGAGATGGCAGCACTTCGACATACACCGCCTAGTTTTCGATGTGACAATTGGCAAGATACTCGTCTACTATCCGTAGACGGCATTCGAACAGCCAATTAGGCATGATCACCAACCAGCCTAGAAAGGCGAATCCAACTTGGATCTCCTGGCACCTGTCAGGTAGTAGTAAGACAAGGCAAAATGGATTGGACCGTGTCTCAGATAAAAATAATAAAAATAACTTTTATTTTATAAATCAACCTGTGAGCTGGCAGAGAGGTACACGTGAAGGTGAATCATGGAGGGAACCTTTACGGGTACCCTCAACCCCAAAGTGGCAGAGAGAGATGTTGCGCGTCCTACCAGGACGAATAAGGTATAACTATAGGCGAGCGTGAAACCAACAGGCCCAGATGGGCCTTCCAGTCGGGCCCGGAGACGGGGTGCCATTGTCACTTGGCGTGCTATTTAGTCTTGAGCCATTGATTGATATTGATAGGTGAACCGCTGCCGCCACCCACTCTACCAGCGCTCCTCCGTCCACCTTATGAGACAAACAAGAACAAGCATCGGGACCATCGGGCCCAGTAAGGCTGACCAAAAGTAAGATGACGGCAAGCTATTCCGCACCTTTTGGAATCCTAGAAACGTGCCTCCCCCTCCCACTCGGATGCAGCTGCGTGGCGCAGAGCGACAGGTCAAAAGTGCTTCCCGGCTGGCAAGCTGCAGCTCTGGAATGGAAATCAGCAGCCAGCCGAGATTATGTCCTTACCCTTTCTTTTTTTGGTTGCTGATCTGTATCCCAATCACCCGGCATGGTACTGCGTAGTGCGCAAGTACCTAGATACCAGCCGGGAAGGGGGGGGAGGGGGGAGGAGCAGCATGCAACTACGAGTTGGTTTCTTGCTTTGGCCGAATTCCGAGCAAACCAAAGATTACTGTAGTTTGGCTGAGAAGGAATAAGCCCACGTAACAGTGAGATGTGCGACGCGGAGAAAGTGTCGATCGGAGGTTCGGTACCGTAACCTTGCAGGTCAGATTTATGGGAACAGGTAGATGTATCTGGGCTGGGATATTGCGTATTTCTCCCTTTTCCGGTTTACTGAAAGTTACTCTCTTTTCGCGTGTATACCTAGTCCGTGTCTCTTGAGGCGGACGATGTCTTGGCCGAACCGCATGTCAACAGGGAGGGGGTCGGTTGTGCACCGTGACTCCACCACAAGTTAGATGGCGGGGCTAAGGCGCGACGTCATAGGACCCGCCATCCTGTAACTTGGCCTGAGCTCACGGCAAAATAATCCAAGCTGGCGGGTGCACTACTTTACCAGGGTAGGTTGCTTTTTGCGGAGGTGGAGCTCGCGCAGGAATGTCGAATGCTTCTAGAAAAATGGCGGGCTCGGGATTTGTCGCATTGCCAATTTCAATTTCGAGTCGCAAACTCGATTGGCTCCTTGTAATCTCACTGCAGGAGAAACGTGCCAATGCGCTGCCCGGATTCCGGACCGCTGACGAGGTTAGTACCTTGTTTGTTTCGTTTTGATGGGGGCCGACTTGGAGTGTTCCCACTCCGAGTGGGTGGTATCAATATCGTGAATGCCAACGCGCCCCTATGCGATGGCAACACAGCCTTGTCGGATATTCTCATCTCCAGGAGTGGGAGACTCTGGAATTTGAACGGACGATCGATCAGGGGGCACGACTCCGACATCCAGCACGCGTCGGAGAAATTTGCGCGCGAAAAAGCAAATAAGGTTGCTTGTGCAAAGCTGAGCTCTTGGGTCGCACAACCATGGGATGAGAGTGAGACAGGGACCTCTTCTGCAGGTTTTACCCCACAACGTGCCAGCCGTCAAAGCCGTCCCTGCTCATCTTTGCTGCAAGGAAGAAATGATGTGCAGCTGCCCAAAACGAGTTCAGAATGTTTGCGACACAGGGGGAGCCTGTCACTGACCAGGGTTGGACGCTGTCGTGGGGATGGCGCTGAAACATGAGCTCTTCTCAGCACGCCGCTCTTCACATGCTAATAGGTAGCTTGGATCCTTGGTCAATCATGTCGAAATTTCTGCCCTGAGGATCCAGACAGGGGAGGCGCGTTGAGAATCAGCCCATTGCACGTGGGTTGAGTGATCATTTTCCGGCTTCGTTCCTCTCACCGCTTCTGCTGATTCAAACTCCATGCTCGCATCTCTACATACCTAGTACGTAGTAGCGTCGGAGGACCGGGTTAGTACGTTGTAAGAGCCTTCCAAGGTTCTTGGGATGCGGGACTTTGAGTTGTTGTTCGTATACTGCGTAATGGTGCCAGACATCCTCGCGGCTCGCAATCTTGGAACTACCTAACCTAGTTGCCGCTATCCGGATCCCGGAAGTTAGTTGCTTTTCTTACATCGAGCCGTCTTTGCGACAAGAGGTTAACCTAGGTACCTCGGTATCTAGGTACTGTACAAATGTGGTTAGTCTGTGTAGACCTGTACCACAGTAGGTATTTGTACCTACAGTACAACAGGTACGTACCTACGGTACGAGGTACTTGTATACACAAAATGCGGAGTCCACAGATCAACCCCACCATTTCTCGCAAGGGGTCCCAGCCAATAAGACCCATGATTTCGGTTAGGGTTGCGGATCAGGGACCTCCAAGCAACATGCAGAGTCAAGACTACCTCCGGTGGAGCGAATGCCCGGATCTGAAATTCTGAACTCCCACTATGTATCTGTAGCCATATGGTTGATGTGATCAAATGATCAAACGGCTCAAATCTCAGGATCCTCAAACGGGGGGATACTTCCATGTGGCCGCGGCCGGCAGTTAAAAGAGGGTTATTATTCGTGGGCAACGCATGCACACGCAGGTGCAAATTCAATAATGCTTCTGTATCGGGCAATAAGCACATCTCCCCTCCTAAGAGGGAGATAGTAGGCACTGTAGTAGGTAGCAATCGAACCGCCGAACAGAGAGAAACTGGATAATGCCGTGCAACTGTGCGGATGGCGGATTACATGGCCCCATTAAGACTGAGCATTTTGTTGACAATGCATGTAGGGGAGAGCTGGGGCGTGGGGGTGTATCCTTTCCAAATACTCCCACACAAGTCAGGCACTTAGAGTCTCTGCCATTAAAGGCGATTTCTGACACCCTCACTACCTGCAAGGCGTCTGCCGCGCCAGCAAGGCATCCGGAAGCTGCACCTAGATCGTCGCATCCTCGGCGACCGCCACCATCACCGTGACGGTTCGATTTCCTGGTCGCATCGCCGATTGAAGAGCCAATACAGCTGAAAGATGGTCACACTTGCCAATCACGGATGCCGATGTAGCTTCCCCGCGGCCATTGAGAGGGATCAAATGTCCTCACGGCTCGCTCGAAGGTGTCACGCAACATGCGACCTGCAGGCTCTGCAACGCTCAAGATGCCGCACGCAACGGCCCCTCCCGTCAAAATGCACCTAGCCAATCCTGGCCAGAGAGATTGGTTGCGTACCTCGTTTGTACATATCCCTGAACTCTGTTTTGAGGCCACGAATCTTGCCTTGGATGATTTCGAACCCGCTCTGTGGGGTGTGAACGACAGATCGACCGCTGCTCTGTCTCGAATTTCTTAATCGCCTGGTGGGGGATGGATACCAAAGTTCCCTTTGCTCCGTGAGTCATTCCGGCGGTGAACCAACACCGGTTGCCGTCACTCCTGAATGGACCGTCTAAGCGCAAACTTCGGTTCGCACCTATCTGACTGGTCAAACCTCAGAAGTCGCGTATTCAATGTGTCCAACTGACCGCACCGGCCTGGTTGACCCTATTGACTCTATTCGTGGAGTGTAGAGTGCCAAGTCGGATATTCGGTGTTCAGAAGAGGGGGCTTCTCCTGATACGTACCGATTTTCCAGGGCTTACTAGTGTTGGCCTGTTGGCCGTTAGCTGGGTCGACCAGGGCCCTGCAATCCTGTCCACAGCGGAAATATGAAACAACGCATGGCACGCGTGATAGGTATGCAATTGCAGCAGATCCTCCAGGCTCCATCCCGCGCTGTTCGCCGAGTGTTCACTGCTCAGTGAACTCCCTTTCTTTCCTCGGTGGGCAAGCAGGTGGGTATGTAGGGTGGTAGACAATGATTGGCTGGATACGTCGCACCTATTACAGAGAACTGGGACGTGCGGGATTCACCTCAACCTTGAACCTTGCGCAACGGACTTGCAGCAGTGTGAGCAGCGAGACAGGGTATATACCCGTAGCATGTACGCTGTATACGAGAAAGAAGAATAAAAAGGAAGCAAAGAAGAACGACTTCGAGATGAAATAGGCGGGGATATCCTTGTAACGGTCCAGGGGTCGCGAGGGTGTGAGGCTTGTGGCTTCGAAGGATACGACTGCGGAAGGACGGCAAGTCTTCGCGCGGATGGTGGCAGGAACAGGGCCCGAAAATCAGGTTTACCATAATGTTGGACATGGGCGCTAAGACAAAAAGGAGTCCTTGGCATCCTGCACGACATAGCGCACACCACCGGATATCTGAAATCCATCGTTGTGGCAAGGAACCTCATTACGTATCCTACAATGGGTGGCTTGCGGCCCCAAGGTTGGGAGGTACCTAGGTACCTATTTCCCTGGGGGATCAGGAAGTCGCAAGACTCTTATCCAACGTGGCGGTACCGGGCCAATTGGTCCTTCGCCGGCAGTCGTCGCGAGGATTAAACTTAGAGAGGATCCGGAGGATATTCCCTCCTGAGGTGAGATTCTGATAGGCAGGATTGACAGGGTGACTCGGGTTGCTGGAAACAGTGCTGCCGAGACAACGCGCCCCGCGTGGGTGGTTAGGAGTGACAGGCGAGGGGAAACAAAAGAGATTCGCCCCTGATTTGCGGCAAGGGAGTTGAAGCGCTTTTTTTCCAGAAGCAACCCGCAGATGTAAACTTCTAAACGGCTGAGAATTGGTGCCTCGTGACACTTTTTTTTCTGGACCCCTGTCAATGCCGAGCGCAAATTGCGACGCTGAGCATAGCTACAAAGAGGCTCGCATACCAATCAACTCCTCGGCCGACGACGCACGTCGAGGCAGCTGAGGGAGCACAGTTTCTCACGACGATTCTGGCCGCAGCGGACAAATGGGCGGCCGGAACACGGAAGGCACGACGCCAGTAGGGCCGACAATGAGACATGAGACTTTGGGTTCCGGCAGGGGGCCAATGCAACAACTTCCGGAAAGTATCGTGAGGCGGGGCGGCTGACTGTTTATTTGGCCTGTCGCATATCGCGCTGGGAGCATGTTCCACTGATTGGCATTGCGTCAGAAGGGGGTAATGTTGGCGCCGGAACTGGAATGGAGTCAAGTTGTTAATTACCTCCCGGTCGCATATCGCAAGTTCAACTGGGCAGATCAATGACGTGCGGCAAACAATTCCTAAATCTGAAGCTCATTTATTTATTTATTTTGTTATTATTATTTGTTCTGTTTCCCCCTTCCCGTCTCCGCCTCCTCCTTTGCGGGCGGGGATCGGGACAGCAAGGATGGAAGCCAAGAATGCAGAAATGACGGTGAAACGGGTCACAAGGAAACGAGGCAGCGACGATGGGGTTAAATTTAGACAAGACAAGAAAGTCGCAATTCGGAGCCATTGAGACGTAGAGTAAATGGCTAAGGATCACGAGATTATCCCGCGATAAGAACAATGGAATGGCAGTAGCCATGGCTCGCTCTCCGACTGGAGTTTCTGGCTGGATTCTGCTGCACTTGCCCGTATGCACTGCTGTCGTGCTTTGCGTGCTTTGCATGCCTGCGCAACTCGATCTTGCTGCAGAGAGGCGCGAGAGCCCATGGAGCAGGCGCAAGAAGCCATGTGGAATTGGTTGTCCCGGGGGGCCCAACAAGGCTGCAGCACTCGGCTCCACGACTGGCAAGGTACATAAAATCCCTATGGGCCCACAAGGTACATGTGGCAGACCAGCGATAACAGTGCAGAGAGGTTGGATATAAACCGATTAGGTCTACGCATACATAGGTAAATAAGTAATTCGAGAGAGCACCCGCAGCTCAAGGGATCGACACACCGAAGGCGGCCAAAAGCACTCAACTCTGGTAGGGGAATACGTAACAATCACGCCAGGGGGTAATGGCTACGGGTAGGTTGCTCAAAGCTTCTAGGATGTTGGAGACTTTCTATGACGAGTGGGGTAGATACATAATTAAAGGGGCCTGTCAATGTCGTTTCTTTGCGGGGGGGAAGTGCCAACCAGAGTCGCATCGATTAACTCCCACCTTCCATATTCCTTCTGGAGGCACATTCCATATTACCTACCGGGTTGTATCTTCGAGTTCGCCGTACATGTAGAGTGCGCAGCTAAAGTATGTATATACCTAGGTACCTACTGTAGGTAAGTCAGCCTCTTAGGCTCTCTAACAGGACGTCCGTCCCCCACACAATCCTAAGTGAGGCGGGAGATTCGGGTACATACCTCCAGGTGCACTTGGATGATACTTGGTTATCAAGGTCAGACCCCTGTAGAGATTACGATGCCAGGCCCATCAGATTTTTTTTTTCACCCCAACCAAGTTCGTAGGCTTCCCCGTCATTGCGATTAGGATGTACCTCAGAAGTTCCACTTTTTGCCCAAGTACTTATTTTTGATTCGTACCTTTCTTTCAAAAGAAGGGAAAGGGATGCAGGCGCTACCTGGCACTTGTACCATTTGGTACCTTGAGTGGAGTCGTGCCCTGCCTACCAGATCATGATTCCCCCATGTTCTCCATGAAAAATAATAATTCGAAAAAGAAGGAATAGGGATAATAATGTGAAAAAATGGAAATTCTTGCCAACTTTTCGACCCCGGCACCTGTCGCATAGGCGTCCAACTCCGCCTGACCAGTTTCTTCCCTGGCCCACGATCTCGTCCAATACACTCATCAACCTGACCCAGTTTTTCAGAGTGTGGCCGTTTCTGACTCCCGCTCCGTCACTCCAACTTAATAGCTCCCCCGGCCATGCCTTCCCCATTGAATTGTGCTTTTAAAAACCAGAAGGACCACCACCAGCTTGCTTTCCGCCTTCTGCCCACCACCATCGGTCCCCCCCTCCACCCCTCCCACCACCACCTTCGCCTCCCCGATTCCCACCACCGCGGCTCAGATTTAAGGTTTTACACGTAACAGATCACCAACATTATCTGACGACCTCAAATCCTGTAACCGGATCGAAGCATCCGTCTAGCGGGGGTTCCGGCCATTCCCTCCCGTTAGCAACCCATTGTCAATCGACGGGGACTCATATTTGATATTCGATCGCGTCTTCCCGCCGTCTCCACGCCCCTGCTCGACCGCGCATTCCTCGACGCGTATCTTTCCACCGAGCTGAAGAACTGACTTCTGCGCCCTGGGCGAAGTTCTGTTCCGCGCCTTAGACTCAATCGCAGCCCGAGGTTCGCGCGGGCGGGCGCATTAGTCGCTCGGTGCTGGATTTTGGCCAAGCTGCTGCTGCCCCCGACTCCAACATCCCCCCAGTCTCGATCTCTCTCCGAATCCAGCGACTTGCATACGACCTGCCACCTCATCATTTTGCCGTGAGCTGTCATAGACACGGCCCATACCCGCCCCATCCTCTAAATAAGCGAGGGAGCCGTACATGACCGTGTCTGCGTCTTGTGCTGTACTGGTACACCCCATATACCTGATCTGCCTAAGGTAGGCAATCTGGACTTGGTGTGACGAGTTACCTGCCGATTGAGCGACAAAGTCGGTCATCCGTCGCCTTACACCATCTGCCCCACGGCTCCGCTTTCCCTTCCCTATAAGACTCTCCCTGCCGGTGGGACCTCGATCCTGCCGGGATCGACTTCGTCGACGTCTTCCCCGCACTCGACACCGGATCTAGGGCTTGATATACGAAGCAGATTCGAGAAAGATGCGGCGGAAGGCGCCTCTCCACTTATAATCGCTGGACGCCCAACCTGACCCTGTGGTTCGTTCTGCTTCAGGTCCTTGCGATACCTCTGGTGGAATCCCCTTTCCTCGTCGAATAGGTAGCCAAGGGCTTTCTCCCAGAACCACCGTTATTATGTCTATCACCACAGATAACAACCCCAGTACCTCTCCCTCCTCTTCTGCATTCACACCCTCTATGAGTTCGAGTCGTTCGCGGCCCAGCCTGGTTCAGACCAATATCTCCTCACAGTCGCAAACCGGTACCATCCCGCCGTCTGCCGTAAGCACTTCTTCGGCAGCCTCCAGCTCTCAACATGACTCTCCGAATCTGTCCCCCGATACTACCGGGACGACAACCTGCAGCTCGTCTCCAGAAATGTCTTTCCGCGGCAGGGATCTAGAGCAGTTCCCTCCGCCGCCGTTTGAGCTTGACCCTGCTGTGGCACGGAAGACGAGTAGCATATCGCTCAGCAACTCGCTCGCTCAGAGTAGCAACTCGCTCACTCAGGGCGGCAACTCGCTCGCTCAAGGTAGCAGCAACTCGCTTCCCCAGGGTAGCAACTCGCTCTCTCAGAGTAACAACTCAGCCTCTCAGAGTTTCGTGGTCCCCAACCCCACACAGGCCGTTCAAGAGCCAGGAAGGAGTGGTGGGCTTATGAGACGCCTTTCCAACAGGGTCGCCGGCCTTGGAAGTGGCGCCCGAAGGCAGTCCTCAGCCCATCCGACTAGCCGGGATGGCAGCATCGGCCCAGGCATCATTCGCGCCCGATTGAGAAGTAACAGCAACAGCTCTGCTTTTGTTCCACCGCCCGACACCACGGTTTTCTGCGACTCCGACGACGAGACCTGCAACAATGAGAAGGACGAGACGGCCTTCGCGTATGGCTACGATGCATCTGTGGTTCGGGACTCCCAATTTGGGATGAACGCATCTGTTCCTGGTTCCTCCTCTCTTTCGACCTTGAGCGCGGGTCCCGTAATACCCTTATCGCTCCTCAGAGGCACCTGGGTTTGGAAGCTGTCAAAGAAGAGGAGCCCGAAACACATCTTCCTGGTGCTCGATTCGGATAATGCCAAAATATATTGGGACAAGACCCGACCCTCCAAGTCTGTTTACCTCGACGACATCGAGGGAATCCGCACTGGTGATGACCTCAGTCAATATCGCCGGGATTTCAATGCCCCTGAGCTGTACGAATCGAGGGGGTTCTCTCTCATCATTGCTCCCCCCGACAGATCCAAGAATAACAGGATGATGCACCTAGTTGCTGATGACGAGGCGACCCTGGAACTCTGGACAACCACGATAGAGGCTATCTCGAAACATCGCCAGGATTTCGCGACCAGTCTTATGGCCTTCAATGACAAGGCGGTCCGTGCCTACTGGCAAAGCGAGGTTTCGAAGCTGTTTGGAGACCATCCTCATCGCCCCGAGGAGGAGAGTATCGACTTCTCCGGTGTTGAGCGTGTCTGCCGCAACCTTCACATTCACGTCTCCTCGAGCACCCTGTTCGAGAAGTTCAACGAGGTCAAGGTGGCGAATAAAATGGGCAAGGACGAGTCACGTTTAAACTTCGCAGAGTTTCTAGACTTTGTGCGGTTGATGAAGACAAGGAAGGATGCCTTGCCCATTTATCGCGAGTACGCTTCGGACACTGAGCTGGGATTAAGCCGCAGCGACTTCTTGAACTTCTTGCGGGATTCGCAGGGCGAAAATGTCGACGAAGATTTGCAATCTTGGGAGGCAGTCTTCGCAAGGTTTGCCCGCAAGGGCAGATCGAGGGAGGGCGAGCCATCAGCAAAGGGCACGGAAGAGACGCTGAGAATGTCGGAAGTCGGTTTGGCCAGCTTTCTCACGTCGACTTCGAACGTGCCGCTTCCGAGAGAGCCTCGAAACTATGTCTTGGACAGGCCGCTGAACGAGTACTATATATCCAGCTCTCACAACACTTACCTGCTTGGGCGCCAAGTTGCTGGCGTCTCTAGCGTCGAGGGCTACATCTCGGCTCTCATGCGCGCCTGTCGGAGTGTCGAGGTGGACTGCTGGGATGGCCAGAACAATGAGCCCATTGTCTCGCACGGGCACACGCTGACCACTCAGATCTCTTTCCGCGAGGTCATCAACACCATCAACAAGTATGCCTTTGTCACGTCTTCATTCCCGCTCTTTATCTCCCTCGAGGTCCGCTGCAGCCTCGCAACACAGGAGAACATGGCCCGAATAATGCTCGACACTTTTGGCGAGAAACTTGTCCTTCAGCCAATCGACCCCGGCTCCGATCGGCTCCCGTCGCCCTCGCAGTTGCAGGGTCGCATTCTGATCAAGGTGAAGAAGCCACAGCAGGCCGACGATCCCAGGGGCATGGATATCCTTGGGCGGAGGCGCGGAAACAGCCTGACCTCGCCCCTTCAGCGACCGCTGACATTGGACAATGGCTCCGTTCCTGTCAGCCCCCTCTTAAGTCCCATTGGGGGCTCGTCCCGGAAACTGAGCACCAAAATCAACACCATTTCGGAAGTTCCGTCAGCGCCAAGCAGCAACCCGAGCGAATGTGATAGCGACAGCGACAAGGATTCGACGAGCAGGACGTTGAACAAGATCAACCCGATCCTTGGGAACATGGGAGTTTACAATGCCGGCATCCACTTTGACGGTTTCGATACCCCTGAAGCCAAGACGTACAACCACATCTTCTCGTTCAAAGAGAAGACGTTCGCAAAGAACAGCCAGCCTGGCGACAAGAAGCGCTCTATATTTCGCCACAACATGCGCTACATGATGCGAGTCTACCCCAACGGCTCTCGCATCAACTCGAGCAACTTTGACCCTCTTATCTACTGGAAAAGGGGTGTCCAGATGGCTGCTCTTAACTGGCAAACCTTTGATCTGGGAATGCAGCTGAACCGTGCAATGTTTGCCAGCGGCACAGACCTATCTGGATATGTCCTCAAGCCGATCGAGTTCCGCGAGTTCCAATTGATGCCCAACGGCGCTGGAGACTGGGCGACGAAGCGAGAGCGGAAGAACGTCAGCTTCAGCATCGATGTCATTTCGGTCCAGCAGCTGATGCGGCCTTACAATCTCGGGGAGAAGCGGACCTTGGATCCGTATGTCGAAGTCGAAGTGTTCCTCGCCGATGACAAGAGAAACAAGGTGGACAACAGTGGCAACAATATTCAAACGCAAGGGCCTCTGAAGTACCAGTATCGGTATCGCACCAAGATTGTCCGAGGAAACGGGTTTAACCCCGAGTTCGACAACAGGTTCAACTTCAATGTCATGACCAAGTACCCCGACCTCGTCTTTGTGCGATGGAGCGTCAAGCTCGCTGACAAGACGTACAATGACCGAACACCCCCGCTGGCGACCTTCACTGCAAAACTGGTCAGCCTGAAGCAGGGCTACCGCACACTGCCTTTGCTCGATCACAAGGGTGACCAATACTTATTCTCCACGCTGTTCTGCCGCATCAAGGTCGACATCACCAGCGTCTTGGTCCCGGTACCTGGCGCCGATTCGGACAGCGCCAACAAGTTTAGGGCCATCAGCAGACCCTCCTTCTTCACTCGATCGAACCAGAGCCCGAAATCCAGCATTGACAGCGGCCAGTCATGAGACGATGATGATGCATCGATTTCTGGGGGAGAAAACTCGTTGCCACGATGCTGCCTCTGTCCCTTCACATCTTCTTGAACATACCCTTTTTCTTTTTCTCCAAGGCTGTACAACACCTTTCTGAGCATTGCCACTCGAGTCCACGGCGATTGACGGGCGACAATGCATGATTCCTCAACTTCCAGTAGAATCTAGCAGCAAAATACCCGCAACGAGGCGTTATGGATACGGCGCAGGGCGGGACTATGTGAGAGATGACATGACCTCTCGCATTCCTTTGTTTCCTTTTGTGTTCTTATTTCTGGAGTTCTGCGGTATGGGAGCTTTGCTTTTAAACCCCAATGTAAACCATGCACTTCATGCCCCAAAGTATGGGCAGGGTGCGCTTATGGGAGAGACAGTCTTTCTCCTTTATGGGTAGCGACACGACTTGGCGCGAGGGTATAGAGACGGGAACCATTCGAGACGGAGAGACAGCAAAAAGAGAGCTGTCGCCGCAAATAACGGATCGAGCTGCTGTTCGGGATTCTTGCATCAACATGGGAAAAGCATGAGGGAACGGCATAAGAAGAGAGTCGGTCCGTATGGGAAAGACGGCAGAGACAGAGTGGTATATCATCAAGCTGGGAGGACCAGAGTCCCTCCAGGGCAGGACCTTAACGACTTTTCTATTCGTGCTGCGAGCAGCTCTTGTTTGTGGGCAAAGGGTTTAGGGGAAGGACATGAATGCCATCTCATTTTGCTTTTTGACTGGGCTTTTGCATCAGAGGTATCGGGGGACTGTCGTTTCATTGTACATCCATCTGGGAAGGGTCCGGCGGCGTTCTCCATCTACGGCGGTACACGTTTAACCTGCATTCGCACGAGGGCCTTCAGGGGAGAACATGGTCAATCATCAGGAACACGTGTGTGCATCTACTTGTCCTGCTTTCCTAAGAACTCTTCAATATTTCCAACACGTCCGAATCCGAGTCATCTTATCTGACGCGAAATGCATTGAAGGAAGGGCATGGGATCATGGGAGATAAACAATACCAGTGGCTCGCGCTGTCAATCAAATCGATAACGATCTCAAACGAGCGACATGTCGTTGAGCAAACCTTGGCTCTTGCCTAGGTACCTACTTAGATTTTCAGTCTCATTATCAGTGACGTGTCGTGACGGAGATATCCAATGGCTCACTAGGGAGGCCGGCGGGCTTGATTTGCCTCATTCCAACCACCCAATCCAAACCTTGACCCCTTAGGCCCGCCCATGGGGAGCATGACGCCCTCGCGGGGTCGGAAGGGGGGGGGGTTAGTCTGAGGGGACTGGGACTGCGTCTCGGTGATTCAGAGCGAAACAATGGTATCTGAACTGTTAATGGTCAAGATAAGTAGTTAGGTCTCCATTTTATTGGCCCAAATTGGTAAGTAGTCGACCTTCTGACCCTCAGGGGAGGTGATTCACTTCTGGGTTGAACTTTGGGTCTTGACATGCTCCTTGTCGGCTGGACCAGATCATAGGTTGATAAAGAAATTAAGTGACTTTATACAATAACGGGTGGTGTAATGGTCAGATGCGATGCTGACCGTCACACCTACGACAGCCACCTCTGGGTCTGTTCTGAAGGCAGGCGATCCTTACACCGCCTCAATTAACTTTTTCTTCTTTTTTCTTTTTGGTTCCTCCTTTTACTTCTTCCGTAGCAACACTCTGGCCGAATAATTCCATGCCTGTATCCGCTCGGCCAGCACCTGCTCTTGTAATCTGACGCCAGGAAAGTATGGCTCATCACCCTAGGGGTTATACAGCACCATTCACGGGGGGTACGTATGCCCGAGCATGGGGTATCACGCATTGCCGGGCTGCAGACAGGGCCGCGTCACCAAAAAGTCAGAAGCTTCCTTCAGGGGACGGGAGGGAAGGAGGGATATGTTCGTTCTAACAAGCTGGAATTCCAAAATAAATTAAAAATCACAAAAGCCTCGCCATGCTAGTACACTATAAATAGAGAGAAACGTAAGTTGGGATAGCAGTACAAAGTTCCATCCTATACCTAGGGACCTGGGCGCCTCCGGTTCTGCCCGGTTCGTGGAAGCAGATTTCGCGCCCCGCGTATCCCAAAATCATGTCAAAATATCATGGTAATAACCCAACCCGATCGATCCCGGGCGACTCCTTTTTTCAATCGACGCCCTCCGCGTCCTCGCCGCCGAAGGCGTTATTCCTGCCACCCGATTGGGGGATGGGAGGAGTCGCCGCCAGAAGCAGCGGTGGCGACGCGGGCCCGCCGGCCGACGACGTCGACGAGCCCTTGCGCAGCAGGCCGCTCGCGCCGCCGCGGTCCCACCCGCCGTTGGTGACGAAGTTGAGGGCGCGGCGCTCCGCCTCGGCGCGTGACGGTGGCTGCGGGGGGGATGCCTCGCTTGACAGGGCATTGGGGGTGGTGGCGGCGGCGGCGGCGACGGTCGCCTCCTGCTCGTCGCCGCTCGTGCCGAAATCGTTGTCGTTGTCGAAGCCGCTGTCGATGAAATCGTCTTCGTAGACGGCGAACCCCGCCGGGCTCAGGCGGCTCAGCGACACGGACTGCTGGTTCTGCGGCGCGAAGGTGCCGTCGAGGTACGAGTCCACGTCCCTCCCCAGCACGCGGTCGGCCTTGCTCGGCGTCCGCCGCCCACCATTTCCCGGAAGAGTGGGCCCGCGGCTGGGGCTGGGACTGTGCCGGGGTGGCGCCGCTGATGGATGCAGGTAATGCCTGCCGGCGCCACTGGCGGGCGGTCCCTGAGGACGAGGCGGCGGTGGCGGCTGGTACCAGCCGGTCGGGGTCTGGACGGGGGTGTCGGTGTCGCTGCCAGCGCCCCAGCCGGCGGCGCGCTCGCGCTCGCGCTGCTCCTGGCGGTCGCGGGCAAGGCGGTCGCGGGCCTCTGACCAGCGCGGGCTGGCCTCCCACGACCAGCCGTCGCCGGTGGTGTTGCATATGGGGAGGGCCCACAGCCAGGGGACGGGGCCGAACAGGTGCAGCAGGTTGCGCTTGGCACCCAGGTCGAAGGCGTTGGGCAGCTTCGTCGAGTCTTCCTCGTCCAGGTACTCCTCGTAGCGCCTGCGGACCCGGTACCGCTCCATGTCGTCGTAGGTGAGGTGGCGGGACCCGTCGAGCTGAGGTCCGCCAGCCGGGTAGGAGGCCGTGGTGCGGTCGTCGAGGCGGTGCTGTGCGGCGGGGTTTCCGGGGGAGCTGGGGGGAGACGAGCGTAGCTCCTCGCCCTCTTCGGGGCGGGTGATGCCCGGCAGGGTATTTTGGTGGATGTCAAGAAGCTGCTGGCCGTACTTGGGCAGTGGAACGCCCTGTCCCGTGTGTTGCGCGATGTAGGTTTGTTGAAGGGACTTGCGGATGGGGGAGAGGTAGCGCGTCTTTTCGAGGCATTCGATTGTCGTCTGACCCCTGCTGGCGAGCCAGACGTGCCAGGAGGTGAAGGCACCAACCACGACGCTGATGATGCCTGAAATTACGCATAAGATGATATAGTTAACGGGCATCATATCCTCGATGAAGGTGGTACTGTTCATAATCTCGATCCAGACCCAGCTGAAAGAGATAGCGAAGCAGCACAGCGAGAATACGGTAGCATATATGAGAAAAAGCAAGAAAGCTTTATGGTTGTGCAGCCCGATACATGTGGCAAGCCATGGGCAATGGTGATCCATCTTCAGCACGCAGCGCTGGCACGTCGAGCAGTGATGCGCTCTATCGGGCTTCCGTGCCTGGCATTTCTTGCAGAATCGCATCTCGCCATTGGCCTTGACGGTAAAGGAGGTGGTCGCAGGTGGCGCCGTCGTTGGTAACGTACTGTAGCCATTATCATTCGTCGTGCTGCCGGGCGGTGTAAACACGGCAGTGGTGTAGGACCAGTTGAGGAGGAGATATAACACGACCGCTGCAGTAGCGCTGGAAACTCCTAAAGAACCGCTCGGATCAGTTCCCTGTTTCTGCGACAATGAGACCGCTGGCAGTAAAAGCTCACCCAAGTGATCCGCCTTTGACGGCACCGTACTTATGTTGACAGCGACAAATACAGCCCAGCTAGTCAGGCCGTAGACGAAGGCAAGGGGGAAATATGTAGCACAGGTGCAGAGGTGTCGCTCGATTCTTCTTGCCCAGCGTCGAGTCATGTTTGGCGCGGAGGGGAGTGGCGAGTGTGTATCCATCAGCCGGAAGGGACACCCATCGAGAATAGCCAGCCTCTACCGCCGATTTATTGTTTGGAATGTTAAAGATACGTTCAGAACTGGAGGAAAACGCAATACCAGGATGCAGTGAAGTTGGATTGATCGACATCAGGGGAATGAGGCGTAAGGTGTGGCAGTGCTCCTGGGACCAGGGGTTGGACTGCCTGACGTAATCGCAGATCAGGGGGCAGTGGCTCGAGCTTTGGCACAAGGATCTTGGCCGACTTCAGGTGTCTTCCTACTCGGATTCACCAAACTAAGCTGGTAGGCTCTTCTACCGGTTCTCAACAAGATGGCTAGGTACATAATGTCTTGCTCCTACGCCTGATCAATATATAGGTGTGACTCATCGGCGAGTTGCATTAAGTTTGAGGTTGAGTTTGAGCTTTCGCATACCATGACATCGGAGTTGAGAGTTTAATAAGATTCCGTATGATATCCAACTGGCGCGGGTATGACGCCAGATTGTGTATTTTTACTGAGTATTGGTTGGGCCCGTCCAACGCAAATAAAATGAATAAAATAAAATAACAAACTTCTATGGTTTCTCTAGAGCGGTGAGATTGGCGAAACGTCTCTGGTGATTAAAGAAATCTGCATAAATGGATCGCGCCCTTTCTTGACCTCTAGTTAGCTACAGGTTCACTAAGCTAATGGCCTATTCCATGCCTTGCACTTGCGACTTTCCGATGTAACAAACTATCATCACTCCAAGTTGTGCAAGCAAGTTCAGCGGCGAGGGGAGCAGCTCCTCTTACCAGTTTGGTTTGTGCTCTTGCCAGTATTGTTCTTCCTCTCAATGTCCTGGTTCGCCATCTGCTGAGTCGTCGCGGCCGCCTGCTCCTGGAGCTTAATTGATGGTTGAGTTGGATGGGGATGGGACCTGACTGGGGTGAAAAGGAATTATCAATATCGGGTAGGGCAGCGCTGAGTAAGAGATACATACCTCGAAGTACCCAGGCGAAGTATACCACGATATATCACGGGTAGAGGATAGAGGCTGAAGGCGAGTCACTTGCTTGGAAGTACGATCACTGGAGCTTGGAAATCCAAACTTCCTATACCCATTCCATAGATTCCCACCTTTAACGATCCCTTAGCTATATCTTCCCAATTGTTATCACGCGACTGTAACCTGGAGATAAAGTTTACTGCCAGATATACAGTAAGTCCTAAAAGGGAGAACGTAGGTTCATAGACCTCAACATCCTACATCGCTGATTACACCTGCCTACCTGAGTCTGGATGTGCTTCCATATAGAAGAGTTTATTCAGGTACTCCAAGCTTTCATAATGGGGCAAAAATACATACGTGGTGCTTTCGTAGTTGGTATATTTATGCCCAGACTCCCCCGAGGTGTCTTGGTTAGATCCCCGTCGGACCAGACCTAGGTGTGAAGACCCACTCCGGTCCGTCACTTACAGTGGGGGTCGCAGCAGGCCCACAAATCCGGGAGCCCACATTTCATTGACGCCGCGGAGGGGCCCACAGCGCATGAGATAACTGTCCTTATCTGTTTGTACTGCTTGCCAGTTGCTTCTTTTGCAAAGGTCTATCTATCTGTACCTCCTAGGAAACGAGGCCACCCTTGACGGCACATTCTACCGTAGTTGCACAAAGAGGCCACCGTAATCTTTGTGCTTCATCCCGAAATTAGCGGGGCTGGATTCCAGTTGGGGCATGTGGCAAGCTGGCAACTCCACCAACACCTTCCCAACTCATTCCTACCTTCCATGACGTACAAAATACCTTGAGACAACCTTATTCTCGTGATAATCTCTCTACCCATCTGTTCGACCATTTCTTAGCGACCAACCAATATCGGAAAAAGGTCCCAGCCATGGCAGCTCCGACCTTCAATTCCAAATCGCCAACCATCCGGCGCATAAGTAAGATAGCTACACAACCAACTTCCCTTCCTTCCCCAGAACTCCCCCCCAGATGGTAGCCCAGGTCATGCTAACCACTTAAACCTCCCATCGCAGTGCGCGAAGCCGCCGAGCTCTCATCCTCTCCCTCGCCCGACTACACGGCCACGCCTCTCGAGACGGACCTCTTCGAGTGGCACTTCACCCTCCGCGGGCCGCCCAACTCGCCCTACGCCGAGGGCATCTACCACGGTCGCATCACGCTCCCATCCTCATACCCGCTCCGGCCGCCCTCCTTCCGCTTCTCCACGCCGTCGGGCCGCTTCGAGGCCAACCGCGAGATCTGCCTGTCCATCAGCGGCCACCACGAGGAGACGTGGCAGCCGGCCTGGGGCCTGCGCACCGCCCTCGTCGCCCTGCGCTCCTTCATGGTCACCGACAGCCGCGGCCAGGTCGGCGGCCTCGACAGCCCCGAGCACGTCCGCCGCCGCCTCGCCGCCGAGAGCCGCGCCTGGGCCTGCCCCGCCTGCGGCTCCAGGTCCAACGAGGACATCATGGCCGAGTGCGCAGAGGCCGCGCGCAAGCACGAGGCGGAGGGTGGCGGGCGGCCCGCTGCTACTGACGAGCAGGTCCCTGTCGAGCTCAAGATGGGCTTTCGGGACGAGATGGAGAAGGAGGCTGCTGCGGCTGCGGCTGGTGCGGCTGGTGCAGGTGGTGCGGCGGCGCGCGTGGTCAGCGACCGGGTTCTCGACGCGGAGAGCGCCGAGCTGGCAGAGGGCTTCGTGCAGACGGCGCCGCTGCCCGTGCCCATTCCCCTGCCGCCGACGCCAGCGCCACAGGCAGCAGCGGGCCCAGCATCACCCTCAACGCGGCCGCTGGCGGCGGCGGCGGCGCAGCAGGGCGTGCCCCTGCCCACGAGGACCGTGCCGCTGGTGGGCCCACGCCGGCGGCGCAGGGCTCCCGGGGCGGTGCGGGCCCGCCGGAGGGGCGCGTCCAACGATGCCGTACCGGTGTGGGTCGATCGGCTGATCATGGTCGTCGGGGTCCTGTTGGCGGCCATGGTCGTGAAGGTCTTTTTGGGCGTATGAAGCTTTTTTTTCTATTTCTGTGTCTTTCGTTTGGCATGCTTGACGTGGGAGGGCGAATATCTGGGCCGGGTTTTCGGGGTTATGGGGCACAAAAAGGCGTTGTTAAGCAAGGGCCAAACCTCCCCTTGTCAGGTATTTGGTTTCTAGAATTGGAATGGGATGGATGGCTTATTGTGTCGACTTAGAGCGCCTCCATTTGTTTTCTGGTTAATGCGGATCTGATTATTTGCTTTGCATGTTTCCATCGGGTCAACTACCAGCTAGCTACCTTGGTCCTCATCCTGCCTCGGCCGAGGGTTCTGAGTAACCTCCTTGATGACCTCCCTTGTCCGTGCATTGTCTTCGAAACTCTGATTGATCAAGTCTACAACCTCCTCCGCCGAGAAGTAGAGACTCAGCTCGCTTTCCATCCACAGATACCGCACATCCCGCAAGTTCGATTGCAGGACCTCGGACAAGTACTGTAGTCTTAGCCAGGATGGTGCATGCTGCGCCGTAGAAGGGATCTCGCCGGCCCCTCCCGATCCTGGCCCCTGACCGCGGTTTTGGAGACGACTGGGCAAGAAGAGATCATCCAGCTCGGTCACCGTCACGATGAGCTTAGCAATATTGTAGGCTTCATCCTGGCCTATTGACGGGAGGTCCATGACATCGGCAATGATCTTAGTCGATACTGTATCGACTAGCGAGCCGACGGCTTGACACCACACCGACCGGGCCAAGATGCTTTCCCACATTACTGCCATAGACCGCACCCTCGCCACGGCGGAATCGACACAGCTCTCGGCCTCGTCTTGCTGCATGAGGTTCTGCTCGCCTGTGGCTATGCGTTAGGACTTGCCAGTACTCGGATACTGGTTGCTTGACATACCTCCTAGTAGGTCCCTGAGCACCATTTTCTGGGTGTTCATCTCGTTGCTATAGGCGCGGTTTGCAAAATTCTGTAGCGACTTGACATCGTTGTCGAGCCGCACCATCGCCTTCGCCTTGGCATTAATATCCTCGCGGCTCTTCCAATCTGACGCAAAGTCCGCTAGCCTTTCCGATAGGTAGGTGGCATCGTTATACAGATACCTGACAAGTTAGACAAATCGAACAAACAAAGAAATGGCAGTTCTGACTTACATGTTGCCGCCCATATCCAGCGCATAGTAATACGGAGAGACCGCTCTGAACATTGCTAGAGCCAAGGTTGGGAGGCTGAAAAGCCCGGTGGCAGCTGCCGCAACGGGGTTATGTTCGTAATTAGACTGGGTGAGAGCTGCGCCGTCATCAATGATAGCAAATATCAAGGACAGGACTGGTTCAGGCATAGAGGAGATATTGTACGACTCCTTCAGGACCAGCTCTCTGGTTCGGGGCTCCTGGTGGGGAGATTTCGGTGCCGGTGGAGGTGGGTGTGGTTCTGGCGCCTCCCTTTGGTCGTCATCTCCCCAGCCCCAGGCCTCTGATGGGTCCTCTTCCTCGTTTTTCTCTGATTTAGTCTCCTCGGGTTTTCCGTCAGGGCCGGCGTCATCGTCATTCCAGCCCCACGCATCTGTGCCGTCATCCTCGGCAGCTGGCTCTTCGGCTGCGGGAGGGGCATCTAATGTGGAGGCTCCAGCCGTGTTCTCCTCGTCGTCAGACCACGCGGCATCCCAACCATGATCATCAACATCTGCGTTGGCGCCGGTTGCGGTGAGTTGTTTTCCTTCTACCGAAGAGACCATCTGCCTCTCAACCTTCTCAACTTGCTTCGGCTCTCCAAGACCTAGATAGGTGTGTGAGCATCAGCAGGGGAAAAAACAACCTGGATCTAAAAACGCACCTTCGGCTAGCTTGGAGCGAACAGAATCTAGGGCGGCCTCTCTGCATTTACTGAGCCATACTCTTGGAGCCGAATCCACCCATTCTTGTAGCTCGCCAAAGCCCGAGAGACCCAGGGACTTCAACGAGGCGCAGAACTCCTTAGTCACCGTGATGACCTCCTGAAACTCGTCCATATCCTTAAGTGAATACGGGACCGCAGAATCGAGCCAGACAGTCGTAATTTTTGACACGACTGCCGGCATCATGACGGAAGATATGGACTCGACCATATCTGGCGGCAACCTTTGGAGAAGATACTGAAAGATCTGTTCCACATCCCTAAAAAGCGATCGAATGGTCTTGTCTGCTGTACCGTTCGTCTCGAGCACGTCCTAAATCTCAAAATTAGGGCATGGTAGCATTACGAATCCTGACGACTTACACCTTGTACCCGAATGGCAGGTGGGGGTCCGTTTGTAATGTCCATCCGTGGGCCAATAATAGCCTGATCGACATCATGCCAAAGCTGGCTCATTCTTTGGTCGACTTCTTTGTATGCCTTGAGGCCAATGACAGCATCGGAGAGGCTCATAGGCTCATCTGCGATAGTTAGAAACAAGCCCGTATGCAACTTGAGCCTTGGTGTTCACCTTCTCGAGAGCCGGATACGGAGATGCGACCCTTTTCGCGGTCGACGTGGATGAGTGTATTCCACACATGGTCGAATACTTGGTGCACATCTGACTTGAGCTCAAATGCGCGTATGTCCAAGAGTTTTATGACCCTGCAGGACTTGGTCACAGGGATGGCATCCAGCTGGGCCCATGATTCTAAGGATGGTTAGCAGTCGAGTCCATAGTTCGGATCCATATTTCGGAGCATACTTTCTAGCAAGTGTAGCGCATCTAGTATGCGCCGCTCGCTGCACGCTTGCTCAACCTGATCTAGTGTCTGATTTACCCCTTTAATGTCCCTCAGAGCGTCCTGCACCTGCTGATTGTAATTCAGTTCCCGGATAAGGAAGTCGGCCTTCCGTTCGATGTCGTCAGTCGCCTTCCCCGGTACATCTGGGGCATCCGCCTGTTTCAAGATCTCGCTGGCCAGCGCTTTCGATCGGATGATGTCGTCTTGAACAGACTTCGCGCCGGTTCGCCATGAGCTCACGTCGCTCGCAGTTTCCTCGTTTATCCCGTGTACTTCGGCCTAAGAAAGCTGTTAGCCGGAGGGTTCACATCTGGTACAGTCAGGAACCGGAGGCAAACCTCAAGCTTGGCTTTGGTCTCGGCAAGAGCCTGGATGGCCGATGGGAGCTCCTCAGGACGGATTTGCAAAGAGGACACGTCCTCATTTGGGAAGGATCCATGGAGAGAAAAGGCGACAAGTGCTTGTGCAACCTGTCCGGCAGGCTGGTCTTGAACGGAGGCGGCCATCGTGGCAGGGGGAAGCCAGTATGTCGTGTTTGCGACAGCTAGAGGAATGATACTGGAGCTAAGAGGACACTTGTCTGGGCGATGCCATTACGCGCGACAGTCTAGAATAAGCAATGAGTCTTTCCGCGTCTTGGGCGAAGGCAACTGTGGAAAGTTGCTGGCAGTAATGCTCTCTATATTGCTTCATCGCATCGTGGCACAAGTGACAAGCTGTCCAAGCTTTGGGACAGTATAGCTCAAGTGGATACCGCACGGTCCAACCCCCTGTAAGGCCCACAAGAAAGGTTATGCGCTTCGCGCTTGGAATGCGCATCTAAGCCCAATCAGAAAACGACTTGGCTACCCAACAACTGCAGCTCACTAACATGCCTCCGCCATGTCATTAGTAGGAGCCATGAGATGGACGACATCTCGGTTATTCGGATCGATGCCGGCGGAGACGATGGTGCCGAAATAATCTTTGAATTCAACAGCAAACGCATTGCGGTGTCCATTTCGCAAGTCACCCTTCCAATGACTGCCAACAACCTATCGAGAACCACCTGATCAAGCTCCTTGGCTAGGCTACGTCTATTGACTTTGACAAACAATACGAAGATATTGTCGACATGGTTTTAGATGTCATCCTTCCCGCTGGAAAATCGCTGTTTGCCCAAGTAGCGCAGACTCCAGCACCGTCCAGCAAAATCCTCCACTCGCTTCTTAACCCCACAACACACGATTTCCTTCTCAAGTCTGTTGAAGGCAAGCCCACCATTATCCAAATCAGTCCTGATGAGGCCTACATTGATCCTGAGCCCCAAATCGACCATGGAGCGGATGTTGACTTCGACTTGCAGACACACGACGACCTTCCACAGTACTCATCTGGGGAGATCCAAGTTATGGAGATCTTTGTGGGAAACGGGTCTGTCAGTCGAGTTCTGATCAATGGCAAAGAAATGCTTTGCAAGGCGCAGGATACTGGATCGCTTGCCCCGGATCTGAGGCGGGAGCTGGCTAGGCTGCAAAAGATAAAGCAGCCTTATGTCTCTACTCCGATCCAGAGCCCACAGCTGCTCAGTTATGTCAAGCATGCTGACAATGGTCATATTATTGGGTTATTGCGCGAGTAGATCCCCGGTGCTCGTCTCAAAGACAACCCTTATTTCGACTGTACCCAGGACAAGGAGGGAGAAGTGGATGGCTCAGATCCGAAAGACGGTCAGTCAGCTACATGAGATTGGAGTGGTCTGGGGAGATGGGAAGACGAGCAATGTTATCATTGACAATGACGATGATGCCTGGCCAATCGATTTCGGAGGTGGCTGGACGGATGGGTGGGTAGACAAGGAGTTGGCCGAGACTGTAGAAGGGGACGAACAGGCTGTCAGAGCTATCATGAAGTTCTTAGGCTTGGGTGAAGACCTTATTGTCTGAGGGATACAAGACGATATCATGATGTCCCTGAATGGCCACATACAAGGCCAAACTACCAAACTACACCTAGTAGCTGAAAGGTAGTTTGGTCATAGATACTGACCACATCATATACCTATCGTTTTCCCACCCTTCTTATGTTGTGGCCTGTGAAGGCCGTCTTCCGTGCCTTTCCATAGCAGGAAGTTTCGCTCTCCAACGATATGTGAAGTCAACAGGCGGCGGACCATTGACACCGCACTTATACATATCCAGATTGTTCGACAGATCACGTGGGACGAAGTGGGGAAAACAGAAGGCGATCTCCAACAACTGGCAGGCACACATTGTAGCCGGGAATTTGGAGCCCCACATCAGTACACAGATACCTCCACGACTCGGTTTTGCTGGTTCACCGTTGAGACACCCGACAAGATTCCAGAGAACCTCCGGACTCCCCGACATTACCGGGCATATATTTTTAGAGGCTTCCAACCAGCCTTCAGCTCGAACACGCCTTCCCTATGAGGTCGGAGGCCAGCGCTGTCCTTGCCGAGACATCAGTTTTCCCGTCTGCCGTGGTTTAACGGAAAGGATAAACGAAGAAACAAGGGAGTCTTCCCTTGTTATTTGGCCTTCCAGTATCTCGACGGCTCTTTCGTCAGCTGCATCTGTCTGGTTGCAGACAGCGGCCTTGAACCTGCGAAGTCGGTATGTAAGCCACATCACTGGCAATCCGAACAAGAACCCCTCACTTCGCGCCAATCCAACTGCCGTTTCCCCAAATGTCGTTAGTTGTGCAGCCCTTTCCACACTCCTTGCCTATATCCTGGAACTCCAAGAGGACTACCACAGACACACGGGCAACAACCGACTCTGCAAAGAGATCGCCGAGCTTGAGCCCTAGCATAAGTTGTCTATTGCTGTTGCCAATGTCTCTCGCCCATCCCGGGCCCCCAAGACCAGCATGTTCAAGCGGACAGAGATATCGCAGGTCCTCCTCTATGGTGCAGTAGCAGCTCTGTTGGCTATTGTCTTGTCTCGTCTCGACATGGATAGCGGGTAGGCATTTGCTCATCATGAAGCAAAAACACGGCGCTTGGCTTGCAGGCGACGACCTAACTCTGCTTCTATTTGCCGCCTCTTATTATCAAATTCTTATCTTGTGTGTTTATGTTTATGTGTCCTTTTTTAAACGGGATTGCCTTGAGTACAAGTCAACAATGGCCAACACCATCAAGCTTGACCAACGGGGGCGAGACTTGGACTGAGATGGCGTATTTAACACCTTTTTAACATTATGCCCTCACCGCTCTCGCTTTCGTCTATATTTATTCTCTCTCTTATCTCCGCCGCTAATCGTGTGTTTAGCATTCTTCAAGTGTCTCTGCGTAGACACTTTGGGTTCAATATGCCGGCAGCAAAACAGCAACCACGGTTTCGCAAAGTTCAGAGTTTCCAGACGGACTATGCGCCAACCGTTATCACCCACTATGAGTCTGAACGCAGTGGAATGCAGGTCATCGTAGCCGACCGCAAGGGACCCAAGATAAATGGCTACTTCACCCTGGCTACGGAGATCCTTGATGACTCCGGCGCCCCCCATACTCTCGAACACTTGGTCTTCATGGGCTCCAAGAACTACCGGTACAAAGGCCTTCTCGACAAGCTAGCCTCGCGAGCGTATTCCGGGACCAATGCATGGACTGCCGTTGACCATACAGCCTATACCCTCGAGACAGCTGGTTGGGATGGCTTTGCCCAGATTCTTCCGGTCTACCTTGAGCATGTCATCTTGCCGACTCTCACCGACGAAGGTTGCGTCACCGAAGTCCATCACATAGACGGAGAGGGAAACGATGCCGGTGTGGTTTACTCGGAGATGCAGGCTCTTCAATATGGCAGCACCGAGCTGATGGATCTGAGGGCCCGGCGTCTCCTGTATCCAGAGAACGTGGGATTTCGATATGAGACCGGAGGCATGATGGAAGCCCTCAGGGTCCTGACCCCAGAGAGGATACGAGAGTTCCACAAGGCCATGTACCAGCCTCGAAACCTCGCCGTCGTCATCGTCGGCGAGACGGATCATCAAAATCTACTCGAGATCTTGGACGAGTTCGAAGAGAGCATTAAGGATGATATCCCTGCGGCAGAGGCCCCTTTCAAGCGACCGTTTGTCGACTCACCTCAGCCCCCACCACTGAAGGAGACCGTTGTCGAGACGGTCGAGTTTCCAGAGGAGGACGAGTCGATGGGCGAAATCACCGTTGCATTCTTTGGCCCGAGCTGCATAGACCAGGTCCAGACCACCGCTCTCAACATCCTTATGACATACCTCTGCGGCTCCTCGGTCTCTGTCGTCGAGAATGTCATTGTGGAGAAGGAAGAACTTGCTAGCTCCGTGGCTTGGTGGTATGACAGTCGCCCGAACTCGGTTATCTGGTTCCAGCCCACCGGTGTCGCAACCGAGAAGCTCGCCTTCGTCGAGCAACGCCTGATTTCCTTGCTCAAGGAAGTGGCATCGGAGCCACTTGACATGCAATATATGAAGGACTGCATAAGCAGAGAGCGGCGCCAGGTCAAGTTCCAAGCCGAAGGCTCCGAACAGTTCTATTCTGGCAATATTATTGCGGACTATCTCTTTGGCAAGCGTGACGGCTCGACTCTTGCGGACCTCCAGTCATTGAAGGAATACGACACCCTTGAAGGATGGACCGACGAGCAATGGCGCGAATTCCTCAGAAGATGGATTTCAGATGCCCACCATGTCTCGATCCTTGGAAAGCCATCCATGAAACTCGCAACGACGCTGAAGGAAGCGGAAAAGGCACGGTTGGCAAAGAGGAACGAGGAGCTGGGTGCCGAGGGACTTGAAAAGCTGAGCAAGAGGCTAGAGGAGGCAAAGTCGATCAACGATCAGCCAATACCACCCGAGGTACTTGACAGGTGGGAGGTACCCAGCACGAAATCAATACACTTTATTGAGTCTACAACCGCCCGATCTGGAAAAGCGAGGACACTAGGTGTTCCATCAAACCCGGTGCAGAAGGTCGTCGACGGCTCGCCACAGGGATTACCCCTTTTCCTCCAATTCGAGGATGTGCCGACCAATTTCGTGCACATCACCGTCCACATTGGCACATCCGAGACGCCCGTGAAGTACAAGCCCCTTCTGGCCTTGTTTGCGGACAACTTCTTCAATACCCCCGTGATGCGCCACGGACAGCGCATGGGGTTCGAGGAAGTGGTCATGGAACTCGAGAAGGAAACGGTCAGCTACCATCTTGGCGGAGCGGGGCGCGTTGGCGATTCCGAGGGCATGGCCATTCAATTCCAGGTGGAGCCTGAGAAATACACCACAATCATCGACTGGCTACGGACCTTGATGTTCGATAGCATCTTCGACCCCGTCCGACTGAAGGCCAGCGTTGCCAAAGCCCTCGCTGACATCCCGGAAGCCAAGCGTGACGGCCGCGCCATGGCGCTCGAAGTCAACATGGCACTTCACCAGGTCCTCGAGAGTCTCCCGGTTGCGAAGCGCACTCTCGTAAAGGCTGTATATCTCCGTCGCCTCAGGAAGCTGCTCGAGAAGGAGCCGGAGACGGTCGTCGCCTGGTTCGAAGAACTCCGCCGCTCCCTATTCACCTTCCAGAACATACGCGTCCTCGTGACCGCCAACGTCCCCAAGCTGCCCAACCCGGCCGCGGCGTGGGACGTGCTGACGTCGGCCCCGGGGCTCGACACCAGCAAGGAGAACCTGCCGATCGTCGCGCCGTACACCATGCTCAACCCCGAGGGCAAGAGCCCCGGCGGCTACGGCAGCGTCATCATCCCCATGACGACGCTCGACAGCTCCTACAGCGTCAGCACGGCGGCGGGGCTGACGTCATACACGGACCCGCGCCTGCCGGCCTACCTCGTGGCGCTGGGCTACCTCGAGGCGGTGGAGGGCCCGCTCTGGAACGCGGTGCGGGGCAACGGGCTGGCGTACGGCGTCGGCTTCTCGCGCGAGCTCGACGCGGGCTGCGTGCAGTACCGCGTGTACCGGTCGCCCGACGCCAGCAAGGCCATCGACGCGAGCCGCGCGGCCGTGGCGCGCATCGCGTCGGGCGAGGACCCCGTCGACCGGCACCTGCGCGAGGGCGCCGTCAGCGGCATCGTCATGTCCTTCGCCGACGAGCAGGCCACCATGTCGGCCGCGGCCCAGCAGAACTTCGTCCTCGGCGTCGTCAGGGGCCTGGACCCGGCGGGCTGGACCGAGGGGATCTTGGCCCGGGTTAGGGAGGTCTCCGACGACGACATCAGGGCCGTCATGGCCGAGCTGGTGCTGCCCGTCTTCGAACCGGGGAAGAGCAACGTCGTCGTCACGTGTGCGCCCATCATGCGGGAGGTGAGTTTGCGAGCGAAATCAGACCTGTTTTCCCATGTTTCTCTTCTTCTTTTCCCCTTTCGCCTCCCCCCCTTTTTTTATGTCTCTTTTTTCTCCCCAGACCTCCTCCTCCTCTGCCCTCTCGAACATTCTCCCCATATGTTTTCAAATCTGTCACACCAAGGCACGCGGCGAGGCAGACTTGTACTAACCTCGGGACTTCCCAACTACCGCAGAACATGGAGAAGGCGCTCACGGCCATGGGCTACAAGACCCAGGTCCAGCCCCTGAGCCACTTCCACGAGGCCTACGGCCTCTCCGACGGCCAGGATGGCGAGGAGGATGAGGACGACGACGACGACGATGATGACGACGATGAAGATGGTGACGACGACAGCATGAGCGAGGAGGAGGACGCGTTGATGGAGGGTGCCGAGGGTGGATCCGATTCTGACGATAATATGGAGGGCTGAGTCGAGAATCGGCTTGGTTCTCGGTGGTTGGCTTGTCCCATTGTCGTCGGATCTGCTTCTACAGTATGTAGCCCGTATTAGCAAGTCAAGTAAAGACGGAATACATTAGAGCAGAGCAGCGAAGAACAGTTGGAAAGTCTACTTCATTTCACGTCATTTAGAGGTTGGTTTTGTGGGCCATTATATCGTATTCATCTCCATGACCAGGATCATGAGCTATCTCTATCTATAATGAGAGCGGTCATGACCCAGAGCCATGAAGCGAGACAACAAGAACGACAAGACTCTTTATGCTTCGGCTGCACCCCGATGGCGGCTGCGCAGAGCAACGCCGTCGTATTGCAACCAACAATCCTCTATTTTATAGTGGTTTTTCTTTGGCGACGTCTTCGACAGACAAGTGGAACAGAACATCAAAAAAAGGCCCTTTATCAATCCGTGATCATTCTTGCAGCTTCCCGCATATCCAACTGGAAACATGGGCATCGACTCATCTGCCTCGGGCACAGCACATGCCACTGGGAATGTACCGCGACGTCGGCTTCACAACCAGCCAAGGAGGGCCTTGGCACCCAGCTCGCTGCAGACGTAGATGACATCGTGATCGTCGGAGAAGCCGTTGAACTTGGTGGCAGAGCACTTGGTGTAGGCACCCATGTCCTCAAAGTAGAGCCAGTCACCGACGTCGAGGACCGCGTCGAAGCGGATGCTCTCGGTGATGCGGTCGATGCCATCGCAAGTCGGGCCCCAGATGCTGTACTCGATGCCGTCGGGGACGGCCCCGGCGGCCGCAGTGCCGTAGATTGTGCGTCCGTCGGCGCGGAGGACCTTGGCGACGGGGTGCTGGTGGTCGAACATGATGCTGCTGAAGTTGCCGTACAACCCGTCGTTGATGTAGATCATGTAGCTGCTTTCGCGGCTGGTGCTGACGGCGCCGTTGACCGCCGCGGGGTCCTCAAGGGTGCGGCGGGCGATGACGTTGCACGCGATCGTGAACGCGGACGAGACATAGTAGCGACCGGGCTCGGCAATGATGTTGATGCCCGTGTGGGCAGGGAAGTACTCGTCGAGGGCGCTGCGCAGCACCCCGGCCATGTCCTCAAAGCTGGCATCGCTGCAGAAGCCGCCGCCGACATCAAGAGTCTTCATGTCGAAGCCGCATGCCGCCCCCTGCTGGAAGACGTGGTGGGCGTCCCGGACAGCCTTCAGGAAGGCCAACGGATCAGACGCGCCGGATCCGACGTGGAAGCTGACGCCCACAACATTCAATCCTAGGCGGCTCGCAAGATCGAGCAGATTGTTGGTGCTGTCAAGGGAGGCACCAAACTTCTGGCTTAGACGGCAAAGCGATGACGAATCATCGGTCAGGATGCGCAGGTACAGTTCGGCTTCCGGGAATAGGCGCGCAATCTTGCGCAGCTCATCGGCGTTGTCGAATGTCATCTGGCGCACGCCGTGGCTGGCAACGTAGCGAACATACGAGTTGGTCTTGCATGGCTGTGCGTAGATAATCCGAGCAGGATCGACGCCCATGCCCAGAACCTGCTCGATCTCGGCCTTGGAGGCGCAATCGAAGCCGGTCCCCAGCGAGGACAGAAGCTGCAAGACCTTCGGATCCGGGTTGCACTTGACAGCTATTCACGAATTTGTTAGTCGACTGGTCAAGTGAGGCGAAAGGAGGGTGGTTGGTTGTCTTACCATAAAAGGGCTTGACGCGAGGAAGATTCAGCTTCCAACGTAGGTGCTGACGATAGACCTCGCCGAGGTCGGCCACGAAGAAGGTGTCCTCATCTCCTGGTGCACAGAACTCATGGTCAACACTCTCCACACGCTCGCGGAGAGCGTCGCCAATTAGTTCCTCCTTGGACGGTAACCCGATATTCCCGCCATGATTGTTTTGTTGCTCGATAAATCTATCGAGAGTCTCCTTATAAAGAAGATGGTTATTGGTAAATTCTAGTGGAGCAAAGCTGTCGATGAGAGCTGTTGCCATAACCATATCCCCGGGGGTTGGCGGTGAGAGAACGGGCGAAGCGGGAGGACTGATGGGCCAGGAAATCTCGAGAGCGAGGTAGGTAGGATTAATAATCCTTTGGTAGGGGCTGAAGTTGGGTGTTCAGGCGGGTGTTAAGGTGGTCGAAATCGGAAACAAAGTGATCCCGAAGTGATCTGACGAGGCCTCCTCGACTCTCCCTCTGTTAGAGGAAGAACCTCAGAACTCGTCCTATGCGGCAGCTGGTTGTTGGGGGGGAACAAAGGGCTTTGGTTGTAGGACGAGTCAAACAAAACGGACTCGGGCGTCTTAGACAACCTCAACAGCAGGTGGTGGTAGGTAGTTGATGATATGGAAGGTTCTCCGGAGGCGGAAATCTTGATCAGAGACAAATGTCACGGCCGAGAAAGCCGTAGTAGAATAGTTGCCTTTGAGGGGACCAAAGGCAGTCGGGACCAGATGGTCTTGCGAGTATTGTAGATGACGCTGAGCAGACTTCCAGAATGGGAGAGCTCGTCTGAATGCTCAATTCCTTAGAATCGATGGATGGCGGTAAAGAGTTGAAGGATGAAGGAGAAAGCAGGACGGGAAAAATGGTGTTTGTGGTTAATATGAGAGCTAACCTCGTTGATGGTGGGGCATGGCGGGGAGGGTTCTTCAAAACCCGTAGCGGCACCACACACAAACTGTTTAAGTGGGTCAAGGTTAGAAAAAAATTTGAGGTCGAGACCCATACAAATTAGTTAGGTCGGTACCTGATCCAGCCACAGATCTTCGACTCTGACAGGGGCAAACTTTGATGCTCCACTAACACCACGAACACCCCGATACACGAGTCACCACATTTACGGACCAAACACCGTCATCTTGACGGAAATATCCAGGAGCAGTAGCCCTCATCTGGAGGAGTGAAAACCGCGCATAGCGAAAGTTAAGTCCAATATTAGCCTATTTTCCGTGCTCAGGATACGAGGCGCTGCCATACTACATGAAATTACTCCGCATACTCACTCTGCTGGTGTTTTCTCTTCTAAATCAGTGACTGTCGCCACTCAATCCTAGAAACCCCCGTCTTCACTATCTCGGATTCGTCCTTGGCAGGCTGGCAACCAGGGGAAATAAGGTTATACCTCACAATCTCGCTTCATCGTTCGGCCGTCGACCTTGCACTGCCACATGCGCATATACCTGCAGTGGCAACCAGTGTTCGCCCCCTTTTCCTCAACGGTTTCCATTCCAGTTCACAGCAGCCAGTTACACTACCTACACACTTGGCGATCAAGTCCGCACGGGTTTTACTTGAGCCGCATTGGCTAATGACGTATGCGGCGTAAAAATCAGGGGAATGAGGACATTTTCTACCGAGGCAAATCAACAGGATATCAAATCAGCATGTCCTCTGTTCTTTAGGCCGTGGATCCAAATCTATGGAAGACGGTTCTGAGAGAACGAGCCGTGGGTTGCCACGAAAGCGGCCCCCTCTTCGGGATCTTCTTCTCGCGTTTTGCAGTGGTCTCGGTGCCATTGGGATGTAGGCAAGGAGACGTATCATATCTGAACGCTTTTTCAGCCCAGCCATATCAATGACTGGCGCCAAGACTCAAGGAATGAGTCTAGTGTAGGTAGGTAGTTAAATCAAGAGGCAATGCAGGACGAGCAGCCTCTCGGTTTGGAGAAGGGTATCATCGGTATTTGTTCGTACACAATAGAAATACACAGGGAGTGGAGGAATGTCGCAAGCGATTACTCCACGCCATTGATGTCCATCTCGTTGACTTTCCAGTCATCATTTACCCAGGCTCGTTTCTCCCCGAGGAAGACCAGTCGTTCGGATTCCTTGGCAAGGGCGTCGACGACGTACTTCTGCGCAACCTCCCGGACCTGGTCTTTAGTAACGTCGAGAAGCTGTTCTCTCCGCTTCTGCTTCATCTCCTCGGTCACGCCGTACAGGAATCGGCCCATACCCTCCTCGTTGACAGATCTGGGAGCGTCGACACCTTGGAAGACCGAGATCTTTGCCTCCTCGAGGTCCCGATCTGTCCATTTCTTATCAACTGCCCAGCGACCGGCGTTCCGCATGATGTTCATCGTGTTTAGAGGATTCGGGTCGCGGTACGAGTAAAACCCGAAAATGCCGTCGAGGGGACGAGAATACGCCCCTCCGCCGTAGGCGCCGCCCTTCTCTCTGATCTCGTGATGAAGGTGCTTGTGAGTCAGGAGCTGAGAGAGGATCTGCAGCGGCGCGCCATCGGCCGAGGTATACGGTGCCGTAGGCACTGCAAGAGCGCCATAATACACCTGGTATGGCAAAGGGTAAAAGGACTTGACGTTCCTCGCGAACTCGGGAGCTTGCCGCTTCGGGAAGCTGACAGGGGTCGTGGGGACTGATCCCAAGAACTTGGACAGAGACGAGGAATTATCCTGGACGCTCCCGCTGTCGCAAGTTATAGCTGTCCGGACGTTGCCAGCCAAGGCAAGCTGCTGGATCAGCTTAAGCTTCGAGATGACATCGTCAAGTTGATCCGACTCTGGACGACTTGCTAGGGAAGTCACCAGCTTCACCTGGGTCAAGCCACTGACTTGTTCCTTGAGCCAAGCGTCCCAGGTCAAGCCAGCCTCAGCAGACCGCCTTGCGAAGGCATGTCCTGAAGACGCAATGTCGTTCACAACACCGTCGGCCGATGCTTGCAAAAGCTGCCGTATTTGCTGCACCGCCTCGGGGCTCTCAAAATTGGTCTCGACGATCAACTTGCGCAGGAGGTCAAACATAACTGGTACGTTGCGATCCAAAGCCATACCCGTGAATATGAGGCCCTCGGTTGCTCTCGTAAAGTCGGTCGGGAGAGAGGCAGAGTGGTAGCCAACAGACACCCCTCCCGTCTTGAGCTTGATGAGGTCTTCGAGCTGCTCCATGGTCATATCCTTTGTTCCCAAGCGCATGACCGCGTCTGTGAAGAGGGGAATGAGGACTCGGAGTTCGTCTGGCAGGTTGTCAAGGGTGTTTATGGCGCGGAAATAGGTGAGTCCGTTTGTCGGCGCCTCCCGCCATTGAGTATTGACGGTTCCAGAGAGCTCGTCCCGAACAACAACGGGCTCCTTCTGTCGTGGAATATCCTGTACGTGAACACTGGGCAAGCAGCCAAGGTCTTCAGTATTAGACTTTGCCTGCTCTGCCAGCAACAGCAGCTCCCGCTCCTCAAAGTTCTTTTTGGCTTCAGCTTCGCCGCCAGCCTTCGCTGTTGCTTCGGATAATTTGGATGATAAGCGAGTCTCCTCCTCTTTAGCCAACTCCTGGCTGTAAGTTTCCGAAGGAGCCATGGTGAAAGTAAGGGTGTTGTCGTTCAGTAGATATTTCTCCAGCAACCCTTCCAGGTAATCGCCCTTTGCAAGCTCGGCCTCGAAGGCGGCTATGGTATCATTCCACGCCAACGAGTCGAAGGGGTCGACACCAGTAAACCATTTCGGCTTCAGCCTCTGAAGAAGGGACGTACCGAAATTGGCAGTCTTGTGCTTGAGGCCAAGTTCTAATTGGTGCAGATAGCCGTCGATCTTTGACCTTTCAAAGCCCTTGGCCCGGACGTTGCGAAGGATGTTTTGGACCTCGGCCTTCAGCTTGGGCACGTCTGCTTCCTGGACTCCTGTCAGACCAACAGAGAATATCCCGATTCTCGCCGAACTATCATATCCAGTGTTGGGGCTCCAGTCAGTGCCGAGGCCGGTATCGATCAGACCCTTATAAAGTGGCGACCCATAGCCGTCCATCAACAGAGCGGATATCAATGCGAGGGAGAATGACTCAACAACATCAGTCGTGTCTCCCAGAACCCAAGACAGCGACGTCTTGAACTGTTTGGCCGGGTCGACCAACGGGTCAACGGGACCGAACAAAGTGACTTCTCGCGGGCCATCACTCAGATCCACTGGCCGCCGGATTTCCAGGTCGCCCTTGATCTTGCCAAACGCGCCGAGCTGCGCGTCAATCTCCACCAAATGGTCAGCCAGCGGCATGTCGCCGTAGGTGAAGACCTTGGCATTACTCGGATGGTAATGTTCAGCATGGAAATTTCTCAGCTGTTCGTAAGTCAAGTCGGTGATTTTCTGCGGGTCTCCGCCGGAGTTGTTGATATCCGGGAAGATGTGGTCCTGGAACCTGATATAGAAGAGGTAGCCTGCGTCCGACATTTGCCCCTTCATCTCGTTGTAAACAACCCCCTTGAACACGAGTTTTTCATCCTCGGGCTTTGCTTTGCCCTCGTTGCCGATGAGAGCCTGTGGGTTTTCGGGCCCTATCCTCCAGCCTTCCTGAGTGAAATCCGACTCTTTCAGAAGCGGTCGGAGGGTCGCATCGAGATATACAGACAGCAGATTCTTGAAATCTTGGGCGTTTGTGGTGGCAAAGGGGTAGAATGTGTGGTCTGACGCAGTGAAGGCGTTCATGAAGTTCGAAAGCGTTCGGGGGAGCATCTTAAAGAAGGGATCCCGAATCGGATATCTGTCAATGCATGTTAGATGGGAGTATACCGAGGGGACTCTGGGTCGAGGAAACTATACTTTTCACTCCCGCAGAGGGTGGTGTGCTCCAGAATATGGGGTACGCCCGTGTCGTCCGGGGGGTTGGTCTTGAAACCAATAGAGAAGACATTGTTGCTGTCGTCTCGGGAGATGTGAAGATGTTCGGCCCCGGTCTTGTCGTGTCGTAGGTGCAGGGCCGTCAACTCGAGCTCCGGAACGTGCTTCGTCCGCAGTAACGTAAAGCCATGGAGCTTCTCACCCGGCTTTGGAAGCTGCGAGAGCTCTGTGACAGCTCTCCTAGCAGCATTCTTGACGGTGTTCCCCAACATGGCGGGAGAGAAAATAGAAGGTGCGATAGTAAAGACAGTCAACCAACGAAGAAGGAAAGTTTGGTGAGCTCCACGTCTAAAATAAGAAGCCGTATGTATGGAGGAGGGTTGGCCAGAAGCTTGCAGCTTCCAACGTTAGATGTTGGCTCTGGGCCTGGACATGCGCTGTGGCAGGCTACGGGACCTATTGTGTGGTCGTATATGCCGTTGTTCGTGCTTGCCACGATTAGGATGAAGAGAGTCCCCGAACAAAAATGTAAGGGTGCACGGACCAAATTAAAATGGTGACTGCAAGCACTTTGCTAAGCAAGCACGTGGCAAGGCTGCTTCGCGGGCAGGGGCAGTTGGCTATTCGGGCAGGGGGTCTGTGCTGCCAAAATTCCTTGGGCAGTTGCGTCTGCGATAGCAATGTCGATGGCGACAACAAAGGTACCTCTATAGAGACGACAACAGCAAGAGTGTTTTAGCAATGGCGACAGAGACGGCTAGCCAAATACCCTTGCCTCAATAATTAAATGCCCCTACCCGAATACTTAAATGCCCCTGCCCGAATAACTAAATTCCCCTGCCCACGGAGACAACCTCAACCTTAAACTCTCAATTTCGATGTCATGGACTCAAGCTCAAACTCAAGCTCAAACTTAAGGAAGTCTCTAGTCGGGACACGACACGCACATCCAACACCACGTCAATCAATCCTAGCCCTTAGATATTTCTCCTCAGCCTGACTCATCTACTCTTCTTCTCTGTCCCGACTGATGGAGCCAACGATCGGTCACATAACCACGATGCCTATACAGACAGACCGCGACATGCGAGACTGTCGCGTACGCCGCCTGCTTCTTCTAAAGCCCGGTAACCCCGACTGTGAAGCAGATATCGACGCTTTAATTGCGTATTACGAAACGGCGGGGCTTTGCCTGACAACGATGAGGTCCTCTATGCCATCGACGGCAAGGTCGGATGCGGGTTGTTTGACGATGTCGGGCGTATGACGAGCGTAAAGCGCCAACAACCACTTATCGACGTACGTGTCTTGACATCTGCCCAAACTAAAACTGCTAAGTGCAAACAGTTGTTCTTGCACCAACTTGCCTTCAGTCCCACTTGAAATGTTATACCAGATCACGCGGATGTCTCTCCACTTGGGGGGTGACGGCTATCCGCTATAGCATCGTCCAAGCAGGTCCAATACACAGATGATATGGCGACACGACTTCGATCATCTTGGTGTGTCGAACTTTGACACATCAATTGACCATGGCCTTTGCAGGTGGGAGTTGGACGGTGGGGTTTGGGTTTATCAATATTGTATCACCGGTTTCGGCGCTGCCGGTTGTTTTGGAGTCGGTACTGGGCAATGGCGATGGCAACAGAGACGACGACAGCAAGAGTGCTTTAGCAATAGCGACAGCGACGGCTAGTCAAATGCCCTGCCCTAGTAGTTAAATGTCCCTGCCTGAATAGCTGAATGTCCCTGCCCGAATACCTAACTGCCCCTGCCCGAATTCCTAACTGTACCTGACCGCGGAGACAATCTCCTTTATTAATACTGTTGGAAAACCAAAGGTTCTTTGGTACCTTTATTCCCCTGTAACCAGAAGGAGCCAGAAAGTGCGTCCTACACACAAAGTACTGGGTACAAAGGGCACGGGCCAAAAGGCTAGGCAGAAGCCCCGTAGCCGTAGTTAAATAGTACCCTCTACTGCCAGTAGAGGGTCAGACCAGACAGCAAGAATTGGATCTTTCTGGACCCACAGAAATGAACTACCTATTGAACCTGGGTAATTGAATAGGTTATGAGCCCGGCACGTGTCTAGTCACCTGATACGCAAGGCTGAGGATCAACCAAGCGCAAGGCTGACTACGCCTGCCAACGCAACCAAACGCTCCCCAGAAGGGAAGCTATCACCACTTACACCCCTGACACCGCGCGAACGTCACGATGGCGCCCCGCGGCAAAGGGAAAGCCGTCGATTCTGGCAAAGGCCTGACCCCCAAGGCAGAAGAGGGCCAGCCCTCATCGGCATCTACGACTTCCGAATCACCAGAGCTGCAGAAGCCAGCTCTCCCAACCTCCGCCGCCCTCGACTGGATCGACGGAGGATTCAAGATCCCCAAGGAGTCCTACCTGAAGGGCCTCTCCAACTACATGGCTTAGAGAGAGTCCCTAATGATTACCTTGGAAGCGTCAGGCTATGAGAAAGGCTATACCTTCATACGCCTTGACGACCTTAAGTTGGGAGCCATAATACAAGCGACCATCAAACCTATGCAAACTACAGTCATTCAGGGCATCAAATTTAGGCTGGAAATGGTCGCAAAATTCGATCAATATTACTAGTCTACTAGCCTAGTCTACAAGCAAGAGCTATTTGAAGCTCTCTTACGCCTTACCTACAAAGGCAACCTCTAGACCTACATCACCACATACAACAACCTCATCTTTAACCTGGCAAACGCCAAAGCTCCCATTTGCAAAGATTAGGCTGTCATGCAATTTCTAATAGGAACCTGCGATTCTATGAAGGAATGGTTTGCGCAGCAATAGAACCTTCAAAGGCTTCCTAACCTACCTACCCTACCTAAGATTCAGAAAGACCTCTTAGACAAGGTATAGATCAAGAAGATCACTAAGGAGACGAAAAACCTTGCCGTTAGGCAATGCCTAGGTTAGAAGACTAATAAAAAGGGCAGCAACAAGGGAGGCAAAAAAGCCCTTAACTCTACTAGTAAACCTAACGATTTGACTTTAAAGAAGCGAAAAGATAGCTTAGTTATACAATAAGGAAGCTGCTATAATTGTAGCAAATTTAGCTACTAGGCAAAGGAGTGCCAAGCCTAAAAGGACAGCCAACCTGCCTACTCTAGCAGCCACGTTGCCAAGCCAACCAAGACTTCTAAACCCAAGGCTTTGCAAGGCCTAAGTCAGTATAACTTTGCCAGCATCTTTGAGGTGGAAGCAATTGCCAGTATGATAAAGGAATATGACGATTTTAAGGCTTTCCTAGATCAGGAGAAGCTTACTGCTTTGGAGCTTACAGCTTTGGAATTTAGACCTACAGTCTTGCAGCCTAGTCTAGCAGAGTCGAAACCTAACAACCAACTAGTGCTATACTACAACCTCTTAGCCCTAGACTATAGGTCTAACCTAGCGCTTTACAAAGCCCAACGCAACTGCTAGCTATTTGATACCAGCGCAGACCTCTACATAGTAAACAACACCAAGTAGTATATCCCTAGTTAGTTCACCAAGCTTGAGAAGCGAATTTATATCACTACTAGCAGCAGCATAGTCTATCCTAACCTGATTGGAAAGGCCACTGTCCCTATAGTCAGCCCTGACAGCCAGAAGGTAGAAATGGTGCTGAATTACGCTATACATGTATTTACTTTTCCAATCAACATCTTTAGTAGCAAACAGCTCTACCAAGCCAGAAGCTACTTACAGCATAACAAAGTCGTAGCCTCTGACAGTAAAATCCTTACAAAATTGGATATCCCAAAGCAAGGCTTCTTTATGACTGTCTATAGACAGCCAAAGCCTTTAACTTTGATACTAGCTAGCACTATAAAAGGCCTGCAAAGTCACGCAATGCAACTTACCTTTGACAAAGTGGCGATAATCTAACTTTGGCACTGACAACTAGGCTACCTAAGTCTAAAGTAGCTAGTCAAGACTATCAAGCTGTTAAAAGGAATCAATCTTGACCCTGCTAAAGTAGCAGCTATACTATGCAATGTCTGCAACCTCTTAAAGTCTTTAAAGGTTGTATCGAAGGATCTACAAAAGCGTGAGACGCAACCTAGCCAAGGGTTTCATTGTAACCTTGGTTTTATCTTACTACTCTTGAAGGAAAGGTATAAGTGTTTTTACCTTTTTACCAACAACGCAACACAAATAAGGTTTATAAACTTTAGTAAAGAGAAGTCAAGAGTTTAGGCTAGTCTAAAGCATCAACTAAACCAATTCTTTGCCCTATTTAGATACTTCTCACAATAGCTTCGAATCAACAAAGGCTGCAAATTTGGAAAGTCAATGATAGATTAATACTATGCAGACTGCGCAATTAAGCTAACCAAGTCAACGCTATACAACTAGTACAAAAATAGAGTCTCTAAGCAAGGGATCTGCACTATTGCTATAGTAGCAAAATGCTTTGCAATTTAAATGGAAATACCTATCAAATTCTAGAATTACGTCTTACAAGCTGCAGTATACACTGTCAATTGCACCTAGACCTCTGCAGTAAAGAAGATGACGCTGCACTAAGCCTAGTACAACTCACTTTACCTAGACTGCAATAACTAGCTAGACAACAGTATATGCTATATTGTAGGCTGCAAGGTCTTTATTTACAAGTTAGAAAAGACTTGCGTCAAGTTAGCCAAGCTAGACTCTAAAGCTTACAAAGAAGTCTTCCTAGGCTACAGCAGAAAGCACCTCTTTATTGTCTAGAATATTCCACTATAGCAAATTCAGACTACCCCTCACATAGTCTTCCACAAAGATATTGTGAAAGACTAAGGCGCAGCTAGAGTCTTCCAATCCCTGCCACCTCACACGCGCCAATAACTTAGCCAGCAGCGCAAAGAAGTAGGCAACAAGGTTGCCAACGCCAACTTTAAAGCCTACTAGCACAAAGACCTAAACCTAGAAGTTAGCTACAACAACATAATTATTGCAGTTTACACCTCTAAGACCAATACTTAACTAGAAGACTATTGCATAGTAGTCAAAGAGAGTTGCAAGTTAGATCCTAAAAAGCCATACTTTAATTACTTAGCCTTCAACTTCAATATCCTAGGCTTCAACTAGGCTTTTAACGTCAAACTAAATCCTAACCTCCTGACAGTTAGTAAGGCTCTTGACTAAATTGACAGCTACCTCTAGAAAGAAGCTATCTATGCAGAAATCTCTGTAGTCCTTAGAAAAGGCACATTCCGATTTGTTAACTAGAGCAAGGCTTAAGCTAAGAAGCTTGTCACAGCAAAGTGGGTTTTGAAGACTAAGGTTGCCAAGGACAGGTCTATTGAGAAGTATAAAGCCTAGGTGGTAGCCTAGAGTTTTACTCAACAGAAGAGTATCAACTATAACAAGACCTTTGCTTTTACAGCAAAAGCTGCCTTATAGAAGATTCTATTTGCCTTAGCTGCAATATGCAGTTGGCGTGTCTTATAGGTTGACTTTGTATTAGCCTACCTCAACAGAAAGCTAGAAGAAAAAGTCTTTATAAAGCAATTTGACCTACTCTAGGAATTCTTTAAAAACCACCCTGACTTAGCCATGCAATACAGCTACACCCTTAAGAAAGTAATCAAATTACTAGGCTCTCTGTATAGCCTAAAGCAGTCTAGCTATACTTGGCAGATGCAGGTATGCAAGGAATTAGCTACCCTAGACTTTACGCCTTTACAGTCTAACTTGGCAATCTACATTAACAAAAAGACTAGTCTAATATTAAGCTCCTACGTTAACAACTTCCTAGTTGTTACGCCTACCAACAAATTAGGCAAGGCTTTTGTAGAAGATATCAAGAAGATCCTAGAAATCAAGGATCTTGGCAAGGCTAAATGGTTTTTAAGCATGCAAGTAATCTAGACGCTAGAAGGTGTAACCCTAGTGCAAGATTACTACATAGAAAGGATACTTATAGAGATTGGTTTTGGCAACGCAAAGCTAGTAAAAACCCTAATAGACCTAGCTGCAAAGACTATTGCAGTAGCTTAGAAAAACCCTAAGTCTACTGCAAAAGAGGCCCACAACTACGCCTTTATTGTTAGTCATACACTATACCTAGCAATAATTTCCCAACCTAACGCTGCCTACGCAGCCTGCCTATAGGCCTAATTTATAGCAAACCTTTTGAAAAATCACGCTATAGCTGCCAAGCATGTAGCTTGATATTTCAACAGCACCTAAAACTGCAGCATCAAATACCGCAAGTTGGCTAGTCTTAGCCTCTACAAGGCTATAGACTCCAACTACGCCAGCAACCTCGATACAGCCAAGTCTACCACTAGGTAGGTCTTCTTTATAGCCAAGAGACCGGTTTCCTAGCAGTCAAAACGCTAGTCGGTAGTAGCCTAAAGCACTGCCAAAGCCAAATATATCGCCCTCAATTCTGCAGCCTAGAAGGCAGCTTAGATTTGCACCTTTCTTACAAAAGTAGGCAAGCCACTTACTAGCCTAATCACCCTAAAGGCTAACAACCTTGCAGCAAAAGCCTAGGCTGAGAAGGTCGACATGACTGCACAGAAGCGCCATGTGAGAGTGGCTTACAACTACATACAGCAGGAAGTCAACGCCAGCCACATTGTAATCGAATACGTAGCTAGCTAGGAAAACCCAGCAGACAGCTTCACAAAGCCACTCAAGAGAACGAAATTTGAGGCCTTCGTCAGCCAGTTGGGACTAATCGACGTCGAATAGGAAGGCAGAAAAAGGAAGCCCGGTTGCAGGGCAATAGGGGGAGTGTTGGAAAACCAAAGGTTCTTTGGTACCTTTATTCCCCTGTAACCGGAAGGAGCCAGAAAGTGCGTCCTACACACAAAGTACTGGGTACAAAGGGCACGGGCCAAAAGGCTAGGCAGAAGCCCCATAGCCGTAGTTAAATAGTACCCTCTACTGCCAGTAGAGGGTCAGACCAGACAGCAAGAATTGGATCTTTCTGGACCCACAGAAATGAACTACCTATTGAACCTGGGTAATTGAATAAATACAGTAATCCGTACCACGAGCTGACTACCTGGTAGTTTGCTCCGAACTACAAAATCCGTCTCCGATGCCATGTTTGATCCCAGCCACCATCATGAGCCCGTACAATCATGAATCAAGCATCAGACGCTCGAAAGACGGGCAATCCATCCTGACTTGGTGTGTTCAACGGGACAAGCAGTCGGAAAGAATCCTAAACATATGTTCACAGGGAAGCCGTTTGCTTCGGGCCACGACAGTGTCAGAGCCAGCCCTGCGTCCGACGCCCTACAAATATACACCTATTTCTTTCCTCGTATTCCAATGCGTGACTCCCAACCCCAACGTTGAACTCCGTCCTAGGCATGACATTGAAAGGTCTATTTGCTCGTAGGGCGAACGACCACCCACCGACTTGGCTGTCACCGCCTGCTGCCGTCCTAGGCAAGAAGTTAAACGGCCTTATTTGCCCATTGGGCGATGCCCGATGGGCTCTCAACCACCCAGAGGCCTGCCTGCTAATACCTACACCCGAAATTTCACAGGATGACCTTGAGGGGTGACAAGCAGCCAGGCCTCTACTCGAAAACGTGGGTGAGCGGGTTGGATCCTCGACCTTTCATCGTCGTTAGTGGGCTCGACTTCACTGGCATTCTTGACCTTTGGTCGTCACCAATGCCCACGGAAAGGTCCTTCATTAGTATCTCATTGACCTTTGGTCATCCGCCCAACTGCTACTGGCATCCCATGAGGAATTGGAAGGGGTCTAGCCAGCAGTGTGGATTCCCTCTTGACCTTTGGTCGTCCCCCATACTGCCACTGACACCCCCGGCCGTCGGGAAGAAGAAGCTACGGAGTATAGAATCCATCTGGAGCTAAATCAGGAGCAAGCTCTCCCAATCGTGTCGCCTCCTCATACTGTCGAGCCATCGCCCTCATTCTCATATTTTGAGACAATCCCACCAGCCATCAACCGCTGCGCTCTCTCACGCAGAGAAGGCAAAAAAGCTGCGAGCTTGCCTGCCAAGCGAGAAACCCCTCCCCCTCCAATCCGCCGCTTCCCTCGACGGAAGATCAAGTGGCAGGCTACGGAAGAGGCGACTATCGAGACTGTCCTCGGCATTCAGCTATTCAGGCAGGACAATGTGCGGAGAGGTCGTCATTGATCAACCAGGCTATCGTCGGCACTGCCGCACTGAGCACGCCGGTGCATGTAAGTGCTATATGTCTAGCATATGCCATATACATGCTAACAATATCGCAGTCAAGCAGGTCGCAAGGACTAATATTAGCATAGCTGAGATTAGCTCTAGGAAAGCGTAAATCACGCAAACCCAACTTCTCTATACCATGCATATAGCATCTGCTAATCAGGTTACTAGGACAACCCAGGTGTCCGGCCACAAGAGTTCCTACCTCCTCCAGGGACAGGGGCCGCGTGCCGCTTCGATCCCCAAAGCGAGAAGCAATAAACAACTCGGACGAAAGAAGAACCACCCACTTGTACGTATCCCTACCCGAAGACAGCCGTTGAACTTGCATGCTGACCAGAACGCCTCACGCAGCGGGCTCCCGATGCAGCCGTACCCACGGCCTGTCCTGGGTATCGACGTTAAAAGGCCCCGGAACCTCCTCCCGGCTTTCGGAGGCGGGACGCAAGGAGTATGCTGAGTGCGACCGTGCACCATATGATGCCCTCCCCCGATGTGTCGAGCACACTCTACCGGTCCAGATCCGAGCCCTTATCGAATTCAGCAGATCTGTTAAGAGCGACTTCCGTCAACTCCCTAGGGAGTGATGAGCTCAGGCCACACGTACGTTGCCGCACTATACACGGCTCCCGACACGGGAAAAGCTGCCCCTCGAAGACCCCAAGGCGGAGAGGTTCAGATTCAAGGACAAGGTTCTGGAGCACCGTTGCTCCTTTTGGCCCAAAAAACGCCGCGACGAAAAGCCCAACGGGAGTGGTGGGAGAACAGCCCGCGTTTTAGGTTGCGGCGAATCATGCTGGTGGCATGCCACCCTCAGTTCATGTTCTACCAGACTCGGAACAACTGTTGGGCTACAAGACAGGACAAGACGATGGCTGCTGCAGCTCAGGTGGTCAGAAGTACTGTACCTGGTGGACACGACCCTATCATCGATCTCTCAGCCATAGCCAATAATATGGGGCTCTGTACTTGGAGATCTACCGCGATTACGACAACGTGGCTGGCGCGTAGGCAAGGGGGCTTTCTCAGATCATGTTGATATTGTATGTGATCAAAAGGTGATGATATTTGAAGGTTCTATGGAAGAAGGTTAAGGTTAGGAAGGGTTAGGAAGGGTTAGGAAGGAGGAGGTAGTCAGGGAGGAAGGTATCTCTGAGGACCGAAGAAGGAGGGACATAAAGGTCGAGGTTGCCGTAGGGGCAAGAAAAGGAGACAATACAAGCACCGCAGTAAACCGACATCACTCACACCGGGAATCGCAGCCACATATTCGTAGTTTGAGACTAAAATACCACTACCTGACCACAGGTAACATCGGTGGTATCCAGGTATGTCCAAACAAGACATCACGACCTTGAGAGCGGGCAAAGCACTCGTTCAAGTATGGGAAGGGGGCAGTGGTGGCGTGCCACCGATCGGCCTCAAAGGAAAGCACCAACCCAGGACTCCTTGATACCGCCGACCCAAGTAAAATCCAGGGGTGAGAATCGTCAGGTAGGATCTAGATCTGCAAGTTGACGCCTCAGTGCTTGCTAGTTGATCATGTGGGGATCCGAGGTTGATCTCACGCATATCTTGAGTGCTCCGAAGTACGGCAAACATCAGCGCCGCCTTTATTCTTGCAAGCCATATCGACCTCACTGAATAGTCTACCATTCGTTCGTCCCCTCGCGAGCGAGGCTTCTATCCCAAGCGATATATATCTACCTATCCCAGTCAAGTGACCAGTGCTTCCCTCTTGATTCCTAACGCCATCTCCCCGTCTCGCCCCCCAAAAAAAGAAAAAGGTATTGGGTTGTATTACCACCAGTATATGCAAACGGAAAAAATGAACTGGGTTTGTAGCATGGCGCTGGCATCGACTTGACGCCTGGCCCCCCATCATGATTTATTTCCCTTCCTTCAATGAACAAATCGTCAGCTGCCTCCCCCCCCCCCCCCCCGGGGGGACCATCACGCCGGCGCAGACTCGGCCTGCGCAAGAAGCCTCGCCCGCCAGCCATTGCAGACCTCCTCGAACCCGCCGACGACTTCGCCGCAAACGAGGGCGCACTCCCTCTTGGCGAGCCGCTCGCCCCAGTTGCCGCGCGACAGCCACCTCTCGCCCTCCTCGCGGAGCTCCTCCTCGCGCCTCATCTCGGCGACGAGCTCCTTGGCGCTCCGCAGGCGCCTCGTCGCCGTCGTCGTCGTCTGCCGCGACATGTGCAGCGTGTCCGAGAGGTAGTTGAGCGTCTGCACGAGGTCCGACGTCAGCGAGTGCAGCGCCGTCAGCGAGTTGTAGGCGCCCGCCGACGGCCGCGGCATGGTCTCGGATAGCGAGATGAGCATCGGTAGCAGCGCGTCGATGGTCTCTGGGTCTGGCGGCGGGACGAGGGGTGACAGTAGAGGGAACGTCAGGCTATGGAGCTGGCGTGTTTGGTGGCTCAGGTGGGTTGTGAGAGCGGAATGTGCTGTGATCAACCTGGCGGGAATTTGTTGTTAGCAAAATACGTAGCAGGATGGTAAAGGGCGAGGGGAGGGGGAGGGATCAAATTTACCTCGAGGCACATCCCTCAATACCGGACTGCGATCCGAGGTCCCGCAGCCCATCCGTCACCCTCTGGAACGTCCCATCAGTAGGCCCGCCATTATTTTCCGTGCCTCTCCGGGCGAGGGACTCGACGGCATCAATCTTGGCGATCAGGCTGGGCGGCATGCCGGGAGACTCGAGATCGGTCTCGGATCCATACTCGCTTCCGTCGTACTCGCTCCCCGCTCTTCGGTGTCCCCTCCCATTCGGCGACGGCAGCGTCAAGCTCATGTTCTTCTCGCGCCGGGCACCCAGACCCGCAGGGCTCATCTCCACGTCGACTCCGCTATCCCGGGTCCCCTGGACTGCCTCGCCAGGGTCGCCCTCGTCGAGCTCGAAGCTGATATTCGGAGCGTTTCCGTCGTGCTCGTAGTACTCGTCCTCCTCCTCATCGTCGTCGTCGGATAGCGCATCCGCAAGCTCGTCCGCTAGATTTCCGAGCCCCCCGCCGCCGGCGTCCATCCCTCCGCTGCTAAACACTCCCATATCCAGCCCATCTTGGTGATGGTTGAAACTACTCCGAAGGGGCGTCGAGGGATCGTGGAATAATGATGATTTGGATTGCCGTCGCTCCTGCGGTGACGAGGTGGCGCTATAGGGGTTGAAGTCGACGGTAGAAGCGTGCCGCGAATGCACGGGCGTTTGAGGCGACGACATGCTGGTGATGTGGTGATGCGAGAGCTGAGTAGGGGAAGAAGCCTTCTGCTTTCTCGGTCACCGTTGATGTGGCACTGGGCCCGTTGTGGTTGTGTTATAAACCCCTTCCCCAGCTGCCGAACAGTGTGATTGTTTTGACGGGGTTCTGGTTTATTATTTGGGATTTGGCGTGTCGTTACCGGAGCAGTACGTTAGAAATGGCAGGGATATCAACCAAGTCTCGCAGATGAGGGTCCCCGTATTATATCAGGAGGGCCTGGCCTATAGTGGGAGACGGGACTGAGAGTGGCTCCCCTAGCCAACGAGGCGCCGGTTTAGGCTACTTAAGGCAGGGAGTGTCGCAATGCTTAGGGCCTGACTTTGAAAGGATTGGCCATGGTATAGCAAGACTTGTTCCTGCCTGAAAGAAGGTCAAACCTGTTGCTCCAGCAAAAGGGGCCGATGTTGGGCAGCTGCCTTTGTCATCAAGATTCTTGAAGTTCATGTAGTGCGTGGTTCAACATCGATATCTGTGGCGGCCATGGCGAGGCCTCTCCCGAAGATTTCCCGGCCATTATCCTCGGCTCTCTCCCATTATCTGTGAGTCCATATAGGATATAGGTAATCAGTCGTAACATGGCAGGCTCATCGAGTTTGCATGATTGTTTCTAGATTTCCTACTATTGTGGCAGTAACTGTTGGAAGGTTGATTGAGTGGCGGACCAACCTTCAGACAAGGTACCCGGGCGCCTCCCGGAAAATGATCCTTACGCGTTCCTGGCACTAACGCACCATTGGGTTGAGGTTATTTTTGGACCTTTTTTTCCTTTTGGACATGTCCATGCACATGCACCACCGTTGCCAAAACCACACGTCCATAATACCCGATCTGAGACCACAATTTTCTCAGAAAAGGCCAGCTTCTGAGGTACCTACCATGGCGAACTTCCGGCGGTTTCGACCGGACGATCTCAACAAGCTGTCCAAGTGCAATCTTGACCCTTTCACCGAAACTTATGCGCTCAACTTCTATCTGCAATACTATGCGAAGTGGCCGTCACTCTTCCAGGTAGCTGAAGATCAAGATGGTAACATAATAGGCTACAGTACGGCGAAGGCGAGCCCCGGCTGAAGGGACCCAGAGCTAACGTCGCCTTGCAGTCATGGGCAAGCTCGAGTCTTCCCCCGATTACTACAAGTTTTCCGAGCACTATCTACCCTGGCACGCCCATATTACCGCCGTCACCGTGGCCCCCGAAGCTCGCCGGCTGGGCATTGGCAAGCTGCTAACCCAGCAACTCGAGGCCGCGGCAGATGCCAACGACGCCTGGTTCGTGGACCTCTTCGTCCGGAGCACCAATCATAAGGCCATCACGTTCTACAAAAGCATGGGATATAGCATTTTTCGAGTCGTGAAGGACTATTATGGCGACCATACGAGCGACCCGAACCTCCATAGCGAGGATGCGTATGACATGAGGAAGGCTATGAAGCGGGATGTAAAAAAGGAACATGTCCGAGCAGACGGGGAGAAGTATGAAGTCGACGCCAGCGATGTCTGGTGACCAACAAGACAAGCAACCAGCCCTCTTCGACCAAAGCCGTACTCAGTCCCATCCAAGTTCTAACAATGCGCTCTGCCGGATTATCAAATGCCATGTGCCGTGGATGCAGAGCTCTAACTCTCCAACTCAACCCAACCCAACCAGTGTTCTTATCAAATCCGCCCCTGACCCGACCGCAGGGACGCCATTATACCCAGGCCCCGTCGATGGCGTAGACGCTCCCGCTCACAAACGTGCTTTCCGGGCCGAGCAAGAAGGCGATGACATTAGCCGCCTCCTCCGCCGTTCCTTGTCTCTGGAACGCGCTGGGGTCATTGAAGGGCGCGTCCGCGGGCCGGCCGACAAGGTCCCAGTTCTTCTGCATCAACGGCGTGTAGATGGCGCCAGGGGCAACGGCATTGACGCGTACCTCCCGGGCCCCATTCTCCAGGGCGGCTGCCTTGGTGAGGCCGATCACCCCGTGCTTGCTCGCATCGTAGGCACTGTGGTTTGCGAACCCTAGAAGAGACTGCGATCAGCAAATTGATGGGGGTTTCGGGGCCATCCACCATCGGCCGGCTTACCTTTCAACCCGTGAATCGAGGAAGTATTCACGATCGATCCCCCATCGACGACCTTCCTCAGCTGCGCCCGCAGGCAGTACATCATCCCCGTCAGGTTGACGGCGATGATCCTGTCCCAGTCTGCGTCGTCCAGCTCGGCGACTGACGCCGTGCCATGCGACCTGCCGATGACGCCCGCCACGTTGGCGGCGCCGTCGAGCCGGCCGAACCTTTCCACGACGCCGCCGATCCAGCCGTCCACTTCGGCCCGCCGCGACACGTCCACCCTCGTGATCGAGTACGGCACCCCCAGGCCCGAGAAGTACGCGTCGGCCCCCTTCATCGCCTCCGGGTCCACGTCGGCGATGGCCACAGCCGCGCCCCGCCGCGATAGCACCTTGGCCGTCGCCAGCCCGATCCCGCTCGCCCCGCCCGTGATGGTGAATACCTTGCCCCGGAGAGGCATGTTCCCGTCGGTGGAGGCGGCGGCCGCCGCCGCCGCGGCGCCGTTAGTGGTGGTGGTGGTGGTGGTGGTGGTGCTGCTGCCGCTGCCGTTCTCGCCCTGTTCGGTCGGCGGCGTCAGCTTTTGGCGTTTTGCGCTTTGGCTGCCTGACTCGAGACCGGCTCGGTCGAGGGACAAGGAGTTCGAGTGGCCCATTTATACGGATGGGTTGGGGGTTATGGGGAGAGAATGGAGCGGATACGGGAGACTAAGGTGCTTGTTGATCGCCGCCGGCGCGATCAATGTTCAAGGTCTTGGTTTGTCAAGGTCTCGGCTTATAAATAAAAGTACAAGGAAACGGTCAGATCATCTGTCTGCTCAGATGTTCAAGTCTTGAAGTTTTATATGTGTCCCAGCACGCGAGGAGGGGCGTGGGTTTTATTCCTCCCTCAGGAAGACGACGCCGGACCATTTCTTTTTCCTCGACCTCCAACGGGGGCAATGACCGATTGTCACCTCTGACCTCGTAGACCCCGATCTGCAAGTTTAGGCCCGTTCCTAGATGATTGGGCGGGATATTTCTGCCGTGGAGCGAGCCTTTGTGAAAACCGGGGAGCAATAAATTCCCGACGGTAATTGGGCCCCCACTGGAGTTGTTCGCGAAAGGTCCTCCCGCTTCTCCCGCCCGGAAATGGCCCGACGGATGGGCTAGCTGTGGGGCCAATTGCAGGGACCCAGTTGATTGTGTTGCAGGAGGCTCAAAGGGCTGTGCCGTTCTCCGCAACGCTGATGAACCGATCTGAATTCCGCCTTCCAAGCAGCGGACATCCCACTTCTCGATACCCAACTCTCCGTAGTAAGCAGCTGATTATGGCGGGGTTCCGAGCTTGAAGCAGCCCCGTTCTATTATCCCCCAAAGGGAACCATTTCCATAGTGGTAGGTCGCTAGCCCTGCACTCTAACAGCCAAGTCGAGCCTCACAGGGAAATATATTTCCTAGTTTGTGCAGCTTGTGGTCATGAGCCTCCATGGATGAGCATGCGGCATTCGGGGATTGGACGAGCTAGGTCACGTGCGTTGATGCTTCTGGGTGATGCAAGACGGGAGAGCTCCATCTTGACATACGGTTTTTCTAGAGTAGACCGTCACTTATACCCGTTACGCTGTGATCCTGCCTGGAGTAACGGAAGTGCACGGGCTGCCGAGTCTCTACTCAGGTAACACGACGGCAACATTTCATCCTACCGTTGGGTCGTATCAGGATTGACATGAGAGTACAAAACTGTTAGTGGAGAACTGTTACAATATTACTAGGACATCGACAGCCGACTAGACGATGGAGTTTGGTCAAGCCCCCAAACCTACTCTACCATGTTCATCACTATCAATATATTCCCGGGCCTCAGGCCGTTCATAACCGGCTCTTTGCCCCTCCAGCCAAGTACGTGCCACCAAGCTTGAGCATCTCCACCGCCTCCTGGACCATCTCGTCCACGATCTCACCGGCGGGCTTAATCTCCCTGATCCTGCCAGCGACCTGGCCCATCAGGTGTGGCGGGTCAACCTCGTTCCCCTTCTCGAGGTCGTACTCGACGGGGACGACGCCGCCGTCGCACAGCTCCCTGATCTTCGCGGGCTGGGCGTGCCACCCGCGAATATACTCGTTGGTCTTCATGCGCAGGGGCCTACCGCTGAGCACCAGCGTGCGCTCCGTGCCGTCAAAGTCGCAGCTGACGACCTCGCGCTTGTGCTCATCGCTGCAGCCGGCCTCGACGCTGGCGACGAAGCGCGTCCCGACCCACGCGCCCACGGCCCCCTGCATGAGGCTGGCCGCCAGGCCCCTGCCGTCGCCGATCCCGCCCGCCGCCACCACCATGGCCGCCTGCCCGCCCCCCAGCATCGGCGGCCGGTACCGGCTCGCCACGTCCACCACCGCGGGGATCAGCACGCTGTTGGCCACGTCGCCCGTGTGGCCCCCGCCCTCGCCGCCCTGCGCGCACACCAAGTCGACCCCGCGGTCGAGCGCCTTGACCGCGTGCTTCGGATGCCCGACCATGTTCATGACGAGGATCCCCGCGCGGTGCAGGCGGTCGACGACGTCGGCGGGCGGCACGCCGACGGCGCTGACGAACAGGCGGGCCCCGGACTCGATGGTGATGTCGATCAGCTCGTCGAGGCGGCCGCCCGTGTAGTCGTGGTTCGTCCTGCGGGCGCCGCCGCCGACCTGCGGCAGCGCCAGGTCGACGCCGAACGGCAGGTCCGGCCGCCGCAGCGCCGCCTTCATCTCGGCGATGATCTCGCGCAGCTGGTCGGGCGTGTACTGGAACCCGCCGATCACCCCCAGGCCGCCCGCGTTGGACACGGCCGCCGCGAGCGCGCCGCCCGACGTGCGCGCCATGCCCGCCAGAATGATCGGGTGCTGGATCCCCAGGAGCGTGGTCAGCGGCGTGGTGATGGGGCCGGTGGGAGCCGCCATGGTGGAGTCCGTTGGGGGAGGGTCAAAGGGGAAGGGTGAGGGTGTGTTGCTGGAAGACGGCGCGGATGTGTAAGTCAAGGCAGAAGATGCTAGGCTTTTTACAACTAGTAGTGGCTTAAGCTGGCTCGCTTGACTCAGACTATGCTCGTGATGGAACTTGAGTAATTGGAAGACCAAGAACTATCTCTACACTGATGTGAGATTGAGGGAACATGAAATAACATGAAGGACAAACCGACGTCGACAAGAGAAGCGATGGAACGCTTGCTCGGAAACCATCCACATCCCGCGACTTCAATGGGTTCACAGCGGAGCTTGGTGTGGGGAGAGATGAGAGATGGGGATAAAAATGCGGGGAGCGGGCCAAGTACCGAGGCTCTTTGGGGGTTGATTGACATTCGCTGAATGTGGGGCATCAGAGAGAAGCAGAAATGCCTAGCCTGCTACGAGCTTGCTACGCGGTGCATCGTGAGGTATTCTGGGGGCGAAAAGTTATATGCTGTAAGAAGGGGCACCTGCTCTCGCAAGAAGCAGTCATGAAGCGATTACCAGATAGCCGTACGTGAAGATTTAAACACTGTCTGGAGCTTCTCGTCTTTCACATACAATTCCTCGAACCAAGTAGCCCCCGTCTTCAAAAACAGTGACGATCCGCTGACAATTCATTAACCTCGTAAATCCAATGGCATGCCCAGGGAGAACCATGATCCCGGGCAGCGGAGTATAATAATACAAGTACACGGATATATCGAGCAGGCTGAGTTCAGGATTCCCAAACTTCGTGCAGTCAGCCTCCCTTTCACGGCCAGATCTCGATAATCACGGTCAATATACAAATCCAGCCATTTCCATGTCTGGACAGTAGACACCAGCAGCTCAAATCCTGCTGGCCATAGGAATAAGGGCTACCTGAAATGAGGCAGCCGGGCGGGAACAAATCGATCGTTGCTTGGCACCGGTGCGCCAGGAATGCGATCCACCTCGGGAGGTCCAGCGTTGTGGGGATCTTCCAGGTCCAGCTCTTCGTCGTCGATATCACCCGGTTCTGCGATGGATGGTTGCGGCATGTCGTGAACCCGGACCAGCTCTGCCCTGGTCTCCGGCACAGAACCCGTAATCAGGTTGTCCCTACTCAGGCCGCGTTCCAGCGCCAGCCGAGATGCCGCGCGCCTTCTCCTCTCTAGCTCCGCGTCCTCTTCCCGGCGAGCCTCCTCCTCTTCCCTCCGGAGGTCTTCTAGCGACGGTGGTGCTTTCGGCTCCCCCATCGCGTGTATTGACGTTGAGCTGGCCCTCTCCCTTATGGAACCCCCCGCCGTTTGCGACGAAGACACCGTCGACCTGGACACGGTCCGCGACATGGGTCCGTCTGCCCGTCGCTTCCCCTTACTGCTCCTCGTCTTGCTGCTACCGCGGTCGTCTACGCGATCCAGGGCCACGTCGAACTCATCATCCAGCGGTATTGCGTCTTCGTCACCCTCCCCATCGCTCGGGAACAGATCGTTCCTCGAGCGGTACGAGTCCGAAGTACCCCCAGATCCGGCCGTATTGCTCCGCGCCCTAAGCGGCGGCGATCGCTTGAGGCGCCCCTCCCCGTCATCACCCGCCGTCCCCAGCAGGGGATCAGCCTCCTCGGGCCGGTGGTGCACCGGCGCTCCCGGGTGATCTCTCAGGTTCGCCGCCGAGGGCTTGTACCTCAGCGTGCCGCCGATCTTGAACGGCAGGCGGCCGAGGAAGCCCAATGGTGTCGTGCTAGGTATTATAGTCGGGTCCTCCTGCCCGCTCGCCTTCCTCCTCGTGCCCCTCGTCCCGTAACTCATCCCCCTCTTCCGCCTCGGCTGTTCCACCACATCCCCCGCCCCGACCCCGGCCGAGTGCCTCCCGCGCCCGGCCCCCGTGCCCGCCAACAGCCTATCCCAATCCTCCGCCCGCCCACCGGCCCACCTTCCCCACAACCCACCTCCCTCGCCACCACCATCTAGATCGTCGCCATCACCATAGCCGCCGCCGCCGCCGCCGCCATCGCCGCCGCCGCCGATGACGCCGAGGTCGTCGTCGTCCCAGTCGTCGTAGAAGTCGAAGACGGCCTCGGCGCGGCCCCTCCGGGCACCGCGGTCGCGCTCGCGGGCGCGGCGGGCTCGCTCGTCGCGGCCGCCGCCCAGGCACAGGGCCGCGCAGCCGTCGAGGCTGTCGGCGACGGACGCGAGGCAGGGGCTTACGTACCGGTGCTGGAAGTTCCAGATGCCCGCCGCGGCGTTCTCGGTCGCCGCCTCGGCATTATGCGAGAGCTGGTTCCAGCGCTGGCGCAGGCGGGGGTCTTGGATGAAGGACATGGTCGGTTTCTCTCTCTCTCTCTCTCTCTCTCTCTCACACACACACACACACACACGCGCGCGCGCTCTCTCTCTCTCTTTGTTTGCTCGCGGGGGTCCCTTTGCGGGGGTGTTGGAAGGATTGGGGTAAAGGGGGTTACGGGAGGGTTATGGGACCGGCTTGGGGTGGAAGAGATGGGAAAGAAGACAATGTGGCATCCGTAATTCGTTACGTGGGCGGATGGATGTGGAGGGATGATCGAGGCTGATTTAGCGCTCGCGATGCGACGTCGTTGGATCAGCGAATAGGCCCGAACAGTGACGCCGGGGCGTTCGTGATGGCCGGCATTGAGGTCGAAGCTAGGCGTTTTCTGGATGCCTGTAGTCAATTCCTCGAGATATGATAGCGGCCCTTCAAGTGTTGGGAGGGATGTTGAGTTAAATTACGAATAGTTCGAAAGTCTGTTTCAGAGACAACAGTTCCCGAGCCTAATATGGCGGCACCTGTGGGCATCTGCGGTTGGGCGGGCGGGCAGTTTGGCCATTACTACGTACCTAGCTGCACGTGTTTCTTATTGGGGCCAAGCGACTGGGGTACACCCTGATGACCTCATCGAGCATTTCCAGGGAGATCCTACTTGCGCCAGGGGTCTGTGCACTTCAGGTGGTATCAGGCGGAGGTGTTTCTGGCAGGTGGTTTTCAATATAGTTGACAGGCGACAGCTGATGGCAACAGTGACATCAAAGCAGTGGTGAGGGTGACAGACAGCGACGCAATAGCGATAAACAGCAATGGCAATGGCAATGACGACGGCGAAGGCAACGGCCAAGGCAACGTTGATGGCAAACACGTGAAGATGCTGCCAGTGCCACCTGCTGAAAATCTCCCGGACTAGCAGCAACTGGCGCTGTAGATGCGGCTATAATATTGCCCTTTTCAGGGCTCATCGTAAGGGGTTCGAATGGCAATTGGTATGGCACAGGACCGCAGAGCATGATAATAATAAAGTGTTTGTACATACTTCTATAGTGTACATACAAGGCTACCTAGGGATATAAACCCATCCGATACTACATTAAAGCATCGAGAGCTTGGGCTGTGACACTACCCAGGATTTTCGCCGCGAAGACTGAAGCGTACATTGAGATAACTGTCGACGGACGGTAGATCAAGTCCGCTCCATTACCTAGCGATGACCGTTAGTCGTGGCAGCCGTAGCAGCCGTCGCAGGGGTGGCAACAGTGGCAGCCGGCGGTGGCCGCTCAGGCCCATATGGCTGAGGCTCGTGGTGCAACTCGTCTTCCGTCTCGTCGTCGTATTCCTCTCCATCGTCGCTGACTTCATCCTCGCCTTCCTCGTCTTCCTCGTACTCGTACTCGCTCTCGTCGCCTTCCAGGTCTCCCTCGGCTTCCGCATAGCCGTTCTCGACTGCACCGGCGAGGCCCTGCGGTATTCCCCGTCCCTGCTGCTGCATCTGTTTGATGATGCCATTAAGCTTGGCCTCCTTTTTCTTGAGGTCCTCAATGTCTTTGAGGTATTTTGTCCTCTCCTCGGCCATCTTGAAGATATTGGCGTTCATGGCCTCGTGCTTTCGCTTGAGCCCCTCGTTCTCCTTCTCCAGCCGCTTCGTCTTCTTGGACATATCCTCCATCTCCTTGCGGAACGTTAGGAATAGGTCGTTACTGTTATTGAGGGTGTCCTCCACCTAGCCTCACCGTCAGGGTTGATGACATCATACGAGTCAACAGTGGGGGAAGAACCTACCTGCTTGAACTTGTCGACGTATACGTTCAGCTGCTGCCGAAGCTCTGCTTCCGTCTTGGAGAAGGTCTGCACCTGCGAGTTCAGTTGCCTCGACCGAGTTGTTTCGCCCTCGGCACTCTTCTTTTCCCTCTCGTAGCGGGCAAGATTGTACTGGACCTCAAACTCCTTCGTTCGCATGAGGGAATGGAAGTGCAGTTCCCGAAGCTCGTACTGCTCGATAAGCGATTTGAATCTTTGGCGGAACCTACGCGCGGGTCAGCTGGCGAAACTTGGACGTGGTCGGGCATACAGCTGCGTACAATTCGTCCACCTCCATGTCCACGACCTGCCTCCGGGGATTGTCTTTCTCCTCCTGATAATCGTCCAGTTTTTGCAGTAGCGTCGAGTACTTCTCGTCCCAAGAATTCTGATTCCTGATCTGGGTATCCGACAAGGTCTTGTTCTCGTTCTGCCGAAACCCCTGTCAGCGAGTTCGTTACAACGGTATGGAGTGTAGCGTAAAACCTTGAGTTTGTTGTTTTCCTTCTGCAGTTCCCGGCACAGCTTCTCCAGCTTCTCCTTCAGGCCAACTGTCTTGCTCAACTCGGTCCGGCTCGAGTCCTTCTCCTTCTGCAGCTGATCGCCCCGTTTCTTGTTCTTGATGCTCTCCCTCTCGTGGCGCTTCATCTCAGCCAGTAGGTCGGAGCATCTCTTCGTAAGATGGTCGATTTTTTGTAGCTCGCTCATCTTTGACGTCTGGCTGTGCAGTTCTCGGTTTGCCTTCTTCACCTCTCGTTCTGTAGAAGACACCTATGTTAGTCCATCCCTGTTGCTGTTTGTGAGAGCTGTCGCCTGATGGAGCCAAGGCCTCGGGCAAAGAACTCTCCCAAGCAGCTTGTGTGTGTGCCGGCTTCTTTTCCTTCTTTTCCACAGCTACCCGGGTTCGCAGTCTCCATTGTCATCCACCAGGCATGACAGCCAAAAAAGCAGAGTAAAAATCCAAAAGTACGTTGACGCACCAATTTCGACTTCCTGATCCTTCTCACCTGCAGCATCGAGTTCGAGTTGCGAGATTCTCGCAGCCACAAGTTTGGAGGCCTCGTTGGAATCCATAGCTTTCTTCTGCTTGCCCTTCTTAGAGGCTGCTGCGACGGGAGGGGCGGGTGCAGGACGAGTGTCGTGTGGGTGGCCGGAGTAACCGTTTGTCAAGGCCGGGTCGGATTTTGAAGGCGATGCGATGCCATTAGCCATATGAGCAGGGGGAGACGCTGTTGTCGCGGAGGTCACGAGGGGGTTCGCCGAGGACATTTTCTGCTATGTGACGCCTTTTGAGGGCCAATTAGCCATGCGGCGTCACAAATTTCAAACACTGGCGCCAGCGCTGCTTACCAGTCCTGCATCTACGCTACAGGCAGAGAGGCAGACGGGGCCAAAAAGGTGTGTCTCTGGCAAAAGCAGATTTTGGCGCGCGGTCTCTCCTGCAGGTTCTCGGATTATTGATGGTTGGCTGACTGGAGGTGATCTCGACGTCGGTCGTCAGCTGGCTTAACGGGGAAGACGGTGTCAGCTATGTCTCATTCCCGGGCGAGCATGGATTATGGGGGTTCCTGGGGCATGCACAGACTGACGGCTCCACCGTATGCGCCTACCTAGGTACCTACTTAATCAGCCCGGCCGGCCTTCCAGGTTCTCAGATAGAGGTACCTACCTAGACTAGGTGCCTATTGAAGGTCGCTAGAAGTGAAGTACCAGATTGACGGTAAACATAAACAGGAAAAGGGAAGTAGTTACTCCTCACTACCTAGGCTGACCATGCAACTTTGGAAGGTACTGCTTAATCAAGATCTCCCACACAATTCCATTGTACACGGTTTGCCTGTTGTAGGTATCGACTTATCGCCTGACAACCGAGCCATGAGACGCTAAAAAATCCAAACTTTTCCGCAGTACCGCATACCTATTGAGTGGAGTGGAGCTTTGTCAGTGGCCAGACTTTTTATGCCACCGCCCAGAGTTGGACTATCACGATGCATTCCACTGCAACACCCCTGGCCAAATGACAGTGGTGTCGGCAGGTCTTGCGCATAGGCTCTCGTCAAGCTGTATTAATTCTCGCAGGGCAGGGTCGAGGATGGCGTCTAGGGCGCTTGCGTCCTTGAGGGACTCAAAGTCCTAGTCGGCTCTCTCGGCGAAGCTAACCGCCTCGTTCTAGCAAAACACGTCCTCTGCCACCGCCGACAAGACAGACGCCTCATACCACCGGTGAAGGAAGCCCAACCTCTCAAGCCAACCGCGGTCGGTGCCCTTGTAGAGCCGGGCCATCTGCATAAACCAGCCATTACGACCGTTCATGTCTGGAGGTGCCTTACAACCCTGGACATCATTGTCAAGGACCTCGGTGAAGTCAAGATGGCTCTCGCCGTCTTAGCTCATGAAACGATACTTCGTCAGCGTGCGCATGTAGTCAACGGCGACGTGAAAGTCGTTATGGACGCCCCATTAGACGGCGGGGGCCTGACGTGGGGTGCGACTCCCAACGCTTCGCTGTGATCAAGATAGCATCTCTCGTCATGCTGCTTGATGTTCTTCACAAAGTCGCGAAAATTTGTGGCGCTATTGGCCATCTCTCTTGTCTGGGCTGGCGAGGCCTTGGCTTGGGGGGATGGCTGAGGTGAGTTTTCAGAAGCAAGGCGACCTGCATGCTGGTTGATGGCTTGCCGTGCTCGCTGAGGATGCCAGGAGCAGCAGCGTCCAAGGTCAAAAGCTCTTCGAACGACACGGCATGCCAATGGTTGTTTCTTCACTATAAGCGAGTAGAAGTTATCGCAGTCGCAGCAAGACTCCTTTCCTCATACATGACCTTCCTAATCATGTAATTTGAGTAATCGCTTTCACGAATTACACGGAAGAAGAAAGCACGGGTTCTGTCGGTCTGGCGTTGCCAAACGGGCGTTATGTCGCCTCTCTCATTGAGAAAGACGAAAATTTTGTGGCAATCCATCGATGGTAGGTCATGCCGACCACGGGTGCAGCACCAATCCACGACGGAACTTGGCTGGCGCCCAACAGGGACATGGGAAGAGGCTGTCTCCGCGCGCAGGGACATTTGGCTATTCCGCCTGGGGGTCTGTGCTGGGCGCTGTCGCTGTCGCCATTGCCATCGCCATGTTAGAGCAGGATTGAATTGCTATTCGCTATTGCCAAAGTGTGGTCGCTATCGGCATCGGCATCGGCGTCGGCGTCGCTGTCGCTATCGCCGTCAACGTGGCCGCCACTGTTGCCATCGCTGTTCCACTTGCTGTCTCCATTGCCATGATAAATGAAGATTGACTTTGCTGCCGCTATTGCTAAAGCGCTCTCGCTGCTGCTGTCTCTGTTGCTGTTACCATTATTTATCGAAGATATCATGACCAAGCGTGAATCTGCCAAGGAGAAGGTGTGGGCATTGTCTCGTTCCGTTTAGAGAGAAGGCTATGTTATATACCAGGATGATTGTCTCTCTCCAGGGGTAGGCCTAGCAGCAAGTCAAGTTATGCCGAATGTCATGATCAATATCCGTAGAACTGGGCAGAGGTAGGTCAAGTTATTCCTCAAAAGGGCGGCCGGTTTGGTCTTTGCTCCATTTAGGAGACTGGAAGCCGTCTGTTAGGCGCCATTGGCGCTCTTCACATTTTAGACATTTAGATAAAGAGAATGGGAGCCCAACTTAGAAGGGCTGTTGGCATTGAGTAAAGAACTGTAAGGAGGCCCAGGGAATGGCTGTATTTGGCCATGAAAGGGTCCATTACTCTAGACACCACAAAAATGTCAGACATTGGCCCGCCTTTTGCATCTGGTTGATCGCCTTGGCCAGAGGAGGAGGGTTAGCCGTGGTGTATAAAACGTGAGTTATGGTACCGAGAAGGTCGCCCTTCGACAAGAGGCAGATATCATGTGGATATCAGGTTGGTTGATGAGATCAGCACTTGCTGGACATCATGTTCAACACGAGCTAGTAGCGACTGCAAGTCTAGCATTGGTAACGCAAATCTGTCCGCTGGGATTTCGCGCTTCTATACTCTTGGTTCTGATACGGGCAACTGGACGAAGCAACAGCCCACCGCGAGCTGTCCTCATCTGCACTGCGGGTTTTGGCCGTGGGAAAAGCGGAAGGAAATCCGAGCTTCACTCGGCGACCCTATGGCCGGCAAGATCTGGTAGGATGCTGGGGAGTTGGTAATCAAGTTCGCATGCCTTGAGCAGCACAAGTATGTAGCTGCCTGGTGCAGGGGATCAGTGCGCACCAGGTTGCTATTGCCAGCACTTGCTGCTGCGATGGTTAGCGATTGCGACCCGCGCTAGGAGCTACTGCCAGAATCAGTACCCGTAATCCGTATTGTCATCGAGGGTCAAAAGGGTGACGTGGTGGATGGCCTGCAACTTGCAAGGGGGGGTTTAATGAGCGGAACGCGAAAGGACGCGCCAGGCGTGGCAGGCGATTCCGTGTTTGGCGTGGCCTGACCAAACCCCCTGGTTCCCGGCCAAGGTTCGGGGGCCTCTAGCCAATAGGAGGCTTCCCCTGCGCGATGGCTCCCTACCTACTTTCCCCCAACTGAAAAAAACAACAAACACCATCGGAAAAGGGGTCGAGAGGGAGCGACACTCTCACGCTCCCACGCGGGTGCCCAATTCCCATGCGGACTGGCGTGTCAGTTCAAAATAAACAAAGGAGGACTGGCTGGGTTGACTACTCGAGGACAAAAGCAAGGGCAGAAAATTATGGCGCTTCCCCTCCTGTTTACGGAGGCATTGGGCTCCTCTTCAAATTCCTCGCTCCGTAAAATCAAGGTGGTTGGGCTAGAGCAGCCTCTCTCTCGATTGGATATCAACCGTTCTATGTAGGTATTGGTATGTTTTGTACAATGGATGTTTGCTGCACAATAGGTATCTCCTCAATAGCCAAAAAGAATACCTCTGTACCGACAATAGTTAGACGAGCAATTCACCAATTGAATAGAAATTATTGAAGGTGAGCGGCTGTTAGTTAGGCGCCATACAATAGTAGAGTTTCATAGTGAGCCAGGGACACGCCTATGGAGTGGCCGGTAGCAGTTGTTATGATGGTCCGTGCGCCAGGGTTTCTGTTTGCAGTGCTTGTCACAAATCCGGTTAATCAGCGGCGGATACAAGCGCGAAGGTCGCGGGACGGAAAGGTGGAACAGCCATCAGCACCTGCCATCTTTCCGACCTCCAACCTTCAATCTATCCCATCATTCTCCTTGCCTAGCACCAGCACCCGACTCGGCCCTCCTTGCTCCCAACGAGCATCCCCGTCGCCAGCATCTCTATGACACCCTGAGGCTACGAGCGATCGAAGTCCATTGTCCTACGATAACACGACTGTCCCCCCTTTCCTCCCTATTGTTGCCGCCCCGCCACCTAGATTGTTCATTCTCCACAACAACCTCGAGCATGCGATAGACTCCGGAACACCTACGATCGGAGGAGGACGGCTATTGATGGAGATAGATCTCTCCACGACGGTATACACTAGGCGACATTACAACCGGCATTCTGTATCTCCTACCGCCTGGCAAAGCAATAGTTGTCTGTTGTTGCTGTCCCTACCTCTGGCCCTAAAGCATCACGAACCCTCGACAGCACCGCCACCCGATAAACCTTCCTATCTGCCTAGTAGCCTTATTCCTAATCTCCTACGACTACTCTGCGCCTATTATCCTTTCGTCTTCCTAACATGTCCTTAAACGGCGACAGCCGGGGAACCGCCCTCACCGCCGCTGCGAAACGACCGATCCGAGACTCGAATAGTCCAGCCGTTGCAAGCCCCGCTCGACTGGCTACCCCCCCACCCCCTCCGCAAAGAGGCTTCTCCGAAGCTCGCAATTTAGACTATTCTCGGCATGGCCGGCTGAGTTCGAGGACAGGGGAATTAAATCGTGTGAGCTCGTTTGATGCCGACGCTGTCGACCACGCCCTCAGACGAGAGATGAGTCGTCAGCAGCGAGAGAGTACACCGGGAAGCAGCCCTCATCGAAAGCGGCAAAGGATCAATGGTGACAGGTATGTTTTGACAAACCGTGGCTCCTCCGAATGAAGACACCCGACCAATGCTTACTCGGATTAGATTTATTCCCACGAGATCGGGGCAGGACTTGCAAGCGAGCTTTAGCCTGTTGCATGACGATGGCTCCCCAACGACACCGTCCGGACAGAAGAAGCGGACACCTCATGGCGAACTGCACTTCCAGAAGAGTAGGCCTAAGAGCCCCTTGTATATCGTTGTCTCCTCGAGCTAACTCTCTATCGCAGCCGAGGAAGCCAATCGCACCTTTTCCAAACTGCTCCGGGTTGAACTATTTGAGAACTCGATACCTCAAGCCACCCCTCCTTCCTTATCCCCCGATCACAGCTTACCCGCCTCAAATCATGGTACGAACGTTCATGGCGGCACGAGGGCTCAGACACCCCCAAACAACCCGCCTCCATCCTCCCTCCCCTCTACATTAACCCCTTCGACTCCGCATAAGAACCTCTTCTCCTATGTATCGCCGCGCCACCATAGCAATATCGCTGGACACCCGACACCTTCTCGAACCCCCCAAAGCAGGCACGGCCCAAACCTCGACACTCGCTCCGAGATTTACAGCTTGTCACCCGTAAGGTTCGGAAGCCAGCAAATGCTGCTCAGCCCTCGACGGCAACCTAGGGCAGTTAGCAAGGTCCCCTACAAAGTGTTGGATGCACCTGAACTAGCCGACGATTTTTATTTGAATCTCGTCGACTGGGGCAGTGCAAACGTGCTAGGAGTCGGGCTTGGATCGAGTGTGTATATGTGGAATGCGCAGACGAGTCGTGTAAATAAGCTCTGCACACTCGAGGACGACACAGTGACAAGTGTCTCGTGGATTCAGAAGGGAACCCATATCGCTATCGGGACGGGCAAAGGCTTGGTGCAGATTTGGGATGCTGAGAAGACAAGGCGGCTCAGGACGATGACAGGGCACACGGCTAGGGTGGGATCACTGGCCTGGAACACCCACATTCTGTCATCCGGCTCTCGAGATCGGCTCATCTACCACCGCGATGTCAGAGCGCCCGATCAATGGCTTCGGAAACTGGTTGGCCACAAGCAGGAAGTCTGCGGCCTCAAGTGGAACTGCGAGGATGGCCAGCTGGCCAGTGGTGGTAACGACAACAAGCTCATGGTCTGGGATAAGCTCTCGGAGTCGCCTCTGTGGAAGTTCTCGGACCACACGGCTGCTGTCAAGGCGATAGCCTGGTCACCCCATCAACGTGGGCTTCTTGCGTCCGGCGGCGGCACAGCTGATCGGAGGATCATCTTCCACGACACTCTGCGCGGGACTGTTGTCAATGAGGTGGATACGGGGAGCCAGGTGTGCAACCTTGCATGGTCCAAGAACTCCAACGAGATCGTCTCCACACACGGCTACAGCCAGAACCAGATCGTCGTCTGGAAATACCCGTCCATGACCCAAGTTGTCAGCTTGACCGGCCACACATACCGAGTCCTCTATCTGGCTATGAGCCCCGATGGAAGGGTGGTTGTTACTGGGGCTGGTGATGAGACGCTTCGCTTCTGGAACGTGTTTGGAAAGCGCCCTGGTGCGAGGGACGATGGTGATGGTGGTGGGCGATTGGCAGACTGGGGAGTGATTCGGTGAAACCTGACTAAAGCAACAACATCCCAACTCTGGATTCGGAAAGCCAAAAAAGAAAAGAAAAGGAAACTGTGCCAACAAAACTGTTCGAAGACTTCACAGCTCATCCGGTCCATTCTCAACGGACGGTACCAAAATACCGAATCTCCTCTACGACGGAAGGGGCAGAAACGTCGAATATTCTCACAAGGGAACCTGAAGCGAATACCCCCATTCCGATTTGCTTTTTTTCAAGGGAAATATCTGTGTTTGCATCAAACAGCGGCGTCGAATCTTGTGATAGTGCTTTTTTTGTGATATATCTTGGCCTTTCCAAAGCCTGCGGAAGGGATGATGGGTGGGTCAGCGAGCATGAGTGGAGTCTTGGAGGCACCAGCCTGGGAAAGGAGAGCGACTTTGCATGTATTTTTTCCGCTGGTGGTGGTTCGGAACCGGTGTCTCCTCCCGGTTGTCATGAAATGATGACGCTTGGCTCGACCTTAACCCCAGATAATTAGCGATTCATGATAGTCCTTTGCGCCTATCAGTTTTGCTGCTGAAAGTGACGTCTCAAATTGGGTCTCTCAGGGTCAAGTCTGGCTCTGTGTGATGATGATAAGGCACAGGCCAATTTAGTGGTGCAACCTTGATGGTGTGAGGTTGCCAAAAATAAAAATTCCCCCATTCCACATAGAGACTACAAGAAACAGCCGGGAATCTATAGTCGTCGTAGTTGTTGGCCGTTGCTCAAATGCAAAGCATCATTCCCACTCTCAACACCCTATAATCACGGTATATACTTAGTACCTACTGGATGAGCGTTTCTTGGAGTGGATGAGGCTCCATGTGGAGTCCGTGGCGGGTGAGAGTTTCTCAGCCACAGACCTGCGCCACAACCACACACATGCAACTTCCAGGTTGTCCTCTTCCCCCACCCAGCTGTTTTTGTCCCAGCTGTTTATATCGACTTCCCGTAACCTTAGATCATGACACCTTTCAAGCCGACCATCTAATCGCAACAGCTGTGTAGATCGAGACGCAGCTATTTATTGCATTAGACCTCCGCAGGTCGACCTGTCTGTCGAACTGGTCTTCAATTCCTTTGGCACAGCCGATTTAAGGGGCCGTTTCGGAGCTTCAACCAGACCGCAAGATGGACTACGAAGCTTTGAAGGAGCAATGGAGCGAGGTGGAAGACCGCGATGGCGTCCGCCTTAGCTGGAATGTTTTCCCAAGCTCCCGCATGGTCAGCGCCTCGCCGTCTCCAATTAACTGTTGATCCCTGGGCGACTGACACTCATCCAGGAAGCGTCCCGCCTCGTCGTTCCCATTGGCGCACTCTATACTCCCCTCAAGGAGAAACCCGATACCCCGCTGCTGCAGTTCGAGCCCGTCACCTGCAAGCAGCCATGCCGCTCTGTCTTGAATCCCTTCTGGTGAGCCACTACAGTCGCAAGCGAGGGAGCCTTACTGATAGCTCTTGTCTAGCCAAGTCGACGTACGCGCCCGGCTCTGGATCTGTCCCTTCTGCCTCTCGAGAAACCCCCTCCCTCCTCATTACAAGGATATCACCGCGAATGCCATCCCGCCCGAGCTCCATCCGTCGAACACCACTATTGAGTACCGGCTATCCCGCCCCGTGCCTAGCCCGCCCATCTTCCTTTATGTGGTCGATACCTGTCAAGAGGAGGATAGCTTGGCGGCTCTCAAGGAGTCTCTCATCATGAGCCTCAGCCTACTTCCCGAGAATTCTCTCGTGGGGCTGATCACGTACGGCACTATGGTATGTTGTATCGTTCGGGTTCCATCTTGAAGCGCCACCATCTGATCTGTTCTAGGCCCAAGTCCACGAGATCGGCTATAACGAATGCCCAAGGTCCTATGTCTTCCGCGGAAATAAGGATTATTCTGCAAAGCAGGTCCAGGAAATGCTTTCTCTCATTCAGCCTGCGCTCCGCCCTGGAATGCCACCTCAGCAGCAGCAGCCTGGTCGCCCAATGCCCATGGGGCCCGCCGCTCGGTTTCTGCTCCCTGTCCAGCAAGCCGAATTCCAGTTGACCAAGGCTCTTGAGCAGCTGCAGAAAGACCCATGGCCTGTTACCAGTGATCATAGGAACCTCCGTTGCACCGGCGTTGCCTTGTCCGTCGCTGTTGGTCTCCTGGAGATCTCCTTCCAGAATGCTGGTGGCAGGATCATGCTCTTTGCCGGTGGCCCTGCGACTGAAGGACCGGGTATGGTTGTTGGCCCAGAGTTGAGGGAGCCTATCCGCTCGCATCACGACATCGATCGAGACAATATCAAGTATTACAAGAAAGCGCTCAAGGTTGGTCTCATGTGGATTGGGGTGTGCCCTGGCGCTGGTTACTAACCTCTGGCATAGTTTTACGATAACCTCGCGAAGCGGACTGCGCACAATGGGCACATAATCGATGTCTTCGCTGGTTGCCTGGATCAAGTCGGCCTTCTCGAGATGAAGGGCTTGTGCAACTCGACCGGTGGCCACATGATCCTCACTGACAGTTTTACCTCCTCCATGTTCAAACAGTCGTTTGTTCGCGTCTTTGACAAGGATGATGACGACAACCTTCTCATGGGTTTCAACGCCGTGTTGGAGGTTCTCACCACCAAGGAGTTGAAAGTCACCGGCCTCATTGGCCATGCCGTATCTCTCAACAAGAAGTCGACATCTGTTGGCGAGACAGAATGCGGTATTGGCAACACTTGCTCGTGGAAGATGTGCGGTATCGACCCGAATGCCAGCTACGGCATCTATTTCGAAATCGCCAGTCAAGGTGGCCCCTCGCAGCACCAAGGGGGCCAGCAGAAGGGGATGATGCAGTTCCTCACCTATTACCAACACTCCTCTGGGCAGTTCCACCTCCGTGTGACGACCATTGCCCGGAACCTGAGCGGTCCTGCTGGCGACCCGGCGATTGCCCAATCGTTCGACCAGGAGGCTGCCGCCGTCCTGATGTCTAGGATTGCGGTCTTCAAGGCCGAAGTCGATGATGGTCCCGACGTCCTTCGTTGGGTTGACAGGATGCTTATCAGGCTCTGCTCGCGATTCGCAGACTATAGGAAAGATGACCCGACGTCGTTCCGACTGGAGAAGAACTTCACCCTGTATCCGCAGTTCATGTTCCACCTCCGACGAAGTCAGTTCTTGCAAGTCTTCAACAATTCGCCCGACGAGACGGCGTTCTATCGGCACGTACTCGATCACGAAGATGTTAGCAACTCGCTGATCATGATCCAACCGACTCTCGACTCCTACACCTTTGACCAAGAAGGTGGCCAGCCTGTTCTTCTAGACTCAACCTCCATCCAAGCCACCCACATCCTGCTCCTCGACACCTTCTTCCACATTTTGATCTTCCATGGCGAGACCATTGCCGAGTGGAGGAAGGCAGGATATCAGGAGCAGGAGGGCTATGAGAACTTTGCGTCGCTACTGGAGCAGCCTAAGGAAGATGCTCGGGTATGTGACACCCCTGGAAGTTTTTCGTGACGAACTTGGTACTAATTTGTTGGCAGGACCTAATCACTGATCGCTTCCCCCTGCCACGTTTCATAGTGTGCGATGCTGGTGGTTCTCAGGCTCGGTTCCTGCTGTCCAAGCTAAACCCCTCCACAACCCACACAACAGGAGCATACGGCGGTGTTGGTGCTCAGACGGCGCAGACCATCTTCACCGATGACGTCTCGTTACAGACATTCATGGACCATCTGATGAAGTAAGTAGTAACCCGAATCCAGTCACGAGTGTTGAGACGAATGGTCGACTAATTTTTCTTCTAGGCTGGCCGTGAGCGGAACAAACTAGAGATGTTGCGATCTGTCCATAGGGAAAGGAAGGAAGGCGGTAGCTAGTAGCTAGAGGCAGGGAGGGGGTTTCGGGGGATGAGTGGAATTCAGTCCAGCGATCGTAATAAACGCTCATAATAAACGCTTCGTTGCCAAAGGTGTTTCTGTCTCTCTTGTGTGTATTGTTAGCTTAGGAGCTTACTAGTCTATCGCTTAAACTCTTGATGCACAACCAGTCTGCGGACGGCCTCACCCGAGACTCTTCAATTTCCCAGAGTCGTCTGGTGAGGCTTCAGCCTCAAGCATCCCCCCTCTATTTGTGGCTGGTGAATTGGCCCCAGTCATTTTGTGATTGGCTGCCAGGGAATTTCCCTTCTTATTAGGACGGACCCCCGCTGAAAATTCAGCCACATGAGCTTAGGGCAGAAATCCCACAATTGCCAAATCCCAAAAAGATTTCTGTGCCTGCCACGACTGCCGACGACTTCACCTTTTTCCAGAATCCCAAACGAAGCGCATTTGACCTGAAAGACCGTCTCAATGCGTAAGTGCTCAATGGAATTTGCAGTAGACGATGCAACCTGCTGACCGAGTTTGACTTTCACAGCTCCCAAAGTCGATCCCACGGAGATCAAGGTCATGTATGTCAAAGAGACCGCGACTTCGAAATCGCTCGACGCTTCGTCTCGAGATTGTGTTGCTGACAAGATGAAATAGCCACCTCCGGGCCACCGGTGGTGAGGTTGGATCCTCCGCGACACTTGCCCCCAAGATCGGTCCTCTGGGTCTTTCCCCCAAGAAGGTCGGAGAAGATATCGCCAAGGCGACTGGTGACTGGGTATGGGACCGCGCGTGACGATGACGGAATTCCCAAGCTTACCTAGAGTTGTGTCATTACAGAAAGGACTCCGAGTCACCGTCAAGCTCACCATCCAGAACCGCCAGGCAGCGGTCTCCGTCGTCCCGAGCGCCTCATCACTCATCATCCGAGCACTGAAGGAGCCGCCGCGCGACCGGAAGAAGGAGAAGAACATCAAGCACAACAAGAGCATCCCCCTGGACGAGATCATCGAGATTGCGCGGACAATGCGGTTCAAGTCCTTCTCCAAGGAGCTGACGGGCACTGTTAAGGAGATTCTGGGCACTTGCTTCAGCATCGGTTGCCAGGTGGACGGAAAGAGCCCCAAGGCCATCAGCGATGCGATCACTGCGGGCGAGATTGACAGTATGTCTGACCATGCCGGGGGAGCAACCGCAACGCGCAACTCTCCTCCCCTCCCTTCTATCACTTTTCCTCCCCAATGCGACGTGTCCCTTTTTGAGTTCTATACTGACGTGGCGGCAAACAACAGTTCCCGATGAGTAAACTTGGGAATAGACGGTTGGGATTCTTGGCATGTGATTAGGAGTTCAGGGCTTGCTTTACACCAGGCTTGCCAGATCACGGCAATAAAAACATCAACTTATGGCCGAAAATCCCGTGCTCGACAACTCAAGTGCATCCTGAGAGACCATTGATTGCTCCCACTACTACTATCCACCACCTGGCTGTTCACTTTCGAAATTGACCGATCCCCCATGGTCATTTTTCATCTTTTTGTGCTCAGGAAGATTGAAGGCTGTCCCTTTACTCACCGCGGCTTTCGTTGGCTATTTAGCTGTGGAAGCCGAGGTCCATCTTTGAGGTCGACATTTTACCATCCGGGGTTTTATGGCTTACTGTGGTTGCTATCGTGACTATCAAGTTTACCAGACTTTGGTGTTGGCGACTATCTTGCTGTCTCGGCAGGAATTCTGGGCCCAAGAGATACCTCCAATGTCCACGTGCCGTTTTCAAACGAAAGCGAAGAGCAATCTCGAAGCATCTGTCTGCAGTCCCCTCTTTATCCCGTTTCCCCTTGACAGGATGGCATTCTTCTGATGCCTACGCCAAGTAGTCATAAGTTCCATTGTCCGAAGGGATCTCTTCCGAGAGCGAAGTAAAACGCTCCAGCGCTGTTGCATATATAAAAAAAATTATAAAAATTGGGTTAAGCCATATTGTTGACTCCGAAGTGCATATCGAAGTTATCTAATCTAAGGCGTTCACCGATGAGCGAAGAAGCTCATCAAAAGTGTTAGCTAATAAGAAAGGAGATCGGCCTGACGAGAATATGGTTGTGCCAGCATCCTCGATTAACAGTGCGTTTGATTTGTTGTCGCATGATCGCTGGTACCGCAGTAAGTGCTTGTCTCGATCGATAAGTGCATACATACAAATAGAATTCAACTCGGTAGTGGAATCAATTGGCGGGACACGCTGGAAGCTGACAAGAGGCGTTATGCCAGCAGGGGTGCAGCTGACCGGAAGCTAATCAACCAGACAGAAGTCTCGCTCTCGTGCTTGAGACACATGTGCCATTCGTCCTCGTCACTCCTTGGATAGATTTGCAAGACGTTCCCGCCTCACTGATGCAGGATTTGACACTCGTTTACCTTTGCCCGTCCCACTCGATGATGGTTTTCTACATCCAGAATCTCTGAACCGACGCAAATCCCCCTCCATCCCCCCCGGTCTTCTCGAATCGCGCACGGAACCTACAGCATGGCTCCAATCGAGCCGATCATGCCGGCCGAGCTGGCGGCGCCCGACCATCACCACGGCCCCTCGACCAGGCGGCGGTCGCAGTCGGCGAGCTACTCGAGCCTCGGCGTCCTCCCGGGTGCGCGGTCGGCGTCGCGAGCGCGGAGCAACACCGCGAGCTCGGGCCTGAGGGCAAGGCTAGGCCTCATGGGCGTCGCGCGGCGGACCCTGGGAATAGTGTTGCTCCTCGTCACTGTGTTTCTCTGGACCTTATCCAACTTCCTAGCTAGTGTGAGTGCGGGGACTCGGATGGCTTTCTTGGTTATGCTGGACGGAAGAGGAGGAAGAGGGCTAATATTACTCGTCTAGGACATATTCTCCGATCGCACGTATAACAAGCCCTTCTTCCTGGTCTACGTAAACACGTCCGTGTTTGCGCTCTCGCTCGTGCCGATGGTGATACAGTACGTTATGCGGCATGGCGTGTCGGGCCTGCTGAACAGGGCGGCCGAGGTCTGGCGGGAGTACCGGTCGGGCGCGACGCCGGCGAAATTGCTGCACGAGCGGGATGGCGAGGACGAGGACGCCGAGGAGCGGCTCCTCGTGGATGACGAGGACAGCCTGGAAGCGATGATGGACGTGCCGAGGCGGGACGAGAAGCTGAGCTTCGGGGAGACGGCCTGGCTGAGCCTGGAGTTCTGCCTGCTGTGGTTCGCGGCCAACTACTTCGCGTCGGCGTGCCTCGAGTACACGAGCGTGGGCAGCGTGACGATCCTCACGTCGACGAGCAGCGTGTGGACGCTGGTCTTCTGCTCCGTCATGGGCGTCGAGGGATTCACGGTCCGGAAGCTGGTTGGGGTGCTGGCGTCGCTGGCCGGGGTCGTGCTCATCTCGACGATCGACCTGTCGGGAAAGAGCGACGACAACCGCGGCAGCTTCCCGCACAAGACGCAGGCGCAGATCGCCATCGGCGACTCGATGGCCTTCTTCAGCGCCATCATCTACGGCCTGTACGTGACCGTCATGAAGAGGAGGGTCGGGAACGAGGATAGGGTCAACATGCCGCTCTTCTTTGGCATCGTCGGCTTGCTAAATGTCCTGCTCCTGTGGCCGGGATTCATCATCCTCCACTTTACGGGCATTGAACCTGTGCGTCCCTTCTGCCTCTGCCTGTCTGAGCTCTCTTGAGGGCAGAGATCGCTAACATGAATGGCTTGCAGTTTGCCTTCCCTCCAACCGGGAGAGTCTGGGGAATTATAATCGTGAGGAGTCTCTTTCCCCCACTGAGCGGCACCGCAACAGTACCCGGGCTAACCTGAAAAAATCTCGCAGCTCAACTCCGTCTCGTCCTTCATCAGCGACATGGCATGGGCGTACGCCATGCTCCTCACCACGCCGCTCGTCGTGACGGTGGGGCTGTCCCTGACGATCCCGCTGTCGCTGATCGGCGAGATGATCCGCTACGCGCAGTACTCGAGCTGGATCTACTGGGTCGGCGCGGGCGTCGTCTTCACCTCGTTCCTCTTCATCAATCACGAGAGCAAGGACGACGAGAACAACAGCAACAACGGCGGCAAGGATCACGGAGCCGAGCCGGAGTCGAGGACCGCGACAGTGGTTGACGGCGGTTGAGCCTTTTACGAACGTATGTGTACTAACAGATAGACAAGCGACGATTCCCCGGATTTCTTGTATACCTACCTACCTACCTTGGTAGCTGGCATCTACGGCGTTGGAAGGGTTGGAAGGGTTTGGTTAAGCGCAATAGATTTGGGTGGGCTTATCTGTTTCGGTCATGTGGCTCCGTGAATATATCGTCGGCATGTCTTGCTATCCGTAACTCACCTATCATCTACCTGCTCAGTTCGTCAATATATTCTGACGTGATCAATGCATGTCGATGACCGAGCCAGCCGTTTTGGCTTTTTGAGACCATCACCCCTGAAATTGCATACTTGCACGGCTTGACTCTTTGGGACTCGAGGGTTGCTGAACTCCGCAATAGGGTATGTGAAGAGTCAGTAAATCTGTTCGAGTGAATAACAAGCAATAACCTCAATTGTATTATACCCCGACAATAAACGCCCTTTGCATGCCTATTGTTCAAAGACCCCCAATAGAAGACAATAAACGCCTCATGCGCAGCCCTGACAGGAGGCTGGCTGCTGCGACCTGCGATGCTGCTCCGTCATCCATCCCGTTACGTGTCGGGGATGTTTCCAACGCTGCGCAGGTTTATATAAAACATCAACTGACATCTCCCGAGAGGCAGCCCGGGAGGTAGGTATCATCAAGAGGGAGCAAGAAAAACCAGCAGAAACCAAAAAAGGGCCAAAAAATCCTTCTCCCAGGAAGAACCTTTCCCAACCCTTTCTCTCCTCTCCTCTCATTATTTCTTTCTCCTTCCTCACCAATCATCCTCATCACCCACCCACTCCTCCCCGACATCAGCCCACCCGCAGGCCCACCTCTGCCCGCCCGTCTCGCCGCCCCTCCGCAGCCCCGTGGCCCGGGCCCTCGACTCGTCCCAGCACCGCACGAGGTAGTCGTCCCCGACGGTGACGAGCGCGCCGCCGCTCGTCCATGACAGCGAGCCCACCTCCTTGTCGTGGCCCCGCACCAGCGCCGTCCCGTTCCTGACGATCGGGACCGTGTCCACCAGCCGCGCCGACAGGTTCGTCGTCATGCTGTTCGCCCGCGCGAGGCCGCGCCGCTGCCCTGGGCCCGACAACGACGACGGTGGCCCATCCGCCGTGAGGTCGGTGGCTGAGGCGAGGAGGCTTCTTCCCCCGAAGGCGTTGGTGGTGGTTGGTGGTGACGAGACCTGCTGCGCCACCGGCGACGGAAAGGCGCCCAGGTCGGCGCGGAAGTAGCGCTCGTCGGTCGGGAAGAGCACCGCGCATCCGTCGCTGCTGCCGACGGCGAGGAGCTCGGGCCTGCCGTCGCGGGCGGGCCGGACGTCTGCCTTGACGTAGAAGCTCGTCGCGTGGAACAGCGGGTGGCGGAAGCCGTACATGGGGCCCAGGCCTTCCTGCTCGGTGCCGTGGGCTCTCCTTCGCGGGGGCTCGGTCGTGGCCCTGGCGGACAGCTCGGGGGCATGGCCGAGGACCAGGTGCGAGGTGCTATACGCGTAGACGGTGTTGTCCTTGCACAGGGCGTAGAGCCGGGCGCCGTCGGAGCCGAGGGCCATGGAGGACATGCCGAAGGGACGCCATGTCGTGTGGCTGTCTGGCGGCTTGGTGTAGGAGATGGGCGTGCTGCTCTTGTGGTGCCGCGACGTGTGGATGGACCGGATGTCCCACAGCTTGATCGACGCGTCCGCCTCGCAGGCCGAGAGCAGCAGGTGTTCGCGCCCCGCGGGCAGGAACTGGATAGCCGTGACTGACACCTCGCCGATGCGACCCGGCACCTCGCTGCGGCTGGCGATGTCGACAGAGGGGTCGGCCTGGTGGTATGGCTGCCGGGGCTGCCGGGGCGTGCGGGCGTGGGCGTCGTAGACGCTGTTGACGACGCAGCCGGGGTTGATCCGCGGCGGGAGGCGGTATCGGAGGGCGGTTTCTCGCTCAATGGAAATTTCTTGGACGGGCCCGCCACGGCAGCGTAAGTCCCAGATCTGGACGCTGCCGTCTCTGCTGGACGTGGCGAGAACGCTGCCACCGCCTCTCCCAGGCTGGAAGCGGACTTGTTTCAGAGACGCGGTGTGGTGCCCGAGAACAGACACAGGCGCCTGGGTCATCATGTCTATTACTTTCCCGGTCTGGTCGCCGGACGCGGTGGCCAGAACGTAGTCATCCTCGGAGAAGTCGAGGTCTATTATGGCATTACTGTGGACTTGGAACGAGAGATGTATCTTGTCGAAAGATTTGTTCGAGTCAAGAAGTCTTACGTGGCCCTCTTCGTCTCCCACTGCTACCAGACTATTATCTAAGGGAGTTGTCAGTCAGGCCTATATGCAAGGAAAGGGGAGATAGAGAAGGGGGGGAGAGAGAGAATGGGCAGGCAGGCAGGAACTCACTGTGACAGCTCGCAGTGCAGAACGGGATGCACCGTGCTGCTCCCTCGTGGCTGGAACACATATGTACGTCCTCTGGAGTGCTGCAGAAGTCGGCCGTCTCGGTTCTCCAGTCTGCAACGGGGTATGACATAGACTGGTGGCCACTCCGGGGCATTCCACCAGTCATACGCTGGACCAGCTGGCCAGACATGCCGCGACTTGTCAATGGCGTCAGCCGCCTGATCGGAAGTTGCATCAACGGTAGCTCATTGTCAGACTCATCGTCAAAGTCACCGTTCTCGAAGTCACCGTCCTCAAAGGCGTCGAAAGCCCGGCTAGATTGGCTGCCGGCATGCGGAGAATGAAGCGGGCTCAACAAGGCCGGTCGACTAGCTTGGAAGTCGAGTAGGGTCGGTGACGGATTTAGAAACGCGGGCTGTAGAGGAGAGGTCGCCGGAATGTGATTTGTTTTCCGCCGTTTGAGTGCCCGGCTGGAATCCACGCCGGCAGACTCGCCCGATACCACATCGGACTCGGAAATCGGCTTCAATGGACTGCTGGGGGTGTGGCATCGATTAAGAGAGGGAGCAGTCAGGTCACGAAGGGCCCTCCTAGCGGCACTTGGCTTTGATGAGACTCGGGAACGGGGAGTAAAGAACTGCCTGAACTTTCGGGGAGTGATGGACGGGTTTCGACGTTCCTTGCCTCGGCTCGAAGACAATCTGGGTGGTGATGAGAGGAGATTGCTGCTCAGTGGTGCTGTGCTCTTTGCGGCAACAGGAGTCTTGTGCTCCATGTTTACCTGATCCAGCCCTCTCCACGGGACATCTGCAAACCTTGGGACGAAGAAGAGGAAATGCTAGGAGTACGGAATCAGGAGCATTGGAGAAGGTGGTGGATATGTTTGGTCGAAAAGCCCGTGGCGGGGCTTGAGGCATGGGTTAGAGCTTGGTTCAATCAGAGGACAGTGATCGTGGGGGGTCTGGGATACGCGCACGCGTTCCCGACTACACGCGTTATAGTGGCATTTAGCGCTTTCAAAAGCCCGGCGCCCTGGAAAAAGGCTTGGGAGCTGCTGATTGGCCAGATGTTGGCAGGCATGGGCAAGCTCTTTAACCCCGCTGAATTTCTTATCGCTTATCGCTGTGCAGGGGGACTTGGAAAAATTTCTGTGGCAGCGCCGAACAGTTAGCGATACTGGTATCGTCGTTTCGTTATTCTGCAACTGGGTTCAAGCAGCAAGTTGTAGGGACGCCGAGTCTCAAATTCCTACGATGGCGATCCAGAAGAAGCATGGAAAGGGCCGTCTTGACAAGTGGTACAGACTTGCTAAGGAGAAGGGCTATCGTGCCCGCGCTGCCTTCAAGCTGATCCAGCTGAACAAGAAATATGGCTTCTTGGAAAAGAGCAAGGTCTTGCTAGACCTTTGCGCAGCTCCCGGGGTATGTCACTGCTAGAATATATCTATGGGTTGTTCTTCAAACTAACAGAACACACAGTCATGGTGTCAAGTCGCTGCTGAGACCATGCCGGTCAGCAGCATCATTATTGGAGTCGACCTTTCCCCGATCAAGCCTATTCCGAAGGTCATTACTTTCCAAAGCGATATCACCACAGACAAGTGCCGCGCGACGATTCGATCGCACCTCAAGACGTGGAAGGCGGATACTGTCCTCCACGACGGAGCCCCCAATGTCGGCACAGCGTGGGTGCAGGATTCCTTCAACCAGGCCGAGTTGACATTGCAGGCGATGAAACTAGCCACCGACTTTCTAATTGAAGGGGGCACCTTCGTCACAAAGGTCTTCCGGTCCAAGGACTACAATTCGCTGCTCTGGGTGTTCAACCAGCTGTTCACAAAGGTCGAGGCAACAAAACCACCCTCTTCCAGAAACGTCTCGGCCGAAATCTTCGTCGTGTGTCGCGGTTTCAAGGCACCAAAGAAGATCGACCCCCGGCTTCTCGATCCCCGTTCCGTCTTCGCGGAGCTTGCTGATCCGACACCGAACAACGAGGCGAAAGTGTACAACCCCGAGATCAAGAAGAGGAAGCGAGATGGTTACGAGGAGGGAGACTATACCCAATTCAAGGAAATACCCGCCAGCGAGTTTATACAGACGACGGATCCTATAGCGATCTTGGGCCAGTATAATCGACTGACCTTTGACCAACCGAAGAACGGCGACGTGGCCTTGGCTGCACTAGACAAGATGGATGAGACCACGGACGACATCCGTCTCTCCTGTGCCGATCTCAAGGTCTTAGGCAGAAAGGAGTTCAAGCTCTTGCTGAAATGGCGGTTGAAGGTCCGCGAGATCTTCGGCTTCCCTACAAAGAAGACTGCCCAAGCTGCCGAGTCCGAGGAAGTGGCCGAAGTCGAGCCAATGGACGAGGAGCTCAAGATACAGAAAGAGCTCCAGGCCATGAAGGACAGGGACAGCTCCAAGAAGAAGCGGGAGAAGCGCAGAGCAAACGAGCAGAAGCAAAGGGAAATCGTTCGTATGCAACTGAACATGACCGCTCCCATGGACATCGGCATGGAGCAGGCTGGGCCAATCGGCGAAGGCGCCATGTTCGCCCTCAAGTCGGTCGACGAGACGGAGGCCATGAGCAGGCTGGCTCGGGGCAAGATGGCCATCATAAACGAGGTCGAGGCGAGGAAAGACCGCGACAGTGGGATCGGGACTTCCCCGGACTCGGACTCCGACGAAGCCGAAGACCGCCTGGAGACTGAACTCGAAAACATGTACAATGACTACAGGGAACGGAAGGCAGCGTCGGACGCCAAGTACCGTGCGAAGAGGGCAAGAGAGGAGCATGATGATGAATGGGAAGGACTGTCGGTCAGCGAACACGCTGTGAGCGACAACGAGGAGCTCGAGGAAGACAGCAGTGACGATGAATCCGACGAGGACGAGGGCCCGCTCGAAAAGAAGCCACTCCTACAGGACCTCGATAATGAGCCGTCCGAGTCTGGGGGGCTCTCCAAACGTGCGCGCAGATTCTTCAACCAGGATATCTTCAAAGACATGACAGACGTTCTTAGCGAAGATGACGAAGATGAGTTGGAGGGTCATGACGGAATCGAGGTGCCAGAAAAATATCCTGCAACGGGTCTAGATGGGATAGAGGAAGAGATCGCGGCCGAAGAAGCAGACTCCGTTCCCGAGCCGGCTTCAAAGCAGAAGAAAAAGCAGAAGAAACAACAGAAGAAGAAGGTCTACGACTCTGATGGGAGCGAAGATGGGGAGATCGAGATCGTCAAGAAGGACAAGGTTGTCAAGAAGGACGACGACGATGACGACGACGACTGGGAGGAGAAAGAGAAACGCCAGCACGATGGTAGACCAGGTGAGTTTCACGCCAGAGACGTAATCGAATGCCACCCGTTTCCATTTAGCTAACAACAGTCAGACATCGACATCATCACCGCCGAGGCCATGACCCTGGCCCACCAGCTCGCGACGGGACAGAAGAAGAGCCACGATCTCATAGACGACGGCTTCAACAAGCATTCCCTCAAGGATCGGGACGGGCTCCCGGATTGGTTCATCGAGGACGAGGCCAAGCACGACAAGCCCCACCGGCCGATCACAAAGGCCGCGGCGATGGCTATCAAGGAGAAGTTGCGGGCCTACAACGCCCGCCCGATCAAGAAGGTCAGGGAGGCGAAGGCAAGGCATAAGCTCAGGGCGGCCCAGCGACTAGAGAAGATGAAGAAGAAGAGCGACCTCGTGGCCAGCGACGAGGGCATGACGGAGAGGGAGAAGGCCAGCAGCATCACGAGGCTGATGAGCAACGCGGCGAAGAAGAAGCCCCGCAAGGAAGTCAAGGTGGTTGTCGCGAGGGGCGCGAACCGCGGTATCGCAGGCCGGCCGAGAGGCGTGAAGGGCAGGTATAAGATCGTGGATCCCAGAATGAGGAAGGATATGCGGGCCCTGAAGAGGGTCGCCGCGAAACACAAGAAGAGGTAGAGGGTAGAATGGTAGAAGCGGGGGGTTCAAGAAGAACTTAAAAGTCACAGTCACACACATAAGTTACGGTCTGTTCAGGCAGAGACAGGCCATCCTTTATTCCCTATCCTGCTGGCCCGAGTATACGGACCTAACGAAGTTGCCAAATGGGTACAACGGCCCTGAGAAATCCATGTCATACCTGAGTTCTCAGTCAGCTTGACTTGGGGCAAACGTAAATTAGCAACAGACATATCTTACCAATAATTAACCGCCACACAAATCCCCTCCTCAGAACCCGACTGTGAGACTTTATGGTACCTACGGTGTCAAAGGGGCAGCTGTTAGCTACCAATCAAACGATGAAAAGGCCCGAGACAACTGACCACATCGCCGGCAGATAGAGCATATCGCCAGGATTAAGCGTGACCCGCACCGGCCTCGCCAGGGTCGAGTAAGCCGTGGCGTTCTCCTCGGGCCGGTCAGGGTCCCAGGTCGGAAATGGCACCCCGGCACCCCCGTCCCCGCCGCCGTCCAGTTCCAACGCCAAGAGCGACGACGACCCCTGGCTCAGGCGGCGGCGATAAGTCGCGGGCCTGAGGCTCCTCTCGTTCACGCAGGGATGGCACGGCGGCGGCAGCAGGACGAAGTGCTTCCGGCCCAGGACCTGGACGTAGACGTTCTCGTAGTTGTCCTTGTGCAGGGCCGTGACGGACCGCGAGTTGCCGACCCAGAGGTTGATTGCGTCGGGGACCTTCTGGAGCGCCACCCGCGCGAAGGGGATGTCGCGCTGGACGTGGCTGAAGAGGGAGAGATACTCGTGGCGCAGGTTGTCGTTCTCTGGCGGTTGTCAGAGAACAGAGTGCGATATATATAACTAACTCTGAGAGGTTGAACAGGGCTTACGGGTCTGGGCGTATCGGACTTCAGCGTCGGGGGGAAAGGAAGGGTCTGTCTCCTGCCGGATCACATGTTCCAGGAATTCGGCAAACGGTTGGTCCTCCTCCCAGGGCTTGGCGAAGACTAGATTGCCGTCGTCGCCGATCTCGAGCTCTGTGGGAGAGTCGGCGTTGCTGAGGGCGGGCAGATAAAAGTCAAATCAGCAAGGTGCGCGCATCCCCATCGGGATTGGATCGTGGCCGAACCCCATTGGCGTCACCGCGACGTTGACCGTCTCGTGGCCGAGCACGTCCCGGAGATATTGGGCGTCCCATGTCTGGCAGGCCCTCCAGCCCGCCGCCGCACGTCTTGCGACGAATGGGGTGTTCCTAGCCACATATCGCATGAACTCGAGGGGACTAGGCTCCCCCTCGAGCTCGTCGACTGCGCAGCTGTTGAGCTCATTATACGTGGTCAGGAGCTCTGCGATCGCATCAACATGGACTTGCGCCTCCTCCGCCTCTGCCATTGCCTCGGGTGCACAAACACGTTTGGCACGTTTAGTGGTCAGCCAATATTGATCGGGCAGTTCGTGCGGCTAATTTGTGTTCGTTGGTGGTTAGGAAGATGCTGCAGCCTTACTGTAAGCAGTAGTGTTTGACAGTTTCCGGTGGGCTCGTTACCAATCAAATCGCTCAACCCTGGGCAGTCAACCGCTTAGTGTGCCAGAAGTCAGACCATTATTTTGTCATAACAGCTGATGATACACCTACGCGGGGCGCATATCTGTATTACCAGAGATTAGGTTGGCGGCGGCTCTCGAACATAGGCACATAGCATAGGAAGGGCATAGATATAAAGAGCCATGGACTCGCAAGTTTGTTTAGAAATCTAGGTTCCGCACCTACTCTTCACTTCATTATTTCCGGCTCCCCAGAATGGATTCAGGTCAAGCGGCCATCCCATTGTCCAGGCCGTCGAGGAGTGTGCCCTGCGGGCTATAGTTTGAAGGACCAAATTAGCGCCATGGCCTCATCTCATACGCACGGAGGTTTTCTCCAGCTGAGGAAGCGTGCGAACTTGCGAACAGCTGAGTGGTCGTCTCTTTTGGGCACCCTCTCTTCTGGTGCCCTCTTTGCTGGCACGTTGGGGAACCCAAGTTCCGTACAAAGGGTTGTACAAAAGTTTATACGTTTGCTATGGTAATGTATTTTCTGGCTTATTTGCAGCAAAGGTTCCAGCGAATCTGACGCCGTGCTTTCTGTACCAGGGGTGCCTGGAAATCGGAATCGGAATCGGAATCGCAGCTGGAAGGTGGGATTCGTCACCGTTTGACGCCAATTTCCATCTTATCAGCAATTGCCAGACACCTGGCTACATTACCTATGACGTATTTAGGTACACTACGCATAGATATCCTCTGGAAAGACGAGGTCTCCAAGCCAACCGGAACGTGCAGCAAAGCTCTTGGTTTAGCCAATCGTGCTCAATTCGATAAGCTGCTGTTGGCTTGGCCTTCTTTCCGTCAATGAGGAGTGTCAACTTGGCGCACGTCGTGTTCCATGATTGATGAAACGTTTTCCCCATCTCAGGAACACCGAAACAAGAAGTACACCGCGCACTGACGCCTCGCTTAGACCCATTAGTTTGCGCCTGAACATACGCTACTTGCTCCCGGATTGTGCATACCTTGGCACTTGGTTGAGACTCGAATCGAATTTGGAAGTTTCCCATTTCCCCTTTGCCCCATTGCCCCATTTCAAAAGTCCAATTGGCAATTGCGGTGTCATTTCCATTTCCGTTTCCATGTCCCCTCGCATTTTCAACACCCTTCCCCCGTCACATACTGCTACCGTCTCTGTGACTACGGCCTGGCAACGCGTTGGCTTCCCATGATAATAGGGACAGCCTAGGTTTCGGTGATTCGGCCGCGATAGCGCTGTGTTGTCTTGGGACATCGAGCTCCAAACACGGCGCCACGCAGCTTCGCTGGCCCATCCGGATACGTGATTTCCGCAGACCATCCTCCGTCCGAATGGCTGTCGTGTCCGCCAACTAGGCCTCGACTGTACACGTACCATCCTCGCAACATGGTTCCGTCTCTCTCTGGATTCGCATAGCGCCGCCGTTCTCGTTCATATCGGAAAGGCGGGGAGCCAGTCACGCCTTTGTAAATCGCCTGTCGCATGCCAGTTACTGTCTCAGCCCAGGCCAACACTGCCCCTGGTAGTTTGTTGAACTTCTCGCCCTGATGATTTGGTATCTTCTCTATCCGTTCCGAGGGTGAGTCAACGCTTCCCCGTCTAGCGCCTATGTGCTAGAAAACCCTCAAGGATGGTTGAAGAGTTGAGTTGACAAGGAATAGGACTACGGAAGCCCCAGTACTTGCGTCCACACATCCTCTTCGTCAAACTTTCACGCGCTATGGCAGATATGTAGCTCGACATGCCCTTGCAACCCTACTTATCTCGGTCGCGTTTGCGCTCCTTCTTGTATATCCCTGCCCCTTCCTTTACACGACCGACTTCGCCAGCGGGGCGTCTAACCTCCCCCATCATGTCTGGACCGACGCTCAGCCGCTCCACGAGAAGAGCACCTCCGAGCCCGATGTGATCATGCGATCCATCTGGGTACACGGTAGCTACATGCAGGTGCTCGACCGCGATGTCCTACTCAGTGCCCTGGAGCTGCAGAACGAGCTCTTGGGGCCGACCAAGAGCTTCAACCCTCGTCAGCCGACCAATAGTGTCCATCTGGTCGACGAGGCAGCTGACCTCTCCCCGGAAGATCGGGACAAGTTTCACGTTCTGAACGGCTTGACAACCCAATCCTGGTTCTTCCACTCGCCGCTCCTATACTGGGCCTGTTCGGCGGAGGAAATCGCCCGTGATCCCGACATTATCGCGACTGTGAACGAGAAGAAAAGCCAGCCTACGTCTGTCAACGTAACATTGCGGCATTCGATCGTCTTCAGCGGCAAACGTTTCGAAGACCGTCGCCTTGTAGCAGCCGATGCTCTCGTCATTACACTAATCCACCTGCGCGATTCCCCCGTGGGCAGGCAGTGGGAGAGGAAGCTCGCGGCTCTCGCTGCGCGAATGGACGACAAATGGACAGTCATACAATCGGGAGGCCGGAGCATGTCGAGCCAGCTCTATGAGTTCCAGTTCAAGCCAATATCCATCTCCGACCAGGTGCTCCTGACTTCGGCCTATCTCATAATGGCGGTCTACTTTATCTCGAGCTTCTCGAAACTCCGTGCCGTCAAATCCAAGCTCGGCCTCTTCGTTACGGCCTGGGTTCAGATCATGGCATCTATGGTTTCGAGCCTCACCGTGTGCGCCATCTTCAAGGTCGATGTCTCCAGAGTCCCATACATTGCGTATCCTCTAGTCGTCCTAGCTATCAGCCTCGAAAACTCGTTTAGACTGATTAACGCCGTCATCATGACCCCCGTAGATCACAGTATTAGCAGCAGGATAGGGGAGGCGTTTGGGGACACGGCCCACGTTGCCGTTGCCAGTCGGGCGCAGAACCTGATTATTCTCTGGGGGCTCTCAAGGATAACCTTCCCCGGCGTCTCAGGCTTCTGCACCTTCGCGGCCATCGCGATCGTCTTCGATTTCTTCTACCTGTCGACCTTCTTCCTCTCGGTCCTCAGCGTGGATGTCCAACGAACGGATCTGAGCGACGCCCTCGAGAAGACCTCCTCGGAAAAGCACAGGTCAGGCTCCGGAAGCCAAGTTCGGCAGTCGTGGTCCGACGCGCTGCTTCAAGGCAAAATTGCCCTCTCCACCCGCATCGCTGGCACTGTCGTCATGTTGGGTTTTGTCTTCATCGCACAGTGGCACTTTGTGGAGGACAGGGGTATTCTGAGAGTGTTGAGCAGCATCTTCAATACCAGTTGGACGAATCGAAAGGACACATCTCCCAGGACGCCTTCCCTGTTGATTAACATCAACCAAGCCAGGAGCCCGACGTCGTGGCTGCGGCTCCAGGACCACGAAACGGCTCACGAGGTGATCAACGTCGTCAAGCCGTGGGCACACAGCTACGTAGCTCGAGTGTATGACCCCCTGGTGTTTTTGCTGAAAGGCTCTGATCGGGTGCCACATGATAAGGAGAGACTGCTCCTTCCTGCGGTATACGACTTTGTACATCACGAGCTGCCTCGGTTTATTGTGGTAGTGCTAGTCATCGTTGCCCTGGTACGGCTGTTGATGAACTACCTCCTGTGGGACGATATTTCCGAGGCAGCAGATGACGACTTCCCCGAAGCCGACCCCCTGCTGTCGATCAAGTCGTTGAGCGCCGGTCATGTACTCGACATCGTCATGATGACTGCTTCCTCAAACGGTCACCTAGTGTCTGCCGGGTTGGATCGACTCATACAGGTTTGGAACGTCCGGGCGGGCTCTAGAAGCCGCGTGATATCAGATCCGGAAAATCCGGAAGAAGACCCCTTTCCGGTTCTGGCAATGGCGATCGACAATACCCCAACTTGGCTGGCATTGCTCTCGCCTCGAACGGTCATGCTGTGGAATCTGCACGAACAGCGATGGGGCAAATCGATGGCGGTTGACATGGAAGGGCACAAGCCCATCTCGTTCTTCTTCGACTCCAGGTCGTCTGCAACTGCACCCGTCCTCATCATCGTCAGACGGAACGGGACCATGGCCGAGCTGGACCTCGGCGCCGGGGAGTGCACGGAATATATTGTTTGCAAGACCTCTCTAGTCCACGCGGTGCCGATTGAGGAAAAAGGCAAGCCATCGCCCCATGTTTTGTTGATCTGCCCCGGGTGTGCCTTGCTAACTTGTGTCGCAGTCACGCCCGGCCAGTTGGCGCCTCGCCTGTCGATCCTGACGGCATCGCGGAAGAGCTGCATCCACCAAGTCACCAACCACGACGGCATGTGGCTCTCCGAAGACGTCAAATTCCCAACACGAGAAGAGAGGGATATCCAATCACTACTCCCGGTCTCGGGCTGTGCCGCCTACCTGATCGTCCGGCTGGAAACGGTCGACCTGGTAGATCTCAGGACCTCGCAGATCGTGCACACCTTCCAGACGGAACCCATAGAGCCCCGATCCCTAAAGTACCTCCGCTCGAGGAGGAGGCAGACGCAGTGCGGGTCGCAGGGGCTCTCGTCCTTCACGCTCGCGTACACCAGCGCCGACACGGGCGAGTGCATCCTGCAGACGTACCTGCCGCCCGAGGAGGGCGACGCGATCTGCTTCTGCGACACGCCGCGGTCCCCGGCGACGCACTGCTGCCCGTGGGCCGACACGCGGGAACTCAAGCGCCGCGTCGCCGACCCGGGCGACTGGGAGGCCCTGCCGAATGGGAGCGTCGTTGGCGTGCGGAGGAAGATGATGCCGGAGCCGAAGGGCAGGGGCAGGGGCAGGGGCAGGGCCGCCCTCGTCGTCGCCGCCGCCCCCTCGCCGCCGCCGCCGCTGCGGAACAACCTCCGCCATAGACGTCGCATGAGCAGCGGGGCCCGGCCGGAGGATAGGGAGGGCTGGGAGGTGTGGGTCATGTCGCAGCTCGAGAAGGAGGAGAAGTACGAGACGAGGCCGCTCGTAGGGCCCCACGACGACGACGACGAACACTACGACGAGCAGCGGTACCAACTGCGGCTGCTGCAGCAGCAGCGAGCCGCCGCCGGCGGCGATCACCTGATGGTGTCGAGGCCCGGCCCCGTGGCCAAGGTCGGCTACTCCAGCGTGGCGGTCGCGTTCGGGGACGTCATCAAGGTCATCACCGTCGGGCACGAGCGGTTCGAGAGCCCCGCCGACAGGCTGACGGCGGGGAACCTTGTGAGCCTGGCCAACCGCAGGCGGAGGACGGCTGGGATGCTGAGGATCAAGCCCACGCTGGCCGTCCAACGGCCTTGATTATTCTGGGTCTCCTCGAACGCGGAGACGGGACGGACGGACGGACGGGAGTTCTGGCCTAGGAGTAACGGAAGGAGTAAATATAGATGGGTGGGAATGGAAAGGGGGATGAAGCTTGGATTATATGGTATACATAACTATGTCTTCCCGGAAAGTCCACTCACTGGTCTTTGGGTGGCTGGGAGGAAGGACGGGCTGTCTGTTGGCGCGAGAGTTTTCTAGCGCAGAGCTCTCACATTTGCGGGAGTGTTTCTTTCGAGGGTTGGTTTTGTTTGTATTGGATACCAAGAAAATAACCGGCGGGCAAGGGTCATTGGAGCTATGATATACGGACGATATGAGGCCTTGGGATGATGATCTTGTCCAGGCGTATATACTTCGGTGGCGGATATGGGAATGAGAGGGACACTGAGTGGTATGGCTTCGGCGCGAATCTGGCGAGTAGGAGTATATATATTAAGAATACTTGAAGTCTGTCTATAAGTTGTATGTACGAATGCATGCAAAGCACAGGCAGGTATACATTTCTCGCAAGAGGCTTCTCTCGAGCTATCAACGGGCCCTTCTACGAGCCCCATGCAGTGCGGAAACACCATGCATCCCTGACGGTCGGAAGCCTTCATATCGGCCATTAGAGGCACAAATGCCCTCCGGGGTCGGTTCTAGAGGGCGAGTTGAGATATCGGGTGGGGTTGGCGCTGAAGGCGGGGGTAATAGGTTTACTGGGAGAGCTTCCTGGTGAGAAGATGGAAGCACCCCGGCCAGACGGGCGATTCTCAGATAGACTAGATGGATACGGAGAAGCCCTTACCCGTTCCTAACTGACTATAAAACTGAACGGAAATGCAAATGCGGTCCTAAGGAATCACGTTGATATCTCGTGCAATGTACTTCACATGAGTTGAAGGAACTGCACCCCGATCATCAAGAACTGATCACTAGATCTTGAGTGCCTTCACATCTAGTACGCCATTAAGACTTGACAGTTGGCAGGACCAGTCCGTGACCAGTAGCTTTGACGGACACGTGTAGGGCTGAGGGAATTGCTGGAGACATCCATACGTCGTGTAACCCCCCTAGCATAGGAAGAGAAGAGGAGACTCTGGGCTGGAAACTGAGGTGTCTCTGGAGCTGAACGCGATGTCTTTTGCACGTAAGCTCGGCAGTTTGCAGGGGGCGAGCTATTGGCATCCTCATCGATTGACGTGTGTCCCAGGCCAGGCTGTTTTATTAGTGTACTGTACAATACATACCTAGTATGATCTGGATGTCGGTTAGTTGGTCTTCACCGCCAGTTCATCCCGTTTGTAAGAACAGGTCCGACAGGGGTTTGATCGGACTTGTGCACTGTCGGCAACCCCTTCCCATTCATATGAGGGGGGCCGAAATAGATTGAAAGGGGGGGATGGCCGCATATATCAAGGCCAAGCGCGGGGAGACCAGCTGTACAGCTGGCCATTGATATTTATGAAGTCATCATGGAGGCTGTTGGGGCGAGAACCTGGCCGGCTGCGCTGGCACCAATTGAGACGATTTGCTTCCCATTCAAGAATGAGGAATCAAAAATTGGGGTGGCTGGGGTCCACGTGCAGAAGCAGGATCTGAAGCAGGTTCTCAAAAGGCGTGGCGCCATCCGGGAACCTGGGCCCACCTGCATCGTGCACGCCAGGACCATTGGAATGATTCAGATTGACTGCGGTGCAGCTGCATCGCCGGCGAATAACTAGGTACCTTTGCAGCTTTGGAACACCTTCTGAAGCAGGGAGGGTCTTGGGGCGCTTTTAGAAGCAACCTAATAATAAGTTACTGTGCGTACTGTGCGTACTGTGCCAAAGATGAGAGAGGTTGAAAGTCGAGACCGCGCTTCGCGCACGTGTAACAACGCAAGAAACCGGGCTGCTGGCCTCTAGATCCAGCTCGTCCAATAGTCCGGTTGGGGCCATATTAGGTATGCTATGTAAACAAGCTCCCCTTTAACTTGGCGCACAATATCCCGCGTTTCGGCGAACAATAACGGGACCCTGGACGCTGGTCATGGGCGTGGGAGGCCTGTAATAGAACCCCAAAAAATTCCAGATTACGGAGTATGGAGTACGGAGGTACCTAAGGAAGTGTAGAATAAGGTAAAATCATAACAGTGCGATTTAAATTCTCCCTACTACCCTAACATCACCACCGCCTCCCGCCTCCACAACAGACAACGGCGGCGGGCAGCATTTCCACGAGAATCTAGACGCGGTGCACGCGACTTTTACGAGATAGCACCTGGTAACACACACACTCACACTACTCCCGTCTGTAGGAAGACGCTACGTACATACATACGAAGTACATACGTGGCCCAGCCCTCAGCTCGCGGGCTTTTTGTCCTCCAATTGCCGCGGGTTCCTGCCGCAATGGGACCAAGCCATCGAGTCGCTCATTGATTGATTGACGGTGGACAACTCACACTTGCAGAGAACCGTCTGCACCACCAACGCCTTGCATTTCCTTCTCCCGGCAGGGCTCTGATCTCGCCACATTGCCCAATTGTCCACTAACGCCATCACATAAGGCCGGCGCGCCTCTTCTCTCCTTTTCCAAGGCCACTTCTCTCTTCACTGAGTCGCTCTGAAAACCAGGCGCAGGGCCCACCACGCTCGTTCATCGTTCATGCACGATACCCTCGCGCTGCTACTCCTGCCTGCAGGACTCCTTTAAGGCACATACATAGTACGGACGCCTACACTTCGTCTTTCCCACAAGCGCATCCCCACATATTCGGCCTTCTCTCTCCCTCTCCTCTGCCGTTCCTCTTCTCGTAAACCCTGGCCGAATGCTCTTCAGTCTTCAGTTCTGAGCTGCACTCCCAATTGACTGCCATTGGCGACTGAACGGGCCTTTAATCGCCCCCCAGTCAGGTCTCGCCGCACCTTGTCGAAGGAGCTCCACATCGATCTCGGTTGTCCAGTCGTTAAAGCTTTGGTATCGCCCACCCAAGTCCAAGCTTCCCTCTCACCGCCTGAGGTTTCCCAGAACTGCAAAGGCAGATTCTCTTGCCAGCAACCGGGTTCCCGCAATCCCTTAAGTTGGCGGCAGACATCTTGTTTATATATACCGTCCCACGAGAGGCGGCCTTTCGCCATGACCAGTTCCGAATCCGGCAAGCCCACGACCTCCGAACTTGAGCCTCAGTTTCAGGCTTCCCTGGCTTTCCGCTGATCGCATTGACCGCTTGCTTCCTCATTGGCCATACGACTTGTACAAACTACCTTTCCCGGCCCTCCGGCCATCACTGGGCCATTACTGTACCATATTGGTCAGGACTCCTCCAATGATCCAGCTTTCGCTTCCTCGGCCAACTGACATCGATGTTCACAGTGACATAGTAATCAAAACAAGGAGCCATCGGTCTCTTGTTGTGTGTGTCTAGTTCATAACGAGACGCCACCCTCAGTCTCAGCATCAGGACCAACTCAGCCCCGGCCCGTTCACTTGTCCTCCAGTTTTCTTCTCCTTTTCAACTCTGATGTGGCATGCGGGTAGCCTCGACAGTCGCTCTTTCGTATCTCGAACCTTACTGGGTCAAGGTGGGCCAGCTCAGAGCTGTGGTTGGGTCTTGCGGTTAGGACAACCTCTGCCACCATCATCCACCCATAGCCTTGCCACACACGCTTCCAGCTTCTTTCACCTTCTTGCCGCCCTCTCGAGCCCGGACTTGCATTTCAACCCGACCCCCATTCTCCCTCCCCCCGTCACTTTACTGCCACCAGACACTTAATCATTGTATAACTCCCCGTCGGGTTCTCTTCTCCATCATCCGAAACCCTACGTCAGGACCTCGGATCGCCGTCGCGGTGGTAGTGTTCCCGTCTTGATGGCTTCTTCCGAGGTTGACCAAAAGTTCCTTGGCAGACTGGCAAAGACTGTCGAGCCGGACAACCCACTCCTGGCCTCGATTCTATTCAGGATATTGGGGCTTTCGATCAACCTGTCTTCCCAACTTGTCCGGGCGCGGAAGCAGCGGCGACTCGATACGACCCGAGCCGAGTCTTTGGACTTGTACCTCCACATCATCTGGCTATCTAGGGAAGGACTCTTACTCCTGGAGCAGTATGTCATACCTATGGTTGGCAACTATGTCGAGCTCAAAGTTCTGGCATACAAGCTTCGTGCCTCCTTTTACCACATCTTTGTCCAGTTCCACAACCAGCCGCCGGTGTCATCGATGGGCATTTCGACCCCTGAAGCCCAGGCGACAGCGGCTGTCCCTGGGCTACCACCTGCACGTGTCGACAAGGGCAAGGGAGTCGCAAGGGATGACGACAACGGGACAACTCACTCGACGCTGCAACCGACGCACACCTTGGAGGGCGGGCCAGTGGGTCCCCCGCCCGGATTTGCACCTGAAGTCGCAGGTTCGTTTCTGTTCCCCGCTGTCGACTATCTCCCGTTGGCGCACCAATACTTCAAGGAAGCCGCCGCACTTGCCGACCAGCTTCTCTGGGGTTCGCACTCCCTCCGACTCTCCGTGAAGACGGAGTATGCCGCATTCCTCTACGAGTGCGTGCACGACGACATAGCCAGTCGGAAACTCGCAAAGGATAGCATCGCTGCGGTCTACGAAGCCACAGAGGGAATCGATAACGACATGTTCACCGACGCCTGTGAGCTTGTCACGGTCTTGGGGAAGATGATGAAACGCGGCCTCGGCTCTAACAACACATTGCGAAGTCGTGGCCAAGGCTCCGGCTCGGGATCGCAGGGCACGCCTCGCGCCGAGAATGTCGCTTCCGGCGCAGGAGGCCCGCCCCCCGGGATGATATGAGAGCGGCCATCCTGAGAAGCTTTGCTCCCGTCCCAAGACCATCCAAGTGTTCCCAATCACACTGTTTCCGCGTCTGGCTCACTGCTCGAATCAGAAGCCAAGACCGGCTCAGCAGACTATTAACCGTCCTCCTCCGGACTCGGAACACAACCTCTATCCTCCTATCTCGCTCCGGCTCCGGCTCCGGCTCTTCCCAGCGAATTCGAGAACTCATCTCGACACCCAATCCAGAAGGAAGTTCATTTACCCTGTCCTCTAATCGCACCTTCTGTGTACATTATCGTTCTGGCATCATGAACCCCCATCTACCTACTACCTAGCTTCGCGTTAATATTTGAGGAATAAATCTCACCAGGGAGTGGTACATACATACCGGCTTTAATATCTTCCTCGAACACCCGGTTAGCTTTTGACAGGGTCCTGCATCTTTGGCGGCGGAGTCCATGGCAACCCCTTTTTTCTATTTAAACTCCCGGCTTGTGGATACATGGATTCTGGAAACGGGGCCACTCTTGTATTATTGTTATTTCGAGCATCGCCTGAGGGCGGGTTGATGGTGCTTCTTAAAAATGGAGTTACTATTCTGGCATTTTGTTCGAGTTCTGTTTGATACCCGAGTCATCAAACGGGGGGTGGGGGGCTGGTGTCCTGGACAGAAGAAGAAGGATTTTGCAAAGTTCTCCCTAGCTCTTCTTTGCCTGCCACTTGTGCGTGTGCGTGTGTGTGTGTGAATATGAGATGGATTTAATCCTTTTAATCCCGACCAGAGAATGCTGTCCAGCAGCAGTGACTGAGCATGTTCCAGTGGTCTAGTTATCATCGACCAGGTGTTTCTGGATGATATTGCAAGTGTGATGCCATCCCGTCCGATGGCCCGTCCCGGAGCCGGCGGTGTTGCGACGTCGGCCCAGAACCCAACCCAGAGGTGCCGGGTAAGGCGGTCTCCCGACGGCTGGCGGGCCGTTCCGTCAAATTCGATCCAAGCCCTTTAGTTGTCAGGGGCCATCCTTGGAGGGCCATTTCGCAAAGGCCCAAAATAAAATACATTGCATGGATAGTGCCTTCGAGAAGAAAAGGCGACCTAGGAGCTAGTTTGATCAGGTGAGACAGACAAGGATAAGTGTCTCTCGGTTGAGCGAAATAGGGGGATGCTTACCTATTAGGTACATTCCAACCCGTCTCTGTCGGATCTCCTCCCCCCACAAACCCAATCAGAGATGCAAGCGCAGGATCGAAAAGATGAGAAGCCTTTCTAACAAGAGAGCGCGCCAACGGAACAAATACTCTTGGGGCTCTGGGGAAGTAAAGCAGCGGCCCCCTTTAAAATCCTACGTGAAATATCACCATGGATGCGGTACTGAATGCTAATGACTGGTATTAAAGGCCCCCTCGCTCTATCAGATATCTAGCAACACCATTTCTGTCTCCCCTTAACGGATACCATCAACCCCTCCCATCGATTACCCTAAATAAGGGGCCATGTGTGTTCTCCAACCGTCTATCTACCCCGGTGGGTTTCGCTCGCCCGGCCTAGGAGCAAACAGCTTTCCCCCTCAGCAATTGCCCTTCTTGCAGTTGTCGCACAGCTTCACGTTTGCAGCCACGATGTTGGTGCAGCCGTGGGTCTTGTTGTGGTCGCAGTACTTGGCGGCCATGGAGGTGGCGTCGTGGGAAGGAGGGGTGTCGAGGCTGTTGGAAACACCTCGGGTGCTCGGCTTGCTCTTTTCGCTCTGGTTCTTCATCCTGCAGCTGGGATTGGAAATCTCGTGGATCTTGTCGTTGTTGTTTGCCTTGGATATTGTAAAATGGGTGCTGTTGTTGTTGGCGTTGAGATGCTCCAGGTTGCTGTTGGCGTTGAGGTGTTGGTCCCTTGGGGGTGGAGAGGCCTTTATACCTGCGATGTCGCCCCTCGATGAATGGGTTTCTACTGAGGATTCACTATGGCAAACCTACCTACGTACCTTCATTCACTACAAGGTCCAGAAGGGAATCATGTTGGCGATGTCCGCGATGATACAGTGACGGACATGACTTAGGTTAGAGTGGGTGAATCAAGTTTGCTATCTCACCCCGCCAAATATACCTTTCATGATAGGCCTTACATTACAGGCCAAGAACTGAGAGTTGTGAGCCTGAAAGCAAAGCACAAAGATGACCACATTCACTGCTCCTAGTATACCTACAAGGCAGAACCCGAACAATGATAGGGTTCCATAGATCCCCCCCCGTTCCAAGCAGAGAAGCCTCTTCAGGTGCCCATAATTCACCCATTCTTTACCTCAGCGGCCTCCGCCTCCTCGATCTTGCGCTTCAGCAGTTGATATGGAACCATGCGGCCAGTGGCATTGTAGAAAGCAGACTGCAGCTCCAGCCAGTGGTCAGCCTCGCGCTTTGAGTAGAGAAGGCCAAGAACCCTGCAGTCAAGAGGAGAGAAGTGGTCGTCAGACTGGATCTTGTTGGCAAATGTGTCATCGTACATTCTGCCCAGGAGAGCTGCTGACACTTCCTCTCGCCGGTACTGGCGTGACTCGGTGTGTTTAACGGCAGACTCGCCACCGTCATCGGAACTGGAGGAGGCATATGTGGGCGGCTTGCCCTTCTTCCTTTTAGCCCTGCCTTGTCCTATCGTCCCTCTGCCTTTTTTTGTCTCTTCCTTCTCCTTCCCCCCAGCCAATTCATCGTCTGCGTCACTCCTGTCTTCGCCACTGGCCTCAGTCGCCGATTCGGATTCGGGTGCGGCTTCTTCTGCAATGAGCTCTTCCCAACGCTGCTCGACCTCCTTTTCCCCACAAAAGATGGCCTTGCCAATGGTGATCCATGACTCTCCTCCTTCTCTCATCGAGATGATAATTGCATCCTCAGAGGGGGTCCAGTCGTCACTGCTTGAGGAGTCCTTATCGGAGGATGGCTCCCTGGGAGATGGCTCCCCTGCGGAGGACTCATCGGTAGAGCTGGCCTGCGAATCTGCACTGGCGGTAGGGGACGGCTCGCTCCCAGTGGTTGTTTTCTTCTTCTTAGCTTCAGACTTCCTAAGCTTGATGCTGACCGTCTTCCTCCAATGGTAAGTCGGCTCGCTCGAGGAATCATCAGAGTCATCGGAGACCTCGTCAGACCACCTTACAGACTTGGTGTTGGCCTTGGCCTTGAAATTGCCTTTGTTCCCATGCTTGGTGTTCATCTTCCTCAAAGTCCCAGCCTTCTTCTTGCCAGAGCCCGCACTCGACCCGTCAGAGGGGCCAGGCTCAGACTCGCTCCCAGACTCCCCTGTCTCGGCACTGTCACAATCTGAGGAGGGAAGGTATCCGGCATCTTCAAACTCAAAGAGAGTGGCGTGGAGGTTGGGTCCGGTGGTGGATCTGCCGGACTTCGGGATGACAATGTCGCCTCCCATCAGCCAGTTAGGGAAGGAAAGCTGGAGGTTTTTCGCTGGGGCAACCTCGGCATAGAGCTTGTTGCCCTTGAAGCCAATTATTCGGCGAGTGGTTCGAGGCATCTGGTAAATATGATGTTGGTCGGACAAGTTATGTCTACTAGGACAACCCTCCGGGTTTAGGATTCCAGCGTCTGAGTATTCTTGGACCGGGGGGGCTGTTCCTGTTCCTGCTGAGAGATGGTCGAGGAGATGGGCTTCGTATGACGTGGGGTGCTGGAACTGCCGCTGAAGCAACAGGATGATTTGGTGAAAGACCACGAGAAATGCGGAGGCTAAGACGGGACGAGAGAGGGTATGCAAGACTGGTTGATTATCCCTTGGTGATCCGTAAAATGTGAAGGACAATAGGAGGAAACCATATACTCGGGAGTGGTCTCTAGGTAACTGCACGAAGGATAGAACGGAAGGTGGTGTTGGAGGTGAGTGGAAGGGCAGGCTTGGTTGGCAACATTAATCTGAGCTTCAGGTGAACAATTGCCTATAAAACAAAAAGCCATGTATATTTGTACAACAGAGGGAACATCTAGGGGCTGTGATTCAGCAAACTTGCGTGGGATGTTCCCTTATCATTATCAGCTAAGGAACATGGGGCAGTGCAATCTTCACAAGAAGCTCATGTATATATATCTAGACAGAGATACCAAAGACGCGCAGTGCGGCCACTCTGCCTCCTCTTCCATCTTACCTATTCATATCTCCAGTGTTCTTCTCGACCCTCCTTCTGATATGTTTAAAGGCTTGCCCTGCCTTCTATATTGGAGTCTAGGTTGTCGGGCAAGCTACTTTGAGCTTCTGCATTAGATGGCTCACAAACAACTCACCCAAACCATGGCAGCTCCCTTCTCCTCCCTGGGAGAACTGGTAAAACCGCCCCTGGTACTGTTTGTTGTGACGCATATATGATTGCCCACAGAAACATAGGGACACATTGTAGAAAGAGGGTGGCAAAATTAGCCACGCCTAGGATTACCTTCAAGGTCTCAGTTTGCCTTCCTCCACACCCATGTCTATATGGTAGTGAGGGTGGTCTTGGGCAAGCGAGGCTCATCACTGCTGAAGAGGACATGTATTTCTGGCTTGATTTGATGGTTATAATCAAAGCAAATCAATTGTTCATGGATCGGCAGGAGGGTATACTGGATGACCGACCTCTCAGTGCCATCCATGGACAGCACTTGCGGCCACAGTGATAGATTTGACGTTGAGTTGCAGAGCCTCATCCACCTTTTTGGTGGACCACATCTGGCCAATAGAGGTGCAAGCAAATGTGCTGAGTCACCCTCTAGTAATAAGGCGAGAGACGCAGTGTATTCCGTAAAAAGATGGCATTTCTTTTCCACTAAATTGAATAGCTTCTGAGAACGCCGAAGCAGTTCAAAATGGCGGAGTCATCGATACCGCTCGCGGCAAATTATGCTACTGCCATTAGACTCATTGATGAAGCTCATGCGAATGATCCGAGGACCATCACCTCCCCAGACGGGTTCTCGACCATTCCGTATGAGCTGCATTACGCTCAGAAGATGACCCGTTGGCTCGAACTGCGAAGCCCAGATGCCTCGCCGGCTCTTCAGCTGGCTTGCCGAGCCCAGCACTTCAGACGGTTTGTCACGGGACTCCTTTTATGCGGATATTCCTGTTGACAGCCATGCCCTCGTCAGATGGGAAATTCCCAGGAGTAGTTACCCAATGACTCGGCCAGGATACCTCACTTGGCGGGCTAAACTCAAAGCTCAGGCGGCTTCCCAAATAACCGAGCTTCTTGCGTCGCCGGCGATAACTCCGCCTCTCCCGCAGGATGCCATTGAGAGGACGGCAGCTCTGATCCGGAAGGAGAACCTCAGCAAGGACGAGGAGACTCAAGTCCTCGAGGATGTCGCCTGCTTGGTTTTTCTGGATGACCAGTTTGACGACTTCCACAAACGCCCGGAGATCGACGAAGAGAAGATCATCGGCATCTTGAGGAAGACCTGGGCAAAAATGAGCCCGAAGGGACAGGAGCTTGCGTTGCAGATGAACCTGAGCGAGAGGGCGAAAACGCTAATTCAGAAAGCTTTAGAGACATAGACCACCCAATTGAATTGGGGAACTCCACTCAACGAATTGCAAGCCTTCCAGTGACAGTGAGACCAAGACAAGGACGCTCAGGATGACGGATTTCGCAATTGCTCACACGGCGTATTCGCCGGGATCCCCGCCTTTTGACATGCGCTAACAATCCCCGGCCGTTTTACTCGGGAACCACTCGGCCACAGTTCCCCCGAAGGTCCTGTAAGGCATCTGAGCTGTACATGTAGATGGCGATACTCCTCCACGTATTCGGGCTTTTTAAAGGCCAACCAGAGAGAGGGCTCGATGTGCACTTCATTACTCTGTCCTGTTCATGTCTAATGCGAATACTTGACGGGGTGGAAGTGCCAGCGAACTGACCATGTTACCACTTATATCAGCACAAGAAGTCTCCAGACATCAGAGCGTCGAGGATCTTTGGACTGTCGTGGATGGAGTCGTCTATGACCTGACCGACTTTGCCCGGGAGCATCCCGGTGGTCTCGACGTCCTCCTCCGCTACGCTGGGCGGGATGCCACGACAGCCTACCAAGCCGTGCACTCTTCATCACTGATCAAGACCACCCTCCCGTCATCTAAGCACTTGGGCACACTTGATGCGACCACAGCACCGAGTTTGTGGGCAGACTCCAGCTCGGAATCACCGCCGACCCAGCCCGACCGCAATGCCAAGCCGCCCCTGGGAAACCTCATCTCGACCCACGACTTCGCCGCAGCGGCCCGCGAATCCTTCCCACCCAAGACCCTCGCCTTCGTGACCTCGGCAGCGACAGACCTCCACACCCACCGGCGCAACTCGGAGGCCTACTCGCTCATCGGCCTGCGGCCCCGCGTCCTCCGCGACGTGCGCACCGTCTCCATCGCCACAACTATGCTCGGCCACCGCCTGCGCACCCCGATCTTCTGCGCGCCGACGTCCCTCGGCAAGACGGTCCACCCCGAGGGCGAGAAAGACATCGGTCGTGCCTGCAAGGCCCTCGGCACCGCCCAGGTCGTCTCCACGAGCGCCAGCTTCCCGCTCGGCGAGATCGTCTCGGCCGTCCGGTCCCACCGCGCCCCGGCCGGCACCGCGGCGGCGGAAGCAGAAGCGGAAGCGGACGGCTCCCCCGTCCCCATCTTCTTCCAGCTCTACGTCGACAAGAACCGCGCCAAGTCCGAGGCCCTCCTGCGGTCCGCCTCCGCCCTCGGCATAGCAGGCCTCTTCCTGACGGTCGACGCCCCCGTCCCGGGCAAGCGCGAGGCCGACGAGCGGCAGTCGATCTCCGGGCTCGTCAGCAGCCCAATGACTGGCGCATCGGCCAAGGGCGACGCCAAGGGCGGCGCGCTGGGCCGGCTCATGGGCTCGTACATCGACGCCGGCGTGACGTGGGCGGACGTGGCGTGGCTACGCCGGCACCTCCCGCCGGGGACCCCCGTCGTGCTCAAGGGCGTGCAGACGGCGGCCGACGCGCGCCTGGCGGCCCAGTGCGGGGTCGACGCCGTCGTCTTGTCTAACCACGGGGGCAGGAGCCTCGATACCGCGCCCGCGGCGGTGCTGGTCTTGCTGGAGATGCAGCGCTGCTGTCCCGAGGTGTTTGATCGCCTCGAGGTATTTGTCGATGGGGGTGTCGCCAGGGGCACGGACGTCTTCAAGGCGCTGTGTCTCGGGGCGAGGGCGGTGGGTATCGGGAGGGGTACGTTGTATGGGTTGAACTATGGGGAGGAGGGCGTGAGGAGATATGTCGAGAGTGAGTCCCGGCGGCCGGTGTTGCGCCCCGTTTTCTTGATTTGCCTTGCTGTTGCTGACTGGTGGCAAAACCAAAAACACAGTCCTCAACGACGAGCTGGAGACGACGATGAGGATGTGCGGCATCACGAGTCTGGACCAGGTCCACCCGGGCTTCCTGAACACCGGCTCGGTCGACCATCTCATCCCGACCTCGGACGAGCACCCGTATGCCAAGTGGAGACGGGGTTCAGGGAGTAAGCTGTAATCGAGTACCGGTCGCCCGTACTGGATACCTGAGACAAACGAGGTGGACATTGGATGATACCGACATAAGCGAAACATATTAGGGTCATTACGTGAACCGAGATAGAAATGATTGTCCTGCGTCGAACCATTTATCTACCTCACATGAACAAGCAACAAGCAAACAGCCCATGCTCATCGTCTCCCTGCCGGCCCCGATAACTAAGGCACCAATCCAAAGAGCCACCCAAAACCAGACTTGTCATTAATCTCGACCAAGCAGCCCATATCCGATTATCTATCGTCTAGTGAATAGGGGCCATTATGGCTCGACCGTAAAAACGACCCAACAATGCCCCAAGGAAACCCGAACGGACATGAACAGACCGATCACACGTGGGAGGGACAGAACGGGACAGAACTATAGATATCCACGCCCAAAAAAAGGGGTCTGCAACAATCGCACCTCAACCAGCAAGCTCGTTCACCTGCCCGTCGCCCCTCGTCGTGGGCAGCTCGGCCGCAAAGGCCTGGCCCTGCGGCGAGTGCGGGTTCCCCTGGCCGTTGTTGTACGGAGCAGCACCAGCAGCCTGGTAACCCTGCTGCGGCGGCGGAGTGCCGTGATACATCTGCTGTTGCTGCTGCTGTTGCTGGAAGTCCTGCGGCGCCATCGCGTAGCCCATGTTGTTCGTGGACGTGGGGCTCGGCTGGCCCCCGTAGCCGGCAGGCGGCGGCGTCGTCACGGACTGATACGTCGGCGTCGGGCTGCCGGGCGGGCTGTTCCCGTTGTCGAAGCCCTGCGGCTTCAGCATACTGGCCCGCGGATCGACGGGCGTGAACCCGGCGACGCCGGCGGCGGCGCCCGGCGCGTAGTAGCCGCCGTGCTGCTGGGCCATCATCTGGCCCTGGTTCGGGTCGTAGCCGCCGCTGGGGGCGCCGGGTGGCGGGCCTTGGCCGGCTGCGGCGCCGGTGGGTGGGTTGTTGTTGTTCTTCCTGTTGGAGCGGATGAGGTAGAATGCACCTAGACCGATTAGGCCGATGGCGGCGACGCCGCCAACGACGCCTCCGACGACAGGGCCGACGGGGACGCCCTTGCCGCCACTCGGTTTGGGGGTTTCGGACGTCGGGTTGGGCCCAGCCGAAGTTCGGGTCGGTGATGACGATGAATGCCCGGTGGTTGTGGTGTGATGTGAGCTGGTTGGAGAGGTTTCGGTAGTCGGGCTAGCGGTCTCGGTTGGGGTGTAGTAGACAGTATCTGTCCCCGCCGCGACGGCGCACCCCCAGAGAGTGTAGCCGGTCCACGCTTTGTCCTGGTACAGATGCCGCTTGCAATAGGGAAACGACGTTTGACCGCTGCGGGCATGTTAGCCGTCGATACAGGCCCCATCGCTACCTTGCTCCTAGCGCACTTACCACCAAAGGGTAAAGCTATTGTCAGTCGTGAAACTGGCCGAATCAGTCCTGTCATAGCACGTGGTCCAGACAGGGCAAATAGTCTCAGCATCGGCACAGCAACCGATATAATGGTTAACCGAGTTATACACGCATTGGTCCGTAGCTGCGCAATAAAGCGGGATCTCTTGGGAGGAGGTCAGAAAAACGTCTCAAGCAAGACTCGATTGACCCGCAAAGAACTGACCTGGGTCTCCGTTGACATAGGCGCAGGTGTTGTCCGACGAGGACCGCTTGCCCACGGCCCTGTCCTCCAACCTTGGGGGATCCGTCGGCCTCGGCGTCTGGCCGAGCAGCGGAAGGATCCCCAGTGTCTCGTAAGCCGGCGTCCACCTCCTCTCAATCTCGTCCTCGCCCCATGAGAGCAATTTGGACTCGACACCGGCGATGGCGCAGCCCAAGGCTGCGAGGCCGAAGACGCGCTTCATGGTGGCCATAGCCCAGGATTGCCAAGTCAAAGGCGCGTTATCGGTCGGTAGAGTCCCGAGGAACGAACTGGCGGGCGAGCGCGGGCGCGGATGCTGGGCTGGGTGATCCAAGACTGGGCAAGGCAGGGAGGGGAGGTCCAGCAGGACGGTACTATGCAACGAATTGGGGGAGGGTTGCCATATGAACCCGATGAGGCTTTCAGCTGAAGGAAGTACAGAGATTACAGGCGAGGCTCGTCGACTCTCATTGGTGTGGACGGGGAGGACGATGGAGAGCAGCTGCAGAGCTAGTGGAATAGCTTGGTGCAGCTAATTGGAGCAAGCAAGCCATCCTTCGCGAAGATGGCCGAACTAGGCCAGGGTTTGCTTCGGCGACGATGGCTGATTCGGAATATTGAGGGCGGCTCCCCGCAAGCTTGATTCTGGACCCCGTCCGCCATTGTCAATATCTACATATCTCGCTCGACTCACTGGAGTCCAGATCAGCCGCAGGTATTGGCCCTAGCTAGTTGAGCTGAAAACGGGAATCTGGTGGACAAAAGGGTTCTCGACGAGAAAGTCGAGAAGAGCCTTTCTTGTCCCAACTTAGCTCCTCCAGGCGCAGCTGCTCAGCCAACGAACCCATGCCAGACTACGTGTAACCGGCAACGGCTGAGGGCAGACGAAAGCGGAGACCAAAATTTCCTTCCATTTTCCCTTGTTGGTGGTGTAGTCTGTCGATCGCAAAAAAATGACCCGTCAGGTCGGGACGATATTGGTCCGCAAGAGAAGGCTCCACATCGCCTAGCCCCGCGGCCGCCCTCGCTCAAAATAGCATCACACGTGCGGGCGGGATAAGGGCTGGCTTAACCAATCGTTCAGCTGGCCCGTCTCCGCTTTCGGGAGGGAGGTCTCCAAGGCTCGCAACGAAGCTCGTTGCGACGTGATGTGGGAGCCAAGACGGCGTACGAAGAGCTTGTTTTTTCAAATCTGTATGCCCACCTTTAAAACCAAGCTTATTACATAGTAAGACAAACCTCAGCCCTACGCATACTCACCTCCACCACTTTAATAAAGTTCGCCCAATGGCCACGGCATCGCAATCTGTAACTTGCATGCCTCGGACCTGGAACCACATTTGGGAGTTGACCTCGGTCTGCAGGTACACCGGTAAAATACACTGGCAGAAATGCGTAATTCACGAGTTCAAGAAACAGCCGCTTTAAGTAGGTTGTAGACGCCTAGGCAGCTAGGTGGTAGGTAGATAACCCCCCCCCAAAATATTTATCGCTCCTTTTCGCCCACAGAAGCAGTCCCCGTAACCCAAACCGATAAACAGGAGTATTACCTATAAACATACTAGTTAGAAGATCCCTCGTCACGCCCGTTCAACCGTCCACCACGTAATCCCCCCAATTGCTTGCAAGCTCCTCAGGGGTTTCCCCTAGACCAGATTCATATCCGACCACCCATCCAAGAAGTCGCTGCCACCGGTCAAGTCCCCAAAGATATCCTGGTCGTCGAGCCCGCCCAGCCCGCCCGCCGAGTCCGCCACCGAGCCCCCCAGGTTCAAGTCGCCGCCCGCGCCGCCGAGGTCGAGGCCGCCGACGCCCGTCGCGTCCAGGCCGCCCAGCCCGCCGTCGACCCCGCCGTCCGCCTCGGCCGCCGCCGCAGCCGCCGCAGCCGCTATGGCGTCGCCGAGCGCCAGGTCCGGCTGCAGCATCGACGCCTCCTGCGGCGTCGCCATCTGCGCCTCCGCCCGCCGGTAGAGCCGCACCGCCATCTCCGCCAGCACCGGGTCCGACTTCTCGATCTTCTTCCACTCCTCGGCCTCGCTCTTGACCGCCTGGCGGAGCGTCGTGCGCCGCTGCTGGAGCGCCGGCACGTTGCCCGACTCGTCCAGGGACGGCATGGCCGGCACCTGGAGCGGGTCCGGGTCGTTGGTCACGTCCGGGGCGCAAATGAGTGCGATGGCAACGTCATAGGCGGCGCCGTCGTTTCCGGCTTCGGCCTGCTGCCTGAGCTCTTCGGTTATGGTGGCGAGTAGACGCTTGGCTCCTAGCAACCTGATGGCCAGGATCAGCTGACGGTGTGTATATGGAGTCGGCATCCCATTAAGAACCGAGCTTTGGCTCCATTGCACCAGTCCCTGGATGGTATGGCGGATCGAGGCCGTCAGACCACCGCCGTTAGTGCTGGTCCACGATTCGAATTCATTATGATCGGCACTACCGGTCCGTCGCGATAGAGGGATGTTTTCTTTGAGCGCTCGCAGGAGAGGCTCGACGTCCTGACTTTTTGGGTCTTGTCGTTGGTAGGAACGCAGCGCATGCTCCAGCGGTTGTGCGACGATGTTGAGCACCGACGACAACATGGTCGATGCTTCATTCGAAATCGAGTTTGGAAGTAGGACCAGCTGGAAGATCCTGATAATGGCTTTCTGGTCCTGCGGGCTATCCGCCCACAGATGATTGCACAGGTAGAGGATTGCCGGGACCAACGACGGTAATAAGAACGTGTCGACGAGATCTGGGCACCGTGTTAGTTTCGGCTAGCCGGGCAATCAATGTTATATCCACACATGTACTCACACTCGAGGCCGCATTTCAGCATGTCTTCTGTAAGCCGGCCGACACTGAATGCCAGTACGATCTGCTGGAATAGAGTGGGGATGAGCAAGTAGAAGTCCTGCGGCGGGCAGGAAGACATCAGCTCATCTCCCAGCCCGCCTGCATCGGAGGCGAAGAGCCCAAGCACCCAGCCGCCGATGTGAGCCTTTTCCTGGTCGCTGAGTTCCTCCAACGACCTGGCAAGCTGGCCTTTAGTCAACAGCTTCGCCACGAAAGAGTCAGGCGAGCTAATTTTGAGGTCTGCTGGTGAGAGGTCATATCGGTAGGCGAATGCCAGGACGAGTAGCAATATCGACCCAAACTCCTCGTAAACAGGCTGGTACTCTCCCTGGTCGTCATCATACCTCCAGTTATCTAGGAGTTCGCACAGAGGCTGGAGTATGGTCTCTGTCTTGTTGAAGAGTAGCAGCACGTCCAGGAATATGGGCTTCCGGGCCAACTGACTGCATAGCTGCTTCAGGGCCATGGTCTCCTTGTTCCGACAGAGTTGACCCAACACCTTTGGCCGATAGGTGTTAGTCCGGCTGTCATACTGAGGTATCCAGATATGGTCTAGATAGGATAGGATAGAAACTCACCTCTGCTATGGCTTGACCAGCCGCGCCGGCATTGCCCTCCATGCCCTCGAGCTCCACGATGAGTTTCTGTAACCTTTCGGGGTCGGCCAGGCACTGCTGAACCAAGTTGTCTTTCACATAGCGGCCGCCAATAGGCAGCTCCTGGAAGGTAATATCCCCAAGAAGCTCATCCCTGGCTTCCTTGCTTATCAAGCCGTGGAGAAGGCATGCAAAGCAAAAGTCCTGCCGGACGGTTTCGGTAAACGTGTTATGGTTGTTCGAGATATCGAACATGTTTGACAGGGTCGGAAAGACGCTGGTGTCGACCTGGTTGAGGGCTTGCGTAATGCAATATTCCGGGTTGAATTGTGGGTACGATGGGTTTAAAGCGTATGGTGAGCTTGCGAGTGATGCAAGCAACAAGGGAACCTTGTTTATAAGATAGGATCGTAGCAATAAACCGGATTTTGCACCTTCGTTATTGCGGAACACGGCATTGGCGAGTACGTCGAAGGAGGCTAGAATTAGAGCTATGGCAGTTGATTGTAGATCGCCCTTGTCTCTGTCAGAAGAGGTCCTCGAGGGCTTGCAAAGGGGTCGCGGTAGGCTTGCGGCACACGACTTACTTGATATCGGTTGTGTAGGTAGGTAAATACCGAAGCATCATCTAGTAGTGGTCGCCCGACAAGCTACCAGACATTAGCACAGCCTCTAGAAAGGTTGTTCAGAACCATGGCAGACTGACAGAAGCGTTTAGGTAGATGTATAGCCCAGCACGTGAGTTCTGTATTGGCAACTCCTGGACCTGGAAGTTATCCAGGCCAACAGTTTGGTCGTAGACGTCGAACATCTCGGCGTCTTCCGATTCCTTCTTCTTGTCAGGGGGGTCGAAACTGGCCAGAGTCTGTGATCGGAAGAGCTCCAAACGAGCTGCAATTTCGGATGAGTTATGCACGATGGATGGCACAAAGTTGGCCAGGCTTTCCGAGAGCCGTTTGCGAGCGTCTAGGTGAGGGTTAGTTAGCATAGCCAGAATCAAAAGGAAAGGCCCAGACACGTTGCGCATCCATCGTCGTACCTTTTGCGGCCGGCTTGCTCAGTGTTGCCAAGAGAGTCTGGTTCTCGCATACACCGAGCAGGAGCATGACAAAGGCAGCCCGGGCAGACTCCATTTCCCCCTTGATCTGGGATGGGTACATGGCACCCATAGCGTCGGCCGCAAATGAGGCTGACACGGCAGTGAACAAGGCCATCCACTTGGCCATGACCTTGGCAACCTCGAGGGCGTCCCTGGCTGCCTTAATGCCAGTGCCCTGGGCGACGGCCTTGGTCAGCCGATAGAAGATGACCTCCTCGGAGCTGTACGAGTTTCCCCATCGCAGTTTCTGCTTTGAGGAGTCTCCATTCGCCTCCCCCTGGCTCTGTGTTTGGGTGCGCGACGTAGAGTAGCTGTAGAGTGCCTTCAAGACAGATGTGGTGTCGATCAATTTCAGCTTGAGGAGCACTTGAAGGTACTGCAGAATGCGAGGGTCGGGGAAATCGGGGTTGTCAGGTGTAGGTCGGAGAAGCAGGTCAGCTACGACGGTCGGTGGTAGGTGATGTTTGGACTGCAGTAGCGGCACGTATGATTCGAAAGAGTCGGGTTCTAGTCGAGCCACAAGGGCGCGCGAGAGAAACTTGGTCCATTGTCCCAGCGCGGCAGCGAGCGGCGCCGTGGCAGAGAGGGCGACCATAATTGGCGCATAGGTGTAGGACAGAAGACACGAACTTCTGAGTAGTAGCTATTAGATATTCATTTCTAGCCGTCGAAGAGCGGAATCGCAGAGCAGGACTGCAGAGCAGAATCGCAGCCTTGTGGGCTGTTCTCGAAAGTCCAGACGCTTGTCAGTGGGACGCGACGTGAGGTTGGTGGTGGGGTTGCAAAGTGGACGGTTTCATTATTGGACCAACCAACCGGCTAGCTACCTACCGATTAAACTTACATTCTGCAGGTCGGCTGGTAGGTTCGGAGGCAAGTACGATTCATAAAAGTTTGGGTTCAATTCCATCTTTATTAAGTTCAGATATTCGAATCATATTGAAAATGTGCAACATTGTAAAGTGGTAATGAGGGAGTCGAGTGTGGATTTCAAGCATTTTACTGGGGTTTCAAATGTTAGGTGAATTACCTGCTAAGTCTATGCAGCTGCCGCTCAAAAGTCTCGTACTACTCTTACTACTGAACTAACACTTGAAACCCCCAGGACGTGTAAGAAGTCGACTTGACTTACACTTCCAGCCGGCTCGTATATTTATCGCCATGCAAGAAAGAAGCTATCCACTCTATCGCTGTGACCCTCTGATTCTTTGCCGGAGTCAAGCACCATGTTCCAATAGACTCCAAGCTAAACGACTCGAAACCCCGTCACTCCCCTTTTATCACTTCGGAATGAAGATCCTACTACCCCAACGCCGCAAACCTTAACGTGCCCTCCTGAAGACGACTGTTGGTAACCAGCCAGGCACAGTCCTCACCCGACTACAACAGGGTCAATCTCAATCTTAATCTCAATCGCACCACAGGCGGTGGACTCAGTCTACCTCCGCCTTGACACGGACTTGTTCCTGTCCACGGCCCCGTTGGCTGCTCGCTGAACCACCACCGCCACCACCACCACCGCCGCCGCCGCCGCTACCACCAGCCGCGCGACCTCCCCCGGGCGCCCTAGGCCCCAGCATCCAGTCTTGCATGGCCAGCCACTCGCTCCAGGTGGTCTCAGCGCCAATGATCTCCTTCTCGGCGACGTTCTGCAGGGGCCGCAGGAACGGCACCATCTGCTCCTCGCCCATGTCGTACGCCATCTTGACCTTGAGCCACGTATCGCTCTTGGCCGCGAACAGGTAGTTCCGCCGCTCCTGCTCGTGTAGCGGCCCGATCCCCGCCGCCCAGTCGTCGCCGAAGAACCCGTGCAGCACCGCCGGGAAGTCGAACCCCGTCGCCACCAGCCGCCGGATGTACGGGATCAGTGTCGCGTGCGCCACCGGCCGCACTGCCACCACCGCTGGTGCTGCTGCCGCCGGGCGCCCCGGTGGCGGCTGCGGGCCCCGCCGGGGAAGTGCGCCTCCTCCCCCCGGGCCCGGGCCCGGGCCTTGTGGCCGCGAGGATAGCACGGGGTTCTGGGGCTTCTGGAAGGGGAGCTGGATGTTCATGAACGCGCACAGCGCCTGCACGGGCGCGTTATACTGCGCGTGGTCGAGGAAGTAGATCAAGCATGACTGGAAGTAGGTGTGCCACTCGAATATGTCGAACTGGGAGTCCACGAAGGGCTTGATGAGCGCGTGGAAGTTAGATATGAAACTCTTGTTGGCACCACGTTTTTTGGTGGAACGGATACAGGGGAAGCTATACCTCTGCCTGCTGGAAGGATCCTCCCCCGGGCGGAATGTATGCCATGGTCGGAAATCGTCGTCAGTGGACTCGTCCTGGACGCTCGTAGAGAACCCCGATGGTTCGGCGGCGGGTGCGGGAAATGGCGGGTTGGGTAGCTTATGGAGCAGGATGCGATAATAGGCTGCCCTATTCGATGAGAGACCCAATGGTAGGCGGTGCGTGTTCGGTCGCGACAAGCTAAATCTGAAGCGGCACTCTCCTTCCGCTCCCCTACTTCCCCCTTTTTCCTCGTCGTATGGCCTGTTTGCTAAGATGAGAATCTCCTCCAAGTAGTGGTGTGGAAGTAGCACGATTCGGAACTGGGAAGGAGTGGGCTTGTCCTGTGCTCTGAGGAGAATGGTAAATGAATAATGGCGACGTGTAAGAGGAGATATCGAGAAAAGTGCGGACCGCAGGGTCCTGCTTATATATAGTAGTTTGTCTTCCGTCCTAGGCGTCGTCGTTCTCGTTCTCCGGCAGACTTGGTGATCGAGGAGGAAGCCCCATGTGATGTTCGGCAGATACTCGCCCGAAGTGGGAGAAAACGACGTGCAGAAAGTTTAAGCGGGAGCAACATGACCAAGGGCCGAAACGAAGTGCAGAAGCAGCTGAACCATCGTCAAAAATTGCAACCTCTCTCCAGAGCATGTACTTTTGTGGGCTTCCGTTGTGGGGGGCACGACGATCGATCGAGTATAGGTTGCGGCCCGGTCGTACGCGCCTCCCCACTGATCTCGGCGGCATCCACGACCGTTTCAGCAGCAGCAAACTACAAAGGGTGGGGGGAGGGGGGGACGGGAAGCATGGGAATGTACAGGCAGAAGGAAAGTGGCCACAGATCCGTTGTCTATACTACTGGCCGAGCTACATCTCCACTTTGTCATAACAGGATGGGCTGCGCGAAACACCCGAAGGTCAAGCAAACACAGGTGGAAAAAGAACCTGACTGCTGAAAAGAGGGCATGCAAGGGTGTGAACAGGGCTTCCGTTGGCTAGGGGCAGCCGTTGGCCCTAACTAGGCATTGGGAGGGTAGAGAGGCAAGAGAGGATGTGGGAATATCAATGCGTAGGACGACAAGGGTACAACCACAGAAAATGTGTGTCATGGGGGAGTGGCGCCTAGGCAGGACGGGGCGGAAGCAGCACTTCTGAGAGTGCTGAGGGGTGCTTGGGGGTGCTCTCTGGAGCCTTGGCCAGCCAGACAGACCCATTTGCCGACAATGGATGAACCGGTGGTCAGGGCTTGCCCAAGACAACAAGACGGCATCTTGGCCTTGATGATGTCTCGATCGCTGCTACCCTTGTAAGGCGCATTGAGTCGCCTATGTGAGCTGTCGACACCTGACCTTGTCTCCCTCGGCCTCTCATCCCCCCGCGGTAGCCGTTGGTTTGTCGTCATTCCAGGTCACCCTGGTGCTGAAGGAGTACAGGGTTAGCTGGAAATGTATAGTTGTCCAAGTATGGGCACTGGCTAGATTGACTGAGCCATTGATGCCAGTGCTCTCCAGTACCTAGGATGAAGGCCTGGACTTCCAATGTGGGTAGATCGCTGGGATCAGGCATGTCAACCAAGTCCCTGTCTGAAAGGTTCAGGTTCCTGCCTAGAAGACTCTACTACGCGTAGAACACAGGCTTGACCAGGTTCGTCCCTTGGCCGGGAGCCGAGGCAAGCTCCAATGGATAGGTGCAGGTGGCTTTGGACGCAGACCTCACCGTGGGTCCGTGGCTTGTTGATCCACAGAAAGGGCCCTGTGCGCTGTGGGGCGCCTTCGGCAAGGAGGAGAGACAGTCACCCACGGCCGCCCAGCTGACTTCCCAGCTGGGATCGTGGCTGGGATCCGGAGATCTACATACATGAAGTTACTCTCGGTGTGGAGTGGTTGCTGGCCCGTCCGGCGTCCATATGCAGTAGAAGCCCAGATCGGTGCAGGACTGGGCTATAAACAAGGCCCCATGCGTATTCCACAGACCGATCTGCGTAGGTACGCAGTACGCAGATATAACTTCCCTGTTGTCGTCGTTATTGTTGCTGTTATTCATGTGGACGGTGCCAGGGCCCCTGGTGCTCGGCATACCCGGTAACTACCTACCTACCTACCTAGGTAGGTAAGGTACCTTTCCAGGTTGTTACCATAGAGGTAGTTACCTAGGTAGCCATTACAAGTATCGAGCGAACTGGGGGTGTGAATATAAAAACCTATTTGAAGCTGTTTGTTACTTCCAAGTTTTCAGCCTGGCCTGCTTCACGCCAGTCCCGGGATTGCGGATGCTGGAGACTCGGAACCGACGCCACCGGTAGTTTACAGTGAGGGGCGCGCCGAGTCAATTGAGGCCTGGGGGAAGCTTCCAGCCTCTCCAGTGTAGTAATAAGACGGGGGGGTATACAGGGCTGTCATAAAATCAGATCTGGAGGGTTCCGATGTCACGCACAACATCGTCCCAACTGATCGGATAGGTGCAATATAAGAGGCAGCCACCCGATTCCAGGGGTGGATGGGAGATCCCCAGTGATCGCTGGTATTCCGTACAGTAGTGTAGGTATGTACAAGTACAAGGTACATACCTAGGTGCCTACCCTGGCTTCTTTCGGCACCCCTGGTGGCGATTCAGCCGACTCAACCCCAGAGTTCTAGGGGCCTCCTAGCCTCCAAGGGATCCTGGCTGTGGCTGTTGTCCACTTTGCAGATGTCTTAATTTTGTGTGCCCAGTAATTCTCAGCCCCTGCCCTGCTGATAACAACCGACCTGTCGGGGCAAAGATCGTCAGCTCGAATGAGCCTCATCTCGCTCGCCACATCACAGTGGAGAAACCTCGGCGAATCTGCGCGTCTAACTTCCGATGTTCATACAACGTAGATGCCTGATAAGGGGGAAGGAAGGGAGGAAGCGAACGACGCGGAAAAAGAAAATGAGGTCGGGAAGTGGGGGAGGGGGGAAACAGTTGAAGTTGCTTGCCTTCTGCAGCAACACCCTCCCCTGTATAAAGGGATAGATGTATCTCGATCACATCGCCACGGGATCCCCTGGCGGCCACCATAAAACCTTCTAGAAAAAGGACTGTGGTGCATACATGGCTTGACGGATGGTCAACCGGCGGCTGCCAGATCCACCTTTGATCAACATGGCACATGCCTGCCGGGCCAGTTCCGGTGTCCCTTTAGGGCGGGGCCCCAGCGGGAGCCAATCATGGCACAGCCCCTGAGGCTCCAGGGCGAGGCCAGCTGAGAAGAATTCAAGGAAGGCATTTTGGCCGTCAGATCACTCCCCGATTCTGTCACTCCCGGCCCCGTCAACTTCCCTCCAAGGTCATTAATCTCTTTTCCCCCGCGCATGTCCTGATCCCAAATACTCGTCTCAGTCGCTGAACTGGAATGGCCCTGCAAAGCTGTAACATCCGTTGGAGCTGGCGTGGACTTGACTTGTGGAGGGGGCTGGTGTCCGGGCCCGAGGACAATATTTGTGGCCGCTGAAAGGCGGTGTGCAGGGACGTCAAGGCGGTACGGTACCTACCTGGCCGGTTGACCGGGCTCCTACCTACCCATGCTGACGATCTTCGGCTCGACCATCAAGCATCATGAGACGCACTGCCAGGACTGGCCATGCATATTGGCTAGATGACGACCTTGGCCTTGACCTGAAGCTAGAATTTCCTGCTTTTGGAGTAAAAATGTCGAGCACCAGAAGGGTATCGGCTTCCAGTCACCACGAAATACCCCGGTCGACTGCTACTCCACCGGTTTCATTTCTGGCAGTCGCTGGCGTGGGAAGAGAATGTTGCTCACAGAAGCTGAAACCAGCTTTGCGAAAAACCTCTCTTCGGATCTCTTCAGGTTCTCCTCAGATCCACTTCGTCGGGAGTCACTTCGGATCTCCATGGTTACTGAGTTGAGGGGTATCAATTCGCCGAAACTTGGGAGAACCAACCCAGTCACTCGTGGTTTACCTTGGATACCTATATTAGGTGCTGGTTTATGCAACCGTGTAACCGCACCTCAGTGCTTCGACGCAACAAGAAATTACTCTCAAAAACTTGGATTCAGGCGGCTTCATTGAATTGTCCTTGACCACAACCACCCTCAGGTCACTTTGGCACCCCTTACCCATGACATTTCAAGCGGGCTACGCCGATGTCGGTGGCAGTTCTTGGGGGGAAAGCCCCTGTGCAGCTGCAGTTGCTATCTAGCATGTATGCTGTAGAACATAGAACACTACTGCGGCCCGCAGCACATACCGCCCAAAGCACTGTTTACCGTCTTCCATATTACCTACCTTAGTGTATCTCTTCCGCTGACATGGTCTAATAATGGTGGCGACACGAAAGCCGAAGTACTGTACCCATCCATGCAGGTGTAGGGACGGGAAAGGTTCCCTCAACGGGGAACTGGCCCCGAAAACCAACGCAGAAAAGCTAAGGCACTTCCAACAATCATTGCATCATCCTTTAACGCACGAAACGACGAATGTACTTCAGGTTCAGCTCCTAAATGCTCCCCCGTCTACCCTAAGCCTCCTCTACTGACTTGCTACTGACTTGCTATATCTGGCACCATACAACCTCATTATCAGAAGCAAGGTATGTGCCTCGGCCTACTCTTCGTTGTGTAATTTTCGCCATACTTGGGAGATACTTTTATCAACGCCACGGCTCGGAAACGCTGGTGCTTGGCGGCGCGCCGGCTAGGGGGCAAAGGCATGCCAGGACTTCCCTGCCATTTCTTGTCCTTGTGGTAGGCGCCTGCTGAAAAAAATGCTGCACTTTGGACCACAGATGCGTCTCGGGACAAGAGAGGGACGAGAAAGAGATAGTGGATGCCGGTTTAAAAAGAAAATAAAAGGAAATGGCAAGTTTGGCCATCTAAACAACTCCGTGGCACCCAGGGGGTATCCGCTATTGCCGCGTTCCTTGCTTGCCGCCATGACAGGATCGCATCAAGAAAGGATCCTCCTGATGAGTTTAACCATAAGCTTCACCCCCTTTAGCTCTTGCCATGCATGATGGAGTCGGGCCACTCAAAACTCATTGGTCCTCTGGAATATCTACAGGCATGCCTACCTAGGTATACCAGTTTGCTTGCATGTGCCCAGTAGACTTCTGATTCTGCTTCAATGAGAACCTACAGCGCTAGGTAATGCAGACGGGAACAAGCAGGGCGCATACTAACCGCCGCAGAGTCCAGGCCCAAGGTACAGTAGCCCCAATGTCTCCTTATGGCTAGCCGGTAGCCTCGACGCGCTACTATTTCGCAAAGGAGACATCTCTTTTGCGCCTGTAACAGAAGGTTTTAGTAAGAATGATGCAGCACCTAGTCTGCTCAGAGACTCGTAAGTCTTAACTTTCCTCTCACGAGTAGGGGCTGCCTGGCCGTGCACTAATCTCTTGACGTTTTCAAGGCTCTACCGCAATGTCGTCCGAAGCCACACCACCAGGAGACTGGTGATGGGGGTAGAATCGTGCCATACGTCCGACGAACAACGAGCAACCAACCTCAAGCTCCGTGCCGACTCCTCCCCCTTGTAGTCTTTCATATTAGCCAGGGGTTGCGCTTCTATAGCCCCTTATCGAACCTCCGACGCCTCTCGAAAATGCTGAAAATGCCACAACTGCACGGCACCCATTGCCGAGCAACGAGAGCGGCGTCTTGAAGTCAACTGCGACCCCAGAATATATGTGTTGCCGCCGCTGAAGTGCTGTGGTCGTCGCAACGTGGATGTCAAGCAGGGCAACCTGCAATCCAAGTGCTCCCCGCAGGCCGTCCATGATCTGCTTAACAGGACGCGACAAGATCAGACTTGCCGGTCGGCCTTTATGAGCCCTAAAACAAGCCCCAAGGATCATATGTCAACTTTCGGGAACAAGATACTGGGAGGCAATTGCGTTGGGAGTTGAATGCGAGAAGGACTTCTCCACCTTCCTTCCGCCATCTCGGGTGTCGTATAAAGGGCAAAGACATGACCTCGTTGCCCCGGGCAGGTTCGTTTGAGCTTTGATCGTCGACCTTCAAATGCTCACCGTCTACTATCTCGTCAACGAAAGCTTACCGACACTCAAATAGCGACCGATAACAGTGAAAGAGACTCCGATCTGGATATGGAAACAAACCCAACCAGAGACCTCCTTCAGGTATTCGAGGACAAAGAAAACGGCCTGGAATTTATGAAGAACGTGTCCATACCCCTCAAAGATTCCTCGCTACCCATCAGAGCCAACATCTGCCTCCCACTACCTACACACACTCGGCGCCGGGTACCCCGTCCTATTGACCTATGGGCCCTACGGCAAAGGCATACCCTACGAGGCCTTCCACAAGGCCACCTTCGACGAGGCCAACCCCGAGCACACGTCCAAATACTCGGCATGGGAGACCCCTTATCCCGTGGCCTGGACAGGGGCGAGCTACGCCGTCGTGCGTGCGGATGAGCGCGGCCTCGGCCAGAGCCCGGGCTATCTGGGCACCATGATCCAGGGCACGAGCGAGTGCTTCTCCGACGTGGTCGAGTGGTGCGCCGAGCAGCCGTGGTCGACGGGGCAAGGTCGGCATGGCGGCATCTATTCGAAAAGATTTATTGAGATCTGGTGGAACCGCTAAGTCGTGCTGAACCAGTACGGCAAGGCTGGCCGCTCGAAATTGGTCTTCCCGCCCAAGGGACCAGGGGCCCGCGGCCAGGAGGATACGATCGAGGGGGACCTTCCAAGAGGACGACTTGGCGGCCAATCTTAGGGACCAGGCAAGGGATAATGAGGCGAACCGATTCAGGGGTGACGATTACTACAGAGTATATGCTCGAGGGCATAGAGGTGCCGCTCCTCAGTGTCACCAACTGGGCCAGGATCCTGTTTCACCTTCCGGGGCAATGTTGAGGGATACACCCACGCAGGCTCGAAATTCAAGTACCTGCGCTTCATCGCGGGCCGCTACGACTTGCCCTTCTACTACCGAGACGAAGTTGAGGCCGAGAAAAGCTTCCTGGACGCCTTCCTCAAAGACCAGGACACGGTTGGCTGGAGTGTGCCCGAAAGGTACCTTCTGTTACTGTAACTCTTCGGAAGGGCAATGTGGGCTTTAACGATGCCGAGAAAGAGATGGCCTATGAGGAAAGAGCCGAGAGCGCATGGCCCATCCCGGGAACCAGATAAACCAGCTATTATCTGAACGCTGATCAGAGTCTAGCCATGACCAAGTTACCGTCGGAACCGACAAAGCTGTCTTACAAGGCTCTTGGTAGGATACATCAACCAGAGCTGATATCATTCACAACTCCGCCCTTCGAGGAGGAAACGGAGGTCACTGGCCACATCGTCGCGCACCTGAATTTCTCTATAGCACCGGAAAACCCAGCAAACGAGTCAGACATCGACCCGTTACTCACCCTGCGGCACATTGATCCAGCGGGGGAGCAGGTCTTCTACACCGGCACTTGCCGGCGATCTGGTCCCTCTCTGTAAAGGTTGGCTGAGGGTCAGCACCGGGAAGGTCCACACCAAGGATCCGAAACATAGGCCATGGGTGCCGCACCGGGAATACCTGTCGACGGACGTCCTCCTAGTGCGGGCGGGCGAGATATACGGCGCCGACGTGGAACTATGGCCTACGAATGCGGTGGTCGACCAAAGGGGGTGGATCGTGTTTGAAGTCAGCAGTGGCGATACCCAAGGATGCTGGATCATCCAACACGTTTCCGACATTGACCGGTAAGTTATTACACTCTTCCTTCCATTCACTCATCGAATTCTCGCCCTGGCTTGAGCTCTGACTCGTTGTATGCCATCTTCGAAATTCGCTGGTGTAAATCATGTCCACTTTGGGGGGGATATGGAGAACTTTGTCGCATTGCCGGTAATTCTCAAATAAGGGTTGCCGTCTATTGTGGTTTGTGGATATTCTTGTGTAAAGGTGAGATAGTGTTGGTTTGACGGGGTATCGATTCACTGTAAATGCATAATCACCGCTTCGGTTGTTGCATGAGCCGGTCGGCACTGGCATCCACACCACCCCGGTCGATCACTGTCGCGTGAAGGAGGCCAGATTGCACAGAACCTTAACATTTTTCCGTGCTCGCCCCCCTAGCTGCCCTTCCTAGGTCCGAATTGCTGCACATTCCGATTCCCCATTCCTTTTACTTCCATTCTCACGTCTTTCCTTCTGTATTTGCCCCCCGTCAACATGCTTCTCAACATGAAATGGTCCGCTCTTGCTCTGGTGGCTCTCCGTGTCGCTTCTGTCTTTGCCCAAGAAGAGGTATGTCAAACAGCCCTCCCCTGAGATTCACCCCCCCCCCCCCCCGAGAATGGGACCCCCGAACTTCACGCTTGGCGCTTTCAATCGTAGCTAACTCCTGATTGAAGGCAGAGACCGAGCCTATCGTCCAGCGAGAGCTGAAGGCCGATGTTGCGACAACCTTCCCCGAGTCGGACATCTTCGGCGTGAAGCTTGTCAATGGCCGACCGACCAAGGCGCTGATTGAGATCACCAACCACGAGGATGGGCCAATTCAAGTTGCTTTTGTCGGAGGCATGCTCCTGACCACGCAGGTATTGCCAGAGAACGCACCGCCACATGCCGCCATCCTTCGTAACCTGAGTGCCGTGAGCTATGAAGCCTCCATCCCGGCCGGCGAGAAGCAAGTCCTACCGTTCAGCTTCGTCCTCGATATGAACCCTCAGGACATCAAGCTTCAGCTTCTTGCCGTCCTCTCGAACCCTGCCGGCGAGATCTTCCAGGTTGAGGCTCACAATGGCGCTGCGACCATTGTCGAAGCTCCTACTAGCTTCCTGGATCCCCAGATGTATGCACCCTAACTCGATCCCTGAACCCTTAACTGGTTTGAGAAAGCAGCACTCTGATCTTTCCTAGCATCTTCCTCTACATCTTCCTCACCGGAATTTTCGGCGGGACTCTCTACTTCGTGTACAAGACCTGGTTCGAGACACTCTTCCCGCAAGCACGCCACACCAAGGGCTCCAAGAAGGGCAGGAAAGTCGATGTCGTGGAGCCTCTTTCGGGAAGCGAGTCCACTGGCGTCGCCACTGGGGCCGACAAGGACTACGATGAGAGCTGGATCCCTGAGCATCACATCAACCGCCCTGTTGCCAAGCGCGTCAAGAGCGGCGCTAGCGGCAAGGTCAAGCCGTAAGCGTGCGGAGCATATCTGGCGGTTGGATCTGGACTCGGGAGGAAACAAAAACCCACGAATCATGATCATTTTGGTGACGGGCCTCATACCAACAAACGTTCAAGGGCAGTGAAAACAGCTTTCTTTGTCGATATATTGTCAAGGTCACTTCGGGACGGTTACTTGGGGTTGGGGAATGCACGGAAACCGGGACTTGGAATGCTGAACTGGAGAGAGAAAAATGCCACCAATTCGGTTTTGGCATCATCGTCTAGAGCCTGGGGCCAAGAGCGAACTGTGTATCATACATGTGACATCAAAAAAAAAGCCTAATGCTCCACAGACTCGGGATGCCTCGCGCTATGAGTCGAATGCCCTCGCCCTGCAGCTAGTCGGGACCGAGCACGGCGCATTTGCGCCTGAGATGAACGTACCTTGTCGTCAGTTATTCAACTCCCCAGTGTGCCGACCAACGAGCCGACGTCTCCCAACACAGTAGTAAACACCCCCCGGCCCTCCCCCCCAAATCCCAAGCGAGGACAACACCCCCTTACCCCCTACGGACAGGCCGAATCCGCCCTCGAGACAGAGACGTTCGCAAACGCCGCCGCGGCCCCAAAGACGCGCACCCCGTCCCGGCCGGCCGCGTACGTGCCGTCCTCGACGGCGATCACGGGCCTAGCCGCGCCGCCGCCGCCGTCGCCGTCGCCCCCAACCAAGTAGACCCTGATGGCGTCGCCCACGGCGCAGACGCGGAGGTGGATCGGCCCGCCGGCCGCCGACGCCACGGTCGCCGAGCCGAGCTTCTGCCAGCTGCTACCGTCGCCGTCCGACCGGGCGAGTATCACCCTGCCGCCTGGGCCGATGCCGGCGTAGTAGCCCTTGAAGGCGTGCGGCCCGCCGTCCGCGGGGTTCGAGGCGCGGAAGACTAGCCCGGCATCGCCGTAAGCGTAGGCGTCGGTAGAGGGCGTGAGGGCGACGTCGGCGTCGAAGACGAGGTCGGTGAAGTTTGTGTCGAGGAGGGCCATCCCGGCGGCGTCGGGGGTGGCGGCGGCGGCTCGGAGGCGGCCGTCGGCGACGGAGAAGGCGCTGCCGCCGTAGGTTGTCCAGGCGATCATGCGGCCGTCGGCGAAGTTGTCCCTGACGAGCATCCGGACGGGCCGGATGGTGCCGTCGTCCGGGTCGAAGTACATGCGGTCGTAGCACACGACGCGGTGGTTGCCGTCGGTCTCGGACAGCGGGCGCCGGTGGTAGACGATGTACCAGATGTCGGTCCCCGGGACGTTGATGACGCCGTTGTGGCCGCTGCCCGTCGCCACGGCAGGGTCCTGCTGCAGGATCTTGGCCTGCCGCTCGAAGGGCCCTAGGGGCGAGTCGCTCATGGCGTAGCTGACGGCGTAGTCGGGCCCGCCCCAGCCGCCCTCGGACCACATCATGTAGTAGGTGCCGTTGCGCTTGAACATCTGCGCGCCCTCGACGTAGTTGGTCGGCGTGATCTCCCTGAACTGCGTGCCGTCGTCGAAGACGCCGATGCTGACCATGTCGTTGTTCAGCTTGGCCACGTTGGCGTGCGAGTGCCCGCCGTAGTAGATGTACGCCTGTCCGTCGGCGTCGTCGATGAAGACGTCCTGGTCGATGGGCTGCGCGCCGTTGTGGTACGCCCCGATCAGCGGCTCACCGATGGCGTCGACGTAGGGGCCCTCGGGCCGGTCGGCCACCGCCACGCCGATGCCGCCCACCTCGTCGTCCGTCTGGATGTCGTTGGCCCCAAAGTAGAGGTAATACTTGCCGTTGCGCGAGATTGGGGCCGGCGCCCACACGGCGCGGGTCGCCCAGGACACGTTGGCCGTCGTCAGGATGTTGGGGTGCTTGGTCCAGTGCACCAGGTCGGGCGAGGAGAAGGCGTCCAGGTAGGTCTGCTCGTCATAGGGGTACGACGATGTGGGATACACCCAGTAGAGCCCGTTGTAAATTTCCGTGTCCGGGTCCGCGTACCAACCTTCTATGAACGGGTTGCCGGCCTCGGATGTGGTGTAGTCCGGGACGGCGTGGCCGAGGATCGAGGATGCCCCGAGCCCCGCGACGGGGAGAGTCATGACAATTTGGGGAATCATTATGCGCATCTTGACTCCTGGTTAGGGTTTTGCTCGCCCTGATAAAGCTCAAACTGAGAACGAGGGCATACTCAACGTTCCTCGCCCAGCGTGAGCTAAGACTCGGGCTCGTCGCACCTCCTAATATGCTACCGAAGCACACGGGGTCACTCTCGGTCTCAACGTTCCATCCCAGAACCTATACTTGTCATTGCAATTTGGATGTGAGCTCCCTTGCTGGAATGAGGGATGTCACCTTCCAAAAGGGTGGACCTTAAACTGAGGACGAAGGGATGCTTCCCCGCCTAAACCCCGCAATCTATTATCTATGATCGACTGTCCAGTGTCCACGGTCTACTCTGGGTCAGATGGTCGAATCATCAGGCTGATTGCGGCGATCTTGTAGAGCAGGATCTTTCAGTTTAGAAGCAGATTGACTGGCCTCGCGCTGTTCATTAGACGGGGCGGACAGGGAGGAGGGAACATCATCAAGCCTCAGACTAGAGACGAATGGGAGTACTCCCTGTATATATATCATGGCGAACCAATACAACAGAAGGCAGAGGTAGGGGAACGAACAGATAAGCCAAAACCGACCTTATGAAGGACAATTCAATTGCATGGATGGTTTCTCTTGTTGGGAGTCATGGTACCGCCAAAGCCTGGAAGACAGAATAATTACCTGTTAACCATCACTGACAGACAAAACGCCGCGTAGGACAATAGGCGGGCGTTCAAGACGCAAATTAATGCACAGTTTTTTCTTTATACGCCATGGTATACATGATACAGACAGTAATGCACCTTCAGATAAGTCAACATGCCAGTCGCAAAGTGCTGCGTCAGTGCGGCTTGATCCCGCTGCTGCTTCGTTGCCCCTGATAGATTCAGGAACTGGCATGGAGATCAGCGAGTTCCCCAAAAAGGTCGCTGCCATTGCAGAACTTGACTGTAAGTACCCATCCTTCACGATAATTTTCATGAAATGCTGACTTGTTGTGGACCCAACGGCCCGCCGAATCCTCCAGTGTCCTGGGGTTGCCTCTGCTGAGGAGAACGTCCAAAAGTTTCGCGAAATGATCCAAGTCAAGACTATGTGAGGGGAAGGAGGTGCCAAATTGTCTAAAGGCATCGAACGGGCTTTCAATCTCAAGCACAAGCTACCAGTGAAATCAGTTAAACACAAACCGCAGCCCGTCCTCGTCGATGTCGAACTGTTCGGGAACGATTCCCAAAACGGTCAAACTCACATATCCTCATGAGCGATCCACATATGGTAAAGCCGAAAACGAAACGACGAATGTCTTGAGCCGCAAGAACTTCTCTCCCCACCTTCTTAGATCGAGCCATTCATTCGAGCGATGTCGACGATTGGTAGCTCCTCAGCTCTCCGGGCAAGAGGATCTTGTCCTTTCTGTCTTTGAGAGATTATTTGACTAATAGCAACAGTCATGAAGAGAGCAGGAGGAAGAACTTCGTAAGACGGCGTAAAGACATGCTGAAGTCATACTATAGGACGCACAAACGCGGCGAATATGGGTGTCGGAAAGCCTTCAAACTGGGCGGCGTCTGAGTCCCCAAGCCTTCGGCCAATAGACGTTTAGCGCACCACCTGCCGGGTTTAGACCCACTACCCCCGCAAACCTGGAGGGCTACCGCCGTACACCGGCTGACTCCAACCGGCTGACTCCACCCGATCCTTTCGGAGCGGCCCGCCGGCCACTCCCTCCGCCCAGATCTAGCCAAGGGCACCCAAGCGCTTGACCACTGCGCTAGGCGACTCATCTCGCTCATTTAAGTCACGAAAAGTTGGCGCTCTCTCTCTATGTTTCTTCTCTCGTTGTTTCTGTCGAACCTTCAACCCTTAGCCTCTCCAGTCAACTGCAACTCTCCACCCGAGAAAGGCTCCGAAGCCCTAGATGTGATTAACCAATTGCCGAATGGAACAGGTTGCCAGCCAAGGATACTGCATGGACTGCCCAGCGGGTGCCATTGGTGCTTGCGGTGGTGTGACTGGTGTAAGCATTGGTTTTTGCTTTGAGTGTGAAGAGTCTGATAGAGACATATGACTACTAACTTATGACTACTAACTTGAAGTGTCTCAACTTTGTTCAAGGATGCCTGGGTTGTAAGGTTGTAGAAGTTACAAATTTACTTTCCCTTGCAACTTTATGTTGCAGTCCCGCATCTTGTGCTGAGATGACGTTGGTTTGTCCATCAGCTTATTTGGTCTCTTCTCTACCAAACATAGCTGGGGCTGGTTTGTTCTTTTTTGGATAATTTAGCAGAGCAGCTGAAGAATTTATGCATAATTTAACCAGCTGAAGCGTGCAAGTGATAGTGATGCTAAAGATCACGTGACTGGACCCCGCTGCCTTAACCCACTTTACTATGTCCTGGACATACAATCTGACTCGGGTTACATCCGTACGGGTAGTGCGATCAACATCAAGGAAGAGCCGCGGTTTTTATATTGGCCGACCCAGCCCCGGGACTTAATTAATACAGGATGTTCCCTTTATCTGACAATGCGGGGTAGCTATCGGAGCTCCAGGCTACTTCTACGACTCATCCGGCGGCCACAATGTCTTCCACGGAACCCGAAGGAGATGAAGCCATCACGAAGGAAGAAATCACCGGCCAAGCATCCACTCCGATACCAGGGCCATCCCAGTCATCCTCCAAGCAGCCAAGGCTTCGCAATGCATGTAAGTCATAGCTCCCGCCCGCCCGTCTCCCGATCACCTCTTGGCCTTTGGCAGTCCAGCGAGAAGGCTCGTACCCACACCGGTCACTAACTCTCTCGCCCCCCGCAGTCACGGAACTCATGAAACCAACCCCCAAACCACCACCACCGCCACCAGCTCCTCCAAGGGCCTCCAACCTCACCAACCGCTTCAAGAACCGCGACGGCCTGGGCGCCTACACGGCGGACCCGACGGCCTTCCCGCCCAGCCGTGTGATCTATCACGACGATCGCTTCGTCGCCATCCACGACCTGTACCCCAAGGCAACGATACACACGCTGCTGCTGTCGCGCTCGCCCGCGCACGCCCTGCTCCACCCCTTCGACGCCCTCGACGACCCCGCCTTCCTGGCCGACGTGCAGGCTGAGGCCCTGCGCCTGAGGGCCCTCGTGGCCAAGGAGCTCCGGAGGCGCCTCGGCGCGGGGAGCGAGAGGGAGCGGCGGAGGGAGCGGGCGCTGGCCGAGCAACAGGTGCAGGGTGGCGGCGGCGGCGGCGGCGAGGTGGAGATCCCGGCGGGGAGGGACTGGGAGGCCGAGATCAGGGTCGGGATACACTCCCGACCCAGCATGAACCATCTGCATGTCCATGTGTTCTCGCGGGACATGCACAGCCCTTGCATGAAGCATCGGAAGCACTACAATTCCTTCAATACGCCGTTCCTGATCGACGTGGCTGACTTCCCGCTGGCAAAGGACGATCCGAGGCGCCATCCCGGACATCAGGGGTATCTGGACCGGAGCCTCAGGTGCTGGAGGTGTGGCAAGGAGTTCGGCAACAAGTTCAAGGCGTTAAAAGATCATCTGGAGGAGGAATTCGAGGAGTGGAAGAGGGAATGACGGGGCGCGCTAGACGGAGGATATATACCCAGGCACGAAAGTCAATGTGTCTGGAAAGGCACCTTGCGGAGAATAGATGCCATTTGCCCTCCTCTGGCTCAGAGACCAGAGACACCTCTGGGCCTAACCATCCTATCATCGGATATCAACCCTTCAATACGGAAAATGAGACTAACCAAACAAGTCCCCATTGAGCGCGTACCCTTTCGCCATCAAGAAAACAAACCGACCTATTAACACATGCTGGCAAAGGGGGCCGTGGCGCCCAACTGCTGACGTAGTTCAGCAAATGATGAAGTAGTCCAAAAAGCACGAATTCAATAGTACTTGAAACAATAAGCCCAGAAAGCATCCGTAGGCATCCCTTCAGCCCGCTGTTAAACAATTCCCCCCGTAAAAACAACCCGGCCGGACCCAGTATCGTCATTTAACCAGACTCTCCCCAGTAGTGACCACTTAGACGTCAGCCCGAGTGTCTGTAAAAAGCGGTGTTGGGCAAGGCGGACTTGTCTTACAGTATGCTCGGCCATTTAGTCAGGGCGGCTGCCAAAAGAGAAATAAACTTTCACGTTGGCTGGTTGGAAAGAAAAAGATGGCAGCACCAATCAGTTGTCCCGTCCAATCTTCTACCCGGCAAGAATATCACGAAAGGAGCGCGGGGGGAAGGGGTGCACGACGTGACGCACCAAGTTCTAGAACGCGTCACTCACTGGCGTCTTGCCCCTGGAAATCGCTCTCGTCGCCACCCGACTGCTGCTCCTCCTCGAACGCGGCATCGCTGCCACCCTCTGCGGCCTCGTCGTCGTCCTCCCCCGCCGGGGTGCCCCGCGTCCGCTTCGTCCCCGCCGCCTTGGCCGCGGCAGCCTTGCTGGGAGGAGTACCTGCCGCCGTCGTTATCGCCGCGGCGGCAGCGGTGTCCGACTTGCGGGGCCGGCCGCGACCCCTGCCCGTGGGCTTGGCGGGCGCGGCGGCCTTCTTCTCGGAGGCGTCCTTCCGCGGCCGGCCGACGGGCCGTTTTGTGCGCCCCGATGCTGCTGTCGTTGTCGCCGCCGCCGCCGTGGCCTTCTTGACGCCGCCGCTGCCCTTGGGGCGGCCGCGCGGCCGGCCGCTCGGGGGCTTGGTCTTCTTCTCGGAGGGGTCCTTGCGGGGGCGGCCTCGGCCGCGCTTGACGGGTTCGGTCGGCTCTGTGGGTGCCATGGATGGGAGGGAAGGGAAGACTAGGCTGATCGGGGGTTCTGGAATGTCGTGGGTTCTGGTTTTTTTAACGGCGGGCGGGGAGGGAGGGAGGGAGGTGATGTCGGGTTGTAAATTGGTAAACGCGCACGCACTCAGGGTAGCGGGGCCAGACCTGCAAACGCAGATGAAACAGTAAATGGGCTTATTAGAAGTAGGTATGAGTGTAGCTTGTGTTGTCCGTTTGTTTTATGGCTAGGAAGTGATGTCCGATTTTGCCTGTTTAAGGAAGCGCGTCGCGCGTTTGTGATGTTCCATTGTCCATCTATTGTGTAACCCTCGATTAATGCTTAGCGTAAAATACTGCGTGCATCTACAGGGGTAGGCCAGTTCGGAGCTGAGAATCTCACTTACACATACCTAACATGTAACATGCCAGGATTCGGAGAGAACGACACAGGGGATGAAAAAAAGGGCCGTCTGCGGCACAGCTCCAAGCGCAGTAAATGCACGAAGCAAGCCGTAGAAGATGAGGAAATGAAAGGATAATATTTCAGCTACGTTTCTTGTGCTTCCCCTGCATCCGCTTCGGAGCGTGTCGACCCAGCCATGTCATCACTGCCAAAGACTGCCCCGAACAGAGCGCCGGACAAAAAAGAAACTACCGGTTCCGCACCAACGCCACAGCCTGCGAATGGGGCGAGTCATATCACCCCGGCGGTTATCATCCGGTTCACTTACAGGATGTCTTCAACACTCAGTATCGCGTGATTCGTAAGCTCGGCTATGGCTCCTACTCTACAGTTTGGCTTGCCATTGACTTGCGGTTCGTCGTATCTTGTCTCCTCTGTCTTTGTCTGTTCGGCTCCCTGATTCGATCTCTCCTGTCTAGCTCATCTCACTACGTGGCATTGAAAATCGGTGTAGCAACCTCTGATCGACAAATTATGTCGAGGGAAATCTTGCTGTACGACTGTCTCGCGAAGCCGTCGGTGGATGCTGCCGGTTCCCGATACATAGCTTCCTCGCTCGATTGGTTCCATCACCATGGACCTAACGGGAAACATCTGTGTCTTGTATCTGAGGCCCTAGGACCAAATGTCAGTACCATGTTGCGTATGTCTCTGCAATGCCAAATAGGTGAGCCCTGGGAACGGCGATTCCCGAAAGAATGGGTTAGGCGTATCCTGCGAGATGTCCTCTTGGGATTACAATTCCTACACGCCAACAGCATTGTTCATGGTGATCTGCACCTAGGAAATATCCTTTTCACTGTCAGGCTTTCGGACATCAAATCCAGTCTGCCCGAAAGTCTTCAACAATATCCTGATCAAGGCACCCCTTTACGACGGTTGGACGGAAAGGTCGATCCTTGGGCTCCGCAGTATCTTCTGGAAGCGAAATCGCTCTACGACTGTACGTCGTTTGAGTTGGATCCTCTCGTAAAAATCGTCGATCTGGGGACGGGTAAGGACTACTGTATTATATATTTATTTATGACTTCGCCGGCTCACGTCTTCCTTAGCCTTTCCAGAAGAGTCACCTCTTACCCCTATAGCGACCCCGGCACCACTGCGAGCTCCTGAGGTGATTCTCAACTGCCAGCTTGGACGTGGCCTCGACATATGGAGTTTTGGATGTCTTCTTTTCGAGCTCATCACCGGACACCAACTATTCCAAGTTTGGGGGCTGGGAGGGAATCGGTACGACGAAACAACTAACGACGAGCATCTAATACAAGTCACCGAGATGCTCCATCCTCTACCTGAGACACTGTCCAGCAAATGGCCAAGGGTGAGCAGCTACTATGGCCCAAATGGGGAGCGATTAGATGCCCACGACGACATGTGCGACCCAGATGGAGAATCGAACACAGAGCGACTAGACTCCGACGACGATCTACCTGGTGTAAGGGGGGGGGACTGGGCTGATGGCGGAACAGATACTGACAGCTCAACGGACCAAGTCCCTCTAGCCTCTTCGCGGCGCTATGACTCACTTGAAGCGCGGTTTAGGGCTGTAAAGCCCCCTGACATCGACGAGAAGGAAGAAATGGAGATTGTGCAGCTGATCCGGCTGGCTCTGCAGCCCGACGCCGTGAAGCGTGCTTCGGCGGCTCAGCTTCTTCAGCAAGCGTGGTTCTGCCAATGATGCAGCAATACCCGTTTCTGACGTTTGGGCCCAAATTGCCAGTGCCATTACTTTCAACCAGCGAAGCTTCGAGATGAAAAGTTAGAGTGGAGAACGTTCACGCGTCGCGTCGCCTCTGGCCAAACCTTCCGGGTTACTGAACTTAGTGATATATTGGCTCCAAAGCTTCTGATGACTGGCCTTTCGCCATTCCTCAATGTCCTATAAATACTCCCCGATCCTCATTCAATTCTATTATCTCCCTCTCTCCTTGCCTTGAACTACCTCTATCACGACAAGTGCAGACACAACCTCCAATCATGCTGTCCCCAAAATATCACATCATTTACTGGCTAGCCTCAGTCGCAGCAGCCGTCACCTATAGGCTTATCTCAACAATTTAGTGGCACGATAGGCTCTTCCACTCACTCCTCTACCCACTGTTGGCCGATAAGTTATTCTTCTTGTGGCAGGGGCCCAATCATGAGAGGATAGATGCGTGGTCTTGGAGGTCATGTTGGCATTTTGTCTCAACAGCTTTCCTTCTCGTGTCTTTGGGCACAGCTGTGGAGGCTCTCTGCAAGGATGAACTCGAGTTGCGGTAGGTTGGATTTACGCATGTCCTCCTTGCGTTTTCGACCCTTGGCTGTCTCGAATCAGTCAGGCAGAATGTAAGTCGATGAACATTTAACCCTGAGTTTTGGCATATGCTCCCCCTCCTAGAATTCTATAACACACAACCTGCTAACTGCTGCTTCATAGAGGAGAGACATTGAGCCCTGTTTCGGACTCGCCCCCCGAATTGTACACATTCAACCAGACACTTTACGCCGAAAGCTCTACTCCATTGGCTTTGGTGCTATTGTGAATACGAGTATTCGGCACCTGTTCAGTCTCATATTGCGACTATCCTACGGGCCCGAGACTGCCTCACGGAAATCTTTCCCTAGCCTCATGACCATACATTGCGTAGCAATCGCAGCCGTATTGCCATTGCTACTTGGCCCACTCGCAGACGGGCTGAGACAGTAAGTGATCAAGCTTTTCCGCGACTTTCGGGAAGCCCCTGACTAATTGAGCACAAATAATTATTATACCTCGCTCACAAGCGTGAGTTTCCTGAATGGGTGCCTGAGGCGACGCCGCTCCTCGCTGTGGGGGAGAAATGGACTTGGCGGAAGCTTACGATCATGGATTCTTCTGCACAGTTGATATTATTGGGTCTGGTTGTGAGTATGGACCGATCGGGACATGCAGAACAAGCCATAGGATTATAAGATGGAGGAGAAAAAGGAAAGCCATTCGGCAAGCAGCCAGGCCCCATATTGATATGGCTCGCAAAATGGTTCACCGAAGTTGGATTCCATCACAGGGGTCTGGGACCAACTTGACGTTGACGTCGGTCAATTACATCTTAGGGTCATGGTATAGGGAAATATGCAAGTACCTAGGCATATGCCTAGAGACGACTATACGCATGTACTGTGCAGCACAGAAGTACATACAGTGCATAACCTTAAATGCGGGTGGCGAAATGGAGCTTATAATTAGGTACCTAGGTACCCCAACCCCACTATGGAAATTCAGGTATGCATTGGAGCTGTGATTTTAATATGCACGACATCGGTCAAAAAAGTCGAGCTGAGTTGGATTCACTTATTATAAGTCTTAGGGTTTTTCTTATATTGCTTTCTTCACTTTCTGACCGGTCCGTCATGTTTACTTTGTGAAACCCTGTCCATGGTAGACTGAGATTCTAGCCAACAACCTAAGCCTCGACAGAGCAGAGCCAAGAGAGATGGTCAAGAAGGGCAAGGGCAAGGAGAAGAGCACTCCTGTGGCAAAGAGCACTCCCCCAGCAGCACCTGCTGCAACGAGCAAAGGGAAGAAAGTGAAAGCCCCGGCAGAGGACGACTTCATCATCTTCAGCAACTCCCCAAATGACGGACAAGGGAGGCGAGGTGGACCGTCCGGTTCGAGCAAGCCCGCCCCTCCAACTGCTGATGTGCCCGGTGAGGCTCCTATAGGACCTCCAAAGCCGACCATCAAACAGATTATCGGGGGCGCGTCGTGGACTGGAAAACTACCCGTCAATCTCCTGTCTGAGCACTGCCAGAAGCAAAAGTGGGGGAGGCCGGAATATGAGACTGTAAGCGGCCGTTGATGGGACCTGTTGATATGTAGTTAATCAAAGACCAGCGCAAAACTTCCGAGGGCTTCTCTGTCCTCGTAAGCCTCAGTGCAAAGAATCCGAAGACCCAGGAGACCGTCAAACTGGCCCCCTTCAAGCTGCCTCCTAGTCATGTACATCTTGCCTACAAGCCCACCGCGCTGGAAGCAAAGCATGCCGCTGCCACTTTTGCCCTGTTCAGAGTCTGCAGTATGAAGAACCTGCATATGATGCTGCCCCCTGACCACAAAGCTCTCTGGAAGGAGTTTGAAGCCCTGAAAAAACTTGATGTTAAGGAAGGGAAGGCCTGGATGTATGAGGCTGATCCGTTCGCAACCCTGCGGGAAAGAGAGGAGGCAAAGGTTGCTGCGGAAAGGAAAAGGAAGGAAGTCCAGGCGGCCAAAGAGAAGGCCGCAAACATGCCTGGAGCATCTGGCTTGGTGCTCAGGGGCGATGCTGCCAGCGCCTCTGGCAGTGGATATAACCCAATGAGAGGCTGGACCGCAGTACCAAAGATCGAAATGGGCAACAAGACGCGGACCCAGCTTGAAGATATCATCCGCCGGGGGTCTGTCTGGAACCCGTATGGGGTTGAGATGCCAGCCTCGCAAAGGGAAAGCATCGTCAGGGAGTTCAAGGGACTTGGTTTCCGACCAAGCCACGCCGAGGAGGCCGTCAAGGAGTGCAAGGATCGCGAGGAGACTCTCGAGTGGCTTCTCATCCACGTTCCTGAAGACGACCTCCCCCGCTGGGCTCTGCCCGGAAGCTACACTGCTGGAGTGACTGTCGGTGCTACCGACTTGCGAACAGAAGGCGCCATCAAACGTCTCAGCCAGTCGGGTTATTCAGCCGAGCTCTGCCGCAGGGTACTCGAGTCGAACAACGGCGATGAGGGCAGGGCGGCCGAGGCACTTCAAAAAATCTTGCTGGCCAGCGGCGTGGAGCGACTCGATGGCTCTAACGGGACATCATCCGACCCGCTGGGGTCCTCCGAGCAGGTAGACGAGGCCTGGGAGGAGGAAATGGGAAGCCTGGAAGCCGTTCTTAGCGACCAATACACTCGCCTCTCACCGGATGTCTGCCAGATACAGATTATGTCGGTCATCAATGGACCGGAATGCGATGTGGAGACCTTCATGCAGTTCCGAAAATCGCCACACTATCCTTCACAAATCATCCTCTCCGTTGCCGCCAAGCTCCCGGCATATATCAAGCTGAGCATCATCAAGAAGGCCCTAGAGTACGTCGACGAGTCTCTACGGGGCGAAGAGATGAAGATATACTACGTTGTTTGCTGGATACAGGAATGCATCAACGATATCATAGATAACCCCGGTGCTCTGCGGGACGTTTCGGCAGTGGCCTCTGCGGCTTCGGAGGAGCAACCGGCGGCGAGTAAGAGGGCGGGTCGAAGGGGACCACGGCACCCAAGGCCCCTCGACCGCACACCAGACCTTCGGGGCAAGGAGGAGTGGCTTCGGCGCCAGGGGACTCCTGCGTACAAAAAGATGGTGTCCCAGAGGGAGAGACTTCCTGCGTGGCAGATTCGACACGAGATTGTTCAGACTGTCAGCGAGAACCAGGTGACCATTATAGCTGGAGAGACCGGCTCCGGCAAGTCGACACAGTCTGTCCAGTTCGTCTTGGACGACCTCTACAGCAAAGCCCTCGGCAACAGCGCAAACATCGTCGTGACCCAGCCAAGGCGGATATCTGCCCTTGGCCTTGCCGATCGTGTTAGCGAGGAGCGCTGCTCTCCGGTCGGCCAAGAGGTCGGCTACTCCATCCGCGGCGAGACCAAGACAAGCCCGAGGACCAAGATCACCTTTGTCACGACGGGAGTGCTTCTCAGGCGCCTCCAGACGTCGGGTGGCCGTACCGAAGATGTTGTTGCCTCGCTCGCAGACGTCAGCCACGTCGTCATCGATGAGGTCCACGAGCGGAGTCTTGATACCGATTTCCTCCTCAGCATTCTCCGAGACGTCCTCCAGCAACGACGCGACCTGAAGCTCATCCTCATGAGCGCTACCCTAGACTCGGCAACGTTCCGAGATTATTTCGCCGGCAGCGGTGCCCAATACTTGACTGTGGGGATGGTCGAAATCGAGGGACGGACATTCCCCGTGCAGGACTACTATCTCGACGATGTGATCCACATGACAGGCTTCGCCGTCGGGTCTCGGAACGACTACCGAGATGAAGACACTGCCACCAAGTCGCTTGACCCGATCAACAAGACCATCCAGAGGCTAGGCAGCCGTATCAACTACGACCTCCTCGTCGAGACCGTCCGGGCCATCGACGCGGATCTGGCCCAGACCCAGAAGTCGGGCGGCATCCTCATTTTCCTCCCGGGCGTGGCCGAGATCAACCGCGCGTGCAATACGCTCCAGTCAACCTCGTCTCTGCACGTTCTTCCCCTACACGCCTCTCTCGAGACGAGAGAGCAGAAGAAGGTATTCGCCGCGGCACCGTCGGGCAAGCGCAAGGTCGTCGTGGCGACAAACGTCGCCGAGACATCGATCACGATCGACGACATCGTGGCGGTCATCGACAGCGGCAGGGTGAAGGAGACGTCCTTCGACCCGCAGACCAACATGCGGAAGCTGGAGGAGACGTGGGGCTCGCGGGCGGCGTGCAAGCAGCGGCGCGGCAGGGCCGGCCGCGTCCAGGCAGGCAAGTGCTACAAAATGTACACGCGCAACCTGGAGCTGCAGATGGCCGAGCGGCCCGAGCCCGAGATACGGCGCGTCCCGCTGGAGCAGCTCTGCCTGTCGGTCCGGGCGATGGGGATCAGGGACGTGCCGTGGTTCCTGTCCCGGACGCCGACGCCGCCCGAGGAGACGGCCGTGGAAGGGGCGATCAAGATGCTCCGGAGGATGGGGGCCCTCGACGGCGAGGAGCTGACGGCGCTGGGCCAGCAGCTCGCCATGATACCCGCGGACCTCCGGTGCGGGAAACTGATGGTCTTCGGGGCCATCTTCGGGTGCCTCGACGGCAGCGTCACCATCGCGGCGATCCTGAGCACCAGGAGCCCGTTCCTGTCGCCGCCCGACAAGCGCGACCAGGCCAAGGAGGCGAGGATGAGGTTCGCCCGGGGCGACGGCGACCTCCTCACCGACCTGCGCGCCTTCCAGCAGTGGGACGAGATGATGCAGGACCGCGTCCCCCAGCGGCACGTCCGCATGTTCTGCGACGAGAACTTCCTCTCCTTCAACACCCTGTCCGACATCGCCTCGACGAGGACGCAGTACTACTCCGCGCTGTCGGAGATCGGCATCACGGCGCCGGGCTCGGCCGCGGGGTTCCCTTACAACAACAGGGGGTCGACCACGACCCCGTCGGCTCCTCCGTCGTCGTCGTCGATGACCCTCCTCCGGGCGCTGACCGCCTCGGCCTTCAGCCCGCAGATTGCGCGCATCCAGTTCCCGGACAAGAAGTTCGCGACGTCCATGTCGGGCGCCGTGGAGCTGGACCCGGAGGCCAAGACGATCAGGTACTTTGCGCAGGAGAGCGGGCGCGTCTTCGTCCACCCCGGCAGCACCCTGTTCGACAACCAGGGGTTCTCCGGCAACGCCGCCTTCCTGTCGTACTTCACCATGATCTCGACCTCAAAGGTGTTCATCAGGGACCTCACACGTGAGTTACACAACCACCATCCTATCCATCTATCTGTGCCCTGATACTCCTCGTCTGTGTGAAAAAACATGCTCACTCTTCCCAGCCTTCAACGCCTACACGCTCCTCCTCTTCTCCGGCGCCATCGACCTCGACACAATGGGCCGCGGCCTCGTGGTCGACGGCTGGCTGCGCCTGCGCGGCTGGGCGCGGATAGGGGTCCTGGTCTCGAGGCTGCGCGGCATGGTGGACAACATCATCGCCATGAAGGTCGACAACCCGTCGCTGGACCTGCGGACCAACGAGGTCATCAGGATCGTGACGAAGCTCATTGAGCTGGATGGCATGGACGCATAGACAGGAAGCTAGAGGAATGGGGGGTGAGGGAGGGGTTGGGAATCGTTACGTAGCACAGCGCCGAGGCCGTGGGGTTAAAAATTGAGGCAAGCATGGGTATAGATGGTATCTGGAGGACGCGTACTACGACTACTACGAAAACGCCGCCTATGATGAAGAAGTGGCCACCCAGGCGGAGGCAGGCCAAGGAGAATCCCAAGGCAAGGGCAAGGTAAAGAGAAAGAGAAGGCCGAAAAAGAGAGGGGAGAAATAGCCTAGTTCTCAGCATCTGTATGCAGATCACGACCAATCTATTAATCCGCCCGAGCCCCATATTCATTTACCTACCGGCTATGCGTGCCTCAGGCCTCCCGTGCGTCTCCTTATTCCTTGTTGTAGTGCACCTTGTGCGCCTCGCTGTGACGCTCGTGATCCTTGCGATCCTTGCGATCCTTGTGATCCTTGTGATCCTCGTGATCCTCGCGGAGCCTGCTGTTGGCTTTGGTGATGTGGGGGTAGTGTAGCCGAATAGTCCTTTCCACTTACGTCTTTGTAGAGGTGTGCTGTAATGAGGCTGTCGCTGCCCTTGCCTGCCCTTGCTCTCGCCCTGAACCCCTCTGTCTCTTGTTGCCTCCTTGTAACGACTATGATAAATGCAGAGGCAAGGAGCTGCTGGGTCATCAGTCCCGTTAATAACCAGGCCTGGATCCATCTTAGGCGCGAGGAGAACCACCTAAGTTTCGAGCCGCAGTCAGCTTTGATCTCTATCCTTATCGTTCTAGGGCGAAGTGAATATGTACGCCATGAAGTCGATCTGCAAACACAGAAGCACGGAACGGGCATCACCCTCTCAATCCGATACTGCATGGGAACGACACAGCTGACACGTTCACAGCGTTAAGTGGTCAGCCCTCTTTGGTCGCCTCCTTTGGTCTGAGATACTGGTATGTGTCGGTAAAGAGGTATGTAGGCAGATCTTGGCGCGCGCAGGTTGTCCTACGCAGAAACCTTCTGTCAGAATTGTGTGTGAAACCACGCCTGCTTCAACACGTCCTGCGCGCTAAGCCGTTCTTCCGGCTGGTATCTTAACAGTCTTTCCAGCAGGTCCGCCAGGATCGTAGCCTCAGCTTCTGAAATGAGCTGAAACCGCGGATGAGCGCAGCCCTGCCCAGTACAGTCGTGGCAACTGGCGAGTTTCTCTTGAATGGGACGGGGGCGTTCCACTTGCGGCTCGATGCATGTATCTCCATTCCCTGAAAGCGGATTAGATGGAGTCGCGCCGGTGTCTGATTCGTTGTCCGATTCGGAGTAGTATGTTGCCCACGGCTCTGGGGCTCCCCTAGGAGAGAGGCAATCTCATCTACGTAGTCCTCCTTACGGAGGCCGACCAGCTGGAATACGTCAAAAAGTCGCCGACCGAGCCGTATTTCGTACAGTGTACAGCCCAGAGACCAGAGATCCATGGGTGTGCTGCCTGAACTGTCGAGGACCACCTCTGGCGCCGCATAGTTGGCCGGAATGCCGAAGGCTGCAGGGGGCGGTCGCTGAGATGTGTCGAATGACTGGCCAAAGTCAATAACCTGCGTACGTCGTGATATGACGGAAAGATAGACGTCTCCAAAGTCAGGCGGGTAGACGAGGTATTTTGGGGCATAAGGCATTTCCGGAGTTGGCCGAGAGTCGGTGCGAATGTGAACGTCTGTCGTTTCTGGCTCTCCGAGAAGGGAGAGCACCTGCTCCTCGTCTAGGCCATCAAGACCCTGTAGCTCCAGAAGAATATTCCAAGGCCGGAAATCTGCCATGGACATTTAGTGAAGGAAGACAGAGGGGTACTTATTATACCCAACATACCTCCATGGCAGATGCCACGGCTGTGCAGTGCAGCCAGACCCGCAACCGCCTGTCGCGATATCTCTTGGAGAATCTCGATGTAATCCACTTGTCCGTCGAATATATTTGCCGCATCTCGTGCCACCGGCCCCAGTACAGGATACACAAGGCAGACGTGTGTTCCGTTGGGGCTCTGGCTCACAAGCTGCTTCAGAGGGAGATAAGTGTTGCGCACCGGGGACCTTATTCACCTTATCTATGCCTTCTCTTTCTCTTTCTCTTTCTCTCGTCAGGTTAGCAGCCAGCAGTAGCTCACTACAGCTGTCTTTTTCCGCCTCGCTGGCGATGAGAATCTTAACGGCGACGTATGACGGTGTATCGGCGTGCTGGTCTCGGCAGAGCCATACAGTCGCATATCCGCCGTGGCCGAGTTTATGGATGATGCGGTACTGGCCGTCGTTAATCTCGTCGTGCAGATGGATAGGACAGTATCCTCCAGGGCGAAAACTGTGAAACCTCTCTAGGTCATCGTCCACTCCGCGAATGTAGAGCCTCCTCCACAAACTATCAGCAGCCTGGGGCAAGTCTGAGACCACCCGCCCCGGCCTTGGAGGGCCAGTTACCCTGATAGGGGGTCTCTTAGGGTACATATAGTGGCATCCCCGAGAATTGGCAGCTGCGAGCGCGACAAATGTTTTGCCGAAGACTTTGGCGGCAGCGGGTGCGGGTTGCTTGGGCAGATTCATCCCCCAATTGCCATCGGATACGGTGGGCGACAGCTGCATACCCTAGTGCACAATCACGTATATGCCAATATGCATAGTACCAGCCATAGAGTTAGAATTATCTTCTAGAGCTTGAAGTGGCCTGACATCACCTACATTTTCTCCTTCAAACTCCCAAGGTCAGCCGGGCCCAAGAGACATGCCCGGAGCATGGATGATGCTCGTTGCAGCATCGACACCGGAGATCGAGGCGTTGCCCCACAGTCTGCATAGTATGCCCAACATTCTGAAGAGGGACAAGGCTGGGTGGGACAGCTACCCGGTGCGTGGCCCGAGTTCTGCTGTGCGTGAAGTTGATCATTGCAGGATAGAGTCAACCAACCAATCTTCGGCGAACAGGCCAGATTGTAGTTGAGACAATCCATTTCAGTCGCATATTGGGCATGGCAAGACTCCGAGGAGGCGTATTCGGAGCATAAGCACAGCACTTTTATAGACAAGTCGGTACTCGTCTAGGTTTCTTCACGAACACAGTCACTGGCGATCAAGGCCGATCAGGCAGATGGATGTTGTGTGAATACGGATGGATGCATTTGCAGAGAGAGCTACTAGCGCAGCACGATACACCCTGCACGCCTTTGCTGCCTAGCTACTTAAGGGGGGGGGGGGGGGGGGCATTTGACATCCACATCTTGCCAACTACCACTTGGTAATGACAACTTGCCAAAGTAATCCACCGTCGAGAGGAATCATAGGATTAGAGTCATGCACTGGCAATGACCATTTCCCGTTTTCTTCGCGCAACCTCTGATCCAACCGGCTCCTTCGCATTCCGGCAACCATCTGTGCGGGCACGATTACCCTTGCCTGGGATTAGCCAGGCAAGCAACCTAGGGTTGGAGCTTTCAAGCTACCATTCAGACCCTCTTTTCTTCCTCGACTCGTTCGTTCCATAGCCAGGCTGGAGCTTTCAAGCCACCAAAGAACCTGCTCTTCCCTCTGCGGTACCAATGTTCAGTACCGTGTGTTAAAACAAAATTATGATAACGCCAAATCTGGTGATAGGGGTGGTGATAGGGTGGTGATGGGGGTTGTGGGGGCGGGGGACGGGGCCTTCAGTCCGTGTCAAAACCCAGCGCATACTTGTTTGTTTTTTCATCGTGTCTTTGACGGGGGCCGATTAAACGAACGACATTCAATCGTTAGGTTCCGTTCAGAGGTGGAAGCGCCAACTGGGGCATGTTTCAACTGCAAAGGCGGACTGTGGCGGTGTGGGACGATCCGGACCCCTACATGTCCATCGACTCTGAGCCGTTTGGTCCGCCAAAGTTGAAGCCACCGCCTTGGGCGCCATTGGTGCCGAAGCCAAAGCCTTGGCCGCCCTGAGCTTGACCCATGCCCTCATCGGCGTTCTCGTCCTCGTCGGAGAAGTACTTCTCGATGATGTTGTACGCCTTCATGTAGATCTCCTCGTTGGCATTGGTCTGGCACTCGTGAATCTTCTCCATGCCACCGCACTCCTCAATGAACAGGGCGTATCTGTTGATAGAGTCCGGACCATCTCCCGCAGCTTGCTTGTCCAAATCGCCCACCTTGAGGATGTTCTCGAGACCGTCGAGAGCCACCTGGATGATCTTGTTATCGGGGCATGCGAGAAGATCGCACAGCGGCTTGATGCATCCCTGGGAAACGAGATACCGGATCTGGTCAGGCTTCTGGAGACCACCAGACGTGGCATTGCTAATAGCCCAGCAGGCTTCCTTGCGGGTCTTGAGGTCGCCATTGGAGAGAAGGTGAATGAGCGGGTGAATAATGTTGGCATCGATAACGGCCTGGATCTGAGCCGAGTTTCCGGCGGTGATGTTGGAGATTGTCCAGCACGCCTCCTTGCGAATGCCGTCCTTGTTCGAACTCAACAGAGAGAGCAGGCACGGCAAAGCGCCACAGTTGATGATGACCTGGGTCTGCACATCATCGCCAGTCACAATGTTACCAACTGAACGGAGTGCCGGCGTCTGGACTGATGTCGAGGCATGCATAAGCAGCTCGACGAGACGGCGAGGGATGCCGGCCTCGATCACAGCCTGGATCTTGTCGTTGGACCCATCCGACAGGTACGAAATAGCCCAGCAAGCATCAATCAAGACTTCATCGTCCAAAGAGTAGACGAGCTTGGCAAGGACGGGCAGAGCAGGAGCAATCTAAGAAATCACGTTAGCACTCTATCACGTGACGGCGGCAAGGGTCGAGTAAGCTCACAGTAGTCCAGTCGGGCTGCGGAGTCTTGCCACGGCAGAAGTTGCTCAAGGTCCAGGTCGCGTTGCGCAGCATGCTGAGCTTTCGGCTGTCGCCTAGGAGGCTCAACAGAGGCTGCAGGGCACCTTGGCTCAGGACATAATCTCGGCACTGGGGACTGTCACCAGCGATATTGCCCAATGCCCAAACAGCCTGCTCACGAACATCCGGCTCGGGGCTACCAAGGAGCTCGACAAAGATCGGGACAGCACCGGCCTCAATAACCACCTGTGTCTGAGTGGCAGAGCCAGAAGCGATGTTTGTCAGAGCCCAGGCGGCCTCGAACTGGACCAAGGTGTGCGGAGAGCGGAGGAACTCGACAAATCGGCTCACCACACCCGTCTTGATAACCTCTTCAATAGGCGGGTTACGCTCTTTAGAGAGGAGCTTCCTGAATTTGGTGGTCGCTTGGATTTGAAGGTCGATCTGTTCAGAAAAGACTCCCTGGACCATCTGGGGAAGGTCCTCATTGAGCTGTAAAACTGTTAGCGTCACCGCCCATTCCAAACGGGCAGGGAACAAGTGGAGTTGCGATAAAGTAGGGATAATAATAAATCAGCGCGGTGAGAAATCGCGAACAAAGTGAGCGCGACCAATTTCCCGCGAGCGGAGCGAAGTACATGCGGTTGGAAAAGACGACCAACCCTGGACTTGAGGGACTGGGAACAGGTAAAGTGTACGAAACAGGGGTACGAAATGGTGGGGAAATAATGCTTGCAAGATGTGCGGGATACAGGAATACAGGAGAGGTGACGGAACAAGGCATACCTGAGATTCAGTAGGAACGGTCTCATCGTCGCTATCGGGTGCGGCGCCGAGCGAAGCACCAGGTCGCGAGTCGCCGGTGCCGATTCCGCGTCGCTTGGCAAGATTCTCCTCGCGCTTTGCCTTCCGAATTTCGACCTGCTGCTCCTCGCGGCGGCGCCGAAGCTCCTCAGGCTTGAAGGTGTTCTTGGCCTTGAACTGGGTGCGCCGATGCTCAGGAATGTATCGTTCAGCCATGATTGCGGATGCCTGGTGGGTTCTGACTGAGGTGGTCAAGGTTGAAGGAGGGGTGATGGAATGAGAGTCGAGAACGAAGCTAAGAGCCAGTCGCTATCGATAAATGGGCTCAAGGTTTGCGATGGTTGGTCGGGAAAAAATTGAGCGAGGCCGGCCAGATTATGCTGCGGTGGTCCCGGCTCCTGTTTTTTAAGGGAAGGTGGAGGACGAGATTGTTTGGACGACTGGGGGTTTGGGAGGAGGAGAAATTGAGGATACAAATTTTGAAGATGCGAAGTGGGAGCCTTTACATTGTTGTGCCTGCTGGGTCAGTAGTAGCGGACCCGTCATTACAGTGCGAAGTGGAAGCGAGTCAGACTAAGAGCTAAGTTTCAGGCAGAAATGGCAAGAAGGTGGTAGACTCGAACCTTATTGTCTGAGGCAGCAATCTTTCATGTGATGTATTGTCCCTCCGTTTGTCTACATACCTTACTAAATACATGTATGTATTATGTATGTATCTAAATGGGTCCCCACCCCCGCTAACAAAGAACCCCCCTCTCTTAGGTATCTCATCAGCTGTCTCCACAGGGGCATTGGACTCTAGCAAAGGCGCCAAACGCGCTGTGGGACGCGTCCACTGTACACGGGCTGTGCCTTTCAATTCTGTCGATGGACAATGGGCAATTGGCACCTCTGCATTCTACCAAACCAATGATCTTTTTACCTGTCCAGGTTGCTATTGCCTCAGACTCTTGACTGGAGCTTCTGATACTCCAGTCTCACACAATGCCGTGGGTTCCCTCAAGTTCTGCGCGGCATCGCGCATCTCAGCAAGCTTCTGGACTCCCTGTCGGCTTCGTCTCAATCAGCGATATCCTTGATGAAACTGTCCGGGCTGGAAATTCAACAAATGTTGTCGGGCTTGTGAAGGATTGTAGACTGCCTATACCCACCAGAGGCACTGGTAAGCTCGACGCCGCATTGTCTCTGTTTCCCCACATGGTCCGTCTAATGGCAGCCTTCTAGACTACAAAACTGCTCTTGTATTGTACGACCTCTCGACTCAAGATAGCAATGAGGGCATACATTTCAACATCTTCTGCCCCCAAGAAGAAATGCCAGAAGTCAAGCCAGGCGACGTTGTGATGGTCTTCCAGGCCAAGGTAAGTCTGTTAAACCAGATGTACTTTACAGGACTAACATGAAAGCTTCAGGTTCAGAGATTCAGGAGCAACCCACTGTCACTGATCACCTCATTCCGCACTTCTGTTCATGTATTCTCGGCTTCCCGGATTATGAAACCTCCAAGGTCCGCAAAGGCAGCCTTGTTACCGCCCAAAAAGAAGAACAGTAATCGGGAGCCGAATGAGAAAGAGTATGAATATGTCTCGTACTTCTATCACCAGATCGACAAATATGGCGTTCCAGATGAGGAACAGTTTCAGATCATGGCAAAGCAATCCCTCAATATAAAGCAGAAGTTCAGCCTTCTCCAAGATGTGCAGGAAGGGAAGTTTTGCGATCTATTTGTCCAAGTTGTACGCGACCCCTTTGACCTCGGAGACAAAATCACCCTATACGTGTCTGACTACACTGAGAATGACTTGTTCTTCAACTACACCTGGGAAGGTGTTAGAGACCTCTCATCCGGAGAGGGCTATGCCTACGAAGATAGCTCACAGCAGGCTTCGACAAAGAAGGAGTGGATCGGCCCGTATGGGAAGAAGGCAATGCAGATTACCTGCTACGAACCCCATGCCAGCTACATCCGCCACGAGGCCAAGGCTGGTTCATGGCTTGGCCTACAAAACGTCCAGGTAAAACTCGGCCGCGACGGTCGCAACCTGGAGGGCTTCATGCGCGAGGACCGGAGCGCCTTCGGGGACTCCGGTGCCAAGATCAACGCGCACGTCCTGGACACAACCGATCGTGACACAATAGATCCTCGCCTCAAGGACGCCATCCGCCGCTGGCGGGACTATACTAGGGTTAAAAAGGCCGACCTAAAAAGGCTCGAGTCGACCGAGCTCAAACGAAAATCCGAAGAACCAGAGAAGAAGAGATTGAATGCCAAACAACGGCGGAAGCGGCGGCGGGAGGAAGTCGAGAAGAAGGTGGACGAGCAAGCATCTAAGGAAGAGCAATCACTGGGCCTAAACCAGCTCATAAGCTCGGAGAGTGTTGAGAAACCGACCTGCGCCATCGAATCCATCCTCGAGCCAGCATTCTACGAGACTCTGATTAATGGCGAGCCCAAGAGCCTGCTCTTGCCGTTCACCTGCAGCAAGTACAGGGCAAATACCCGCGTGGTCGATTTCCGGCCGAATTGTTTGGAGGACTTCGCCTGCGTTCGGAAACAAACGGCTTTCGACGTCCTGTCAGACCACAGCGGCGACTCGGATTCAGGAGAAGAAGAAGACGACGACGACGGCATGGGGATGGGAAAGCTCGTATGGGAATGGCGCTTCATGCTCCAGCTAGAGGACGCGTCGGCAAAGGACAAAGCCCGCAACAGAATATGGGTCGTGGTCGACAACGCCGAGGCTCAATACCTCACGGGTCTGGACGCCAGCAAGTAAGTCACATATCCACAACCCTGCACCCGGGTGCCAACCAACCCTCTTGCCAGAAGACTACTAACCCCGTCCGCTTCTCCAGCCTACGTCAAGACCCCGAGACCCTCGCGAAGCTCCGCGAAAGGCTCTTCGCCCTCTGGGGCGACCTCGAGGAGCACAAGGCCAGCAAGGCGGCCGAGCAAGCGGCGACGAGGCGGCGCAAGCCCGGCGACATGCCCCCGATGGAGAGCTCGGACGCCGAGGACGATGGGCCGCGCCGCGGCCGGGGTGAAAGAGGAGGCGAGGCGGCGGCGGCTGTCTCCAACAAGCCCTTCACATGCTGCATCAAGCAGTATGGCGTCAGCATCAGGGAGGACGATCCCGCTCTGGCGAGTGCCGGTAACGGGAGGAGGTGGGAGAGGGTCTTCGGGCTGTTCGGGACGAAGATTTGCTGTTGAGACGCGGGCATGGGCGTCGCAATACTTGAGTTTCGAAGAACTACTGATGATTCATGTGTTTTTGCTCATCAAGATGGTCGGTATTGCCAAGCTGGCGTCCAATCGAGGGATGCAGGGGATAGAAGGGAGGTTCATGGATTGCACATTAATAGGAGCGAGCTTATACCCCGACGTCAATAGACGCTATGTACTGTTATGTTTGCTTGTAGGGGCGTTCTGAATCGCCAATCCATTGCACCTTTGATATTCCTACACCAGCCGGAGAATATCCCTCAATAAACATGACCAGGACCACCAGAAAGTATCCCGCAAGTGGAGTCAAAATATGTTTCCCAATTCGTATGGGGTGAGCAAGAAGAAAAGAAGAAAAGGTCCCCGCCATCATCATCAGCAATGTTCACTTCACCCCTGCCCGGAAACGCCTTTTACACCACCATCAGCCCGCCTAGAAACCCTTCTAGAATATCCCTTCCCTTTGCCTTCAATCACCCAACACAGATTCGTCCTCATCTCCGTCCACGGCTTGCTCGCCAGCTACATCCCCATTCCCCCTCTCCCCCCCGTCATCCTCATCGTCAATCGGATCCAGCAGCTCGCGACGGCGGAGATCCTCCTCGGTGCCCTCCTCGAAGGGATTCTCCTCGTCCGAGTCATCGTCTCCGGGGTCGACCATCTCCTCGCTGATGGCCTGCTTCTTGCCGGCCGGCCCTCCCGGGGCGGGCTGCTCCTTGGCCTTGGCCTTGGCGCTACTGTCGCCCTTCTTCTTCTTCCTGTTGGCGCCGCCGGCGCCGGCCATCCTCTCCCTCAGCTTGTCCTCGTCCAGGTAGGCGACGATCTCCTTGAGGTTGTTGCCGAGCTTGTTCTGGTTCCGCAGCATGCGCCTGGCGAGGCGGCCGGCGCGCGGCCCGCTCGCGTCGAGCGCCTTTGCCAGGATGGCCATGACGTACTTTGACGCGAGCTGGCACAGGCCCCTCTCAGCCTTGAGCTCCCTGCCCTTGCGCTCGTCGACCGAGAGGTCCTCGCCGTCCTCGTCCTCGTCGTCCGAGAGCATGTCGTCGTCGATGGGGTCCTCGTCGTCCGCCGGCTCGTTGAGCGTCTTCTTGGCCCGCTTGGCGTACGCCCGCTCCGCGCAGTCAAAGATCTCGATCAGCTCCGCATCCACGAGGCCGGGCGGGATCTCCTCGACGAGGACCGAGAGCCGCGCGTACTTTTGTGGCCCGCCCGGGGCTTGGGCGATGGCCTGGTTGAGTGATGCGAAGAGGACGTGGAGGTCGCACAGGGCGCCGGTTGAGAAGAGACGGAGGTCATCGTTCGTGCCCCGAGAGGAGAGAGTGGAGATGAGGTTCGTCTGGTAGGTCTTCCGCAGGGCATTCAGATGCTCGATCTCGCTCCTGGCGACGTCCAAGTCCTCTTGAACCGACGCGACGAGCGAGCGCACCTTCCACATGAAGTAGAAATGGCAGCACTTGATGCCAAAAGACACTGCCTCGTCCTCGAGGTCGTCCAAATCCTCGTCGACCTGCTCGAGCTTTCCTCGGTGGACTATTCGGGCTAATATCTCGATCGCAGGAGAGCTAGACTCGTCCGACTGGCCATCAGCCACCAACACGTCGACAGGGTTTGAGATTCCGGCAAGCCTGCTAATCTTCATGAGAACGTTCCCTAGCTCGGTAGTGGAGTCCGCATCGAGGTTTCCTCGCATCGATAGCTCGCAGAGCTTGTCGAAATTGCGCAACGAGTTAACCACGTTCTCCCAGAGGACTGCAACCTTGCCGTTGATCACTTCTTCCACCTCATCAAACTGGCGGGCATGCAGGATTGCAGCAGTGGCCTCTGCAATGACACCCCTGTCCACATGCCTGTTGAATTGGGTACATATCTCGTCAAGCAGTCTGTCATACGTGGTCAGGTTCTGGCGAAGCTGCTGGAAGATGTCCAAATCCAGATAATGTTCCAGCCTCAAGACGATGGTAGCCGTGCTGGGCTCGGCGCCGAACTTCTTCAGGAGTTGGGGTATCGTTGTGGCCAGGTGAAGAGCCGTCTCCTCCTGGGCCTCACCAGCATCTGGTCTCGGCTTCTTCTTGGCTTCGGCACTGTGAGACAGCGCCAGTTTGACAGCCGACGAGAGGACTTCCAGCAAGATGGGTTCTTCCCCGTCCTGGGGCGCAACAGCATCCCTCAAAGCAGCCCCATTCGACTTCGAGCTCGACTTGGATTTCGACTTTGTGCTCGTCGTATGGTCATACAGAAGATAGCCGGAGATCAGCTCCCAATTTCTGACGTGCTCGATCTTCTCATACAACACCTGGGTGGCCATTGAAATCCGAGTCTCGGGCGTAACTTCGCTGAACATGTCTACCGCGATGTCCAATGGGCGAGGGGGCTCCGTAGGCTGGTCGGTTTCGAACTGAAGATCGTAGGCAGCCAGGATCTCGGCAAGGCATTTGATGCTGATCCAGTCTCTCCGCGGCGCAGAAAAGTCGTCCTCCTGGTCCTCGCCAAAGAGCTCGTCAACTGCCTCGTCTCCCCCCATATCCTCGACCTTGCTCTCGATTGCGTCGTTGACACAGCCGGCGAAAAAGTCCACCACAGCTTTACGGACTCTCAGTTCGGTGTCGAAAATCAGGCTGCCAATCGAGTCGATCTCGTCAGGCTCTAGCATGCCAGTAGACTTTAATGTTTCGATGACAGAAATCGCCGCGACGCGGGTGCTCACGTCCGAGTCCTTGATTGCCATCTCTACGAGGCGTGGCCGAAACCTCTCAATGAAGTGGCCCAGTTTGGCGGCATCCCGTTTGAAGATCCTCGCAAGCTGTTTGAGCACCTCGTGGCGCGTCTGTGGCATAACATCCGATAGCATCCAGCCGAGATATCTCAGGTATTCGGGCTCCATGAAGACAGTCGGGAGCAGCCATATCCATGATCCGAGAGCCTCAACACATTCGGATCGGATCCTGGGGTCGATGTCGCGGTAGCGATGGACAAAGACCGTATCGAAGAAGTCGGTGATCTGCTCCTGACACAGCTCACGACTGTGGTTGGCTTCATCTAGTTCGCGCTGGACTGCTGCAAGCCTATCCTTGTTCTTCCCCTTTCGTTTCCTCTCTGCCTCGATTTGTTGAGTCGTCTTTGTAATGCGGCCGTCGAGTTTCTTGGCCACGTCGACCAAGGCAGTTTCCATCGCAAGAGCGACCGTGGTTGCCGTGTGTCGAAACGGTCGAAGAGTCGACGACGACATTGAAGCGACCCATCGGGCAATATTCTCCATCAACGCGTCATCCTTGTATAGGACATCCGTCTCATGCATGACGTTCACAAGCGATTTGAAGAAGCCGACAAGCATGTCACGAAACGATCTGGTGGTCTTGGCTCTCGAAATGAGAGGATAGTCGGTTATTCCCTCCTAAAACACGGGAGGTCAGCTCGTGTTCTCGCTCTCTACAGATTTGGCAACCACTTACCTCTGTGTAGACGTTCTGAAGGTCGGCCAGCCTGTTCTGACAGTTCTCCGGGTCTCGGATGTCATCCTCAGTCACCAGTTGATCACATCCGGCGGAAAGGAGAATGCAATTGACGAGGTCGGTTACTGCGCGCGTGTTGTCCTCCTGATATCTTTGGTACCACTGGGCCGCGACATCATCGGATGTATCCCCGGAGCCGAAAATGTCGGCTGCACAATGGTCAGGACGACGCGTCTCGTTATCACAGGTGGGGTTGATTTACCATAGAGCCCATCTCCCTCGCGATTCTGGATGGCAAGTCGCACAACTTTCTTAGGCCGGCTCGGCAGTCTGGCAGCGTGACTACCTGTGGCAGGCGCATCGCCATTGATCTTTGGTTTCTTCGCTGCCGGTTTCTTGGGCTTCGTCGCCTGGGAAGACTTCTTGTTATTGCGCGGTTCGACGTCGTCTTCACCCGCGTCATCGGTTTCTTCATCGTCATCGTGGTCTTCCTCGTCGGGCGACTCGTTCTCGGCGTCTTCGTCGTCCAGTTCCCCGCTGCGTTTACGCTTTGTGGCTGCGGGCGCATCGGGAACGAATTTCTCTGGGATTTTTGAGACGCGTCCTGATCGACGCGCCGTAGAAGTCGGAGCAGGGGAGCTCATCGCGTTATTGTCTGAGCTTTCCATGAGAGGGGGCCGTCTAGATGTCATTACAATAGATATGCGATGAATCCTAGTGTTCGCGTTCGCAGTCCCAATGCCACGCGAGTTTCCATGGGATTGGCGGTACGCGTCGTAAATTGGGGAGGGGATTTTGGATATTTATCGGGGGGTGTTCATTTCGGCGCTAGGTTGTTGGTTGGTGCTCCACATTTGCGCAGCCCTCGTCACCCTGTATATGTATGTATCGAGGCTAATTACGGATAGAATGGCATCTCCCTAAGCCACTACAGCCAACAATCCCGTATCATTTCCCGTTCACCATCTCGCCAGTGGAAAGCACACACAAAGTCCGTCCTTCACCCTATCCTATGGAGGCCGTCTTCAATTCAGGATCACGTCGCCGCTCTCCCACTCCATGCTTCGCATAGCATTCTAGGCAAGATAGCGAATAGAGCTTGGGTTTCCATCGTAATCTGTAGTTTAGAGAGTTCTCTTGTAGGTGGATCGGGCATAAGTTGCAAGTCGATGTACTCAGGGGCATCCTTGTATGTACATACATGCTTATCTGTGACCCTGTCTCTCCTTTCAACCCATCCTTTGAGCATCGTGTGGTACTCCCAGATAGGGGAGAGGGAGGTCAAGCTTCACCTTGAGATACTTCACCCACTCACCTTGTCATTCTATGGATATGTTGGCAAGGTCTGCTCCATGTGTGGAACACTTCGCAAACGGTCGTCGCGGGTGATGAACTGGCGCGAAATAGAGACGTCGGTGCGTTAAGAGAAGGTATCAATGAAGAAGCTATAACAGACTGAAAGACTGAAAGTATGGAGGGATGACGACACGATAAGAAGAGAAATCTAAGGCTCAGTTGAAAAGGAGGTGAAGGGGTTTGGGATTTGAATAACCCGAATCAAAATCTATTCAAGACATGTTGGGGGTTGAAACGGTAACTATGGTTACAGAGTTTGACACAGAACTTACAACTCAATATTGACATTCAAGTGAGAATGTGGAGGTGCTGTACAGGACAGAAAAGTGAAAACAGTTCCGACGTTTAGAATGAGGCGGAGCTGAAAGAGGCGGCAACTGTGCTCTTAATACCAGACATAAGGACCATCAGCCATCACTTCGTGCCTCGTGCACTCCGTTTGTGCCTCCCTCAAAAGCAATGCCTTAACACAAGCAGTGCCAAATGCCTCATACCTAGGTGGAAGGATGCCCTCCCCAAAAACTCAGTGGAGACTGTCGCGAGAGGCTTATCGAACACACATGAGCGCCTGTTTCCCAAAGTTTGTCGCTAAGCTCCCCTCTTGCGCCAACATCGATCCAACCCAGACTCGCCCTGTTTCCACCTCGGGAGCTCCGAACTTGACCACCACGCAGCCCCTGACATTGGCTGCCGACCAGAGCAGGTTCTTCGACTTCTCCATCTTGATCCTCTCTGACCGCCACTCCTCCAGCGGCGACTTTGCGGCGTCCTCCATCGATTTCGCGCCATCGCTCCTGAAATCCCTGGCCCCGATTCTCGGCAATATGGCAAACTCAGCGAGGAAGAACTGCCCAAGATCCTTCATCAGTGGTCCTCGCAGGATTAGAGTACCAAAGATTCCCATCCCATGCATCGTATCGCGCAGAGACTTGGTCTGATACCGGGTCTGATCCGCATTCAGAATGACGGTGTCCCTCACGAGCAGCCTGTCCCTGGCCTCGGGACTTCCTCCAGTGGCCCAGACTTCGTTCCGTCCAACCCACCGGATAAGGTCCCAATCCTCTCCTCGCGCGCTTCGGCCTTGCGTGACCCAGTCCAAGAGGCACAAGGAACCATTGTCAGCCACCCTGAAGATCTGGGTCTGCTCGTAGACACTGTTCGCGAAGGGCTGGACTGGATCCGGGAGAATACACAGCCCGCCTCCGCTGGCAACTTCGCCGTGAAGTGTCTGGCGCGTAACAATGTCTGCAGAGGCGGATTTGTAGATCCTAGTATGGCCCTGGGTGACAATGCTCAGTCTCGACCTCTCCTTGACCTCGATAGATAGGGAGACACTGTCGCCCCCAAGGAGTCCGCCGCCATAAGAGAGGAGGAAGACCAGGACGCTCTGTTTCTCGAAAAACCGTGTCGGGGAGATGAGCTTCAGCGGGTACTGGTACGAGAGGGTCTCGAGCTTAGGGGCACCATTTGGAAGAAGACTCGCGACAATTTGGCCATGGCCAGGGACTGAGGAGGACTTGGGAAAGGGCGACACCATCTTGGCTCCTCCCAGCTGCTGCTCTGCCTCCGAGTAGGGATCGGGAACCCGTTTCAATCGCCGTCAACTCCAGGTCATAACAGAATGCACTCCCCTCAGCACATTGGAAACATATGAATCGAAATATTAAGCTAGATAACAAAACAAGCAATCAGCGCGGCCACGGCCCGAATATTATGACGTAAATATATTCGTAGTGTAGAAAGGTCCTCGAAATTCCCATACAATTACTCTTATCTACACAGTATACAGCAGGTCAAATAGGAGTGCCTAGTACGGAATAGGTAGGTCAGCAATTATATTCGAGTTAGCGGAGAACCAGGACAGCTAAATATGCCCCGCAATAGCTCGTCCCCCACCAAGGCCATGAAATTTTGGTTGGCCATGACTCGATTGGAGCTCTACCTATGTCGACTGCGAGGAGGCAGCCTCCAAGTTTTCTCCCATATTTTGCTGATCGCGTAGCTACCCGTCCCATTTACCAGTCGATCTGTAATTTACGATGACAGGCCGGCGACCCACCCGCAGCACCCGCGGCGGCGCCGCGTCCAACGCCGGCGCGTCTCAATCCCAAGCAACCGACCCGACCACCGCCGCCGCCGATGCAGCAGCAGGTTCCGCTCCTCCCCGCGGTGCCGCCACACGGTCGGCAGCGGCGGGCACAGCAGGCCGGGGCCGGGGTGGCACAGCAGCAACAGCAGCAGCAGCCAGCAGCAGGGCCGGGGCGACCAAGTTCCGGCCCAAGGGCAACCGGCGCACCGAGTCGGAGCGCGAGCGGATAGCGCAGGAGCAACAGCGGATCCAGAGCAAGAAGATGGCCGAGGACGCGAGGCAGCGGTCGCGCGGCCGGTTCCGGCGGGCCGGGCGCGCACGCGGCGGCTTCAGGGACAGGGACCCCCGGTTCGCGACCGCCAGCGGGCCGCTGTCGTCGGGGATGGGGGCGGGGCCTGGTAAGTGCGATCCAGACAGGCGGGCGTGTGTTGTTGTTGTTGTTGGCCGTTGTGGGCTAACCCCCGTAACTTTAGCAGGCAGCTTTGGCGCTGGCGGTTCGGGCTTCCGTGGAGGCGGTGGTGCCGGGGGCGGGGCGGGCTTCAGGGGCAAGGCTGGGGTCTCGAGAGGGATTAGCAACAAGTATAGCTTCGCCGAGGGGATAGCGGACGACAACAGGATCAACGCCGATGAGCTCCGTGGGCGAGCGGGCGACTCCGATGAGGACGATAATGGCGCAAAAATCACCTCCACGGCGCGGAGGAGGAGGCCTATTATGCCTGTTGGCATCGAAAGGGTGGAGTACCAAGATAAGGGGGTCACAGTGGCCACGGCTGCAGATATCGAGGGCGAAGAGAAAGGCCTGGTGAAGAAGGAAGAAGGTTCAGAGTCGGAGGAGATGTGGATTGATGGCCCGGTTGTGAAAGACGGAGAGGGTGTCGAGATGGAGAAGGACGAGGGCGTATGGGCGCATGCGGCCCCCAAACCACATGGCAAGGTCAAGATCAAGAAAGAAGACGGCGAGATGATCGAAACGATGGATATCGACGAAATTGCCGCCCACGGACAGATAAAGGAACCTCTGTCTCCCGAGGCAAAGAAAGCGGCCATAGCTTCCGATTTAGAAGCCGAGCAAAAGAGGCGCAAAGCCGCACCACGCGATCCGGAAGAGGAGACGCTCTCCCAAGATCTCGAGCAGCTCCTCAGCCTTCTCGCTCTCGAGCCCGAGGGCGAGGGTATCCAGCCGCGAAGCGCGCTCGAGGGCAACATGTTCCTCTTTCAATTTCCTCCGGTACTGCCGCCTCTCAAGAAGTCAACGACGTTCGGGTCTAAGGATACCGTCAAGGATGAGCCAAACGACGATGTCGTCATGTTCGACCAGTCAGTAAATGGGACGCCGGGAAACGTCGACCTGACAGCCGAGGACGCCGAGAAAGTGAAGAGGGAAGAAGGCGATGAAGAAGGTCTAGAAGACGGGGACAACTCGTCTGATCCGTATCAGGAAGGGGGCTACGTGGGCAAGCTTGTGATGCGCAAGTCGGGCAAAGTCGAGCTCAGCTGGGGAGGACAGACACTGGAGCTGGTCTCGGGTGCTCCAGCCCAGTTCCTCACATCTGCGGTATTGCTCGAGGAGACCGACTCAAAGGCCAAACCAGGTCAAATTGCCGGTACAGCGTACGGAATGGGCAAGATCGAGGGCAAATTCGTCCTGGCGCCGAAATGGGGTGACGAGGAGGAGTGGGAGGTTGATCCGGACGACTTGCCACCAGGCGATGCGCCCGTCTTATAGTCGACACTCACGCCTAGTGAGGTACGTCCTTGCCTTCGACTCTAACGAGGCCACAGGACGAGATTGCTGGTCGAGGTGTGCTTGAGCGCAGGTCTCTCTTTGCGATATCTGTTCACCCTGCAGAGTGGCCCAGAGGGTAAATAGTAGTGCTCGAGGGGGGCGCACACGGGGGCTTCGACTGATACTGATTGCATTTCCACGAGCGCTGTACATTTAAGGGGAATCAACTGGCATAGACAAATAGATACCCATAGGGCTAAATGACAACCTACATGGACAGTATTAGGGCAGTCTATTATCATTCCTATTTCCATGGTCCGGCGTCGAGACGCCTCTGTAAAAGCAGCTCGACGCCTGGATTATGGGCAGGGCACTTAGTAGTTCACTCGCTAGAAAAGAAGACAATGATCATCTTGATAATCTAAGTTGGGTCTCAATTCTCAAAGATGAGTCGGAAGGACGGGGTATTTCTAGTTGACAACATCGGCGACGTAGATGTGGCATTGGCCCGAATGTTACGGGCCCGCAATTGCATATTAAAGGTCCCGGAGTAGAGCGGGATCTTAGTTTACGTGGGGGAATCAACCTCGAGTCATACGTGCAAACAATATTCGGGCAACGGTGCGGGACTTTAGAGAGTAGACGCCGCCAAATGAGAGGAAATAGCTTTGTCACAAGACAATAATTGCATCATGGCCGACAGCTTGAAATACACCGAGTACAAATATGGCACAGAAAACGAGCTACAGAGACTAGGCGTCTGGCAGTTCCCTACGGACGAACCCAGCACCGAAGAGACAAAATACTGGCTCGTGTAAGCCCCCCCTCCAACCCCCTCTCACAACAGCCCGCCAACCCCCCACACCAGCTACATCCACGGCGGCGCCTGGCGCGACCCCCGCATAGACCACACCACCGCCCGTCCCACGATCGGCTCCCTCCTCCTCGGCGGCGGCACCACCGCCCGGCCGTCCCGCATCGCCGGCATCGCCTCCCTCGACTACCGCCTATCCGCGCACCCGTCCTTCCCGCAGGATCCCTCGCGCGAGCCGCCCTCGCGCCTCCGCTCCGCCCGCCACCCGGACCACGTGCGCGACGTGCACGCCGCGTTGGCCCTGCTGGGGCGAGAGTTCGGCCTCGGCGCCGGCGCCGAGGGGACGCCGTACGTGCTCTTCGGGCACAGCTGCGGGGCGACGCTGGCGCTGCAGGTGCTGATGGGGGAGTGGGTCCAAGACCGGGAACCGGAACGGGTCCCTCTCCCGGCGGCGGTGGTTGGTTTCCAGGGGATGTACGACCTCGCGGGTCTGAACGCGCGGTTCGGCGGCGCGTATGGGGAGCTGCTCTCCGGCGCGTTCGGGCCGGACGAGGCGGTGTGGGAGGCCGTCAGCCCGGCGCGGTTCCGGGGCAGCTTCCGGGGGAACTGGGGGGCTGACCCGGGGCTGGCGGTGCTGGCGTACTCGCCGCAGGACGAGCTGATCGACATGGCGGAGATCGACGTGATGGAGATGGTGCTCCGGGACGATGGGCTCGACGTCTTGGCGTTTCGGGACCTGGAGGGTGGGCATGATGAGGTCTGGGAGGATGGGAGGCATTTGGGCCGAGTTCTGCTTCGGACGATTGAGGAGTTGGACCGGTTGGGGAAGAAGTGAGGTGCTGCTTTCCGAGGCGGGTAAGGTCTGGACACATGTGGGGGAAGGAAGTTTGATCCCAGCTCTACGGTTCTAGAAACCAGAAAATGCCATGTCTCTCTATCTATACATTTATTACCATTAATCTACGAGTGCTATTTTTTATGTGCCTTCAGATACAAAAAGGGTCTCCCGAAACCCAACATCCCACAGAACTCAGCACCTTGTCCCATGCCCAACCACCGCCCTGTAATGCGCATCATATCTTCACCCACAGATTCCAACCCGTCTTCTTCCACCTAGCGGCCCCAATCATGACCGCCGCCAACGCAATGAGCGACCCCGCCCACACCTGCGCCCACAGGTACCTTCCCCCGTCCCTATCGATGATAGCCCCAGCGATGGGCGGCCCCGCCAGCGTCGCGAACGCGACGGTGGTGCAGACCATGCCGAAGCGGGTGCCCATCTTCCTGGGGTCCTCGGTCAGGCTGGCCAGCGACCCGACGAACACGCCCTGCGCGGCGCCGTTGGCGAGCCCGAAGAAGGCCGAGAAGGCGTACATGCCCCCCCGCGACCCGACCCCGATCCAGGCGAAAACCATGCCCGACAGGACGGCGACGGCGATGACGAAGGTGTTGATGGGCCCCAGGTGGCGGTCGGCGAGGTAGCCGACCACCGGCCGCGACGGGATGCCCAGGCCGTTGGTGATGAGGAGAAGCCGGATCGACGTGACCGTGTCGAAGCCGACGACGTTGCGCGAGTACGTGTTGATCTGTTGGGGTGAGCACCTAGTGACCTGGTTGCGCCCGACATGGAAAATGGGAAGAAAGTGTTGCGAGGTGCAAACAATAAATACAAGGCAAGAAAAAAAGGGGGGAGGGGGCTTACATAGAAGAAACCGAAATATAGAGCGGAGAAGAGGCAAAAGCTCCCCAAAGTATAGAGGAGGTAGGGAGGTTCCCTGAACGCATCCCACTCGATCAGGGACCCGGATCTCCTCGGCCTCAGACGCGGCCTGATGATAATGAGGACAATCACGGAGATGAACAGGGCCACGAAGCCCGAACACCGCACGGCCCACGGAAAACCGATTCGGGGGATCAAGTACTGGACTGTCGAGGGGAACACGAGGCTGCCGAAGCCCGTCCCCGTCGCGGAGACTGCAAGGGCCAGGGACCTCTTCCTCCTGAAATATGAGTTGATCACGGCGACGGGGGGCATGAACATGATGCCCATGCCCAGACCCGTGCATATCCCCTGAGCCAGGAGGATCTGCCAGTACTCGGTGGCCAGACTCGTCATCATGATGCCGAAGACGACCAGGAACGAGCCCGCTGCAATGGTCTGCCTCGCATAGCCCGCGTCCACCAGCCTCCCGGAGACGGCACACATGAAGAAGGCCAGGAAGACCTGGACGGAGCCTATCCACGATATCTGCGACTGCGGGAGCTGGAGCGTGTCCCGGTAGTACAGCTGGTAGACCCCAAAGGTGGCCGGGAGCCCCCAGGCCATCCAGTTGACTAGGTTCCCGGCCACGACCTGAGACCAGGCCGCGAGGCCGCCGTCGGGGGGTTCGAAATCGTCCTTGCTCGGCGGCGAGTACAAGTCGCCGTTTTCAGAGCCCGACGCATGGTCGCCGGGCCGAAGCCGGCTATCACCGGCTGGGAGGTTCTCCGAGTCAAAGACGGCACCCATGGTAAGGATTTTGCAGGAATCCTGAGGAATGGCAGAAGCGGCGGGAGAGGGAAGAGGGATTATGAACACAGGAAACTCAAATCATTGTATTGCTAGCATTGACCGTGAGTCACTGATTCCCTCCGTCTTGTTGGGCCTTCTACTACTGGGTCCCTGCGCAATCCGTAGACATTCCCGAACCGGTTCCCATTGAAGTGGATGTGGAGTTCTCTCCGACCTCGCCGGCCCACCGATGTTGTACTCCACGCCCTTCCGATTGCAATTCCCGATCGACTGCATCGCACATGATTTGTTCAGATTTACGCACTTGGAAGGGCGTTAGGTATAGAGGGGTGATAAACCCGGTCACCCCCAGGAGGTCAGCCAGACCGGCAATGAAATTGACCAACCATCTTTGGTCCAATCTCAACACACTGGAGAGATTTTTATGTCAAGCAGCGAGTGGCAAAGGAAGCGATCGAATAGCCGCCTTCTTACGTACTAGGGCCAATGCAATGGGGTTCTTCACCGCCATCACTAGGTCCCCAGTAGTCACGAGGCGTTAAAGAAGTGCGCATTGGTAGTGAGGAGAAAAAAAGAAAGGAAAAAATGTCCAGCAAGTGTAACTGTAACCCTAAAACATGTCACCTTCCATCATCCCCATGAAGAGCGGTCAAGCGAACTCGGAAGTCAAAAACCAATGGGCAGATGACTCAGCGAATACATAAGCTCGATCGATCAGAAAAAAAAGCGACTTCAGCCAATGACGTAGGACGAACCTTGGCCTGAGCTTTTCGAGAGGGTGAGGGGGCCTGCAGAGTCGAGAACCCCGCACTTCCCGGTTCGGACAAAGGCGGGCCCACGGTTGGTTCCAGGCCCCGGCTTGTGCCTTGCGCTAGATCCGTTTGCGGCCTAGCGCGTGGATTTTAGGTTTGACCTTCCCCAATTGCATGCCGGTCCGGCCCCCCCAAAACCAATTCCTGTGCGACTGGGGTGAACATGTTTTGTGTTGCGCATGAGTTTTGGGGGCTTGGACTTATGGCGCCGAGATCTTAGGGAGAATGGGGGGAAGATATGGCTGGGAGCCCTGTCTCGTCGCACAGCTACTGCCGATGTGAGAGGTACTGCAGTGACTTGCCATGTTAGTTGGACTGCCAGAAGGGTGGCAATAGCGCCAAGTCCCAACCTTGGGACGACTGAAGGGTCGAGACAAGACAGTTTCATTGAACGGGCACCTAGCCGTGTATTTGCTACAGAATCAGATATCGACCTGTCAGAAAAGGGGGCTTCGTATCGACAGGGGAGGCCATGGAAAACAGAACGCGAAGCAAGGGCCGTGAAACACAATACCGTCCACCAAAATATAAAGAAAAAAGCACACGCAACCCAGGTTCGACGAGGATGACCGTCAATTCCCCCTAACCGGAGAAACACCATCCATCCCATCCCACCTATCATAGAAAGCAAATAACAAATTCGATCCAGCCGTCCCATTTAGCCACCGCCTGGGCCTTGGGAGGGAAGAGGCCAAGGATGGAGGGCACTGGATCCCGAGTTCCTTCTCGAACTCAATATCTGGCCAGACCCCAGCCCCCTAACCCCTGGCCCCGGCCCCCAATGCTCCGTCGCTCCCTGCGCTGTCGCAAGTGGTGTATCGCGAACCGATCTTAGTCTCCCATGCTGCTCGCCCTTTCCCTCGTCATCGCACATGCCCGAAATATCAGAAGCGGAACTAGTTACTTTAGGACCAAGGAAAGCAAGAACAGAGCCAGCGACGAGAACAGATGGAAAGAAAAGAGATCCGTATGAAAGAGAAATCAGCAAGAGTGTGCCCGTTCCATGACGCCCGCAATAGTATGATTCTAAGGAGTGGAATGGCAGGCCTGCGAGTGGCCTGCCGTCATTAACCTGTCCGCCAGCAAGCATCCGGGCGAGCTCGAGAGAGACGTCCAGACATCACAAGCAACTGGGGATCGGGGAAAAAAACACTTTTGATGGTCTGTCCTGTTGGACGATGTACGAGGCAATTCGCCTTCGTTTCCGTTCCTTTCCGTGAGCGGAATATTTTTCTCGGTTTTCGTAGTATTAGCGTTTCCTCTCGTTCAAGCTAGGAGTACTTCAAGAGATAACTCTCCAAGTATGAAGAAACCGTCTTTCCAATATAGATGGTTTCACATAGGTCGTGGGGAGAGCTAGGTAGATAGGTTTGTAGAACAAGTTTTGGTCGAGTGTCTGTCGAGTTGATTGATCCGACGACGGCGAAGACAGGCCCCTAAGAGGACCATCAAACAAGTCTACCTCTTGCGCTTCTTGTTCTTGTCGATACCGGCGAGAGATGTGGCTGTGGTAATGGGCGCTGCGGGGAGAAGCGCTTGGGAAGCGGGTATATCCTGGATCTTGATGGGCACCCCCATGTGGCGGCCGTAACGGCCTTTGCGACCGTTACCTTCATCCTCGCTGATGCAGAATTCGGCGGGAATTCCGGCGTCACGGCAGCGCCCACATGGCCGCTGCCTGTCGCAACCCTTCTTGCTCTTGCGGCAACGCTGGCAACGAGGCTTGGAGGATAGGTCCGGGTTATCCAAATCCTCGCCGGACACGACAGGAAATGTGGAGTTGGATGCGATGGGTGGCTTGCGAGATGCCGGAAGGGAAGCTGGAGACATTGGCCCAGAAATGCTGGCCGGCTTCTTTGCTTTAGGCTTGCTTGGCTTGGACATCTTGGCCTTTGCGACGGGCGGTTGGGCACCAGGCTGGGACTGGGGCTGGGGTTGGTGTTGGGGTTGTTGAGGCTGAGACTGGTGCTGGTGCGTAGGCTTCACGCCATTCAGCGTATTGGCCCTGGGCTTGGGGTTCTTGAGTTTTGGCGCAGCCATCAAGCCCTGGGTACCGTCCTCGTAGTCGACGTCATCTCGCTCGACGCTCTCATGAGGGGCGGCGGTAGAGTGGCTCCCCTCAGTTGTCATGAAGATCTTCTTATGATTACCAGACATATCCAGCTTCTGTCGCCTCGCGGCAGACATCTCGTCTTCGCTATCACTCTCAGCTTCGCTTGTAGCGCCGGTGGAGGAGGCGGCGTCAGCTCGGCCGCTGAAGGTGTCGTCCAGTGTCGACGCAGACGTCCTGCCATGGGACACATTGGACATTTCACCAAGGCGCATGAGCTGGATAGCAACGTCCTTGTCTTCCTCGGACATGCAGCTCCCGACGGTAGGGTCAGGAGTGGGCAGAATGCCGCCTCCGGCAGTCGTACCGGGGCCGGCAGGGTAGCCAATGCTACCTCGGGTGCGGCGAGCGTCTGCGCCGGGGGTCGTGTACATGGCAGCATGTCTGGATCCGTTGGTATAGCTCTGTGGAGACTGGAGAGGTCGTGGATGGGTGAAGGGGTTCTGCCCGGGCGGAACAAAAGACATCGAGTTCCGGTGGTGCTCAATGCGACGGGCAGGGGAGACGGAGGGATTCGAGGTAGCCGCAGGCATTTGAGGGGGAGCAAACAAGGGGAGTTCCTAACAATAAGGGGGTGTGCGTTAGTCCCACCGAAGGTCCTGGATCAACAAGTGCAAGCCCTGATGATAAAACCTACCGAGCTCTCGAACTTGGCCCGCTTGCGGCGGCCACCCTCGACGATGTTTTCGACGCTGATTTCCGTATTACCAAGATGATCCTTGATCTTCCCTGAGGCAGAACTGGGTGCGCCGTCACCGCTGCTGTAGCCGTTCATGCTGTCGCTCTGGGCGTCATAATTGGCGGCCTGATGATTCTTGGAGGAGCGAGAGCGAGCCTTCTTTGGATGGCCCGGATAGGTGCTCGCGGAAGCACTTCGGCGGCCACGGCTGGTTGGTGAGGGACTGCGCCTCCGCGAGGCCCTCGATGCCGGCCTTGATACGTGTTGTGCATACTGTTGTTGGGGTGCTTGGAGTGGGTAGGCGTCGCCGCTGTAGAAGGCTTGGGCACCAACAGGGGTTGAATGGTAGCCATGAGGGCCGAATGTGCCTGGCGCAAGCGACGCTTCTTCAATAACGCGGACGTAGACAATCATGTTGTTGCGAAAGTTCTCGTAGCGCGCGATGAGAGTGTTGCCCTGCTCATCCTCGAAGCTGACACCTTTGGAGACAGTGGGGCCCGAGTAGAGGCCGTAGAAGTTCTTGACCGTCGTAACAATGGAGTCGGTTGTGTCGTGCGGGAAGATGGAAACCCGAAGGGGCAAGCGCGCACGATATTGAGGTGATTCAGGGAACAGAAGTTCGAAGGCGACGGATTTTGGGGTGGCAGCGGTCGACGGCGACACACTGCCAGCGTGAGAGCCAGCCGGCTGAGCGGCGGCTCCATTGGTAGGGGACGTAGCGGTCATGTTGTGGTCAAAATTGCTCGAGACACAGCGGACGTCGCTGTTCTTGGGGGGAGATGGGTAATAGTATTGCCGTGGGTGGTGGTTGGCGGAGAAGTCGGCGCCAAATGGAGGAAGTCGGGTTGAGTCGAGGATTTGTACCGATGCAGGCGTGGATGCGGTTGCGGTTGCGGTGGACGCTAGTATAGACAATTCCATAACCAGCGAGGAGGAGCAAGGTTATAGAAGTTGTCCTTGCCCAGGAGAATGCTTTTATTCGCTTGACGCGGTGTCGCCGTAACGTCCCAGATTTGAGGCGAGGTGGGAGACGAGGTCACCGCTGGGCGCCGAAAAGGTCGGCGACAGGGACAGGAGAATAGGCCAGACTTGGCGATCGGGGTTCTTCGGTATTCTGGAGATGCTCTTCAGGCCGTTAGCTTCTTTAATGGACCATGCGAGAGGGTAGATAGAAGGTGTGCTTAAGGGTAGTTGTGGTTCGGCTGGATCTTGGGATGGTGTAACTAGTTGGGTGGAGGCGCATTGCTGGAATTGTGCGTCCACACAGGCAGGCAGTACCAGCACCAGGAAGGGGACAGAGGGAAAATATCTGGGCAGGGGGTCGATCGCATACGCCGATGGCACCGGGATCGCTTACCAGAATGGAAAACAAGTGGTGTTGTTGAGTCGGGAGATGGCTTCGATCTCGGTTCCTCTCGCATACCAGCCGGGCGGATCTGGAGAACAGGGTTGGATCAGTATGCAGGACAGGTAAAGGCAGCCGACGAGCGGGACGAAAAGGAAGGGACGGAAGGAGGTGATTTGAGTGTTGAGGGCATTGGGATGGCAATCACTGACCAGAATGAAGGTTGCTTGATGGGCCAGGCCAACAATTTGCAGGTTGTGTGTGCAGGAAGAGGAGAAGAGAGATCGCATCGAAGTTTTGCAAGCGGTCGAAGTGCCATGGGTACGTATTGGCGACGCACAATGCTCTCTGTACTTGTATTATTGCCAACTGCTAACACTGCCCGCTAGTCGCATGGTGCCCCCCAAATTCAGGCCAGTCAAGCGCAACGATCCGCCCCCCCCGGCCGCCGCCAACAGGCCAAAAAGGGCAAAGAGAAGCCCAAATCGACACAGTGCCTACAACGGGGCATTCAGGCCTAATTCTTGCTAGGAAGGCCTGGTTTTGACGGTGTATCACTGCTCACAGGAATCCAGAGATTTGCTGCCATATTTCGTGTCGTAAAATCCTACTTTGAGACGGCCCAGAGCTGCGATCCCGAGCGCCTATGGTAGCATCCATTCTAGTGTAGGTACCGGGAATGGGATGGTGTGAAGACGAATGCTAGCCCACCAGCCCACCTCCTACCTACTTAGTCTCACACACTGTGCGTTCTCTGATGTCGCGCAGACTCTGCTGCTATCACATCACCTTCCCGAACAACATGAACGGCTTTGCATCTATCAAGGTCAGGAACCCAAGGTACCGCAGGAATACGACTGTGCGTACCTAGACGGCGGGGGCAAAGTTTGCTCATCTACAGACCGACCTACTACCTACGTTTATGTAAGGCAAAGGACTCGATGCTCAGCAAGGTTAGTAGAAGTTTAAAGTATGGATGAGTGTACCTCTACGGTGTACACACACACTTGGCTCTTACGAGTTGCGAATGACTTGAAAAGGTGACGCGGTCAAGTCGGGTTGACCTTGGTTTGCCGAGACACTCGCTGCATGGCCTGCGCGGGAACCACCAAATAGTGTAGGTAGGTCCTGTTTCGAGGTAGAGTATCCGTACCTAGCCAGCTGCTGCTAGAGGTCCAAGGTGCTTACACCTAGCTTGGTAGGTAGGTAGGTACCTAAGCTAAGGTATGTGTAGGCAGTACCGTGCGAGGCGTGACGGAAGGTTCAACCGGCCGCCTCTGGATAAAGCGCAACTCTACTTCAGACGCCAGCCGCCAAGCTGGTTCCCGGTCATTGAACGATGCACGTTGTTGGGCTCTTCCACGCGTGGCGCACACCAAGCCAAGCATCGAGCAATGTTTTGGACTCGTCCCGTGGCCGGCATCGCTCGGGTCACTGATAGAATCATCATTTGCCCAGTGGCTGGACGAGAATGCGCCAGACACCACGAGGTCTCTTCGCAGCGCGGCCAAGTTGGAGGTCGGCGGCAGCCAATGGCATCACTAGTCGCTGCTTGGTTTGAGACAGGGATCTCTGGGTCGGCGATGTGCCTGGAACCGGAGCCGTCGAGCATACCACCTGCGGCCACGGGGAATGGGGAGGTTCTAGAGTAATCAAATGGCATTTTGTTGTTGGTCGCCCATTGCCAATGGCCTAAGATTACAGGACACGGGGAGTTCAAACGAACCGCCGGGCGGAGTCTCGACCACAAAGTATTACCGAAATACACGTAGCAGTAGCACTACCTATTTGGTGTTTGGCTGCCGATCTTGGGAGACGACCTACATACACGGTATACTATGCCGTAGCAATGATCCTCTTAATAAGCGCACGGTCCCAGAAAGAGACCAGCCAGAGGGACTGAGGGACAGCCGGACAGACAGGGCAATCGAATGAAGGAAAGGAGGCGAATTGCATAACTGGGCGCACCAAGTGGTCGCCCAGGTGGTGTTTCATTACTGGTCAGCTAGCCATCAATCAACGGCGTCCAGATATGACCAAGGCTTGTCTCATTGGCCAAATCCGGCGCATTGCAATAAATGAAGGTTAGGTACGTTAGACTAGGTGTCCAGGATGGATGGATGGATGGAGATGGGAATGGCACCTGGGAAAAGCAGGTTAAAAGATGCCTTGCTTAGGTACCAAAGACACAGTGTTGCCAATTTGCCGCCGGGGTTGATTGACATTTTGTGGTCTGAACTCTGAAGATCTGTCTGGCAGAGGCGCTGGGAAAAGTTTCAAACCATCCCCCTCGTCGAATCGCTTTGCCAGCGCCCGCCGGATCCGAGGAGCTGGTCCGTCTGCCATTTGCCGCCCACCACCTTGCCAACGTGTTTGTCAAGCAGCGATTAGATTGTGCGCCCGGTTAGTGAAACTCGTCAAAGTCCATTCTTCGCATTACGCATTACCCCCCGCACCCACCCCGCACTCACCACTCTCTAGTCTCTCCTATGGTACCTACCTACCTACTCCCGTCCTTCAACGTATGCGTGTTTCTTCGTGCTCCGATCTTGACGACCATAATAAACAACCCATAATGATATGGTGTATAATGTTGCAATGGTGTAAGGGCAGATGAGCGAGGGAGTTGAGTAGCAAGACGGCCGCTCCTAAGCTGGCAGGGCGAGATGAGGCATTGGTATTGACCGTGGGCAAACCTAGCTTTGGTTTTGATGGGAGACTCGCTCTCTGAATGCATCCTGGCACTGGGGAGTTTCCTGTGACGTTCTCTCTCCGGGTTTGTTGACGAGTTTCTATCCAGCCCTCCCCTTCTGCCGCTTTCTCCGGTGAAGCCAAGTCACGTGGTTTCGTGTTGATCCTGGAGAAGCTGACGCGAGTCAGAGCACAGACCAGAGCCAAATGATGATACTCCCTGATTGAGCTCCAGGACTGAGGAAAAGGATTCTAAAATGATGTTAGACAAAGCGCTATATCATGTAATAATTTAAACTTGACCTAAGCCTGGTAATACTGTGTCTGTTGTTGGAGCACTGCTTTGTGTTATGTGTTGGCGTTGTTTTGGAAGACGCGACTGGTTGCTAGGTGCCCAGAATTTTCGTTTACACATTACATCATCGGAGCGGAAAAAACATTGGATCCCTACCGTCGGGCCAACAGCTCTGACCCACTCTTCTGCAGGGGAGAGCACGCACAGACCAGACCTGTCATTTGTTTGGATCTGGTACGTACCTTGAGGAATTCCATATCAACACAACAACAAAGTTTGGCCTAGGCAGCACCACCGGTCGGGAAACAGCCACCTCTTCTTCACTCTTTCTCCAAACCATCCTCTCCCTCACATCTCCTGTCAGAAGGAACAACACCCAAGGCCGGCTCATTCTTTGGGCCTTCCGAGCTCTACGAAGGCAAGGCTTGTCACGCACCCCGTGTTGAGTGTGTTAGCCATTCAATCTCCTCCTTCCGGCGACATTAAGCACCCACGACATTCCAGAGTCTCCCTCTCCCAACATTGAATCGATATTCCCGCGGTGTTTTCTAGCCCAAATCCATCCAGCCAGATCACCACCATCTTCATTGTTTCTCCCCCCTTTTGCATGGCCCAGGTCACTCCCAAGTCTCTAATTAAAGGACACGCCAAGCATCTACGCGAACCCCCGAATTGTGACCCTGAGCCTGCCTGTTTATGATATTGGACGCGGCATTGCATGCAGTGCATCTTCTTCAACCTTGAACATTGTCGTATCTCGACTTTTCTGGTTGTCGTGCCGTGTGTTTAGGAGAGTACGCAGTGTCAATTCAGCATTTGCTACCACTTGACTCTCCAAGATGGACGCGAAGGTAAGCTGTCGTCCCATCTTCTCTTTGACAATTCTGGCGTATCTTTCTTCGCACACCCAACTAGTACACTCGCCATATTTTACCTCGCACTGTTTCTCCCCCACTCGCCTCTGTATGGACACTTGACTCACCTCTCCTTTGCCTCAGCCTCAACGTCCTCTTCGAGGTGCAGCCTCGAGCATCGGGACTGAAAACATTATCGCCCCTCGCCCACCGATCCATCAGCAGCATAAATCTGTCGGAAACCTAAAGTCCATGGCCCAGACCAGTGGACTGAATGTGGGCCCCAAGCGAACGGCTTTTGTAGACGTGAGCAATACTTCACGGGCCCTTGTTGATATCGGCCAAAAGAATCAGGTCAAGGACCGCGTTGCGATTCTCAACAACCGTGAAGGGCCAATTGCGGACAAGGAGAACATACCTTTCTCTGGTGCTAGTGAAGCTTTCCTCCGCCCCGCCCAACGGCCTTCGAACCACACCTCGAAACAAATTCTCACTACATCCTCATTCTCGAACGCCGCCTTCCTCCCGACCAAGTCTTCCGCCACCACCAACAACTCCTCCACCAACAACCCTTCTACCTTTGCCGAGTCGCGCCTGCCCCCTATCATCAAGTCTGGTGTTTCCAAGAAGGCCACAGTCATTTTCAACGACCAGTCTGATCCAAAGCTAGGTGCCCAACTTGAAGTCGCAGTCTCGGCTCACCAGGTTGTCGACATGGATAGCCAGTCGGTTAAGAACCCACGGCATTACAAGAGCCAGCCACAGCTGAGAAAGGAGCAGCCTGTTGTCCTCCGCCGCACCCAGAGCCGGCACTTTGGCAACTATGAGGAGCTTGACAACTATGATGACAATGCCACTGAGGCGTCTTACGAAGATGCCCTGGAAGATTTGCCAGAACAAGTTGAGCAATCCCCTCAGACCACCGAGGTTCTTGAGTCTAGCAACACTCCCGAGAGTGAGGACAAGCATGTGGCCAGCGTTGTGCCTAGTGCTACAGGCTCCGATGAACTTCTACCTCCCCCTGTTGCCTATGAGCTAGAAGAATATTGGGATGAGGATGACGAAGAGTACTTTGAGGAGCAGGGATACACCACTGCCCATTCGTATCGATCTCACGGCGACAACACCACGGGCGGGGCAACAACTGTGGTAGCACCCAAGGTCACCGCCAAGATCCAGCAGGAGCTTGAGATTGCCAAGGTCATTGTCCAGAACAGCCGCACCGAGGATGAGATTGAGGAGGAGGCCTGGGATGTCAGCATGGTTGCTGAGTACGGCGAGGAGATCTTTCAGTACATGAAAGCCTTGGAGGTGAGACCCTTGACACTTGACTCTTGCTCCCCATGCTTGCCTATTGTCGCATTCCCATTCACATCCCCATTCCCATGGGCATTAATCAATGCCCATTCACGTGCGTTTTTTGTCTTTCTTGTCTTTCCTGTGTGCTTCTTTCTTTCGCACTCTTGCCACACATATCCTCCTCTACCCCTATTCCTCTCAGCACCACCTTCTTCCTCTCCATACTCTTTTTCACTCCCACCAGTGACTAACCCCTCAATAAAGAACACGATGCTCCCAAATCCATACTACATGGACATCCAGACTGAAATCCAATGGTCGATGCGGTCCATCCTTATGGAATGGCTTGTCCAGGTCCACCAGCGCTTTGGCCTCCTCCCCGAGACCCTTTTCCTGGCCGTCAACTACATTGACCGGTTTCTCTCAGTAAAGATCGTCTCTCTCCACAAACTGCAACTTGTTGGTGCTACAGCCATCTTTGTGGCGGCCAAGTACGAGGAGATTAACTGTCCCTCAGTTCAGGAGATTGTCTTCATGGTGAACCAGGGCTACACCGTTCAGGAGGTCCTTAAGGCAGAAAGGTTTATGCTTAGCATGCTCCAGTTCGAACTTGGCTGGCCTGGCCCAATGAGCTTCTTGCGACGCATCAGCAAGGCCGATGACTATGACCTTGAGACCCGGACCCTATCCAAGTACTTCCTGGAGGTCACCATTGTCGATGAGCGCTTTGTTGCAAGCCCTCCCAGTTTCCTTGCCGCCGGAGCCCACTGTCTGGCCCGCATGATGCTGAGAAAGGGCGATTGGGTAAGTCAAAGAGAGAGAATGATCCATTCTATGTATCCCTTCCTAACATCCATCTTCTCTACCTAGACCTCAGCCCATGTGCACTACTCTGGCTACAGTCTGAGCCAGCTCAAGCCCTTGGTAGCCACGATTTTTGAGTGCTGCCTCACAGCCCGCAAGCACCACGCTGCTGTCTATGACAAGTACTCCAACCCAAAGTACAAGCGTGCCTCGACGTTTGTGGAGACGGAGATTAACAAGGGGTTCACCCTGTCCTTCCTGTCAGCCCGCTCTCGGTCTTCCCGGGCCCTGGACGACCAGTCGACCGCTGCACATTTTGCAGCCTATGGTGCCCGACTTTCGATCCCTACCGAGGGCTAAGCATTGCCTTCTTGTCGACAAACCTACCCCTAGCCATGTTGGTCCTTACAACTGATCACCACCTGATCACCACATGTTTCGGAACGAGGCTACCTGCCTGGCCAAGCTGTACCTTCAGCAGCTCCACGTCTGCCAGCCTACCGGCACCTAAGCCCGGACAGGCTCTTTAATATTTCATTGTCTTGAACTTGGCAGATACCAGGCGAGAGGGGGAAATCTCTCAATCTCCCAACCTTGTCGCCGAGTAACGCCATTATGGCAATCGCAAATGTCTGTTCCAACTTCAGCACCAGGCATGTCGACATGCCGGGCCCTTGTTGCCCCCAATAACCGACTCCACGGCGGCTTTCTTTGAGTTTTCCTTTTCCTTTGGTTCCTGGCAGCTGCCATCTCCTCGATAGAATAGGCTCCTTGCCAAGGAACATACCGTGCCGGAGCTGGCACTGTAACGACGACACACCAAGTAATGAAGTCACGATATCCACGACACATCATTTTCCCGGTTATTCCCCCGGCCATGCCTTGGCCTTGTTCATGGCCCTCTCCACCTTTGGCCATCTCCCCCCTGGGAATTTTTGCTCGGGACCTCTTTAGATGGCGTTGGGGATTTGATTCATGCACTCCCCGCCGGGAAACCTCGGTGCATTCTGGCACTGGAGGACCAAAAAAAGGAGAGAGGTCAGCATCATCATCATCAGTACACAGGTTCTTTCTACTTTTCCTTGCATGCGTTTTTAGAGATGATACAGATGTATAAGTTATAATTTCACTTAGCTCCCAGGGGAGATGAGGGCTAGATTTCTCATTTTCTTTCCCGAAGATGAAGATAGGTACCGGGGAGGTGTGGTGGTGGCAAATGCTGCATGGTACACTGGCTACCTTATCTTGCTAGGGAATGGTAGAGATTTGATTCTCTCGACTGGAATGCAATGCAATGGAATGGCGTTACCTTTGCCGGGTCATTGATAGTTGAGTGACTGATATCAATATCAATATCTGCCTCGCTACCCAACCATCGTTGCTCAAATTACAGCCACATCTCCTATCCCTCCCTCCCTTGGAGGTGATTTCCGAGTCATGATCATGACAATGATGGAGAAACATAGACTCCAACCCTGAACCCAAAGGTATTAGACAAACTCTGGTTTGGGTGTGAATAGGTAGGTATGCAAAGTACCTTCCGTCCTTTGGTGATCGTCAGGAACCGGGCCAACAAACTCCCAGCTCGGCAGCTAGGCCCTGCAGATCCAGCTGGGCCTTTGGTACGAATATAGACTTTGCCGACGCCCCTCCGTGTGCAGCCCATGGGGCGTGCGTCTAGAGTGGCGTTCCTCGGCTCCCCCGTTACGTGGGGGACTGGCATGTTCCGCATACCTAGTTGTGGGGTACCTATAATACTAGTGGTAGACGGCTAATTACTTAGGTTAAAGTATCTTTGACAATGATCTGCGAAGCTGTTTGTGGCGCGTCAAACATCTTTTCTTTGAACTGCGAAATCGGAGCTCCAAAACTGGCGGTGGCATCTTCGATTCTGCAGGCAAACAAAGACGGATTTCTGCACTCAGACCCTAGTTTAAACAGAGAATCTCCAAAAAGACGGTCTTGAGCAAATAGGCTAAATTTTCTGCTGTAATCGGTCGTAACCGTGCCATTGCCAACTCCTGGAAGGGAGTTGGTTGGTGATAGCTATGTAGAGCCACACCCCCCGTGGGGATAATATAATCCCTGTAATCCACGACGGGCGAGGGAAAAAAAAGTTTCGTGATGGGCGTTGAAGAAACATTTCGCAAGCGTCGAACACGTATTCATTTTGCAGCAATTGCGGCCACAACACTTGTCGCATCGGTTTTCTACCAAGCGGTCCCTCGTTTTCTTCCACCGAGCAATATCTCCGCTCCCTAATTACCGCTATTTTGCATCTTGGCGAACAGCCGCCCCAACCTTTCCAACTAGTGCTCGGTGGATTCTCGCAATCTCGATAAAATTGACTCACTTTTGCGCCGGGCCTCAACCCACCCCAGGAATCCGGGGAAGACGGATCGAATCGTCAGCATCAGCAGCAGACGTCCTCACAGGTTCATTCTACCAGCGAAGAGATCCTCAATCAGCCCTTGTTCAACATGGCCAAGGTTGCCGCTGTCAAGGAGGCGGTGAAGGAGAGCCTTATAGGCAGCCAGGAGCCCATCCAGCTGTCATCCCAGACCAAGGCCCGTTTTGTCAGTCTTGCAAGAAAGGATGAGGAGTCAGGAGAGCTGTATATGGGCCCTGAAGAGTTTATCAACGCTGTTGCGCCGCCTAATGAAGACTACGTGAGTTGGACATCCTCACCCCCAACCTCCAAGGTGTCCCTTTCTTGAGCTCCCAGAGGCCAATTGACTCACATGTGCGCCCAAACCAACAGCAAAAGATCACACGCGAGCAGTATGCAATCCTCTTTGGCGTTGCCGACCGAGCCGGCAAAGGCAAGGTCACCCTCCATGACTGGGCCTACTTCCAGAACATCCTCACAAAGCCCGACGCCGAGTACGAGATCGCCTTCCGCCTCTTCGACGTCGACCGCCACGGAACGGTCAAGTACAGCGATTTCCGGAAGCTCTACGAGCTGAACAAGGGCCCGGACACCATCCCCTTTAACTGGGACTGCGAGTGGGCCAAGCTCTACATTGGTAGCAAGCAGAGGCGCCACGACTTGGACTACCAACAGTTCTCCCAGATGCTGCGCGGCCTGCAAGGAGAGAGGGTTAGGCAGGCCTTCCAGCTCTTCGACAAGGATGGCGACGGATATATTGAGCCGGAGGACTTCCAGCGCATCATCCTGGAGACGTCCAAGCACAAGCTCTCGGACCACCTCCTGGAGAACCTGCACACACTCTGCAACATCTCCACGGGCAGCAAGGTGTCGTACGCCAATGTCCGGGCTTTCCAGAACATGATCAAGGAGATGGACTTGGTCGAGCTGATTGTCCGGCGGGCCTGCTTAAAGAGCTCGGACGGCAAGATCACCAGGACCGAGTTCCTGAACCAGGCCGCCAGGATCACCCGGTTCTCGCTCTTCACCCCGATGGAGGCCGACATCCTTTTCCACTTTGCCAGCCTGGACGAGCCCTCCGGGAGACTCGGCCTGAGTGACTTCGCCAAGGTCCTCGATCCCTCCTGGAGGAGTCGATCCGGCGTTGACGGCCCCGGCCGCGCGCTGGCCCAGCCCAAGTCACAGTCCCAGCAGCTCCTGTCGGGGTTCCTCGAGTCCGGCTACAACTTCCTGCTCGGCAGCTTGGCCGGTGCCTTTGGCGCCTTCATGGTCTACCCGGTCGACCTGGTCAAGACCCGGATGCAGAACCAGAGAGGAGCGTCTCCCGGCCAGAGACTGTACAAGAACTCGATCGACTGCGTCAAGAAGGTCGTCCGCAACGAGGGCTTCCTGGGCCTCTACTCGGGCGTGCTCCCGCAGCTTGTCGGTGTCGCGCCCGAAAAGGCCATCAAGCTGACCGTCAACGATCTTGTGAGAAGGCACTTCTCAGACAAGCAGGGCAAGATCTGGTGGGGTCATGAGGTCTTCGCCGGTGGCATGGCTGGTGGCTGCCAAGTAGTATGTCCAGCCCTCGGTCCCCAGTTTTGACACATCCCAGATTGTTTTGGAAATACTGACGTTTTCCCCGTGTGCAGGTCTTCACCAACCCTCTCGAGATCGTAAAGATCCGGCTCCAGGTCCAGGGCGAGGTCGCCAAGAGTGTCGACGGCGCACCCAAGCGCTCGGCCATGTGGATCGTCCGCAACCTCGGTCTCATGGGCCTGTACAAGGGTGCCACGGCCTGCCTGCTCCGCGACGTCCCGTTCTCGGCCATCTACTTCCCGACGTACAGCCACCTGAAGCGGGACCTCTTTGGCGAGTCCCAGACCAAGAAGCTGGGCATCGTTCAGCTCCTGACCTCGGGCGCCATCGCCGGCATGCCGGCCGCGTACCTGACGACGCCCTGCGACGTGATCAAGACCCGGCTCCAGGTCGAGGCCCGCAAGGGCGACACGGCGTACACTGGCCTCCGGCACGCGGCCAAGACCATCTGGAGGGAGGAAGGGTTCCGGGCCTTCTTCAAGGGCGGGCCGGCACGCGTGCTGCGGTCGTCGCCGCAGTTCGGCTTCACGCTCGCGGCGTACGAGGTGCTGCAGACCACGCTGCCGTACCCGGGCGGCCAGGCGGAGCAGAAGCTCCAGAGCAGCATGGCGGACGCGGCCATGGCGACGCTGCGCGACAAGAGGGACGACAGCCCGTTCTCGCGGACCAGGAACGCGCTCAAGATCGTGCTCGACCTGGACGAGGACTTTGGGAAGGTCAGGCTGCCCGACGAGAAGGGCTGGAAGACGATTCCCAGCTGGATGGGTGGGGGCGCCGCGTCCAAGATTTAGGTTTTCCGGTCCAACCGGCTGCAGAACGGCTATTAGAACGGTTATTAGACAAGACCCTCAGGCGGACAAAAGGGGAAAGAGAAAAAAAGACCTACCTAGACAACCAAGCAAAAAAGACGGCGGGAGGAGGGAGGCACGGATTCGATGGCTGGGCACATTCTGCATACAAGGGGATTTTACATACACCACAAAATGCATCGCATACGCATCATGTCGGCAAGCGGCGTTTTCGGAGATTGAGGAGGGCATTTTGAACTTTTTTATTTCTTCCTTTTTTTCTCTTTTCTTTCTTTCGAATGCGAGACAGCACCCCGGGGTAGATCTGATTGTTTCTTGTGTAAGAGCTATTTGTGGGATATAATTAATTATATTCTCTTTTCCAAGTGTCAGTAACACGACTGAAGTGCAGTCCAAGTCGCCTGTAAATCGCTGCCTCCGTGAGGTGATACCGACTTTTTGTGGCGTTGCCTTTCCAGGTATCAGCGGAAAAGAGGCTGGATGAGGAGGACAACGACACACGCGGTTTCCTTCCCAACCGCGCATCCCTGCATGAACTAGAGAGGAGAAGGCCATTGTGCAGCCTCACGGCTCCATCTGGGCTAATGTCCAGCCTCTTTCGCATCAGCCAGGTGCTAAAAGGCAATGCCAGCCAATACGTGATCACCCAGCGACTGCAGGATACAGTATGGCTTGCAAAGTTGGTTGACCTCCATCCCTTCCATGTGCTCAACCACCATGCACCCTCGCTGACACGGTAGAAATGGCAGAAACCATCTGCAAGAACTTGTCGTGATAAAGAGCGTCCAGGGCCACTTTCGAGTGGCCAGCGAGCGCGAGGTTCTCAAACGATTCAGCGGCCGGTCCCGTTATATTCGACCATTGGTAGACGAAATCACGGAACCGTCTGAACCGACGACAATCGTCCTGCGGCACCTGGACGGCCACCTGTTGCTGGCATCCATTGAGAGGACCCTTGACTGAAAGGAGTTGAAGTACGTGTCGAGGGGGGTTCTTGAGGCGCTGCGGATCTTGCCCAGCGAGGGTTATGTGCACGCAGGTAACCGTTTCTGAGCTCCATCATTTAGGTAGACAAGGTGGTGTAGCTAACGTCTTGCAGATATCAAGCCCGACAACATTTTGGTAAACTACCAGTCCAACGACGAGGAGAATCGCTTCTCAGATGTGCAGCTTGGTGATATGGGGAGCTCCTATCCCGAGGACCACAAGTACGCTCGAGAGGGGGCTCCAATCGGCGCGGCAATCTGGCGCAGCCCGGAAGCCTTGTTCAAACGACCGTGGGACACAAAGACTGATATCTGGTCGTTCGGCGTACTGGTGAATTACCCCTTTCCAGAGCGTACCTAGCAGCTATTAACCTTGCGCAGCTCATCAGCCTTATATACGGCGGTGATTTCAACACCTTTGACCCCCCAGGCGTGCCATATAGGTTCAACGACCCAGAGTACGAATTCGAAGTCTTGAAACGGCAGTTCCAGTTCTTTGGGCCTTTCCCGGGAAAGTACGGAGAGATCGCAGATGACGACACGGTCGAGGTGATCCTCTGGTTGATGGAGAACCTGCGGGATAACATGAAACCGTTCCATATGATCGCTGACCGGGAGATGTGCCAGAAGGACAATGAGTTTATTGGGTGGTTCATGAAGCTCGATCCTCGAGACAGACCCACGGCGGAAGAGATTCTTGATCACCGGTGGTGGGATGATACGGATGAGCCCTTCAGCCTCCCGGGCGGAGTAGTTCTAGTCCCCCATCTTAAAGGCCTAGTATTGGAGTCGTCGAGTCGGAGGCTGGACCTTTTCTTCTCCTCCTATTCCTGGTATTCTTACACATCCCTCACTGAATGGTGCACCGGGAACAAAAATCATGGTCTTACCCGTCTGGTAAACGATGGCATCACACGGGGAAATGGGAAGATACAATGTCAAGTCCCGAATATGATAAATTAATGCAACGAACACGCGAGTCAACAGGGAAGTGGCATTACTACACAAAGCGCAGCTATGCCTTGAGCGGGCGATATGACGCATCTCGTCTTAGTCTACCGGAACCCCACCCCCCCCACCCCCCCAAAACAAAAGCCCAAGCCGTCTGGAGGCCGAACTTCTCGAGTCCCATAGCCTGGATGGAGACGAAGCCCGAGGTGGTATTCATGGGCGAGAAGCCCTCGAGGCTGTCCACGGAGGCGTCTTGCTCCGAGTAAAGGTTGCTGGCATCGCTAGAGCGGCCAAGGACATAGGCGTTGCCCTTGTAGACCTTCATGCGGACCTGGCCAGTAACGTTCTGCTGGGAGAAGACGATGGAGTTCTCCACGAACTCGCGCTCGGGGCTGAAGTACATGCCGTTGTAAAGAATATGGGACCACTTAGTCGTGCAGAACTGGTCCTGGATCTTTTGGACTTTCGAGCCCATTAGGAGACCCTCAAGTTCTAGATGGGCGAGACGAGCTTGTCACGAAATCGGAGTTAGTGTCACTACTGCGTTTACGGAGGTACAGTACATGTACACTAACTCCCGACGGGCTCCATAATTCGGATGGACCCACACTCACCTTCCCCGGTCCCCGGATCTACTGACGACAAGGGTCATGTCGATTAGGTGATCGCGGACTGATGGATAAGGCGGGCTTCCCTAAACAATCGCGAGGCAAGAATCCCCCCTCCATGATAGCGATAGAGGAATTATAGCCCAACTTGCAGCCATCGCCAGGATGGCGTTTGAGCTCCTACCATTCCTCTCCGGAGTCTTCGGCTGGATCTACACCTTCTGCTGGTCGTTATCCTTCTATCCCCAACCGATCCTCAACTTCCGCCGTCGCTCAACGTCCGGGACCACGATAGACTTTCCGCTCATCAACACTCTTGGTCAGTTTACCTCTCTCCTTGTATATTTTAAACGGCTATTCCGTGCTGCCCCGCATAAACACCGCACATCTTTCCGCTGACATCAAAAAAGGCTTCCTCGCCTACCTGGTCTCCAACCTCGCCTTCTACTACTCGCCCCTGATCCGAGCCCAGTATGCGGCGCGCAACCGCGGCCACGAGCCGACGGTGCAGTTCAACGACATCACCTTCGCCGCCCACGCGCTCCTCCTGTCGGTGATCATCACGAGCCAGTACTCGCGGCGGCTATGGGGGTTCACGGCCTCGTCGTCGTCGCCCGGGGTCGCGGGCGGGCGGCGGCCCAGTCGCATCATCATGGGGGTCGGGTGCGGCTGCGTGGCGGGGGTGGCGGCGGTCGTGGTGCTGGTGATGGCGTCGCCGGGGCGGGACGCCACGGACGGGGCCGGGGCGCAGGGCTGGGTGTGGCTCGACGTCGTGTACGCCGTGTCGTACGTCAAGCTGCTGGTCACGCTGGTCAAGTACACGCCGCAGCTGCTGGTCAACTACCGGAACAGGTCGACGAGGGGTTGGAGCATCGTGCAGGTCCTGCTCGACTTCACGGGCGGTATCCTGAGCATCGCGCAGCTGGCTATCGACAGCTACCTGCAGGGGGACTGGTCTGGCATAACGGGGAACCCTGTCAAGCTCGCGCTGGGGAATGTGTCGATTATCTACGACCTGCTCTTCATGACGCAGCACTACATCCTGTACCCGGGTGCCGGGGGCAAGGCCGAGGAGAGGGAGCCCATACTGGGGGGTCGCGAGGACGAAGAGAGGAGGATCGATTGAGTCGTCTCTGTCCAGGCGGGGAGGCGTGACGCCATGGGGCGGCGGACTTGTGGCATGATGACGACGATATTCCCATCATGAGAACCTACCTACCTACCTATCTTATGGGCACACGGGTAGTTATCACGACTGGGAGTCCACGCATACTGCTGGAAGCATACGATGAAACTTCCCGCTCGCAGCTGGCTAAAGCAAGGTCTGCCAGAGCTTGCCGTCCCACGACAATATGCCGTGATCTCGCGGTTCGCTGTACCAGCCCCAGCCCGTTGCAGTCCGTGAATCGGGCTTCTTCCATCTCTATTTAGTGGTCATCCACAAGTGCAGTCATTGGGCCCGCGAGAGGTAAGCGAGTACGGTGCCACACATTCTCCCGCATCACACAGATACACACCAACGGGAGCATGACCACCCGATGAGGAGCAAGTGGTTTAACAACGGGCAGGGGCAGTTGACTCGACTAGCGAATTAGATCACAATTTATAACATTTAAGTGCACATCCCGACCATTGTCTTGTTCAGGGGGTGGCCTTGAAATATTGTAGCAATGTGAAGTGAAAGTCATCCGGGACAAGCATAAGACGAATCCAGTAGTGGAATCAAAAGCTCGCGAATTTCAATCTTGGACCTAAAGACTCCTACTGAACACAGAAATGGGGATCGGTACCATCGACGATTATGAAACCCAAGGCCGAGAATTAATACAGTCGCCCCCAAGTTTAAAAATGTCCACTCTACCGGTAACGCCGCGCTGGAATATGTGACTCATTACTCGCCGAGAACAACTCTCAGCCCACCCTTTCCTAACGACCATGAAGCTACTGTGAGAGAGTGAGTTCAGGGAAGAACTGGGCAATCTTATTCGGGTTGCCATATTCCGTCCTGGGAAGATCAGGGGTGACGGGGCTATGGGCCTCCTGCTCTTGGTGGGAAGCGGCGTTGGCGGCAACTGCGCTTGCAGAGCCTGCCTGTGTGGTATCGATGGCGCTGAGCGAGGCTCTCTTCTTCTTGATATTGCCTTGCGAGGGGGCTTGTTGGGATGACCGGACAACGGGCGGGGCCGTGATAGAACGGACGTCGGGTGGCAAGGAAGATGATTCCGAGGAGGAATGCGTCTGGGTCCGCGAGAGGTTCGACGTCTCGGGGGTGCGGGATCGGGTGTTCGTCGCGAAAGGAATGATGGGGCTCATATATCTCCTGTGAATCTCCAGGTCTATTGCTGGAGTGGCCAGTGGCGTCGCTGTCCTCGTCGTGGCCGACTTTTCGTTTGCAGCCAGACCTTTAGTTTGAACGTATGCTGCTGACCGTCTGTGGTGAGGGTCCCTGTTCCAGTATTTGTCTGCTATGGGGTGGACCATGACAGTTTGGTTATGGATAGTCAGGATCGAGTTCGTGGGGACGTTGACCCAGTTCTCTGTCAACATGTCAGACACTCGATTCGTCAGACCCCCAATAGGCCAGATCTTACCTCTCTCAAAAGTCAGCGGCTCACTCGCAACCAGGACGATATCCGCGCCTTTGTCGCGCCGTGCCATCTGGAAGTTTTGGTCATCTGTCGACGGCGCTCTCGACTCCCATTGGGTGCCCGACGAGTAGTATAGGCTGGCAGCCTCGTCCGAGGAACTGCTGACGTATCTGGTGCAGATGATGCTGTGTCCGTCGGCAACGGAGAAGTTCAACAGGCTCCTGGTGTCAACATTCTCGGCGTGGATGACACTCTGGGGAATCTGGTCGATGAGCTCATTGATGATTGCAATCGTCTTGAGCATAGCCCTCCTCAACACTGTCGGCCCGAACCCTTCCGGCCGTTGGGAGCTCGGGTCATGGCCCATCCGCTGGAGCGTGTCTAAGAAGAGAGCAAAGGCCCACTCACTGTCGGTGCCACCGACGACGCCCAGATACCATTTGTCGGCCAGTCGCTCGCCGAGGCGCCGCTTGATGTGCTTCCATCCCCCCAGTCCGCCGTTATGCATCCACATCAGGCTGCCATGGCAGAAGGGGTGGCAGTTGTCCTCGCTCAAGGAACCTTCGGTCGTTGCCCTGACATGTGCGAAGATCAGGTGGGATGCTGTCTTGGACGCTATTCTCTGCAGGTTCGTACAGTTCCAGGCGGGTATGGTCGACGTAAATAGGCAAGGGGCGGCGCCTAGTTTTGGGTCGGTGTAGAAGCCAATACCAAAGCCATCGGCATTGTTCTGTCCTCGACGGGTGTCCTGTGGCGGCGAAAGTTGGTGAGTCAGAGTCATGGGAGGTTCAGGGGAGTGCAGGTTGGCCAACTCACCAAGCGGAGCCTAGAATCAAACGACTGCTTGAGAATTGAATGCGTCGGGTCAAGAATCAACTTGGAGAGCAAGATCTCGTCGCTCCCCTTGTAGACCTGGAGTTGGTAGCAGTGTCAGGTCCGTCTCCCACTGTCCAAGGGGGTGTAGAATGCCAGGCTTACTAGGAATCGACACATCGCAGATCATGCGCTGAATCAAGACAGGCAGATTGCGCAGATTGCTTGATAGCCCAGAGGATTGATGATGAATTTGCGGAAGGCGAAAGATGGAAAGGAAGTCGTGAGTGGTCTATAGGACCATTAGTTCTGTCTCTGTTGCCAGCTACTCTGATGCAAGGGGACAGGAACAGCGCATGCGACCACGCTAGCATAGCATGCAAGGCCGGGGAATCTCAGCTAGCGCCAGCCAGTGGCAACAGGGGTATTTGGGCAGGAGCCACAAGGCTGACGGAATCTGACAAGCCGATGGCGGAAGCGTTCAGGTAGCAAACTTGTCGGGCCTACTGAAAAGCACAGACCAACACATTAAATGTCTGAAACAAACTCACTTGAAGAGACCTCGAAATTGTCAGGAAGGGGCAGTTTCGGAAGGAGTAGGAAATTCCAGAGGATTGAAGTAACAATGGCGGAGGAAGAGAGAGAAAGAGAGGTATTTTTCACCTTCGGGGACATGCCAAATGTTACCTTCCTGCCAAACGCAATGCACAAAACGTCCGCCACATGCAGTTGCCCGTCGAATGGATAAATGCATAACATTCATTTACTGAATGTCCTTTAAACCAAATACAAAGTCAGCCACAGAGACCCACAGCCATCAAGCCACAGATTTCATCCTACTTCGTACACCCCTGGGTGGGTAGCTCTACTCCGTATGCATTCCTCTCGTCATAAAGCGAAAGTCTCCCGATTGCATATCACGCTTCAACAAACCGGCCCTCCCTCAACCATCCCCGACCTCGAATGATCAAGCCTGCTATCTGATCGAGTTCTCCTACTGCCTCCACCACCATGAGTGGACGGCTTCTGAGCGCTGGGGCTTTAAGCCCCCTGACGCGACGCGCGCCCCTCCAGTCGTTCCGACATTATCATCGACTGCCCACCGGCGGGCTTCACGGCGCCGATGCAGCTGTGCGCGCCACGAGGAGGCGCATGTGGTTTTCTGCTAATGCTTTTTCCAATGCCGTCACCGTACGGAACGCGTCGTTTGCCCGGTTCCTGCCCAATCTCTTCCTCAAGTTTGTGAGGCTCCCCGCCATGTTCGGAGGTATCATGATTGGGGGTATTGCTTGGATACAATATCAGGCCATACGTAAGAGCTCACCGGCATCCATTAAGCGTGTATCTAGCGATGCTGACCGTGTTCAGAGGTGAGCAACTCCGCTCTGGACATGTATGGGAGCATGAAGGACACAATCACCGGTACTGCCACGAACCTATGGGGTGGCGCTGCGGATATTGCGGAGCAAACGAAACGAGGCTGGCAGAACACAAAGGATCAGGTTGAATTGCCGGACTGGGTCCAAAAGGTTCTGAGGATCCATGAAGACGTCGGGACAGGCCAGGGAGGATCCGGCGGGCAAGGCGGCTCGGAGCCTCCGAAACAAAGTCGCGCTGGTGCTGCAGTTGCTGCCGGAGCTTCCGCTGCTGCTTACGGTTACGAGGCCTCTGCCGAAGACGACGATCGGAGTCCGGAGGAGATCGCCAAGGATGATCAGATGATGGTGTTCACAAAGAACATGATCGAGATTCGAAACATTCTGTCCAAGGTTGGCCAGTCGAGCACCCTCACACTGCCCTCCATCGTCGTGATCGGATCCCAGTCATCAGGAAAAAGTTCGGTTTTGGAGTCGATTGTCGGACACGAGTTCCTTCCTAAGGGCTCGAACATGGTCACCCGGAGACCCATCGAGCTGACGCTTGTCAATACCCCTGAATCGACGGCCGAGTACGGCGAGTTCCCAGACCTAGGTCTGAGGAAGATCACCGATTTCTCGTCCATCCAGAGGACCTTGACTGAGCTGAACCTGGCCGTGCCAGATACCGAATGCGTCTCTGATGACCCCATTCATCTGAGGATATACTCCCCCAACGTCCCAGACCTATCTCTCATCGATCTGCCGGGCTACATCCAGGTTGTAGGACAGAACCAGCCTCTGGAACTGAAGCAGAAAATTTCCGAACTCTGCGACAAGTACATCCAGCCGCCGAACGTGATTCTGGCAATCTCGGCCGCCGACGTGGATCTGGCCAACTCGGCAGCATTGCGAGCCAGCCGAAGAGTCGACCCGAGAGGAGAGCGCACAATAGGCGTGGTTACCAAGATGGATTTGGTTGACGCAACGCGTGGGGCCGTCATCTTGACCGATAAACAGTACCCCCTGCGTCTGGGCTACGTCGGGGTCGTCTCCAAGGTGCCCTCCATGACGGGCCTGTTTAAGAGGGATACGGGTAACCTGATGGCCGCCATCAGTCGAAATGAGAACGCTTTCTTCTCGGCACACCCCCTGGAGTTTGGACCCGAAGCCGGGGTCAATGTCGGGACCATCACGTTGAGGAAGAAGTTGATGAATGTCTTGGAGCAAACAATGTCAGCCAGCCTCCAAACGACTGGAGATGCAATACAGCAAGAACTGGAAGAAGCAACCTACGAATTCAAGGTCCAATACAACGACCGGCCGCTGTCTGCCGAGTCATATCTTGCCGAGAGTCTGGATACTTTCAAGCACTCCTTTAAACAATTTGCCGACTCCTTCGGGCGTCCACAGATGCACGAAATCCTGAAGACCACGCTAGACCAGCGAGTTCTCGATCAACTAGCGGCCAGGTACTGGAACAAACCCATCGCTGATCTATCAGTGCCACCCCCGGAACCCGATAATATCGCGGATCTGCCCAAGGCCGACCCGGACTCTCCCTACTGGCACCGTAAACTGGATGCCTCGGCTTCTGCCCTCACAAAGCTGGGAGTTGGCCGTTTGGGCACCACAGTTGTGGCTTCTGCTATCCAATCGAACATTGACAAGCTTATCGACCAGTCTCCCTTCGTCAGCCATCCGTTTGCTCGGCAAGCCATCACCGAAGCCGCGTCGAGCATCCTTAACGAGCGCTTTTACAGCACCAGCGACCAGGTCGAGAACTGCATCAAGCCGTACAAGTTTGAGATAGATATTGACGAGCGCGAGTGGAACCAGGGGAGAGATCATGTCGGTGGCGTCCTCAAGACTGAATTGAGCCACTGCGAAGCCGCCATGAAGAATCTGGAGAACGCGGTGGGTGGCAAACGTAAGCTCAAGGAGGTCATCAACTACATCGACAAGGCGAGGAAAGGAGATATAGTCGTTGAGGGCGAGAGCAGAAGCGGTGCCGGCGGTTTTAGCGCTGCGTTGCTGGCGAAGGGTATGTTTATTCCGGGTTGTCCCCGCTCCCTAACAAGCCTTGATAACTAACTAGCTTACCAGGGCGCGAAGCCGTCTTCTTGCGAGACCGGGCCGACATCATTAACATGCGCCTGCTCGCAGTCAAGTCCAAGCAATGCAAGAGCATAAAGAACAAGTATTACTGCCCGGAGGTCTTCCTCGACGCCGTGGCTACCAAACTAGCCGCGACCTCGGTTCTCTTCCTGAATGTCGAGCTGCTATCCGAGTTTTACTACCAGTTCCCGAGGGAGCTGGATGTGAAGTTGGGCCGCCACTTGTCGGACGAGCAGATCGAGATGTTCGCCAAGGAAGACCCCAAAGTCAAGCGGCACCTCGAAGTCATCCGCCGCAAGGAGCTCTTAGAGCTGGTCCTGGAGAAGATGGAGAGCCTACGCCAGCTGGAGGGCCGAGACAGGGTTAAGCGTGGGCGGGAGAAGAAGACGACGGAGAAGCAGAGCGGCGGCCGTTGGGGCCTGTTTTGAGGGGAGGGCCAGCGGCATGGCATACTAAATGACTGTTCATGATACGGACGACTCTGGAGTTGAGGTGGGTTCATTCATTCTGATTGCGTCGATTTGCGTCGTGAGCGCCTTCAACAGGCTGAAATAATAAAAGAAACAGCCAGTGCAGGGTCGCGACGTGTAGGAATTCTCCGCCTCGTGTGTGGATGGGCAAGAGGATTATATATATACAAGCCGGAAGGGGGGCTAGATGGGACCCAACTATGTACATATGAAAGAAGAAAAAATACCCTGCTCGACCACGATAGTTATCGTACCGGAATAAAACCCTTTTCCTTTAGCCAATACAAATAGATGCGGATCAAGGGCCCCAATGCCTCGCCGCCGCAGAGGTCATGCCGAAACTCCCTCCCTCCCTCCCTCCCGCATTCGTAAAATGGCGATGGTCCCATCTAAAATCACGCTCAAATGCCCTCCCGCAAGAACCCCGCCCCCCGGCCCAAGTTTCAGCCCCCATCCGTACTCATTTGCACAGTGACCTCCCACCTCAGGCTGGAGCCGCGGCCGTAGCCCTCGCCGAGGCGATTGTTGACGACCCTCGCGACGCGGGCTCGCAGCTTGCTCAGCGCGCCGTCGGCGTCGTCGGCGCCGCCGCGGCCCCGGACGACGCGCAGCTTCAGGTTCGCCATGGCGAGCCCGTAGTGCACCTGCCAGAACTGCGCCTCCTCGACGCGCGCGACGTCGGGCTCCGCCTCGATTTCGCGCACCACCGCCGACACGCTGCTACTGCTGTTGCTGTCATCGTCGCACGCGCGGGTATCGTCGGATTTCTTCGTCTGGCCGCCTGGCCCCAAGTCGGCGGGGGAGATGCGGCTGCTGCTGCTGTTGCTGCTGGCGCCGGCGGGTTTTCCGCCGCCCTTGCGGCCGCTGTAGCTCATCAGGAGCATCAGGCCGTGGGCGACGGCCAGCCTCGCGCCGAGGACGAACATGGAGACGGCGATGGCGGCGCAGATGGCGCCGTCGAGCCAGGCGAAGTTTGTGACGCTCAGGAGGGGCAGCAGGAGCATGATGGAGCTGAAGCAGAGGGTCAGGAAGTGGAAGGGGTTGGCGACGACGCCCATGCCACCGTCGGCGAAGGAGGGCAGGAGCTGGCCCAGGAAGGGCAGCGGCAGGGGCACTCGCATGACCCTCCGGATGCGGCCGTGGTTGCGCAGCCCGTAGGCGCTGATCAGGGTGGAGACGATGGCGGCGAGGCTGGCGGTGTCGACGGTGCCGGGGCTGACCCTCGGGGCCTTGGGATGGGAGTGCGGGTGGTGGGGCGCGTGGCCGCCGACGGATTCGAGGACGTGCTTCATCTCGTGGCTGAGGAGGTCGAAGCCGCCGAAGATGAGGAAGACGCTCATGGCGAAGCCGGCGAGGACCTCGGCGCGCTGGAGGCCGAAGGGGTGGCGGATCGAGGAGCGGCGCCACACCTCAAAGTTGCCCAGCAGCTCGACGGCCACGCACACAGCTGCGCTGCCGACGTCGAAGAAGACGAGGTGGCTGAGCGCCGTCAGGGCCAGCGAGCCCTCGGCGCTGAAGAAGACGTACATGGCCACGGCCGCGTGGCAGCAGCACCAGTATAGCCGCGCCCGCTGGTCGCGCTGCATGCTGGCCCAGGCCTCGCCGACGGTCGGCACAGGGAGCGAGGCGGGGAGGACGGGTGGGGGCCGTGGAGGCGGCTCTTGGAAGATCTGGTGTTGGGCGCTGATGGACGAGTGTTTGTAACGGTGGCCGCGACGCTGGCCGATGTTCTGAGTTGGCCGAAGAGGGTGACCTTTGGTCAGCGTTGAGGTTCTCGAGGGAAGTGGAAGGCAAAGAGAGATAGGCTCGGATTGAACTTACAGACTTCACCGGAGAAGTAGAGATGACCTGGGTCTGGAAGTTGAACGGATTGGAGGCAAGAGGGGCGCCCTCCGCAACCGTCTCGTCTGACATGGCGAAGGTAGGCGTGGATGTCAGCGGCCGTAGGAGGTGGGATTGGGGGTGTAGGAGAGAACTGCCGCTGCCCGCATGAGAATTGTGCGATGTGGTCGTGATCGTGGTTGTGGCGGTCGCTGGGTAACTCTCATCCCCGGGAGAGTCCTGTAAGTCGCTGCCGTCGGTTGGAGCGACAATCGTTGGCGGAGTCGGGGGTCTAGGAGTTGCGATGACGGGGAGACCAGGAGCCATGTGCCCTGGTGAAGGTGAAATGTTCAACAACCCCGGACTGCCAGTGCGCCGGGCTCAGATCCTTGCGATGAAGAAGAAGCTGGTTACTTTAGCGCATCATATCGTCGTGGCGGCGTGGTTTGGCTCCTATGCGTATCCGTACCTCTACCACGTCCCCTGTTTCTGACCTCTGAGTGGCTGGCACGGATACCTGATGGATTACATAACCAAGTTAACTGGGATGTCGGGATCCGCATCCGTAATTGGGTTGCAGGGATCTGCTTTCATGCAAATTCAAGTTGATCAGTACCGCAGTATCGCGGATACAACGTGCATTCGCTGCTCATTAAATGGCTTCCATTGCGACAGTCTGGCTGAAATCCCATGGCTTCACTTGGCTATTAACTTCCGCCTCACAGTCGCCATGGGTTTACCCTTTTTGTTAGGTCCCTCTTTTATCGAATCCCGAAAGTGTCCCTAACACCAGTCCTTCCTATCCCTGCCAGCCATTCCAGCCATTTACGACGGATCGAGGACCAAGCTAGCTTGGACATAATGGACACCACTCCGTCAATACAAGGCGGCGATGACTCCAAAACCATATCTGGCAAGCCGCCCGGCCCGTCTCGCAAGCGCAGCATTTCGGGAGGCGGTGGTTTATTGTCCAAGTTGCCTTTCATGCGTTCAGCCACCGAGCATCGACATTCAATGTCTCGGCCTAGCCCCGATGACGCCGAGCCGTTTACGCCATCGCCGTCAGACACAGCCCTGTCATCAAATCAGCATCTACATGACTCCGCCTCGTTGTCAATGTCACAGGTTGTCCTTAAACAACAACAACAGCAAAAAACCCGGAGGCGGAGAGGTTCCCTCAGAAAGGTGGCATTACTTGGCCGCGGAGCTCAGCGCGAGAGAAGGGAGTCACGGTCAGCGAGCACCGATATAAAACAAGCCATCGCCCACTCGATAATGGGGGACGTGGGGGATCCATTCCACTCAGGCCATGAGAACAAGAAGCTCTCGCAGCCCACGAATGTGGACGTCGAGGAATATGGCTTGGGAATATCAGACATTACACCCCGACCAAGTATGGATGGGTTCGCAGGACGACCAACCGCGGCAATCGGGGCGCCTCTTTCGGAACGTAGCATAGCCTTGGCCCTGGAAACGTCGCCCGTTAGGGACCCCAGAACGATACAACAACAAGGCAGAGATGCCGAATTGATGGCCACGAGCCCGGTAATAGGTTACTCTACTACCGACGACGAGGACGCATTGCATATGGGACCACGGCCAGCAACGCCGTCTATGTCGTCTTCCTCGGTATGTAGTCTCTCTCCCCCACTCCGAGGGCGCTTCCTTCTCCTCCAACCCGTCGCCCTATTTTCTGACCGTACTACATACAGCGTCCCATTGGGCTCGGTGTGTCAGACGTTCCGACCAGCACCCTCGCCTCCATCCAGCGCCGACGCTCCGCCACCACGCAGCGCCCGAAATCCCCGCTGGCACTGTCTTCCCTTGCAGGCCTGTCCACGACACCGCTGCCGGCGCCCGATGGCGATTGGGATTACTCAGAAACAGCGTGGTGGGGGTGGGTGGTGCTGGTGGTGACATGGCTTGTATTCGTGACGGGCATGGGATCTTGCCTGGGAGTCTGGAGCTGGGCGTGGGACGTAGGGACGACGCCTTATGCGCCGCCAGAGCTGGAGGATGACCCGACGCTGCCCATTGTTGGGTACTACCCGGCACTGATTATCCTGACGGGCGTGATGGCCTGGGTATGGGTTGTGGTAGCATGGGTTGGCATGAAATACTTTAGACATGCGAGGGTTAGTGGAGACTAGGACGCAATACCTACATATAAGTACATGGACAGCCTCTTCCGCCCCTCGCTCACCTTTGGAAATGCCTTCCAAAGATGCTTGGAACTCTCCGTTCTCGGCAGCCCATCACGAGCCAACCACGTGGGCCTCTGAGGGACACAACCCGCAACTTACATAATATTCCTGATTCTATTAGCGCGGTTCATGTGGCGCTGGAGGTCCCTGCTGTCATTCAGAAACCGTCGGAATTGCGGTTAGAGATCTTGAAGTGCGAGGAACCTGAAGATTTTAGATTACTAGAAGATACAATCTCGCTCAAGTCTTTTCCTTGTGTTGTTGAGGTAGGTATGCAAGTAGCAGCACATATATCCTTGTAACCATCTATAATATCACTTGGCTCACAGTAAACGATTTCCAGGGGCGAACTAGTCAATTCCGTTACCCCGGCACCCGGCAACAAAGTTGGAAATTGTAAACAAGACACCCGAATCTGTGCATAGCACCACGCTTGGCTTAGGTTGGCTAGGTAAAACCCACCCTGAACAAGGCATCGACTTAATTAACACTTTGTGCTTCCTCAGCGACTTTCACAACGTCTCCCTCCACTTCATCTGTATCTGGGGCTTCGCTCCTGGCTTCCTACTTTTTGTTTCAACTCGTACTTCGACCAACGCGTATTCTTACCATGGACACGTCAGAGAATCCGGTACGTTGCCCCATCCCCTCACTCACGCGCTGACCGTTCCCTTCGCTCACGTTTGCTATGGCCGATGCAGTCCTTCCGTCAATCAGGGATACCCCAGATCCGACCGCCAACTCGATATCCCAATCCCGTCACCACTGGGTTGCATGAGATAACCGATTCGCAAAGCAACTCGCGGGCTCAGATCCCGTCCATGCTCCCACCACAGAAAGGCTTGAAGAGACCATATGCCGGGACTGGTGAGCTTTTTGATGACGACCTACCCCTCCTTCACATCTACTAACCCTCGACGCTCTGAACAGCCCAACCAGAACCGAAGAGGAAAACACTCGCAGAAAAGGGGGGAGAATGTTACGGCGGGAAACACACACTTCCATCCGCTATGCCGGCCCCTCGACAAGTAATCGGTGCTACGCCGCTCGGTCTAGCAAGCGTAAGTGGCCATTGCCAATGCCTGGGTAACAGTGCCGGCTTGACGGGACGAGTCCAATATCTCGGGGCTCTGCTCTGGTTGTCAGAGCACAGCAGAAAGCCCGTTGGTTATCATGTTCCAGTTCCACTGACTTGACCCGCTGAACAGAAACATCCGGCCCGCCACACATCCAACACTTCCATATCTTCCCGACAAACGTCCACGAACAACTATGCTAGCAGTCTCGGTCCTGGGCAACGGCCCCCCACCCGCCCACAGTCTGTCACGTCTTTTAACCATTCCGTCAATGGGCGGCCGCGAGCCAACACCACCCGAGCCCGTCCAGTAACAGCTATGGGCAACAGCAGATTGGTGGAGAATGAGCAGGAAGACGGGAAGCAACAGAATGGTACGAGACTACCGGCTCCATTACATCCATCAAGCCAGGGAGGACAGGGAAGCTTGCAAATCAAGTTGTCAAGTACTTCCTCAACGCAGGCCTCAAGTTCTCAGGCCCAACGAGCAAGTAACAGACAGGCATCTCTTAGCTCGCTGGCCGGAAAACTTGAAGAGCTGAGCATTCATGACCCGGGGCCGAACGGTTGGCTACGTAAAGGAAGTCAAGCGATTTCCAACATGGGCAGTCATCCATCATCAGATTACCCTTGCCCACCCGGCGTCCCCACAGACAATTTCACTTCTCAGGCTGGCCGGAGAGATGACGTTGCCAGGCATATCGATTGCCGGCCGACCGAATCTCGGCCAGGGGCGGGAACCTGGCCTAAGACGCCAGCCCGTCAGCAGAATGCTAAAGAGGCGTTGGAGACATTTGAGGCGTTCCTTGTGGACGTTATCAATACTCCTAGATCGCCGACAAAGTCTTCTCCTGTTAAACTGCAATTTCTGACCAAAGAGTCTACGTTAACTGGATTTACAGCTTGGGACATGGACGAGCGCCTGAACAACGTCGAATCCCAATTCATGGTCATGAAAGAGGCAATGAACGTATCCTTGACAGATAAGAAGACTCTGGAGGATGCAGTGGATTTGGCAAAAACCAGAGGTGGGTGATGGCTTCGCAAGGATCCATGTGCTAGACGCGGGATTGACTCTAGGCAGTGAGCGACCTCGAACGGGAACGCGATCGCATTGACGAGAAGAACTCGCAGCTCCGGGCTGAGATTGAGACTCTGAGGCAACAAAACCAGTCACTAATCCTGGACCTGGAAGCGGAGCGAAGGAAGTATAAATACGATCTCGAGGACAAAACCCGCGAGCACCGAAACGAAGTTGATCAGCTCCGGCGAGAACTCAGCGACGAGGCAGAACGACTCCAGAGGGTGCACCGTGAGGCCATGGAGGCTCTGGAAAGGCACTACCGCGTGGAGTTGGAAGATGAGCGCCTCCAGAATACCAAGGAGATTCAAGAGCTGAGGACGAAGCTGGGAACGGAACAGCAAGACTTGAACCTGGCACTGGAAGGGAAGGACCATGAGATGCAGAGCGTGCGGGCGCAGATGGAAGAACTGAAGTCCGACCTTGAACTGGAGAAGACCATCAAGAGCAGCCTCCAGAAGCAAATCGCGGAAATGTCAACGACGAGTCTGACGCTGGAGGAGCGGAATCGGGCTTTGCGGGCCCAGATTGACTTCCTCGAGTCAGACAGCAAGCAGCAGTCGGATTCATTCACGAGCATGGAGGCACGGCTCCAAGACGCCCTGCGCCAGGCAGAAGAAGCACGGCAAAAGCTCATCAAGGAAGAGACGGAACGGCGGATCCTCTTCAACAAGTACCAGGAACTGAAGGGCAACATCCGTGTTATGTGCAGGGTGCGGCCAGTGCTCGACAATTCTGAAGGCGAGGAGGCAAAGCTTCTGTTCCCCGACCTCAAGACGTCGGCGCAGATCGACGTCATGGGCCCCGAGGAGAAGAGCAGCCTCGGTAACGTCAGCCGCAAGACCATCCCATTCGAGTTCGACCGTGTCTTCTCCCCGGGCGTGCATAACGAAGAGGTCTTTGGCGAAATCTCGCAGCTCGTTCAGAGCGCTCTCGACGGGTACAACGTCTGCATTTTCTGCTACGGCCAGACCGGGTCGGGCAAGACGTACACCATGTCCTCGCAGGACGGCATGATCCCGCGGGCCACCCACATGATCTACGACACCGTCACCAAGCTGAGGGAGAAGTCGTGGACTTACAGCATGGAGGGCAGCTTCGTCGAGGTGTACAACGAGGAGTTGCGCGACCTGCTCACCCCCGCCAAGGAAGTGGACCCCAAGAAGAGGATTGAGATCCGCCACGACGAGGCTCGCAAGCAGACGGCCGTGACCAACTGCAAGAGCGTGTCCCTCGACTCGGCCGACACGGTTGAGGTGATGCTGCGGCAGGCGCAGAACAACCGCAGCGTGGCGGCGACCAAGGCCAACGAGCGGTCCTCGCGGTCGCACTCGGTCTTCATCCTCAAGCTCGTCGGCGAGAACTCGGCGACGGGCGAGCGGTGCGAGGGCACGCTCAACCTGGTGGACCTGGCAGGCTCGGAGAGGCTGAACCACTCCGGGGCCGAGGGCGACCGCATGAAGGAGACGCAGAACATCAACAAGAGCCTGTCGTGCCTGGGCGACGTGATCGAGGCGCTGGGCCGCGGGTCCGCCCACGTGCCCTACCGCAACTCAAAGCTCACGCACCTCCTGCAGTACTCGCTGGGCGGCAACTCGAAGACGCTCATGTTCGTCATGGTCAGCCCGCTTGAGGCCCACCTAAGGGAGACGTTGACGAGTCTGCGGTTTGCGACGAAGGTGAGACATTCGATCCAATTCCCCCGCTCTTGGTTTGGAGGGTTCCGGGCGCTAACAAAGTTTTGCAGGTGCATAATACTCACATTGGGACGGCCAAGTCCACCAAAAAGACGAAGGACCGGGCAGGGGATTCGTAATATTAGGACAAGAGTCGAAATTGCTTGCAACGAGTGAGGGGTTGGGGTGGGGGGGTGGGGGGTAGGGTTGCTTTATGATACCATGAACTTTTGTCCAAGTACTCCTCGTGGTTCTGATACGAGGAAGCTTCTCGTGTGTGGTATATATTCTCTTTCCGTGGATTGTTTGCCGGCGTTCTTTCATAACGCCACAGTTTGGCCTATTGAACCGGAGTTTCTGAGGGGTCGCTACTGTTGGTTTTTTTAAATCGATGATCGATAGGTCTTGTCAATATCAGAGTCTACATCGTCACTGAAGAAGACATCATCCATTAGCCCTGTAAATAAACGCGCGGTGACAACCTAAACCTCATACGGCACCTTATAATAATAGGTACGTATTGATACGTTTCACGTGATCTCTCACATGATAACTATGCACGGTGCAGCTTACACCAGCCATGCACCACAACGAGAGTTGGAACATCTCAATTCATGCCCCTAGCCCCCAAACCACCAGGTCCTTTCCCAATCTTGCATTGCGCTGTGTTTGGTGACAGAAAGAAGATGATGTTCTTGCGTGGGTCGGCGCGGCGCTCATGGTAGGACAGCGGCCCGTAAATGAAGACTGGATTTTAAGGGCATAGTGGGTTATCGTTCACGTCTCAATACGGATACTAGTAACGGGAGAGCAAGCTAACAGAAAGAAAAAAACGGTACAGCCCTCTTCGTAGACGAAAAAGGAAGGATATTTACAATGAGGGGCGATAGTTGGACACGGGGGCGGCGGGCCGAGGCGGGTTCCACCGGCCGCTCCGATCGTGTTGGATAGTGCACAGTGCACCACTAGTACAGGTAAGCGCTCCCTGCAGGCATTAGGGTTGCTTTGCCAGCCAATACAACATAGGTAGTTTCGTCAGCCTCATCACTGCCGACCACAAAACAACGGAAAACGATTGGAAAGGAGACCTCAGCTCTATCGGGCGTCTAAACCAGCCCACACACAATCTGTCCATGGCTTGCTTTTTCTTCGAGCTGAGGTGGGTAGGTATTTCGACATGAGCCGTGGCATTGGCGCAAGATTTGCTTCGCGCAGATATGCGAGGTGATCATGGCTGGCAATGTGAAAGGCCATTGGACAACGGAATATGTCAGCCTGCAGACGCCGCCATTCCCATAATACGCCCACAGCTTGCATTACCGAGCCTAGGTAGGTAGCGAGCCATGAGGCATGACTGCCGTCCGTGCCCAATGCTGTGCTCGCAACTCGGCAGCCTTACGGAAGTAGACCTCAAAAGTTTCTTTCCACTTACTAACAGCCCGTTATCTAAATATCTTTTTTTACATACATACAACCCCTTAATTTCTTCCCCTTCACATGGCATTTAGAAGCTTCTTTGGTGTCCTAATCCTCCTAATTAGCGCAATCAAGCTACTTGGTTTTGGATCAAACGGATGACTACTTGGAAGGGGCCTCCTTAAAGCCAGGCAGATGCAATTCAGCGTTGGGAGTGTTGTTGGAATGAGGAGTTGACTCAAGACTAGATTGTAAGGGATGTGGAGGAGATTATTCTTCTAAAGGGTGGAAATGAATATAAAGAAGGCGTTGTCTAGCTTAAATAAATATATGGATTTATTTAAATAATAAGTTGTTAGCAAGTGGAAAGAAACTTTTGAGGTCCACTTCCGTACATATCGTGGAAGGTCCCCAACTTTATTGTCTCTGAGTGCATATGCTATCCTGTTCACTGGGAAGGGAATATTCTCCCCAAGCCAACCGTAAGGATCCAATCAGCCTCCTCGACTTTTCCTATCTCGACCAGCAACATGTCGGTAACCGTGAACCTAAGGTTCCTCCCCGTTCTATTGTTTGCAGGATGCGTTGCTGCAGACACTGGAGATGACTTCTCCAACAACCTATTCTCGGACCTGGCGCCGTACGTCTTGCAACCTACCTTCCTAGCCCATGTGCTAATGGCCTCTTGCGCTCAGTCTGCTCGCGCTCTTCGGAGAACGGGTCACGATGCAATTCATGAGCCAGTCGATGGGCTGGGCTGACAACATCATATTGGCAATGGCTCCTCTGGGCATAATCACTACTATTATCAGTGCCATCAGAGTTGGTGGCCCTTCGTGGCTCAAAGCCATCATTGGGAGAGCCAGGGAGAACCTCGCAGCTGCCGAAGCAGAGCTTATGTCGTCCACCTCGAAAGAAGTCTGCGAGCTCTGGAATGGCCATGAGGTGGTGAGATGTATGGGGTCAGCCCCCGTTTCGGAGTTTATATGCTTGTTCCCTCCAGGAACTCAGAGCAGTGGGAATTCAAAGGTAGAGATGGTCGAACTGAAAGAGGCGCAGAAAAGGGGGTACCTTGAAGATGTTGGTTAGTACTCCCATCCGCTTCTATTGGATCCAGACTCATCTTCCATTAGAGGATCTATTAGAGGACGCTTCGCAGAATAGTTCCGAGGATTCGAAAGCAGAGCAAGGGCAAGCAGCTACCAACCGCTCAAGACCCGAAATTATCATTGTACGGAATAAGGCTGCCGATGCACCGAACATTTCGCTCAATGCCCATAACCAGTTCGGGAGAGGAGAACTACGCGCCGTGGCCGCCATAGGGACGTTGCTTCAGCTAGGAGTCCTTCTATACTGTGGGTTCGCCACCTATTACCCAACAGTGAAGTTCAAGAAGGACGGACGCCCCATCGCCAGCTACGCGTTTCCTTGCACCGCTGTCGGGACTCTGGTATTGGTGGCCGGTATGCTGGTCTGTGCCCATGTCGTGGAGAGCAGCACCACAGAGAAGAGATATCGAGTGCGGCAGGGGAAGAAAGCTCGAATGGTTTGGCTGCAGAAGACGCAAACTGTGAGCGACCAGGTTTTCGACTCTTTCGCAATATTTGCCAAGGATGAGCGAACTCTCATTACGACGTCGCACCGAGCGGACAAACAAAGCCAAGCTACCGTCCTGGGAATCAAGGCCGTCCTTGGCACAATGGTTAGTCTCTGCGGGTTCGTCGTGCAATTCGTCGGTCTGCGCGGGATGCACTGGTCTGCCTCAGTCGTTCAACTTGGCGCAGTCCTCGTGATGAGCGTTCTCAGGGCGTGGGTTCGTCGTGGGCTCGCGAAACCTCCCCAGTGCGAGCGTCTCCCCCCAGGGTTCGAGCTCGAGTGGTTTGCGACGACGCTGGGAGATCTTGACAAGGCACCCTGGCTGGCTACGACAGACTCTGGGAAAGACACCACGACTTCAAACTCTGAGGAGCAAGACATCAAGGACTGGACCATAGTGACCGACGAAACTTCTGAGATGGACGAGAAACCGGGCCAGCCGAGCGAAAATGACGACTCGGATGCGCATACTGTGATGATGATAAGGAGGAACCTCGGCGAGCTCGCTGGTTGGCATGGACCTGCATCTGCTGAAGCCATTTCCCTCGCAAGGGCGATCGAGGTCACCATGACTGCTCTATTCGGCTCTTCTCACAAGAACCTAACGTGGTCTCTTGAAACCCATGGCAAACAACTACTTAAGTTCCGCTTAGAACGACAAGAAAACGGGCTCTGGAAAGCGTACGCAGACGAGATCGAAGCAGCGCTATCTTTGCGTTTATATTCTGTCAATAAAATAAAACAGGCCGATAAACAAGCGCAGGTCGGTAAACAAGAGCAGGTCGATAAAAAAGAGCAGGTCGATAGACAAGGACAGCAACGAGTGGCCCAGGGATCTCGGACTCTCAAAGACGATGCATGGTTGCGCGCCAAAGGATCGACGGCAAAGAGAAGCCTGCGAATTTTGGGCTTATCCACGACGGCCCTTCTTCGAGATCTCCGGTGGTGGATGACAGGTGATGCGCCTAGAATCTTAGCAGTCAAGAAAGCCAAGGAGGGCATGCTAGAGGTGGAAAATCACCGAGTTGTTGGCCGGCGGCAGCAATTAGGGAAACCGGGAAATGATAGGTCTGGCACCAACAGCACATCCCAACACAAAATTCATCCAACTCGATTCGATGTGGCCAACATGAAGGTTGACGACGAGGACGACGACAAGGTTGACAAGGTTGACGATGTTGACGAGGACAGACTCCTCGCGATAGAGTCGCATGAACCCTTGAAGTTGCTATATGCTCAAGATATGTTCTCGGCTTTCATGTGGGCTGTGGCGAAATCGGCAGATCCCGTCAAGGGCAATGCTAACATACAGCCCGATGACATCAGCAGCGACAATGCCTGGCAATCCTTCAAGCTCCAGAATAATCTCTTGTTGACGATGGCTCAGGACATTGAGAACACTGGGCTTGGAAGTCTGGATCAAATCTACCTGAGCATCATCCCACCGCTAAGTATGCACGAGAAGCTCCCTCAACCGAATGCGATTGTTGAATTGGCGCGACAACATGCCAAACAACACGAGCAGCTGCAACATTGGAAACAGGCAGGCGACGCACACTTGTGGCTCTTTAGAACAGCAAGGACATTCCCAGAACACAGTGGTATTGCCACTAAAGCTACGGCCGTGTTGATGGAATATTTAAGGACAGTCACTCAAGCTCTCGAATTGAGGGAAGATCAGCAATACGATGACAGAGATTTTGAGCAACTGAAGGACTTGAAATCGACTCTTGAAAGGGAGCTGAGAACTGTTGGCCGCGGGATCTTATCAAGCCTCATAAGGCTGTATGAGGAACAGGGCCGAGGTTGGAAGTGTGTCCCTGTGCAGGAAGCTCGATCTGGTTGGGTGGAAGACGCGGAAACATTCGATCTAATCCAGGAAGAGGAAGCTGCGAATCCGAAGAATAACTACAATTGGACGCCGCTCCATTATGCTGTAGCGAAGGATACCGGATATACCGTCATCGAACTACTAAAGCATCAAGCAAATGTCAACGCTGCAGACCTTCTCGAATGGACGCCGCTCCATTATGCTGTAGCGAAGGATACCGGATATACCGTCATCGAACTACTAAAGCATCAAGCAAATGTCAACGCTCCAGACCTCCTCGAATGGACACCCCTACATTACGCCTGCCAGCGCAACGAGACTTCAGTAGTGCAGAATCTCTTCCGGGAAGGCGCAGAACTTGATGTGCGCGGCAGAGATGGAGTGGCGCCTCTGCACTGCGCAGCAATGAATGGTTGTGTCGACGTGGTTCGCTCGTTGATTGAAGCAGGAGCAACTCTTGACATTTTGGATGCCTCAGGGAACACGCCGCTACACTTGGCTTCCCAGGAGGGGCATAAGGGCGTCGTTGAATATCTATGGCAAGACTCGAACAAAAAGCTGCGCGATCGTAATGGTTGGACTGCCTTGCATCTAGCAGTGATGATGGGTAGAGAAGAAATAGTTGAGCTGCTTGTCGAGAAAGGCGCCGAGATCGATGCCAAGGACGGCTATGGCAAGACGCCGCTGCACTGGGCTGCCAAGAACGGGCACAAGGCTATCGCGAGGCTGCTCGTCGAGAAAGGCGCCGAGATCGATGCCAAGGACGGCTATGATGGCAGGACGCCGCTGCACTGGGCTGCCAAGAACGGGCACGAGGCTATCGCGAGGCTGCTCGTCGAGAAAGGCGCCGAGATCGACACCAAGGACGTTGATAACAGGACGCCGCTGCACTTGGCTGCCGAGAACGGGCACGAGGCTATCGCGAGGCTGCTCGTCGAGAAAGGCGCCAAGATCGATGCCAAGGACGGCTTTGATGGCAGGACGCCGCTGCACTGGGCTGCCAAGAACGGGCACGAGGCTATCGCGAGGCTGCTCGTCGAGAAAGGCGCCGAGATCGACGCCAAGGACGGCTTTGGCAGGACGCCGCTGCACTTGGCTGCCGAGAACGGGCACGAGGCTATCGCGAGGCTGCTCGTCGAGAAAGGCGCCGAGATCGATGCCAAGGACGGCTATGGCAAGACGCCGCTGCACTGGGCTGCCAAGAACGGGCACGAGGCTATCGCGAGGCTGCTCGTCGAGAAAGGCGCCGAGATCGATGCCAAGGACGGCTATGACAGGACGCCGCTGCACTTGGCTGCCGAGAACGGGCACGAGGCTATCGCGAGGCTGCTCGTCGAGAAAGGCGCCGAGATCGATGCCAAGGACCTCTTTGGCAGGACGCCGCTGCAAGGCGCCAAGATTGACGCTAAGGACGAGGATGCGGAGGCGGAAGCGGAGGCGGACAGTAGATAACAGCTCAACACCACCTCCCCGCCCACCACCTGCCGCCTGCCCTTACTTATATAGGTACCCACAATGTGGCAAATAGAAGGCTTAAGAATGTGGAAGAACGTTGCTTATCAGCCAACGTTGTATGATGGTGGCAACTGTGGCTCTGCTGGTTCTGATGTCGGCATCGGATTTAGTTCTAATTGGATTGGCTGTTGCGGCTGCTGGGTGTTTGCTCTTGGCTACCTAGTCGAGAGGACAATCTGAGGAGTTGTTGTTATGAGAGATTTTAGGTGGGACTCAACTGGCGTAAGATGTGTGTAGCTGTTGAGACTTTTGTTTTCCGATTGCTGGATGTCTTCTTTCGCTTAACGTAACCTCGGTCGATACTCTGCAATTGATGGCGTACTGTTGACAGCGTAGTATGTACGCAATTCTGGGGAGTGTTCCTAAATATAGGTATAAGCTGTCAATATGAAGTGCGCATAGAGCAGGAAGGTGGGCTCTTAGGATCCTCACACAACCGACGGGAACCTTGGCAACGAAGACACACACCACGGCATACGCGGTACCAATGTAGTATCAAGTCTTGTCTATGATTCCAAAAGAGACTGGATGACACTAATACTCACCTTTTCCCCTTTGCTCTATCTTTTACCTTCAGGTTCCGCCTTCCCAAACCACCTTTTTCGGTCAGGGGTTTGGTGACCTGCCAACGCCACGGAATATAAAAATCCTCGCCACTCCTTATTGTTCAATGAACCAAGGTTGTCGCACATGACCGCCTATTTTACACGTCCTCGAATTCCAAATCCTCATCGTCCTCGCCCTCGTCCGGCGGCGGGGGTGACGGCGGCGGCTCCTCAACCTTGACCTTCTTCGCTGGTCTGCCATCCGAGCCGGGAGTGCCGGCTGCCGCCGGAGAAGTGGGCCCCGTGTTTGTGCCACTCCCTGAGGCGTCGCGCTTCAGGCTACTTTGCAGCGGCATGCTCGACTGCCTCAGCGGCGACGGCACCGCAGGGGCTGCTCCAACTGCCGCGCCAGATGTGCTGGGGGGCGTGCCAGTTGCCGACTTTGTGCTGGTCCCCACGACGTCCTCAAAGTCGCCCTCGTCGTCATCGCTGGACTCAAACTCTTCCTCCTCTGCGGCTTTGCGTGCCGCCTCAGCAGCCTGCTCCGCCTTGAGTCGGGCAAAGTAGTCGTCAATGTCGGCCTGGTCCTTGTCCTCTAGCAGCTGTTTTTTGACCCCGGTCTTGCTGTCTACCTCGTCCTTGGGCACCACGGGATCCGATGCCTTCTTGGCGTCACCCGTAAACGACTCCCCGGTGACGGTGCTGCTAGACATCCAGCTCGGAAGGGCGTTCTGCTTCGCGATACGCTCCTTCCTCTCGCGCTCCGCCGCCTTCTCCTCCTCGGTCAGCCCATCTGCGGTGGATATGCTGACTTGCATGCTCTTGGGCCCCGTGTTCGCGAGACCCTTCACGGCGGTTGGGCGGTTCAGCCCTATCTCCACTGCGACGCTCTGCGCCACCTGGTTGGCCTCGTCGCGGTCCACAGGCCGGGCCTTGCTGAAGGCGACATCGAAGGTGTTGTCGGGGATTATGACACTGTCGATCTGAGGCAGTAGGTCGGTGATGAACTTGAACTGGTTGTTCATTCGCGTCGACTGCTGGTGCCCAACCGAGTGTCGGTCGGCGTCGTGGATTAGGATATGGCTACAGCGGTGGCACCGCAAGCCTTCTGCAGAGGCGTTGTCAATCACCTCTAGCTGTGACCATTCAGCTCCGCAGCAATTGCAAAAATATTCCTTCCGTTCATTAGCAGGAACGGCCGTGCCCTGCATGTCCTTATCAATCTTGTACACGCGCCATTTGATAGCATCGATCGCGTGGCGGTAGTCTATGTAGTAGTAGGTTCGGTTGACCGGCCGGGTCTGATTGCCTCTTATCTCTGGTCGCGTGTGCCTGCAAGTGGAGTCATGTAAGTTAAGATCTGGGAGCGGTGCCCTGGGGAACATACACCGCCAGCAAGCGGTCTTCCCGTAGCTTTCCGCAGAGTTTATGGAGGTCTTTAGTATTCATGCCCATCAGGTAGGCCATGTCGTCGTCCCGCAAGCTACGAACAATCAGACATCTGGTTCCCGAAGCAGAGGCCCGAGGAAGCGAACGTACGCTGAATGAAGGATGAGCGACTCGATTATGAGGACGTGACGAGTCTCGTAGAAGGCCCGTGTCACGGAGCGCAGTAATGTCTGGGCCAGATCCATGGCGACGGTCTGGGGGGATAGACTCGAAGAGGACTCGCGACGGGTCGGATATCGAGTTCAATCGCAAATGGAAATCTGAAGTAATCAAGTGCGAGGGGTAGAAGGCCAAGCGCAGGAGACAAAGGGCCGAGCCCGGTTATGTTGGTCGAAGAGATAGGGAAAGGGTAGCAGCAGAATGTGCTACCGAGAAGTGGCTGTAAAGCATGTCATGGCTCGCCTCTCAACTTTGACAAGTTGAGTGGGGAATTGCGAGGGCCGAGCGAGTGTGAGTAATAAAGGTCGGTGGCCGTCTGCTATTGTCGGAGGGAGAACAATAGGGATGGTTTGGCAGTTGCAGTGTGTGAAAATAAACTTCATTATCACCAACATGGAGGCTGATGATGATATGGTCCAAGCTTGGAAATATCCACCTCATTGGATCCGGGGATCCACTCTCCAGGAAACGGCGTCAGCCTGCTGCGTTGTCACGTGCACAGACGGGACTGCTCAGTACCTAGGGACCCAGGGGCATGACATTGAGCCCCGTCGGTTTGGGATTTCCACTCTCTTTTTTTCCCCCTCTCCTACTTTCCAGCTCCTTTCTTTTCGAGGTCTCAATTCTGCTAGGTCTCAATTCTGCTTATTATGATGGTCGTCAATAACCAAGGCAGCTGATTCACATTTCGAGCCTTGGACTTGGGAAGTTGGAACACTCTCCTATCTTTCCGAGAGACGGAATAATAGACAGAGATTCCCAGTCTCATCAACAAGCCCCTCGCCTCCTTTCTCATTTGTGGATAATTCAGCAGCAAGTTGTCTCTTTCAAAATGCAAGGAGGAGAGGCGCCAGCGTACCGTCAAACGGTCAACCGGTACATCGCTCTTCTGGCTTCCTCCATTCCAGGCCCAAGCCAGCAAAGACACGCCGTTCGGCAGTCAGCATATCCGGTGCGGGGCCGTCCGATCCGCTCTCAAGATCGACCCAGGACCCGTCGGCTCGGCTCCTCACGCCACTGCTGTCAAACTTTAACGATCGCTCATTCTTGCAATATCTGCGAAGGTCCCGCTGGAACGTGGTCCCGCCGCTCCAACCCAGAACTGCGCAGCCGGCCGTCTTCCAGGGGCTAATGATGATGTCTACCCGGCGGTGCGGGTTGGGGTTCCTCGTCTCGCCCTCCTTCGCCGTCCACCTTGGATTCCGCCAGACCACTAACGCCTTGTCCAGGGTATCGAAGCCGGTCCCGGCTTTCCTCTCGTTCCCCTTCCAGCTCACCGGCATCTGGCCCCGTTCACTGTTCTTATTACTGAGTATAAGGGTGTGGGTGATGTAGTTATCCTTCTCCAGGCTGACAACGATCTTCTCGGCAAGCCCAAGGGTAGCCGTCGCGTCAGGATGGCTCAGGATCACATCCACATCACCGCTCTCTTTGTTGCCTCTCCGGTATCCCCCAACAGTGACCAATTGAAACCCCTTGCGTATCCCATTCGCGTGCTCCAGGATTATGCCACTAATCGACTCGACCTCATCGCGGGGTATCATGAGGAGGAACTCGTCATAGTACTTCACTCCTATCTGCTGCACGCGCGTCAAGGTCGCCCAGCCGTACTCGACAATGTCGTCGAGATCTCGCCAGCCCTTGTTGTAAAATTCCCGAGCAGTAGTCTCGGCGACGCCCCAGATGTCGTAGAACATGGCCAGGACGGAGAGCCTTGGATCGGACTCGGCATCCACGACTTCCTGGAGGTGGCCATGCTCTTTCAGTTCCTGGAACAGCACCGCTATCTTGGCTCCACAGCCCGGGAGCCTTGAGACTTCTGCATATGCCCCCTTTTAGCACCAGCTAAGTAACCTCGTGGACAAGCGTGAGCGACTGACTTACCCTGAGGGGTGGAAAGGGTGTAAGGATAAGCGGCGATCGTGGCGATTGAACTAGAATACGCGCGGACCCCGATCTTGTCACCAATCAATGTCCTCGTCTTCCGGATTTTCTTCAGCTCCCGAATGAAGGCCTCGTTTGGGCTGTTCACTGGCGTGGGTCGCTGACACGAATAGGTCGTGTGCAGATAATCTGGTATCGGTGGCAGCCGGAGGTCTATGTCATGCTCCGTGGTTGTCCGGTGGAGCATTGGCGGTGGTTTGATTGCATGGTCATGATGTTCCCTATTCCGCCTGAACGAGCTTTGGCCAAATCTTGAAGAAGGGCTTGTCTGGCTGCTGCCTGCATCTGCTGCTGCTCGAGCTAGGATGTCCGTCGAAGGCGGAGGCGGAGGAGTCCTGGGAACTTTGCGACCTTCGTACACCAAGTAGTCGTCGAACGGCTGGACTGCTCCTTTCTTCACTGAGTCCGTGAGCCAAGAGAGCTTCACTACCTTGATGGTCTTCTCCGGCGCTCGTTCCGCCTCTGCGGTGCGGCCCCCTGCATATCCCTCTGATGCAGTGTCTGAGTCGGCGCCAAGTACCTCTTGTGCTGGGTCTGTAATGCCCCGGCGTTTTATTCTTGGAGAAGAGGTATTGTCCGTGGGGGGAATCTCCTCTGTCAGTAGTTTACGGTGACGAAGTTCGAAAAGAGCTCTCCCCTTCTGCGACACTTTCCCAAGCAACACTTCAGCCTCGTTGATATCGTACGTCAGTGTGGGTATCTGCTCTTCCAGTTCATCTAGCTCGTCCGCACTCAGGCGGTTGGGGAGAAGGTAAATTATGGGAAGTTCGAGCGACATTTTTCAAGAGCGCCGGTAGCGTTTGATGACGAGATGACCCGGGCACTCATGTCCATTAGAGCTCTTCACATCCCGGCAGGCGCTTGTATCAGGAAGCCGATGCGGCTTCTACGTGGCCCAGAGACGCGGTGTAACTAAAGGAGGCGTATACTTCATGAGTTGATATGCTTGATTTAGGCAGGATGCACTGCCGGGAAGTAGGAGGCGCCATGGTGAAGGGCGAAACTGCATCATACCCGGCAGGTTGGGTAGGAATGCGATTCGCCGACACCAGGGTTAGCGTCATCATCCAACAACCCTAACCCTGAGGAAGCCCTTGCCTTATTCAAACCAACTTACTGGTTCTGCCGGCATTAAAAAGCGGTGACCCCATAGGTACTTTTAGGTGGGATCATCTATGCATGGAAGCGCGTCAACTGCAGGGTCCGCGATTGATCACATTCTCAAGGTGGAATGGAAGGTTGGAACACATCCCCGATTTGCGTGGCTGGTCTAATATCGGGTTAGGAGGAATACCCTTCCGTCGTCGTAGTTTCGGGGCAACTGGAACTCCAGATAAAAGTCTCCGAGTTCCGACGATCCACGTCCCGTCGGCACTCGGACAGATTACTGGGGAATGCACCACATCTCATTGGCCAATTGCTCCAGCTTTTACATGGGCCAGGCACTAATGCTTGGTCATCCACCAAAGCTTTGCGCGTCGCATTGAAAAATTTCCAGCACATTCCAGGTTCCAGGTTCCAGCTGTTGTCGCGGCTTTTTGTTACTGTTAGTTAAATAGTCCATATGTACGCAGGATCTCGACAATTGATCACGCCATCTCAACTGCATTAGCCCAAGTGTGATTTCAGACTATCCCAAAGGAGTACCGATTACCTTGCCAAACAACCCTTTCAAGATGACTATCACTCTTCCCAGCGAATACGGGTATGACCTCTTGATCTACCCCAAACTCAACATTATACGCCCCCAACGCGAGATGGCTAACTATTTCCTCGCAGCTACGTCCTGCTGGCAGCGACGTCCACCTTCTTCATCAACACCTACCATTCCGTCCTGACCTCGATCGCCCGTAGGGCCAGTGGCCAGAAGTATCCCATCGCGTATGCCAGCAACGAGGTCGCTGACAAGGACCCCAAGGCCTATGCCTTCAACTGCAGTGAGTTTCCCGCGCCCCGTGAAAACAAAAGCGCACAGAAATTGACATCGATCCCCCCACCCCCTCAGCCCAACGGGCCCACGCAAACTTCACCGAGAATCTCACCCCTTACCTCGGTGCTCTGCTGATCGCCGGCCTGCGCTACCCCGTCCTTGCCGGCGGTCTCGGCGCCGTCTGGACCCTTGCCAGGGCCCTCTACGCCCACGGGTACTCCAAGTCCGGCCCCAAGGGTCGCGAAATGTAAGTGGCTTCCCCAGCCGCTTTTTGCCCTTTTCAGATCGGCATGTTGATGTGATGTTGCTAGTGGATCTATCGTGGCGTCTCTGGTCGACCTTGGCCTCAAGGGCATGGCGGTCTATGCGTCTTACCAGTTTGTCCAGGAACTGAACTGAGCACCCTCCCCTCGGGCTGGTTCTCACCACTCGTCAATGTGTACAACAGTGTCTTCATAACAGTAAATATTCGGAAATCTACTGTTCATACTTGTGCTATATGCCCAACTGAAAGCCCACATATAATATCACGTCCGGGCAAAGCTTTCACGTCTTTCTTCTGTCTTCACTCTTCACGCCTTGCCGTGAACGATAGCGCCATGTGACTGTGTCATGTAAACTGATGATATTCGAAGCATGTTGGCCGCCCCCCCCAGCCAACAAGCTAAACCACATGCAAAGAGAAGGCCCTGGGGAGCGGGATTCCAAGAAAGCCAAGCGGCTCAATTATATGCCATCTGCCCCAAAGGTAACCTACACTGCCTGTGACACATAACGAGACGACTCCGGTAAGGGGTATAACGTATATCTCTCCGAGAACCATCCCTTAAAACGCTCTACAAAGACCAGCTAACAAGACGCGGCGAAGGACAACGTCCAAAGGGGGAAAACTCCAGATTGCTCTCAGCCCTGACAAAATGGAAGTATGGGATATCTTGTAAATCACGTAACCGTCACACCTTGCAAGCAATATACCAGATATGAAGCCGGCAGCAGAAAACATCAGAAGACAAAGCCGCAAAAAGCAGAAAACGCCCCCATCAGGTCCCCAACGCCGTTTCAGCCGTCACCTTCCTCTCTCTGGCAATGAATTTGGCCCCAGCATCCATGTCCACTCCCGTGGCGGCCCCCGACGCGAGGTCCTCGTCAACGAGCAAGGGGATGCTATCCAGGGTCTCTCGGCCCGGCGCGTCCTCGACTGTACTGGGCGCCCCACCGAGCTGCTTCCCGTCCGAGTCGGCGGTCGGCGGCGGGTGCGGCGCCATCACGGGGCTGGTGGCCGAGCCGTTGGGGCTGTTCTGCCACTTGGCCACCTCGGCCTTCATGGCCTCGAGCTCCTTCTGGAAGCGGTTGCCGAACACGTCAATGTAGTAGGTGCTTCCGTTGTAGACCGACCAGCCGAACACGGCGAGCAGGAAGAGGGCGCTGGCCCAGCGGCTGTGGAACCAAATCGGGCAGGGGAGCATGGTCAGGACGGCGTAGGCGTACTGGATCAGCATGAAGGCGGGCTCCTGGAGACTGCTCGGCAGCGACAGGACGACCCTGCCGATCCAGACCTTGCTGTAGGACTTGCGCAGCCAGGTGAACGAGGTGGGGCGCCCGGCCGCGATCTTCTCGCGGCGGCGGACGGTGATGAAGAAGTAGTAGCTCAGCTGCCAGAGGGCGTATGGAATGCTGGACCAGGCCAGCATGGACCAGACATTGGCGTAGGCCGTCGGAGAGCCCAGCGGGCTGTTTTTGATGGCCCAGGCGGCTGGGTGCTTGATCTTCAGCTGCTCGGAGGACAGGAGATGGACCAGGCAGTGCAGGGTCGCGCACGGCATGATATGGATGAAGAGAGACGTGACCTTGTCGAAGCTGTGGAAGACCAGCGAGTTACGCCACATGATGATGGCGACGGCGTTGTTGCCAAAGGCCAGACAGTAAACCGCCGTAAAGAGTCTTTTCGAGCCCGGGAAGATCCACAAGCTGAGGATGAGGAGGAAGTTGGCGAAATAGCATAGGTCGGCGAGGAAATAGTGGTAGCCGCGTTTGTGATATGTGTAGAACCGGATCGGCATAAAGTAGAGAATCTGGGCCGTGTACCAAAGATGGAAGTACTGGGGGAAGCCGCCGAGCAGATAGCCGCTGATGAAGATGTTCATGACCCCAAAGATGAACGAGACCTTCTCGCGCAAGGTGATAACCTTGGTATCGTTCCACTGCTTCCCTAGCTTCTCGACGCTCTTCCGCATCCGCTTCGTATATCGGTCGAGCTGCTCCTCGGCATCGGGGACGTGTCGGCGCCACTCTTCGACCATTCGCGTGCGAGCCTTTTGGCTTCGGTTCTTTATTGCCTCGCGTGACTTGCGCACCTTCTCGGCCTGTGCTGATATCCCTTTTTGCAGTTTCTCGAGCTGGTGAGGCAGGGCAAAATTATCGAGGATGTCGAGAACGGTCAAGCGATCCAGGGGTGGGAAGGCCTCCCAGTCCTCCTGGTAGGAGCTACTGCCCGAGAATGACGGATTCCTCGAGAGTCCGGGACTCTTGGGGGTCGTTGGCCCCAAAGTAGGAGTGTCGGCGCCATGATCCGTCGCTGATGTACTCAGAGGGGGGGTTCCGTTGGGGTTTGGTGTTAGAGCAACTTCGCTATCCGTTGACGTGCCATCCGACTTGCAACCCGGTATCGGTATCGGCTGCGTATCTGCTTCTGCCGCGTCCATTATGCCTTTTGTGTCTGTGGTTGTGGTTGTGATGGTGATGGTGATGGTAGAAGGAAGCTGATGGGAAGACTCGGGTTCCTATGTGTAGGAGCCAACGGGGTTAGCGAGAGTTATGCCCTGAGCAAGTGTAATAAATGATTCTCGAAGGCACAGGCGTCGAGAAGAATAAAGCAAACTGGAGAAAGGTTTACAGGTTTGAGTGTTGTGGAGCGTGGCACATACAGGTTATGAGAGGTAATACAGGATCGGAAGTAATGAGCGGATCCGATGATCCGATCCCAGATGTCCGGGTCTCTCCAGGAAAATCGTCAAAGGTGGCGCGATGGAACGCGTATGGGTGCAGGTAGCGAGCTTAACTTAGGTAGATGGGAGGAGGTATCTGTAGACAGGTCTCAAATTCCTGGCTGTTTTTCTTCTTATCGCCCCGCCATTTCACGCGACAACGAACTAACTGCAAATCGTGTTGGAGGTCCAGGTGACCAACGACCAGATGACCCAGCGGATTCGAATGCGTCGATTGTTGATACTTGTTGAGTCTACATACTGAAGATGCTGGACTTGGCAGAGCAAGACGTCATGAGAGCTTGTTGGCGTTGATTTGTAGGATTACTTGTACAGAGTAGTGCACGCCAGTACCTACCTAAGTCACCCCCTAAGGTTTTTAGTACGCCTACCTCTCATAGTACATGCATATGCCGGCCAGTCCCGCATCAATTATCTAGGCTCCACGGCAGGCGTGCGCCAAAGAGTATCTGTGACTGGACGAAAACAGTCCATATGCATCGTGTAAAACGTTGGCCAACGCTCGTGAGACTTGAGAGAATGAGTCGCTTGGGGAGTCACGAGGAACATGGAGGATGCTGAGGTACCTACCATCGCAAGTATATAGACGTACTTACCGCGTTGGTGAGCACAGTGTTATCTACAGTGTTTTCCCGAAACACGTACTACTGATAGCCAATTGTAGTGCTGCTTTAACTGCCTCCAGGGTAAAGCAGATTTGGCCCGTGCGTCCCCTCTCTCAACACGCATCCAGCAGGACCTGGCGATTGTCGTCGCGTAAATCCAAGCGCGCTTTACACACAAAATATGAATGCGCTCCAGGCAAGATCATTACCTTAACCCTAATCGCAGCATCCATCCCTTCTTTGGATTGATACAGACGCGCCCTCAAAGCCGCGATCGATCAGCGGCCAGGCGCCTTTCCCCGTCAATTCTATTCGAACCTTCGGACGGAAACCCCCTCTCGCGCCACAATGGGGAAACTCATTCGACTTGAGCTTTTCAGTATGTCCACGGCCTAATATCCCCTCTTATTCTGCGGCCCCTGACTCTCGTGTCTAGACTTCAAGTCCTACAAGGGCCACCATACCCTCTTGTTTGGTGATTCGTATTTCACCTCCATCATTGGCCCAAATGGCTCTGGTAAATCCAATTCGTAAGCCGATGCTCCCTTCTCCTGACCCGGAACCGTGTTTGTTGACAGGACGCTCTCTGCCAGTATGGATGCGATATCCTTCGTCCTCGGTATCAAGTCTTCTCACCTCCGATCTGCACACCTTCGGGATCTCGTTTACCGCGGCCGAGTGATGCAAACGTCCAAGATTCAGGATGACGGAACAGCAGCCCCAGCAACGAACGGCCAGGCGAACGGATACGAGGATGGGAACGAGGGAGAACCGTCGCAACGGGCTTCTAGGCACGACCCGAAGACTGCCTGGGTGATGGCCGTCTATGAGGACGACGCCGGCGACGAGCAGAAATGGAAGCGCTCCATTACGAACCAGGGGTCCAGCGAGTATCGCATCAACGACCGCATTGTCACTGCACAACAGTATAACCAAGCCCTCGAGGCCGAGAACATTCTGATCAAGGCGCGCAACTTCCTTGTTTTCCAGGGAGACGTTGAGGCCATTGCGTCGCAATCGCCACAGGATCTTACGCGCCTGATCGAGCAGATCTCGGGAAGTCTCGAATACAAGGCCGAGTACGAGAAGCTGCAAGCCGAGGCCGAACAAGCTGCAGAGAACCAGAATTTTCAGCTGCACCGCCGTCGGGGGATCAACTCGGAGATCAAGCAATACCAGGAGCAAAAGAAGGAGGCGGAGAACTATCAGAAGAAGACCGAGGATAGAGACGAAGCAGTGGTGACCTACTTCCTCTGGAAACTGTATCACTTCCAACGGGTGATGGATGATTCAAGCGCCAAAATCCAGGAGCACCAGGAGAATCTAAAGGAATTCCGTCGCAACGTGGAAACCTTTGAGAAGAGGCTTGACGCCGCCAAGAAGGAGCAAGCTTCTGTCGGGAGAGAGGTCGGCAAGATGGAACGGAGCATCAAAACCAAGGCAAGGAGCATCGAGGAGAGGGAGAACAGCCTCGTCCCCATCGACGAGAAGATTGCACAGAGCAACCAAGATCTGGAGACTGTGAAGAAGCGGGTCAAGATCGTAACTAAGGAGCGGGATACGCAATTCGCTGCCATCCAGAAGGCGAAGAAAGATCTGGCGACGGTGGAGAAGGCACACCAACAGTTCGACAAGCAATGGGCAGAGACGCTCAAGCAGCAAGGGAAAGAGCTGAGCGAAGATGATCGCAAGCAGTACCTTGCCCTCCGAGCCGAGGCGATGACAAAGTCGTCGGAGAATCGCAGCAAGCTGGACAACCTCCTGCGCCAGCTAAAGAGCGACGAGGTCACCGTCAACGGCCTCAAAGGCAAAGTCGACAGCTTTGAGGCAGCGGTTGAGAAGCTCCAAGGCGAGCTGCAGGTTATCAAGGATCGGAAAGACGCCACGCAGGAAACAGTACGCCAGATCAGCAACGACCTGGATAACAAGAAGAAGGAGTTCAACAAAGTTCAATCCGAGCGGATACGCGTAAACAACCTACAGACGGAACTCGATGAGAAGCTCCAGGAGGTGCTGAAGAAGCTTGCAGAGGCTGACGACGGTCGACGGCAAAACGACAGGGAGACGCGCACGAGGGAGATGGTGAGAACGCTCAAGAACATGTTCCCAGGGGTCCGGGGGCGCGTCGGCGAACTCTGCAAGCCGAAGCAGAAGAAGTTTGACGAGGCCGTCATCACCGCGCTGGGCCACGACTTCGACTCCGTCATCGTCGACACGGAGAAGATTGGCATTGATTGCGTGCAGTACCTAAAGGACCAGCGTTTCCGTCCCATGACTTTTATCCCTCTAGACAACATCAAGGTCAACGCGGTGAATTCGGCGGTCAAGGGCATCAACGGCGCTCGGCTGACGATCGACACGATCGACTTCGACAGTTCTCTCGAGCGTGCCATGGCCTACGCGTGTGGGAGCTCTGTCGTCTGCGATAACCTCGAGATTGCTAAGAATATCTGCTACGTCAAGAAGATCCAAGTGAAGGCCGTAACCATAGAGGGTTACGTTATTCACAAGGCTGGCCTGATGACTGGCGGTCGGCTGCCGGATCAGAAGGGAGGTAAGCGGCGATTTGAAGAGCACGACGTGCAGAATCTTCAGCGCATGGCAGAAAAGTTTCGTGGCGAGATCGAAAAGCTGCCCAAAGATCGCCGCGGTGCCGCGGAGGAAGCTCTGTCGACCGACCTTGCTGGCCTAGAGCACCGCCTGAGGCTAGGGCGTGCGGAGCTCGAGGCCTTCGAGAAGAACCTGAAGAGCAAGCAGAAAGAGCTCGAGAGCGAAAAGCGGCAATTACGCGAGTGGGAGCCCAAATTCGAGGAGAAGAGTCGCGATCTGGAAAGCACGAGGTCGACCGTTGCCAAGTTTGAGAAAGCCATCGCGCAGGTCGAGGATAAGATCTTCTCCGCGTTCTGCAAGAGACTGGCTTACGAGAACATCCGCGCGTACGAAGCACAGCAGGGCAGTCTCGAGCAGGAAGCCGCTCAGAAGCGCCAGGACTTTGAGCTGCAGAAGCAGCGCCTCCAGGCCTCGCTCTCCCTGGAGACCTCTCAGTACGACGATACCATGAACAGAGTGCATCGCTTAGAGGCGCGCATCAACAGCCTCAAGAAGGATATGGAATCGTACAGTGCAGAGAAGGCCGAGATCGAAGAGTCCATGGGACATGACCAAGACGAGCTAGACGCCCTGCAACAAAGCCTAGAAGAAGTCAAGGTTACCCACAGCCAGAAGTCACAGAAGGTGAACGAGGCAAAACAGGAGCTCCAGAAGAGAAGCAAGGACATCGACGAAAGACTGAAGCGGATAAGCGTGCTCGAGGCCGAGGTACAAAAGAACAGCACAAGCAAGTTTGCACTCCTCCGGAAATGCAAGCTTGAACAGATCCAGGTCCCGCTCCAGGCAGGGTCTATGGATGACATCCCGAACGAGGACGTTCTTCTGCGCCAGGACGAGGATGCGATGGATCTGGATGAGGAAAACGAGGAGGAGATATTGGAAGCCGCAATGGACGACTACGGCATCGAAATCGACTTTGACGGCCTGGACGCTGATCTCAGAAATGTAAGTGCATCCCAAAATTGCGAGTGATTCAGACAGACCAGCGGATTTCTGACCCTTTCTTAGCCCGACGAGACGGATCTGGATGAGAAACTCCAGGAGAAGATCTCAACTCTGACAGCCGAGCTCGAGACTCTCAACCCGAACATGCGAGCGATGGAGCGCCTCGAGTCGGTCAAGTCGAGACTGGAGTCGACAGAGCAGGATTTCGAGGACTCGCGTGCCATAGCCAAGGCCGCCAAGGACTCGTTCGCGCAGATCAAGAACAAGCGCTTCGAGCTGTTCAACAAGGCCTTCACGCACATCCAGGAGCAGATCACGCACGTCTACAAGGACCTGACACGGTCGGACGCGTACCCGCTCGGCGGGCAGGCATACCTCGACATCGAGGAGGACACGGACACGCCGTACCTCTCGGGCATCAAGTACCACGCGATGCCGCCGCTCAAGCGCTTCCGGGACATGGAGCACCTGTCGGGCGGCGAGAAGACGATGGCGGCCCTGGCGCTGCTCTTCGCCATCCACAGCTACTCGCCGAGCCCCTTCTTCGTGCTGGACGAGGTCGACGCCGCGCTCGACAACGCCAACGTCGACAAGATCAAGAAGTACATCCGCGAGCACGCCGGGCCGGGGATGCAGTTCATCGTCATCAGCCTCAAGACGGGCCTGTTCCAGGACAGCGAGAGCCTGGTCGGCGTATACCGGGACCAGGACCTGAACAGCTCGAGGGCACTAACACTGGATGTAAGTTGTCAAACCCCGGTCGATCTATGATTGGAGAGAGACGGATGCTAATTTCTCGAACAGCTTCGGAAGTATGTCTAATTCGCCAGGGGTTCTCGTTGTTGTCGTTGTTGTTGTTGATATTAAAGAGGGGAAGGGAGGGAGGGTTAATAAGGATTGGTCTTGTATGGGAATGACTTTCATGACTAGGGGATTATATGGGCGCTGTGGCACGGGCCGCGCACTCAATCCCGCCATCTAGGCAGCTTTACCTGCTTAGCTTTGCAGTATCGATGAGTAAACGTCTCTTATGATCTTCCCTGCAAAATAGGGCGCCACCTTCTGGCTGCCTTCAAAGCTAGGGGAGCTAGCGTAGTGTAAGTGTCGACCACAATCAGGAAGATATTGGACATGACCAGATGTTATGTATATTGCACTTAATCAGGTCTGTGTGTGGCCTCGAGTCTAGGTTTCTAAAATGAGCGTCTAAGGTTGGCATGTGAACCGCAAGACTCTCCCCCTTTTAATCCGACGTTGTCCGCCGCAGTTCAAGCTTGGACCCCGGTCCCGAGCACCTCGAGGCGCTGGAAGCCGCCCTTGAGAGCGACCTCGTTCTGCAGCTCGACCATCCTCTTCTGGTCGCCGGTCGGGTCGGCCGAGTCCGCGTCTAGGGCCCACTCGAGGAACTCGTTGGTGTAGTTTGGCTCGAAGGCGGCGTCCAGAACGCCGAGGCGCTTGCCGTACCGGGTGACCTTCTCCCAGTCGCGGGCGACGTTCTTCAGGTCCTTGGAGAAGTAGGCGTAGCTGCGCTCGAAGATCTTGCGGTTGAGCGGCGTGCCCATGGCGGGCTTGAAGTCGACGTACTCGGCCCAGGCGGACTCGGGCTGCGCGATGACAAAGTCGGTGGCGCGCTTGACGGCGCGCATGAAGGCGCGCACGCGGTCCGGGTTCTCGGCGACGAAGGCTTCGTTGCCGATGTACAGGATCGAGCAGAAGCAGCAGCAGCCCAGCTCGGCGAGCTCGTCGATGCGCAGCATCTGCACATCGGTGCGGGGCCGGCCCTGCGAGGCCAGCCACTCCTCCAGCTCGACCATCTGCACGTTCTCCAGGCCGATGCCGGCGTCGATCTCGCCCTTGATGATGGCCTTGGACACGTTCATGCCGCAGCGAACGGCCGTGTAGTCGGTCGGCGACATGCCGTAGTGCGAGGTCAGCTCGTCGATCTGGATCTTGCCGAACTCGCCGACGTAGCCGATCCGCCGGCCCTTCAGGGTGCGGAAGTCGGGGGTGATGCCCGACGACTTGAGGTACACCACGCCCGTGAACGGCTCGTCCAGGAGGCTGCCGATGGACACGACCGGGAAGTTGCGGGCTTTGGCCTGAGTCGGCCGTTAGCAAGTCTGCTTGGTTGATTCATGTCATGAGCAATCTTGCATACCGCGAGGGTGTGGATCATGGCCTTGAACCCAAGATCGACCTTCCCAGTGCCGATGATTTCGGTGACGTCCTGGAGGAGGGATTAGATGCGCCCATTTGGCCGACAAGGAATCATCAGTCTCACACTGGGGTCATTGGGCTCGAGCAAGGCGACTTTGATGCCTTCATCCTTGAAGAAGCCCTTGGCCTGGGCCAGGTAAAGCGGAGCGTGGTATGGCGTAGCGTGCCTAGACTATATTCAGCCCTACGATTCCTGCTGGAGCGTTTTGAAGCCTACCAGTTTGCCAGGAAGGTGATCTTATCAGTCGACATGTTGACAGATCAAGCGGGATGCTGGGAAAGTCAGCAGCAAAAATCAACTGTGCCTTATATGGCACTGTTGGGGAGAGGGGAGCTAAGAAGCATGTCCTTTCGCTGGTATTATCCAGATCAAGTTCGCCGGTATTTCTCAGATCAATTGCTTGCTGTGGCTGCTCGATCCGGGCCTGCTTCGTCTGAGACGGAGGGCACACGCCGGAAAGAAGCAAGCACAGCAATGCAATCGAACACCCGGATGCCTTCTTTAAACAACTTTACCTTGACCTGCAGATATCTTCCCCGCGTCAGGCGCCATGGCTCTTTGCATGGGCATCGTACCAAGCTTTGGGTTGTTGGTGGTGAGCAGTTTCGAGCAAAGTTTGAGGGGAAACGAGAAGTTCGTCCCACAGAGGGGGACTAACTAAGCTTATATATATAGGCAAAACTGCTCAGTGTAAGTGCCGGACCGGTGGCCGTCCCCCACTCGACATGCACTCACTCTGTAGTGACCTGCGATATCGCACCTTAGCTTCTAGCCCATAGAGGAATTAGGGTTTCGAGTTGAGACGGTTGGCCGACAGAAAGGTTGCTCATTGAGGAGGGAGAATTATTGAGGAGGAAGAATCATTGAGCTGAAGCTTGACTGCGTACAGGTAGACTTCCTGTAACCTCTTACACCTGCCTCATAGTCCACTTTCTGCACCAAATTGAAGCCATTGTACAGTACATACCATTGTAGATTTAGAATGACGACATGTCAAATCGAGGGGAATTTATCAGGAGATTGGGCATACAGAGCGGCGGGGCTTAGCCATACAGCTGCCGCCAGCTGGCACAAGTCCTCCAGTCCCACCCAACGACGTCTCCATCGCATGATTGTGAATTGATGTTGCCTGAACAGCATCAATTGAGAAATTGTTTCGCAATAGCTCTCGTTGAACATGCTCTCCCCGACCCATCTATCTAGACTCTTTGCCATCTGCACCGCCCTCCTCCTCCTCGCCGCCTTCCCAACGACCGTAAGCGGAGCAACCGGTACCTTGACCCCGCGCCACGAGGCCTCCCGCAGCCAACCTCACCACGGCGACAGTCGAAACGGCGGGCACGTCTTCCCCTTTTTGCGATGGCTCCGTGACAGCGCGGTCGAGGCCGTATTCGGGCGGCCGGAGAGTAGAGGCGGGAGCAGAGGCGGGGCCGGTAGGGGGAAGGACGGCTCGGCCAAGCGGTACGGGGGAGCTACCCAGTCGCGGTACCTCGACGACGTCGTCGTCCGGTTCAACGTCACCAGCTCGGAGGAGGAGGGCGCCCTGTCGGAGGCGGCAGACAGGCTGTTCCTGGACGTGTGGGCCTTCACGGACGAGTACGTCGATGTCAGGCTGCCCAGGGATGACCTCGCGTCCCTCATGACCCTGCTGCCGACGTCGATGCAGCCGTCGGTGCTCATACCGGACGTCGCGGCTGCGGTGTGGGCCACGTACCCGTCGGGTCCGTCCGAGAAGAAGATCTTGGGGCCGGACTGGGTCGACCCGGCGATGGTGAAGACGTCGACAGATGGCGTAGACCATGTCTTTTTTCAAAACTACCAGCCACTTTCGGTCAGTCACCAGAGATGATAGGGGTTACACAGAAACGTCGTATCGAAGCTAACCGTTCTTAGGTTATAACAAGTTGGCTGCGGCTTCTCGAGGCCATGTTTCCGTCATACGTGCACATGACCACCATCGGGAAGTCGTACGAAGGGAGGGATATTATGGGCGTACGATTGGGGGCGCGCAGCGAAGGCAATACTAAGCCTGGCAGCAGGAGGAAGACCATCCTCATTACGGGAGGCATCCATGCTCGCGAATGGATATCTACCAGCACCGTCAACTATCTCCTGTGGTCGCTCACGACAGCTTACGGAAAGGAACCGTTGATCACCAAACTTCTACAAAACTTCGACTTCATCTTCGTCCCAGTCGTCAACCCAGACGGATACGAGTACACCTGGGAATACGATCGGCTATGGCGGAAGTCGAGGCAGCAGACCAGCATGCGGTTCTGCCGCGGCCTTGATCTGGACCGCGCCTTCGGCTATAAGTGGGAGTCGGCCAGACACCAGAGAGACCCGTGCTCCGAGAGCTACGGCGGGGATCAGCCGTTCCAGGCGGTGGAGGCATCCACGCTTGCCGACTGGGCCAGGAACGAAACCGGGCACGGCGTCGAGTTCTTCGGTTACCTCGACCTGCACTCATACTCCCAGCAGATACTGTTCCCTTACTCCTATACTTGTTCCGTCGACCCGCCGAACCGCGAGAACCTCGAGGAGCTGGCCGCAGGGCTGGCAAAGGCTGTGAGGCTGTCTAGCGGGGAGTTCTATGCCATCCGATCGGCATGCGAAGGTGCCATATCGAGGGCTTACAGTGCCAGTGGCTCACTGTCCAGGATCGAAACTGGTGGTGGTTCTGCTATTGACTGGTTCTACCGTATGTCTGCCCCCTGAGTGAAAAGGCACGGTCGTTGAGGCTAACCTTGTGTGCTAGACGAGATGAAGGCGCGTTTCAGCTACCAAGTGAGGCTAAGGGATACTGGAACCTTTGGCTTCCTCCTCCCGTCTGAACATATCGTGCCCACCGGAGAGGAGATGCTAAATGCCGTCAAGTACTTTGGCGATTACCTCCTAGGAAACAATGGTATTGAGAGTCTCTCGGTTGAGAAACAATCAGAGGCAGGGGATTCGGGCGAATTGGTGGACTTGAAGAGGCGAAAACGGAGGTAGACCCTATGGATGTCAAAATGAGAGGGCCAGGGCTAGAACGAAGGAGGGGCGGTTCATTGCTTCCTTGTCTTATACATGCTCGGAAGTCATATCATTGGGCCGACTGGATCTGGATGGGCGAAAGGCGTTAAAGGGGCTGGCTGGATATTAATAAGTCTCCAGCCCGATCATCCGGGACATGAAAGGGAAGGAACGGCGTTTAGGAGGATGAATGGAATTTGATTCGGTTACGATGGTCGCCATGTATGTACTATGCGTACATAATTGGATGATGAGATCCATTGCTGCTAGTCAGCCGCAGTCATGGACGTCAGAGCTGGAATCACGTAGGTATACCAACCCACAGTTATTTAACTGGAGGACATTACTCCTAAATGCAAGACATCACTCTTATGCGTATACTCCAGCCCGGCGGCGGTGGGGAATGGCAGAAGGACGGAAATAAAGAGCGTTATCAATAGACTCGAAGCTAAGGTAAGGCACCTGTAGGTACCTTAGGTATGTAGGTACCTATGTATGTAATGTACGTACAATACATGGTACATTTACATATATATGATCGTTGAAAAGCCGTGGAAGCATGTTTCCTCCAGTTATTCACTTCTACCCCTATCAACCGCAACATGTTTTCAACGTTGTATCCATGTCTACCTAAGGCCTAGGGGGAGGGCCCTCCTACCAGCAGATCAGCCACTTCACCTCAGCTTTGAAGGGCTGGGGGGAGCTGAAAGTGGAAGAAGCGGCCCCGTAACTAAAGGTGGGGCCAGCGAATCAAGCTAGGAAGGTCGCGCGGCTTCGGACCAGGGTTCCACCTGTTCCACCTCCTTGCTTCTTACCTAGCCTTCGTTCCCTGCTCCCAAGGGACGGGTTGATTGGGACAGACGGCCATGCAAAGAGGCTCTCCTGCAGACAACATTTCCAACCTCGTCTCTCGCCCTTTGATCCCCATCTTCATCCAATCCACCACTTTCATTTTCTTGCTTTGCATCGCCGTACTGTATCCCGAGCTCTTCCGACGAATTGATGTGCCCATGGCCTCGTGTGAATAACTGCGAAAAAGGGGGGAGCTGACCTTTGGCCGCATCCGATCCGGATTATCATGAATGACTGCAAACATTCGCAATCATGCCCTTCTTACGCCGTCGTGGCAACATGGTTAGCGAGTCTGACATGCGACGACACACCGCTATCAACCACGACTCGCTCACGAACCAGCTACCTTCCCGACCCGACTCGACATCCGATCTGCCCGCCCTGAGCTCCGTGTCCGAGTCTGGCCCCGCGCTCCCTGTTCCCACACCTCCGGCGACGCCTCCCAACGATGCAAGGTCTTCTACCTCGAGTCAGGTTACCACGCCCACCGCTGGGCCTGTGCCTGTGGTTAGGCCAGCATCCCCTCCCGTTCAGGAAGAATCGTCGAAACACCTTCGCTTCTCAATGCTGCGATTCCGCAATGCTTCAGACTCCCAGCTTGCAGCCAAGGCCAAGCAATACGCTGCTGCGGAGAAGCCACCGCCCCTCCCCCGACGTATGTCGCAACTACTCTCTGGTCTATCTTTGCAAATAATCGGTGCATGGTGCTTACTCGCGCATTTAAACAGCTCCCGAGATCATCACCACTGCCCCCACGTTCAACCTCAACGTACCCCAGAAAAAACAGTCTCGCATGAGACTATCCAGCCGGTTTCGACGGTCTGGCGAAGAGCCGAGCATCGCAGAACAGCCCGAGGCTTCAAACAGACCCGGACTGGGCAAAAAAGATAGGCGGAGTTCAATGGCTCTTCCCTCAACGGCAAGGAAGCAAAGCGTCACATTCAACGAACCAAAACGACCTCCGTCGTCTAGTTCTCCTCCAGCCTACGGGGAGGATAATGGCTCTGTATTGGCATTGCCTGTTAATAATCGACTGTCCGAGTCTTCCAGGTCCGACGGTAGCTCCAGTGATCAGCGAGTCTACGCAAGCACTACCACTACCACTCATACTGTCCACACAACCACGACATTCTTTAGGCTTCCACGCAGGAAGAACAAGCGACCTGAGCCCCTATTTCCCATCTCTCACCTTCCTCAGAAGCCTAAGACATCCCTCACAGCCGATCCTTCAGCCTCGAGCTCGTCTCTCACCGCATCCACAACAACCGAATCTTCCCCAGGCAATGGCGATGGCTCGCCTTCTAAATCCGGATCCCAGCAGACGCCTACCCCTTCTCGCCCCTCTTCCGGCAATGGAGCGAACAACCTCCCAGCCAATTCTCCTGTACAGGTGACTTTCACAAAGGCCAGCGTATCTCCCATGACTGCACTGTTGAGGCCCAGTTCGAGGAACTCGGGGCACTCATCGCCGACGAGAACGCATCTACGTCTTAGAGGGAGGTCGTCGACCATGAGCTCTCTTGGCATGAATTCTCCTAGGGAGTCGGTAGACGAGCATCTTGCACCCCCCGTGTCAAGAACGTCCTCTTCGATCGGAAGGAAGAGCTTCGGTGACCTGTTGAGCCTCAGCAGGTTGAGGCAGAATTCGGAGCCGTCTGGCCGAGGGGGTTCGCTGACTCCAGCAACACCGGGCTCCAGCACGAGCAAGAACAACTCTCTCCAGATTGCCCGTGAACCGGTCATACTTCCCGAGCGGAGGGAAGACGATACCCCCGCCAAATACCTTGCTCGTCTAGAGGATGTTGTCAGCCGGAGCGTGATAGCAGCAGCTGTCTCGAAGGGTTCAGACACCTTCTCTCAAGCTGTGCTACGCAGCTATATGCGAAGGTTTGGCTTCTTCGGGGAGCCCATGGATATAGCCATCCGGAAGCTGCTCATGGAAGCCGAGCTCCCCAAGGAGACGCAGCATATTGATCGATTTTTACAGTCGTTTGCGGATCGGTACCACGAATGCAACCCTGGCATCTACTCGTCGCCCGATCAGGCGTATTTTATTGCCTTTTCATTGCTGATTCTGCACACCGACGTGTTCAACAAGAACAATAAACGCAAGATGCAGAAAGCGGACTACCTGAAGAACACCCAGGATGAGGGAATCTTTAACGAGATACTCGAAGTTTTCTACGACAACATCACCTACACGCCGTTCATCCACGTCGAGGACGACTTCGATATAAACGGCGAGCGCATAGTTGCCCACAAGTCCAAGAGAAAGTCCATTTTCCCAACCGCCGTGCCAGACCCGGTGAAGAAGGCCGCGAAGGAGCCAATCGACCCGTACACGCTCATCATTGATGGCAGTCTGGACATACTGCGGCCCAATCTCAAGGAGGTGATGCACTTGGAGGACCCTTACAGTTACCTGGGGACTGCGGGGAGCCTCAATATGAAGGAGCTACAGAAAACCTTCTTCAAGACTGGGATCCTGCAAATCGTGTCAGCCAGGTCCCGTCCGGACGCATTCATGTCTGAAAAGACGGCGACAAACCCAGCCGAGGCGCACCCGGGAATTGTGGACATCAAAATCACCAAGGTGGGCGTCTTGTGGCGGAAGGATGTCAAGAAAAAGAAGACTCGGTCGCCGTGGCAGGAATGGGGCGCGATCCTCACCGGTGCTCAGCTCTACTTCTTCCGCAACACGACCTGGATAAAGAGCCTAGTCCATCAGCACGAGACTCACATCAAGCAAGGCCATGACGGTATTCCCATCATCTTCAAGCCTCCCCTCGAGCAATTCAAGCCCGATGCTTTGATGTCCACAGACGGAGCAGTGGCGTTGTTGGACTCGACCTACAAGAAGCACAAGCATGCGTTTACGTATGTAAGGCACGGAGGTATTGAGGAAGTCCTTCTCGCAGATAACGAGGAGGAGATGAACGATTGGCTCGCCAAGCTCAACTACGCGGCTGCATTCAGGACGTCGGGAGTGAGGATGAGAGGAGTAATAGGCGGCGGCTACGACGGTCAAGGTCGACGCGCCCTCAGGAGATTGGACACGGAGATCGAAGGCATCCAGACCCCTACCGGAGAGGTAAGCGTGGCACGGAGCAAGATAGACTACAACTTGGCTCAGGACATCCTCTCTGCGCGGAGAGAAATCATGAGACAGAAGATTTGTGATGCCGACGAAAAGCTGGAGGATTCGGAGAATCATCTTGAGCTACAGTTGCGGAATTCCCGGCATTTGCAGATCCTGGCCCCTATCCACCCCAAGACCAGGGAGGGTATGCTACTCTCTGCAGCTCGGATGGCGGCCCAGCTGAAGTGGACTCGGATGGAAATCTGGAGGTTGAAGTGCCACCGAGACATACTTGTTATGGACCTCGAGGAAGAGCGGCAGTCGTTGGGCTTGCCGAAGGAGGACAATGCCCAGGAGGCTGGGCCCTCCCTGGAGAAATCAGCCATTGCACGAGATGAACCGAGAGCAAGCGACAACGCTGCTCTCCAGAGAAGCCCGCGGCGGTCGTCCATCCGTCTCTCCTTCACACGGGACGCGAGTCTAGCTGATATGTCAGATACGGAGTCACCCATGACGGATGTATTCCAGACGCCGCCGACAAGTGCTACCGCGCCGATTTTCCGAGAGCATCAGAACTTGTGGGAGACAGCAGGTCTCAGTGTTGACAAGGTAGACGCTCGAAAAGCATCTGCCTCCAGCGCTATGGCTTCGAGCCATTCCACCACGGCAACACCTCCGAGAAAGATCGCAACTTCGAGCTCCAACCCCGAGAGACCTCGTACCATGGAACAGTCTGAAGAGGTCGACGCAAATGAGCGAGACTTGCTTGAGCAGGCCGGACTTCTTGACGCAGACATGACCCCTCGGCCGACGCGTGCCAAGTCCTCTGCTGGTGACGCCGAGGATGGACAGGACCGCAGAGAACGCCAGAACAATGCCAGCCATTCCGACCGGCTAGACCGTAGCAAGATTCGCCGCAGCTTACAGCGTACCCTTAGGGAGGGTGCCGGCCACTTATCCCACCATCGCAGCCGCAAAGGCCGGGATTCGGTGTCCAGCGGCGCAACCGATGAGACGGTTCGCGACTCTGCCGACGTCCTCACACGTGGATCAGGCTCCTTCGTCGTACACGGCAAGAAAGCATCCGTCATTAACTTTGGCGCTGAGCTTCAAAGTATGTCTCCCGAGGAGCGGATTCGCCAGAGGAACAGGTCCTTGCAGGCCACGCAGTTGCGGGACGACGCCGCCAGTTCCACTGAAAGTGGTCCTGCGAGTGACGGTGGAAGCGATTTCCACTCCATCCTCACAGCGCAGGTCCATTCCGACAGGGAGCGTGACCGTCGCGAATCAGGTGCCAGTGCAAGCACAACAACCGCACGGAGCTTCCGGGAACTCCACAGGAAGTACTCGTCTGCCAAGGCGGCTCCTAGCGGGACCCTGGCTGTCCCATCAGACACAGACAGCGAAGTGGCCGTGAGCTTCTCGGAGGGCATACGTACACCCCTACCTCCTATCCAGGGAGAGTCTGAGTCCGTGACCGGCGATGACGATCGGGACAGCGATGACAGCGGGGAGGATGATGTCGAAGACGACGACGATGACGACTACGATACCTCTAGTGCGGACCAATTGCGCAGCCCGCATGAGACACAGTTCTTCACGCCGGAACCGCCTGCTTCGCCTGCAGCGGGAAGCTCGGCGGACCGGGAAGAAGCGGAAGGGCACCCCCAAGTCAAAGGTGGAGAGCGACTACCGAGTCCACCTCTCCAGGCCGTAAGTGCTTAGAGGGCAGGGACCCGCTCGAGCTCGACATGACTTCGATGCCGGGGCCGTGTATACATCACGCGTGTCTCGACCTGGGGTGGCAGGGGCAACGCAGGGGTTCGCTTTCTGACGTGCCAGTGTATTATGTACAGATAGGATTGGGCCTCACTCTGTCGTATCCTTCGTGGATAGCACAGGATCGGGGTTGAAATGGATTTTGTGCGATGCGGTGGGACAATGGGAATAAGGGTCTAAGGAGGACTCTAGAGATAGAACTGAGGGGTCTGTCTCTGGAAGCAGATTTGGGGAGGTGGGTTTGTGAGTGAGGAGCAAAACATTACACTCAGACTCAAGTCCCCCCTTACATGGATGGAGCCCACCTTGCAAGGCCAGAATCTCTTAAAAGTGTGGCAAAAGGAACTCGGACGGGTGGCGCAGTAGCCTGCCTGGCTGGACGGAATCGGGACGAAGGGTTGTTGTAACAATGGATAACCCTAGATTAAACCTACCTCTGGCAAGGAGGGTGAAGATGGAAGGAGCCATGCTTCATTTTTGAAAACACAAAAGATTTTGCTCTGCAGTTGTATTTGATTGATTGTATTGCCACGAATGCTCCCCTGGCTGATCCATACATAATCTTGACCCAACATGTTAAGCCCGCCTCCCAAATCCACCTTCCCCAAGGATGACATGGACAAAAAGGGGAGAGACGGTGAGACGGGATATAGGGGGGGGGGCACAGGAACCCATCTATTTCTTCCCCTTCTTCTTCTTCCCCTTCCCTGCCGCCCCCCCACTGGCGGCAGCACCACCACCTCCACCGGCGGCCCCTCCCGCCCCGCCAGCGGCGCCGGCCCTCTCGACCCTGACGGCGCCGGCCCCGCCCACCAGCTCCAGGGTCTCCTGGCCGGCGACGCCGACGCCGCCGCCCTGCGTCGCCTCGGCGGCGCGCTTGCGGCCCTTGCGGCCCTTGGGCCGGTACGTGCTCCGGTCGCGCAGCGGCAGCCACCGCTCCGGGTCGGGCTTGCGCGACGGGTCGTAGTCCTTGGGCAGCCGGGGGCGGCGGGCCTTCTTCTGCCTCTTTGCTGCTGGGGCCCCTGCCGCTGCTGCTGCTGCATCGCCCTCGCCCTCGCCCTCGTCGGAGGTGCGGGCGCGCTTCGCGGAGGTCGCGGCTGCTGCGACGGGGAGGGTGGCGACGCCGCGGCCGAGGAGGGTGGCGACGTCGACGCCGGCGGCGAGCTCATCGACGCGGGTCAGCGAGGACAGGTGGGGCTCGGCGCGGGCGAAGTCGCGGGTCGCGAAGGAGGCGACCAGGCCCGCGGTGGCGGCGCGGGAGGCGCCGGCGCCGGCGAGGAGGCGGTCGAAGGCGGCGCCGGCGACGGCGAGGTCGGACGGGTTGGGGGAGCCGAGGAGCTCGATGCCGGCCTCGCGCAGGAGCGACGTCGCCGAGGAGCCGGGCGTCGAGGAGGAGGAGGAGGAGGAGTCCTGCCGCTCCTCCCAGTGCGCAGCGGCCTTGGCGAGCTCCGTGCGGATCGCGGCGGGGCGGCCCTGCAGGCGGTACAGGGAGACGGCGAGGGCGACGAGGCCCGGCGCGTAGCGGACGTCGGCGTGGTCGGGCGTCGTGGCGGTTTCGAGGCGCTTGAAGAAGGCCTCGAGGAGGGAGAGCGCCGCGCCGGGGTTCTTCGTCTGGACGTAGAGCTGGATTATGGTCAGGAGCAGACCAACATCGTCTGGTCTCGAGTCGAGAAGCGGGAGGATACGGCGGAGGGCGTCCTTCCCGGTCTGCAGCTCAGCGTGTGCGCCAGCATGGAGGACGCCGAGGCCGGCCTTGTCGGCCGAGATTGCCGAAGTGCTTTCGTTAGCCATTATGTTGGCCGTGGTCCGCTTAACACCCGAGAATTTCTGGGCTTGCAGCTCGATGATATACTTGTTTCGCCTCAGCACAGATGCCTGATATCCAAACAGCCGGTCGTCGTCGGTTACTGTGGGTGCCAGCTGTGCGAGTCGCTGGACCATGAAAGGATTGCTCTCAGCTTTCAGAACAAGAGAGTTGTTATGCGCCAGAGCCCTGGTCGAGGCATCCGGCACCCTAAGAGATAAGGTGTAAGTAAGTGGGCATGAGAAAGAGGGGGAAAGCCCTCCCAGGTGGCGTGTGGGCTTACTCCGACAACGAAATCGACTTCTGCAGACTAGCCGCCTCGTCCAACCTGCCCAACTTGGCAGAGACGTAGGCCTGCTGCACAATGATGGGGACAAGCTCTATTCGCTTCTCTTCGTCGGCCAGGTCCTCGGACGCCTCGCAGAGACCCTTGGATCTCTTCAACAAAACAGCCGCCTTGGCAAAATCTCCCCTCGCGATGCACCCGCAGGCGGCGTTGTAGGCCGTCTCGAACGCCTCCAGCTCGTCCCGTCCGGGTTGTCGCTGGTTCTCGGGTACGAGATGGCCGTTGCCCTGCCACTCGAGCTGGGCATTTGTCGCCTGGGTGTTGATACGAAGGTCGTTCTCCTCACCGTACCGGGCCCCGTCTGAGGCTGCGGCCAGCTCTCGATATATGGTGGCGGCATGGGCGAAGTTATCCGCACGGTAAGCCACCTGGGCGGCGACGTGTTGGAGAGCTCTCGAGGAACGGGGTGCTGACCCGAGAAGGGCCTCGGCGTCGTCCAATTGCCCCGTCTTGTACAGCGCATAGGTCTTCTCTAGCAGGCATTGCTCCTCGAGCTTGGTGCCGGCGGCGGCGAGGGCGCGCAGCGAGTCTTCGAAACGGTCGAGCTTGAGGAGGCTGACGACTTTGGTGTGGTGGGCGAGGAGCTGCTCGGCGGAGCCGGCCTTGGAAGCCTTGATGGCCGAGTTTGCGAGCCGGAGGGCCTCCTCGTGATCCTCGATGCTCGCCGTGCGGAGCAGGGAGTTGAGGGCCGCGACGGCGGGGTCGGCCATGAGGTCGGCTTAGTGGGTGGTAGGTTAGGGCGGGGCGTGGGCAGGCGGAGCTTAAGTCTGGCTGCGCATTGCACTCGGGCGGTCGTGTGGTCGAACAAGACAGTACTGATTAATAGTCGGCCGGTCACAGTAGACCTGAATACTATGTAGTATCGACCTGTCGTTGAATGGAGGCTGCTGATGAGACGGGGGTCACGAGGGGCTCCCGATTCTTTGGTGGGGCAAAATAGGTAGGCAATTTTCCACTTGAGAGCGGAAATGAATTGTGTGGGGTTGCTCGCCAGCCTCCAGGATTCCCCCACTGCGATCCATGCCAAGGACCAAGCGCCACCACCCCTACCCAAGCAGAGGACCTACACTCAGTATGTATGTACATACGACTACACCACGATTCTTAGTGTTTTCATATGGCACGCTTGCCGACCGCATTGGGCGCAAGACGATCCTGCCTTTTGCAATTGTGGGATAACTAGTGAGCGACGTCTGGATCCTCATCCGTGATCTCCATCATCGCGAGCTTGGATGGAAGTGAGAGCGCAAGGTTTCTAACTACCTGTCATTTGTCAAGACTGGTTCTCCAACTTCGTTTCGCTATCTTGAGAGTTTCTCATTCCTCATGTCAAATCGCGCAACCCAGACGTCCATAGTCCTCACAGCCTCGACTCCCCCGTCGAGCAGGTCCGCACTCGCAGCGACGGCATTAACCATACCATACAGCATTGTCTTCACCCGTTCTACCTGCGCGGCTTCGAGGTTCGCCTTAAACTTGGACTTGACCACCATGCTGACTTCCCTGAGCCCATCGCGCTGTCTGGGTCCCGGTGTGACGATCTCCTGTATCTTCACCCGCCCAACCCGCGCCCTCGGCGGCACGAATGATCTGGGGAGGGGTCTGCGCAGACCTGATGTTGCGCATCGAAGCCTCGCTCTGGAGGCTTTCGAGCGTATTGTTGACAAGAGCCGAGAGTACATGGGGGACGGCGGCGCGGAGCGACGTCGAGAGGCTGTACTCGGCTATGAGGCCGGTGCACACGCGGGAGCGGGCAAGCTTAAGCAAGCGAGTGACGTAGTTTGGCCTGTTGAAGTACCCGCTGCAGTGGTAGAAGACGATGAAGTCGAAACCCTGAATTGCTACCTCTATCGCGGAAGACAGGAAGTCGAGCGGGCCTGCGCGGACAAATCCGATTCGATCGCCGAGTGGCGAGGCAACCGAGAAGGCTTGCGCTTCCTCGATAAGGGGCGTTCCTATAGTGCTACTATCAGTGACTAGCCACGGCAGTATCAAGTGTTTCAGGGGCCTTGGAGGAGAGAGTAGGCGGTTTCGTGCCACCATACCATAATCCGGGGGCGCATTGTCAACTGCAACAACATAGCCTGTTGGTCCTACAGCATCAGCCAACGCGACGGTGAAGTCAACCTGTCCAGGACCGATCTCGAGGACCTTGGATCCAGGAGGAATCCCCCCAGATTCTGATGAGCCGCTGGCGATGCTCCATGGCAGCAACGTTATGATCTGGCTTGCGCTGAGGAAATCCGCCATGGCCTGTCTTGCTCGTCTTGCTCGTCGTCTAGTCTACCGTGTTACACTTGGGTAGCGTTGACCGATATGAGAGAAGGGGGGCGTATGTATTCCACCAGGCAGAGTGCCTTGGCGGAGACGACTTGGGGTGTTAGACGATGCACGCATCTCCGTCAACCTACTTATCCTCATTGCTCCAGGATCAGTCGTCGATCTCATTGGCCCGCCTTCGATAAGGGGTTCTAGGCGCCTCCCTGCCGCACATTGATCGGCCCGCAAGGTGATCGGTACTCGATGTGCGTATACGAGAGAGCTTAAAGATCGGAAAGTTTAGGCTGCCGAAGCGCTTTGCTTGGCAACATTTTCTTCATCACAGGTGTCGGTTTTCTAGTCGGGTATCTCCAGCGGGAATCCGACACTGCCGAGCTATGTCGGCATCGAGACCGTCAGAGAACTGGAAGGGTTGCTCCCACTGCCAGCGAACTGGACCCAGAGCTGATTGCAAAAGAGTACGGGAGGAAAGGATATTTGCCAAGGTCTCTTGTCCGGTGTGGCGACCAGTGGTCAAGCAACGTATCCCTCAGACCTGCGATATAATGCCCTTCTTCGACCCGTTCCGTCGGAGCATGAAATACTTCTCTATTACTCTCAGAATTAGGTGTCTCCATCCGCACAGCTTGCGCGCGTACCTAGTATACGTAACTTTGAGAGCTCCTACGTAAGTACCTTAGTGAACGTTATTTTAAAGGTTACCTTTTGGTGCGAATGTGGTGGCACGCGGGGTAAAGGGATCCTTAAAAGAGTAGAACTTCCATCCTCTGCCTCCTTGTCACCTACCTATATAGCATAGGATTCAACAATCTTGACGCCAGTGGGAGAAGATAAGTCACGTCCGTTTAGTACATTCAAGGCGGGTACCTGTGTCAATTCCCTGCTATTGTCGACCGCTCAGGGGTCCAGGTAATATGACAGCATCTGGATTGCTTCTGGGTAGCTGCCCTTTAGACGCGGATAACCAATTCGGTCCCCGGATCAACGTGGCTTGTCGCCCTTTCGACTTCACCCTGCTATTCGAAGATGCCTGTTTCATTGGTCTTCCAGCCGTTCTGTTCCTTCTTTTCCTGCCATGGCGGCTTCGGATGTTGTGGAAGACTCCAGTCAAGATGAATTCTCATCGGCTGGCAACATGGAAACTGGTAAACTTTACATCCTCTTGGGAGTGCGGTTGGCGTGCACTGACTATCCATACCCAGGCTTTACTTTCCGCCCTTCTAGTTTTTCATCTTCTCTTCCTTGTCCTCAGTCTACGCACACCGAGTCTGCACACAAGGTTCTCTGCCTGCGCTGGAATACTAAGCTCAGCGGCCGTCTTAGCAGCAGGAGTTCTGTCCTTTGTGGAAGACCAGCGCTCAGTCCAGCCCTCGGATCTGTTGGTCGTTTACTTCTCGGCATCCTCCATACTCTCTATACCCCGACTACGCTCGCTCTGGCTCGTTCCCTCTGTTCACACTCCAAAGGCAATATGGACTATAATCTTCATCAGCCAGCAGGAGCCATATTTTTCGAGTCTGTGGGAAAGAGTAAGTCGCTACTGCCACGGTATCAGAATGTCACCAAAGAGCAAACGGCTGGTTTCTGGAGTCGGGGCTTTTTCGTTTGGATGCTTCCGTTCTTTCAGACTGGATACTCCCAGATCATTACGCTCCGAGACATCCCGAAGGTCGACGACCTCCTCTCAGAGGAGGTGGCATGGACAAAACTGGATGCATGCTGGCGACGTAACGCTGGCCGCTACCGGCTATTCCGCGCCACGTTTGCCGCAAATGCATGGCCCTTCTTCTCTGCCGTGCCTCCGCGTCTACTCTATCGGCATTCATCCTTTGCCAGCCCTTTCTCATCGAGTCGGTAGTATCATACCTCTTATCGAGGACGCATAAGAACCAAGAAGAATATGGGCATGCTATCATTGGTGCTTTCGTTCTTCTGTACCTTGGCATTGCCGTGAGTAGTCATATTGCCCATCTTCTGCTCACTCCCCCTGACTGGCCAAAATCTTAGATTTCACGGGCGATATACTGGCGCCAGACCAACCGTATGAATACTAGAATACGATCGGGCCTTATTGCCATGATATATCGACATATCACTGCTCTCCGGGCCATTGATGTGAAGGACTCGGAAGCTATCACTTTGATGGGCACGGATGTGGAGCGCATTGTTCAAGGCTTGAGACTTATTCACGAAGTATGGGCATCAATTCCCGAGGTTGGAATCGCAGTCTGGCTCTTGGGGCGGCAAGTGTCCTATGTTGCCGCGGTGCCATTAATTATCTGCATGGGTTAGTAACAGGAGCAACCCCTCCGTTGCTTCTTCTCCAGCTAACCTATGCCTGAAGCGTCGGTGGCCGCAGCGTCAATCGTTGGGCGACGTTCTGGGCCAGCTCAGAAGGCATGGAACGAGCGGGTCGAGAAGAGAGTTGCCGTCACGGCCAACATGCTTGGTGACATGAAAGCTGCCAAGATGTTAGGTTTGTCTAATGTGTTCAGCACCATCATTGATGACTTGCGAAAGGTCGAAATACGGACATCGGAGAAATTCCGCTACCTTCAACTATGGCAGATTCTAGCTGGAAATGTGCCCATAACCCTCGCCCCCTTTGCGACATTCAGCGCCTATGCTATCATTGCAGTCGTCAGGAAGGACGAGACTCTGTTATCGGCACAGGCGTTTGCGTCTCTTTCTCTCATCAGCCTAGTGACTACACCCCTACTTTTATTCTGTCAAGCCTTGCCTGCTTGTATGCAGGCCGTGGCATGCTTTGGTCGTATCGAATCATATTGCTCAAGGCAGGCCTTGGGGCCATCACTGCCATCATCTTTGCTCCTGGAGGATCCTGCCGATGGCTCCTGGGAAAGCGGCACACCACTAAGCGACCTTCGTTCGCCACCCCTATCTTCCAGGAGACCGGACGCTGTTCTTGCATCTTTCGTCTCTGCGAATATTTCTTGGTTACCAGATGCTACTGAGCCAGTATTACGTGACTTGAATTTGACTATCAGGTCTGGCTTGACAGCTATCACTGGGCCAGTTGGTTCGGGGAAATCGACCTTTTTGGAGACTTTGGTCGGGGAAACGACAGTGATACAGAGGTCTGCTGTGACAAATTTGTCTGGGGCTGCCCTTTGTACTCAAGTCCCATGGATCATGAACGACACCATTCGACGCAACATTACGGGAGACCTGGAGGTTGACCAGAAATGGTATGACTTTACTATCATATCCTGTGGGCTCCAGCGTGATCTCGATAACTTGGTTGGTGGTGACCAGACCATTGCTGGAAGCAACGGCTCGTCTCTAAGCGGAGGACAGCGGCAACGAGTGGTTTGTGCAACCAAACATATTTCCGACTCAAAGTCCCATATATACACTGAGACTAACCTCCCCGCACAGTCTCTTGCCAGGGCTGTCTACTCTCGGCTCCCTGTTATTATTATGGATGACGTGACTAGCGGTCTGGATCCCACGACAGCCAGCATCATAGCTACTCGTCTCTTCAGCAAGCAAGGCCATTTCCGGAAAGCTGGTATATCTGTTGTACTTGCTACGCACAGCAGTGAGGACCCCCTCTCTGCCAGACACCGCATCAGAACGCATGTCTGCAACTAACAAACATCTAGGACACCTTCTCGCTCACATGGATGAAATCATTGTCCTCAAGAACGGCAAGGTTGTCGATAGTGGCCCCTACAACGAGATTCGGTCGCGAGGCGTCGAGCTCGCTGAATCCGAGGAGCTTACTGTCGAACCCGAGCAGGAGTGTCTACAGTACTCTGCAGATGGGCAAGGTGGTATCGACAAGCCATCAACCTCCCAGATTGCTGCCCCAACTGAAAACTGCGAGACGGTGCATTCGGCCGGAGTCGATCTTCGGCGGCGCCAGGGAAGCTGGTCTGTTTATGCGTACTACTGCCGAAGTGCCGGGGCTCTCTGCGTGATCTCATGGGCGACTTTCACGCTCATCGGGGCCGTCGCTTCAAATTTCATGAGTAAGTTTACACACGACATGAAAAGCCTTGTTCAAAGTACTAACCCCCTTACCAGCGATATGGATCGAAAGGTGGACGGAGGCGAATAGCGATGAACCCAACCGGCAACTGAGTTTGTATCTCGGCGTATACACCGTCTTGGTTGTATTTTCTACTCTTGCCACGATAGGCGAATGCTCGTTCGTTAGCACTCTGTCCTCGGGATATGCTCTAAGCTGACGATGAATTTCCAGGATATCCATGGTCGGAGTCATCAGCAACACTGCCCTAAAGCTACACTCCGACCTCCTAGAGTCTACTCTTAAGTAGGTCGGGAGTATGTCCCTCTCGAAGTGACCATATTAATGACTCTCTCCTCTTAAGGGCGCGGTTTACTTTATTTCAAAGCACCGATACTGGTGCTATTACGAATAGGTAACTTCGGTTTCTATTAGCTCTCGGCGGCCATTTTGTCTCTAACATAGGTACCATGTGTAGATTCAGTCAATACATGGACCTTATCGACATGACTCTCCCCATGCAAGCCATCCAGTTCACCTCGGGTAACTCCTCCCTTGACTGCGACAGGCACACGTCGAAACTCACCGCTCATTATATCTTCGACCCGCAGGCACCACATACTGCCTTGTCCAGTTGATCATCCTCTGTGTTCTCGGAAAATATCTAGCGGCGGTCGTCCCCATCCTGGCCGCAGTTCTAGTCGTCATCCAACGGTACTATCTCCGCTCCTCGCGCCAAGTCCGGCTCATCGACATCGAGGCGAAAGCCCCGCTGTACAAACACTTCATCGAGACCATCCGCGGAGTCCCAACCATTCGCTCGTTCCACTGGCGAGCCGCATTCCACCAAAGGCACAGGGCGATGCTGGATGACTCCCAGAGGCCGTTCTACATGCTCCTGTGCATCCAGCAGTGGCTCGCGCTGGTGCTGGACTTGATCGTGGGAGCCATGGCGGTCATCCTCGTTGCGATTGCAATCTCCCTGACTGGCAGCATCAGTGCCGGGGCCCTTGGCGTTTCGCTCGTGCTGATATTGCAGTTCAGCGAGCTTCTCACACAGGCTATTCAGGCTTGGACTAAGCTGGAAACGTCGATCGGGGCAGTAGCGCGGGTCCAGGACTTTGTAAAGGAGACTCCCTCTGAACCTGCTGGGACCGCAGTCCCGCCTGCCGACTGGCTGGTGCGAGGAGCGATTGGCTTGGAACATGTTTCTGCTAGCTACATGTACGGGCTATCTTCTGTTCCTTACTATCTGATGTCATGAGAGCTAACACGTCTGTCTAGGTCCGACGACACCCCGGTTCTGTCAGACGTGAGCCTGAGTCTCCCTCCTGGGGAAAAACTCGCCGTTTGTGGATCTTCAGGCAGTGGGAAGACGTCTCTTATCATGACTCTACTACGTATGATAGACATGAGGGCGGGTTTGATAATGATTGACGGTGTAGACATCTCCACATTGGATGGAATCGAAGTTCGCTCGAGAATCAACGTCATCCCTCAAGATCCGTTCTTTATGCCCGGCACCGTTAGATTTAACCTCGATCCCCAAGGGCGGACATCGGATGACTCTATCGAGGCAGCTATACTCAGAGTTGGACTGTGGGCAAGAGTCAGTGCAAATGGAGGACTCGATATGGAACTGATCTCATCGGAGTGGTCTCAGGGAGAAGCAGCTTCTGTCTTTGGCCCGGGCACTGCTAGTACCTAGCAAGATTCTTATTCTGGACGAAGCTACGAGCAGGTATAAAGCTCCCCTTTGAGAGCCCGCCCGCGCGCCTTATCTTGGCCAGACGAGCATAACCAGCTGACTTGTTTATGCAGTGTTGACGAGAAGACCGAGGCAATCATGCAGGAGGTGATAGACACTGAGTTCCGGGGGCAAACGATCATCTCGGTCCTTCACCGGTTTACACACATTCACAAGTTCGACCGGGTGGCCGTCCTGAATCGCGGCAGTCTTGTCGAATGCGACACGCCGCAGGCCTTACTTGGACAAGAGTCGGCTTTCCGTGAGCTATACCGTGCGTATATCTAAAGACAATGAGAGGAATGGCGAGAGTTTGGCACGTAGAAGACATACAGTGTCCTAGAAATAGATTCAGATAAGGGCTACCTGTATTTGAGTGCGTTTCCTCAGCCAAGTTCTTGTTACCCCATGCCATTGTATATAGCTCCGTGACTCATTGCCAATCCACGCGCGATTGCTCATCTGCTCATTCTATCTTGTAATTCTTCGTGCATGACTTCTGTCTTTAAACAAAACAACAACATGTCCATTCAGTGCCAGTGGTACAACCCCGTCTGTTAGTTACTAGCTGGCCCTACACCTAGCCCCCTTGTCTTCCTTCACTCTCTGACGTGCTCACGATCTGCTTCTAAACAAGCCGAAGAACCCCCTCTTTTTTGCGGGAGACTCGTAAGGTTTCAAGGGGTAGACAGGCCGGATATTATACTCCTCTGGGCTCGAGTCATAGGAATATCGAGACCTCCATTTCCTCTCGGGGATTTCACCCAGCTTCGTGCTGAAGGTAGAAGTAGACACGAGAGATATCCTCTTCGGGGTGGGTGTCCGTGACCCACTCTCGGTCCGGCGGCCATGGGGTTTCACGCTCGTCGGTCTCGGCGAGGTTGGGGAGGTTCTCCTCTCCCCTTTTGGTTTTTCGCTGCCGCTGCGGCTCTTTCTCCGGCGATCCTTGAGCGGCTGTTGGCCGGACGACGAGATCTTTGATGACGAAGCTGAATTGGACAACACCCTACGTCGCTTGTGCTTGGAGCTGGTAGAGGATGACGCCGACGAACACCGGGAAGAGGAAGAAGATCCCAAGCGGCGCGATAGCTGGTCACAAGCCTGCGTCGCCTGGATTCTCGAGGCGTTGGATAGCAGCGTGAGCGTCTCATAGTCTAGCACAGGCTTCTGATGCTTGCTCGACGGTTGCAATATGTTCGCAATTGCCGCCCTCAGTTTCTTGAGCACACGGCTCAGAGCCGACTTTGCGCGAGCTTTTCGAGAGGGCCCGATCGTCAGCCAGTTCCAAGATGACGCAAAGCCCCCGAGCGCCCACCGCCCCCTGACAGGGACAAGCGCTGTTGGTTGGGACATGGCTTACCGTCGCCCTTCTCAAAGCGGCTTCCCGACTCGGAGACCCCTGAAGAATACGCGCGACGCACTTGCGCACGGTTGGATCGTAGCGAGCGGCGCAGCTGCGACTGCTGGTCGTGGCTCCGCGGACCGTTGCTGCCGTCTCTAGCCTGGTTCTCGGACGTCTTCAGGAGAGTTATGCAGTTCGAGTATATCTCTAGGAGAGCGGCCACGCTGCTGCCAAAGCCCATGCTGACTGACATCTGGCTGAAATGAGCCTCATGGGACGATAAGTAAGTACAGATTAGAGAGCGAGGTCCTGAGGTGGAACAAGTGACGCTTGACAACTGAAGTTCGCCCCAAACAGCCCTGTTCAGCATGCCCGTGGTCCTCGGATAGCGCCGAAGAGCGGGGTTGGTTCCTCCGACGGGCCATGCTCGCGAATCAGAATCCCAAACTCGGTCCTTGAGGCTTGAGAGCAGCTGAGGGCAAGTGCACGTGTTTTTCTACCCCTTGAGTAGGCTGTGTACTATGTAGGAAAGGCAGGCGACTTCGGAGCCTTGAATAGATGGAGATACATATGTACGGAACATGCGTGCAGAATATGGATTCTGGAGAATTCCCTACCAACCTAAACATGGATTCAAGCCCAAGATCATCCTCCGCTCCTACCTTCCGCCGCAGCGTTTTGCGCTGCTCTGTGCGCTTCCTCTAGCAGTCTTGGCTCTCTCCCCTTCAGCGTCTAAGTAAGCACTGCGAAAGTGCTCACCAGCCGTGCCGTCGAAAATGACAGCTTTCGGTCCTGTATGTTTCGACGCTACCGACGGTTGGAGCCGACAGCCAAGCAAGTTCGACTTTTGCCGCGCTCTGTCCATCCATAGTTATCTGATCTATCATTTTTGGGCGAGGTCTCGTTGTTGGGCACTGTGTACGAACTACCTAGGTACATACCTTATTGTATGCACCAAAGGTGTGGGGGCAGCGCGCAGCCCACGCTGAGCATGGCGGCCTCATTACCTAATAACGTTCTCGCCAGTGCAACAAGACCCATGGTTTTCTGGCGGGATGCAACCGTTGGCGCTGGATCCGAGCCACCTTGATCGTCTGCCATAGTGCAGCTGCCGGATAAATTTTACGTTTGAGTAGGAGGCTGGTTCCACGTGTTCGTGTCGTAGGGTAACTGTTGTTCGAGACAGTGCTGCCCATGTCCATGAAGTTATTCACGGCTGATTGTTCCGGACCAGGCTCATCCATCGACTCCTTTTCTTGGGCGGTGAGCTGATTGGCGCTCCTTCCTTCCCTATCATTTCTCATCTCCATACTCCATGGCGCCAGAGTAATCTGCACAGGTACATCCAATGAGGGAGGATAACTACTACGTACAAAGTGGCATTCCTATGAGGTTCTGAACGAGTTTGATGTCGTCAGGAGCCGCACACGTCGAAAAAAGGAACTCACCGGGGTGGAGGAGTTGAAGGAGTCGGTCAAGGTAGGACCGAGCTGGTTAATCTAATCCGATTGCCGCCTGGCCCCTTGGCATGACACGGGTACATAGGTATCATCCATGCCCCTCCACTACTGGTTCGTGCTGCTGGCCGGAGCCAGTCTCATGTCGCACCGTTGCCCCATGCTCGCTCGCCAGATCACGACCGGATGACGATATGGCGGCAGGGCTGGCCCGGCTGAAAAGTCTGCGAGCACCGGAAGCCCAAGACACCCCAGGCAGCCCAGGCAGCGCGGATGCCTGCATCTGTTGTGGGCTGATCCCTGAGAAACAACAGCAACGTGTTAGAAAAGCAATGTCGCAGGTTTCGGAAACGAAAACGCGCAAAAGTGATGCCATCTCGCGCCTTCTTTACGTTCCTTATCTGAGATACGGAGACGTATCTACGAACGGAGGCATACCGGGATATAGGTATCAGTACACCAGGTGGCTACCCGATACGACGGTATGGGATTCAACAGTCACGCGATGGCGAAGATGCTGCGGTGAGTGGCGAGCCTGGATCTGACAGGACTGCCGTGCCACAGCGTTCGCCGCACGTCGATTGCCAGCCACCATCCGAGAGCAGGATCAAACGACAGGTATCCGCACGCCGATGAGAAATGGTTTGAGCAGAAATTGCGCCATAGTTTGAAGGCGATGGCGGTGAGACTGAGTCGGCCAACTCGAGGCGATCCGTTTCTGCTGTCATTCTGAAGGAACATGGCGTGCGACGGCCTGACGCAGGAAGAGCTGAGTGCCCGAGAAAGGGCAAACATGGGACGCAAGTTCGTGCCCAGGGCCACGATGTGTGGGACGCCGAAATGCCTGGGGTTCCTTCAAATCTACCGTTAGATGAGCCGCCGACTTCCCAAGTCGGATGGATGTTTCGGGACGGCGTTCAGGCGTTCAGCTTCTGGCCTTTGATTCCTCTGTGAATTTGATTTGGATTTGAGGGTGTTACAGCCTCAGGCAGGAAATCTCTTATCTTTGGGCCCCCACAGGTGCCTCGATTTCGCCATACATGTGGCACAGCGATGCGCAGGTTAAGTCCATTCAAGCATTCAGCGGGTGTAACACGAAGTCCCTGTTGCAGCGACCCGTGGTGGCCCTGTGTCACTGTTTCTGGCGACGTGGAACGCAAGGGGGGAAAATAAAATAAAAAATGAGAGAAGGGAAAAAGGGTCGCGCAACTTGCAGGAACGACGGCAAGTCCCCTGCTCCCCGCCCACTTCATCCCGTGGGTGGGTGGTTCACAATGGGATTAATCAACGGGAACTTGCCGCTGTCGCAGAGAAGGGAAGGGCGGGATAACGCGTGAAGCGGGTAGTTACTTTTTACGACAACCTTGAACTTGAAGAGGCAGATACCTACATACCTAGGTACCCGGGCAATTAGCATCCACATACAGGGAACGTCCATCTGTACTCCGTACTAGGTGCCCAGCAAGGTACTTACTTACCTGCATCTCCTTGCAGGTACCTATTGAATTCCCATGGTTCAATCCTTCCTCCTTCCTGTACTATAGTAAGAGATGTCTATCCAGGTCCATACAATTCCCGACGGTTCCGATAGACGGAGAGTGGAGGCTAGGGAGTGGAGAATGAAAGAATGTAGTGAGAAAGAGGGAAAAAAAAAGGGCCAGATCGGGCAACGGCGCGAACCACCCACCCAAAGGCGGGAAACCCCCCATCTCCCCTCCACGTCCCCACGCAGCCATTTTCAATGCGCTCACTAGCACGGCGCTTCAGTGCCCTTAAAAGGTAGCGATTACCTCGCAAGCCGCAGCAAGTTCTGTGAGGAAGGAACCTGATCTCCGTGTTGCTTCTGCGTAATCAAGGCGCTGCATGAGTCTGTCCCTCTGGCTCTCCTACATTGTGATCGGTGTATGAGGCCATCATCGCCTCGAGGCAGCTCAGTCCAGCAAGGTACTTTTCGGGTACCTGCGTTTCTGGTACAAGTTTATATCCGGGAACCTCCCGCGCTGCTGTGGACCCCCGCCACTCTGCGGTACCGTCCTATGACCAAGAACCCCATGTGCCGCCTATCAGGACCTCCCCCCATGCCAATTTATCTCCATCGCTGCGAAATCTTTGTGGTGGGCCCTTCCTCTTCACTCCCCTTCTCCCTCGCAATCCTCGACCTCGACTCGCGACCCCTCTTGCCTTTCTCTTTCGCTCCTTCATAGAAGCTGACAGGCTGCACGCACACCATCCCTGCGTTGCGACTCCGAGATCTCCCTGCCGCACCCTCACATACCGTCATACCGTCATTCCTGATGCCACTTGCACCCTTATCTGCGCCACGACGGGAACCAAACGGCTCTTGCAAGCTCTAGCCCGTACCAGAGCTGGGCCCGATACAGGTCCCGAATACCTACCTATCACATCAAACGATAGATGCGCTATCTAGCCCTGCCATAGCGCCAGAATTTCGCCGAGGATCCCCGTCCAAGTTGTCTTTATCTGGGATCCCCCAAGCCCTCACTGCCCTGCCCTGTTCTACCGTCCCCGTACATGACGCTTTATCTGTTGGATATCGTCCGCCCTGCCCAACTACTGGCATAACACGTATGCCCTTACCTGCGCACAGCCGACCGGGCACGATTACCTCTCCCATATCATCCCCTTAGTCCCACCTCCCCGCCGCCGCGATATCGACCATCTCCGGCTTCCCACCTTGCCTACTGCTTGTCTCTCCGCAAACCTAGGACTGTTCCATGGACGACTTCCAGGAATATCTTACGACCGTCCTGTCTGCCCTCCGATAGCCCTAAAGTGCCGTCCTGGTTCTATTTCTTATACGCGTGAGCCGCCGTCCAGCCTTTTCCGCAACCACCTCTGGGCTCCATTTGGGCGCTTCCTGGAGACACTCCCAGCATCAACGGGTTCGCTCCAACCGCCCTCCCCACCCTGCCCTTTTAGGTCTCGGAGAAAGCCTACTCCGTTACTGCCGTGGGCCTGATGTCAGCAAAGTCGTCGCCTTCTCCATGGCAGGGACCGACCACCGAGGTCGACGAGTCGCAACTGCCCCAGGGACACTGCCGTTACATCTTGCTTGTGCCGGAGATCAAGGGGCAGCGGTGTGCTTGTGCCAACTTTCACCTCAACAAAGGTCTCCCTGGTGCAACATGTGCATGCGGCCATCTCGCTTGCTACCACAAGAAGGATGCTGAACCGACCGACGTCGACATGTTGAAACAGCGAATTCAGACTCTCGAGCACTCGCTCGCCAGTGAGGATCGGCGTGCACGGGAAAGAGAGGACGACGCGTACGAGAGCGTCTTGGGAAGAGTGAGCGGCTTGGAAGAAGATCTGGAAAGGAGCAAGGAGGAATTTCATCAAGAAATCAAACGTGCCTACTCGAACTCGACACCTTTGTGGGGCGCTTATCAAGAGCTCAAGGGGAAGTTTGATGAGCTCAAGGACCACCTGCGTCAAGCCAACGCCCGTTTCGCCGAGGTTGGCAGTACCTTGCGGCGACTGGATGACAGGCAGCTCGAGCTTCAGGATGCCGATACCTATCTTGAAGAAAGGATCGAGAATATCGTGGAGACGATGGAAGAGGAGGAGCACCAACCTTTCTCAAGGGGGAGGGGGACCCGACCACGCCGCAGATCAACATCAGATGCCCGTCGCCCAAGTGTCCCTTTAGGCCCTTTAGGCGTCCCTTTAGGCGTCCCTTTAGGCTCGGGGCCGTCGGACCCCCGGCCAACAACGCAAGGGTTCGGCGGCGCGTCCGCATTCGTAACACCAGCCTTTCCACCGACATCTATGTCGATCCGCACCGGGTCCAGCGCCACAACTTCAGGCATCTGGACGGTTCACATCTCCCTCATGCCCCATGCAACGATCCCGATGCCATTCGAGAGGAACACGAATGCCTATCAGAGATGTCTCTCCCGGGGACTCCACCAAATGGTCGCCGTTCGCGGCCCAACGGCGGAGGCGTTTAGCGACGCCATCTCCAAAGCCTTCGATCCGCTTCTGAAGGGCCGTCCGTGGATGCCTCTGCAGGCGAGGCTCTGCGACGCAGCGCCACTCCAGGGCCTCCCGATGCTCCGCCAGCTTGAGCCGCACCTGATTGACACACGCTACGATGCTGCGTTCCTGCGAGAGAATTGCGCCGTCTGCGACGGCAACGGAATGATGGACTCGCTCTACATCACCATGCGTGAGCCATATGTGCTATCATGGCACGCGTTGAGGCACGCCCCAGTCGTCGTGGAAGGCCTTGAGGAGAGCTGGGAGTATGACCCATTGCTGGACAAAGAACATTACGACGACGACGTCATCGTTGACGATGATGACCGGCCAGCCGCTGGTGATATCTTGCCCGCGTTTCCGTCGCTGAAACGAGCCGCATCGGAAATGGCAAGATCGAACAGCTTTAGTTCGTCGGCGCCTGCAGCGGCCGAGGGTGTCGCTTCGAGGACGAAGCGCACTTGTCCTCTGCCCGCGAATACAATGCTGAACATCAGGCGACCTGGTGTCGGTACAGCATAGGCAGGAGGTCGTACTCGCCAGCACCAAGCTCGGCAATGATATAAACTGACGGACTGGATTAGAGTGTGATCATAGGCGCCAGATAATCGATAGATTTGGGGGGTTATTGGGCGTTCAACGGACATGTGGCGTATGACGATACAGGGCGATAACGGCAACCTCGAGGTGTCGGGTTAGGACTTTTGAGCATTTGGGACGTTGATATCCCCATCCAGGGTGTTTTCTTGTTGTGCTGTTGTGCTGTTGTGCTGTTGTGCTGTTGTGCTGTTGTGCTGTTGTGCTGTTGTGCTGTTGTGCTGTTGTTTCCATTTCATATTTCCTCTCTTCCGATGCATTTCTTGATTGACGGCGACATCCACAGAGGTGGTGATGGTGCAGCTCGGTGGCTACCTAGTGAGCCCTTGGATATTGATGGCAGCTCTCTTTCGTTACGGGCGGGGCTTCATACGTCATGTTTTCTCTCGTCTTGGTTCCTGGTAGTTCGGCGGGTGTGATGTATAAGCTCGCGCTGGGTTAAATAGATGATTTTCTCCGTCTTGTTAGATTCAATTAGAATATTACCTCATTAGCGACCCTCTGCCTAATGTGTGCTCTAGTAGAACGGTTAATCGAACCGGTAGGAAGGATACGTATATGTTCTAGCCCACACCCCGTCAGGCCTCGAGTCGTCGTCGACACAGTAGGTGAGAAGAAGGCTTCCGGCCGGGCGGGTGATTGTCCTTGCTCCTGCCTTTCGTTGCCATTCCCCGCCACGGACCAGGTCACTTGGCTCGAGGGATCAGGCCAGGGACCGAGAGAATTTTCATGAGGTTGTTATCCGCTGCGTTGTTCCACCCACACGGCCATGGGTTCAAATAGGTATATCGATAAGACCTTGGTTGGGTAGGCACCTTCCGAGACTGGGCCAAAGTCAATCCTCGTGGCCAAGCGGCAAGTACGGCAAGGGCTCGGATCTCTGCTGCTAAATCCGTTCAACGAGCGGCACCAGCCGAGGCTTAGCTTCGTCGATCTTAAAAACAACCTGAGCCCAGTGAAGTAGCACAAAAGTATACTTCAACCCTTCCAAAGGGAAAGAGTACCTCCCTGGCACCTACTGCTCCACTATCCGCATTCGTTGGGCGGAGCCTCATCCCACCTCGATCCTCACGTCGCGCGACACCGTTTTTGCTCAGGGTTTCCCCCATATTAAGAGCTGAAGAGTCCATCACCAGGGTCTCATATTATTATTTACCGGTGCGACTCTTGCAGCGCCCCTCTCTATTTGGTGGCAACCCCAGAAAGACGCGCTTATCTAGCCTTTTTCTTTCATCGCCACCACTGCTCGGATAGCTGCCGACTGTCACCATGGATTTGGACATTGAAATGGACGACGCGGTCGACGTCCCGCCCGTCCCGGAGGCGTACATTACAGATATAATTGCAGATTATGAACAGGTTCGTCTTTACATTAAGCATCAGATCAACCCGCGAGTGCTCACAGGGAATCTTCCAGGAACCTGGCGAGGTCGAGGAATCGCATCCCGAAGACAACCGGTCCGACGAACGTGCCATAGTCCCATACAAAATCCATGTCCGAGGATTAGACACATTCAATCCCGAAGAGGTCAAGGGATACGTGGCAGAACATTTCAGTTCAGGCCTATTTGACCGTGTCGAGTGGATTGACGACAGCTCCGCGAACCTCGTATTCAAGTCCGAATCCACCGCCCAGGAAGCCCTCATTGCCCTTTCATCGGTTGAGATCGCCGACGCTACGCAATTGCCGCCACTCGAAGCCCTCCCCGCTAAACCATACAGTGGGAAACCAGACAGCACCCTGCTCGTTCGCTTGGCGGTGACCGGGGACAGGAAGGAGGTTGGCGCAGCTGCTCGAAGCCGCTTCTACCTCCTCCACCCAGAATATGACCCCGAAGAAAGGAGACGGCGCGGCGGGTCTAATAGGGGAAATTATAGGGACCGCGAAGGATACGGGCGAGACCGCGATCGTCGCGGGGCCCGACGTGGTGATCGGCGCGATGACCGACGCGATGACCGACGGAGGGACAACCGATACGGCGACGAGGAGTCCGAGCCATTTGACGTCAGCTTGTACGACGATGATGAGGCGTCACTTGCAAAACGGGCAAATCTCAAGCCGCGGCTGCCGCGAGCCTCTGTATCCAGTGGAGACGAGGACCGATATACGCGACGGAACCGGGATAAAGAGCTCTTGCCCAACCGCAGGCCGAGAGAAAGGGATGGCATATCGGGGCGGGACCGCTCGGCCTCCCCAATACGGGATGACCTGAGGATGGAGGTGGACGATCTTGCCAGGGATCAGGAAGCAGCTACGCAGAATCGCGACAAGGCTCGGACTATCAAGGACCGGCTCTCTAAAGACAACCGCGCCAAGGAACTCTTTCCTACCAAGTTGTCTTCGTCAGCTCCTGGCAGTAAAGCGCAGATGGACCAGGTCGACGAGGGCACAATCTTGTCCAGCGGTATGTCGCGAATGTCTCTTTACATCAACCACCACTGGGGTCTCGACGGTTGCAGCGATGCTCCGCAACGCAGCTTTGGCGTTTATACTCGGCTTCTTTACTCTTACTCTCATCAACTCGGAAGCATCATTGACAGTTTCAAAGCAAAACTCGCAGACCGAATCACGCCGCGAACGACGACAGAAGTAAGTAGCGGGTTCAACATCCGTGGCCTGGCGAATAAGCGCGGCGCGGATCAGGGCTTCGCGATCAAAGGCACCGGCCCGAGCGCCAAGGAGCTGTTCCCCGAGAAATTCGGAAACAACGCAACCAAGGAGTTGTTCGCCGACAAACTCGAAAATAGGGGCCGTAGGAGGCAGAAGGCCGAAGACTCGTTCCTCTAGGTCTACCTCTCGCAGACTCGATTCCGCGGTAAGTCGACGGCTCGTTTCCTTTGCCTTGCCCGCTCAGTATTACGGCATTACGTATCGATGGATCTTCCGTTCTAATCAGTCCCATTATAGTTGTTTCTCTGCAGCCTCGGGGATTCACGTTGCGATGATTCGATTCCCTGATACGGTGTCTCGAGACTCAATCGAGATATCATGCAGGGTACGTCGTTATGTAGATTTGACTGTTTGCCAAAACAACGACTGCGACTGCAAACGCTCTTTCACCACCTACACGAGTTTGGCAAGTGGCACTCCCTACTGGTTTAATGGAGATCGGAACCCTTCCCGGCATATGCTCGGGTTGCGGGATAGGGAATGGTATGCCAGATCTTACCTGAGGAACCACGATATCGGGTTGACCAGGACATAGGTGCAAGTGACGAGAGGATTGGCGTGCCCTGCGAGCGAACTCCCACGCCGAGATCAGGTAGAGGCCGATAGGCTGCTAGATGTCAGTCGACGGATCCCGAAATAGACGCTTTTGAACGACCTGATAGGGCTCGTAATCTGAACGAGCTTGGCAGGTCAAGTATCTAGGCAAAGTCACGCTCAACTCTAATGGCCGGCAATTTTGTTGTGATGAACCGTTGCTCGGTCACCATATGAGTGAAAGGTGAGCCAGGCATACGTGAAATACAAACTGTGTCATGCCTTCCCTTGGTGACAGAAACAAAACAAACAAGCATTGTGGTCTGGCGCGTCCGTCTCGTCACTCTGGCTCCCTGACCTAGGTACCAACCCAAACGAGGCCCGCTGAATTTCATTCACTCCCATCCGCATTGAATGTGTCTACCCTGTCAATCGACACAAATTCCGAGCCTTCACACCTCTCTCGGGTCGAGCAGCCGAAGTTCGCCCATCTCATCTCGATCGCATGGCCATGTCCACCCCTTGATCATCATATCTAGCAGAATCATTCCAACCCAAATCCCCGTCAACGTCTCGTCTCCAGTATCTGAACAATGGCGGACCTGGGATGGTTCCGAAATCTCGGGCAACGCCCCCACAGCCCGACCCGTCCAGCGGGCCCCGAACACGACGGGGATCTCCCCGGAGAGCTCCGCCACCGCCAGTCATATTCGTCGATGCGGCTTCTCGGCCCCCATGGACCCGTGCACCGCGTGTCCAGCTTCCTCAGCCTGGACCTCGGACCCAGCAGCGGCCGGGAGGGCAGGCCGGGCGGCGCCACGCCGTCCCCCACGCCGACCGCCGACAGCCCGACGACGACCACCACCACCACCACGGACAGCACCGTCGACACCGACGGCGGTGGCGGTCGCGGCGGCGGCACCGACAGCGCCCCCCTCGATGAGGAGGTGGCCGCCGCCGCCGTGGTCCGCGACCGCGACCGCACGTGGCAGAGCCCGTCGCTGGACATGGTGGTGGAGGCGCTGCAGGTGGCCATGATGACGAAGCGGGACGCGCTGGTGCCGCTGCCGGTGCACTACAACGCGCACGTGCTGGCGCTGATCGAGGGGTACGCGAAGCTGCGGCGGCGCGTCGCCGAGGCCCGGGAGGAGGCGGCCGAGCTGCGGCGCCTGATGGGTGGGGAGCGGGAGGAGTTCCGGGCCGTCGCGGAGGAGTGGTCCGCGAGGGAGGAGGCGTACCGGGCTGAGGTGCGGAGGCTGGAGCTCGTCATTGCTAGGACTAGTAGGGATGGGATGGAGACCGTGGTGCTGGCGAGGAGTGGCAGCCTGGTGGATAGGGGGGCGAGAAAAGGGTTCCAGGAGCGGCTCAAGAGACTGAGTAGCTCCCAGGATGATGAAGGTATGGCGATTGTCGAAACGGAGTGGTCATGGGCCTTGTCTATGACTCCGTTGGAGAGAAAGGAGTTCGGAGCTAACGGCACGACTGCAGAAGAAAATTACCAGATTGAACCGCAGAGTCAGAGGGTTGGGATCCCCAGGACGAGAGGTTCGTTCAAAACCATAGGTATGCCGCGCACTTAACCCCCCTGCAAGGCCATTCTAACATGTCACCCTAGACCATATCCCACGGACTCTAAATCCTGACCAGGATATCAAAATGAGCCAGAGGCTGCAGCAAGAGGACGATTCTACCCGCGAGCATCGCCGAAGGCTCGTGCAATACAGGGAGACGAGACCCGAGGTCACGCGAGAGCAGACTCCGGAGTTGGGGCAGAGGAGCACAACGTACCTCCCACCAGGAAGCCAGTCATCCATCCAAGCCAATACCCGGTCAGGACAGTCAGAGACCGCTTTTCAGTCAGGGCGTCACCTCCAGTATCAAATGGGCATCGACTCCTCCCCGTCGAGCTCTAGCACGAGCACCGAGTCAGCCGCATCACAACCACAGGAGAGAAAGGCTGGCCAGGACACGGAAGAGGTGACTGGGGGCCTGGGTCACTCCGGTGAGCATGTGACGAGCGTCTACAGGACTATGGAAGATGCCGATACGAAGGGCAGACCTAGCAGCCCGCCGATCAATACAGTTGGCTACACGGTGTGGAATGGGTTCACCAATGGTAACTGGAGCCCTGGCGAAGGAGGAGAGACCAGCAGACAAGGGGCGGGTCCAGAAGGCGAAGGCTACTCCTCTCGTGCGCAGCCGCATATGGAGAACCAACAAGTCCGGAGGTTCTCCTTCCACGCCGGCGATGATGAGATCCTGTCCGTCACACCCCCGGTACTCCTATCTGGGGACCAAAATTCGACAGCCGAGAGGGCTAGAGCGGCAGCCCCGTCGACAGACGATACAAGCACGCTGACAGCTAGGGCAGCGGGTCTGTTGTCGTTGGTGACTGGCTTTGTGTCCTCTTCCGAGAGGTTACGGCCGGCCGCTGCGACAGAGACCGCGACCCAACAACCAACATCGGAAGTAGGCCCGAATATTAGTTCAGGCAGCTCAGGGTCCGCCACCACCACGAGTTCAGCTTGTTACGACATGACGCCATCTACGTCAACCGGGTCGGTCATTCACGTGGGAAATAGGCAGTCTACCCTACATAAGGATGACTTGGCGAGAAGCAGGCTCGGCGTTCGGAGGGAGGGATCTGGACGAGGTGGTGCTAGTGGAGCTGGTGGAGATGGCGGGGCTGGTGGCTGGAACAACGCCAGTAGTCGTGACACCGTTGCGTCGCCGCAACCGGACGTCCTCGCTAGTTCTTCCCTACGAGTGGTGGTCGTAGACAGCCCAAGCCGCCAGCCGGCAAGGGTGCCATCGCGAGCAGCATCTGATGCTCCACAAAAGCTGCCGGGGGCAGCCCCGGTGACAACGGCCTCCCCGTCGCAGGTGGGTCAGGGTCTCACAGCTTCAGGAGGCATGGGTGGGACGGAGTCCGCAGGGAATGCTGCGCGCATCGCGGCAGCTCGAGCCGTGGCCAGAGGGAACAAGAGAGAGCAGGACAAGCAATCTCGGCTGGCACCCGGTGGAAGCTGCACTACTTGATCCGGCTGTTGTTTCCCTCGAGGGTGGTGTGTTCAGTCATTCCATCCCTTGATTCGGATCAGTCCACCTCGGGTCTGGGATTGACTTTTCACGGCCCTCGGGGGAGACCCGCCGTACAAAAGTACTTGCCGTACCAGGATCATGGCTCTGGAACGTAGCACACATAAATGGATGGGATGGACTAGCCTCGCCGAGATGCCGGGCCCGTTGGCTTTGCGACGGATTCTTGGGTGAGCGTAATAGCGCCAGTAGGCGGTCAACAGGCTACCACACCCAAACCTTGCACCCCAGCCATGTCTGCAGTAGTGACCGTTAAGGGCGAACCCAGACTAAAACACGCTGCATTAGCATGGCTGCTCTTGCTCTCTTGCATGGAGATTGTGGGACTCGCACTCGTCTAATCATCTTCACATAGCTGAGTAATTCTGCACCTTCCATGGGAGGAATCCATTTCTGCCTCTCTAATCCCTTTTTTTCTTCCAAACCCCCCTTTAACCCCTGCTTTCCGCCTTTCCGCGCCCCCGCGTTGATTATGTACCGTTATGACTAAACCCGCCCACATATCTTCCATGCTATGTATGTATCTCTATGAACCAAAGCTGCGGCACAGGCACTGCACATAGGGGCTCACATGAAAAAAGACCGGCCAAACCCCCAAAAGAAGAACTAGCGGTCCGCCATGATCAGACGGCCAAAAGTATGGCAAGTGGGTTCTGGTCATATACTTTCAGACCACTTTGGCAAAGCTAAGCGATAGCTTTGTCGGCAGGGGCAAAGTGCAGGCCCCGGAATTTTAGCGCACTGGTGGCTGGGCCACCCTTTTTCCCAGTCAGTCAGCAAAAGTCGTTGAAGTCCTCCACCCCGCCAAGGAGGGTTTTAGTTCAGGTGAGGGAACCGCTAGTGCGAGAATCCCACGTGGCCTACACGGTTGCGGACTGGCGTATGCGTAATTTGCAGGTAGCCTGTACCCAAATAGCGCGGAAACCGCTGTAGATTCGGTGCCGATAAGGATCCGGCCTGTGGTTACTGGTACTTCGTTACGTAAAGATAGAAGACCATCCACAACTCGATAGCCGAAACGGTTGGTCCAGATCGCCGGGTCTGTGGAGGAGATGTACTCTACACACGAGACTATCGGTACTGACTCGGTTTGCCCCTCACCAGCTGATATTTCATGACAATTTTGGGATTCTTCCCCCCACCAGGCAAAGAGACTGAACTACCCCCATCGATGCAAGCAAGCCGACCTGCATGCTCTCCCCTATTGTTGAAGGTAATTTCGGGTGGGGTCACAAAGGGTGGTCCAGTTCGAATGTGTCCTGCACCTCGACCCAACTCGGCGTCAGCGAAGGTGGGTTACTCGACCGCATAGGTGTTTTACCTCTTGGGTTCCATAGTCAGGCGGCAGGCATCCGAAGGAATTGGGTCCGCATTATTACGTGAAGGTTTCCCGTTGATTATTACGTGAAGGTTTCCCGTTGGGACGAGTTCTTGTTCTCCAGACCAGCGCCCTCATCGTCCCACTCTTCACAAGGTGGTCTAACTCCACGCTGGGATGCACTAGTGGTGACGGATGGCATGGCTCGCATTTTTCAGGTCGACCGCCTCTATTTTTACTTCCCAAGTCCGTACTCTCGGGTGGGTGGGGGGTTGGTATAGCAGTCTGGTCCCACCTTCATGGTTAGTAGGGAATATTGCCTGCCAGCGTGTCTTGGGGCCAAATACCAATACCTCGGTAGTCTCGCCGTGGCGGCTAGCTAGGTAAAGGAAATAGGAGGCATTATGGTTTTATGGTTTTGGTTGGTTGCAGCTGGTAGCCCTAGCAGGGTTAATGATGGCTTCACAGAGAGAGGGTCGTGACATTGGCGTACACGGTTGTGTTACAGTAACACGATCTGGTTATGATCCATAGATCGTGCATTATCCTCCTCTAACTTGTGCTCTCAGCTGGGTATGGTTACGTGCACGGACACGCGTATGACTAGTCGTGAGACGGCCATTGTGATGGAATCTCTTCTCATACATTCGTGGATGCGGGGTGGCATGGGGGCGGGGAAAGGGAAGCAGAATCGCCTAGGTTTGTCTGGCTCTATAGTAGATACCTGGGGTGGACTGGTATGAAACTCAGTCGTGCGAGCAGCGGCCTATTCCGCCTCATGCGTTAGTCTTGCCTTAAGAAGTGATATCCATCCCTGCGAGAACTTGCTGTGAGGGGATCGATGGAAGTCATTGTTTCATACATTTGGTCAGATTCTTAGCATTTATCTAGAGAAAGTCCCCAACAGCCCGAGCTTGGTATAGAACCGAATCAAGAGATGTTCTGTCTCTGTATTTATACATTGTGTGGAACTTACACATTGCCTGACAATACCCACCGAATTAATCGCAACATTCCTGAGATGGAACCACAGCAGTAAGACATGCATTTTCGCCGGAGAAACACAGTTTAAGGTTTGTTCCCTGAGGGGAAGGGACGGAACCATGCATCTTTGTTCTCGAGTTCGACTCGATAAATCCGTAGGGCATGAGCATATTCCCGAGGGGAATTTTATCTCATTTTAATGGCAAGACGCCAGAGGAGGGGGACCTTTGAGTGGTCCGACTCCTTGGCTGTGATAGAACAGACGGAATTCAGGATATGGAGTCACACAACAAGATGGGTCCTCGAACCAGCAGCATCACAACTGCCCTTTTTTTCAAAAAAAAAACGAACGCCTTACCTTGGTGATGATACAAGAAGCAATATCTCTGGGCGCCCACTGCACCAGCAAAGACCCCGCAGGTAATATTGAGAAAGGAGCCCATGGCGTGGTCGAGGCTCAGGGGACTTTTCAAGCCACACGGCCTCCTCCTACCATGTACGCATAGCTCTCGCGGTAGGTCCTACGCCCTCCCTCACCTCACTTGGTCACCGGCACACCCTGGGGTGATTGGTCACAAACGTAGCGAGTGACCTTGCGGAAGACCCCGTTTTTGCTCCAACCTGCGTGATTAAGTAACGGTGGGGAAACGACGCAGCAGATGCTTTCTAGCACGTAACTACTGAGCATATATGGGCCAATATGTCTCTCTTGTGGCGCACGATGGTTCCGGGACCCGAGCATGTGTGAAGCTAGAGGGTTATACAGGGACGATACAACGCATGGGAGGCAGGTGGCAAGAACGAAGGGGCGTCCGAATACCATTAAGGGCTCGGCTTCTGGTAGACGGTATAGCCATGGAACTCATCCGCGTTTCCCACGCGAGAGTCGACGGATAGCTTTAAGGACCCGCATCCGCATCCGGCAGCAACGGCTTGACGGGGTAGTTAGCATAGTCAGCGGCTAGGAAGTCGAGTTGCAAGAACCGGAAGACTCGTAACTTATACGTAGTGGTAACCTGCCAAGAAATAGGTTTTCTGGGAGTGCTCGTCGAGATGGAAGGGATGATCCATGATCAACCAACAGGTTCCGAGTCTCTGTCTGCACCGACACATTTCGATTCCGCTGCCCTGGGAACGCGATCTGCCGCCCAAGCACAAAATCAATTCCTTCCTGTTGGTAGCCGGCACACGCCAGCCTACACCGTTCGGGCAGCGCCGTCAAAAGGTTGTGCCCCGGTGACTCGGTGAAGTGGGGCCAGAGGGGTGGGGAGCGGTGGATATAGCTTGGCGTACAGGGGACGAAAAAGAGAGTTACCGAATCCGGTAAAGGAGGCGAGGTCGGCGACCTGGCAGGGTCTCCCCCGCAAACGCACTCCCCCACGTACGAGGTAACTTAAGGTGTGCATGGTGCACCCAAGCTTAGTAGGTACATAAATACAATTGCATGTATACTTGTGCGTCATGACCGCATCTGTCACCATCGAATGGGCCGAAGTGTAGAGGAGGAGCAGAACGGGTCAGATGGTCGATCATGACACAAAATGGGCGAGAGAGATTGCGCATATGTAGTATATTGAAAAGTTGAAAGGGGGCTAGTCGTTGGCGCTGGCGTCGATTGGAGATCACCCGTCGTCGATTATGTGCTGATACTATGACATGCCTGAAAAAGGTAGTGGTACGTCGTATATGTACGAAGGTACAGATGTACTGTACCTTGCGTGCACATACCTGCCTACCTATGTATAACTGAGATGTGTCCCCCCAGTTCCCCAGCGGTGGGAACCACAGGGTTACATGGGTCACACTGATCCCGCCCGGCACCACAGAAAAGGTTCGCTGAGCGCTGATCCGCCAGTCCGGCTCCTGGTTTGTGCAGGGCCGGGCCCAGGTCGATCGCCTTGAAGCGCCCGTTTCCCGTTTTTCGTACTTCCCTTTCGCTGATCGCAGGGAAGGGGTCGCCTCGCTTGTGTAATTATCTCCTTCCGGGAGGAGAGGCGGCCTCTGCTCTGTTGCTTTCGAGTGGAGTTGCCTTCAGCATGCCGCAAGGTTTGGCAGACCTGAGCGTTCCCAGGTTTTGGTGATTTGCAAATCTAACCACACCCCCTGCTCAACTTTGCTCATCCCCCTCCCCCTGTTCATCGCCGGCAGGCGGCTGAAGACTACATGCGTAGATGAACCTTACGAGGGGGAATGAAATAAAAACCAAGAATTCGCGGCCCGCTTATTTCCGATGTTGGCAACGATTGTCGATATATCTTTCCCTTGCCGATTCTGTCCCTTGCTCGGAGGATGCCGCGTTGCATAGCTTGCGACTCTGGTGATCAGCCCTTTCGGGGTTTGCTTTGGGAACCGCCGCACCCCGGCCCGTTGCAATTGATTTCTTTTTTTTCCTTTTTCGCACTACGTTCAGCCACCGCCCACCCAGTTCAGTGGCTTCGGCGCGGAGCGCCACTGGAATGGAAAAACAAAAACAACTCAGCCGGGCCAGGATCTGTGCCTACGCTAATCTCTCTGGCGTGCCTTTGCAACGGGCTGGGGCACCGTGGCCTTACCCGATCCTGAGTCGGTCGCAGGTTTTCGAGACCACTTTGAGCAAGGGAACAGGAAAGGTCAGTAGCTGCTTGCCCTAGGCCCAGAAAGGGACAAGTGGAAAGGGAAGGGACAGGCCAACGACGTAACGGTAAACCAAATAAGTCACGAACCAATTGATTTGGATAAAGAGAAGCACGCCAATCCACGAGCAGAGAAAGGAAATCGTCGATGTAGATCACAACCCGATTCCTCGCCGAGAACGTCAATTGCGATCTACCCAATAGACGCCGCATCCCATGTCCCCCGTTGGCGATCACTCGTCCAAAAACCCTAATTGCGCCGAGGACGGGCTCCTCTCTTGTGAGCCTGGGGCCCGCATCTGGCAATCGGGTGTCACCCAACTGAGGTCGAGCCGTCCAGATCCGGAGACTTGGCACCCAACCCTAGCCCAGCCCCCCCTGTTACTCTACAATATGTGTACAGTCGTATCCCGTACGGTAATTAAATCATATCATATCACATTTTCTACCATGTGGGATCGGAAATCTCAAGCTCAACCCCCCTGCGACGATCGCGAACTGACGTATCTGACAAGACGAGGAAGAGGCTTGTCAAAATAGTGCAAATCATGATTCGTTGTTGGTTCCTTCGCCGTGCCGACTGGCTCGTTGCTTGTTTGTTGGGAATATTTCGCCTGCCAAGCCCAAGCCCACCAGACCTGAATGTTGAGGCTTTCCGCTTCGTACACCGAGCGACGAAGAGGGTGCTCGCCATTCCAACGGTTAGTTGGCGACACTGGTAACAGGAGCATTGATTTTCTGGGTACACTGGAAGACGCTGGCTGTTGGACGTAGACAGATGTGTGAACATTTTTGGTTTAGATTATATTCCTTGACAGATTTGCCTCCAGACTATCGTGAACCCATCATAACAGCCACGCCTCCTCCCGAGACCGATATACACCAGAAATGACATAGAAAACGCCGCCTGATGTAAGCGGTAGGCCACAGAGGCCCCGTCTCCTCCACGATACATTATGCCGGAAAGTGCACACAAAGATATATAGAGAAAGCTTCTCGAGCCTGCTTCGAGAGCAGAGCGGTTGTGAAAGGGAAATGGGTATCCTAAATGATTTTGTGCTCTTCCGGCGCCATATGCCTGTTTCGTCATGGCAACTGCTCTCTGGCCGCATCGGCCTGATCAAGACCCCCCTGGGTGCCGACCATCTTCTCTCTGTTCTCTCCAACGTTCCGAAATTCCTTAACCAAGCAGTGAGCCAACAGCAATCCGTGTTGTACTGCTCACTTCCTGGTTGGTCTTCCGCAGCGGTACTTCCTGAAGCCCTACCGGTGAGTTGGGAGCAGTAGGTAGGTGTGACGTGGGCGAGTAATACTCGGGCCGGGAAGAAGCTATCGGGGGCAGGCTCTGGGAGGGCTCTGCGCTGGCGAACATGGGTGAAGTGATGGCTCTCAGAGGAGGCAGTTTGTTGTCAATAGGAGACAGTGATGCCCTCGGAGACGGGAGAACTTGGATCTTGAAGGGTGGGAGTTGAGTGGCGGGAGAGCGCATGGTGTAGCTTTCCGGGGACATTGCGTAATGCGAACCCGAGTCTGACAGAGACGGGGTCATATCCGACAATGGGGAGTGGATTCCTGGTGAGGGGAGTGGTGTCTCGACGCCGTAGCTCCGGTCACGCAACTCAACCGAGAGGATTGGGGGTGGTGGTAATGGCCGGCCTGCACCGGGAGGGGGTAGTGTTCTAGGGATGGTCATGGCTGCCGACGTCTCCTGGGTGGGCATGGCCATCCTCTCGCCGTACGATGCTGCGTTCATGCGGACGGCTTGCCGGGTATCCATCCTCTTCCGGCGGTTTTGGCTCCCATTCCACCAGTTTTTGACCGCGTTGTCGCTGCGACCAGGGAGCAATCTTGCGATCTCAGCCCACCTCTTCCCGAACTGGCGAACAAACTGTTCAATCTGCATGCCTTCCTCTGGTGTGATGGGGTAGTGCCTCAACGAAGGCTTGAGGTTCTGGTGGTACCGCTCTCGACATTGCTTTGCTGTTCTCGTTCCAAGGAGCTGTGATGTTCGCACCCAGTTGAATGCCCCTTGAGTCTGTATCAGATTCATGAGGATGGCATCTTCCATTTGAGACCATGGGCCTCTCTTTTGGCGAGTTGACGACATGGTGGCGTCCTGCTCGGAGTTTGCCAGATTCAAGTGGATTCTCTGATCTGTCGCCGGAATTGCGGTCCTGGAAATAGAAAGACAGGTCCTTTACTGGTCCAAGGTATGAAAGACGATCCTCGAGCGTAGTATAAGGGTAGAGATGATGAACGTTGGTGGTCGGGATGAGAAGTAGAGTAAGTTGATAAGATGATGTTGTCAGGAGAGTAGCAAATCCGGTTGTGAACTGAAGAAACAAGTCCAGGGGGAAGCGCGAGGGTGGAAGTATCGGTATGATATATTTTGATGCTGAGAATGAGGCTTCCACCGGGGGGGGGGGGAGGGCTGGTGGGGTTATATGTCTCCCTCAGCTTGGGTAGGTAGGCGAGGGCTGGACTGGATTATGGGGCTGTGTGCGGACAAGGTCGTCTTCACTACGCCAAGGGCCAAGCCATGGACTATTAAACGAACAAGTCTGCTGGGACACGGTACTGGATCTGGGATTCCGGGGTGGGGGGGTGAGGGGGGTGTGGCCGTGAATTTCGAGGAGTACAAGGGAAGAAGGAGAGACACCATGAGATATGGGAAACGCCAAAGGGGCCGGGGCTTGTGGGAACGGTTTTGGACTACGTTGTGGGTTCCGGGTAGGGTCCGTCAAGTGGGAGAGGGGTGTGAGTGGCACAAGGACAAGGTTGGTGTGTGCTGTTGGGCGATTCACGATTCACATCGAACACAAGCAAGATAAACGGGGCATCAGCGCCAGCAACCCGCTGCCAAGGGTCAGGGACAGGGACATGCTTGTCTGCGCCGGCATGGCCTGAGCGCCTACTATGTACCTAGTGGAGAGCCCGTCCAAGTGTAAATAGTGATGTGAGTGGTACCTCCCTCGGCGGGTGGTTGTACAGTACATCACCTAGGTACCTATGCTAGCTAGGTAGGTACGCTAGTGGCCACCTCCAGCCGTGAGAGGGGGGGCAGCCTATTTTGCATCCATGTCAAGCTGGTGCCAGCGGGCAACATCTGTCCGCAGAGGATCGTCAAGCGGGTGGGTGTGCGGAGTCCAAGAACAAGCGCTCGTGCATCACCTACTTCACTTCTTGTGCTGTGACTCTGTGAGATCTGCCCAAAGTCGGGTGTGGAGGAGGAGGAGCAGTGAGTGACTGGGGTGCCTAGCAAGATACCTTGCTCGTCAGGAGAAAAGAACCCCGTGTGGACCAGGGAAGGATCTCATGCTGCCGATTTCGTTCGCTCCATGGGCTGGACGACTGGAAAGCTCTCTCGACTGCCCCTTTCTAGCGACACCCCCGAGGTGGAATTGTGTTAGGTCGCCCCCCCCAGGTTTTCAAAAGTGGGATGCTAGATATAGTAGAAGCGTCAGAAGGACGGAAGGAAGGAGTGGCCGTCAAACTTCGTAGGAAGACAATCACGAACCACTGGTTGCCGGATTTGGAGCCCCGGTACCTGGCTCTGAGGTTCCAGGTCATGCACGTTCATCGGTTCGGGTGCAGCCCCAGTGTATAGTGTATAATTTTGGGAGGGATGTTGGACGAAAGCGGGAAGATGTAACCCACTGACCTATGTACGTCTACAGTAGGTGGGTCGGTGGGCCCCTTTTGGAAAGGTGAATGGGCAAGCCCAGGACTTGGAGAGGACTCAGAGTGGCTACTTACCTCCGATGCCTAGGAGATACTACCTACGTGCCCTTGTAGTAGTAGTGGTAAATAATATGATGATAGGCAGCCTACCTACCTTCCAATGTCGTGTAGAGTCTTGAGTGCAATCTCATGCTGTCAACGCATCCACATATTGAGCCCGAGGTTGACTACCAGCCTCGTCCCGTGGTTGCCATCTTAGCCACGATTTACGGAGATTTCCACCGTCCTAATTCCTAAACCCCATGCGAAGGACCCCTAGTCAAAGTTACCTCGGCTACCTACTCTACTTACGTGAAACCACAATCATATGGGGGGAAGTAGACACCAAGAGACCAGGATAAGGCTATTATTGAAACGCAGGCGGGACTGACTATTCCCAACTGCATTCATTGTCGTACCAGGATCAGGCTCACAGCTCGCTGAACGAAAACGGTTTCTGTGGGGTTTTATTTTATTTTATGGATACTTTCCTCTTCACCACGTGCGGAATCGAAGTGCTGCAAAGTGGAGACATCTTCCGGACCTCGCGGAGTGTTACTCTCGCTTCCTTCCCTCTCTCCCTGGCATGACCGTCGAGGTGGCAATATCCATATGACTACAGGGCATGAGCTGGAGGGAGTTATTAATATTTACACTTCTCCAGTGCTACACTGTTCGTCTAAAGTACGGGTCCGTCCTCCGTCACCCGTACTTGGTAATTAAGGCTTCAACCGTCCGTCCCAACCATGGTTGGCCCGTGCTCATCCGACGGGGGTGGCTTCAGGGCGATCCGTTCACTTGGGATGCTCCCGGCTAATTACACTACGAGGGGCGCCTGGGCCTCCCTCCAGCCAATCCCCTTTAATCCCAACTTGTTTCCCTCAACGGCTGCACAGAACGGCTGGACCCGGTCGAGATATTCGATATTAAGTTGCATTCTTTCATCCAAAGACACTGCGACTTGGCATATTTGCATTTTTCTATTAATAATCTTTGTTCGGCTTCTTGGTCCCATCCTTGTATAAAAAAAAAGGAAATGACAAACAGATGGAGCATGCCGAATTGGAGACAAACCGAAAATAAATAAATGGAAAAGAGGATGCGATGTGGGAACTATGTAGGTACCCTGACATTGGGACCTTGCGGGATGTTCCAAGTTCGAATTGGCTCAGCATGGACCCTCTCCTATTGTTTTCGTTGCCGTGAGTATTTTCGCTTGGTGATGTTGACCCAAGGACGATGGGCTCGACGATTGGTCCTGCTGGTTGCAGGGCCAGGTGACAGAGGAATCGGCAATCTCCAGCTTCCTGGGTGCAGCAGCAAATGAGTGACCCACACGTCTCACCACAGGCGCCAGGGTAGCGAAGTATTCCCATCCACCGTGTGAGACAATCTGCAAGAGTCAGCTCGGACGGCCACACCAGACAGGGATGCGGCGGCCCCGGCAAGCCTCAAGGCACAGATTCCAGCCTCAACCAGGGTATGCCGAGCCACTGGGACCGCCAAACACCCCTGCTTCGAGGTGTGGCTAAAGCCCGAATCGGCGACCAAAATCCCAAAGAAAGGAGCGATCTGCCCCGCCGACAGATGCCAAGCGGCTAGCGTTGACGCAAAAAACCGTTGTCACACAGCGCTGGGTCAGAGGCGCCCAATCAGACGGGGATGATCTTCAGTGGCGTTTCTTGTGCCCTCGTCGCCTTGGGCCATCTGATTGAACCCAAATGCACCCTTAAGCCCTTCCGGGTGAAAAGTAGCGAGTATTTCAGCTGTTCCCCTCGACGCCCCATTTCCCTTACCGAGACATGACGATGGACATGGGATGGAGCTCCCCATGCCCATCGGGACCTAGGATGCAAGTCAACAAAAACGTTGCCATGTCCATATGAGCGACGACGACCCCAGGCACCCCGCAATCAATTATCCTGGCGAGACCTCGGAAGAAAAAAACAATACCATGTACACCATGTTCTAATGCAGCATTTCCATTTTTTTTTTAATGCCACAGTTGTATTTTGAAACACGAGTGACCACTACCTTTGCTTCCTCCTGCTTGAGGTTCGTTTCCGATGCACAGGGCTATCCCCGAGCCCGCCACGGCGTGTGGAGGATAGGCTGGGGTGAAGGAAGCACTCGCACCCGAGTGCTGCCCGATGACAGAGCGAGGTAGGAGGCAGTTTAATCGAGGAGGACAACCCGGGAGGTCGTGAAGCAACTCTCGGTGGCGAAAGTTTTTCAGTTACAGCGCGGATGATACGGATGGTTGACCTGCATAGCTGCACTTCAGGTGGGTGTTTTGGGCGACGCAATTTCAAGCACGACATTCAGTGAGCGAGTGCGAGTGCGATACTACATACCTACTTCTCCGTAGTCCTCGTCATCCCAAAAGATAAACACACAAAACACTCCCTGTCTGGGCCCTGTCCAAACGCGATTGGCCGCATCCATTTCATTCGTTTATTACCTCCCCGTGGGCCTTCTTTGTAGATCCCGGCGGCAACCCAACGGCGCCGTCCGTGATCATCGTCAAAGAAGTGAAGAAACCACTCTCTGCCCATAGCGCCCAACGGCCGTATGGAGTACAAGGTGGCTCGGGCCCTCGCCCGCTACCAAGTCAAGACCCCGTGTGGCCCGCACAGATCTACTCTCGATGGGCTCCATCGGCCATCGAATTTCCCAATCCGGATTAGCTGCCTCCTACGGATGCTACACAGTACCTGAATTGACGACAGGTTAGGAATTGACAACGCCCATCCATGATCCTAACATAGTACGTCTAAAGTGAGACACGACTCCTTTCCATTGCAGGAACTACCATGATAGATACCTAGGTAGAGTATGGCATGTAAACAACAAAACCAAGTTCTATCTCTCGCCCTGCTTTTCCTCAAGGTCACATCCACCGCCTGTCAGACCCAGACCCTGTGTCAGCGACCAAACAGCCTCCCTCCCCAGCCTTGCCTGGCTTGCCTGGCTGCCCTTTCCAGCCTCAATGTCGATCCCTGGAGAATCCCTCGGCGATCCTTTGATTGGGGTCCTCGCTTCCCTGCGTCAGCGGCACATACCAAGATCAGCCCTCATCTGGTTTTGGGCCACAGAAAAAGTAAAAAAGAAAAAAGGAACGATCGTCGAGGCTATCTTGTCATTAAATATGTAATATCTACAGTACCCGCCCATCTGGCCCAGTGGGTTACTAGCGACCAGTCTCCCGCATTTTCGATTGGCCGCGATACGACAAATCTCACGTTGCCCTTGCGGCGGACCACAATCCTGCTGCCCGTTGGCCTGTCTCAGCTCCCAACGAAATTCAACGCGGCGTCCGGGAATGAGCCCTGTGGCGAAAACGTTCCCTGATGAGCCTCTCAGCCTCATACCGATCCCCCCTTTTGTTATTATTTTCTTTTTCCTTTCACAGTTTCTTTTCTTTTCCCTTCCCGCCCCCCTCGGTTCGAATTCGGCCATGTAAGCTTGCCCCATCCATGTAGACGGGGTTGCCGCGTGTGCCTACAAGTGTGCCACCCCAAGGTCAAAGTACCACTGGTGTGCGCCTTGTCCGTAGCTTACTCACTACCTGCGGCAAGCAGGTGTTGACGTATAAGTGTACATGAATACCGCAAATCAGCGATTCCGCCCAGGTACCGACAGGGAAGGCACCACAAACCCATCCCAGCCCTACAGGCCAGTTGGTTCCCCTGGAGGCAGCTCGCTATCGGCCCTTTCAGGGCTTCGTCACCGAATAGCTGCCCCGGGTCTCTCTCTCTCTCCCCCCCTCTCTCTCTCTCTCGTCCCTTACCGGCCCATTTCCTCTCTGTACCTTGCCGATGAAAGAAGGGCCCTTTCTCCCCTTGCTGCCGCACCTAAAGCGAGCTAGGGATGAGGGTGGGAACATGGTGCATATATGTTGCGACAGGGCTGCGGCAGGGCGGTGACAGATGGGACAGGGGCAGCACACACATCATGCTGAGCCAACCGGGGCACACTCGCTTGAATTTAGACAGGGTAGATCCAAGATCGGAATTGGCTGACAGGAGAGATTGCCTTTGCATCAAATGCGTCGATACTTGCCAACGAGATCCCAACCTCTGCCTCCTACGGATGCCTGAGTCTGCCTGCTTGTCAGTTCGTTGTTTTTGTGAGCGGGTTCGTTCGTTGCTAAGCAGCCATCGGCTCGGGGTTCTTCTCTACTGTCGCCCAATTGACCGTCCACACCGCCCCTTGTCATGATCAAGTCATTGGGCTGCCGGTGCTGACGATGGTGTGCCGAAATTCCCGCATGAATAGCCACGACAGTGCGTTGATAGGCCCATGTCCCAAACATCAACTCTCGCGTGGGTATGAGTTGTCAAACTTTGCTCGTCTGTCACTGCTCCCGCCTATCTGCTATCCGATCGGGTAGAATTCAGTTTTTTCTCGCCAACAAAACGAACGTTAATGAGGACCTTCCCCCCTTTTGGTAGCATATAGGAAGTGCAGCAGAGGTGCAGCTGGGGTCCATACAACGCCCATTCATCGGTCGTCCCGAACTGAAATTGACGTACGCAGCTGGTGCAAAATATCAGGGTCCGACATTAGAGGCCAGGTCGTTGCAGGACGGGCCGTATGTTGTGTCCCAAAGTGAGGGGACCATTTTGCTTTTCCTCTCCCCCTTACCCCCCCTTCCCAAAAAAAAAAACAAAAAAAAAAAAAAAGCAATAAGAAGGGTGGGGTTGCGAAGCAGGGCCATTGTGAGCTGTACAGACTACCGCCGAGAGCGCGGCAAGTAGATAGGCCACCCGGTTGTCTCACTGGCCAGATACTCTCCCGCCCCCTTTTTCTCTGCCCATGTGTTTGCACCAGGTCCGGCCCTCCAACCCTTATCCCGGTCCCTACCTGAGACTGACAAAGAAGAGTTGACGGCTTGGGGGGGGGAGGAAATATGGACCCAGAAAAGGGGGCGTTCCGTAGTGTGTCGAGGAGGAAGGCTCTCGAGAGTGCACCGTCAGTCTTTTGGGGATGATCATTGCTGCTCCTCGTTTCGGCAGCCTTGGCCGGAGCGATGGTAGGCCGGCTAACGCCCAAAGGAAGATGGCAAGGTAAGCCACTCACTCGGGGTTGAGCGACGGGGGTTCCTGTATCTAGGCAGGTAAGCAAGCCCGGGAGAGAAGGGCGAAGTACGGACGTAATAAGCAAGAAAAGCAAGAAAAGACGATCGCCAACGAAAGCGGCAAGAGACAAGCGGGTGGGGTTTGGTTCCCCCTCGTCTTGACATGAGATGGCTCAAGACGGGGAAGACCGAACGCATCGTTGTCTATAGACCAAGAACTGCAATGGCTGTCCGAAACAACACGGAATTGTATCACGGGTCATCCCCCCTCTGTGAAAGAGAGCCCCCAGCGTTCTATCGCCCTTGGTTGGTCTTTCCAACACACACAACCTTTCGACAAAATTAACGACCATAACAAGAGTGGTATCCTTCCATCAGCATCTCGATCGAATCCCAGTTGAACCGGGTGGTAAGTTAGTCATAAACAAAGAAAGATAATGAAACCGCACGCCTCCGACCGTATGCTGGGGAAGAAAATAAACTGCCTGCTGAGGTAGGTGTCATCCCTTTCGTCCCTAACCAGGTCCCATACAAATACTCCTTTCCCGTTGTCTTGCCCAGGGTCGCAGACGATGCCGAAAACCAATCCCAAGCTGCACATCTTGTGAGCCAGACATTCCCAAGTGTCTCGTCCCCGCCCGCATCCGACCAAGCAAGAGTCTCATTCCAGAGATCGATGAAAGCGCCGGAGGGAAGAAGCAGATAAAACGCGGAATCGGCTGCTTGCGCACCGATTTGGCCAACGCCGAGCGACACAAGATCTATAGGTATATGTCGCCTCCCTTGCCGGCAACCCAGCGGCGCCATGCTTCTTCGTAAGCATCCTCCAAATCACGAACCCATCTCCGAGTGTCGAAGAGGGCGCAGCTCCACTTGCTTCTCCAGAGTAGTCGCCTCAACTCGGACAACCTCCCAGAGCCCTCGCCGTAGCCCTTAGCGGTGCTGTATGACAGGCTCGAGGCCAACTTGATAGCGAGATCCTCGTACTCGGCCTCGTCGGTCGCAATGAGTTCCTCGGCCGCCCGGTCGCCCTCGGGCCCCTTGGGGAGGGCGCCCTTCAGGATCGATGCAGCCATGCGCGAGCACATCTTATATTGGTATCTGGAGAGGGTGAGAAGGGGCGTGCTAGACCATAGAACATCGGCTGCGGTGGTGTGCGCGTTACACTCGGGGGTATCGAGGAAGATATCGCAGACCCTTGCTCGCGAGATGTGCTGCTGCTTCGGAGCAACATCGGTGAAGACGATGCGGTTCGCAACCTCCTCTCCCGCCCATTGCTTTGCAGTCCGCTTCAAGTTGTTCTCGCCAAGTTCGGGGAATCGAAGGAGCCAGAGAACAGCATTAGGAACGGCGTCAAGGATGCGAAGCCAAGTCCGAAATGTGGTGGGATCAATCTTGAGCCATGCATGTTAGCCCGAAATCCCATGGGAAGGCGGGCGGGAGAGGAGCAATGGAAAAACAACGTACCTTGTAGAGCTGGTTGAAATTACCCATGATGATTTTGTCATCCGGAAGGCTTGGGAACAACTCCTTTCGCATTTTCCACCGCCTTCGCTGTTCTTCTTCCCACGACATGGCCCTGTCGCCAGACCCGTCAGCGGATTGGGCGTGATCACAACAGAAGAACGTGTCTCTGCAGAAGATGATATTCTCCGAATAAATCCAGCCGTCAGTCTCAGAGGCTTCTTCGTCGCGGAACACGTCCTTGAGACTCAGGTTACTGCGATGGGGCCGCAACGTCGAGGGCGGGATGGCGGTCTCATCGGCTAGAAGATAATCGCACCACTCCGCACCAAGAGTGCCCGCAAAGCCCATAAATGACATCTGGATGGGAGCAGGGCGAGCTGCAAATATCTCATTGCGAGCGCCGCGCGTATAGCCGTTGAGGTTGACCAGGATGTGGATTTCATCCTCGACGATTTGGCCAATCAGCCTGTCGGATGACCAGTTGCTCACATCTCGGAACACAGGGGCCTCCTGCTCGATCTGCTGGCGGTGTATTGATCTGTCGCTGGATGTGGTGGCATAGCAGAACGCTTTGGCTCGCTTTTGGTCATGAAAACCAAAGACAGATTGCATCCTACGCATCCATGTTAGCTACCACTCTTGTTGGTGGGACGATCGAGTTCCAAGGCTTGCGAAACTTACAGATGTGCCAAGGGGTGGTTGTTGAAATCGGATGACACGTAGCCAATGTTCAACTGAGGACTGGGTGGCCTAGGTGGCTCATATACCGATGCCGGGAGCCAGGGTGACCGGAGCGTGGAGCACGATATCCTAAGCGCGTTCCGCTGGGAGATCATCCTGATGTCTTTGGCCCTCAAGGGGCAGGTGAATGTATGGAAGGGGAGGACCGTGGGGGCGGATGGGATTGACAAGCTGGCAGGAAGTCTCGGCCGGAGGTAGCCGGCTGAAGACTGGACACCCCGTACGTATTTGTCAAGGTACCAATCTCGCATGGCAACCCGACAGAAACGTTCGATCAGGCGAAGGATTCGGGAACCTTCCCATGGCCGGCCAGCCCATCGGCGCAGCTCCGAAACGACATCGACAGAGCCGTCACCAAAGCTAAACCTGACGTCGTTGAGTTGCGAGGCTAGCTGCAATAGCGTGTCTTCCTGGAGGGACCCGCAACCCCAGGACGAGGCATCCTTCAGTTGTCTGCCAACCATGTCGACGACTCGCTTCATCAGGCCGCTCCCCTGTCTCTGGGTCCGGACATCTGTGAGCATCCCCGTTCCGTCGACATGCCAGCGATCGTACTTTCCACCATACAGAACCACGCCACCGCGATCCCTCCAATCGCAGACCGAGTTGAGAGCAGTCGAGAGGCCACAAACAGCTTCGGCAAAGTCCGGGTTCGAGTTGACGGCTCGCCTATAGTACATGATCGCATCGTTGATGCGACCTCGGTCTTTGACCGCGTTTGCAAGGTTCGTGAGGGCAATGTCAAAGTTGCCGTCACACTGGACGGCCTTCTCGTACATGTGAATCGCGGAATCGAGCTGCCCGATGTCCTTCAGAAGGCTCCCCAGGTTCGTATGGAGATGCACGTGCTTAGGGTCAAGCGACAATCCATAGTGATAATAAGCCAGGGCGAGCGCAAGCCCACTGCCTGGGACAATGCCGGGGATATTCTGGCATAGGGCGGCCTCGGTAGCCGCCGGAGGTTGCGAGACGGGCTGCTGAACGCTGGCCAAAAGAATGCCGACGTTATTGGCGGTAGACGGGCTTTCTTGCAGAGACAGTGACAAGTAATACAGAGCTAGGATATCCCCAATCCCTGTCGGCTGTCTCATGAGTCCAGGGGTTGAGCCTCCAGTAGACATGGCGTCCTGGAAAATCTTGGCGAGAGAGAGTAGAGAATTGCTCGTCGTGGAAACCGCCGCCTTCTTGTGACTGCCGCCCGGAATGTACCGAAGACCGGGAAGTTGACCATTGTTGGACGAGAAGACCAGCTGGGCTGTGTGCTTGGCTTTCTCAGGAGGTAGCAATAGCGGATCTGCGAGCGCCTTTTGTGCATAGTTCCGTGACGGCAATCCCTGAGCATCTTTCGGGGCTAGTACCATTTGTATCATGTGAATGAGGGACTGCACTCGTCGTATTTTTCGTCCGGTACTGATCAGAACCGCTTCCTCGAAAGCTTCAGACGCCCGATCAACATCCTTCAGCGCATAAAGCATGTTGCCCTTGGCGTGGATAAGAAGGAGCATCCGGCCATTCTCGCTCCCTGGGATCGCATAGCCACTGGAGCCAAAACCGGGCTGGTTGTTGCCCGTGTCAAGGCTGGAGAAGGGAATTTCTGGACTGTCCTTGTCGGTATCTAGAGCGAAGGAATCGGATGCATGGTCGGCTGCTGAGGCAGTTGATGACATGTCCGTCTCACTGGCAGTTTCGCTGGCCTGGTCACGGGCCACCCCTGGCCGCGGTATCCTTAGAACTCGCTGAACGAAGTTGACAATGTTCACCGCTTCTTGGCTTCGCTGGTTCGAACAAAGGAGTCCGACAAGGTGCTCAACTGCCTCCAAATAGCTCGGGCGTATCTTGACTGCCCGTGCCCAATGTTTTTCGGCCTCTTCCTGCCGATTCAGGCAGTACAGCGTTGCTGCAATATTCGAGATAGCCTCGACGTGACTGGCCAAGGTTAGCAATCTGCGGGGAAGGAAAAGAAAGAAAGGGGGCCCAAGGGGGACCACGGGGAGTAGCAGTACCTCTCATCTAAACTGATGATGCGCTTGAACCACTCAAGTGCCTCCTCGTAGTGTTCAAGTCCGTAATGCAGACAGCCACCGAGTAACATCCCATCGGCCCATTTCCAGCCGCTGTGCTCGCAAAGATTCGACAGCACCTCAAGCGAAGCTCTAGCACTAACGAGGGGCGAGCTCACACCGTGGGAATGAGCTCGATGGCCAACGTTTGCGTAAAGACTGTCAACACGGTTATGCATGCGTGGGTTGCCTAATATCTCGGCCGGAACGGCGGTATGGACGCCCGCATGCTGACCCACAACACCATCGGGAACCCCCATCGAACGAGGGTCAGTCGGACGTCCACCAAAGGTGAAGGCCCGGGCCGGATGGGGCGGCTTTCGAACGAGGTTCTGAGGGTTTATGGCCGCAGGGTCCGTAAGGGTATGGGACGGCCGAGGTCGGGCCTGGCTCAAACTTGAGCTCAGCTGCTTGGGTGGCCTAGGAAAGACTACCATCTTGGACGAAGATCGTGACCCCAATCCTGGCTTGCTGTGAGTCTTCCTGGAGTGGCTAAGATAGACCAGAAGATCGGCATATGTCTGGTGGGCCTGCGCAAGCGCCCGTTCCTTAAACCGGGCATTTGACGAACCCTCGCGTATCGTGCTCTGCGGGGCCCGGGGGTTACCTGAGCCTAAAGAGAGTGCCTCTAGTCTGTGATGGGTGGTGTTCACCACGGGATGGCCCTGCCCGTAGCGGGAGAATCCGTCGTCGAGAGGATGGCTGGAGAGGTGCGTTCTGAACGGTTGGGTATGCCCTAGCAGCGGGCCGTTAGCATGTCCGGGGTGAATCATCGGTTGCGAAGGCATGAATGCACTGTCGACGGCCGCATTCTGGGGGATGAAGCCCGCAGCAAGGGGAGCAGACGGGCGGTAGTCGGACAGGCCCCCGTCTCTCCAAACTGGAGATTGCTGGAATCCTGCAGGGCTGAACACGGCGGGGCTCAGGTTTTGATGATAGCCAGGCCCAAGAATGGGCTGCATGGCCGGGGCAGGCGGGTAGTTATGGTGGGCCATAGACTGCAAAAGGGGTGCATGCGCATGGTCTCCGGGAGAGTGGTCCTGTCGAGCCGGTGTTTGTCCCGCGCCGGCCCATCCACCAAACGACGCAAGCGCCGAATTCAGATTTTCGATTGCCTGGTCGGGGCTATTTGTCACCGTGGCGGCCGAGTACGGCCATCCCGGGTTGGGGGGAGGCCGCGGCCGGCCAGTTGAAGACGGGTTCGAAGGCCGCTGGACAACGGCGGTGGGGTAGATCTTTGAGTTTGCCGACACAATCATATGCTTCAAGGGCGGAGGGCCTGAAGCAAGATGGGCCATGGATCCATCGTACCCGTTGTCGATTGTCCCGTTGGGGGTCTTCCGTCGGAGCGAGTGCTCATTGTTGTTGGAGGCGCGGGCGTGGATAAAGGAGGTCGTGATGCGGTGGAGAGCAGGGGCGGCAGACGGCTGGGAGGCACGGATGGGAAACGCACGCTGCGACTGGTCGGCATTATGATACGGATTCGAGGGTCTCGAGGGCGGAGATTGGTGATGGATGGAGAAGAAGCCGGGTTCGAGGTGCGACTGGAAGGATGGGAGGTGGTCGAAATGGGGAGGGCCCTGCACCATCTGGGGGTGCATCTGGAGTAGGGGAAGCATGAGGGGCGGATGTCCTCGTCAAGAATCAACGGGCAATTTAGAAAATGAAGCGAAGTTCGGATGGGAGGAGCGAGGAGTGCAAAAGAGCGACCGCCTGATCGATGCGTCATTGCCTGCCGTTCAGAGCATGGCAGTGGTTGCTACTCCGGCATCTGAGCGGAGGGGCGCGCGGCGGGCGGGAGCCAGCGCCTACGACGGAACCTCGATTAAGCAGAACGGTGTCTCCTAATGCCTCTGCCCGCCAGACCTTCGCAAAGAAGGCGGGCACGAGAAGGAGAGAGGGGGAGAGCGAGAAGGAGTTTGGCGGGGGAAGTGAGGGGTGGATTCGTAGGCGAGCTGGACTGAAGGCGGTGATAGTTGTTAAATTGGTTGTTAGTTCGATGGGGGGAGGCGTGGGCGGGAGTCTAAAGCCAAAAAGTGGAATGGCGCTTTTTTAGGAAGGTAACAAGTACCAGCTACGTCGTTAGGCGGGCGGCGGTAAGGCGGTTGTGCCATTATGGGCTGCTGCTCGGGAGACCTGCACCGCCAGTGGAGCCCGGCCTCATTTTCCTTGACCGCCTGTGAAGAGGTTGCGTTACGGCGTTACGGGCTATTACATGGCCGTTGCCAGTTACTTCCGGCAGGTATTGTACATACATTAAGCACTAGGTACCTACCTACCTACATAATACTTTACGTAGGTAGGGACTCCTCTCGTTCTATTTTCCTTTTTTCTCTGCACTCTGCAGTGATACACTCTAACGAGTAAGAAGAAGATCAGATCTATAAACCGGTCTCAGCGGGTTGCGCGGCACGTCTTTTGTGATTTCCATCTGTTTTCGTGCCCTCCGGCCTCCACTCTGGGTACCCCTGGCTGGCATCCATACGAATAATTAACTGGAACATCCACCCGCTAATAAAGGCAGAGAGGGCTCATCCCCGCACCTCAGCGCACCGCACTTTAAGCGATCAAGCATTCCTCTCTGGGAGACATGTTTGGAACCCAACCCGCAATCCAGCCAATCTTTACTACAGCCAATCCTCACTCCAGTCACGGCCCCTTGATCGAGCGGAGAAGGGCAACAGCCAGCGAGCCAGCCAGCCTCCGGATATACCTACGTGGACAGATCAACACTTCTGGGCGCGTGGCTTACACTTAGAACTTGGCAGCCTGAGCCCTTGAGAGGGCCATTCCATCACACTTGCACACGCCTAACCGCGCCCCCGGTCACACAACCACACCCTCCCCCGAATCCCTGCATTGGCCCTGCCAGGGTCTGACAGCAGCCACTAATACTACGAATACCTGCATGCGTATGCGTATTCAGTAATAATCCGTACTTTCTTCCTAAGTTCCTGCACACCCAAAAAAGTCCCTGGCAGGACTTCCGAGCAAACGGCAACAGCAAGGTCGTCAAGTCTGTTTTCGGCTTGTCTAGACCATCCCATCTTTGTTGCCCGAAGACACCCCCCAACCCTGCTGTTGGTCCCCGCCGGCGTCAGATGTTTTCTTCTCGGCGGGTTAATCTCGGGGCACACACTGGAAGAGTGTGCAGTGGTCGTCGTGCGAATGCAAGGATGAGGATCTTGGCGCTGATCATCCTGATCATACTGATCATCCTGCGCCTCGCCTGGGCGCCTCCCACCGCCCCCGTTCATGCGGGCGGACCCTATTGCGTTTTGGAGGGGTGGATGGGTGGTAGGGATCCGTGCAATGCCACCAGTCTGAAGTGTAACCGGAAACGTTTATTAACTGCTTGCTTCGTCGGGCTGCGGCTGCCTTGGAATTGAAACTGCACCTTGGGAACACTAACCTGGCGCCTAGCTCCCGTCGCCTACAGCCTAAGATGCTGATTGATTAAAGGGCACACTCAACCCTGCCCGGCCAGCAGTCAACATGTGAGGACTCCTTGCTCCTGTTTGATGGATGCTACCGGGGGAGGGGGGGAGCAACTCTAGCCTTCTTGGCTTCCTCCCGCAGAACCAGGACCAAGGTACCTACATACTATGTGCAGCTCCATGCAAGAGATTTCATGTCAGCCCGGGCTGGGAGAAAGAAAGCCTGCCGCTGCTCCGTCTGACGGCTCTCTCATCCCCGAGCCGCGGCCGGCAATTTGACCGAGCACGGCGGTTCCATCATTTTCTCCCCCAGGGGCGGCGAGGGAAATACGGCTCGGCTATAAATACGACACATGCCTGAACCCCCAAAAAAATGGAACCAGGACTGGGATTGAAAACTGTAATTTTGCATGGTATTCTTCTTCGTCTTGAATGCACACCGTATACACAAATGCCCTCTATGGATCACCTCGGAAACAAAGGAGCAACTAGGGCTAGGGTCAAAATAGCCCGGGGCACAGAGGAAGACAACGCAAAGACGACAAAGGAAGCACCGGCCCTTGATGATCTGATATGATCTCCAAAAGAAAGGGCAAATCAATGGGGCGTTTCAAATGCATCATCCCAACCGAGTGACACGATATCATACATTAGGTGCCTGTGGGTAGGTGGTTTGAGGCCGCTCAACTTAACAAGCACATCCATCCCGGTCGTTCTCAATGTGGATGTTGATGGGATCCTGGAAGTCTCCACTGAACTCTTCGGATTCCTCTTGAAGCAGAGCATTCCGGGCAATAACTGTCTCACTGTTAGCAAGGCTCCGGGCCCGGATGCGCCAAAGGGGTATGGAGTGGATTGTAGTACCTTCAAATGCCTGCTCAACGTTGATTGCCTCCTTGGCACTGGTCTCGAAGTAGGGTATGCCTCCCTTTGATTGACAGAAGGTCATTGCCCGCTTGGTCGAGATCTAGACCAAATCAGCATTTCGCCACAAGATAAGCGAGAGGGGAAGAAAGCTATGCCACATACAACTCTCTTGCTGTCCTCGACATCAATCTTATTCCCTAGGACAACAAAGGGGAAGTTGTCTGGGTCTCTGGGCGATGCTTGGATCAGGAACTCATCCCGCCAGCTGTCCAGCGCATCAAAGCTCTTGGAGTTGTTAACGTCGAACACCAGCACGCAGCAGTCAGCTCCTCGGTAGAAGGCGACCCCTAATGACTGGAAACGTTCCTGGCCTGCAGTGTCCCACAGCTATCCCGTTGTCAGGTTAGCATCTGATGCCATGCCAGAGGTCTTCTATTGCACATCTCTCGCACCTGCATTGTAACCTGGCGGTCATCCACCAACACCTCTCGCGTGAGGAAATCGGCCCCGATGGTAGCTTTGTAGCTGGCGCTGAACTTCTTGTTCACCTGGAATGACGGATGCAGTTAGAAAATGGGCCTTGTCTTTGTAAGATGGGGTAAAGTGCCAGGTCTCTCTGTTTCGGACTTACATATTGGTTCATCAAGCTTGTCTTTCCCACACCGCTATCGCCCAAGATAATGACCTATTCCCATCATTAATCAGCAGGCTGCAACAAGCGCTGAGTTGTAACCCTCATCAGGCCTACCTTCAGGAGGACCTTCTTCCTGGAAGCCATGTTGGCTCAGCTCTTGTGAGGGCCGGCGGCGTTTATCGATGACGTTAGAGGCTGGGGAGGCGGCAATCTCGAGAGATTGCGACGATGAGGTTGTTGGATCAAAATCAAGGCAAAAGCAAGGAGGAGTGCTCGGGTCGGATGTCGCTTGCTAGTTTACTCAGGTTCCTGGCCTGTGAATCGATGCTGCAGCTGGCGCATAGAGATGTGATCTGGACTTGATTGTAAGAAGCCCAGGCACATGAGGTAGGCAGGTACGGAGGAGGAGGTAGTCCTTGGAGCTCAGATGGGGAATATGGTGGCAGACCAATCATATTGCCCAAATATTGTTGGCCCATGCGGAAACTAGGCAGGTTTTAGACTAGTCTAACAGTAGTTACATCAGCAGCTACCTCCTGATATGGATAATCCCACCGCCACGCGACCTCCGACTATAGAGCTACCTAAATATCCAGCAACAAGACAACCCCTGCTTGTCTGCCACACCCCGATGGAACTGGAGCTGAAGAGCGAGGGCCGGCTCGATGGCGGATGAACATCTGCTCCGCAAGATCCACAGTCTCAGCGACCTCGAGCTCGCCGTCCTCCTCTCCCTTGTCGCGAAGGAGCACTGCCTGGTCAGCACTCCGGCCCCGGCCGTCGATGAGCTCGTCGAAGAGCTGCGCCTGATCTCGATCAAGACCTTCGGCCTCGCCCCCGCCGTCATCTCGTGCCACCCGCACACCACCCTCGACGACTTCGCGACCGCCCTCCTCCTACCCCACTCTCCCCAACGGCCCACGTCCCCCAACCGTCTTGCTCGCCCTCCCCATGACCCGCCAGCCTCGTACTTCCCCTCCCATCCTGGCTCCGGCCGCCGCCACCACAACCACCACCACCGCCCCCGCGCTTACCAGCAGCAACAGCAGCAGCAGCAGCAGCAGCAGCAGAAACCATTCTCCCCCCTAGCCCCCGCCCATATCGCCAACGTGGTGATAGCCAAGAACCTTGACCGCGCCCCAAAAGCCGTGCAGATCCAAGCCCTAGAGCTGCTGCGCACCCGCCGCGTCTTCACCCGCTCGGCCGTACAGGCGGCGCCGAGGCAGTTCCTGTTTGTCGCCGCCGTCGCGGACCCCGGCCCCGGCCATGGCCGCAGCGGTGGCGGCGGCGCACGCGGGGAGCTGACGCCCCACCTGAACGACCTCCTGTACCTGGCACACTGGCATGACCCCGAGGACGGCTTCGCGAACCTGGACGGGGAGCCGCCGGCGCCGCATCAGCCGGGCTGGGACGCAGACGCAGGTGTGGATGTGGATGTGGATGTGGATAGCGCGTCGACGGCGTCGAGCGAGAGCGTCGTCAAGACGCACGGCTCGGGCCCGCGGTCGGCGAGCCTCGTCTTCCAGGCCGACAACGACCGGGACAACGGGAGCGGCAGCGGCAGCGGTGGCGGGCAGCCGATCATCACGGAGGCGGACCTGTCGCTGCTGGCCTCGCTCGGGGCGCGGGCGCGCGTCGACGTGGACGTGGTGCGGTACCGGATGAACGTGGTGTCGTTCCTGCGCATGCACCGCGCCGTGGCCGGGGGCGTCTCGCCGGCGGCCACCAAGCACCTCGAGCGGCTGGCCGGTTGCCTCGCGCCGCTGCACGGCCTCGACTACGTCACCCCGTCGCTGGTGGCTCTGGCGGCGAGGAAGGTCTACCTGCACCGTGTGCGGCTGGTCTCGCCGGCGCACGAGAGGAGTATGCAGTGGGGCAGCGATTTGGCGGCGATCGAGGCTGTTTTGGAGGGAGTTGGCCCTGCGGAAGTCATTGAGGATGTCCTCAGCATGGTTGCCGCACCTGTCTGAGGCTCGAGAGGAATAGCTGCAACTGGGCGGGCAGCTGTGGCGATGCTGGTTGACTCCCTAGCATAACGGACTACTTTGAGAGTGAAGCGACGCTTTATCGTCTAGATACAAGACAAGCTGAAAAAGCTTTAATTACTGGGTTAATATGCTAATATTCTAATATTCATACACTTTCCCGTGACTCTTCATTATAAGTTCGCCTGCCTTTTTAGCACCGATGACCGTACCAGCAGCTCACAATGTCCCAGACCTAGCGCCGATTAAGGACAACCCAAACCGAATCTCGCTAATCTTCATGCTTCTTCTTCTCCAACTTAGTGCACCTCGCTGATCTTGCATTGCCAGCCGGATCCCTTCGCCAACAACGGCAAGCTATGGAACGGTTAGAAAGACTGTGTGTATGAGGGCCGTATGGAGGGGTCAAAGGGTCATGTTCTTACCTAGCACCCAAGCACCAGCCGAGTTCGTTGTCCTTGATCTGCTTCGCGATCTTGATTTCACGCTCAATCGGCATCTCATATCCAGTGTGGGTCAGAGCCAGCATGAAGTTGAGATCCATGCAATGCTCAGGCCGATCACGCAGCTCCTCGAGAGCTCCGGGAACGTGGCTGAAGACGTCCCAAGCCGCCTCGCCGCTGCAGACTGTGCTCGTCAGGTCGTGCATCTCCCTGAGCGTGAACGACTCCGGCATGCCGAGGGGCTGCGTCCGGTCGTAGAAGTAAGACAGGAAGTAGATATCTTCCTTCGCAAAGGTCTTAGCGATGGAAGGCTGATGGATGCCGTTGAAAGAGCATGGCGCCAACTTGCACTCGGCCTCCTTCTTCAGAATCCGCTCTGCGAGGGCCCGACATTGAGCTGGAGCAGGGGTCGCAGGACCCGTCATGTTAAGCTCCACGATTTTCCCCAGTGGGTGGTCCTCCGGCATCCGCACCGACACCTTCTTGGTCATGCCGGACGAAAAGCAAGGGTTTGTGACAGCTGCGTCCAGCCATGCCCGGTCAGACTCCTTCGCCTTATGAAGCTCATCGACGAGGGTGGAGAAGATGGCATCACGGGCACTCATCAGGCCGTAGTTAAGATGAGAGTGCTGGTACAACGTGAACTTTCTGCCGCCAAAGTCAAGCTCGTACTTGTGGTCGCCGTCAGCCAACTTCTCAGGCATACCGCCAGATGCAAGTCCCTTGAGCCTCGGCTCGAAGACGATCTGCGTGGATCCTCCACCAAGGTCGAGGACGGCGGCGGTCTCGCTCTCTTCAGGCCCGCCGATATTGCCCAGGAGATAGTTGGTTGTGATCCAGGCGTAGACACCCTCGTCGGAGCCATCCATGATATCGATGCCATGCTCCTCCTTAGAGACGACCGGGAATGGATAGTTGGTCTCGAGGTGGTGTCGAACAGCATCCAGGATCTTGTCGCTCTTCGCGGGACCGATAAGACGCAGGCCAGCCGTCGCTTTGACGGAAACGGGACTGCAGGCCTTCAGCTTATCAGGCACAGCCTTCATCGCCTCCTCCATCAGAATGTCCAGGCTCTTGGCCGCGGCCTCGGGGTCGTCGGCATATGCGCTAAGGCCACTGCTCTTGCCTTCAATCTTCTTGGTCTGCTTGAAGAGTTCGCTCTCCAGCTCGGGGGTTGGGCCACAGTTGTTGAACTTGTAGACGTGGATTCTGGATCCCGTGCTGCCGGCATCGATCATCAAGACATATTGAACGATGGGCTTGTCGCTCGAGCTGGATCGCGTGCACCGTTCGGTGCCGTATGACGAGTCCGACGGTGATTGGCCCTGGCCAATATTGCCTGACGGCGATTCTACCAGGAATGTCAGTAGGGAACGAGTCGCGGTTCACAAGTGGTTCATACCGCCATTGTAAATATCGACTCCCGAAGGCGACAGATAGTAGAAGAGGAAGAAGATGGCGAACACTATTGCGCCAGTCTTGATCCAACGCGCCCTCTGCGACTGCGACATCCAGGCGGAATGCATATTAGCCAGAAATCCAGGCTCCCTCTGGTCGACTTGGTAGCGGCCGCGTTTCTCGTGAGGGTCGTGGGCAACGTGCTTCGTTGGCAGAGATACCGAAGTGCGCCGCATAGGAATGGGTAGGTAGTTGGAATTTCGAAAGCAGAGGCTGAAATGGAGGGAGAAACAAGATCAGGAGCACATGCCAAGATTTGGAAAAAAGGGGCCAAAGGAGGGACTGAATGAGAAAGCAGGAATTATGGCAACCGCCTCTTTCCTGTATTAAATGCAGGGTCTGCAGTATGAGTGACCTTCTGAAGAGAATGGCAATCAGGCCTTGATGGCTTGATGCTGAACGACCTGAAGAAATCCCTGGTCTTTTTGTTCTGGGTTCGAAATCTCTGGCTTCACATTTGGCCTCGAAATCTACAATCTGGACAATCCCTGTGCTGACAAAGCACCCCTGTCATGCATGCTCCACATCCCCAGCATTCCATGGTCTACACAGTACAAGGTACCTGGAAGACCCCCTTTATCTTGCACCTGGACTTGCCAAGTCCAAGGTAATATCATGGTTAATATCATGGAACCTTGGATGTTGCTTTGTTGGCAGACAGGCGTACACCTAGTGGAGCTCCTCTTCCATTAAGGATTTTGGAGGAAAGGAGAATAGTGGAGGTTAAGCTCCTCCCGATCTGCCCAACCCCGAAAAATAATTGCGGTAAGCGGCATTGCGTCGGGTTCCATGGTTTATAGTTTATAGTTATCGTGATCTAATGCTGCGCGAGGATGATATCATGATGCCGCCACTGTTGAGCAGCAGCTCATGCAGTCCAATGCGCGCGGCAACTCTATCTGGACACCCTTGCTTATGGATTCTCTAAGTCCTCTTCAATCCCTTGCCAAGCAACTCCAACCCTATTTCAGAGACCAGTGCCATATTCGGGAAGTGCTTCCTCTTGGACAGGACAGTGTCTTCCGCATCCATCGTCCTCAGTAAATCCGAAAGCTCGCCATCCAGTGGTAAGCGGTACACGAGATAACCCAGGGCCCGAAGCATCCCTTCTAGTGCTTCCGAAGATGATTCCTCCTGCGAGATGGCTTCCAGCGTGGAAGCTGCCAGCTCGATTTGATCTCCTTCTGCCAAGACGTCTCCTGGGCCGTCCCTGCGCTTCAAGCTGTTGTATAAAGAAACATCGAACAGCAATGAAGCGGCAGCCACCCTCACACTACTGTGGTTATCGTCAAGGAAGCTCGTTGAGATCAACATTGTTATAGCTGTTCTGAGTTTGTCGTAGCCGAGTATCTGGTCCGGATATAGCGGGCTGGTGAAGAGATTGCAGGTCATCTGCAAGGCCACTAGTCGCAGAGCGTATGGGCATTCTCCGAGCCCGTTAACGTACTCCAGGACCGATAACACTGTTTGATGCCCCTTCTCCTCGGCCATATATCCGCTGAACCGGGGATCGACGAGGCCGCATCTGAGGAGGTCGATAACAGTAAACATGAGCTCAGTAGGAAGCCTCTGGATAGAATCGCGCACGAAGGCCGTGAATCCGCCCATATCCGGAAGGCTTGCCTCAGCGGGGCCTTCACTCGACCGGAGCTCGATAAACTTTTTGATACCCTGGACCGAAGGATCCTCGGCCGCCGAGCCCATCTTGGCGAGCAGCTTTGGCAGGGGAGGTATTTTGGTGAAAATGACGGGTTTTGCGTTCGGGTTCGACAAGGTAGGCAGGTTCAACGACTGGTGTGGATGTGGAGGCCAGGCCATCTGCACTAGGAGCTGTACATTGCCCCTCAGGGCACTGGGATCAGCACCAGTCCACCGGTTCTCTTGTTGGCCCCGAAGGAAGGTGATGAACGTTGGTGTGGCCGAAACCGAGTATTTACTGCCAACATCATATGCTTGCGAGATATCGACCTTGATGAGAACGCCTTTGTTGCCAACCTCGGCTGCCAACTCATCATAGACGGGATAGAGCGTCCTGCACGGAGCGCAGGTAGCTGACGTGAAGAAAATGACAGCACAGGAATTCTTTGCGGTCAACAGGTGCGATTCAAGAGCCCCGTTATCGGCAATGTTTCTCACTACTGCCTGATGATGGTGGAACTCCGCCGTCGGCTTGCTAGAGCTACCGGCTGAGCTCTCTTGGATGCCGAGAATACCGCCGCCACGTTTTTTGGCGTTTATTTGCTGGTTAAGGGCTGGAAGGAGCATTCTGCCCATCGGCGAGTCGAGAACTGCTTGAGGCATGTTGACGATATGATCCGGTATTCCCCTGCCAAGCAGGAAGGTGGCCAAGTCGTTCGAGAAGTTATTGCAGTTATGCTTCCAGAGGTCATATGCCTGGCCTCTGTCTTAGTAACGACTTTTTTGTTATGCGCACTTCGCCCTCCTTACCTCGACCGTGTAGATCTCCCTCAACGAGTCCAAGAACTCCTCGATAACATCCATGGGCAGCTCGGTCCGACCGAGGTGGATTTCCTCCAAAGGTCGACCAAGATGGGAGGAACCAGGGATAATGGAGACCACAGCGCCATCATAGACATATTCTAGGCTGTTCAGTTTGATAGATGTATGATATATCGCCTCGAGCTGGAAGCCGAGCAGCTGTGCGGACATCTGCCTGGCCAGGCCCCCAGAGAGGTCGTAAACAAGCAAATGGACATCCATATCTCTCACCAGGGGCTCAAAGATGGAGTTGAGACGTTGGCTAGATAAAGAAAGATAAAGATAAAGCAGGATAATAGGATAATACACCAGCTGAGAATGCCAGTCGGAGTTGAGAACCTAGTCGATGAGAGGAAGAGAGATGGCGAACTTGCCTTCGAGAGCCGTACAACGACTCTTGGACTCCTATTATAGATCCAATGAGTCTGGTGATACAGGAGGCAGCAGAATGTCTACGAAGCTGGAAGGCGATGTTGGAAGGCAATGCTGGAAGGCAACCCAGGTAACGCGTAACGGACCGAGTTGCTGATATCGGTTAGTGCATATCTACTCAAATCAATATCACATTCTATTTGCATATTCCTTTAGATGCACAGATCTAGATGCACAGATCCCAGATTGGCTAGGACGGCTGACAAGGATACATACAACCCCTCCCCCTGGCATAGCGCTTTGCCCTGGCAACAGCTCACCCATGTAAACAAGCTAACTCAAGTCCTATCGGTCGCCCTCTAAGACGAAAAGAAATCGGATGTTCAACCTTCTTGAACAACGCTTCCATGATATCATCACGGATATCAGCGAGACTTTGATTGGAATGTCACTTGATCCGCGACTCATGCCAAACGTTGCGACAAACGAATTAGCCCTGCGGACTGTCCGCTCGTCTGCATCGACGCCCTCCCTTCGATCTCGCGATGGCACCGTTCCGCCACACGCGAGAATGGACCCGGGAGGAAATGTCAGAGTTGTGGTGAGGGTTCGGGCGTTTCTGCCTCGAGGTAAGTCTTATGCGGCCTTCAATCTGCGCGTTTGGGGTATTGAAATGGCATGTTGACTTTGAGGTTCACGGACAGAAATCCAGCGCAATGCCGAATGCCTCATCACGATGGACCCCATAAGACAGGTAACAACGCTCCTTATACCAAACGACTCCGATCCAGCCAACAGCCGGGCAAAGTCACGCCGGGTAATCGAAGAGAAAGCCTTCACATTCGACAACTCGTTCTGGAGTCACAACACAGATGACCACCATTATGCGACACAGGAAGACGTCTACAACAGCCTGGGCGAGGAATTCCTCGACCACAACTTTGAGGGCTACCACACGTGCATTTTCGCGTACGGCCAAACAGGATCGGGCAAGTCATACACCATGATGGGCACACCCGACCAGCCGGGGCTCATCCCGAGGACGTGCGAGGACCTGTTTGAGCGCATCGCGCACGCACAGAGCGAGACTCCAAACATCAGCTACAACGTGCGGGTCAGCTACTTCGAGGTGTACAACGAGCACGTGCGGGACCTCCTCGTCCCCGTAGTGCCAAATCAGCCGCCGTATTATCTCAAGATCAGAGAGTCACCAACCGAGGGCCCGTACGTGAAGGACCTGACCGAGGTCCCGGTGCGGAACATCCAAGAGATCCTGCGGCACATGCGGACGGGCGACGCGAGCCGCACGACCGCCAGCACCAAGATGAACGACACCAGCAGCCGCAGCCACGCCGTGTTCACAATCATGCTGAAGCAGATCCACCACGACATGGAGACGGACGAGACGACGGAGCGCAGCAGCCGCATCCGGCTGGTCGACCTCGCGGGCAGCGAGAGGGCCAAGTCGACCGAGGCGACCGGCGCGCGCCTCCGCGAGGGCAGCAACATCAACAAGTCCCTGACGACACTGGGGCGGGTCATTGCGGCTCTGGCCGACCCCAAGCAGAGCCAGTCGCGGGGCGGCAGGCGGCGCCGCGGCGGCGTGGGCGGCGGTGGCAGGGACGCGGTGGTCCCGTACCGCGACAGCATCCTGACGTGGCTGCTCAAGGACTCGCTGGGGGGCAACAGCAAGACGGCCATGATCGCGTGCATCGCGCCGTCGGACTACGAGGAGACGCTCTCGACACTGCGGTACGCGGACCAGGCCAAGCGGATCCGCACGCGCGCCGTGGTCAACCAGGACAGCGTCAGCGCGGCGGAGCGCGACGCCCAGATCGCCGCCATGTCCGAGGAGATCCGGCAGCTGCAGCTCGTCGTCGGCGACAGCCGCCGCCGCGAGAAGGACGCAAAGGACCAGGAGGAGCGTCTCGAGGAGTACCAGGCCCGCGTCGCCGCCATGCAGCGCATGATGGAGGAGAGGGGCCTCGTGGCAGAGGGCAAGATCCGCAGCCTGCAGACCGAGAACGAGGCCCTCAGGCTGCACCTGAAGCTGGCGCTCGAGAGCCTGAAGAACCCCATCCCGCCCGTGACGGTGCGGGAGGTCGGGGGAGGCGGTGGCAAGGGCGGGGTGGTGGTTGGCGAAAAGGAGGTCGGGGCCGGGTCGGAGGACGGCGAGGGGGATGATAAAGAGAACCGCGGCATCATGGCTGATGAGACGTGCTACGAGGATGAGGACGACGGCTATGCGTCCGGCGGGTACGAGAACCAGGCCGAGGATATGCACGACTACATGCAGGGCCTGCTCAAAGACCTGGGAATGTTCAAGAGGAAGATTGGTGACGATCGGCTGAGATTCTTGGGTGATGTGAAAGATGCGAGAGGTGAGAGGGGGGGGAGTGGTCGGAAGCCACTGGGCGTCAAGTTCAACGTTTGAAAATAGGAGATAGAGGCTGGGTAGGAGGCTTGCTACTAGTGTAGTATCATATCACGTATCACGGTAAAGGAGCGACTGGAGTTTGAGGGATGGCCAGCAAGGGAGGGCAGAGCATTGTGGGATACAGGGACCGACTTGGGCGATACATCCTTTATTTTTTTTGGTCTTTGTCTATTTACCTATGCTGTCGAATCGAAACCGCTTTAACTCTCTCTCGAAACTCGAGATATAATGCATATTTGCATGCCAGCCGGGTATTTACCCCTGTGAACTCCGCTTTGAACGCCTCTAGTCGTTCGGATGTATTCTTAACGCCGTCGCTGAACCAGAACCATTTCCCCCCTTGAAAGACCGGTCTGTTCCTTTTTGCCACACTCAGTTGCCGAAACTTTGCCAGTTCACAACTTTAATCTTAATGCGCGTGGGGCTCGGGCCCTCACTTTTCACACCCGCCTTGCTCTCGTCGCCGCTGGAGGTGGTCGATGGCGACGCTGATGAGTCATCTGAGTTGCTCTCGGAGGAAGGTGCAGGTCGAGGAGGAGAGATGGATACTGCGCTCGACCGTGCTCGCTTCTTAGTCACGATTCTGATCTTTGTCGCTGAAGGCGACCCGGAGTTCCTAGTTGAGGAGGACGACTCGGAGTCGGATCTACTATCTGCCTTCCGCTTCTGGGAAGGCTTTTCAGACGCGGAAGCCGGAGAATTGACATCGCTGTCGGAGGTTTCGGTCGATGAGGAAGACGAAGAGGAGGCGGAAGACTCTTGGCCGGGCATCTTCAGCTTCTCCAGCCCACCAACCTCCCGCTTCTCCAGCAGTCCTGCGAGGAGGTTCATCTCGATGTGGGGCTGCGTGGCGGCCTCGTCCTCGTCGAGCTCGAAGCCGGCCCCTTGCTTGGTGCTGTTGGCCAGCCTGGTCTCAGTCTCCAGGTTGGCCTGGGCGAGCTGGTTGATGAACTCGGGCAGGGATTTGAGTAGCCCTGAGTCCCGGAGCTGGGCAGCGTTGACCCGCATCTTGGGCTTGCCTCTTGGTTGCCGGGGGCGGAGGTCGACAATCTCGTCGATCTCCTCGTCGGAGGCCAGGGTTGGCTCTACCCATTCCGGAAATTTCTCCGACTTTGCGGAGTCTCCGTCAGGCTTAGGGGTGACCATGACGGCTTTGGCGAGACGGTCTGATGCTGTAATACTGTCAGTTACGATACATGGACCCTCCTTCTGACTAGTCCAACTTACGGGAAACAGATAGGTTGAAGAGGGAAGGGAAGTCCCTGATCAGACCCACGGCTCGCTTCTGACCGTATCGATTGTATCGTTTCTTGTAGTATCTCTCAGACCAGCTCTTCGCCTTTCTGGTCAGCTGCTTGGTTTCTTCACGGGTGCCGTAGTTGAAATATTGGACGGCGATATCGACTGCCTCGCGGAGAAGAACAATCTCGTCTCTCCTACGGCGTGGGACGTGTCTACACGGCCACATGTCCTTGGAAGTAGAAGAGGAAGAAGACATGATGGAGGTAGTGAAGAAAGGGTGCGATGATGAAGATTTGGATGAAGATTTGGATGAAGATTTGGATGAAGATTTGGATGAAGATTTGGATGAAGATTTGGATGAAGATTTGGATGAAGATTTGGATGAAGAGTTGGATGAAGAGTTGGATGAAGAGAAGACGATGTTGTTGGGGAAGAGACGACGAGGTTTGGGAGGGCGAGACGACGAGGTTTGGGAGGGCGAGAGCAGATATTTAACCTTGCCTCTATGGACGGAAGGTTTGTTCGGGACGAAGATGGAAAGCATACTGGAAGGTAAGGGGGGAGGCGACGAAATATTTTGAGGCATACCTTTCTCCGGAATCCTATTCTCTAAATAGGGGTGTCTGCAAACAATAGGTATTGGTGGCCTCAGCAAGGGATTTGCAGTTAAGGTTCGCTATTGTTCAATGTGCACAATAGCACAATAGGGAAGGTGATTTTTTTCTGAAGAGACAATAGGAGACAAATCAGAATGAACCTCGATGATTGTTGCAATGCCAGAAAATAACTAGATGATTCGGGGAGGTGATTCCCACGACAAGGTTCGGAGAAGCTCACAATGTCAGAGCTACTCGAAGTCAGAACAGGATTCTGCCAGTCGGATGGGACGTTACATAAAAAGATATTATATATATGTGTTGAATGTTTAGATATTTTCGAGTTTGCTTCAAGGAATTAATACAGTCGAGCGATACAGAGACTGCAACGGCGATATCGAACAATCGACTTTGTGGTTGACGTGCGGTTGGAGGCTGGTCCATGTCATTCACTATCTATAAAATATTGTGTTTGCATGCAAGATTTGGTAGCCAACTACCGCCGGAAATATGGAGTGCTGATCAATCTGATTGGGGTGCCTTCAAACTCTAATAAATAAACCTAGAGCTAACTGGCTGGCGTGCCTGGTTCCCTAGGTACGCATGTTCCTGCATAGTATTCCCGGCATAACCTACCAAGGTTTTCGTTTGAAGAATTCAATTCCAATGCGAAAGTTCAGACGAAATGCAGGTACAACCATTTGGCAGTACGCAACCGACCGCTTGCCATTTCATGTAACCTGGCGATCTGGTCGACCAGGTGAGATGCAGCCTTAAAACCGGTCGGCTTGTTTCAGGTCGCGGTTGGACATCCAATCCTCGTTGTTCGCCGTTTCATTAGCACTATCACAAGACGGTAATACTATACGGATACTGCATATAGGTATCTTAAAGCTCTCCTCTCCTCTCTTTCCTTTGCCCTCGCCATTCTCCTCTCCAACCAAACCACTGCTTCCCGCAGTCTGTTCTTTGTTCAGTAGACCTGCCCAATCTGTGAAAGTGTGTTGGCTCCCTTGCCTAGCCACCAGCCCACCGCCTCTCAGCCTGTTGCTCACTTTGCAAAGTAAACTCCCCTATTCGAAGAAGAAGCTGAAACATCAAGAGTCGTTGAAAGGCCTGGTTTCTCAGCCACCGACGTTTGTTTGCTGACTGGCGAGCTACTGCAACTGCAAGCTCCCTTCAAGAGCTCCAACTTTCCCCTCTTCCCCCATCCCCTTTCCCACTCGCCCATCCGCCCGCCTACCTTCCGCCAGCCTGCAACCATGGCCGGAAGACCAGCCCTCTTCACCCGCGGCCTGTCGTCGCTGTCCCAGAGCTCCGACCCCAATTCCATCAGCGCGGCGTCGCCAGCAGAGCAACGCGACGATGCTAAGCGCAACTTCCTCAAGGCCATGCGCCCGCTGCCAACCCAGCACTACTGGAATGTCTACTTCGACCGGTATGTCAGCCCCCTCCTCCCCCCTCCACCCCGTCCCCCCAGGAGAAGTCATTCAGAGATAGAAGAGGCATCTGGCACGAACATTGAGCGCTGACCCCTGGGTTTATCCGCAACTGCGTACAGACAAGCCAAAGACCAGAAGCAGACGGGCGACGACGGCGCCTACCAGGCGCAGCTGGAGCAGCTGGGGACGCAGATCGAGAGCGTGCAGGATTTCTGGCGCTACAACAACAACACCCCGGTCGACCAGATAAAGATGCGCGAGTCCATTTACCTCTTCAAGGCCGGCTTCAAGCCCATCTGGGAGGACCGGCGCAACATCAACGGTGGCAGCTGGACCTTCCGTGTTCCCAAGAGCATCGGGCCCGACGTCTGGACCCGGGTGCAGCTGTTGGCAATTGGGGAGAAGCTGCAGAGCGTCCTGGACGAAGGTAAGCCGTGTCCCCCGATCTTGTCCGCCCTGTTGAGACCAGACAGGCTAATTCGCCCCCAGGCGACCAGATCTGCGGCGTCGGACTGTCGGTCCGCTTCAACTCGCACCTCATCTCCATCTGGCACCGCGAGTCGTCCAAGAAGAAGTCGATCGACGCCATTCTCGAGTGCGTCCTCGAAGAGCTACCCCCCGAGCTGGCCCCGAAGGCAGACAACTACTTCTACAAGAAACACGCCGATCACGCAGGATTCAAGGCGCCGCCAGAGCTACAGGCCGTGCTGGATTCGCAGAAGGCGAGGGACGCCGCCGCCGCTACTGCCGGAGGCCAGGCACCTCAAGGTCCCGCCCCCGAGATTGTAGAGATTCCGGCGACGGGAGAGTTGTGAAGCGCTTGTAAGGGGTATTTCGTTCCGAAAGGATTTAGGATCAGTGGTCGAAATAGACCGAGGAAACACATGTTTTCAGAGATCAGAGAACACTTGAGCCTCGGGATTTAGCATCGGCATTCATGGCGTTGAAATTTTAAGCATCTGGTAGGAAGCTACCAGTCCCACAGAGGCATCACGATGTCTAGGTCGAAGGGGATTACAACATCCTCCAAATGAATCACTTTCCATAGATATTATCTCGTCCAGAGACAATGCAAGGCGCCAGTACGCTGACGCCAAAACTACCTATCATAATGAGCGCCGGTATCAAGGTTCCCGAGGCATGAGGCCTGCCTCCGCCATATCATACAAGCTTCATCTTAATAGTCCTCTTCCGTCGACAGCCATGGCGTGAGTCCATGTAAACCGCTCGGTTCAGCTCGTGGCTAGCGGATTGGCGCTCGGAGTCCTTCCGGGTATCACCCAATTTCCATAACGCCCAAGTCACCCTCTTTTCCCTTGCCTAATGACCTCATTTCCGCGTCGTCAAGGTACCGTTGTGCGCGCCCTTAATCTACTCTCAGAGCTGTCCTCCCCAGCGGGGGCCATCCCCGGATCGATCGAGTTCGGTCGTGCACAACCCCTCCCCAATCACCTCCACACCCCGGCCCTCCTCATGACGCTCTCGAACTCATCCTTATTGACGCCCTTCCCCACGCCCGCCCCACCATTCGCCTCAAGAATCATATCCCTCAGCACGTCGTCGCCGACCTCCTCTTTGAGCGTGGCCGCCACGCGCCGCAGCTGCGCCATTGTGATGGCCGGCCCTCCTCCCCCACCACTACCACCGAGAGCGCCCGACCCAGAGAAGAGCGAGAACGCCTCGTCGACCTCCCGCACGTGCGCCTCGCTGCCCTGGTCGCGCGCGTGCATCTTGAGCGCGCAGATGGCCACGAACGCCGGGTAGGGCGCGTAGCCCTCGTCGTCGGGGTCGAGGATGGACGTGAACTCGGCGAGTTCGGTCTTGTCGCGAGGGGGGATTCCTAGGGCTCTATATTGGGGGAGAAGCCGTTAGCGTCTGGTGGGTCGGGAGATGGGAGGTTCGAGAAGGCCGGCGCCGGGGGATGGGCACGGGCTTACATCATTGCACGTCGGACGTCGCCGATGGGGATGACTCTGTCCTGCTCGCTGTGCGCCTCGTCCGAGAACAGCCCGAAGGCCTCGCTGATCTCGGCCTCCTCCGCCGCCGTGATGTTGTGCTCCTTGGCGAGCTTCGATCGCCATGCCTTTGCGCCGGGCTTGGCTGCCGCCGCGGGCCGGCGCTTTGCGGGCTGCGATTTATAGGTAAGCATGCGCACCTCTTGCGATCGGCGCACCCATTCATGGCATGCTGGTTGCTTACCATTTTTTCGCGATGCTGTTCACGGATCCTCGCTGCTGGTGTGGCCAGACGCGGTTTCATTTGCGGGACCGGGGTCATGTAATTCTTGGAGGGGTACCTAAATGTCGGCCTGCACGTGCGAGGAAGGGGAATCACACGCTGGCACGTGCGTAACCCACTGACTATTTAAAACTTCAAGTCGCTGGAAAATTTGTATTCCGTACATCCTCCAACAAGAGTTGGTTGCTGTGCATCCCCAGGCCTCCAAAATTTCTATACATGATACGGATCGGAGCTGTAGAAACATATTTTCTCGCTCCAGAGGTAGGTCCAGCTACATCGCCGAGACGGCCTCTTGGTGCGGCACAAACTCTTTCCCCAGCCCTGCAGGGTGGTTTTCTCATCCGTGCAATTCACCAGCTTCTAAAAATGCTAGAGCTTGTCGTCACCAAACAAACCCAGGACGCGCAAGTGTGGACAGTGAAGCAAGATCAAGCAAATGTCATTTGACCTCTTCTGTTATTTGGCTTTCCTCCCGTGGCAATTGATTCATCTGTCCTACGGATGAGTCTACTTCCACGGGCTGAAGACATTCTACCCTGTATTCTACACTCTCTATCCAATAATATTTCTTGACTATCTGCTTGCTAAGGCACAACCAAATAAACAATCTCAATCGCTGCAATTGTATTCGCATGTGTGTTCTCCCTTTGCCAGCTCTCTACATTTTAGACTCCGCCGGCGGCCTGGGCAATTAGGTTGATTCGCACTCCACGCTGCAAAAACTTTCCCCAGTACTCACTTGAAATTGTTCTTCATCTCCCTCAACTTGGCCATGATCTCAATCGGGTCTGTCTGGCCCGTGGCCTTTTGGATTTCCGGATCCTGGTGGGCGTCTGTTAGCCTCGGCCACTCGAGTCTCCTGTGAACGAATAAACCTACCTGTGGCCGCATGAAGACATTATGCTCCTGGATACACTTATATTAGCTCTTTCCTTGCCGGTGCCCGGAACTCTGTACGCAGCTTACTTTCTCGTCGCCGATGGTGAACTTCCCCTGTGTCTCCTCGTTTGCATCGGCGAAGGCTTGAAGAGCCTTGACCGCCTTGCTTTGCGAGACAGACGCGGCGAACTTGACATTAGCCTTCGTGTATTCATGGCCGGGCTGCAAAAGCGCGTTTAGTTTGCCATCCCCACAAGACCAAACCCCCAGCATCACTTACAAAGACCCGGGTATCGTCGGGCAACGACCCAAGAGTTTTGTTCAGAGCCTTGTCCATCTCTGCTGCCGTGCCCTCGAAGAACCTGCCACAACCTGTCTCACGATAAGCCTCGTTCATTCCACCGGGGTCAGGCCCAGTTCTCACCGCCATGGAAAAGAGTGTCTCCTGTGAAGACCACTTTATCGCCACCATCCTCCATGAACCAGCAGATGCTGTCTTGCGTATGGCAGGGTGTGTGCAGCCCCTTGACCGCGATACTGCCGAGACTGAAGCCCTGCCCGTGACTGGGCGTTTTCGTCACAGCCTCGCAATCCTTCCCCCCGATGATCGCGAGGTTTGGCAGCCCAAGCTCAGCGAGCTGTTGGGCCATTAGCAAACCTTGCCAGCGAAATAGGTGGCTAGGGAAGAGAAAAAATCCTCACCAGTTTCTTGTTACCGCCGGCATGATCCCAGTGGCTGTAGTGGTGTCCGGGTTAGCCCGATATTTGGATCAGAAGGGCTATCCCAGATTACTGTGGTAGCTTGTGACATACTGATGCGTATTAACAATGGCCGTGAGGTTGATTTTGCCCTCTTGTATGGCTTTCTTCAAGACCGGGGCAACCCTAGCATCAACGGGTAAGCTTCAGGCCCACGCCTCCCTCATTTCCAGTACTCACTCGGGAGGGTTGGCCGGGTCGATGATGACGGCGTCCTTGGATTTGTCATCGACAACCAGATAGGCGTAGTTGTTGCTACTGCCCACCCCTTCAGGCCGGTTTTCGAGTCAGAAAGGTTCTTTCGAATAGAAAATAAACGCCACGCCGAGGGAACGCGATTATTACATACACATGGGGATTGATTGAATATGCATTTTTCGAGTAAGCGCAAGCTAGGTGAGAGAGGTTAGAACACGGGGCATGCCTGCGTGCACTGTAGAGGCAGAACTTACACCCGCGGCTAAGGTTCGAAAACTCTGCTTGAGTAGAGGTCGGCGGAAAACGAGGGGATTCATAGACACAACGTTTTGAAGAAGGTTCTCAAGTTGCGGGGAACTCACTGCTCTATTGACTTCCAGAGCTCCGGCTCTTAGAAACAATGACGCTATCATTGGATGGCCGGATTCCCCGGAGTTAAGTGTGGGGTTATCACATGATCAAGCACATGAGTACCTCTAGACATACCATCCGCGATATGGAGAGGGATTGCTTCCGGGAAGGAGACTTGTCCGGAATGAGCCTTTCTAAATTGGGTATCTCGTTTCTATTACAATGCTCAGACAACACCAATGGGTTTGGATACCCAACTGCTATCATACCGCGACCAGCTCGGCCCTTCCTCCTCGCCCTCCTGCCCCTGAGGCTTGTCGGCCATGGTCTTGCCTGACTTTGCCTCTTCCGCTTCCTGCAGCTCGCCCCGCCAACCTGAAATCTCGGAACGTACAGTATTGATGTCCTTGGGGCCCCGCTCTACTTCGGCGTCCTCGTCCATAAGTTCCGAACCTGCATAGGCCTGGAATATCTCTCTAGACAGGGACAGAGCCCTCCGGAGCGTCCCAAGGTCCCTAGCCTGCTCGCTGACCTCCCCCACCGCGCGCAGCACCTCGGCCTCCCCGTACCTCCGGAGCTCCCTCACCAGCCCCCGCCTCGCCTCGGCATCATCCTCCCCCTCCTCCTCCGCCGCCAGACACGCCTTCACGAGGTCCCGGCACACGCCGGAGACTCCCCCCCCCCCACCACCACCGGGCGCGGCGGCCTCGACCGCGTCGTCGACCAGGTGCCGCCAGTAGTACTCCCAGATCCAGTCGAGGGCGCTCTGGGCGGCGGCGCGCAGGCGCGTCAGCGAGGGGAGCTGCTCGTGCGTAGCCTGGTGGCGCAGTTCGACGAACGTGGCAGGGAGGCCGACACTTTTGGCCACGGCGTACATGCTCATCTTACGCTGCTTGTCCTGGTTGCTGTCGAGGAGGCCCGTCACGAACCTGCCGGCGCGGGCACGCGTTAGCGGACTTTGGTCCCCCGACGTGGCGAGGCGGTGATTGTTGGGGGAGTGTCACTTGTCCCGCCGTCCTGCTACACTGTAGCGTGGACTAGGGGGCTTGGAAGTTGGAATTGGGGCTCAAAAACAAGATGTAATTAGAGATTGGAAGGAACATTGTGAAGGGCAGGAGGGCATAGACTTCCAGCCCAGGCCCGGTCCGGCGACACCGATAGGTCATCGCCGCCGGCCCCCAAACCAGGGAGCTCCATAGAACAAACAATCAAGGAAACAAAACGACCATCTAGCTCTTCCGACGCGTAAACTTCCATCTCCTCCTTCCCCGTAATACATACCGACTAAAAGCAGCCGAGTAGGCCGCGCGCGCAGCGTACGAGCCGCTCGACCGCGCAGCGCCGCAGTCCGGGCCCGAAGCCGAACCCGCGCCGGCCTCGGCATCGGGGTCGCTCAGGATGGCGGCCCTCAGCAGGGCCGTCGACTCGACCAGGTGCGGGCAGCCGCCGCGCTGCATCCACATCGACACCCGCGCCACGGCGTGCTGCTGCTCGCCCACACGGGCCGCAGCACGGGCCGTCGCCGTCGGGGCGGCTGTGTGGTGGTTGTCGCCGCCGCCGTCGTCGTCGTCGTTGTGGTGCTGGGGGTAGAGTTGCCGCCGGACTGTCAATAACTCCTGACGGTCACGCCATGGTGTGAAGACGTACTGGACCATGGTGGAGTGGCTATTTGCGGGGGGGGAGGTTTATGTGTTGTGAAAGATTATGTGTTGCCAGCATGCTTGGCTGCTAATTTTTTTCGGATGAGTTGCGAAAACTTTATCAGCCAACGACTTACCAAGGCAAATGATGTAAATTGTCTACAATCAACGTTGAAGAACCGGAGATTAAATTTACCGCTCTGAAGGTATTGTATTCTTCATTAAGATGCTTTAATGCCATTTCAGAGTTTCCACCATTCGCGGGACTACCTAGGTAGAATGAATGGTGGTTTCGAGCGAACACCTAAATTGAGAACGAAGGCAGGCATGGAACTCAAGCTGGGTCATAATCCCACCCCGAGTGCAAGATCTTTCAACTCAAATGCTGCCTATATTTTATTTTGTAGACACTCTTCACCCAGAGATCGTGCGAGTTACCCTCGTCGGACGGCGACAAAGCTCGAAGCCCGAGTGAAGGAACCAAGGTTGCAAAAATCTTGTCTTGGTTGTTTCTGGCGTCTAATATTCATATAGCTGTATACCGCGCCCATTCAAACCCTGACGAAGAAGTGGTCATGATCCTGCGAAGTCCATAACCCGCAAACCCACCCCCCCCCCCCCCCCCCTTGAGCAGCCTACAAGTCAAAGCAAGGTGGTCATGGGTCACCTTTCACCATCTCATGAGACAGTCTTCTCAACCATCGCGATGCCATACTGCCCCTCGAGCTCCTTCATCCTTCATGATGGGCCCTTTGATCTTGGGGCTCATGGGTGCCAGGACGCCCTTGTCCGAGAGCCGCCCGCTCAGCACCTGCTTGACGGCCACGGCGCAGGGGACGGCACACTGCCCGAGTCAGAGCATTGATGGCTCTCCTCCAGGAAGCCAATGTCTACTGGCACCTTGATTGGCACTATTGTTAGTTGGCCGAAGCCGTACATAAATGCCGTCAATACAGACGGTCACGGGGATGCCTGCATCGATCAATATGTCGAGAGTTGGTCTGGTGACGAAACAAGCTCTAGGCATAAGCATCCTTGCTAGCACCGCCAAGTCGTCTCTCCAGTGGTGCCAAGCTAGCTTCCTGTTGGGAATTGGATTTTTCCGTCGAGAGAACTTTCGCTTTGGATAATACAGTTCGAAATTGAACGAAGCCGGGCAGGGGTTCCGAGGCCGTACTGACAGCTCCTTGTGGTTTTGTCAATAGAATTGGTTATTGGGTTTTTGCTTTCCACTCATGGCGGGGCAGTCTAGCAGATTCCGGCAGCGGCAGGTAAAAATTCGAGGATGAGGGGCAACCAGGAGGGGAGGGGGAAAGTGTATCCAGAGGTACCTAACCACGGAAATTGGTGAAAGGATACTCAAAAGTACAGGAGGAGTCCCACCAAACCTTGTGGGGACATAAACACATGGGAAAAATGGAGAATGACAGGGGTATTTGGCGGCTCTGCACCACTGGGGCTCCACTTTGCTCCAGAGGGACATTTGAACTCCGAGATTTGGGTCCAGAGTTGATATGGGAATGGTCAGCACGAAAGTACTGCACCTGCTCCGTGGAACCAGTTCATTTTGACAACATACAGAAATTTGAGATTTATTCTGGACTCGAGTCCGTGATGTATACAGTACAATAATGATAATAATAAAACATCAAGGGGTATCGCCTCGCTTCAACCGAAGGCGCCAACCGTTTTCCCAGTTCCTCTAAGCATGTCTCGTGTGATTAGAAAACACAAGCTCGAGAAAGACGCCGCTGAAAATGATGTTCGTAACTCCTCCCAATCGTGACGCCCAGGCAGGCGGGCCGCTAATGGGCCATGTCTATTCGTCCATTGTTTCGTCGTCTAAGTTGCGCTTAGTCGTCTTGCTCCTCTCCTTCGGCGTCATCGGAGCCGTCTTGGGAATCTTCATCCGAGTCCGCTGGAGGTTCCCAAGCATCTTCCAGCTTCAAGCCTTTGCCCGTCGGTTCTGGGTACGTGTAGGCGCTTCCGAGCAGGGACGACACCACCGATCGGTGGTAGTCTATTTGTGGATCCGCCGCCTTCTCCGGTGTGTCATAGAGCCCAAGCCCGTAGAGGATTTCGCCGTCCGACTCCTCTTCAAGCGGCTCGTACGGAATAGATTCTTCCGACTGTAGCCTCGGTTCTGGTTGTTGGGCTTGAATAAAATCTTGGGGCGTGGGTGGCGCCGTGCACCGATCAAAACCATGCGCGACGAAGGAGTTCCATTCTAGGTGGGACGAAGGCTGTTCAGGCGGGCTTCGTTGGTTGAAGTCGGGCTCCCGAGGATGTTGCGACAGGGGCAGTACGGAGGACTGTTGTTGAGCAGGTACTGTCCAGCCTGTCGGTGAGAAGTAGGACTGCTGTTGCTGCTCATACCCTGAGTAGGGTAGTGACAGCGGTGAAAAGGCGGATGCGGGTGAAGTGTAGCCGGAATATACGGCTGGCGTGGGAGGTAGGTTGCGAAGGCTCGCGAGGTCGGGTTCGGTGTAAGACGGGAAGGGATAGTGCATCAATGGCTGTTGATGCTGGTATTCCTGCTGGTGCGGCTGCTGCAGTTCCGTTTGTTGTTGTTGTTGTTGAGACGCGTGGGGATGTGGCTGCGCCTGTTGAGACGAAGGATGCCAGCTGAGTGGGCGCGTTGGGAGTTGACTAGGACCCGGCATATTCTCCGAGGACATCTGGTAGCCAGAAGTAGGCATGTAGGCGTTGTCGATAGCTGGTCGGGCCCTGTGCTGATGGAGCTGGCCGTCATTCAAGATCGCTTTCCTCCGGTCCTGCAATGTAGTCGACCTCGGGCTGTTGTTCGCGCTCCTCGGTTTCATGACCCGCATGGAGTTGCCTGACAGTTGACCATTTGACCCTCTTGAGAACCTCCGGCTTGTGACAGTGGACAGCTGTCGCGAGAGCTCCTCGAACAGGGCGTCGGTCATGTTATACCCAGCAGCTGACATGCCAGGCATGTGGCTGCCGACCATGGCAACGGGTATCATTTCGACAGAGAGTGGAGAGGACAGGCGGTATATGGGACAGGAGGACAACGGGATGTCGTGGTTGACAACCAAGAAGAGATGGGGGAGAGTCGAGGCCAGCTGGGGGTCCCAGCTTGGTTAAGTATCATCAAGTAAACTAGGTTTGCGAGGGAGGCAAGAGAATAAGAGAAGTGAGAAGAGAGAGAGAGAGAAGAGAGAGAAACTAGTGGGATAGTTATTATCCCTTGGAAGGGCGGAACGGGAGAGACATCAAACCTTGAAGATGGACGTATCACTCGGGACAGGAGAGAGGGACAGGAGTGATAATAAGAGTAGTGTATATGGGGCGGTTTGGCATGTGCGTGTTAATGTGTCAGTGTGAGAGGGAGTGAGAGTGTGTGGCCATCGTGCGTGAGACTGCGTCTCCATGGGATCCCTCGACGAACTTTGGACTGTGGGTGGCCTGCGTCATTACGCTCTCGCAGGGGTTGTAAAAATACCTTGCCATCAAGGGTTCGGCGTCTTAGACGCAGGGCCGGAGATGGGGTGGTGGACAAGCAAATAGCGTTGGTGTAAGAAGCAGGTGGATCAGACCAGGTTGTAAAACTAGTAATTCGCCGGGTGATGGTATGTAGATGATTGTAGAGCACTTTGCAAGGTGCCAAGGTGGTTGGGAAACGAGGGATGAAGGAGGCGGCAGGTCAAGCGGAGCGGAGCATCGAGCAGGCTGCAGGAGGGGGGGGGGGGGCAGAGAGCTGGACCTAAAGAGAGCAATATCCGTGACTTGGGAGTATCAAAAGGTACGCTACCAAGTACGGATTACACAGGTAACACGTCTGGATCCGCCGTGGCCGTGGGTCAAAGAGACGACGACAGTGGGAATGGACCCTTGCCGTGCAAGTCGGTTTCCTGCCGTCGGTCCCCTGGAGCAGGGTGGCGTGGGCCATGGAAGAAGGCGGCCGAGGGAAACTGGTCCAGGCCTGGGGTACGAGGCAGAGGGGCGGATTTAACTTATTGGGAAAGGGGGGGTGTGATGGGCAAGTCACTGTAACTTTCCCGAACTTAACTTCCCTTAACCTGTTCTCGACAGGGGTTGCTAGGCGCCACGGATCGTCTCACTTGGAGGTTTGGGACGGGGGATGAGGGAGAGGCAGCAAGCAGGGCGGGGTGCCAGGGGCGCCGGCTAAACGCGCCAAAAAGGCAGCTTGCTATTAAGTGCTGACGACGGGATAATAGTGATTATTCGCTACCACGTCTCTCGCACGTTAGGTATCCGTACCTGGCCACGAAGTCATGCGTCCTGCTTGTACTGTGTATCTCGCCCTAAATGCCAAGATAACCTCCCAATTTGTGGACAACCAAGGTCCACCAGGCCTCCCATGGCCTACGCACTACGCAGTACATGCGCGTAGTAAACACTCGCATCCCGGCATTGGCAACAAGTTTGCTTGACGACACCTCCCTGCATAGTAAGTACAGTAATACCTACGAATAATCAGCAGAGAGTCGGACATGGGTAGACAACAATGGGAACTCTCAAAATCCTGTCAATCGCCTGCCTGATTGGGGGGTAAACTAGTAAAGCCCGTAGCGTTGGCTTTTTAACTAAGAGAATGCCTGGTTCTTTAACTAGCAAGGCTCTTCGCACCTGGTTTCCCTCGCGAGTTGGCGGCTTGTGACTTACGAGTCACTAACAGGGCGAGGGCCGGGGGCGGTGAGTGACCTCGATGCGTGGGGTGAGATTACGGGAAATCTTCCCAGGCGTCGAAAGGGCTCGCGGCGCCAAGAAACCAATGTGGCCGAACGGATGCCAGTGCGAAATTGGCCCCCGGTGTGAGCGGAATACCTGCGGTGAACACTTGGGTTGGAATGGTGGGACCAGGCTAAGGTACCTTACCCGTGTACATTACCCAAACGACCGATACCTTCCCTAACTGTCGGTATGGGGGGATTACGGCGAATTCCAGGAGTTTGAATGGGACTAAGGTAGTACTGCTAGGTACCAGCCCCTGCACTAATAGGTACCGATGTATCCCGTACCTCCGGACGCATTGATTTGAAGAACGACCACCAATGAATCAATGATGGCATGTCTTCGTTTCGGACTAGCCAACCAGACGTGCAAAGTGGTGTAGTTGCATCCATACCGTACCGCGCTGTTCCTGCCGGCCTGTTGTTGGCCAGCGGCAACTGGTACCATCTCCTCACCCGTTTCGGCCTGTGGATGAGGCAACATGTTGAAGGCTGCATCAACAAGAGCGTCGATCGCACGCGTTTCTCGCTGAGCAACACCTACTATTGCCCCCCTTCCCCCTCCCTTTTCCCCTCCTGACTGTGTAGGCCCAGGCTAGGCCCTTTTGCAGGACCACACACTGCGTGGCTTGTTTGGTTCTGGTTGTTGATCTCATACCTACTGACATACATGTGTATATCCACAAGTATCCGCCTACCTAGTGTGGTAGTTGCGCAGATCGTGGTGACACAGTGTCTCACAGTTGATCATCTATTCTTGACATACCTGAGATCCCCAGCGGAATTGTTCCCACTTCAAAGTCAAAGTCTGTGCTGGTCCGTCGAGCTATCTACATTAATTTCACTGTAATCCGCCTACTACACCTAGTTGGGGGCAAACGGGGGCAAAACTTAGCCATGGGGGAGGATCCGCCCCAGGAGCCTTGTCCCGATATATGGGCGGCCCAACATTGACACCCTTCTCGTTAACCTGGAGGCCTGAAACCCTCAAGTTGGCACGTCCCGACGATGCGAGGCCCGCGCCTGTACGGATTGCAAAATACATACGCATACATACAATTCCATAGTAGGTGGTGGATCGCGGTGGATCGAGGAAGAGCTGACATCGTATCCAATAGCAATGGAGGCGGTACTGCTTAAGGATGACTGATATGAGTGCGCAAGTACCTCCACCTAGCTTGAGCCAATCTGATTTTGGTTGAGGCTCCCCCACCCGCAATCCCTGCTCGTCAGACCCACACGCCAGGCTTTGATTAACGGGGGACATGCAAGGACCTGATTTGGGTATTTCTCGGAACTCAGGCCCAAGCCCTCCACGGATGAAATGACACCACGCCACCACCTCGCAGCGCCAGGGGGGAGGAAAACAAATACTGGCACGCATTATTTTAGTGTATGTACAACTACGGTGTGAAGGATGTACGCATAGCAATAAGAACCTGTGTAAATGGAACCATGCTGCTACAGCACGCGCCAGCAATCCCAATTCCCAAAGCGTCACCATGTTTCGGGCCAAAAGGGCCAACCAGCATCCATGGAGCCATGCAATGCGAGCCTTCCATATCAACGATGCATGCGGATTGCTGGCTGGTTACTGGTGCAGTGATGAGTGGTGGCTGTCCACACCTTTACTGTGACCTGGTCGGGTGAGGCAAGCATTTCTCATTACCCAGGCTGACGCGCTTGGGACCGTCACCCGTGGCACCTCGCAGCACGGAACCCTCAACTCGCCAAAGTTTGCTGGTGTCGATGATGGTTGATCCACGGCAAAAGCTAATGCCAAATTGGTGCAGCCCGCTGCATTAGCATCTCAGTCCCCAAACCGAAGAGGCCGAAGTGCAGTGGAAACTGGAATCCACACCGGGAATGGAATGGGGCGCATCAAGCAAACTTTTTATCGACTGGAGCCTTTTGTCTTCCTAGGTAACCATGTCGATATCCGAGGCAGGGAGGGGAGGGGAGACGGTCATCCTAATTGTCTCGGGTCTCTCGGCTCATTTCTCTGAGCTGAATGATACCTCCGCCTCGTTGTCTCGAAAAACTTTCATTCGGACTCCATTGATTGTCTCCCATGTACCCGCCCTATCGATTAGTTCAAGGAAAATGCCGTCAACTCTGCAGTGCGGCCAGAATTGGCTTGCAGTCCGAAAGGTGATGTCAAGTTAAAAGCGTAGGTCCGCTCATCCGATAGAACCTTGGAAACCCCTGGTGTTGGTGTTGGTGTTCCGGACGCAGCCCGACAAGTCTACGATTGTCATTCTGACAGCCCCCCAATCCGACGGCAGAGCATGACGGATCTTCCAGCATCCTGGGCGAGTTTGCCAAGGAAGGCCAAGGCTTTGTTCTCCTGGGGCAGGTACCCTTGCTTCTGCGAAATTTTGATAGTCCGGTAAAAGAAAAGTACAAAGGGGAGAACAAAAAAAAGGAGAAAGGAAAAGGAAAAGATCCAAAAGGGTCGTTCCCGGCCACATGCCACAAGCCCATGTCATGGCCTTCTCCTCGACTAGGGGGCGGGCGAAGATCCACTTCTGGGCAAAGAGGCAAGCCGCAAAGAGGGATCACGGGCCCGCGGCTTACATACTACAAGGTATGCAGAATAAGATGTTTCGACTCCTCCGGTTCCTCCTCGAGGACCACAGACCGTTTCAGCGGCGTCCTTGGGCCTTCCACAATCCCTGTTCCGGATGCGAGCAAGCACACGCTAGCGTATGGACATCACAGCCTCTGGCTCACCCGTGATTGGCCGCAAGTCAGGCTGACCTGAGATGCTGCCTCCCATGTCAGGTTGAAACTATGGGATGCATGCCGACCGTACTGGAAAGTAACCCAACACCAGCAGAACTTCAAGGTTTGCTTTTTTTAGCGTTGCGTTGCACTGAACCAGTTGGTAATCTGCCCTTACTGAATGTGTACTAGTCCTTGTCCCTTAGAGATGACTACACTGTGCTCTCATTCCAGCCCCTTGTTCGTAGCGAGCTCAGCCCAAAGGCATTTATTTCCTGGTTCGACACTGTAGCGGCAAGTCACACACACTCCAAATCTCCTCGAAGCAACGACGGGACTCACCAAACTTGGGTATGCCGGGCGATTCCCTGTCAATGCTCAGGTGACACACCCACCACACATCACGAACTCGCTTGCAATGCGCCCATCCCGTCAATGCCCACAAATGTCCGCTGCACTTGTATGTATGGTGTACTATTAAACTCGTCCGCGGCGGCTTATGTACACTACTACCCACTCATATAGCGCAGGCCGATCATTCTCTCCTCCGATCTTAAAGAAGCAATCCAACTGGTGGGTGACATTGTGGCAATTGTGCCCTTTCCGACCGAGAGAAGAGGTATCCCGCAGGAGGCTGACCCGTTGCGAGCGTATGAGTAGTTTGCTATGCATACCCGGGCGTATTCCGGACAATGTACCTGCCACAAGCACTGCTCAATTCCCCAGGTTCATCATCCAGCGCTGTTGCTGGTCTTTTTTACCCGCCCGCAGTGAGTGGGACGGACCTATGACTCAGCCACAAACTATATACCTACCTAAAGACCTACTGCTTGGTCGGGAGCTCCGTGCTTTCCTTGACTCCTGCCTCCCGCCTGGCGGCAGAAAATCCTTGTCCCCACCCTCCTCTTTGCGTTTCGCACCATTCCGTTCTGCCTGAGCCACGTGTGGATCGCTACAGCGTCGGAAAGGATCTTGGAAACCACTTCCGCAGACGAAACTTTCCAGTCCGACACACAAGGTGACCTGATGCCACTGGCAGCTGCATCCGGTCCTATTCGCTAGCAACAGGGCTCTCGCGGCATGCCCTTCGCGGGACGCGGATGCATCCTGGTCTCATCTCATCTTGATCCAATTTGGGTGAACGAGGATTTGGCCGCCCCTTTTCCAAGCGCTCACGCGAGCCCTGAGGCATATGAGGCAGACACTTTGGAGACGGGATTCGCTCTCCAGCAGCCTGCACGGGTCCGTCTCCTACAACCCCGCCGCCTCGTGGTGTGCTTCGGCTCCTTGCTGCAGTTGAGACAATATTTCGCTCTCTCCTCTTCCACCGAGCGACGAGTGAGGCAGCTCGTTGGCTTACAGTTGACCAGCAGCACTCTAGTGTGTTAATTACAACCAGTAAATCCAACTGCCACCAGCCAGCCCACAGACCTCACAGCAGCGGCATCCCCCTCACCTCACCCTCCACCTCCACCTGATTATTGCCTAGGTTCCTAGCGAGGTCCAATCGTTTCGCCACCGATCCTCTGAATTGTTGGCGATTCCCGGCTCCCGCATCGCAGAAATGAATGGTTCAACTACCTGCCCCTAGGCGACGGGGTATTTTCGGGTGAACTCTGCTACTTTTCCACAACAATCGACCACGTCATCATCCATGCCCACCGCTCTTCTTATTCTTCTCAGTCTGCATTACCAACCTACCAACCCCGCAAAGCCGTCCATCTGGACCTTCTTGGTTGCAAGGTCGACGGCAAAGCGCAATTTTCGCTCCGAGTCCCAGTCGCTGCCGTGACATGCCACCCCGAACAAGAGTGCCGCGATAAATGTATCACCCGCTCCAATAGTACTGTGGCACATGGGGATATGACTCGTCAGCCGCTTGACCCCTCAAAAGCCACAACTCATGACTGCCTGATAAACATTGCGCTGTCGCTCTGGTCATCAACGCGAGAAGCCCCACTTACTCGACCACCCTTATTCTTTCCCGCCCTAACGTCGTGGCGGGATACTGGATATACTTCCCGGCTGGAAGTGACAATGCAGACGCTCCCTGTGCACCCCATGTACAGAGGACGAGAGACCTTGAATCCACGTATCAAGTCAGTTTGCCTGCAGCAGGTCCGTGTGTCTGATCTGCCTTCGATGGGTACCTACGCTCTTGGTGGTGACTCGCCTCGTAGGCATGATTCGGCTGTGTCGTAGCCCTGGTTCTATGCTACGATTACCACAACCTGTCCCACCCCAGGCCGATCGTTCGACAGGGACTTGGAAGCCAACTCACCTCGGCCCATGGTCGCGAGTAGAAGACAATGTTCGCCTCCGCGGCCAGCTCCCGTAAACCTTCTCGACCAGGCTTCTCCACCTCGACGCTAATTTTCGAGTCTGGGAGCGCACGGCGCAGATAGCGGATGCAACCAAGTACCGTCTCGGGAATCCGGCCCTTGACTGTGTGTCATTCCCTCGGAACGAGACGGAACAAAGATGTAAATCAGGACCCAACGTAGGTGGTTGCAAAAAGACTTGCCTCGAAATGCCAGAGACACTCCCCCTTGTCCCTGAAGTCGTCAGCGATCGCCACGAACTCCTCCAGCGTCATCTCTGGGAGGTCATTGAAGTTGACAATAGTGCGGCTTCCCGTCTCCTGGCTTCGGACGATGTAACTACTCGCTGGCTCCGTGTAGCCCCGCCGATAGAGACAGTGGCTGAAGTCGAGGGCCGGGCCCGGCCCAAACGACGACAAGATCTTCGACGTGGCAGGCGATTCGGATGATGGCAGGCAGGATATAAGGTGTGGGGTGACTGGGGACTGTCCGGGCTCGCGCCGGAGGAGCTGCAGGAGCACCTCGAGCGTGTTCGGACAGTTCCCACCCCGGCGAAGCTGGAGACTGTTCGCCCGAAGCTTGGAGTCCTCCTCGGGGAAGTGAGGCACGCTACATGTAGGTCGTAAGCCGTAATCTAGGTAGGTAGGTAGATCCCAGGAAGGGGTGTGGGAATTCCAAGCCCAGTCATGCGTCCTTACTTACCTTAGGATCGTGTCCAAGTAACACGCTCCGACAAGGATGATATGTTTCATGGCCGGCTCAGGAAAAGGGGGTCTATCCCTCTGCCTTTGATGCGGATGATACGCACCGCCTCCAGTTGGTTTTCAACGGTCTCGGAAAGAGCACAGAAACGACGTCCCAGCTTGGACTCTCCAGTGTCTATGTTCGACATCCGTGGGGTCTAGACTCAACCGTCTGCAGCTACGCATACATACACAGTAGTTCGCCAGACCGATCCAAGTGTGACTTCATTGTGGAGCAGGCTATTCTTGACTGTGATTGGCTCTGTCAAGTCAGTAGTTTGGGGAATATGTGCAGAAAGGTGGCTCTGACTGGACACGCAGTAGTTCTTAATCCTTCCTATCCCTACATGCCTCACATCTGCAAGTCCTAGACGTTGCAGCCACTCGCTCCGTTCCTCGCTGCGGGGCCTTGGTAACTGGCCACGAATCTAGGCCCGCTCTTCCCAGTTCTCTGCCATGGCAGAACGATGGTTCCAAGTAAGACCTGCTTGCGTTATTCAGGAACCAAGCTAGTCGTGCAGGGGGAATGATGGGCAGCCCAGCTTTGGCAGCGAACAGAGAGACGCAGAGTGTGGCTCCAATCAGCGAATGCCGTCTTTCACCGACTTCCATCTGTGATATGTAGCCTGCTCAGCCAGCGAGGGGAGGGGTTTCGTCATGGAAACCTGGGCTTGGCTCGTGTCCCAATGGGTTCGCCAAGCCAGCCTTACGCCATGTCGGTCACTGATAGTCTCCCGAGGCGAGAGCATCAATGGCGCTGACGACTGCAGGCCAGCGTTCCTCTTTCGCCCATCCCATCATCCCACAAGGAAAGAGGTCCTATTCTCGCCAGTTATTGCTGGTAGACAGGCTAAGCAATATTGAAATGACCGTAACATTAATTTAACCGCCTGTGATAAAAAGGAAAAAAGCTGCAAGAAATGTAAGATTTAGCACCGTTTGTCCTCTATCAGGGGCGGAGCGCCCGATGAGTAACCCCTTTTTCTTTTTCTATCACTATAAAGGCGGCAGTATCCTAATCATGTGACATGTCCCCCCTAAGTCACCGTCGCTAGACGGCCGACTCAGGGGTAGGGTTCTGTTCCTACGCGATACCTTACATCGCTGCTGGTCTCCAGTGATATGATGAAGTCGTTGCATGTTTTCTATAATCGCACGTCTTCTTTGTTGTTGCTAGTGGCGAATTGGCTGGGCAACCGTCAAAGAAGCCTAGGTTTAGCACCCTCACGACGCGCGCCTCAGATCATTCGGTGCAGGTTCTAGACGCTCCCACTGTATCCCTTCGACTTCTCCACCCCCCGATTCGTATAGCTTCCGAACGCTTCCAGGTTCGTGAGCGATGGTCAGGTCTTCCTGGATCCCATACACAGGGTCCTGGTGATAATCGTCGAGATGTACCCTCCAGGCTGGGTCCAGCGGGGAGCCCTCGGATCCTAGATCCTTCCAGGCCCGCACCGTCGCGCGCCAGGGAGAGGCCCGCACCGCAAAGTCGGTCGGACAACGGGCGCAGGCGCCGCGCACCTCGACGCCATCTTCCTCCTTGAACGCCGCGTGGATGTATGCGGAAAGGGTGGCCGGTCCGGGTGGCTGGGGCCCGGAGTACATGTGCATGTGCGGGCAGACCACGACGATGCCCATACTATCCGGGGACACGATCTCTCGTGCTGCTTTGTAGCGGCGGACGGAGAGTAGCAAGTACCGCCTCCTTCCTCCGTCGCTGTTGCCGTTGGAGATCTCGACCTTGGGGTATGTAGAACACTGGGCTGCAAGCACGTTTCTCTCGAGCGGGTAGATGACGAACCTAGAGTGACTCGGCGCCAGCAAATTCTGGAGATGTCTCTGGTGTTTCTTGTTGCCGAGCATGCGTGTGTATTTGAGCGTGAGCTGGATGTGGCGGTGGTGAGGCCAGAAGCAGTTGAAACTGTACTGGTAGCAACCATGTCGCCATGCTAGAGGGCAAAGGGTACGACATGGGCGTTTCGGGGTGTCGAACTCGACGACGCTGTGGAGGGCCATGCATTTCTCGCACACCCACCGCTCCGGCATGTCGTAGGCCAGGCCGGCGAGGTACTCCAAGTACTGCTCCCGGGGAAGGCGCGATGAAGAGTCGGCAAGGGGGAGGACGGTCCGCAGCCAGCGGCATGTCTGGGAGAGGAGCACTTGGCTGTGCAGGGGAAGGCTTGCCGATATGAGAAGGAGCAATTCAACCGGCAGCCGGAGGATGGCACAGTCGGGCTTCTGCTCCTTGAGGGACAGCCCAAGTAGATGGCGCATTGCTTTGAAGAGGTCCATGATTTTTGGTGTCTCAGCAAGTAGATGGCTGAGTTGAAACTTGGAGACCGAGATCATTTTTGTACCTGGGGTAACTAACGTCCCGTGCATGAGAACCTTCACCATTTAAACTTCAAGAGGCTTGTGGCAAAAGGTTCATGACCGATAACTCAAATACGACCTCCGGTGAGTCCTTCGAATACGAGTTTCAGTTGTTGCCCCAGGCAGCGCCGGAGAGAAGGCGGCGAGCCTCCTTTTGGAATTCCGGGGCCGAGCGAATAGGGGTTCAGTTGTTGCCCCAGGCAGCGCCGGAGAGAAGACGGTGAAGAGACGACGATCAGTACGTTCTCCAGGCATGTTGCGTGGCAAGCAGATTCCAGTCTTGGTTAGAAGAAATTTAGGTTTGTCAAGACGTATGCTTTTTCCGAGCTGGGTCGCCCTAGATCCTATGCCTATAAATTCCCTTCTCCCCTCTGTTCTCTTCCCCCCTTTTCCCTCTTTTCCTCCCATCCACTCTTTACTCTTGGTTGTCCAACTGCCCCATCATGTCTGTCGCTGACTAGGTGACCGCGATCAGCGGCGTCATCGCAGCCACCGTCGCAATAGCCACCTTTTTAGAGAAGATGGGTTGTGTTCGAAGGCGGTTTCGATGGTGGGGAGGACAGCCACGATCTGCGGCTGATGAACCGGTCGATTCGGAGTCGACTACTCAACGCGCCAAGGAGGAAGAGCTTAAAGTGTGGAAGGATGGTGTGGACAGGAGAATCGTTGGGCTGGAGGGGAGGATTGAGGGGGTCGAGGGGAGGATTGAGCGGCTCGAGGGGAGGGTGGGGGGGAACGAGATGAGGCTGGTGAGGATGGAGGCGTACCTCCGTGGGCAGCGTTTTGTTTAGTTTTTTTTCGGTATTTTTCACCAGCGCGAGCCATTCCGGTATAGGCTTTAAAATATTACCGGGGGTGGGTGGTCGAGGGCCTCAGCAGAGCTCGTACCTCACTGTGATTGCTGGGTCTAGTAGCCTTTCTCAAGGTGAAGCCAACACGAGCATTCACGATATCAACTTTGGTGTTTTCAACAGATTTGAGAATAAATTCTGATTTCCCTATTGTTTTGCCTAGCTGGTTGCCCTGTTTCCTGCATTAAAAAGTCATAGACTCCTCCACCTTGGAGGAAAAGTAATGCAGACAAGGCAGGTGAAGCAGGCTCTGGAGAGCTCCGTTTGCTGTGACTCTCGGCAGACTTCGTTTGAATCGAAGCATGAGGACAAAGAGCTTTCGTCTTACTCCACGGGCTCCATCCTGTTCAGTGTCCGGATGCGTCGATATCCTCAAGGTTGGGCCCCTGATGTCTTGCACACAATTATTCTTTCATTTCCTTTCTTTTTTCTTTGTTGTTGTTGAGAAGGAGGGGGGGGGGAGGCGAGGGGATGGCTTGAGGAAAGGGGGAGAATACCCGCCGACAAGTGCAGCAGGACAAAGAGAGACCTTTCCTGGGCTTTGTGACAACCCTCTGTGATGGGCTATCTAGATTGAGCTTGTCTGCCCAAACCCCTTTGGTCTCGCTTCCCCATCACACCATTCTGTCTTCAAACTCCCAGTCTCGCAGCCTCCCAGTCTCTCAGTCTCCCAGTCTCCCAGCAGTCTCCCGGTCTCTCAGTCTCTCAGTCTCCCAGTCTCCAGTCTCCCAGCCTCGCAGCCTCGCAGCCTCGCAGTCTTCCAATCTCGCAGTCTTCAATCCCCCAGTTTTTTCACAATGTTTCCCACATACTTACCACCGGCCAAATTGTCTCCAATGCCAGAAGTCGAGGGACCTAAGATCCAGCCATTTGTCTTTGACATTGACAATGACATCGGGCTCCTGGACCCTATTGCAGCTGAAGGGGACGGTCCCTTGACCTTGTATGTAGTCCAAGCCTCTATTGGCGGGCATATATATGCGCTGAAACTGGTGAGCCTGCTTTGCATTCTATCCTATCTTTGCTGCCAACCAAGTCAACCAAATTGACTGTTGTTAGTTCAAGTTCCACCATTCAGACGGGTGGGGTCATTGGCCTTACAGTAAAGAACTTGGCCAGATGAAGAGGATCTTTATCATCATTACGAGTTCTTCAGTGCTGAATGCCGTGCCTTTGGCCGCCTGAAAGAGGCTGGCCGTGAGGATCTGGCTGTCAAGTGCCACGGCTACTTTCTCCTCAAGGAAGAGCATGAGAAGATGATTGAGGAGAAGTACAAAATCGTTCCAGCCGACTGGGATATCGAGGATGGGCGCAAGGATGCCACTAGCAAGGATGGCCTGTACCGACCTATTCGCGCCATCGTCAAGGACTTCATCCCTGGTGGCGTGGACTTTCACCCACGACAGATACCTCAAATGCTTCACAACCTCATCAGCCTCCAGAATCTCGGTATTACTGCTGGGGACCTGAGATCAAACCAATACGTCAACGGAATCCTTGTGGATTTGAGCCACTCCAGGACCACCCCGCATCCGACCCTCACGCCTGGAATGGTGCCAGGTATATGTGACCGCCAGGTCGCTGAAGAGGCCTTTATGTGCAGTACGACGACTTTCGGTGTTTCGACAGTATAATAGACGACTGGAATGAGGAGGAAGGCCAGACGCAGGGCTTGATATGGCACCGTGCCCTTCTTAGCTGGCAGTACTCAAAGAGGCTCAGAAGCGACAAGACTGCTGCCCCAAAGAGCCGACACGACTTGGAGGGTCGGGTTAGCCGGTGTGACCCAAGAGTGTATGACTGGAAGGCGAGCAAGGCTGGGGGGGTGCGCAAGCCAAAACGCTGCACCTGATGGGAATTTAGGGGCCTGGAATTCGACGGTCCAGAGACAGTCTAACCCTTTGGGTGTGAAGGATGGCCCTTTTCTTCTTCTCACTTGCTCACACACACCCCCAGCCTCCAGCCTCCAGCCTGCCTCCAGCCCCCAGCCCCAATTTTCTTTTGTAGTTGCTTAACCCCGAGTCAGCTGTATTGCATAATTAACACCAACCTTAACTCAACACCCATTCTTTCAATCTTGATCCCCTGAATTTGCCTAGAAACGCCTTGCGCCCACATCATAGGTCTGTGTTCAAGAATCGTTGCCTTAGTGTCTGTCTAATGGCACGGCACTGTGAGTTGTGAATACAAACACCCCCTAGCGCGGGGCAGATCATGCCCTTTTAAAGCAAAAGGAGAGAAAAGAAGACCGGTTTTTGTGAGTGGGATATTGGAATACCACTTGGCAATGGATGGATGGATATAGATACGGTTGTCTCCAAGAGAGAGTACGTGTTACCCAAGGGAGGGGTTCTGCAATTTGATGAAAAGTCAAAGACGACGAGGAGAGACCAACAGGCTTTATCCAAGTTCAAATTGTGGCATCCCCCTCTGCGGGTAGCTAAAGGGGAAAATACTCCAATATATATCTGTAAAATACGCATATAGATTCTATTCCGACAAGAGCCTCTCCGTTATGGCCGGCTTTCTATCACCCTATCACGGAGTCGTAAAGCCTGCAACGAATCTCTCGAAGCAACACCCGAACTCCCCTTGTCTATCCTGGAAGAGTAAACGGCACCCCTACTCATCCATTCCAAAGGGAGATGGGAACGCCTTCTCCGAATAACGCCCGTCCATACACAGAGAAAAAAGACGAACAAAGATGCCAAGCGCCGTCTAAAGTCCCAAACTTTTCACACAGGTCCAGAGAACCACCGGAACGACCACATTATCGTTACCGCCCGTCAGGACAGCCTCTGTCAGCGACGCCACGGATGCGCACACGCCCGTATTCCGCACCACCGAGCCCCATGACCACAGCGACCACGGGCCCGGCCCACCAGGCCCCGCCAAGGCGGACGGCCAGCCGCCGATCCTCAGCCAGGCACTGGCAGCCATCAGGCCGGCGAAGACGGCGACGGCAAACGCCGCGCTGCCCTCAAGGCTCTTCCCACCGCCCCAGACCCACTTGCGGTGGCCCCACCGGCGCCCGATCAGGGATGCCGCCGAGTCGCCGAGACCGACGCACACGACGCCCGAGACCATGCTCACGTCCCTGGTGGGTACCTCCCACCCGGCCAGGAGGCCGCCGGAGCCGGAGCGCGGCAGGGCCGCCAGGCTCAGCCACAGGGGGATGGCGCAGCCGATGAGGAGGAAGATGTGGGAGATGACGACGGGCCCGCGGAGGTCGCGGCCGTCGACGTAGGGAGTCAGGAACATGGCGATGGGCTTCGACAGCGGAGGGAGCTGGCTGGCTCGCAGGAGGTCCAGCAGGAGGAAGATGGCGAGAACGAGTGACAGGGACAGGGCCGCGTAGGTTGGGTCGACGTAGGTGGCCGGGAGGAGCATGGCGACCATCATGAAGTGGAACACCTTGCGGCGAGTGTCGACCTCGTAGATCGGGGACAGCTGGAAGACTACGGCCAGACCCGTGATTATGATGCCGAGCCAGTAGCCACTGATAATCAGGCGGGTATTTGCCTCGCCGAAGGAGGCATGTCGAAGGTGCTGCACCCAGCCCTGGTAGCACGATTCCACGTGTTCTTCCCCAGTCCGTAGAGGGAGACGGATCCACCGTTCCAGATTCGCCTTCACGACCTGGAATCGAAACCATGGCAGGTTGCCAAAGAGATAGCCGAGCGCCCAACCGATTGGTTCGTCGCCGGATAGCGCGTATCTTTTCACGTACTCCCTGACCCCAAAGAGAACGATGGCCAGTACGCAGAGATAGACGTAGCCAGCGTAAATCCACTTTCGTGTTGCGGCCTGTGCCTGGGTTAGGGAGAAGAAGTACCGCATGGTGGAGGACGCCGAGCGTTTCCGGCGGCCCGAAGGGGTATGTGTTTTGGGTGGGAGTCCGGACCTGCCAAGAGATGGCAGAGTGTGGCGCCTCGACGAAGTCCGGAACATGGTCTCGTCCGGAAACATGGATCGGGCATGGAGCGAACCTGTCCGCGAAGGGGCGATGAGGGTTTCGGCGCCGCTAATAGTCCCTGTGCGCCGCAGGTTCTTTATAGAAGCTGGGGAATCGTGATTTAGTTCGTAATCATCATCGGACGTATTGCAAGATTCACCAGTCGAGTAGTCAAGGTCCAGTCCGGGAACGTCGTATCTGCCACGCTGGCAAGACAGCATCATGCCCCTGAGGGCTCGAAAGCCGAAGGCCCCTTTTGACGAGGCAGGAACCCGCATGAATCGCCATTTGGGAACCCTTGCTAATGTGATCCCCCACCTGATCACCGGGCCACAGATAATGAGGATGGCTAGACCCCCTCCCCATAGCATCGCCTTGAGGATAACGGCTTGGGGCGAGTAAGCCAAAATAAGAATATTAATTAGTGCGACCGACAGAAGCTGCAGCTCAGCGGCCAAGAGGCTTGTAGTGGTGAGGTACTGTAAAATGATGCATAATTGCTGGTGGAGGGGATATAGCAACGTCAGAGCCTCGTTTGACACCGTGTTTGTGTCAACATGGGCCGGATTCTGGTCTGACAAGAAAATTGGAATGCAGGAGAGGACCCAATGCAGGGTGCTGTATGGCTCATGGTATCGCGCACCAGGAATCAGACTCCTGGGGACTGCGCAGAGGCTCAGAACCAAGTTCGGCAGGATGACAGCTCTAACGTTCACTGCAATGAGCAGTGCAACAAGTATTGGTACCACCGGAGGATAAAATATCGGCGCCGGGTCAAATGACGAGGGAACGGAGATCGGAATCGTCCTTGACGGCTTCCCCCGCCTATAGGCCCATATGACGAGTCTCAAAGGATAGAGACATAGTAGCGCAACGATTAATCGGAATTGCGCTGTGAGTTCTGGGACGAGTTAATTAGATGGATCGGAGAGGAGACATCGGATAGACAAAAGTACCTCTCTGCCATAGTTTCAAGAATGGTTGCACAAGTCGGTTTGCTTGGACAAGGTAACCCAGGCAGGCAAGCAAGAGGAGCTCGGTAAGGCGCCGGATGAGTTCTTTCCGACTTCGAGCCTTCTCCCCACCGAGGAGAGACTTGGTTCTGGCTAACGTGTCTCGTTTTGGTCGATGCAGTGTTACTCGACCCTCATCCTCTAGCACTGCAGGGGATAGCAGCGGGGTTGATGATCCGGAGAGCGGCTCGTCCTTCCCACGCAGCCCTTTGTGTAGCCTGGTTTTTGGTGCTGGGAGGCGCTTTAAGAAATGTTCATCATCTGCCTCAGTGCCACTATCACTCGCAGGCGTGGACTCCCGGGTGAGAGACGAGAGGGCACTGCCTGGCTTGTGAGCAAGGACAGGTGTTGTGTGCGCTGTGTGGCAGCCAAGCGTGTCGGAGGGCTCTAGAAGCTCAAAGTTCCGTCTGTGGTAAGGATGTGGAGATCGTGAGGGGATTCTCAGTCTTTTGCCCTCGTCACCGATGTCATCGATGTTGCTGATCGAGGTCGGAGGAGGCGGCGGCGGTTGAAGGTGCTCGGGCATATCGAGTCTCGACAGGCCACCTGGCGCAACATGGGACTCGAATTGCTGAGCTGCATCCGCAGTGCAATTGCGGGCAAAGCACAAGGTTCTTCGGGTATCACCTGTCCACTAATCGCTCTGCAGTTGTGGCAGTTTGCATTGTTTTGTGGGAAAGGGACGACCGAATGCTTATGGAGGAGGCTCTTGCCAAAAATAACATGACTACCTACGCTCCATCATCACATGAAGAACCAGGGCATGATCCATAGGGGATTTGAGCCGCGTGCCGTGCCGTTACTCCACCTTGGCAACAAGACGCGCCACCTGTGGCTGAAGACATCCTGTGGCAGCCACTAACGGGGTTCTGCAGATAACCTAGCTTGCCTAGCTGCCTACTGTACTGTACCAAGGGTAGATTGAGATGTTGTAGAGAACACCAAGAGCGATGATTGCAGATTATTAGTTAGGTGCCTTAGGTACGTAGTGGTCTTTGAGTTTGACTTTGCTCTATCAATTCTTGAAGATGCGCATTTGCTACATCTGAGTATAAGGCAAACCGGATTAAAGCTGTGGTAGTAAAAATCCATCTACGGACAGTTGTACAAGAGTCAAGTCTCGACATCAAGACTCTAGCCCTTGGGCGGCACAGGAGAGGAGGTATTGTTTCGCATTTGTTTATGATTGCCATTGCTTTGGAAGCCTCCAGTCTGCAACCTGGTTCCGGGGTCTGTCGATCTGGCAATCTTAACAACTGTGCACCGTGATAGAATGAAGAGAAGGAGCGAAAACTCGACCTTCAGATAGAAAGTGTGCTGAACAAGGCGCTTTGCTTGAGCTGCTCATGAGCAGAATCCGAAAACCTGGCACATGCTGAAAGTTATGATGTCTTTCTGGCCTGATGAGCTGATGGGCGGTCCTTGGCAGACAAGGCCAGCCGCAGCATCCGTAGCTTGCCTCCTGCTGCGTATTTAGTAGCAAGTAAACAAAGCTGCCAAGACTGAGAATTGGGGCGGCTTACTGCGCATTGCTGGCCCGACACTAGTGTCGTAAAGGGTACGAGCATTCGATGCCGTGTGAGAGCACTGACATCGTACATGGTAGTTGAAACCTACTTGTGATCGAGCCCAGGCTCAGTTCCGATGGGAATACGAGAACCCACCCACCCATTGACGTCGTTTGCCTTACGTCGTGGTGGAGAGACACGGAAAACGAGTAGCCGAAAAAAAAATGGTATTCCACATTGCCTCTCCTTGTGTGGCCCTTGTGTGGCCCTGAACTTGATGTTCGGGTCCACACTATCAGCGGCCACAATCCTTGCTTGCCAGCGCAAACCCTGTCCATCAACTCCCGTCAGCCAGTAAAGCAAGTTTTCGGGCGGCCCACAGCGTCATAACCCCTGTCCGAGCTGAAGTTGGAAGCTGAGCAGCTCCGGTCAGCAACCTCCTTCTCCCGGATAGCTCCACCTCAACCACCAGCGTTCCGTTCTTTCTTTCCCTATTGTACAATACAAATCCGTAATCTGTAATCCGTAATCGCATCCTGATTTCAAGCGCAGTGCGACCCATCCCAGTGAACCCACTGCCGTGTTCGCCACTTCTATCCCGGCGGCCAACATCAATCAGGCGAGAACCAAGAGTTGATTGAGAACAACCTCCAGTCTCCGCCGGAGCCATTACGTCTACCACAGTAGCGCAGTAGACCCATCGTTTCGTCGATACAAGGGAATCAAGGCGCCCTTCCTCAATGATTACCCTATGATGCAGGTGCGCACTTCGGACAACTACCTAGATTTCGATTCAATCTAGTGTCACTTCCGTGCCACTGCTCCCTCCGAAGCCGTATTGGCCGCCCTTGGCTTGGACTCAACCCCCTCAGCTTATCCACACATCCCTTAGTCGCTGAGCATACACACCCTTAAACCATGGCATCCCCGGCATACAAAGATGCCTCCGAGCTAGAGGTTGGACATTCGGAATTTGTCTCTGAGAAGGAACTCGTCAGCCGAGGTGACAGCAACTCTCAATCAAGCACCCGGCAGCATCAAGCCCTGAGAGAAAACATGCCTTCCGCACGCCGTCTTTTGCTGGTTCTGTCGCTGTCGTTGCTGGTAATTTTTGGGGTCGCAACCGCCGTGTCCCCGGGAGAATGGGCTCAACGATCAGGCCAACATGAAGGGGTGGAAGGAGGCGAAGATGGCGGGTCGGCCCCGAAAGGAGCACCCTCATTCCGCCTGCTGGTCGAGCACGCCTCGCCGGAGTCCCTCCATGATCTCCTACACAAGTACTTCCCAGACCGCTTCAAGCATGGCATCTGGCCGTCCGAGCACTCGGCCATAGAAGCCGTCCATCGTAACGATGCCGTGCTGGCAACATCAATCGCTCAGCTGGCGAAGCGTGATGACACCAACACCACGGCCACTCCACCTCCGTCGACCTCGCCTCCGAGCAGTGACCCGACGACGGCTCCCACTTCCTCGTCTGGTGACGACACAGCGGCCGAGAGCAACCCTCCTACCACATCTACAGGAGACTCAGACCCTCCAACAAGCTCCGGTGATAGCAGTACACCGCCGCCTTCCTCAAGCTCTCCGCCTCCCAATTCTGATCCTCCTACTTCTGATCCCCCTACTTCTAATGCTCCTACTTCTGATCCCCCTAGCACCTCTCCCGGTACGTCCACTAGCGGTCCCCCTTCTTCCTCCTCGTCTTCATCTTCTCCCGCTTCATCTTCATCCCTCTCCATTACCTCCCAACCAACATCTTCCTCGTCAGTTTCATCTGTCTCCATTTCCTCCGAACCGACGTCCTCCGTCGCCGCTCCGTCCTCCTCGGACTCCGTGACTTCTCATGGAGGTACGTCTTGTGGTTCGAGCCGACCCTCGTTCCGGGTCTTCTTTGCCTTCCTCTTTGCTTTCACACCGTCAACTCCCCTGCGTGTCACTTGACTCGGTAGTTGCTGTCAGTGAGACGGTGCCCGACATGATGTCGTTGGTTGTGCGCGTGTGTGCATGTGCGCATCATTGTGACTGACATTGGTTTCTCAGAGCCGACTTCGACATCCTCGAAAACTTCGAGCACGTCATCTCACCACTCGAGACCGACAACGGCAACATTCACGTCGACCAACTCGGATGGCGGGCTGGTTATCGTAACGGCGACATCGTACGTTGACGCGGATCCCGCCGAAACAGGGGCCGCCAGCTCGACCAGGCCATCGGGCAGTCTGCAAACGAATGCGGCGCCGCTCCGTCACGGCCGGAATGAGGTCCTCGGGGCCATGGCGGCTGGGGTGGTTGTTGCTGGGGGGATTTTGCTGGTTTAGGACCGCGTCGGGGACATAACAACATTACATAAAGACCACACGGCGGCGATCAATTCTGTACATCACCAAGGGCCCGGGTTTAACTACATACATTCCTTGCACCACGGTGTCTTGGGTTTTGTCTTATTTCATGCAGGAACAGGAAACAGGAAACAGGAACGGGAACGGGAACTGGCATGTACATATACACGAGCCAGGCGATACGCCACGGCACCGCATCTCTCATTCCATCGGTCTCACAGAAAAGGGGAAGGCTTAGACGATGAATCAGACTGCAAGGTGCCCGGCATCAAACGGGTCCAGGAAGAGAAAAACGGGCAATCTGGCCAAGGCAGCTAGGAACAGGGGGCTCCATGACAGCTGTGATGAATTCAGCACACAAATAGAATATATTCACGCAAATAGGCATTCCCAAATTGTTTTGGTTTTGGTTTTTGTTTTGTCTCAAGAGACGAATTTCCAATTTCGGGCAATGTTTTTCTCACAAAGCTTTATCCTTGCAAGGATCTTGCTTCATTACCCATGCTCTCCCCCGCCGTTTCCACGGAACATTGGCTCGAAAAACATCCTATGAGGGTATATTCACAAAGACGCCAAACTCCTGTATGTAGATCATTGTGTGTGTGTGATCCACACGTTCAGTAAGTTGGTTCTAGCCAGGGCCGATCTTGGGCATGTCGTGATGCTCGCTCAACTTGGACAGATAGGTGTTCAGCTCCTCGACACGCTGCTTGTGGGTTTTCAGTAGTTCAGGCCGCCCTGATGCCGACTCAGGCATTTCCAAGAGCTATTTTCGACGAGTTAGTGGTGTTTAGCAGCATGGAAACGGACATGGGAACTTCTTCCGAGCAGGGGGTCTCACCTTCTTCCTCCTGGCCTCGGCGAAGCGCCGTTCGGATTCAGTCTTGTAAGTCACCGGCGCATCGCCGCCCTCACCCTCGCTCTTCTCTCCGCCGTAGCCCCTGCCCCGGCTCCTGGTTTCCTTGCTGTCTCCGTCCGCCTTGTCCTGTCGTGCCTCTTCGAGTCTGTCGTCATCCGGTCGGGACGGCGACTCGCCGGTCGAGAGCGCCTTCTCGAGGCTAGACTCCTTATCCTTCTTCTTCTTGCCGTGCTTCTTCACCTTCGTACCCTTGAGCCTTAGCGCGCCGCCGCCGTAGGTCGAGTACTCGCCAGATGCCATTTTGTGTTGTCGAAATGAAAGCGGCAAGGTTTCATCTGCAGAATCGCGGCGGTTACGGACCGAGGCAGGTTGTGTGTGGAGTCGGTGGGTGGGGGAGGAAGAAATTCACCGCCAAGTTTGCCGGAAGGGGACTAGCGTCGACCTATCGACAGGGGTGCCAGATGCCCTTTTCTTCGACGCGCTCCTCGCAATTTTTTTCCTTTCCTCTTCTCTTCTTCATCAAAAAGCAACGGAATACGCCACGACCGTCACTAAGTTGCCCTACAGTGTCGAGTTGCTAGTATCTCTCTGAGATCTTGATTCCGGATATTGAAATCTCCCTTGATAGGAAGTCTTGTGCCTTGGATATCCCGTGGGCATGAGATGCTGATAGATTGGGTACATACCACTGCTTCGGCTTTGGGTCTTGCTAGACTAAACTTCTACTGTGATGTGATGATGTATTTGATATGACACTAGATTGCACTAGGCTGACCTGACTCTGAGACAATCTCCACGATCTTAGCCGGACTGCGGATGGCACTGCCATGGCCTCAAGGTGGGAGGAAACTGTTGCCCGCCGCAGTTGCGTGCCTCAGGCCTTGGGCTCGCCGGGAGTGCCAGCGGTCCGTACCTATCAATCATCATCATAGATTCATAACATTCATGGGTCGATCAATCAATGTCTCGTGTGAATCTCCGTGACGAATGCTTCCGGCCTGGCGAGGTGCCACGGGGAAATTACGGGCTGGTGGGGGGGATTCTCGGGGTGCTTCTCATGGCCAACGAGACTCGTCCGTCCGAACACCCACGAGTTGCAGTTCGAGTCAAGTCTCAGTCTAGACAGCCGTCTTTGGAATCTGGCTCTAGCGGTGTCTCTCCTCTCGTGCCATGGCGACGGACTGCGACGGCGGCAATCTTGCTTCCTAGGCGACACGCTTGTGGAATGTAAGTTCCACGCGTAACCATTCCTCTCTCAGCACTACTCGCCGAGCCGTCTAGCGAATGTTCCGGTCGAGCGCGACCGAACACTGATCAGCATCATGTTGTCATCGAGTCCGCCTTCGTCCATATATAGAGGCAGTTGGGTGTGCTGTTTCCGGTCGAGAGTCTTGTTCTCTATCCACTCATCCACTCGCTCAACACTTAACTCAGTCCCTCGTTCTTGACTATAAAGGTCACAAGATTGCTCCGGACAGAGATCCAGAACAACCCACTCGCATCTTCAGTGAAACCGTTCCCCAAGTGTCTTTTGATCCAGTCATTATACACACCCAACACCACCACCATTGCCCAAGATGAGGTATGTCATCCCCAGCCAAAGCATGGTCCCCTTTCCATCCAAGCTAACTTGGATCACAGCGCCGCCGTCACACTTACCTCCTCCTTCCTGGAGTGCACGCCGCTTCCCACAACGACAGTCACTAATACGGTGACTTCGACCTTCACAACCACGTACTGTGTCACCCTGCCTGCCGCTTGCCCGACCAGCGAATGGATAGCCACCTACACGCTCCTTGAGATATGCACCGGTGAAAGGGACCACTGGACCCCGCCCGCCATCCCCCCCAACTTCGGCACCACCACTGTCTTCTGCGACGTCTGCCACGAGAAGACCCAGGTCATCACCTGCCCCAACGCCGCCGCCCCCACGGGCCCCACCGTCATCGGCGGCGACGGCATCACCGTCACCGCCCCAGACCACCCCGGCTTCCCGCAGCCCACCCAGAACCCCGCTCCAGGCCCGCCCGGAAACTTCGTCCCGCCGCCACAGGAGACCGGCGCGGCAAACCCGGACAACGGAGGCGATGATTCGCCCGTCGTCACTGCTGGCTCGCCGCCGTCGCTCAAGAAGGGCCTCGCCCTCATGGCTGGCCTCGCGCTCGCGGTGGGACAGTTCTTGGTCCTCTAGATGGGATGTTGTTTACGGGGTTGTCTTTTGTTTCTCTTGATTAGTCGCTTTGTAGTTTGTACAGAGTCTGATCACCATTCATGAGGAGGGGGCGAGATGCTGTTTGTTCCATTCAAGATTGGAGGTGTTTTCTTTCCATTCTTGGGGGGGTGGTTTTCGGGGGGCGGTAATCACCGCTGGAGCTTCAGATTGGATTTCTCTTCGTAATCATAATAATAATCGAGTGGTTCTAAATCTCGAGTTTCCACATCGTCTTGATTTCGCCGTGTCCTGGTCCTTTCCACCTCCCAATGGCAATGTCGAAGTCGTCCCTCTTTGTCGAGCTGTGGGCCCTAAGACTCTGTCCCCGCCTCTACTCCGACCCCTCGCTGATGTTCTTGCTCATGTGTTGGGCTCGCACAAACTCCTGGATCTGGGGGTCATGCTCAGGCCGCTGTGGCGGCCCAGGGACTTCAGCAGCCGGCTTGGCGGGAGGCGGCTCGTCCTCGTTGCCCAGCATGCGCCCGATCGCGGGCACATAGTGCGATACTTTTTTTTTGGTTTGCGTGCCGGTTAGTGAGACAGCCCCCGCGCCAGGGAATGCATGCAACGCGAGATTTCCCTCGCTTGGACGGGCGCAGGTCCAAAAAACCCACCTCTCTCTAAGACACCGCCATTCCCGTTCCGTCCGCTGTCGGGATCGTTTACCCGTTCCGCCGCAGCGTCCAGCTGGGCCTTGTAGTCCACTCCTGGCTTGCTGGCGTCCTGGTCGCTGGCCTTTAGGCTGTTGCTGCTATTCTCTGGCCCTGGCATTTTCTTCGGCTAGTGGGTCTGCGGGGAGGAGACGAGAGAGGAGGTGGTCAAGTGCGGGAATCTTGCTTTTGCGTGTTCCAGAGTAAAACTTTAAATATCAAGATATTAGACAATGACAGACGGATGGGGACTGGGTCTGCTGAAGAGAAGAGTTGTGGTTGAAGATCGCAGAGTCTGGGCAACTCGGCAGTCGAGCTGGAGTGAACTGGTGGAATGTGATGACATCATAGGCTCCAGCAAGCCGCCAAATAGCTTCTGGGCACTGTCTTTAGAGTTTTGGCCAAACAATCATACGGCCGGCACCAATTCAACATGATTAGCGGCCACTCCCTATCCTGGGGGCCCGACTGTAGCCCGGTCATGGAGAAGGGTTTGGCCGCTCAACAAACGTGTTTGAACGGGTGATCGATGTGACCATGTGCTTCCCATGAATCGTTGCATCGATCTTATCTTATCTTATCGATCTTATCGTCCCAGCATGACGTGCAGCAGGTGGGGGCAACGGAAGGAGGGGTTCTTCTGTGGTGTGAAAATTGGAAACTCGAATTTTCTGTAGAGAAAGGCACAATCAACCTAATTGGCCAACGCACCAAACCCAACCGACGCTACCCCCACCCACCTACCTCTCTTTCCACGATGGCGCCAATCCCGATCACGATAGTCACGGGGTTCCTAGGGTCGGGCAAGACGACGCTGATCCTCGGGCTAATCCCGCAGCTGCGGGCGGCGGACCCGTCGTACCGGCTCGCGCTGCTCAAGAACGAGTTCGGTGACCTGGCGGTGGACTCGCAGCTGGCGGGCTCGGAGGCCATCTCGGGGGTGCAGGAGATGCTCGGCGGGTGCATCTGCTGCAACCTGGTCGGGCAGCTGGGCGAGGCGCTGGCCGAGCTGGCGACCACGGTCCGGCCCGACCGCATCGTCGTCGAGACCTCGGGGTCCGCCTTCCCGGCCACGCTGGCCCTCGAGGTCAACAGGCTGGCCCGCGAGACTCCCGGGAGGTACGTCCTCGACGGCGTCGTCCACGTCATAGACGTTGAGAACTGGAAGGGCTACGAGGACACGAGCTATACGGCCCGCATGCAGGCCCGGTACACAGACCTGATTGTGCTTAACAAGTGGGAGGCCTGCGACGAGCGCAGGCTCGACGAGTGCCTGGACCGCGTCGGTGACCTGGAGCTCGAGACGCCGTGCGTGCAGAGCGACAAGGGCCGGTTGCCGGTGGAGCTCGTGTTCGGCGTTGGTGGGGAGCTGACGCGGGCTTTCGGGGACGACAGCCATGCAGGCACAGAAGGCCATGGCCACGACCACAGCCACGACCACCAGTCTGAGGTTGAGGTTCTTTCGATGGTGCTCCAGGGCCCCGAAGGTGCGGCTGTCAATGCCGACAAGCTTCAGGCGTTCCTCAGGAGCGCACCCAAAGACGAGGTCTACCGGATCAAGGCGGTGCTGACAGCCTCCTACACCCTACGGAGCTCGGAAGAGGACGAGTCATACCCCACGCCCCCCCATCCGCACGGCAGGTACATCCTCAATTGGGCATTCGGGCGGTGGACCTCCACCCCCGTGTCGGGTGGCCTGGAAGAGCACGATTCGAGCCGCGAATCGACGCTCAGGATGACCATGATACTTGCTCGCTACGAGAGCACAAAGTGGAAGAAGAAGTTAGAAAACGGCGGCCTATTAGAACTAGACGGCGATGACAAGGGGTCCCTCGTTGTCACTAGAATTTCATAGAGCCTACTTACACAACATGTATAGACGGCGCATGGGTGTTTGATGCAGAAACGCATTTTGTTTATAACCAGCCTGTTGATTCATCATGGGCCTATATATCTACACCATCACATCATTCATGCGGGTCTAACTAAGACCCCCACCCCGATACCGTGACCCCCCAGAATAAGAGCCACAGCCCGGGCTCTAAATCCACCTCTCATAGGGTTGCGAAGGAGAATCCGCCTCATACAGCGACACAATGTCGAGTTCCCACTCCCCGCTGCCCCGCGGCCCTTCCCCGGAATCCCCCGGCTTTCGGGACGGCATCCGCTGGTAGAACCTCGACGAAGGTTTCACGGTTCCAAGCGCCGGCACCGGCGGGTCTTGCTCCGGGGAGCCGGCGATGACGATGCTCGGCGGAGAGGACCCCATATCGTCGGTCTGGGGTATCTCTCTGCTCTATAATGTCTTGCTCAGCTCTTGGATAAAAGCCATGGCAGGGATGGGTGTTCCTAAAACCTTTGTGACTAGGCCGCTTTTGACGAGCCTGTCTCTCGACCGCGGCGTGGGGGAGATTTGCATCATCGCGAAGTGGAGCGTGTCCTGCGACGGATGCTATATAGTGTCATCGTTAGCGGTGCTATGAGAGGTCGTAAATGCGGGATGGAACGAGTACCGCTTTGATAGGAGGGGCTCCTTCTTCGGAGACGGCATTATTCTGATCCGCCGGCGCCGACCTACGGGGCTGAGTCTGCGGCTTCGGAGTCGCAAGTCTCGTCTCCGGGTATGCCGCGTCACTTGGGCTTGGGAGTGGCGGGGGAGCGAGTCTTGGACTCCGGCGGTGGTGAGACCGGCGGCTCGGGGGGGACGACTCAGGCAGCTCGGCGTGCAGGAGAGGTCGGTCCCTCGCACCATATGAGTTAAGACCCTCCTCCCCTGATGTGTAGTCAAAGTTGGTTCCGCATTTCGTGCAGCTCATCTCGCCCCTTCCGACGGTGTGAGCTTTGCATACAAGACAATAACCCCTCCTCGCCGCCTCCAGCCTATACAGCCGCTGGACATCCACCTCCTCGGCCTCGGCCACCTCGCCGTGATACGACTCGTCGCCGTCGCCGAGGTATCCCGCGCTCGCTCCCACACTCGGTACACTTAGCAGTGTCCCACGGCGCGGCGACCGGATCCCGCCCATGCTGCTGCTGCCGCCGCCACGAGGGGGAGAATACGAGGCTTTGGATTGTCGTGTGGTTCCGACGCTACCGCCCCCGCCGCTACCGTGCGTCTCGGATCGATGATCTTGGGAAATGCTAGTCAGCGGCAAAGAAAAGGAGGTATATCCGGCCCCCTCCTCCTCCTCCACATCATCATCAACAACAACCACATCCTCATACTCAGACCCAGAAGATCCCTCCACACCATCACCCTCGAGCCCCAGCTGGCCCACCCCTCCACTCAGCCAACGCCCCCTCCTCCGCTCACGAGCGACATCGCCCACCAGCGCCAGGGCCCGCCCCTCCGCCTGTGCCTGCCGCTGCCAGGCCGCGATCTCGGCCCGGCACTCCTCCTCGGACGGCGCCTCGGACGGCTCGACCCGCCGGCCCGGCCGGTCGGGCGTGTGCGTGATCCTGAACAACCCGACGTCGGCGCCTGCGTCGCTGCGGTGTGGTGGTGGTGGCTGTTGATGTTGTTGCCTGTCGGCCCCCCGGCCGGGCAGGTGGATGCTTAGTCGGCGGAGCCTGCGGGAGAGGGAGGTGGTTCTGGTAGCTGGTTTGGGGTCACTTGCCATGGATTTGCTCCGGGGGGAGGGGGTTAGTTAGTTAGTTAGTTGGGCAAGGTTGAGGAGGGAGTAAGGTGGTGGGCACGAGGACGGCGGTGGTAGGGGGGAACTAGCACAACCAGACGGCATCTCGAGGGAAAATATCACAAAGACCGAGTGCTTACCAAGGTTGGACTCCTTGGCTAGACTCTTTGTATGAGAGGTCCCCTAAAAGGTGGCTATTATTCAATTTATTCCTCGCATATAGGACAATAAAGAACCCCCTTGACCCGTCAACGTACATGGCGCTCGCCACTTCCGAAGTTCGAGTCTCTCCTTTGTTCTGTTCAAAACCACCATGACCCGCATGGCAAGGTTTCTCGGCATCAAGTCCCCGGTATCTCAGTGATTCCGTGATACTCTTTGAAAGCTGCATGATCTCCCCTCCCCGACCACAAGCTGCAATCACAGGCTTACCGTGAATGTCATATTATTGCTCAGGACGAGCAAAACAGGGGGTAACCCATTGCAGAGCACCTCAATGTCAGAGAGATAGCGGACGCTTGCCTCGTCGCTTTGGCAGGTCCCCTCCTCTGGGATTGGCAGAGTGGTGAACAGGACGGCCGTGTCATTGCTATTCTGACGGAGGAGCTCGTTGAGAATGAGATGCTGGGCGCGGCTCGGGAGGTCGTTGAAGGACAGCGGGAATCCCTGGGTAGAATAGCTTGACCCGCTCCTGTCGCCGTCTTCTTCCCTTGCCACGAATGAGCGGGATGAGATCAAGTCGGCTATGTTGACCTGCGCATCGCCGTCGCCGGGCCTTCTGGAGACTGACGCCTTTTGAGACCTCGCTTCCGGCTCGGCGAAGGAAACAGAGGGCCCGCCACCCGCAGGGTCCTCGGTTATCTTCGCCTCGGGTATCGGCTTGCTGGAGAAGCGCCCTGTGGAAGAATGGCGGGAAAAGGGAGGTCGTTCACGGGGTGTCCCGGTGGTCTGCGAGTTTGCAAACATAATCCTGGGCTCTGAGCCTTCCTCGTTGGTGATTTTTGTCTCTGGGACAAGCATGCTAGAGAATTTCATGGCCGACGATCCCTGTCGAGAAAGTGGTGGCCTTTCAGGTCGGAGAGATGGCGTATCGGACCTCATTCCCCTGCGAGCCAACTTCTCCGGGCTGAGCGACCGCGTCGACACAGTTCCCGAGGTTCTCTGAGTCTTCGACGGTGGCGCTAAAGTTGGAAATAGATCCTCGGTGTCCTCGCCCCTCCTATGTGCGGGTTTGGACATGGTCCCATAAGAGTCCCCTGTCGGGACGCCCAGGCCACGGCCTTTGCCCTTCCGCTCTTCTCTCCTTTCCGGGCCCCTTGGCCGGTCCAGAATATCTCCAAGGCTCTTCCGCCTGTTGGCCAGCGAAAGCAAGGGACGCCTTGCGGGTTCCGTATCGTCGAGGTCGCCTTCACTTGCCACGCTTCCGGCATCGTTGAAACAAGCGCCTAGATTGCTGTCTTCCGAAGACTCGTTATCGCTATCGCTCCCACTCTCGTGCTCGGTGTCGGAGTCGTCAAACACGTTCGACGGGAGGTTCTGGGTATGTATCCCCATATTTACACCCAACCTTGCCAGTTCGGAAACGGTCGATTTCTTTGGGAGGTCAGCTAGGATTACCGTACTGGCCCGTCGTCGGTCTGACCCTTGTCCTTGGCTGGCATGAGGGTTATACACGCCGGGCCGTGCCGTTGTCGATCCCATGACGTTGGCAATGGAAGCCAACTCCTGTGATACGCTCATCGTGTCGTGAGAGGAGCCCCGAAAGCTCTGTAGATCGCCCCACCATTCATCGTCTTTCAAGCACTCGTTGACGACATCCTCCGTGTCGTCCGAGCCGGGCTGGCCGTGTACTATCATCTCGTAAGTCCCAAGCTGACCGCACGCCAGCCAGAAGACGAGCACTTCGGCTTCGATCCTCAGTTTGTCAAGGAGAGCCCTGACTCGACCGCGTTCTTCCTCAACCTCGCTTTCGTACTCGACGAACACAAGGACTCGCAGGTTATAGACTCGCTTCCAACCGGGCACCGTTTGAAGAATGTAGCCCAGCTGGAGGATTAGCGTATCTGTCCGGAATTAGCGTGTTGTTCGTGAAACCAGAGGGCTAGGATAGCTGATAGATACACAGTAACTTACATGTGTCAAAGTTCGTGGTCAACACACTCTTGCCCTCTGCGGACAGTTCGGCGGACATTTGGATAGGCCACAAGTCAATGTATTTCTTTGAATTGCTGCCATCCCTCCGAGGTGTCTCCAGTGTCTCGAAACCCTTCCCGACTGCAACATTGAGTCGATACCTCAACGCCAGATCCTCCAGTATAGTCAGGTAGCTTGTGACGTGCATCATTTCCTCCGTCCGTATGACGTCGGTGGGTAGAAAGCCCTCCAACAAGCGAGCAGATGTATCGCCTCGTCTCCTGCGAGTAGTTTTCTCATCGCCTCTGGGGGCCCTTGGTGATACTGGGGACGTGGGCAGGTTGGGGATCCCGGTAAACGTCATCGACGCCCTCAGCTCGTCCATGTTGTAAAATCCAAGCACGGCGATGTTCGGCCTCATTCCGCCCAGCCCGGATGAGAGAATCAAACTTCTGACCCCCCAAGTTATGGAAGGGGACATGGTAAGCTGAACAAAGGCTTTGATCCTCGAGTACTCGGAAATATACCGAGTCCAGGCAGCCTGCTGAAGCTTTGCCTCGTGGACACCCGCAGCAAAGTCATCCGTTACGATAACGTGTCCCAGTATATAAAGGGAGCCCTTTTTCATGGAGTTGCAAAACTGTATCAGTCGGGTATTTCGCCTGGGGTCGTTGATGAGCAGAATTATCTGGGGCCTCCAGAACTTGATATGTTCTGGTTTGAGGCGCAACAGGTATTTCCTGACTTGGTGATAGATGAGGTTCTGGGAAACATCGCCCCAGTGTTTCGGTGGGCTCAGATAGTGGATGAGAAGGAAGAGGAAGACAAGAAGGCACACGGCAGTGGTAGCGTATGTCTCGTCGATGAAGAACATGGCAGCTGCTGACAGCACACTGCCAGCGAAGGCCGTCTGCCACGTGAAGAACTTGAAAGCTGGTCTGAAATTCGGTGCGGAACCGATCTTGAGCAGGAAGCAGGCGAGGTTCATGACGAAGAATGTCATCTAAAGGGGTTCAGTTCTCCATTTCTCATCTTGGGGGGTTTCTTTTCTAGGCCGCTTGGAAGGGGTTGAACTAGACTTACCTGATAGCCCATCGAGATGAAAGTGGCGATCTGGTTCAGGTTGGCAAACAAGGCAAACTGAGCGACCACGTACGTTAGGAATATGGCGAGAAAAGGCTCATCAGCTTTCTTCGTCCCCTTTCCAAAGAGAGACAGGCCCGGAAAGAGCTTGTCCCTGGCCAGAGCCTGTAGCAGTTTGGCGGAGCCAATAACTCCCATCAGAGCCGAGAAGAAGGTCGTGGCACACTCCCCCGCGAAGATTAGGGGTGCCCAGATATTCGTATCCTGGATGATATTCTGATCCCCGAGAAGCGATGCGTGAGTTGTACTGGCGGCCAGCGATAAGATGACAAGCAGGTATGCGATGAAGGTTGACAGCATTGCCCGCAAGGTTCCGACTGGAATGGCCTTGCTGGGATCCTTCAAGTCCCCCGACATGGAGGCTCCGGCAAAAATACCCGATGTTGCAGGGAATAGAATACCAAAGAGCTCTCGAAAGGTCTCCATGCCTTTGTACTCTTCCCCGGACCAGTGCGGTAAGAGGTTTGAGCGTAGTGTATCCAAGCTGAAGCCCGTAAAATCGATCCCGAGGCTGGGGTCCTGGAAAGGGCGCATAAACAAGGCGGAAAATGGGATGCTGAGGATGGAAATGGTGAGGATGACGAGCAGGGCGTTGCTCGCCCTGGCAAAGATGCTGCTCCCAGCCAGGCAAAGGAGGGTGCAGATAAGCAGGGCCACAGTTTCGAAGAGATAGTTCCACCAGTACCCGTGAGGCATCACCGAGCCCAAGTTCAGTTTCAGGCAGTCGATCAAGCCGACGACGTTGAGTGCCGTGTTGAGAACCTGGGCCAGGTAGAACAGAATACCAATGGAGCCACCAAACTCGGGTCCCAAAGATCGAGAGATCAAGTAGTAGGCCCCGCCACCCTTGACTTCACCATTGGATGCAATGGCAGACAGGGACAGAGTCGTGACAAAGTCTATGAGATAGGCAATGATCAGGAGGCCTGCCCGGAGGGGGGGGGAATACGATGTCAGTCACGGCTGGGCATGTCAAGGATGAGGGAAGAGGGTACCGACCTAGTATGCCCAGGAGACCAACTTGACCCAGAATGAGGCCGAACCTCAAGAACATGAGGATGCTCAGGATGTTGAGGCATACTGGGATGTAGACGCCGGACACGAGTCCCAGCTTCCCTTTTTTGCCTGGTAGTTCTTGGCCCATCATCATGGCGCGCTCTTCTTCTTTGGTGAGAGGCATTTCTGGGCCGTAATATTCACTCCTCTTGGGAGCGAGTAGGTAGATTCGGACGAGAGAAGATAGTCCTCGCTAGCTCGGCGAGGGAAACGCTTCTCGCGGCTCGCCCAACAAGCTCAAAATAGAGGATCTTGGGAGCAGCGAGAGCAGCTCGAGATCAATTATAGACCTCCACCGATTTCGAATGTTCCGGATATGCATGCTCGCTCATCCCTCGAGGCATGCTTGCTGATGACTTGTCCGTGGACTGCCTGCCATGAGTTGAGCAGACGTCATATGGAGGTACAGGCAAGAACGGTTTTAGGTGCCGACCTCCCGCCGTAGCCAAGCAAATTAGTGTACATTTTTGAACCAGGGGGAGCCACAGGGATGCGACGGCTGGTGAAGCACTAAAACCACCTACGTAGTAGGTATGCACAGACATTGTACCCAGCTGTGAATTATGTGGGTACAACCTATGAATGAACTGGATAGAAATGTCCTCCAGGCCTCTTCCCTCCTACCTTACATTTCGAGCAATGTCTCTGCTTGCGGGCCGGCTAAGTTCAGAGGTGCTAGGAATCTTTAGTAGCCCGGCTGGCAACCTTCCCAAGTGCCTGCAGTCTTGCTGTTCTTGTCGCAGTTGCAGCTGCAAGCACCTGGAAGCGATTTGTTGTGGAGACATTGGTATGTATGTATGTGTTAGCTTACCTAGGGAACTGACCTACCTAAGGTAAGTTGGGAAGGTCGCTCACCAAGCTAGGGCATTTAGGTAGACGCCAACAAACCGCACTCAACGTTGGCTCAGGATCGCCCTCTCCACCCCTGATGTGCTGAGATTGCTGTTGTGATTTGAGAGTCAGACTCAGTGCAGGAGTTAGGACAGGAGAGCAGGGGATGAAGTAGGACTGACTCATGGCACAACCCTTGACCTAGGCTTCTCAATTACAGGCAGCGGTTATTCCGCGTCAAGAATTCTAGGTGGGGCCAGCAGCTGCTGCCATCTGCAGCCCACTAATTAAAACTGATCAGCTCCCGTCTCACCAATGAGAAAGTCCTGAGGTCAACACAGCCTGCACGCCCCCGATCTTCCACGATTCCAGGGTCACCTGCCTCCGCCTTATCACAAGGGCCCACAAGCCCCTACACTCGTGGTTCTTATCACGAGCTGCTGCCGCCCTTCCCCCCCGGCCCGTCCCAAGCAGCTCCATTATCAGTCGTTTCTGCCCCGGATCTGCCTGGTTTGGCTTCTCGAGTTCACGGATCTCCTGTTCAATTACCATCCTATTCTCCCCCCAATTGGGTTGCTTAGCTCACTCTATCTGTCAGTCGGCGCCTCTTGCTGCAATGCAACTGACATCGTCAACTACCCACAGCCCCAGCAGCATGAAATATTAGCCCTCATTCCACCTACCGATATCCTCGATAGCAGCCATGTCGAACACTGGGAGGGCGTCGCCTCTACCGACTCCGATCCCGTCGTCTCCAGCTGGCCGGTCCCTCAGCGCATCTGTCCCACGTGCCGAGTCCACAGCTCGCCTCGCCTCGCCGGTACCCGGACTTGGTATATCTCCCGCACAACGGGCTGCCACCTCGGAAGGCGGTGGCGAGGGAAGCTCGGGATCTTTTACCCCCCTGGCCGGCGCAGGACCCAATGCTCTGGGGCCCGGTGTGTCCGCTCTAGCTGCGGCATTATCCCACTCGCTCGGCACTTCACCACCCCGGTTCGGAACGCCTCCCGTTCGACCAGTGTCCCCATCCACTGCCGGGACCCAGCTCCTTTCCTCTGCAACCCCGACAAATTATGGATCGTTCGACAGTAGGCCCCGGCACCTGCAAGGGGCCGCGGGAACAGGCGGTTATGAAGACGCAGAAATTGTGAAGAGGCATCTTGTCCAGCCCGCCGATACGGCATCCAACCATTCGGGGCACAGCAAGCCGGCCGACGGTTCGAAGGGGAAGGGGACAGCGGACCACGACACTATCGGACGAGGTGATGATGACGGCTTCTCGAGCTTAAGGCTCCAAGGTGGAGATATCACGCGGCCCATCTACAAATGGACTGAAGAGGCCGAGTCACGAAATCGCACGCAACGGAGTAAGAGCTTCATCATGTCGAGGCCAGAGGCAGAGACGGAAGTTTTCGACATAAACGCAATCAAGGTTCCGGGCGGCTTTAGGCGCAATTTCCTTCGGCGGGCTGCTGAGGATCCGTCTGCAAATCCAGACGACCTAGATTCTGGAGAGGGCAGCAGCCGGAGGTCGCCGCAACCACGGCTTCTGACGTCGAGCTTTTTGGAATTCTTGACGATTTATGGCCACTTCGCCGGCGAGGAACTTTTGGAGGATGACGAAGTCCTGAAGCCTGGCGAGTATTTCACCTCGGGAAGTGAGGAGGAGTATCTCTCGAGCGACGAGGGGTCGGACGAGGATCGCGAACCGATGGAAGACAGCACCCTCCTCACGCCATCGCGACGACGGAGGAGGAGGAAACCCCGCGGGGGGAGCGGCAAGAACAGCCCCACGAATGCCGTACTTTTGCTCCTCAAGTCCTTCGTTGGCACCGGCGTCCTCTTTCTGCCGCGGGCGTACCTCAACGGTGGGATGCTTTTCAGCAACGTTGTCCTGTTAGGCGTGGCGGCCCTGAGCTATTACTGCTTCGTCCTCCTAGTCACCACTCGGTTGAAGGTCGAGGGCTCGTTTGGCGATATCGGGGGGATCCTCTACGGGAAGTGGATGAGGAACCTCATCCTCGCCTCCATCGTCATCAGTCAGCTCGGCTTCGTCGCGGCCTATATCGTCTTCACATCCGAGAACCTGCAGGCGGTCATTCTGGCCGTATCAGATTGCAAGACCCTGATCGAAATCAAATGGCTGATCGTCATGCAAATGGTCGTCTTTCTGCCTTTCTCCTTGCTGAGGGATATCGGCAAACTTGGCTTCACGGCACTCATTGCCGATGCCTTCATTGTCGTCGGCTTGGCATACCTCTTCTACTACGACGTTCTGACCCTCAATACACAGGGTCTGGCCGACATCATCCTCTTCAACAAGAAGGATTGGACCCTTTTCATCGGGACTGCCATCTTCACGTTCGAAGGAATTGGCTTGATCATACCCATTCAGGAGTCAATGAGGCATCCGGAGAAGTTCCCTAAAGTGATGTTGCTGGTGATGGTCATAATCACGACCCTCTTCGTCACCATGGGCGCCTTCTCATATGCCGCATACGGATCGAAAACGGAGACGGTCGTCCTCCTGAACCTGCCGCAGGACAACAAGCTCGTCAACGGCGTCCAGTTCCTCTACTCGATCGCCATTCTCCTGTCCACCCCTCTCCAGATATTCCCGGCGATCCGCATCATGGAGAATGCTCTCTTCACCAAGAGCGGCAAATATAACCCGTATATCAAGTGGCAGAAGAACGTTTTCCGCTTCTTTGTTGTGGCCATGTCCGCAGCCATTGCCTGGGGCGGCGCCGACAACCTGGACAAGTTTGTAGCGCTTGTAGGCAACTTTGCCTGCATCCCGTTGGTATACATCTATCCCGTGAGTTCCTCCTCGGCCCCTTATTTGCGAATCGGTGTTACTATCCGCCGAATACGCTCGTACTTTTATCCTAACGACGTAACACAGCCCATGCTACACTACAGGAGCGTGGCGAGAAACAGGTTCTGGAGAATATCGGACATCGCCCTGTGCGTGTTTGGCGTCATCGCGATGGTCTACACGACTAGTCTGACGGTCATGAGTTGGGCGAGTTCGGGCGGCGTACGGTTGCCTGGTTACTGTGACGAGAAGGGACGGTAAGGCTGGAGGCGTGGTTCACAATATGTTCTCTTTTATAGATGTATGTATGTGGACAGTGACACAGAGCATTATTTGGCATCAGCATTGGGATTACAGAAGGGGGGGTTGGAGCAGCATGATAGAGTGCCAGGGTTTTGCCATACATAAGGTATGCCCTGTAGATTGAAGACGAGGATGGCTTTTAGAGAATAGTACCAACAGCGTCATCCTGACTCCCTCCCATCCCTTCTCTTTCACCATCAGTTTTCTCTCACTCTCTTCAAGATTAAGAACCTAATTAAATTCCAACGATACAATACCGATGCATCGTCACTAGGACAGCACAAAACTGACTTTGGATGGTATCGGAACCTAACAGGTGAATGACTGACGACTTTTACTATCAGTGGCAATCTGTGAAGGAAAGGTAAGGTAGGGAGTGAATTTAAGGTCCTGTGGCGGGAGTTAACCGGGGGTTTAAAACAATAGGATGGTACCATGCAGTGAATCTTGGGAGAGCTAATGCAGAAGCGGGGCATCATGGCTTCAACCTTTAAAGCAGGCAGCGCCGCTCTTCGTTGAACTCAACAACGACTAGTTTCTTTGATAATCGAACTCTGTCTGGATACCTGGCCTTCCTCGTCCTCTTGCTTCTTCTTTCTTTGCTTTTTCCTGCACCTGTCTCTCAATCCATCTCCAGCGTGGAATCTTGATCATCACACTGAACACGCCACGCTGAACAGAAAACACAGCAGAGTGTTGTCAAGATGAATGCTCCTGACCGGTGAGTTGCTGATTTCCCCAGCTTTGCTTGTTATCCCCCCTCGTGCCTCAATCCAGCCTGAGGTTTCATCCTATTTGTCAGTTGAACAGTCATGCCATACACCAGTTTGTGTTTGTGTGTGCACACAGAGATCTCTGGCTCAGTTGCTCAGGAGACCTCTGAAGGTTGGGCAGTGCAAGCAGGGAGATCTAGGGAGGCTTGTATGCCCCCCATAACACTCCCAAATAAATGACTGGGACCACACTCCCCAATCACTATGGGATCTGGTGGCAGGTTTATGGTCCCCTCCACTGGCCGGCAAACCTAGGTACCCCGTCCTGCCTTCCTACCGACCTGGTACTCCGGAGTCGCACCTGCCACTATTACTTCACTCTCCCTTTCCCACACATAAAAAGAGCACCTGGGTCACCAGGGCGACAGGTCATCTTGAACGCGTCAAGAAACTTCTATTTCAAGTGCCAAAAACCTTCAACTTGACACTTTCCCCCATACATCACCATCGCACGCTCCATCTACCAGATACCCTACGACATCGCTACGATGACCCACGTCAACCCAAGACACGATAACCTTCAAGACCCGTGGGCTGCGATCCGATATCATATGACAGGTCTGGCAGAACACCAAGCTAATATAGGATTCAGGTTCGAGCTCTTCCTTCTCGGCGACGGCGAGAAGAAGATCACCGAGCAAGTCTTTACTGGTACGTACCCACCTGTATCTCCAAGACTAGCAACCTGGAAGGCACTAACCTGAGAACTGCATGGCAGGAATGTCCAATACCTCGGACTTCACCTTGCACAAGGAAGACCATACTCTCGGCAATCTCCTGAGCGAGCATCTGAAGAAGGCCCCCCACGTTATGATGGCTGGATACAAGGGTACGTGACAATATGCGCTCCCCGCAAGGTAGATCAAGCCGAAGCTCACCCCTCATAGTTGGCCACCCGAACGTCCCGGAGGTCCTACTTCGCGTCCAGACCGATGGCACCATCACGCCCCGTGAGGCTCTGGTCGAGGTTTGCAAGCAACTCGTTGCCACCTTGGGCCAGCTTGGTCGCGAATTCCAGAAGGAATTCGCCTTCCGCCAGATTGCGGACCAGGGCAACCAGGGCAACGCCAACGGCGGAGCTAGCGGCAATTAAGTGAAACGGCCGTCTCTACATGGAGAGGAAAGGGCTGGATCTCCGAGGGGTTTGGCGCATGGCGTTGCAAGGAACGGTTCTACGTTGACGTCCAGGTCAAATTCAGGTAGTTAGGGGCGGGAAAAGTGCTTGACTATGGTTGCTACATGCCACCGCCTGATACCAGAAGAGACATTTGCCTTCATTTCACCTCTAGTCTGCAATTACCACCATGAAACCGGGTATCGTGGGTTAATCCTACGCCAGTGACCTGTCCTGCCCATCATCGCTGGGTGCATGTTCTGCAGTCCCAAGGATATATCCCAGTCAAACGACAAGACCCCCAAGATCCTCTGCTCTCCTATCATGGAGATGCTCCCCCAGGCCCTTCGCCACCGGGGATCAACTGAGAGAATCTGGTTAGCTCCTCAAGTAATACAACCCCTGAGGCTTCATACCATGCAGATATTGTTGCCATTCAGCAAAATCTTGGACAGCTTCGTGTGATTGCCCGAGTAGTCACTGATGACATGGTTAGTCTATAGAAAGTAAAACCCTGGAAAAGGATATCATACAACTCAGTGACATCTTCTAGCACCATGTCTGCATGATCAGTTAGCGAAGGCGCTCGTAAGACCTTGTCCATAAGTGGTTATACATACTGACGTAGTCATCGAATCCAAGCAATGTGCCGCTGAATTCTGCAGGTCGGGCATCAGCTATATCCAAACCGAGGTCACCGACTGGGGGGCCGTACCTTTGTCGCCCTTCATGACGACCCATATTCTTGACCCCACACATTTGTCGATGAGTTCTGTGCTCCCGGTTAGTCGATGAGCCGGATTGCGTCTATCGCGGAGATACTCACCCAGAGGGAGAAGTTGGGATGCCATGATGATAAATTCGTCTTGTCGGCCGATCACAATTTCTCAGCAGACAGCTGTAATCAACCTTGCGAGACTCAACTAGAGACTGCAATCGACGAAGTTCAAGATGTGGAAGCTTGGAAGTGTGGCTTGATTTTGTGGCTGAGTAGCTAGACCATGGGAACAACAATACTGCATAATTCAATTTTGGGATAATTCCATAAATATACAGTCTTGGTGGTACCTAGGTACCTACCGCGCCTGGAACGCGCCTGGCAGCCTACCGACTTACCAATCGAAGGGGTCTCTGGGATCAAAGCTGTGACTCTCATTCTGCTGGCGTAATGAGTCTTGGGGCCAATGGCACACATCTCGGTGCCAGAGCCTCTCAGTCACTGCCAGCAATGAGACTTAGCCGCGGTGTCGGCTCGGCCATCTCGTTACCCTATCCTATGTATGTTACCACTCGGTTAAGTGTTGAGCACCGCACCCAACTTACGTTTTCAAGAAGACACAGCGCTGCCGGGTGTTATAGATCTTATAGCTGTCTGCCTAAGATGTCGGATAATGTACGACTTTGGCATTTGAGCCATGGAATCGTGTTCGCTGGCAATAGAGAAGTGCTCTACCCCCGACTGCCTCGCGCGAAGCTCCACAGCGCTGCGACGGTACCTGAGGGTGGCGACGAGACAGTCACGCTATCCAGCGTGTGTATCCGCACCGTTGATCAGAGCTCACCTGTGGAAGGCTCGGCCAGTGCTGCTAAGGATGCAGGGAACCGCTTACCAGACGAGACTGGTACTCTGGTGGGAGATCCCGAAGGGGCTGAGAATAGAGGAGCCGCCGGGGATGAAGCAGCCACTATTGACGATGTCGCTTGTGACGATCCACCTCCAGCAATCCTGGACTATAGGATCCCACCAGATGCGTTTCGGGAGGCAAAACTCGCAGACCCGGGCAGCCCGGAGTCCTTCTGGTCGTACGCCCTGTATCGCGGACCGGGCGAGGACGGCTCTGCCGATGCAAAGGTGAAAGTTCACTACTGCAAGACGAAACACACAACGGAGCGGGTTCTCCAACAGTACTTCATGAACGAAGAAGTCCTAGGTTTCGACCTCGAGTGGGCACCCTCTGCCACGAGATATCAAAGCGCCAGGCAAAACGTCAGCCTGGTCCAGCTTGCGAGCCAGAGTCGGATTGCCCTGTTCCATCTGGCATTATATCCGAAGAACGACGACTTGGTCGCCCCATCACTGAAGAAGATCATGGAAGATCCAAAAGTCACAAAAATCGGCGTCGCCATCAAGGGTGATTGTACCAGGTTGCGCAATTTCTTGAAGGTTGAATCCCGCGGCATCTTGGAGCTGAGTCACCTGTACAAGTTGGTAAAGCACTCGTCTCGCGGGACTTTCCAACATGTCAATAAGAGACTCGTCAGTCTAGCTACACAGGTCGAGGAGTATCTCCATCTCCCGTTATTCAAGGGCTCCGACGTTCGCTCGAGTGACTGGACTCAACAATTGCAAATGGATCAGATCATCTGTAAGCCTTGCTTGAGCCATCTGACATCCAAATCGGCGCCCTCTAACTGCCTACTCTAGATTCTGCGTCCGATGCATACGCTGCATTGCAACTATATTTCACCCTTGATCACCAGAGGAAAAGTCTGGATCCGGTGCCCCCTTTGCCGCACCACGCGGAACTTAACCTACCCATACGACTCGGGGATGGCATCAGTATTACAACGTCGGATGAGGGGTTAGAGGCCCCCGAAGGCGAAGACGACACAAAAAATGGCCCAACTCTCTCGGCTCGATATCTGAAGTCGCTGGGCGATAGCATAAAAATCGAACCGGACGGCGAGGATAGCGAGCCGATCCTCAAAGAAACCCCGCGACCTCGGAAGGCAGCCAGCCCTGCCCAGCAGGGCCCGAAGGACTCGAGAATCGTCGACGCTGAAACTTGGCTGGCGCAATATCGCCTAAGCAACGCGGGCGGTGTCCGCGCGGCGGCTTCGTCGCTTCGCGCGTACCGCATATGGTTCTGCAACAGGGATCTCGATCCCGAAGCGATCGCGAAGCTCCTTCGGCAGCCTCCACTGCAGACCGCGACTGTGGTGAATTACGTTTTGGAGGCCATCAGGATAGAGAAGCTCCCGTACGATGCCGCCCGGCTCCAAACCGAGCTCCTGGACCTACTCCCGGGGGACATACAGGCGAGACGGTACAAGGCTCTCGTGAAGGCATGTCAGGGGGCGATAGACGCGTCGACTCAAACACCAGCCGGACAATCCAGCTAGCCGGATATATTTCAGGGCCAAAAACAAAAATGTATATTTCAATCATTGTGGGGGTATAACAATCTCATGAACAGAAGCTCACGAGGCGAGGAGGTCCCGCCCCTTATTTACCTGCACCTTCTTGTCCTCGCCGCCGCTCACGATCCCAAGCGTCTTGTCCCACGCCACTCCGAACACCTTGCAGCCCTCGCCAGCGACGGGCCGCTTCCTGCCCTTGCGGCTCTCGCGCTCGAAGACGTAGACGGGCTCGCTGACGCTGCCGACGCCGCCCTCGTCCTTGGCGGCCGGGCGGACGCTCCGGAGGTCCCAGATGCGGCAGGTGCCGTCGTGGGACCCCGAGACGAGCGAGTGGTCGTTGTCGGGCGAGGCGGCGATGGCGACGACCTTGTTGGCGTGCCCGCGCAGCGTCATGACCGACGTCGTGGCGGCGCTGGCGCGCGGGTCGACGAGCGTCACGTGCCGCGCCGAGGTGCCGGCCGCGAGCAGCGGTGCCGAGTTCCGCGGGATGGCGCACAGGGACAGCAGCGGGTGGGACGTCGTCAGCGTGCTCACCACCAGGCCCGTGGTCAGGTCCAGCGTCCGGACAGTGTGGTCTTGCGACGCCGAGTACGCGACGGTGCGGTCCCGCGGGTCGAACACGGCGGCGCTCGCGGCGGCGTTGTGGACGGCCATCAGGGAGAGGGGCCCGCGCTGCGCAGTCGACACCGAGGACGATATCCTCCGTCGCTTCGTGGCGTGGGTGCTGGGGAGGAGCTCGGCCGGTGCCTCGGGGGCCGACGCCTTGGACGTCGTCCAGAACCCGACTGAGCCGTCCGAGGATGCGGTGAGGATGCGCTTGGAATTGCCGTCGACCTCGAGGGACTCGATCGGCCCTCGGTGGCCGTACAATTCTAGCGTCGGTTTCAGCTCACCGGAGAAGCGGTCTGAGCTCTCGGAGTACTTCCACACGCGGACCGTCCGGTCCAGACCCCCCGACGCAAGCTGGGAATTGAACAGGAACTTGGCCGCCTTGATGCTCGAGCTGTGTCCCCCGAGGCTCCCCGCCGGCGAGGTTGCTATGACCTGGCCGGACCCGTCCCAGATCCGAAGCAGCCCATCGTACGAGGCCGACAGGATCCGGTCTTGCCCCTGGACGAACGCGTCGCCCGACCACCGGCCGGCGGGCGACGTCTGCGACAGCACGTCGACGGCGCTCACCCAGTCGTCGTGCTCGAAACTGGCCTGGTAGACGGGGGGGATCAGGCTGCGGACGTACTGGAGGGTGACGGCCGTCTCGAAGGAGAGCCCGTTCTCCTTCAGGTAGTCCTGCAGCGTCGAGCGGAGGAATGCGCCGTTGATGAGGAAGTCGAAGGGGATCGGCGTCGGAGTGTCGAGCATGGACTCGGAATTGATGATCCGGGATAGGCCATATCTTCGGATGTCTGAAAGGGCATGGAGGTTAGCTACGGAAGCCCGCGGAAGTGGCTGAGGAGGAGGGGAGCTCACCTGCGGGAACGAGGAGCTGTCGTTTGCTCTCTGGTAGTTGGATATCTTCGTCGGTTGTAGTAAAGATGACCTTCACCTGAGCCTCAGGATCTGCCGCCGTTGAGTCGGCCATGGTAACGTCCATTTAGTTGGCAGTATTAAATTCCAGACAAGTGCTCTGTCTCGAACCAAGTTGCTGCTCAACTGAAGCTCAATTTTTTTCAACCTGGACCTTTTTTTCTTCGGTTTTTTTTCTTCCCTCAGCCTTGCAGAGAGTCCCGCCTGGGTCCCGCTGTGGGGCTGCTAAAGGTACATACATTAGTGGGGCAGGTGGGCCTGCCAAAGGACCGGGACCCATTTACGCCAAAATTCACGAACCAGGTTCAACAGACGCGTCTCGAAGTTATCACTAAATTCCTCGACGGCGATGAATGGATGGAACTACAATAAAGCAAGATGGTGTCTCTTGAGGACGTAAGCGGAAGCTTACTGCAGAAGCCATCGTAAGGACCTCTTTATGAGCACAATGAGATTCAATTGCTGACCAATTCGGAAGGCGTGAGGCGCCGGATGTGCCTGAGCGGATCGATTCGAGCTACAAGCCACTCAGCACCTTTACCCTGCCCACGGACAGGAAATACCAGCAGCAATATGCAGACATATACTTCCTGCGGCTGACAAAGATAAGGCCTGCTGTCGAAGGGGTTGCCGCCGCTGCCTGGGATGATACCGTTATTGGCGGTGAGGAGGCGAGGAAGGTTGAACGGGTCTTGGACGTACGCCAGGGCGAGCTCTGCTGGGTTGTAGGGACGGTGTACATGGACATGCCGCTCAAGCCCAATATCTTGGAGGATATTTCCAAAGATGTAAGTGCGCATTTCAAGTCAGCCAGGCCTTACGTCTTGAGGAGCTGACCAATGTCCCCCTTTCTTCCCGTCTACTCAGCGCTGGATTTCAGCTCCTACCACTGCCCAGCGGTACTTCTCTACAGAGAACCAGGATGCTGTCATGCTGGAGGATGACTCGGGCCGCATACGGCTTGTTGGGGACGTCTTTAAGAAAGTCCTTCTGGTGACGGGGTGCATCATTGCTGTTCTCGGCGTCGAGAACATCAATGGGGAGCTCGAGGTCATTGACATCAAGTTTCCGGACCTGGCCCCCCAGCCGGGCCGCTGGGAGTTGTCTAAGCCTTCTACGGAGTCCGGTGCCAGGCCCACGAAACGGGAGACCAAATCGCGGGACGAGGACGTCGAGATGACCGAGGCCCGCGCGGGCGGCAACGGAGGCAAGATCGCGATTGTGTCGGGACTGGAGTTCTCGGGGGCGGACACGTCGTATGCGATGGAGCTGGACCTCCTACTCGAGTATCTACTCGGCGAAGCCCTTGACCCGACCACCCAGAACGAGCTGTCGCATATCAGCCGACTCATCGTCGCCGGCAACTCCGTGTCGGCGGATGGCAAGCCAGACGTCGAGGGCGGCGCGGACAATAAAGCGATCAAGAAGTACGGCTACGATAGCAGCTCGTACAACCCCGTGCCGATCCAGCTCCTTGACGACTTCCTGGCCGAGCTCCTCATGGCAATGCCCGTCACGCTCCTGCCCGGCGTCATGGACCCGGCGAACTCGAGCTACCCCCAGCAGCCGATACATACGGCCATGTTCTCCAAGGCCAGGGCGTTCACCGCCGCCCCGGGCTCGTCCGAACCGGGCTGGTTTGACACGGCCACAAACCCGTGGGAGGCCGAGGTGGACGGGTGGAGGATCCTGGGGACGGGAGGCCAGAACGTCGAGGACATGGCCAAGTACGTCGATAGTGACGACAGGCTGGGCATGATGGAGGCCATGTGTCGGTGGCGGTGCTCGGCGCCTACGGCACCAGATACGCTATGTGAGTTTTGTGCTTGCCCGATTTCCCCTCTTCCCCGTCTCCGTCCGCTGACGCGCTGGTCTACAGGGTCGTACCCCTTCCAAGACGACGAGCCGTTCGTCATGTCGTCGTGCCCGCACCTCTACTTCGTCGGCTGCCAGCCCGAGTTCGGGACGAAGGTCATCCAGGGGACCGACGGCCAGGCGGTCCGAGTCATCGCAGTGCCGTCCTTTTCAGAGACGAGGGAAATAGTTCTGGTCGACACCGAGACCTTGGATGTGACCAAGGTGAAGATATCGGTGCCCAGTTAGGTCACGTTGACTGCGCCGACACACGCGAGTAGTCCAGAGGTCGGGAGCGGCTTGGAGGTATCTGGGATTCTGCGAAGGAGACGACGTCTCACGAAGTGTATGATTCACGAATCTAGACGCCTTCTATCGGGCTAAAAAATAAGGGAAAAAGAGACAAACTCAGATCAGGAGAGCGTGTCCAGTCGTCCTAGTGGCTCCCCCAAGTTATACGCGGAAACCTTTCCTCCCCAGTCTCCCATCCCGATCCTTAGTAAGCGATGTATGCGTGCAACCTACCACGCACCCGACTGACGCAGAAGAAGCGGTGTCGCTTGGCCCGCGACCCCTCCCGGGTATGCCCTCCTCGACCTCGATGACCAGGGAGGCCGGGAGGGCGGCGGCGCTGGCGAGCGTGGTCGGGGCGGTTGTCATTGCGGCGCCGTAGGCGGGGCCGATGAGGTGGTCCTCCACGACGAGTTCGAGGTGCTGGAAGAGGCCAGCGTGCTTGGCTAGGTAGATGGCGCGGTAGCGGTGGGAGGGGCGGGCAAGCGGGTCGGCGGGCGAGGTCGTCCCGTTGAGGAGCTGGCCGTTGTCGTGGGACAGGTAGAGGAAGGTGTTGGAATAGGGCACCCGAGTGCCCTGGCACCAAATTACCCCCGCCGTTTCTTGCAGATGCGGCTTCGGCCACGGAGCAGGGTTGGTCCCACTCTGTGGGTGTGAAGATCAGTAGAATCGGGTCATGACGGGTTCCATTATAGGCGGCTGAGCAGATGCCTAGATGAGAATGGGACCACATCACAATCATTTCCTTGGAGTGAAGAAATCTGCATGCTAATGATTGGACGTTAGGCTCTGGCTCGTTGGTACAGGCAGCTAAGGGGCGGGCGGTTAGCTGATAAGGCTTGCTGGTCGGGCTGCACAGGAATCCCCCATAAGGTGGACATCCCCCAGCATGCACCTCTGTCCAACCTCTGCCTTAATTTCATCATGAATCCGTATGTATCGAACCCAGACGACATCCCCGCCACTGACAAGTATGCCGACGTACCATTCTACGGCTGATACTTTCCCAGACCAGGCGACTTTTGTGTTAATCTTCAGCACGTCAACCCTCAGTCTGCAGACTCTTTGCAATACTGGGCGTCAGTAGTTGACCTCTGCGACGAATCTGTCAGGATCTACCCAGCTGATGAGGGTGGCCGCGATGTGTTTGCCCTTGGCAGCATCATCGTCAAATCAAGCCATCTCTACAAGACAGAAGATAGCCAGCATGGAGAGATTGACTACTCATACGCGATGCTAATGAGTCCCAAGCTATTGCTATTGCCAAGGGTGTCCTAAGGGATGGTAGAGTGCCAGAGATTTCCTTTGCTAGCAAGGTATATGCTTTCTCGCGCAGCTTACTTTGTCCCTATCACTTAGTGCTATAGATCAATGGTCGCCAGGTGCTAATCCAGGAAAGGCTCCTAGGCGTTGGTTTGACCGTCGCATGGCCATACCTATCGCGAGACCCAAAAGAATCCTTCAAGCAGCAGGCACGCAAGATACTTCGACAGTTGCACACTGTTAAGCCTACCGATGGACGCCAGGCTTGTTCCCACATCATCCAAGATCCATTCATCCTTACCAACGGCCGTATCCATCCCCTAGAAGGAGATATTCTCTTAAACACCAACACTGACCTAGACATGAGTTTCATGCACAACGACTTTACCGAGTCTAACTGCATCGTTGACAATGACAAGATTGTAGGGCTTGTTGATTGGGAAATGGCTGGCTTCTTTGGCTGGAAGACAGCTGGCGAAGTCCATCGTAGGATCAGAACACCTCAAAGGGAGCATTTTGCCAATGCTGACCTGAGTGAGGAGAGGCTTCAGGACATTATGTTTTGGAATGATATTTATGACGATGGTTTGCCCGAGTTTTGACATGGCTTCTGCTGTGGGCGAAGCGCTGCCGGTGGCTGTATCGTCTTGGAGAATGGTGTCCCCTGTTGGAGCGAGGAGATGGTGAAGTGTGTCCCCTGCGGGGTCCACACGAATCATTCAGTAGGAACTGCCCGAAGCTCCGAGTATCAAATATGACATGAAGCTCCCCTGAGGGCTATTCTACAAATGATACCGCCTTTGCTATGTACGAGGCATATGCACTGCCAATATCCTGCATATCAGCACTGGTCGTTGCCGTTCATCGGGGAGCCACGGCTATCAATCAAGGTGGAGCTTGTTGCTTAGTCCCATGGTTGCGTACGCAATAGTACGGATGTAGCTGCGGCCCGATCAATAAGAAACGACGTAAATGCGCACCACAGCCACGCCTAGCTGAGCGATCTAGCTTTGCGCCTGCGGGCCAAAAGCATCTGCCCCAAGTCATACGCTCCTCGAGATATCTATCATGATCTGACTAGGGATTCCATGTCTTATATCAAGAGGCCAGACTGACATCATCTACAGGGTTAATTAAAGGGGCGACAGATATATGTAGGATGGATATGATATGATATGTAGCAAGATAATGCCACCTTCGGCATCTCAAAGTTGTATGGTTTGACGCACTGTGTAACACATTCGGCGGGCTCCAACGACTCGTGTCATCTGGTCGAGTCTTGCCATATGCGTACATATCTGAAACCGTGTGGCGTACACTCACCTGTGCAACTGCTTTGTTACCATTTCTGTTACCGAAGTACTAAGTTCTGGATGTTGATCAACTATTGGCAGAAGGTGGAGTTGGCTTCTAATTATATAAAAAAAGAGTTGCCCCATCAGAGCCACCACCCCTGGCTAAGCCACAGGCGAGTCTTCAACAACCAAGGAGGGCTCAGCCTGCGATTGACACCCCACCAAGGGAGCCCCAGCCATTCACCTCCTGTGTTGTAAGGCTTGGCTGAGATGAAGCCCTGTGCACAACGTCAGGGCCAATCCACTTAACCTGTCTCCCCATTTCAGCCTCTCCGACCTCGAATCTGGTTCCTCCTCTTTTTTCCTTTAATATTTCCAAGGATAACTATCCATTTATCGGAAAGTAGACCTTACTGAAGCCTCCGTTCTGCTTGTAATACCGATCATCGAGTCTTCCGCTTGTTCAGGTCACACACCTGCGCTCCCGGACCTGTGGCTCCTCACAGTGCCCCAAAAAGCATCGGGCACCCACCCGCCGCTACCAACGCTTCAACGCCCATTCAACGCCCATTCAACGCCCGTGCCAGCTTTTGGCTCTGGACGAGAACGAAACACCAAATCCGGCTACCCGTACTTGTCTCTCCCAATTTGCCGCCGTTCGGTCTTCCTCTCTTTAATCCTGCCCATTAATTACGGGAGGACACTCTCGCTTTCATCAACTGCGTCCGCTCTTTTCTTTCTTTCTTTTGCGCTGCGAGGTTGAATCACCTTCCCTTGCTCGTCAGCCGCGTTTCCGTCGGTCCACGTCGACCTCGACATCGAGAGCCATGGCGGCCAACGACTTCTACAACAACAAGCCCTTGCCGACTCCCTCGCCGCAACCCTACTACTCCTACAGCGGGCAGTCATCAACGTCCTACGATCCCTCCATCCCTCCTCCCTATAGCGCCCAACCGCACCAGGGCGCCGCCAGCGGTCAGCGCCCCCCTAACAGCGTCTCGCCGCTATCCGCACCATCACCTTCGCCGTTCGACTCGCCGTTCGACGACCACGTATACCCGGCGAACTCACATCAAACACCGTCTTCAAGCCGCCATCAATTAAGTCAGCAGGATACCGGTTACTACGGTCTATCCAGGGTTCCTTCGGACGAGATGGCTTACAATCACCCCGCAGATGACATCCCCCTCCAAAACCGTCCCAAGGACGTGGAAATCAACGACCATGTGTACGAGGCGCCCCGACGACGGAAATCCAAAAAGGGCGCCGTGAGGTTTGGCGAGCTGGGCATGTTCGGCGCCAACGGGAAGAGGATACCATGGGTTGTCTATATCTTCACAGTTGCCCAGGTCGCCGTGTTCATCGGCGAGATCGTCAAGAACGGTACGGCTCACCATCTGTATGGAAAATTCAGGAGGCTAACCATGAGATTCAGCTACGACTACCGGTTCACCCATCATGATTAAACCGCAGTTTAACCCCATGATCGGTCCCTCGACCTACGTTCTCATCAATATGGGTGCCAGGTTCGTGCCGTGTATGCGTAGTGTCAAGGGCATCACCCCAGACGTTACCTGGCCGTGCCCGAACACGACGACCTCGGATCTCAGTGATCAGTCACATAGGTGCAACCTGTCCCAGCTCTGTGGGTTCGGTGGTGTTCCAGAGTTCGGCCAGGGCAGCGACGTCCCGGAGCCGAACCAGTGGTTCCGCTTCATCCTCCCCATGTTTCTGCATGCCGGATTGATCCACATTGGCTTCAATCTGCTGCTGCAGCTTACCCTCGGGAGAGAAATGGAGAAGGCCATTGGTTCTATTCGCTTCTTCCTGGTATACGTTAGCGCCGGTATCTTCGGATTTGTCCTTGGCGGGAACTTTGCAGCCCCCTTCATCTCATCTACGGGGGCATCCGGTTCGCTATTCGGCGTCATTGCCCTGACTCTGCTCGACCTGCTCTACTCGTGGAAGGACCGCCGGAGCCCGATGAAGGATCTCATGTTCATTGGGCTGGACGTTGTGATATCTTTCGTCCTTGGTCTCCTCCCCGGCCTGGATAACTACTCCCATATTGGTGGTTTCTTGATGGGCCTCGCTCTCGGCATTTGCCTCCTACATTCGCCGAACTCGCTCAGACGCAGGATTGGGGATGACCCGTCCTATGCCTCGGTCGGTGTAACTCCCTCGGACGTACCGCCGACCTTCGTGAAGAACCCCGTCGGCTTCTTCAAGGGCCGAAAGCCTCTGTGGTGGGCATGGTGGCTCATTCGAGCCGGTGCCCTGGTGCTGGCCCTGATTGTCTTTATCCTCCTCTTGAACAACTTCTACGTCTACCGCAAGACCTGCAGTTGGTGCAAGTATCTCAGTTGCCTGGTAAGTCCTCAATTCATTCGACGCCCGCACCAAAGTCACATCCCGGTCACGGCTAACAAGGTTGACAGCCCATTAATAATTGGTGCGATATCGGTAACCTCGATCTGAAAAACACAACTACGGAGAAGTCTACTCGTAACCTGCTCCGTGGCCTGGCGAAACTATATTACGACTGAGACGACATTGACGCACCCTGTTTGTTTTCATTGCGCGAGTACCGCATATTAGATCTGCGAACATTCTTCACCTACCTCTGCATAAATATCAAGGCGTTATGGGGCGGGCACGATATCCCGCGATGGCAAATACCGAGTGGAAGGAAGGAAGGAAGGAAGCCGGAAAAGGGGACACAAGACACGAGACGTACGTTCTAGACCCCAGGACGGATTCTGTATGCGCGCTGTATGGCGTGGTTTCCCGAGTCGGGGCAACCTTGCGAAAGTTCGGATAACCGGGGTACACAGGACGGGTCCAGCGTTGTTCAAGGGGGCTGACTGTACGGCGGGGGGCTGACTGTACGGCGGCTTGGCCGGCAATACCACATCGAGTTGGACGACACCGAAATTGTGCTCATAGAATTACTTACATGTGGTTGTAATGACCTGAATGGATACATGGCCGTCTGGTTGAAGACTCTCTTACGCGCTCTCTGTTTTCTTGACCATGTACTGTACCAAGTCCAGTACACTGTTGCCGCCCTTGCCTTGGACCACTGGAGGAGAGAGATTTGAAACAATTATTACATGACTAGACCAGACGAGACTGCGTGATTTATATACAGCGCCTATCGGCCGGTTGATCTATTGAGGTTCGACTGTGACTCTCTATCCCTGGAATATACAACCTGAAGTACATATATAATACAGGACAGCAATAATAATAATACACCGTATCCATGTCTCTGTTACCCCAAACAAACAAGGTACACACAAGACATCGGTCCAAGCGAGCTCGGACCCTCAAAACAACTTACTCCCTCACCTTCCCAAGCGGTTTCGGGACCGCCGGGCCCCCCTCGTCGGTAAAGACATCCTCCCACCTCAGCTCCCCCTCAGCACCGTAGACGCGGACGGGGTGCGCCCTAGCCTTCTCGTTCTCCCTCTCGCGGAAGGCGCGGCCCTTCTTGCTGTACGCCTCGAGCTGGCCCTGGAACTTCTGGGCCCAGTCGTCCGAGCCGCTGCTGGCGGCGGTAGTGGTGGTGTTGCGCTCGCCACCACCGTCTTCTTCGTCGTCGCCGCGGCCGGGTTGCCGTAGCGTCTTGCGCCGCCGCGCCACGACCATGTCGTAGATCCGGTTCGCCCGCGTCGCCGAGAGGTCCTCGACCGAGTACTCGACCGTCCACGACGAGGCCTTGGCGAGGCGCTCCGGCCGTTTGACGTACTTGCCGTCGACCTTGTTGCGGATCGTCAGAACCATACCCAGAACCTTGTCCTCTGGGGCCGGGGCCGGGGTGGTGGTGGTGGTGGTGGTCGGCGCATCTTCTGAGGTGGAGGCCTCGCCTTGGGTCGATGATGGAGGCGTGGAGGCTGGATCGTCCGTGGTTGTTGGTGTTGTCGTTGACTCGCTGCCCTGTCGTGACTGCTCGTCGCTTCGTTGGCTGCCTAGCTCGGGAGACTTGCGCATCATCTCGGAGAGGATCTTCTCAAACTTGCGAAGCTTGATGGAGTCTGAGGAGAGGCCTTCTTGAGGGCCGGCCTCTGCTTCTCCTGCCTCGCCCAGTCGTTCCACGGGACTCGCCTGGAACTTGGCTGCGAGCTTGATTATCAGGTCCTTGAGTGACGGCTGGTCGGACGATCCGCCTTCCTCGGTCGAGCTAGCCTCGCTCGTCGGCTCCGGACTGTGATCGTTCTCTAGGGGCCGATTTTCCTCTTGTCCCTCAGTACCTCGCGTTACCTCGAAGGTATCCTGCTCATCTGCAGAAGACATCTCGTTCCGATGTTCCCTGTTTTCTGTTGCGGTATCAGTGCGAGGCGAGTCGGCTTGATGGTTCCCTGTCTTGTCCAGGCCGTTGTTGTCTGAATCATCGGCGGCGGAGTTGCCCTCTTTGGCTTCGCTCGTGAGTGCCTCCAACAGAGCATCCAAGTAGTGGCGCGACTCCTCGGTCGATTCCATCTGGAGGAGACCGCTCTGCTCAAGGGCATCCTCAATCGCCTCCCGGACAGAATTGACGCCGAGCTCGTCGTTCTCCAGCGTCTCTTCGACTTTGCCCATCATGTCTTCCCACACGTCGAGGCTGGTCTCCTCCTGGTCAGCACCTTCTTCAGCTTCCTCGAGGCTGTCCTCCTCCTCGATTATCTCGCTGGCTTTGCCCCTCCCCTCCTCTTCCTTGTGGATCATGCCCATCATCTCGCTCTCAAATGCCTCCACTTGCGCTTTGTTCTTGGTCTGTACCGCTTCGATCTCCTCCTGCGTGACCGGCTTGGCGAAAATGTACATGAACGGCGGGTCTGACGGTCGTGTCTCAAAGTGGATCTGTAGAGACTGCTCCGGCCACTTTGCAGTCGCCTTGTCGAGGACCTTGTTCAGGAGGTGGAGACTCAGTTTGAATTCCCTGTCCCCGAGCGTGATGTTCTCCGTCCCGTGGAGGGCCAGATCCATCTCGGGCAGTGGGATGTATTGGAAGCCAAAGATGCGCTGGGTGTTGTGGAAGGCGACGAAGATGCCGTCCATACGACCCATGCGCACCTGCAGCGAGTACTTCAAGAAGGCGGAGCGGACCATGTCGTAGTATTCGCGCTCGTAGGACTCCCATTGGCCGATCCGATGACGGATCTCATAACCCAGGCCCTTCCAGAAGTCCTGGGCATCCATTCGGATCGAGACGACTGCCCTTGTCTTGAGATCGAACATGCCGGTTCCCGGGAGCCTGTTGTCGTGGGCGTCTAGCTGCGACCTCATCAAGAAGTCCCCCATGGTCGTGTAATGGTACGACTCCGGCCCGTTCCGTTCCTCCTCTGTCAATTGATCTGAGTTTGTCCGCCGGTACTTCTCAAAGTCCTCCTTCGACAAGGTTAAAAGCTTCTCCATCGATTTTCCTAGCATGCTCAGGATGTTTGCGCTGTCAAATTCCTTGTCGGCATCAATGGCATACGTGCCGTTCTTCCAGTGGAGGAAGATCGCTGCTGGAGACCGGCTGATCCTGGTGAAGTTCGTCGACTCGATCTGGAAGCCTCGGGAGATGTGTGCCGGATTGACCGGGCGCCATGCAGAGAGGAGGAAATGGAAGTGTGCAAGCATGGAGGTCATGCTGGAGGTCGAACCCGAGTACTTCTTCATGTTTTCGGCGGCAATCTCTGTCAGTGCCGTGTCCTTGGAAGAGGTGACATATTGCTTCAGGGAATTGAAATCGAATTCTTTGATGGGCATAATCGCAGCGAGGTAGGGGTCGAAGTTGAAGACTCGCGACCGGGGATCCTGGAGATGGTAGACCCCGGGGTTGAATAGGACTCGGTCTAGGCCATAGGATAGGTTGGGCACAGGAGGCTGTTGCTTTACAACCGGCGTCAGGGCCAATTCCTTTGATTCGATACTCGATATCTTGAGAGTATCCGGCTGCTGCGATTTCTTGTCTCGCTTCTTCTTCGTCGTTGTCTCTCCTGAGGAAGCCGAGGGTGCTTCCGAAGCTGGCTCTTCTTCCGCTTGTTTCTTCGAGGATTTCGTGCTCGCCTTGTCCAATGGTGATTGTTTCTTGGGATTGGGCCCTTTCGCCTTCTTCGCAGGTTCACCCCTGTTCTCCAGGGCGGTCCTCAGAGTGTTCAGGGCATCTTTCAATGATGTGGGCTGCAATGCCCCCAAATGCCTCCTCGGCCCGCCATCGGAACTTTTCTCTGGACTCGGCAACTCAATCTCCGAGGCACTCGATGGGTCTGGTGCCTTGGAAACATCCTTTTTACCTGCCCTTCCTCCTTTCCTTTGCGCAAGCTTCCTTCCTTGTGCCGAGGAAATGGGGGTGGTCGCAAACCGTTGGATTCGCAATGAACTCGTCGTCGGCGCAATGGAGGACAGCGCCTCGCGGTGGGCAAGGGCGGCGAGACATGGCCCGCAAACATATGTATGTCTGGCAAACCGACGCGACCCGCTGCTCAAATGCAGCATTGTATTCGACGACGACGGCAAGCTTGATGGGCGGCACAGAACCTTTTTAGGCGCGCGCTGGCGGGACGCGTAGGGACGGACCCCTTCTCTCTCTTTTTTTTTTTCCACCGGTACTTTGTTACTCCGTATCCCGCCGAGCCCCTAACCGGTTACCTACCTAGCTACCCGCGTACCCACCTAAAGGCTATCTACATGGGACCATTATACAGTATCTAAGGCCTATTATTACTCTGTAGTAAACAGAACGTATGGCCGAGACAGCCATTTCTGGTTGCCATTAGTGACCAGTTTGCCTTGTGTGCCAGCTTCGATTTGTACAGAGCATCCCATGTGCCAGTCCAGACATCAACATTTCCCTTGTTCCATATCCCGCCAAATTCGACCCGAAGTTTCCGTCAATGGGGTATAACTCCTTCAAGCTTATTCATCCCTTCTCAGAGCTAACCGTTGCGCCAGTGGTGTAGACCCAGGTCACCCTGCCTACCCTTAAATTCCCACTTCTCACTTCCCACTTCCCGCGCACGTCGAGCACTCAGCATTGGGTCCTCGTGAGTGCTTCATTCGCCAGGCGAATCCCATTCTCTTTGGTTGCTTTCGCCTCCGCTACAGCACCTTGCATCTCCAAGGACTGCGCAAGCATGCCGTCGGCAACACTCATCCATAGTAGGTTTCCAGTCTTCTTGGCCTGCGCTGAACATGCCTTCGCGCTCTTGAGAGCCTGTTCGCCCACAACATTCTCAAATAGCCGGCATCTCATAATGTTCAGGGCTATTGACAGACACTGTGTATTTGCTGTTTGCTGGGCCCCATTCAGCGACTGTTGGATATAGCGCTTGACCTGGTTGATGGATAATGTTGGGCTTGTTTGGATCGAGGCCAGAACAAGGTTGTACGCTGTCCGGATGTCAAGATCCGAACTCTCTATGCAGAGAGGGCCCAGCAAGTCCTTCAGCACCGTCGTCTTGGCATCGTTGCGGTTTGACGGCGCCTGCATGATCCATACTCGATTCAGGGCTGCCAAGATCGACAATTGATGGCTAATATTGCCGGGGCTGGCCTTCGGCTGTACGTTCGATATGTCGAACCGTGGATCCTCAAATATTTGGAGAGCGTTGTCAAGGTTGGCGGTCCCTTGTTCGTAAACACCGGACAGGTAGAGCTGAAGGAGGCTGAGGACGTCTGACCGAGGAGGCGAAGTCTCAATCGCTTCCAGGCATCTCTTCACTTTGGTCCAGTCAGAAAGACTCGCAGCCTGTAATCCAATCAAAACTTGAATATAACATGTAAGCTCCGTTTCCCAGTCCGCCTGCTTGGCGGCCTCGGGAAGACATGTACTTGATGGCTTTGATTTGGGATCTGGCGGAGAGTTAATAACACAAAGACATTCCGGGGGCGCTCGATGTGGCTCACCTTTCAAGACTTTCAGCGCTTCAGCCCATATCTCGGAACTCTTCCCAAGTGTCGTTGATTTATACAAGGCAAACAACCCATGGAAAGTATATCTATCGGATCCGTCAGGTGGGATGATAGAACGGGAGGAAGCAAACTTACGCCAACGCAAAAGCTTGTTGTCGAGCAATTGAGGGCAGAACAAGGTAATCGGATTCACCGTCGCCTCGACGCAGAATAGCCGCCGTGTCATCGCTGATTGTCTGTGAGGTGCCCGAGTGTCTTTTGATGGGGAGCAAGAGCTCCGTCGAGCGAGAGTCCCATTGTGGGGAATTCTTCAACTCGTCCATACGGCTCTGGAGAGCCGCGAGCTTCCTCGAGTACATAGCCGGTTCTTTCTGGTGCAGACTGCAAGCGAGGTCCAGAAGCAAAAGCAAGACATCGATTTGCGGGAGGTGGACAGAGGCCTCAAGCTGGAACTTTGAGGCTTGGGCGATGCAGGTTTGGACACGCAAGATCGCATCGTCCTTCATGGTGCTGAGGTGTGCTAGACCCTCGAGGAGTGACGCCATTACGCATATTGCTCGGTCTCCCCTTTGAGTGGCAATGGCGGCCAGTTTCTTAAGGTTCTCGAAGGCATGTGGATCAGTACTACTCCCTGCCTGTAAATAGAACGCGGCCTTGAGAAAGCGGAACGCGTAGACCCAATGCACCTGCTTATACCTGTATGCAGATCAGTACTAGCTCGACCTCGCGGCAAGAGGAACATACGTTGTGCTTTCCGAAATGTTGCTGTCAATGGATATCAGTGCGGCTTTCGGATTCCGTTGGAATAGCACTTTGGCGAAGAGAAACTGCATGCAGTACTTCAAATCCATGAAACGGTGCTTTAAGAACGTCAGTCAGGGGTTTCATATTCGACACAGAGTTATGAATACCTTCTCACAGAGGGCGATGCCTTTCGTTAAGGCGGTTTCGGCCTCCATAGTGTTCACGGTTTCCTCGACAAGAATACCGGCGTATCGCAGCCGTAACCGAGCTTCAAGCCGAGGTCGGAGTTTATTAGACTGCATGGCAACCTCAAGACACCCCAGCCCTGTCGCGATGAGTTTATGGTACTCGTTGGCCACATGAGTATCCGCCGATCTCCCAACCTCTGTCACAGATGCTCGCGCCTTCGAGAAACAGTCTTCAGCGACGCAGAGAAGCAGAGGAAGGGTCTCGACCTGGACGGAAGCATGGGATACAAGAGGTGACTTGGTAACACCAGCCGAGGAGCTCGATCTTGTTGGTCCCGCCGAGGGAGTTGACTTCCTATGAGAGCCCTGGGAAGGGGGTCGGATCGTGCTCATTCTCGGGCTGTTGTTTGCCGACAGTGGTTGCTGGATCGGCTGTGGATACCGAGCATGCGCGGCAGGCTGAGGCGGAGGTGCTGGCGCTGGCAGGTAATTTTCCATGGGGTGCACGGTCACCGGCTGCTGAAGATAGGAAGGGTCGACGTATTGGACGGGACTGGCAGCGGAAGGAGGGGGAGGACGATCGTGGGCGCCATCGTAGGACTGTAACTGTGGCGCGCCAAGTGGGTAATACTGAGCGGGCTGCTGCGGGTGTGCGGGCACGAATTGTTGGTTTTGATACAGCGCGTTTGCTTGCGAGTTCCCGCTTCCATACTGGGGGGGGTATGGGGGATAAGGCATCGGTTGCTGGCCATTAAAGGCCTGCCCCGAAGGCATCGAGCCTCGAAATGTCATGGCATTTGGGAGGGGAGTGCGTCGCTTGGATCCTAGGCACCTCTAGCCAAGAGATTTACTCTCCAGTCAGGCGGGGAAACACCGTTTATTTTGAGTCGCGGCTGGGGAGGGCGCAGGCTGGCTTGATGCATAAAACGTCGTCGTTGGATTAGAGTCCAGCAGGGGTCATGAGGCTATCAAGGCAGGTCCCTGCTCGACGCGCGCTGGTTAGACCAAAACGGATAGCTTATGTAAGGCCAGCGGACAAAATGTCAGAGCTGTATTGAGTTTAGGGCCTTGGCGTGTTTGGGGGATTGACCGGAATTGACGGCTTTCACATGCCTAATGCGTCTAGACTAGTACCCACTTTGGATAGTAGAGCCGGAATTAAAAGGTACAACCTCATGACGGTGCCATCCATATCCTGAGATGATGTTCTGTCCTTCACCCAACAGCTTCCTGTGTACGCAGTAACACGAAAGACAGTCCGGTAAAATCGAAGAACGCCCGGAAGACATTCGGAGCTCGGGTTCAGAGTTTCCAATCGTTCGCCTCACCCTCATCTTCGTTCGGCTCCAGCCAGGAGTCCGTGGTAATGATGGATTGGCTTGGTCGAGCAAAAATCAGTTTCACTCATTCGACTTCGCCGCTGATCCTGGAGGAGAAAGATGGGACGAAAACTGACCTTCTCAAGGTCTGTGAGAAAGTCACACCTCCCTGCCAACTCAACCCCCTCCTCTTCAATGGCCATCTTCAGACGATGTGGACTGTGACCAAAGTACATGGGCCTCAGATATACTACCGGAGGAGGATTTTCCACGCGGACCATAAGGTCTACACTGGGACATTCGCTGTCGATTTCGCGGTTGATCCCCATGAGGATGTGGACGAGACCCTCCCTCCCCGGACCGCCTATTACTCTGAAGAGGGCTTTGCTGGAATCGCTTCCGAGGACTCCCGGCCCATGCTGATAGTTCTTCATGGGCTTTCTGGTGGTTCTCACGAGATATACCTGCGGTATGCGATCGAGCCTTTGGTCCTCAAAGGCGGGGAATGGGAGGTCTGTGTGGTGAACTCCCGTGGTTGCGCAAATAGTGAGGTGACCAGCGGGGTGTTGTTCAACGCCCGGGCAACTTGGGATATTCGACAGGTTCGTTGCTGCCATTTCATCGTCTGTATCCTTTTGGCGTTGACGTTGCTAACGCTTCATAGGTCGTGAAATGGGCCCGCGAGACATTCCCCAATAGGCCGCTCTTTGCTCTTGGGTTCTCTCTCGGCGCAAACATATTGACAAACGTAAGCGCCATGGGTATCAATCCGAGTCATCGCTAGCTAATAAGCCACCTCTTAGTATGTTGGGGAAGAGGGCGCTTCGTGCCCTCTCAAGGGAGCTGTTGTCGTGGGAAATCCCTTCAACCTTGACGCCAGTAACAAAGCACTCAAGAGAAGCTTGGTAGGGAAGCAAGTGTACCAGAGAGTGATGGGAAGTATGAGCACCCACGCCACCTCAGAGTATACAGAAGCTAATTCTAAACTTGGATAGCCAATATGAGGGAACTCATAAGCCTCCACAAAGAGTCCATTCTCAAGTTTACCAAGCTGGACTGGGATACCATTCGAAATGTGAAGTATCTATATGAGTTTGACCGGACAGTCCAGTAAGTTCACACACATTGGAGACGCTGGCATAACTGGCCTATTATTGAAAATGACCTAACCGTGTCCTCCTGATAGATGCACGACATGGGGTTATCCCACCGAAGACGCATACTATCGAGACGCCTCCTCCGCCGATGCGGTTCTGGCAGTGCGGATACCGCTTTTCGCCATCAGTGCCGCTGACGACCCAGTTAGTTGGTTCACTTGCTTTGCTCGTGAGGTGACGACTAACCATCAAGCAGATCGCCGTGAATGAGGCCGTCCCATACGAGGAGTTCAAGCAGAATCCCTATACCGTCCTCTGCACGACATCCATAGGCGGCCACCTCTCCTGGTTTGAGCTGGGAGGGGGTCGATGGCATGCGCGCCCGGTATGACAGAACCGATGCGTGTCTAACTTGGCTTGGCTAACCGGTTATAGATTTCCAACTTCTTGAAGTACATGGCGTCGAATATCAAGCTCGACTCCATCAGGCCCAAATTAAGTGATGAGGCATCCGATACCTCTGACGCAAGAACGCGCTTTGATCCAGTAGGAAGGAAGCTGGAAATCATCCTAGACTAATCAATGCTCGTGATTTTCGGCGACGTCAATCTGATGGAGTAGACTGGTTGGTCTGAGATGGTGACATTTGTTAGTGGGTGAGAATCTTAGTGGTATGCAAATCCGTACATAGCAGCACAAGAGCTATAGAGACATAGAACAGTCGTAATAAACCGAAACGAATACTGTAGGATATAGTTGTTGTTACAGTTGACGAGAACCTAGTCAAGCAACGAACAAGTTGTTTCTCCTTATACATATTGTACACGGTGCTCAATATCATCCCAGCCAATTCTCCTCCTGCAGGCGCTCGAGGCCTCTATTTCCACAATCGGATCCACCCAAGACGATGTGCAAAGAGAAGCAAGTCTCGATATGGGTACATCAGCACCCACACACCCATACTTCAATCTCTCCCCTCCTCAGAGGGCAAGACAACCCCCACCCCCCTAGGCAGACAACCTCTTCCTCCCCTTCGCCCTCCTCCTCGCCAGCGTCTTCCTCCCGTTCTTCGTCTTAACCCGACTGAGGAACCCGTGCCGCCGCTTCTGGATCAGCCTACTCGCGCTCGCCATCGTCGGCCGCGGCCCGCACCGTATCTGCACGCCCGCCCCTGCGAGCGCGGGGTGCGCCGTGATCGACGTCCTCGGCACCACGTCCGCTGCCGCCGACTCGGAAGGCGGGAGGCGCGCGAGGGGGCTCGTGGCCGGTCGGAAGGCGGTGTTCGCTGAGGGGATCAGGGAGGGTCGGAGGCTTGGGAGGGAGGAGAAGGACCTGCTGGTCGGGTTGGGTTGGTTAGAGACGGGGTTGGTTCGGGAGGTTCGGCGGCATGACTTGTTCGTGCAGAGGGGGCGTTAGTTACCTCGTTGCGCTTGCTGTCCGAGAAGCGCAGAGTGCTGTTTGGTGTGGTTGGCCTCGGCAGGCGCCTCGCAGGAGCGAGAAAAGTGGTTGAAGCCTCGGCATCCTGGTGCGGGTTAAGGGCGAGCTTCTCGAAGTTGTCAGAGGAATTGCTTTTATTTAGGTAGGTAGGTGGGTGTTGTCGAGGTGCAGTAGTTCAAATTTCGTGGAGCAACTTTTGGAAATTGGTGCCAGCTGGCAGCACCTGGCAAAAATACAAGTGGACCAATTCCTTTCATTCACGACCTAGAACCAGGCTGCCAGGCTGGTCACGGAGATATTCGGAATACGGATACATAAAAGGAAAATGACAAGATTGCGTAGTTCTAATCGATCGGCCGATGCATGGCCCTTCCCTATCCCTTTAAGACCCCGATGTTCGGGTCGAAGTCCCCTCTTTTCTGTCTACCATAGTACAAATCTTTACAGCTCATCCCTTCCTGTGGCAGTAGCTTCAGCCTTCTCATCCACTTTTGCGTCCACCTTCTCAGTGGCCTGCCAATCTAGCGCCTTCAATCTCTCAGACAGGATCGGATGTGAGAAGTGGTAACTCGCAAACATCCAGTCGGCATCCATCGTGCTAAGGTTCTGGATCTGCAGCTTGATCAAGCTCTTCGCCAGGTCTGCGCTATAACCCAAGCCGCGCGCAAAGGCGTCGGCCTGGAACTCGAAGCGACGGCTCAGAATGTTCATCAGCAGCTTGATGAGAGTATCCATAGGGCCCAGGACATCGGAGAATAGAATGAAGCCCACGATGATGGGGTGTTCGTTGATAAACCCGAAATCATTGTACAGCGACTTGTTGTTAATGAAGACAGAGAAGAGCGAAAAGATGTAGAAGAAGTGTATCTGATGACTGTCAGTGTGGGCGGCTTTGAGAGAGGTATATCAGTCTCAACATACCTGCGAGATGCCGAATAAGCGGGTGGTGTGGCCAAGGCTCCAGTGACCCAGCTCGTGTGCTAGAACCGCGACAACCTCTTGCGTCTCGCTCTTCTCGATCAGTGTATCGTAGATGACGATATGCTTCTTCCAGGGCAACCCGAAGAAATAAGCATTGCTATGGGCGCTGCGCTTGCTGCCGTCAATGACGTATAGCTCGTGGAGGGGGAACTCGAGCTTCTTGGCAAGACCCTCAACATCCGTCTTCAGGGCACCTTCTTCCAGCGGGGAAAGCTTGTTGAACAATGGGAGGATGGCAATCGGATATATAGTGATCATGAAGACCTGGAGCCCGGCTCCAAACAACCAGAGGTAGTAGAAGAACTGATTTCCGGTCTTCTGGATAATGGCCAAGAATGCGGAAAGGATGGGAGGTGCAAGTACGACCGCCAGCATGTTAGACTTAATCATATCGGTGATGAAGATCTTCGGAGTCTGTTTGTTGAAGCCGAATTTCTCTTCCAGAACGAATGTGTTGTAGATGTTGGACGGCAGAGAGAGCACTTGTTGGATGACGATGAAGGCCAGCACAAAGACAATCGATTGGGATATCTCGCCCGTGAAACGCGCCGGCGCGAAGCGGAAAAGCAAATTGCCAGCCCATGACCAGAGTTTCGGAAGGATGTCGTAGTGGATGAACGCGATGTTTTGAATTTGGCTGTACAGTCCGTTGAACATCTGGAACTTGGCCTTGGCTCGACCGTAGGCCTTGAGACTCGCTGTTAACTCTCGCCCCGCACATGCGATACCATCGATTCCCTTACCTGGCTCTTGTCATAGACCTCCTGCGAGACCTCATGTTCCAGCACCTTCGGCGGCTTTGTCTTTTGTAGGACCTGATATTGGCGCAATCCAAGGAAGCCTTCGAATAGGTACTGGGCAACCGAGAAGCCGATGATCATCTTCTTCCATGGGAAGAGAGGGCGATCCAGGAACCTCGCCAGGCGCTACGTGATAAAACGTTAGTGATTGAATATGTTTGCGAGCGCATGTCACTAAATACTCACCTGAAGGAAGTCCATCTTGAAGAAAGTTGGTAAGGAAATGCTGAGCGCCTACTACCAACTCTCTTGGACGAGAATCGAAATGCGAGAAGGAACAAGGGTTACCAGTATTCAGACAAGCTGTCCTTGTCATGGCGGCACAGCGTCTGGAAAGCCAAGTTTGATTGGCTGAAATATTCTCAGACCCATATTATTTGTCTGACCTCGGAGCCAACTTGCAAGTCAAAATGATCACCTCGTCCAAAACAAATCTTTGCGACTGCTGGCGACCAAACGAACAACCCTGCGGCTCTCACCAAGCCTTTCTGTCAGCCAGCCTGAGCGCCGATAGGAAACTCATCCCCATTTCACACACCGGCACGTTTCTCGTCATGAATGGCGGAATTTCCAAGGCGTGGACCCGCCTACTCTCGTACAAAACTATCCAATGCCTTGCAAGAACAGCTACTAGACGCTGTCGCGGGTGCAGGTTTGCATATCGATGTTTCCGGAAAGTAAGGATGACATGTTCACTCATCAGATACAGAGCTTCCGCCAAGCCACAGAGAGCAGTCTCTGGTGAGTGGAGCTCAAAACGCGCCTGTGTAGTCCACACAGAGGCGACTCGACGCGACACCTGAGATCGATCATCCGTCGCCCGCGAGGAGCGCCCTATTGACTCGGACAGACGCGCAACGGCCTGGAGTTGAGTACGACGAAGCAGGGCAGACGGCCAGGGTATGATAACGTTCCCTCCCTTGCGCCGGTGCTGGATTTGACTAGACCTTCTTGAGCCCATCGGTGCCCTGGTCGGATCCTTCCGGAAGATTGCCTATAGACGCGATGAGCTTCCTAGGATGGTTTGGCCGTGGTGCATCTTATGGATTTGGGGTGCCAGTCGAGTGTGCAGCCATGTCGACACACGAATTTCAAAGACAACAGACCATTGACAGTTAACGCCTTAACTACCCATCGAAACCGACTTGCAACCACCTAGCCACTGCGCGAAACGAACCAACTACCTTCGTAGACATACATATGTGTTGATCAATCGCATATCGAGGTAACAAACCGTGACGCGTCTTCGACAGCTGGGTCATTAAGATCTGAGAAGCCCCACAGGGTGAAAGAGACTTTGACCATCCGATCACTTCCTTGCAATCCTCATGTTCGCCTGAACCCGTTCAAGCAACTGCTCTCGAGTATCCGAGTCCTGTGGGTGGAGGTTTCGCTGCAGCGTTTCCTTTGTCAGCCTGGTTTAGAAACACCGGGTGCTTTGAGCAAAACGTACCGCTGCGAGCCACCTTCTCATCTCCTCTCTTGTCCACGTCTCTGGGTCGCCTTTTGGATCCGACTCGTTGGGAAAGATGGCCCCTCCATAGATAGCCCAGACAGCAACACCGGTCACTAAACCCGTGAAGGCTATCGACATGGGAAGCGGTCAGGCGAAGAGCCTAACTCGTGTGAAGCTAGCACACACGACTTACCTAGAAACGCATTCTGAAGTTTGTTAGTAGAGAACCTCTAAATTTATTGCTAGCACATGGTGGGAAGGCTCACCTTTGACTTCATTGCCTTGTCGAGTTGCGTTGGCATCTTGCCCACTTACACGACGCGTGACGCCACTGCTAAATTTATGAGTTGGAGGGCAGGGCGAAACTTATGGCTTGGAGTTTGATGCTTGGAGAAAAAAAATTGAATGATAACAGTGAATCCTGATGGTATCGAAATATATGGCTTGGGCTGTCGCTTTGCTTTCTGTGATCTGGCATCATCTCATCATCTCATCCATCCAACCTGGTCGAGGCCAGGATGAACGATGCTAGCAACGCCACACCCCTCCACGTAAGTTCGTGACGAAAAGGGACTAGCTACGTACGCCACAACGCCAAGATTTCGACAGCCACCCCTGCCGCTTTGTCCCGTCCACCAAACCCAGACACCCACAAAAATTAGGTATTCGAGAAATTCAACCTTCACTCCGAAATCCGATCAATTCTCCAGCAAGATTCCCCAGATCAATTGCCACAATGCCTCAAGAAATCGGCGATATCAAGAAGGTTAGCTATAAATACTCCGTGTCTGTCAAACATAACTGACCATATTTGCGCAGTTCATCGAGATCTGCAGGCGGAAGGATGCCTCTTGTACGTTGAAGTTGCGGGCGAAAATACGTTGCGAAGGCGAAATCTGACCAGTTTTCTTCCTTTTACAGCCGCCGGGATCAAGAAGAACAAGAAGACACAGCAGGTCAAGTTCAAGGTCCGCTGCCAGCGGTACCTGTACACCCTCGTCCTCAAGGACTCGGACAAGGCCGAGAAGCTGAAGCAGAGCCTGCCGCCCAGTACGATCTGAACCGCTACCCTCCGAGATACAAAGGATCGAATAAGCTGACAAGAAACTCTACCTCAGGCCTGCAAATCAAGGAGATCCCCAAGAAGAACAAGCAGAAGACTTCGTCATGAGCTGGGGGTCGGAGTGAGGGATGACAAGGTTGGCCCGGAGTGGACAAAAGTGCATTTGCCTGGCCAGGGGTGGGGAGGTTGAATCCATGATCAGGCGTCCCGGATACCTTGGGGAATTGGTAATTTTGCAGGCCCCATGGCATGTAGTCGACAAGATTCCTGCGAAACGATGGAAATTGCATTGAACCACCACCAGCAAGGTCGTCCGGCGAGGCAAGCCCTTGGAGGCGGCCCCAAGCTTGATCTTTTATTCTACAAGAACCTCTTGAAGTGCTTGATGTCTGTTTCCGTCACGAGCTCTGGGATCTCCTTGTATTCATTGAACCTCGGATCCTTGGCGAACTCGAAGTGCCTTTCCAAGCTCTCCCAACCACATACCAGGACGAACTCCTCTTTCGTCTCGGCCTCCTTGTCTACCCTCCAGCCGCCGCGGGCCAGGTGAGGTTTTGCGAAGTCCTCCAAGATGCCCCTCACCTCGTTGAATTTCTTCGAAAAGGCATCCTTCTTGTCGGAGTCCACGAACAGGCGCGTAAGGCTAATCAAGGGGCTGTCGAGAAGAGGGATCGCGTCCTGGGGTGCCGGTCTGGAGAAGATCTCTGCGTCCAAGTGGAACAGAACCACTTTGTCCTTAGCGATATGGTCGCTCAGGCCCGCCATGATCTGTTTGTTCTCGTCGCTGCCGATCCAGTCCCAGTGGGCAGGCACCGAGTCCCACCGAACAGTCACAAGGATTTTTTCCGGATGCTCCGACTGCTGAAACATTGCGTCTCCCCGTTCAATTCGGCTCGATGGTAAATGTGGGAAATGCTCCGCGTGCCATGCTTCTTGGACAGACTGAGCCTGTTGGAGGCGCTGGCGCAGCTCCTCTGTAAGGGCGCTGGCTGTGGAATGAAGGATTGCGATCTCTGTGACAGCCATCCCGGATATGAAGCAGGTCTCTGCAAGTTCCTTGTACGCACCTCCTTTAGCTGCGAGGGTTTGAAAGCGACCCTCACATGTGTTTCCATGGGTTATGTACTCTGGCTCACGTTCCCCAAGGCAACGTTTAGAATGACGTGGGCGGAACCTTCAATGTCAATCCATCCACATAAAAAAACCCGAACTGCAGCACGAACCCCCATGTTGCAATGCTATCTTTCCCCTGAGTCGGAGGAATCCGGGTCAGGTGATACTTCAGCAGCTCCTCAATGACAACAAAAAGACGGGCGGAAGGCGCAAACAGAGCACATTTGGTTCCAGGTATGCGGCTGGGACAACTCCACATAGTACGGATCGTAAACTCCGTCGAGACCTTAATTGCAGATGTCCGCTTACATATTTAAATTAAAGGTTTGCCTCCAGCCGAGTCCTGTGATGGAGATGATTCCTGGTTCAATTGTGGCTACCTGAGGTTACGCATAAGAACGGCACGGGTATACGGCTCAATGCTGACTCACTCAGCGCTGGGACATCCACCTACCCCGCGATCTCCCATCGCGGCATCATAATGTGTTGTAGGTAACTTCAACAGAGAACTTGTTTAGTATCGAGGTAGACGGAGGATATACTTTCTATGACTATCTGCCTATCTATACATACAGAATTCTAGGATTCCCTATTTCTCTCGAGTCGAGACTAGATATCTCGGCACCTGCCTAGTTACACGGACTATCTCATGGGTATTGTACCATCATCGTACCTGTTGACTTGACCTAGGTTCCACAAAACGATGCGCCAGATAGGACCCAGGCTTGTCAGGCACAGATGCAGGCACAAGCCGCAGGCCTCCATCCTGTTAACGGTCTTGGTGTCGCACCACAACCGGCTCGGCCCCAACAAAAACAAGGCCAACCATGACCCAGTTTCTTCATATCGCACCAATTGGGACCCAGCTATAAGCCATTACAAAGTCGAGACTTAGGCGCATTCCCCATTGCTCTTCTACACAGTAATTAGCTAGTCCTGCTCTCTTTTGCCCTGTCGCTGGTATGGTTGGTACCACGGAAAGTCTATTGGAGGATTCGTTCGCTAGCACCCCTGCGAAAATCAAATCGATCTAGCCCAATTCCCGGGCCTGCATTTCCCTGGTCGGATAAGGGGCCAACCATTCGCTCATCGCGAACTTGACCTCCTCCACTTTGCATTTTCCTCCGTTGTTCAACAGTTGTGGTGTACTACTGCGCTTGACTTGCCTCACTTTCTTTGTCCATTTATATTCTGTTGTTGTACGAACCACATCTTGCAACGCGCTCTCTTGAACGCCTCACTCTCCTACATCCTTTGTCGTCGCTCCCTACCTCCAACCTACCTGTCCACGTAATCCGCGCCCAGATAGCGCTCCGATCAACATCACACATCCCGCGGGGTGAATACTGCCAGGTCGGAGATTTTAGGGTCTTAGGCGCATGTCTGACATTCGAGGCTTGGGGCAAGGCGAAGCGAAAAACATCAAAAAGCCACTCATTCCAACTAGAAACACGATCCCCCTAGTCATGCCGAACGAGCTCAATGGCTTCCACAATGAGGTCGACCGCCTCCATATCAACGGCAACACCAATGGTTCCGTCAGGGAAACAAAATCGAACCAGCGCAGGAAGATGAATCGCAAGCAGTCCAGCCCAATGATGCCCACTTTCATGGTTTCGGCTCCCGGCAAGGTCATTGTGTTTGGAGAACATGCAGTGGTACACGGCAAGGTGCGTGCAAGCTTCGCCTCCTTGGAGTTGCGATGTCGAGACCTAATCCTAATGCTTTGATATCGCAGGCTGCCATTGCTGCTGCAATATCCCTCCGATCATATCTCCTGGTCACAACGCTCTCGAAATCGAAACGGACTGTTACTCTGAGTTTCCCAGATATCGACCTTGCGCACACCTGGAACATTGATGATCTGCCCTGGTCCACCTTCTCGGACCCGAAGAAGAAGAAGTACTACTACGACCTAGTTACGACCCTCGACCCAGACTTGCTCGAGGCAATACAGCCTCACCTTATCAATGTTTCCGTAGATAAGCCCCACGAGACGCGAAAGGTTCACCAAAACTCAGCCCTGTCGTTCCTGTACCTCTTCCTGTCCTTGGGGTCGAAGTCCTTCCCAGCCTTCCAATACACATTACGGTCAACAATACCGATTGGCGCTGGGTTAGGGAGCAGCGCATCGATTGCGGTGTGCTTATCCGCTGCGATGCTCCTGCAGCTCCGGGCCCTGTCAGGGCCCCATCCCGACCAGCCACCCGAGGAGGCACGGCTTCAGGTGGAGAGGATCAATCGGTGGGCTTTCGCGCTCGAAATGTGCATCCACGGCAATCCGTCAGGCGTCGATAATACTGTCTCCACGCAGGGGAAGGCTGTTGTGTTCCAAAGGGCGGATTACACCAAGCCACCATCCGTCCGGCCACTCTGGGATTTCCCAGAGCTGCCGCTCCTCCTGGTCGACACGAGGCAGTCGAAATCTACGGCGCACGAGGTGGCAAAAGTGGGGAAACTGAAGGAGACGCACCCATTGCTCGTAGAGACGATACTGGACGCCGTTGACAAGGTCACCAAAACGGCGAGTGAATTGATCGAGGAAGACAACTTCGATAGCGAGGACTTGGAGTGCCTACGCCGGGTCGGCGAGCTCATGACTATAAATCACGGCTTGTTGGTCTCGCTCGGCGTTTCGCATCCTCGCCTGGAACGGATCCGGGAGCTGGTGGACCACGAAGGCATCGGCTGGACAAAGTTGACGGGCGCAGGCGGAGGCGGCTGTTCCATCACTCTACTCCGACCCGACGTGCCCCGAGAAAAGCTTAGCCAGCTGTCAGCGCGGCTCGAGGCGGAGGGTTACCGGAAGTTCGAGACCACCTTGGGCGGCGACGGGGTTGGGGTCCTATGGCCGGCCGTCCTCAAGAATGGCATGGACGAGGATGAGGAGGGCGGCATGGAGATCGACCTAGAGAAATTCCTCAATGTGCCGGACAATGACGGCGTCGAGAGAATGGTTGGCGTCCAAGGAGGCAGTGGTGAGAGGGAGGGGTGGAAATTCTGGAGGGTAGAGAGTTAGACCGGGGTTCTCCACCTGGAATGCCGACAATGCCACAAGATGGATAGGAGTTGCAAGGAGCTGGATCGTGGCTTGGAAGGGAAAGGGACTGGGATGTTTGAACCTGCTGGGCTCTCATAATGGCTGTAACATTATCACGGTACCGTCGTCTAGGCAGGCACCTTGGCTTGGGGTCGGGCGTTTTTAGCCCGTCCTGTACAACCTAATTCCTAATATAGTTGCGTTAGAATGATCGAGTCAATAAAGAAACAAAATCGATAAATGTGGGCTTCCTATTTCGATATTGTTTCGTCTGTTGGTTACTATTATTGTCTTGGGGACCCCCTGACCGGTCGGTTGGTTGCCACAAGGCCACCAACATTTATTAGTTGGCTCTACTCTTCCGCAAACTTGCGGCCCTAGACCTCGCCGCTTTTAATCCAGAGCCAGGGGATCGAAGCTGCACGATTATGGGCATTCGTAACTACGGGCATCTCCGTTTTTGGCATGGAGACGGAGAGCAAGCGTTTTGTTTCTGAAGGGTGGGAAATGATAGCAGCCGCTGGTGTTACTGAAGTAACTGGCAAGAGCTGTCTTCCTGCGTATGCTTGACCTGTTGTCTTCCGGGCTCAACATGACATTGAATAGGTGGCGCGAGATGGGTATTAAGATGCGATAGGGGTGTTTGTGTGCTAGTAGTGATGGGCTGAGTCCTTCCATCTCCCATCAGTTCCGCCACATCCTCACCGTCTTGTCCTTTCCTCCGCTGCACACCATATTCCCCTCGGGAGCCCAGTCTACGGTGTACACCTCATCTTCGTGGCCTGGGAGGTCCTTCGCGAGTTTCCCGTCTCGTACATTCCACACTTTCACGGTCGTGTCCCTTGAGGCGGTGGCGAGCAACCGCGAGTCGGCGGAGAAGGCGCACTGGAAGACTGGCGCGACGTCTGTGACATGGCATTAGCTTCAGAAGTTCCCCCAAGGAAGATAAGAGAGTGACTGGGGGGGAAAGTTGTCATGAATGGTCACTTACGTCCGAGAAGCTTGTGCATGAATGAACCATCCCTACTCGGCATTAGCGTTAAGAAAATGTGCAGGTGTTTCTCAGGGGGAAGTCTACCTCGCGCTCCAAATGCGGGTGTGGTTGTCCCATCCAGTACTCGCGATGAGAGCCCCGTCAGGCGAGAAGCCTACATGGTTGACTGCTTTCTGGTGTCCGTGCAAGCGGGCGACTGGCTTTTTACCAGAGTTGGTGGGATCCCATAGAATCATGGTCAAGTCATCACTCGCGGATATGATTCGCTCGGTCTTGCCGGCGGATTCAAATCGTTCCTTGGCCTTTGCCCTCTTCGCCTCTTCAGAAGATGGTACGTCTTTCGTGTGGTCAAAAAAGCCCGTCCTGAGGACAAACTCACTCGACAACGCGATGTGATTGACCCAATGCTTATGTCCCGTCCTAAAAAGGGGTATGTCAGTAGGCTGGCGGTGAGTTGAGACGGCGAGGACAGAAGCTCTTTCGAGCAAAGTTGGCAACTTCCCGGCCGAAAAACGTACAATTCATGCACCAACGTCCCCGCTGAGGCATTCCAAACCCGAATGGTCTTGTCATGGGAACCAGTGTATATCTGGCCTGTGCCATTCTCGCCGCCAGCACCCCATTTCACACAGCAGACGCTGCCCTTATGGCCACTGAGAACATGCTCGGTGCGACCGGTGCCGACGTGCCATACTCTCGCAGTTCCGTCTCTACTCGCGCTGACTATCAGCTGTGCTCCGTCCTTCCTGAGGTGGTATGGCTCCCAAGCTGCCATCAAGACGCAGTCCTTATGACCTCGCAACTCGCGATTCACGGGCGTGCCAGTCTCGGGATCCCAGATCCGGAGTGTCTTGTCCATGCTGCATGTTGCGAGCAGCTCGCCGTCCGGACTCCAGCGTACATCAAGAACCCATCCCGTGTGTCCCTTCAGCGTGAATTTGGGGGTTCCCGTGTCCGCGTCCCAGATCCTGGCGGTGTGATCACCACTCCCAGTGGCTAAGCGACTGCTCGACTTGGGCGAGAACTGCGATGTGAGGATTGGTTGTCCATGGCCTCGAACCTTATGCGCGAGCCGCGAAACGGCTTGGACCCGGAACACTGCCTGTGGCTCGGCAAGCAGGGTAATAGTAGTCTCGTTCGGGCTAATTTTGTGCGTGCGGAAGTAATCTAAGAGGTTGGATGGATACTGAATGCCTTCACTTTGGGTGGTCTGGATGCGGAAGCGGTAGGGAACGAAGTCGTCGCGGTCACGACCCTAGATTGGCTTATATAAGTCTATGGACAATGGTCTGGAGATCGAATTCTGTATACCAGGAGTGTGTTATATAAAAGCGAAACATTCTTTTCGGTTGCGTCAGCGAGGGGTATCTCGACGGAATCTGTTTGGTTTCCATCGCTGTCGACAAAACGAGCTTTGAATGAACCAGCATCTTCGGGTGTCAAGATTGCGGACACATCTTGCTGGACCTGAGTGAGGCTAAGGGCTTCTCTCTTCTGTCGTTTTGAAGCAGGCGGCAGTACGGTCGCCATTGTGATTATATGCTGAGACGGAAAGAAATGGTGTTTGTGGTGTTGAAGCTGACTTTTCTGATAAGATAAGAATAAAAAAAACATTCTGGAGTTCTGGACCTGATTGCCAAGGATGGCGGGGGAGGGGCATTTTGCACGTGATAGCAGCGCAAACCACCGTATATTCCATTCCTATGATCCGTACCGACAGAGCAGCTTCGCGCTTAGACAATTGAGCTTGCGCCTGACGACATTTATGAGCTGACTTTGCTACACCCCATGAGATAGTCGGCCCAACATCTAGTCACATGATAGACGCAAACAGTGCATAATCCCCATCAACCGTTTTTGGCTCGACGTTATAGAAACGGCAGTCACATGACCCAAGAGACCAAGAGCGGCAAGGACGCTAGTCCATATTCGCTAGCCCACATGCCAACCAGAAGCTTGGGCCGTTGGAAGTTCGGAGGAATCCATGCAAGCCATGAAATGAACGAATCCTGGTATGCACTTGAAGTCTAAAAGGTTATAACAAGCTTGACAATGCCAGCCAAAGGCAAGGCGAGCGCAAAGCCCAAAGAGCCTGAGGGTAAGCAATCCATGAACTCTTTATAAGGAGCTCCTCCCCTCCTCAGACATGCTGTCTCCGCCCCTCTTCGTCCGCCAATCCACCAGTTAACCCCGTTATCCCCCAATACAGCAAAACCACAGCCCGTCCCTCCACAAGCCCCACCATCGACCGTCAACGAGCGCACCCAGCAGCGCCACGCCGAATCCGGACCTCACGATACCGTTCGTGCCAAAGTCGGTCTCAGCGGCCTCTCTGGTGCGGAGAAGAACGCCTGGATCAGCAGCCGCTTCGCCCGCTCGGCACCGGCGCGCAACCAGCTCGGCACCAAGGCCCAGCGCGACCTGTGGCGGCATGTCAACGAGGCCAGCCTACCGCTAAGGACACTCAAGACCAGGTGTAATAGCGACGGAAGTGGAGGCGGCGGTGTCAGTCGGCACCACAACTGGGGGAAGGACAAGTCGGGGCGGGACGTGGGCGAGTATAGTATCGAGAGGTTCGAGGCGCGGGCGGCCAGGCAGATTGCACTCACGGCGCTGAGGGTGTCGAGCCGGGCGTTCGAGGAGAAAAGAGACAGGGCGAGACGGGGCATCGTCGACGCGCTGACGGACGAGCCCGTCGTGCTGTGCGAGAACGAGGTCGAGGAGGAGAAGAAGAGGAGAGCGCAAATGGCGGCGCTTCGGGAAGAACTATACGGCGATAGGACTGGCTCGTACGCCCTGGATCCTGAGTGGGATGATGTCGAGCCCATCCCCCATACCGAGCCCGAGGGTGCTCTGGCGGCTATTGCGTACCCGGAGGACTACGCCGAAGGTAAGAAGGGGTCTTCCTATTCTCAAGCCCCATTGTCACTGGGGTGGTTTCAGGAACTGACTGGAATAGCTATATCGTACCTTCGGGCCGTAATGCTAAAGAAGGAGTACTCACCTCGCTGCCTTCGGCTCACGGCTCATGTTATTTCCCAGAACCCGGCTCACTATACGGTATGGCTCTACCGAGCATCCATCATATTCGCCCTGCAGCTTCCCATCCCCGACGAGATCCAGTGGCTCGACCAGGTGGCCCTGGAGAACCTCAAGAACTACCAGATCTGGCACCACAGACATCTGCTCATCGACAGCTATTACCCGGAAATCGCCTCATCGCCCGAAGAGTTAGCGAAGCTGGCCAAGTCTGAGACGGCGTTCCTCGGCATCATGCTCGCCGAAGACACCAAGAACTATCACGTCTGGTCCTACCGCTCCTACCTGATCCGCAAGCTGGGCATGTGGACGGCCGACGAGCTGCGGTCGATCGAGACCATGATCGACGACGACGTGCGCAACAACTCGGCCTGGTCGCACCGCTTCTTCGTCGTCTTCTCCGACCCGGCCCACTCGACGCCCGGGTCGGCCGCCACCGACCCCGACCCGGCCGTGCCCGCCGAGACGGTCGACCGCGAGATCCGCTACGCCGAGGACAAGATCTACCTAGCGCCCCAGAACCAGAGCCCCTGGAACTACCTGCGGGGCGTGCTGGCCAAGGGGGGCCGGGACCTGGCCTCGGTGGAGGGCTTCGTGCGGCAGTTTGTCAGGAACCTCGGCGACGTCGAGACCGAGCTCGTGAGGAGCTCCCACGCTTTGGATCTGCTGGCGGAGATCTGCGCCGAGAAGGGGGACAGGGCCGAGGCGGAGGTGTGCCTCTCCAGACTCGCCGAGAAGTGGGATCGCATTCGGGCAGGGTATTGGGAGTGGAGGAGGCAGATGCTGCCCGAGGAGAAATCGTAACTTGGGGCACGGAGTGGGGTTACCTTGCTACCTACTTTGCATTGCATTGCGAAATTGAAAAGTTGGAGGGCGGGGGGGAAGGAAGTTGGTAGTATATCGATAGAAACGTCATGACTACCAGTCAGTTCATCAAACTTGGTCAGTCTCGTCTACGTTGATTGGCTGGAAGTCCAGCTGGCTGAGATGCAAGTCAAGATGCTTTGTGATTCCGCTCTCTATCATAGGCTCGCTTGATCATATACCAGGGCCCATTCTCAGTTCGAGTGTCTGGCGAACTCGGTCGCAAAAAATATGCCCTCCAAACGCCTTGGCCATGGAATCTGCCTATACCATCCTTGCTTTTGACTGCCAATCAATATGCCTCGACCAGGACCAAGTCCAGGCCATACTCCATGCCAACTTAACAAATACGAATGACTCCTTGGGAATGCCACCGCGATCCAAATTCCACTCCAATGCCAGCCCGTTCACAGCGCGCGGAAGTTCTGCGACAGGATCAACTTCCTCCGCATGTTCCTGGGTGCGTTCCTCCGTAGGGCGTCCCAGTTAGGCACCAGGACGAAGGTCTCATTGAACGGCGTCTTGGGGGCGTCCTTATCGGCCCCATAGGAGACGTGGCCCGTGACCTGCAGCAGCAGCGACTCCTGGCCGGTCGCGGCGCCCTGGAGCTCGGCCGGGCAGGCGAGCGAGAAGCTCGGGTTGAGCACGTGGACGTCCCAGCCCTCGACGTCGTACTGGATCTTGTTGGCGGGAATGAGGCCGACGGGGGTGGTGCGCTGCTGCTCGAGCAGCTTCTCGTACTCGGCCGGGCCGCCGGCCAGGACGGCGCCGTTGATGCTGATGTCCGAGGCCGCGCTGGCGGCGGCGTACTTTGCGTTGTTGGTCACGTAGAATGGACCGATCGGGTTGCCCTCCTGGAGGGTGCGGTAGTACCAGTCGACGAAGGTGGCGGCTCCTGCGAACATGACATTGTTGGTCGGTGAACATCCTAGTTTAGGGTTGCGAAGGAGAAGGTGGAAGGCCAGCGAGGACTTGGGTGTACGGTCTCCGCGGTCCCCGCGGTCGCTGTAGTTCCTGGGGACGGCGGCAGGCGGGAAGAAGCATGATGATGTTGGTGAAGTTGGGGGGTTTGGCCGCTTAGACCGCATCTGGCGCAGGCGCATCTGGGCTTCAGCCCTCTTCTCACGCCCGCTCATGAGACAGAGCTTCACGGCTGTCGATACGCTTCTGTACCAGGTGGTGGTGCTCCAGAAACTCGCCCATGGCCTTGTTGGCAAGGACGGCTCTTTCACCCATCACCCTCATCTGCTCGATGGCGTCCCGGTATGGTTCCTCGAATGGGAGTGCATTAGAGTTGAAACTTGGCGTACCTTCTGTGGCGGCCTTAACCTGGTTCTCTCGGGAGACTGCCATGGTGGCTCGTGATATAATGTAGCAAGAGACTTCTTGGCGGATCGGTGAATCCGCTTCAATATGAGTGATCCTGTATAGGATGTTGTGAGTGTCAGAATTTGGCGAGAGGAGCATGGAAACGTACAGTTTGATCACGGAAGCTCGTTAAAATGAAATGATATAGCTGCAAGGGTAGGTAGAGATTAACAAATATAGCTCAATAGGAGTTATTCGTTATTCGTAGGAGGCAGTTATTTAAGTTCTGTAAGTGAGAGATACTCGAAGGTGAGACCGGGAGCTTGCAACTCATGAACACAGTGTTATTGTCAATAATTGCACGGTGGTACTTAAACGCAGGTGACAGCCGGTCAGAGTTGGGCTGCACAGTATATCTGAAACCCAAATCCACACTTTACTGTGGTGTGTCACTGAAGTGATTTTCTGAAGACTCGACGACTCAAGTCTTCGAGCATGTCTACTTTGGTTCAGTGGCGGTTTAACATTCGGCGCCAGCGACACCGACATGGCAGAGAAAGTCAAGATGCCTACGTACTCTCTGCAAAGTGCAGTCCTTGCGGTGTGAGGCAACTTCAAAATTGATGCTATAATTGATCACAATTGGCTCAATGGAGGCATTTACAAATGTTGTAACTTTACCCTTGCTCTGAGTCTTTGAAATATCCATCAAATGAGCCCGTATAGTCGGTAAAGTGCGTATAGGACTGAATCTTCAAAGTCTCGTGGGGAGCGCCAAACTTACCCGCTGGGATATTGGCGAGTATATTGCCTCAAGTCGGTCCTCGCTCAACTCAGTCCAAGACAAGCCTCGCAACTCGTCCCTTCTCACCAGAAGCCCAGCAAACATTGCGACTAGGGCACTGAACGCTGTCGAATGTGCCGTCATCGAAGGTTCGCCACGTTCGACCTCCATCGACCGTAATGTCCGAGCCTGTCGGACCCACTGCCAAAGCAACATTGCAACGGCCCGGCACCCACGAAGAGCCGGAGCGATAGCCACTCGGCAAGGCCGTGGCCAACTGCCACGTCTTGCCGCCATCCTCGGACCACGCCGCATTGGCAGCCGTCCCGTTCGGCACCGTGTAGTCGCCGCCGACCGCGATGCCGCGCCTCCCGTCGCGGAACTGCACCGAAAAGACCCCCGCCGCGGCGCCCCCGGCGATGGGCGTCTCCGCCACCTCCCAGCTGCGCCCGCCGTCCCGGCTGCGGAACACGCGGCCCGGGTCCACGCCCCCCGTGGCGAGATAGTACGCGCCGCCGCCGCCCGGCCCGGCCGTGAGGCAGGTCCCGCTGGCCGCGAAGCCGAACTCGCCGTCCAGCGCGGCCGGCATGCCCGAATTGTCGACGGGCGCCCACGACGCGCCGCCGTCGGAGGTCGCGACTAGGCGGAACTTGCCGTCGACAGGGTCGCTGACCGCGAGGCCTTGCACCGCGTCGGAGAAGGCGGCGCAGTCGTAGAAGGCGGCCGGGTCGTCGTTGTTGAAGGCCCGGGTCCAGGACAGCCCGCCGTCGGCGGTGGCGTAGATGCGCGAGTCGGGCCCCGAGCCGACAGATAGGGCGGCGGCGGCCGAGGCGGACGACGCCTCGATGTCCCGGAACTCGAGGGCGCTAGCGCCGGTAGGGCCGAGGGAGGCCCAGGACTGGCCGCCATCGGTGGTGAGCAAGACGGTGCCGCTGGTGCCGGCGACCCAGGCGACGGAGTCCGAGACGGCGGCGAGGCCGCGGAACTGGGCGGTGCTGTTGGTCGGGAGGAGGGACCAGGTGAGAGAGGGGAAGGGCGTGGGTGTGCCTGTGACTGCGGCTGCGGCTGCGGCTGCGATGATGCAGCTGGCGATCAGGGGTAAGGGCATTTGAAAGCGAGTCATAATTGCAGTTGCAGGTGTTACCGATTGCCTGGTTTCCCTAGTTGATCAGCTTCCAGCAGCCAGTACCATCGACCAGCTGTGGGCGAGAGCTGCAAGAAACCGGACATCTTTAGGTGAGATTGGCTAAATACAGACGCGTTGTCCACCACACCCCCGGATGTAACGACCCTCCATCGTGGGGCCGTTCTTAGTCAAGATTATCGAGATCATCGAGTGATCAATTGTTGGTAGCAAAAGAATCATAAATCGCGGGGCTTAATTGGCAGGACGTTGGGGCAGATGTGAGGCTAATGATCCCTGGACCTCAGGCATTCTGATTGGCTGGAGACCACCAGCAAACTACTCGTTTTCATGTGCTTCCCAAACGCATTGGCAGAGCTTCCCTGGACTGCACGACTCCATGAGAGTAACCCTGCTGACGCAGGCAGCTTTCCACCGCCATGGAGAACCTAGCAGCTTCTTCAGCCCGGCGGCTCGCAAGGCTCCGGCCCGTGCCGATGCCCGTTCTCACGAGTAGGAGTGTTCCCCGTCGCAGAATCGCGACTCTGGACGCATCCAAGACCGCCAGCCCGAAGCCGTATTACGTGACGACACCGATATTCTATGTCAATGCCTGTGCGCACTCCTAAGGCCTACACATTACGGCATTAGCAAGGCTAATTGGTTTGTTAGCTCCTCACGTTGGCCATATGTACAGCATCGTCCTCGCAGACTCGCTGAAGCGATGGCAGGCCCTCAAAGGAAACAAGGCGTTACTCTGTACGGGCACCGACGAGCACGGCATGAAGGTCCAGAGGGCTGCGGCTCTCGAGGATGTGTCTCCCAAGCAGTTATGCGACGCCAATTCCGCGACCTTCAAGGACCTAGCCCAGAAGGCGAAGGTCGACAACGACTTCTTCATCCGCACGACCGATCCCGACCACGTCGACGCCGTGAAGCACTTCTGGTTCCTGCTGAATAATAAGGGTTTTATATACGAGTCTAGGCACGAAGGCTGGTACTGCGTCAGCGACGAATGCTTCTACCCCGAGTCCGTGATCGAGAAGAAGATAGATCCGATGACGGGGCGGGTGCACATGGCCTCGGTCGAAACGGGGAACATGGTCGAATGGATCGAGGAGAAGAACTACCACTTCCGTATGACGGCGCTCAAGGACAGATTGCTGGCATTCTACGAGCAGAACCCCGAATGGGTCGTTCCTGCGTCTCGGATGAATGAGGTGGTCTCGTGGGTCAAGAACAACCTCGAGGATCTGTCAATATCGCGGCCATCCGAGCGCCTAACCTGGGGTATTCCTGTCCCAGACGATCCGAGCCAGACAATATACGTCTGGGTCGATGCGCTCATCAACTACATGACGAAGGCCGGGTTCCCCAATTGGGCTCCTGGCTCCGAACATGAAGGCGGGTGGCCGGCAGACGTCCACGTCATTGGGAAAGACATTGTCCGTTTTCACTGCGTCTACTGGCCTGCCCTGCTCCTAGCCCTGGACCTCCCGTTGCCGAAGCGCATCCTCAGCCACGCTCACTGGACATTGGGCAGGAGGAAGATGTCCAAGTCGATCGGGAATGTGGTCAACCCCTTTTTCGCCATTGATCGATGGGGCGTCGATACCATGAGGTTCTTCCTCCTGCACGACGGTGGTATTGCGGATGATTCCGACTACAGCAATGCGGCCATCGTCGACAGGTACAAGAAGCACCTTCAATGGAGCCTGGGCAACCTCACAGGGCGGATTACGCGGCCGAAGGCGTGGGACGTCAGGTTCAACGTCGAAATGGCCGAGAGACTCCCGCCTATTGGCGACGTACAAAACCTCCAATCGGCCCAAGACACGCTCCTAAAGGGTTTCCCGGAGGCGGTGTCGGCTCAAATGGACGCGCTCAACCCAGCCGGTGCTTTGCGAGAAATAATGAGCGTGATAACCCAGGTATGTTAAAGCGACTCGAAACTGATCAACTGCCCACGTGCAGGACTGATATTTTTCCAGACGAATAAGTTCATAACGGACGCACAGCCGTGGGTGGCCGCCAAGGCCAAGAACCTGAACCTACGGGAGGAGCAAAAGCTGCGCAGAAGTGTGTATCTTGCTGCCGAATCTTTACGCTTGTCCGGTATCCTGCTGCAGCCCTTCATTCCGGACAAGGCTGGAGAGTTGCTCGACATTCTCGGGGTGGATGAGAGCCGGAGAAAGTTCGATGATGCCAAGGTGGGCGCCGACTTTACTTACGGAGTACCAAAGCGCGACCCGGGCAAGTCGGCATACGATGGGCTTTTCCCTCCCCTCGCTGTTGAGGAGTGAGGGTTGAGGAAAGCACTGTCCCTGGCCCACTGCGGGGTGCTGTACTCATGCCTGTATGATAAATGTATGAGGGGACTTTTCGCAATTGTAGATTCATCTTTTGGCGTGTACATAGACACTGGAACATCTCCCTTGAAGATACCATTAGAATTGTAAAAATATGAAAAAGAACTTGCCCTGCGTCGTATCACACGCAGGTTCTGGCTTCTGTCTCGTTCCAGCCGATTTCGCTTTGCGACCACAAAATTTTCTCATTCAAAATGGTACACAGTAGTCGCCCAACTCGCATCCCAACACATTACATTTTTACAGTTTTATAGCAACAAATTCTATACGATCCAAAAGCCTATCCCCATCCGCAGTATCGTTGTTCGTCAGACCGGCTATTATTGCCTAGGTCCGATGAAAATCAACGAAAGCACTGGTATCCAAATGCCCCCATGCCGAATGGTCTACCCAGGCCTCTTGCAGAGGAGAACCCATCAGACTAACATTAAGTCAAGCCGTCTCGGCCTCCAAAGTGCTTCTCGTGCCCTACGACCGCCACCATGTCTTGAAATATCATGCCTGGATGGGCGATCCGGCAAGTAATCGCACGCACGCACAAGCCCCCTCCGCCGCAAGCACGGCTGACAGCCCGCCCAGGCCATACAAGAGGCGACGGCCTCGGAAAGACTCAATCTGGAGGAGGAGTATGAGAACCAGGAGTCGTGGCGGGCATCCCACGACAAGCTGACCTTCATCATCTGCCGACCGGCGCCAGGTGTGGCCGCCAGCCTTGACCCTTGCGAGGCCGGCGCCGTTGGTACGCCGGACTGCATGATTGGCGATGTCAACTTCTTTATCTATCCTTGGGACGACGAGGAGGGCGATGATGGTGATGATGAAAAGCAGGCCGGCGGTAGCAGTGGTGGGACAAGGCTCTGCGTCGGCGAGGTCGACATCATGATCGCCGATCCCGAGGACCGCTGCAAGGGCTTTGGGCGGGCCACTCTCGCGACATTCCTGCATTACATCCTCCGCAACTCTGCCAGCATCTTGGGCGAGTACGCGTCGGGGGTCCCAGGCGTGGAAGCGCGACCGGTGGCGCTGAGGCAGTTCATGGCGAAGATCAAGGCCAGCAACGAGGGCAGCATCGCGCTGTTTAGGAGTCTGGGGTTCACGCAGCGGGGCGGCACGGATTACTTTGGCGAGATCAAGATGATCCTGGACCTCGATGACTTTGCCAAGCTCGTCGATTACGTCCCAGAACAATATGCTGAGGTGGAGTACCGCCGGACAGACGACACGGTATAATGATGCTTGGCCCTGCCCAGTAACAACGCAATGCCTCCCCCTCTCTCTATACAACCATCGGCCGGAACCAGGGGGTGTGATTTTTTTAATTCCAAACCCGCACAGAACATTCCTCCAAAATTGCACCCTCAAAAAGAAAAAGCAGAAGAGATCTAAACGCCATATTCCTCCCGGTACTTCTGCAAGAGCTCCACGTTGATGTTCGATCCGCCGCACACGATGACGACAACGTTCTTCTCCGCCCACTCAGCATCGCCCAGCCCCTTCCCGAGGTGCCTCCTCAGCGCCCCGTTGTAGACGGTCGCAACCGTGGCGCCGCACGCGACCTCGACCAGCATCCGCGCGTCGTCGAGGAACCTCGCGCTGCCCATGACCGCGTCCGCGTCCGTCACGGTCGCGCACACGACCCGTGCCCCGTCGTCTCCGCCCGCGCCCTGCCGCGTCCACTCGAACGTCTTGTCCGCCACCCGCGGCGCCCCCAGGCTGGTCGCGATGGACGTCACCTCGGGCAGCGTCACCACCTCGCCGGCCGCCACGCTGGCGTACAGGCTCTCGGCGCCGACCGTCTCGACGGCCAGGACCCGCGGCGCCGACCCGTCCGTCGCCGCCAGCAGCGGGTGCGGCCCTTGGCGCCCGCGGTTGCTGTCGCGGTTGCGCTGCAGGCCCTCCATGACGCCGCACAGCAGGCCCCCGCCGCCGACGTTGCACACCACGGCGTCGACGGTGGCGGCGGTGGTGGAGGAGTGGCCGAGCTGGTCGGCCAGCTCGTCGACGAGGTGGGAGACGCCGGACCAGATGTCGGGGTGGTCGAAGGGCGGGACGTAGACCCCGCGCCCGCTGTGCCGACGGCCGTGGTTGGCCAGCAGCTCGGAGCGCAGGTGCGCGTCGGCGGCGGCCCAATTGGCGCCCGTCTGGACCACCTCGGCGCCGAGGGAGCGCAGCTTGGAGACCATCAGGGCCGGGGTGGTGCGGGGAACGACGATGGTGGCGGGGCGGCCGAGGGCGACGGCCGAGGTGGCGCACGCGAGGCCCGCGTTGCCGCCCGAGGAGCAGTAGAAGTGCACGTCGGACGGGTCGGCAGCGCCGGCGACGGCCTCTGGGGGCGGGTTGGACATGGCGCGGAACATCATGTTGCCTACGCCGCGCGACTTGAAGGAGCCTGAGGGCTGGAGGTTATCCAGCTTGATGTAGATGTTGCTGCGAGATGGGGGTTAGCTCACGTTGGGTCACGGGTGAACAAAAAGGGGCAAGGAGGATTGGGTAACTCACCAGCCAGCTGCACGAGACAGGGGGGCAGAGAAGATGCATGGAGTCTCGATCCATGGCTTCGGAGGTTCGTGTGAGATGGAGCCCATCTTTTTTGAAGAGCAGTAGGTGATTAATTAATGGATGATGAGTTGATTAATTAGGTTGCCTGTGAGATGGAAGCTCAAGCAGGGAAAGGAGGACGCTCAGAGTTGAAGAACAAAGGACCAGGAAGAGAGGGCTTCCGCTAGGTATTCTGGAGACTTCGTATCTTGTATTAATGGTCTACCTGACATGACGAGATCTCTCCACTTCAATGCCAGGAGCCTGTGCCTTTAAGGCCGCTCCCCGTTCCACCAGTGCCAGAATAGAAAAAAATAACTTCGTGACCCCATGAAGTTATAGGGTAACCGTTACCCTATAACTTCATATGCTGCAGGTCCGGTGGGGCGTCAAATTACCTAAATCCAACTCATGACCTTCCGCCTCGAGCAATGGTGTACAGACGGTAAGCAACTTCGGGCAGCTCCTAGCGGTCAGCACTGGCAACTTGCACGGTGAAGAGTCGTGGCCATCCCTGCCAGACAGGGATGTCAAGGATGCCCAAGACAGGGCGTGGCGATCACGACAACGGCAGTGGAGTCCGGGACTGGGTCCAGGCCCCAGGGGTTAAACCGATGGTAAACGGCCGAAACTCGGAGGGGATTTGGGTTTTAAATCTGATCACGCTGACTGGTTCTGTAAGTAAATTCAATCCATCCAAGTGCCTGGAGAAAAGAACATCAAGAGAAAAAGGGTCATGTGCTTGCTGAGAGGAAATGGGAGAATGATTGATCTCCCATTGCTGACATTGCTGAAACCCGAATTGCTCATGGAGGTGCATCTCAAATGTCATTGCAGTGGATGGATCGTCTGAATTCAGAGATTAAACTTTTCAAAACACCCCGAACTATCTCATAGATTCGCGGGTGGAAGCGACAGGAGGACAAATAGCTATGGATACGATGTCCTCGCACCCAATTACGTAGTGGTCCATGCTGCTGCTTGGTCGATATCGGAGCTCACTGCGTCCTCGCGCATCTGCATACCTTAGGTAGGTAAGGTTGGTAGGTAGTAGATTCACGGAACCAGGCCCACGTGGCATGCATCCGAGAACGAGGTTGCCAATCAAAAGCCCACGAGACCACGGAGGGGGAGGCCGATTCAATCATCTTCGTCGACCGCCTTCCCCTTCCCCTTCCCCTTCTGCCCGCCCTTGAAATGCTTCTTCCTCGACTTGAGCTGCACATCCTTCGGCTCCACCCCAGTCTCCAGAGCAACCATGGCTCTCAGTTTCCGTCCAGTCAACGGCTTCCCCGACTCTTCCCGCCCTTGGTCCGTGTACTTGTAATTGAATGGCCTGGCCAGGTGTCCTGCACCCACCTCCCCGGCCTTGAAGAAGGCCTTGTCCAACCTGGCCGTCTTTGGCCCAGTGGGCAGTGAAGCAACTTCCGACGTCAGGGAGATCCCGTCGTCGCTGTTGATCGACAAGGCCTCCATGGCTGCTGCCACGGCCAGCCGCCGCTTCGTTGGGAGATGCGCCATGTCGTACAACTCGCGGTTGAACTCCTTTGGATCTTCGTTGCCGGGCGGTGGCTCGCAGTAGAGGAGCTTTCCGCTGACATAGTCCTTGAGGATGTAGCGCGCTGCTCTCGACTGGTCCGGCTGGCCCTGCCCCTGGGTCATGAACCCCCTGTGCCGTGCATATGACGCGAGGAACTCCTCGGCTGTCGGCACTCCCGTACCTCCCTCCTCGATCGGCCGCGTCCGTATGTGGATACCGTAGACGGCTTCCAAGAATGGCTGCGGAATTCTGAGGGTTACCAAACCGACAGGACCTGTGAATTCGCGCAGCTGATCGATGGGCAATATGCCATTGCACACTAGGTCGGCTTTGGTGGTCGCAAAATTCGGGAACACGAGACCTGGGCAATCACAAAGAATGACCGTGTCGCTCAGGTGGATGGTCTGGAAATGCTTCGTCTTGCCGGGTGTGGACGATACCGACACTTTCTTGGCCCCGATAAGAGCGTTAATGGTCGATGATTTTCCCACGTTTGGGTATCCGACAAGGCCGATTTGCAGCTTCCGATCCGGACCTTTTCCGTGTTAGTATCAAGCCTGAACGAAGTCCGATCGGGGACTGCTTACCGTGATCCTTTGGTGCGTACTGCAAAAATATGCTTTCCAGCTCGTCAATTGTGAGAATCTTGGTGTCATCTTCCTCAATATGACCATGCTCTTCACTCAACTCATCTCCGTCTGTCTCGTTGTCGTCGTCGTCGTCGTCGTCGTCCGTTTCGCTATCTGCAGCAGGAGCGGCATTGGTTGACGGACCAGCGCTGGCATTCTGTAGGCCTCCATCCACCTCATCATCACTCTCCCGGTTGCGTTCCTCGTTCATCTTCTCCGCTAGACTAGCGGAGAAGAACTTGAACGCAATATTCGCGCCCTTCAGATAGTTGGCCCAAGCTTTCCGCTGCTTGTATGTCATCATATCGGCCTTATTAATCAGAAGCAAGTTCTCCTTTTCGGGATCAACGTCCTTGACGTAATTTTCTAGATCCTCAGACCGAAACAGGAGGGGATCACGGGCATCGACAATCTGGATGATAACGTCGGACCGTTCGATGACTCTCCAGAGCTGCCTCCAGACCTCCAAGTTACGCTCAAACGGGGTCATCAACAAGTCTTGGTTCTCCTGCAGGTCGGCAAGATCCCTCCGCCAACTGATAAAAGCGTCCCGTTCAAGCCGGTCTAGCTGTTCGGGCGTCGTCGTCGAGTCCCATTTCGGCCTCCTCGGCACCGTCAGCCGCGCCTTGTGCTTGCGCTGCTTCCCCAACACGGCTCTCTCCTCGACAGCAGACAACAGGTATGGGTTCCGCTGGTCAGTGTGGATGATCTTGAAATTGTTCGTCTTCTCGGCCGTGAAGTCGGTACCGGCCAGCTCGGCAGTCGCCAGGAACTCGTCCAGGGCGCCCTGCTCTGTCACGGATCGCATCTTGACCCATGATGCCTCCTCCCGGTCGTTCGTGATGTATTGCTCGCCAGTCGTGTGGTTGACTCGCGTCACGGCCCCCACTCGCTTGCGATCGGCGCCTTTGCCTTTTCCAAACCGGTCGTTCATGAGGGCATTGCCGAGCCCGACAGCGTTCTTAGACTTTGCTAAGACCATGGTTGCTGCGTGTGTAGCTTGTCTTTTTTTCTTACTTGAGTTGAAGAATGTGAGGAGAGGGTTGGGATTTGAGGAAACAGGCTGTGGCTTGGGCAAACAGCAGATATCCCTCGTGCTGATTAATTGATGGAGGGGCAAATTTGTGAAGCCAAGGAAATTCGAATGCAGAACAAAAATCTTAGTCCCGCCGGAACCCAACCGATAAGATAAGTGGTGACCCCACTAATTTTTTTCAAGTCTCATTCCCTCGTTGCAACCCTGAGGGTAGAAAGTAGAAACCTAAGATGGACTCGTATTAAGGTCACAAGTATCGCAGGCACGACGAACTTCCCTAAACTACCAGACACTGTTCCCAACCCCGACAGATCATAGCCCAAAATGCCGCGACGGAAGTGGATGTAAGTCAAACCTCGTTTTCCAGCATAATCCCGGACACGGCCGCTGACAGAAACTCGCCTCCCAGCGACAAGAAGAGCGCAACCCATTTCGCTCTGGTCCACCGGCCGCAAAATGACCCTCTTATTCACGATGAGTCGGCACCACCCATGGTGCTGAACCCTACTCAGCCTCGCAAAGGTTCCAAAACCAAAGGACTGGGCGACTTGGCGTCCGAGCTAGGGTCGGATGCGCAAAGCATTCGTGACAACGAAGGCGAAGCCGCGAACTACGGCGTCTACTACGATGACACGGAATATGACTACATGCAGCACCTGAGGGACATTGGCCAGGGCACCGGGGAGGCCGTGTTCGTGGAGGCAAACCCCCTAGTGAATAAGAACAAGGGGAAGCAGAAGGCGTCACTCGAGGATGCCTTGAGACAGCTGGACCTGGAGAACCAGTCCAGCGATCTGCTGGATGAGCAAATCCTCCCGTCCAAGAACCTAAAGAAGGCCACCTATGAGTCACAGCAAGATATCCCGGACGCCATTGCCGGCTTCCAGCCAGACATGGACCCAAGGTTGCGCGAGGTCCTAGAGGCCCTAGAGGACGAGGAGTACGTGGATGAGGATGACGACATCTTCCAGGAGTTGGCCAAGGACTCCCGTGAGCTAGACGAGTACGAATTTGACGAGACTTACGACGAAGCGTATCCTGACGACGACGAAGGCTGGGAGTCGGATGATACAGCCAAGCCAGCGAAGGAGTTTAAGGAGGAAGAGGTGCCAGAGCTTGTTGATACGGGTGCCCAACCAAGCGAGGGTCCATCGGAAGACTGGCTCGAGGACTTCAAGAAGTTCAAAAAGGACCAGAAAGTCGACAAAAAGCCTGCTGCGCGGGTGACGCCGTCCGAGCTACAGTCGTCAATATGGACCACTACCACGGACGGCGGTCGTCGAAAGAAGAGAAAGGGTGCCCTGACAAACCTCTCAGGCTACTCCATGACCTCGTCATCTCTTGTCCGCACAGAACAGATGGGTATTCTGGACTCACGATTCGAAAAGATTGAGGAGGAATACAACGCGGACATGGACGACACGGGGTCGGTGTCGGTGTTGTCGTCAGTGTCGAGCGTCCAGGGTGAAACCAGAGCCGATTTTGACGGGCTGCTGGACGACTTCCTTGGCAATTATTCCATGTCCGGCAAGAAGCACGTTAAGAAGGGCAAGTATACCAGTGGAATGGATCAACTCGAGGAAATCAGGAGAGAGCTTGGGCCTGCGAGGATACCTCCCAAGTATCGGTCATAGAGGTGACTAAGACACTCGTGTGTGGGTTATTACCAACACTCGATCTCAGATGAAAAAGACCTTCTGCCCAAAAAAAGTCTCGTAACCAGTTTGCCTCGCCAACGATATATCAGACAGGCGGCCTGTTTTATGGATGTGACTATCGTGGCATCAGTTACTCATACACATGGGATCCAGAGAAGGGAAGCTGGAAGTCAAGCGATATCCTTGTCAATGGACGCTACATCTCTCGGCTTCCCTCGTTTGGGCGTGTCCAAGCGAATACTATCTAAGCACTCCTCCAGCCCGCCGTATCCACTCTCGAGATGCGCCAAGATGCCTCGAACCAAGTCTTCAGCTATGTCACCGGAGTGGTCCATGAGTTTATGAATATCTACGCATTCCTACTTGATACTTAGCTCGCATTCTGCCTCAAAGTAACCGCTAAATGCCTTCTGAACAGCCAGCAACCGGGAGGGCAGGAGTAAGCAACAGCGACAGCATCGGGCCCTCCCAACCACATGGCGTAGCGTCGACAGACCTTGCGATCCAATGCTTCATGACCACCTTATTGGCCAACCCGGATGTCTGGCCCGATCGAGGTTCCCGGGTGCGCCGCCCGGTTCGTGACCATCCCGAGTCGCGCCAAGGCCATGATTCCCGGTAGAGATTAGTGTAGCGTGATAGGGGGAAATATACTAGTGATTAAATAAATTTATTTCAGCCGTACTCTGCCCCCTTTAAGCCACTTCCGGACAATGAATGGGAACAATGACGTAAGTGGGGTCACACTAGGGTCCTGGTGTTGGTGATATGACGATGATGAAGACCTTCGATTGTGATGGTCACGAAACAAAATCATACGTCTTTACCCTTGCCTACTACTTGGTAGCACCTCCAGACTGACCTTTTTTACTTGATCTTCCCTTCTCTTTCTTCCCCCATCTCCAAGGAACACTTCTGCCTGGATCCTGAAAGTATATACCTTACTTATGAGAAACCCTGTCACCCCACGCTTCAGCACTTAGAGCATGTGAAAGCACAGTCGAGAGTCTGGAAATTCCATTGGTTACAGACCCTATCCAGCACATCAGGCACCCCTGCGACCACTGCGCCACTGCATTTCAGCAAGCATGGCCGAGGCGCATACTGCCCAGCCTGGTGGAGGCTTCAGCTCCAATCGAGGCTCGAATTCCCTGGCCACACCGCGTACGTGCCTTCCTACCCCTACATGGCTTCCCGGCCATCCCGGCTTACAAAATTGAGACCTAGGTAACCATTCTGGGAGACTGATATACGCGCGCCCTGAGGATCTCCCTAGCTGCCCATCTTCTGGCTTAAAAGAGAACGGCGCCGCCGCCAGTGCTGCTGCATCTCTAGGATGGGCGAACCAGAAGCCTGTCGAACCGTGGAGACCCTCGTCCTCGGCATCCGCATCCGCCGCTGCCGTCCTGGCCAAAGACTATAAGATGGCCCCGCTGTGGGAGCCCGAGAGCAGCTCTGCCGGCCACCTGGCTGCCAGAATGGCTGCCGGCTCTGCTGTGAAGCCGGCCGCCCAGAGTCCGAAATCCCCGCCATCGGCATGGGGCAACTCTGCCGCAAATGCGGCTTTCAAGGCAGCCAAAGCGCCTCCACGGGTGGCACAGGAGGACACCAAGAAAATCACCCGACATGGGTCGCTGCATGCTGCAAGAGCTTCGGCGTCGAGCCCTCGAACACGGTCCAAGTCGTCGCCCCAGGTGCCTGAGCCCAGCTACCCCGACCGAGCCAACGCCTCCGCCAATGCTCTCAGTGCAGCCACCATCGCCCACCGTGCTCCGGCACGGGAAGTCGGTGGCGCCGTTCCGTACACCACCATGAATCGACAGATGTACACCTACAACCCGCCCGTGAAACCCGAAGTCGATGAGCAGCAGCGCGCCGACGTGCTCCACGCCTCTGCCGTCGCCATGGCAAAGCGCATGTACGTCCAGCAGCAGAGGATGATCGACACGACCAAGCGCGGCGCTGAGAAGCAGCGCGCATCCTCCTTTCCTCGCCACGGGACCGCCGGCTCTTCCGAACCCGCCGACGACCAGCCGCCGGCGCGCTTCCCCAACCTCCAAGAGGCCGCTTACCGCCTGGCGCAGGAGCGCCTCGCCAAGCTCCACGACGAACACCAGAAGGACCGCGAGTTCCAGGAGTACTACGGCACGCCGGCCACGTCTGTCCAGCGGGGCAAGTTCGGCTCCATCCGCGGAAGGCTCACTAGGAAACGGTCTTCCAGCGATGGCGATCTTATCGACGACCGCAAGAAGTCTGTGCAGATTCGTCGGCAGATGTCGGTGCTCAGTACAACCCTCTCCAAGGTAGACGAGCAGCAGCGTACGCGCGACCGGGCGGCGGTGCTCGCTGCCGCGCAGAGGAACGTCAGAGCCCAACTGGACAGCATGGACCAGAAGATGTACGCTGACACGGGGCGTGTCGCCCCGCGCATGCTGACCGAGTGGGAGCTCAAGGCGCACACGGCGGCGCAGGACAGGTCCGATGCGAGGAAGAGCGACAACTTCGGCAAGATCGATCTCGGCGCCGGGAAGTTCATGGACAAGGAAGAGGTGGACGTCATCGCGGCCCGGAACGTCCACCCAGTGATCCTCGATATCGAACAGAGGGCCGAGGAGGAGCGCGAGAGGCGGGCGGCTGCGAAGCTGGAGGAGGAGCGCCGAAAGGAGGATGCGGAGAGGGCGAAGCAGAGAGACCGGGAGATCAAGGACATCCATAAGAAGCTCAAGGGTAAGTTCGACGCGGGCTAGATCCCCATCGTCTCCCGGAATCCGCTAACATGTGCTGTAGATCAGGAAAAGGATGAAGAGCGGGAAAAGCGAGTCGAAGCCAAGGAAGAAGCGAAGGCAAAGAAGGAGGAGGAGAAAGCAGCCAGGGCGGAGAAGAAGCGCCAGGCCAGAGAGGAGAAGCGAAAGTCCAAGGAATCCGCCAAACCTGTTGCCCTAGACTCGGGGAGGAGGGACTCAGAAGAAGACCGCCACCCGGCTCGGGAAGCTGGAGCGGGAGCGGGAGCGGGAGCGGGAGCGGGAGCGGCAGCGGCAACGACAGCGGCTGTCAGCCCCGCCACGCTCGCGACACCCGCCACGCCCGCGGCACCCGCCACGTCAGCGACACCCGCCACCCCCGGGACGCTCGAGAGGATCCAGAGCCCCGTCGATGGCAACAGGGCCCCCTCTCCGCCGCTGGAGGACGAGGGCCCCGCCCCCCCCGCGGCGAAGATGCGAAACTGGCTCCGGTCCCGCTTCTCCACCCGCCCGCGGGCCAAGTCGTCCCCCGTCGACGGCGCCGGCAGCGGCAGCAGTGGCACGAAGAGGGGCTTCTTCGCCGCCGGCGCCGGGCTGCACCGCCGAGGAGGAGGAGGAGGAGGAGGAGGAGGAGGCGACGACGAGGGCGCCTCCGCCGACCGGCCGGACGGGAGCATGAGGGAGGTCGCGATGGCGACGACGCGGGGTTCGGAGGCGGACGGAGGACGTGGGCCCGGAGAGGTTCCCGCGACCGCCGCCGCCGCCGCCACTCCCACCGCCCCTGTCGCGCCCGTCGCGCCCGTCGCGCCCGCCGCGGAGGCCCCGCGTTGCAGTTCGGATTGTGAGGAGTTCGTCGAGGCGGAGGACCGTCCCGCCGCGCAGCTGACGCCTCCGCCGGCCTTACAGGATCCGGCTGCTAGCGGCGGGGTTGCGACTTCGGCCAGGGAGTCACGATTTTCTGAGATTATCGAGTAGGTAACGAACAGGTCAAGGAGTATGGAACAGGCTGTATTTTGATGCCATCTTTTGTTTTCTTTTCTACGGCGTGGTAAGCCAGCCGTCTTGTAACAACAGTAGGTAATTTTCTCGAAGGATGCGGAGAAAGATTCAGAAACAGACAGGACAACCCTCAGGGGAAATCGGTGTATCAGGTTTGTGGCTTGCACAAGACGGTTAACTATAAAGGGAAATTGATATCTCTACACTCCTGATATGTTTATGGGGTATAGACTTCTAGTCCCGCAAGACAGAGGGAGCAATCTAACACCCCATCGTTCGTTGTATAATACGACGTCCTCCTCGCTACAATGTAAATGAATGCATCCAAGCCATTGCTGGTAACTGAGCTGAAAATGCTGATGATCTATACTGTGCGATATGCAAGCCCCAAACGCCTTTGGCCCCAAATTTACTCGTTATGAGAAACGGAAAGGAAATTTAGGCACCTAGGTGGGTAGGTAGGTAAGAGGAACCTTAGACAATCTAGGGGCCCTTCCCCCCTCTTCCAACCGACATCTGCTGTTCGTATAAGCGCCATCCCAACCGCTAAAAGTTGCTCGGTACCCCCTCCGCCCCGTTCAAATACTCGTTCGGCGACTCACGACGGTGGTCGCCGACGCCGGCCCCGAGGCCCCCGCCGGTGAGGCGGCCGCCATCATCGCTCCCAACCTCCTCCATGTCGCGGGGGCGGCCGCCACCGCCGGGGGAGTAAGGGGGGTGGTAGCCGTGGCCGTGGGCGCGGTAGGCGCCGGCCTTGCGGGTGCGCACGGCCGGGTAGAGGTCGACGAAGAAGGAGAAGATGTAGGCGGAAAAGAGGAAGGCGATCAGCCACTCGAGTACGGCGGCGGCGTTGGTGTGGTGGGTCCAGTTGCACGCGACGAAGGCGATGGCTAGGAGGACCTCGACGATGACGAAGACGAGCTTGATCCAGAAGGAGAGGCGTAGGACGCGGTGCTCGCGGTAGCCTGGGTGAAGAGGGGAGGTTGTTAGCATTTGGTTGTGGGGAATGGGGAGGGCGGCAAAAGGAGAAGGGGGGTCAAGACGTACGAACTCCGAGACGCTGGTATTGCCAGCAGATGCAGATGGCGGACAGCACATAGCCGGCAATGAAGAGCAGGAGGAATATGTCGTGCAGTTTCTTAAACCGCACCGTGTCGAATATGGACAGCAGGATAAGACCGCAGGTTCCGATGGCGGCAAAGATGATGGTGAATATGGAGAGGATCTTCTCGGTAATGTTCGCATTTGGAACAAGCCGTCCACGGTGCCGCAACCAGTGGTCAGACAGGAAAGAGAGATCCAGGGATACGGTCGTCACGCAGCACCCAGCAATGAATAGAGGTTTCAACTTGGATGCTCCCACATCGCTGATGTACGCAATGTTTTGGCCTGGACTCATAGAGGAGTAATGCGTGAAGTGCGTGTCCACACACCAGTATATCAGGAGGCCGAGGAGCATCCCCAGCCATACTAGGCCCGAGAAGACGGGGAGGACCTTTGCAGATTCTGTTAGCCGTGGAGCAAAGTGTAGAGGGACGTTTGACCCTTACCCAGTAGGATAGGCGTAACATCGTGAAAGGGCTGTACAGCCGTTCAATCTCAAATATCGAGACCAGGAAGACAATGAGGTATCAAAACGAGTGCAATGCGGGACACGCGAAATTGTCATGAGAGCGCGCAGGAATGAATGAACAGGATACTTTAAAATATGACGACAATAGGTAACCTGCTATTGCAGCGGTGCCGGCAGTCCGAAACTAGGTAGTATACGAAATGGATCTATGGAGCGAAACATATTCCAGACAAGAGACAAATGATCTTAGCCACGATCTGTTACGCGTACTTGCCTTGGAAAATACCTACTACTGAATATTCAACGATGTCATGGTCCCTGTTAGGCCTATGACGTCAGTTAGAAACGCCGGAGTGAACGGGCGCCAAAGTTATGGAGTGATTGCTTCATTAAGTCTAGTTTAATTGATAAATAACTGTTTAGCCGCGTTATTTAATAGTCGTGCGTTTGAACTTGACTCGTACGTTTTCTCCTCCGCAACCTAGGTACCTACATATTCACAAGCTGTGAAGGACACCAAGGCTGATCTAATTCTGAGCTCACCCCTTTGGAAAGACAATTTGAAGGCAATTCTCATGAAGCGAGAGACGCTTGGTTCTGTATTAGAATATGGCAGAACTACAACTTCGCTCCGACATATGTAATTCCACCACTGCTATCAGCTGCAGCAGGGGCACGTTTACGGACCAGGCTATTATTAGCCCTGTGAGCATCTCTTGTTTGGTGCTACCCGTACTCAGAAGCAGTTACGGTTTATTGTGATACAAAAGGCTTTTTAACGACCGTCGGCAACTAACCCCCCCCCAAATTGTAGGATGGCAGTGTTCAAAAGATAATCTGGTTACAGGTTAGCTGAATCTCCCTTTTGCATGAGAGGTTCAGACGTAGTCGCCCTGATTTGCAAATCACTGCCAACCGTTCCTGCTGCCTCCAGGCAGCCATCACCCTTCGTGCACACGGGGCTGGCGGTGTATAAGTCGGCAGCGCCTCAGCGGAATGTCTGGCTGATTAGGCCGTGACACGATAGGTAAGGAGCTTCGTGTTCTCCAGGAGAACAAGGCAAGGCGAGACTCGGGTCTCCCGCCATTCGTCTATGGCACCATCTTGTACAGTTCAGAACAAGCATGCTCAAGATAATCCTTTCCAATGATTTGTCTCTTAGAACCACGATTCATGAGAGCGCTTCAGACTTGTACGATCATGTGACAGTGGCAGTGGCTACAAGAGATGCGACAGCAGCACAGCCATTTTGTGCTGCATGATCGAGTTAAAGGCATCATATACGTGGTGTGCTTCACGGGATACGACAATCTTCGGGAGGATTCTCGGCACTACAGAAATCATATGAGTCGCCAGTCCGAGCTAGATGGTTGTTGGTATCCAATGTTGAATCCGACGTCACACCCGTGGCATGCTTAGTTGCAGGAACGTTCTTTCTAGCGTGGCAGCTGCCGGGGGAGCTATGAATCAACTCTCATTTGGTCGCATCAGACATTCTATCGCGTGAGAGCCACTTGTCGTGGACCAGATCGGCTATGGGCAATCTGCGCTCGGGATTCGGCTGCAAGAGACCGAGCAGAATCCGCTTGAACTCGGTAGGAAGGCCTTGAATGTACTCATCCTCGTCGTCCCTGAGTTGAGCGAATTGTTCGTCGATATGAGACAGTTGTTTCGATTCATTGGAAGTCCAAGGGATATCAACAAATCTTGCCCATCGGTAAGAATAAAGTAGATCTAAAGATATTAGCGTTGTAACTGCTTTAGAACTTTGGAACATACCGCTAAACCCAGGCACCAGCTATCAACTTGAAACGGGAACTTTGTGCTAGCCCCGTCAAGGACCAGTTCAGGAGGTGCTGGAGTACCGCAAGCAAAGGAATCCTTGGTGTAAGAAATACCATCCTGAGGGATGAAGGCATATCCAAAATCAAGGATCTTGGTAATTCCTTCGCCGAAACCGATGTCCACTGGCTCGGTCACTCGCTGGGGGAGGATAGGGTCCATTGGCTGCCCATCTTTGCGACGAATCTCGCTCACAACGGGTGGCTTCATGAGGAAACTCGCAATGTCGGTGGCCCGGGGAGCAGGGAGAGCGACGTTTCCAGCATGTATGTCTGCTTTGTGTTACTCGAACTCAGTTGGCAAAAGGTAGGAGTCTAGCGACGTACCTCCGTGTACAACGCCGAGGCTATGTAAGTCGGCGAGGCCGCGGACGAGTTCCCGTATGCAATTTGTTTTCTGGGAGAAGCTTAGGGGCTCTACAAGGCCTTCCTCTGACGAATACCGACGCAAGTCTGTGCCAGTTACGGGATAGACGATCACGTTAAATTTGATGTCTTTATGCTCGGCGCTTGTGGAAGCTAGGTGATGGGGAATCTCAAAATGGTCGGTTATGATGGAGAGATAAGGACTCCTCGACTTCTGTCGAATGTACTCATTGATTTTGAGCTCGGCTAGTCCGGTCGGTGACCGAGGGAGGAACTTCAGGGTCATGTACTGCCTTGAACAGAACCGACTTAGCACCACTTCCAAAAAAAAATGGCGAGCAAGTGCAGAGTCCCTACCTAATCGTGAAATGCTCCGTCAGCCAGCACCAATGTCCTAGCCTTCGTTTAAGTTTATATCCGTTGTAGACCTCCCCGAGATACACAACCGGCTGCTCAGACAGATCCCAACACGGAAGAAGATAGTAGTCTCTCCAGAAGTTACCGAGACTTGTGAATACATGGTGCTGATTCATGAGGGACTCTCCTAACTTGCGGCGGGCATTTTGAGCCATGCCTGAGCTGCCATGAATTGGACGGCATGCGAGGCGGAGGGTGGAGAAGTGGTCAAAATTCCCCTGTCTCAGAGCTTCCAAGGTCGTCTGCAATGAAGTATTCTCTCTTCCCGCCCCGGAGAGACGTGCGCTGAATTTGCGACACCTACTAGAACCACCGTGAGCTGAGGACGTCTTGACGCGCCACGCGTCTGCGAGACCACGTAAACTACGTTATGACGCGGGATCAGGTGACCTCCAAGTCAGTGTTGCAGAGGTACCTACATCAGCGTCGATCTTGGCTCGTGCGTTTTCTCCACAAGGCTGGGCAGGACACAGCCAATCAATCCTAGTCTGCAATGCGAGGCTGACATCCAACTCTAACCTCACCACGTCCTTGCGCTTCTTTATCCATGTGGTGACAGCGACAATACTCATAATGGCCGTCTCACCTCTTGTCGAGTACCCCATTGATGCACTGCACCCCTCGAGACCAGCTTCATCGCCGCTTAAAAGGCAAGGGTCGGCTGTTCCCTCTTCAAATGGCACCCCTCGTCCAGGCCGCCCCGCCGCACACCTTGTTCAGGTTCCTACCACCCTCGATCTTGCAGAACAAATGAACGAGGAAGAGAAGAGGAAATACGTCAAAGGTAGATATATACTGAGAGCCCGTTTGGACAGTCGAAAGCGAGTTTGGATTTACTAATCTTGCCTTTTTCCCAGGCAAGAAGCTCGGTGAGGGAACCTACGCGAACGTCTACCTCGGCCACGCGCGGCACGACCCCAGCGTCCTGGTCGCCATCAAGAAGATCAAGGTACAAAAGGAATACCGCGACGGGCTGGCTCCGGACGCGGTCCGCGAGCTCAAGCACCTGCAGGAGCTGCATCACCCCAACATCATCTCGCTGCTGTCCGTCTTCAGCTCCAAGGACCAGAACATCAACCTGGTGCTCGAGTTCCTGCCCCTGGGCGACCTGGAGATGCTGATCCGCGACACGGACCGCGTGCGCTACGGCGCCCCGGACATCAAGGCCTGGATGGGCATGCTCGCGCGGGCCGTCTGGTTCTGCCACGACAACTTCGTCCTGCACCGCGACATCAAGCCCAACAACCTGCTCATCGCCGCCGACGGCGAGGTCAAGCTCGCCGACTTCGGCCTGGCCCGCAGCTTCTCGGACCCCTACGCCCGCATGACCGCCAACGTCATCACCCGCTGGTACCGCCCGCCGGAGCTGCTCTTCGGCGCCCGCCACTACTCGGGCGCCGTCGACGTCTGGTCCGTCGGCCTCGTCTTCGCCGAGCTCATCATCCGCAGCCCCTACCTGCCGGGCAACAGCGAGCTGGACCAGATCGCCCTCATCAGCCGCCAGATCGGCACCCCGACCGAGGAGGTCTGGCCGGGCGTCACCTCCCTGCCGGCCTACACGCCGCCCGCCGCCGGCGAGGCAACCCCTGTCTGGGGCAAGGAGGCCTACATGGGCCGCTTCGGCGCCGTCGGGCCCGAGGGCGTCGACCTGCTGGTCCGCACCCTCGCCCTCGACCCCCGCAAGCGCATCACAGCGCGGGGCATGCTCGAGCACAGGTGGTGGAGGAGCGAGCCCCGCCCCACCCGCAAGGAGGACCTGCCCCGCAAGTCGGCCGGCGAGGGCGAGGACAGGATCGGCGCCGACCTCAAGAGGCGGCCCGGACAGCTCGACGAAGACCGGGGCTCAAAGGTCGCGAGGAAGTTGGACTTTGGGGCCGCGAAGTGAGCTGGGCGATGAGGACAGCCGGGGAACGGGGTTGGATTTGGGAGGAGAGTTCTGTGTTTTGTGCTTGGGGTTTGTTCGGGGTTCAAAAATGTCGTTACGTTGACACTTCAGGCATTTCAAGGCGTTGTTGGGTTAGACATATCAGGCGAGGCTTTCTCGCTTAATTCAAGGCCTCAAGTGGGCGTTGTTATTTGGTCCTAAAATGGGGGGAACTGCTTTTCTTACGAGCTAGTTTTATCCATCGGCGAAAAAGCATTTCCCAACCATAACCCCCAATCCAATCCCGTGTTTTCACGGCTCCCTTCACATCAGACTGCACTCCAGCCCGTACATGGCCCTCTCGACAGCCTTCCGGACGTGATACCAGTCGGCCCTCCGCTCGGCGAACTCGTACACCTCCTCGGCGCGGAAGACGCCGCCGAAGCGGTCCCCGTCGGCGATGATGGTGGCCATGTCCTTTGCGTGCCCCGGCGCGATGAGGTAGATCTGGCTGAGCTCCCTGAGGGCCTTGAAGTAGGCGAGCAGGTCCGGGTTGCGCAGCGTGCGCACGTACTCAAAGTACAGGTTCATGTCGGCGATCAGCTTGATGGCCCCCTCGGTGCTCACCCGCTGCCGCTTGAGGTGCTTGCACACGGCCGTGAACAGCCGGAGGCCCACCTCGCCGTTGAATACGTCCAGCATCGACTTCTCCGTGCTGCCGACCAGCATGCGCGTGTGCGACGAGACCAGCTCCGTGACGCGCTTGGCCGCCGGCGTGGGGCCGATGCCCTGGTCGGTGAAGGCGCTACCGCCGCCGAAGGCACTCCCCTTCTCGGGCGCCGCGGCCGCGGGGTTGTAGTCGGTGGGCAGCTGGGTGGTGCCAAAGACATACTCGACCTCGTCCATGAGCACGTCGATGCCCTTGTTGAGGCCGGCGGCGACGCTCTCGTCGAGCATCTGCTCAAACTTCTTCTTGGCGAGCCCCGCGGGGTCGAGGAAGTCGTTGCGGTCGGCGATCTTGGGCCCCGCTAGCTGCTGCTCGAAGAAGACGTCGATCATCTGCGAGATCAGGTCGCCCACGTTGACCAGCTCGATGAAGGTGACTAGCGGGGCCACGCCGCTCTGGTTGTGGTCGATGGCCTCGCGCGGGTTGTAGTGCGACAGGTGGTCCACCGCCTTGTCAAAGCCGGGCTTGACGTGCCTGTTGCCCAGGATGCGCAGGAGGTTCACGAAGATGCTCTCGCACTGCTCTCTCGCCTCGCCCCCGGCTTGTCCGCCGAGCCAGATGAAGACTGCCGCCCTGCCGAGGCTTGACTTCGCTGCGTGGACGAGGCTGAGCGCCACTTCCAGGCTGAACAGGGACTTGATTCCCTCCAACCGGGAAGTCATCAGCGCGGCCTTTGCAGCTAGCTCGTCCGTCGGCGCCTTTTCCGGTAGTGGACTGCCTTTCCTTTCCAACGAACTCCCGACGTTCCCTGGTGTCTGGGGCCTCGAGGGTTGGGCGGAAGCTGCTTGCAGGCTCGATCCGTTGGTCGAAGCCGGGGCTGGCGGCTTCGTACTGGCGCCAAATGGCGAGGAGAGCGGCAGACCCAGAGAGGTCGGGAGGACGGTCACCGGCATCATGATGACCTTCTTGAACGAGCTCAAGAAGTCCTTCTTGTCTGCTTGGCGATTGAAGCTTGCCATGTAGAAAGACTCGACACTGGCGTCCTGCTCAGACAGCTGCTTGTCCCAGCTGCTAACCTCGCTTTCCGCCTGCCTTAAGAACCAATCTAGCTCCTCCTGCAAGTACAGATCTAGGTGCGGTTCGAAGATCTTCAGGGCCATCTCTCTCGCCTTATCCTCCAACGTCTCCGTTGTCCCCTTCGGCGGCACGAGCGCCCTAAAGAACTGTAGTGCCTGCTCAAAGATGCCTGACACGGCCTTCAGGTAGCTGAGCAAGCTGCGCTCGTGGGTCTCGTCGAAGAGGGGCGTCGTGTACTCCATGATGATGTCTTCCCGCACCTTGTCGACCAGGGCCCAAAACACGGGAGCGGGACGGGGAAATATCCGCCCCAGGATATCGCCCTGCTCGTTGACCTTTCGCGCCAGCACGTCGAAGAACAGGCTCGACGGCTCCAGGACCACGTCGTCGGCGGGCGCCTGGTTGATGCAGTCCATCGAGTTCGCGAGCACCTCGCGGTCCGAGAAGATGGGGTGCTTGTGGATGAAGAGCTCGACGGCCGCGCCGCCGCCGTTGAGCAGGTCCAGCACGTGGGCGTACTTGCGCATCCGGCCGTCCACGTCCCAGAACTCGTAGCCCTGCTCAAACTCGCGCAGCACGGCGCCCTCGAAGATGCCCGTCATGGCCAGCAGCTTCTCCTCCCGCCGCTGCCACCCCTGCGCCCAGTCGCTCCGGGCGAACGCCTGCAGGTTGGCCAGCATCCGCGCCTGCCGGTCGGGGTCCCGGAACACCTTGAAGAGGATCGGGTCGGTGTGGCTGGTCGCCTGCGCGAGGTCGAAGTAGAACGGCCCCAGCGCCCCGTAGATCTTCCCGTACTCCTCCCGCGCGTGGCCCCTGACGCTCCTCGCGTTCTCGATGACCCCCAGCAGCGCGTCCGGGTCCTGGAACGGATCCGTCGGCGGCGGCTTCTGCTGCCCCCGCTCCTGGCTCGCCTGGTCCGGCACGCCGCCCAGGCCCATGACCTCGAACCCGTCTACGACCTGGCGTTTCAGCTTCTCCTCCTCGACCGACGCGTCGAACAGCGTCGTCGTCGTCGTCCCGCCTCCACCACCACCGGCGGCAAGAACGCCTGCTCCGGCCACGGGCTTCTGGCCCGGGGCGCCGACCCGCGCCTGGCCGGCGGCGGCGGCCCTCTCGGCGCCCTCCGCCCGGCGCCGCATGGCCTCCTCGAAGCGGCGGCGGGCCTCCGTCTCGTTCCAACAGCCCATGCTCTTCAGGCGGGCGACCCAGCGGGTATCATCGTAGACCATCTCGCGCATGCGGCGCGAGGTGCGGGCGAAGCGGAGCTGGTCCCGGACGGGGAGGTAGTCGAGGATGGCGACGAGGAGTTCTGCGGCGGGCGGGCAGGCAGGGTTAGCGGGGATGCGGTGGGTTCCTGCGCGCCTACTAATGGCGTTTGGTGGGCATGTTGGGAAGGGACGTGATCAGGGAGAGGACGGGGAATGGAAGGGGTCATCAGAACCTACCGGCTGGTAAGGTGGGTTTCGAGTCGATCATCTCGGTGGCTTGAAGGGTGCGGAGGATGCTGTTGCTGGGCGGCGGGCCCGCCGTCCTTTTGAAGTTCGACATCGTGACGGTAGCGAGCGAGATTGTACGACCATATCAGGTTTATGGTTTTTCAATTGCTTGCTTTTTGAGGGGATTCGCAGTGCCAGCCAGCTGCCTGTGCATGCTGGGGTTGCGAAGTGGGCATTGTTTTATTTCCCTGGTTTCGGTTCGTATGACATTGGATTGGAGGTTGAGGTTCAGCACGGTCCAAGGAGTACTTACCAGGTACTTGTACCTTCACAGTATGAACGGCACAACACCACGGTACAAGTCATCTACACCTGGCAAGACTATGTGACAGCTGTCTTTTTTATCCAGGGGCATCCAACATCTAACCGCCCCCCCAAAGGTTACTTAGGTAGGGAGGGAGGTATGTGATGTCGTTCAAGTAATGCCTTTGACGAGTGTTCTAGCTTTTCATAGTCCCCCAGGAACCCCTTTATAGACTTGTGTGTAAAAAGTACAATCGTAAAACCAATTCCCCCTTTTCATATCCCTCCGTCCATATCCTCCATTTCCTATTTATAGAGTGACGCCAGGTTCTCATTACAAAATCATACATGATGCGTTCCCTTCCAGGCCGTCCCTCCTTCCCTCCGCGGCTTCGGCAGCCAGAAACCCACGGACGGCAGGGTTGTCCCGGATCTGTTCGTCGTCCTGGCCCCCTGGCTTGACGTGGCCAAAGAGGCATGTCCACAGATCACTCTTGTCCACCGCCTCACCCGATATCCCGCCCTTTCCCATGAGCTTCGAGAGATGTGCCTGCTCGAGCTCAAGAGAATTCGCCACTTCGAGCCTCGCATCGATCAATTCGGGCGTCGACTCCTTTGACTTCCCCTTAAGGCTCTGGCCTATATGTTCCATCCTCCTCTGCACCGAGAGGTTATAAATGGACTCCTCGACCGTGCCGTCGACAATGTACAGCCAGACGGTGGTCTCGTGTTCCTGGCCAATCCTGTCGACACGGGCGATGGCCTGAAGCTCCAGTGCCGTGTTGAGCAGCGGCTCGCACAGGAAGACATGGCTGGCATTGACTAGATTGAGGCCGCTCGAATGGGCCCGCGCATGGAGCAGGAAGACCTCCACTCCTGGATCCTCCTTGAAACTCGAGATACCATTGGCCTTATCGAATGCTGTGTACCCAATGCCGTGGCGCTGGAAAGCCAGTGCCAAGACATCCAGGAAGTCCTTGTACCTGGGAGAGCGTTTTAGTGGCAGGCCGGGCCCGAGTCTCACAGCAGAAAACTTACTGAGAAAAGACAATGGACTTGGCCCCTGGATCGGAGTCTCTTAGCCAGAGCAGATGACGAACAAGTGTGTCGACCTTGGTGGTGAAATTTGGCCCCTCAAGGTCGATATTATTGATCTCTGCTAGCTTCTCCGCGCTGAACTCGGTATAGATGCTGGTCTTTTTCGATGGGGACGTGTCTGTAGAATGGACGCCCGCCCTGGAAAGTCCAGAAGTATCCGAATGGATTTTCAGTTCTTTGGGCTTCAACGTGATATCATGCAGGTTCGCATGACTCAGTTTCCTCTTGCAAACGGGGCAGTTGTGGTGGGCTCGGAACCAAAGACTTATGCACTCCTTGCAGAACTGATGCCCGCAAATTGTTAGCACTCCGATCGAGAAGGTTGATTGACAGATGATGCAGAGTCGTTGTTCCTCTCCTCCGGAATCGGCATCTCTGAGGTGTAAGACTGCGCGTATCGATTAGCCACGTTCCAAGAAGCGGTTCATAGGTTGGCCTACGATATCGGTGCTTGGACTCGGCGCTCTCAAGCGCTCGCCGAGCAGCATCCTCTTGCCTCGAGAGAGTCTCTAGAGAGTTGTCTGTCTTGTCCCCTTCGTAATCGGCGACCATGTCGGAAACAGCTTGCAGTTGGCGGTAGAATTCAAGGCGAGCGTTCATTGTGTCCGAACATCGCTGGATCTCCTGCCCTATCGCACCAGTGACTTTAATTTGCTCCGTCATCTGCCTTTGTGTCAGTTGCAGCTGGTTTGTGACGATGCCGAGTTCTACGCTAGCCCGCTGGCTGCCAGAAGCGGCGTCGTGTCGTAACTTGACAGACAAAGTACGAAGAGCCGACACTATGCCACGCAGTGACCCAAGGGCGTCGCCGGGGATGGACTGAGGCTTGAGGGAATCGCGGATTTTGAAGAGCTCGAGCAGCTTTTCAGGGAAAGGGCCCTCGCCTTCCTCAGCCTGCCGGATGGCGACATTGTAGTCAAGGTCGACGAGGTTGTTCTTTTGTCCGGATAACGCATCTTGACGATCAGCAACTGCAGTCCTGAGCACCCGGACATAGACTTCAATCTCATCTTGAAGTTTGGTAGACTCGTCGTATTCTTCGCCAGTGATCTCTTCACCCTCCTCGTCCACCAGCGGCTTAAGAAGGAGCTGGATGACATGCTCACGCCATTCGTCGAGTTGGTTAGCCTGCGCGTCCAACGCCTCGCAGAGGTTGTCGAAGGCATCGACAATCGTTCGGCTCTCAATGCCTTTTTGGTCGATAGATTTGAACTCGGGGATGACAGCAAAAGCCTGCTGAGATGCAGCGCTGGCTATTCGGTCCATCAGTCGCTTCGCTCTGCTATGAGTGTCCTGCAAGATTTCTTTGCGTATCAGCTTGGCAAAATCATAGCTCTCAGTCTCCTTCTTCTCTAGACGGTTGAACTCGTCCGACTCGGGCGCTGTCATGTCCTGGTCTGACTTGATGGTGTAATAAGCATTCGCACAAAAGAAAACAGCCTTATGCTGAATTTCGAGCGCGTACCGAAGGCGGCGTCGAGCCTCGCTGAGCTGGCCCTGAACACCTCCTTCATCGTCGTCATCTTCCGTGTCCGTTTCTGAAGGGTCGGCCCCTTGATTCCAAGCCTGGTTGACCTCTTGCTCCAGCTGGGCTTTGCAGTCAGCAACTAGCGTAGTGCTGCTCTTCAGGACATCCTCCCAGACGGCGAGGGCATCTTTCACCCTGCCCAAGCTGGCAAGAATCTGGCCTCTCGTCAGTCTGGTGTTAAGAAGCGAACGCTGGTCGGTCCGAATAGCCGACTCGCTCTGCTCTAGCATCGCATCGAGGACTTCTGACACCGTCCGCATGGGGCCTGCTCGGTGGCCTAGTGCCCGCCGATTGTGCGCACCGACTTCCGGGTGTAAGGCCGTCTGGCGTAGGCGATCCAGGGCCATCCGCATTGTCTCCTGGATGGCGGGGTGGTCAGAATCCCAGCCTTCTTGGATGGGATTACCGCGAGTGTCCAGGCCACAAGCTTTGGCCAGGTCCTTGAACAGGCTCTGGTAATGTTGCTCCTCCACCGCAGAGAAGGGCATTGTGATAACGTATCGTTTCTGGGGCGGGAGTGCGATTTCATTCCTAACTAGACCCTTGGTGTGTCGCAGGGAGATGAGGTTGAAAACTCTGTGGAAAGTTTCCTTGTCGAGGCTGAACAGGGAATTCCATATTTTAGTATCCGATGCATAAGGCTCGAAGCGGAGGAAGGTCAGGAGGCCACGTAGATCTTATGTTGCTGTTAGTGGGTGCCATTTGTGAGATTATTCAGGCCATACCTTGCTGTATGTCATCCTTCACAGGAGTGCCGGTGATAGCCCAGACATTTACACGAGGTATCAGTCTAGCCAGGACAGCCGTATTGGTAGTCCAGTTCTCCATCATCTGCGCCTCGTCGATACAGACACGCCACCAGGAGAGTTGGACCAATGGCGACTTTAGTCTCTCGTATTTCCTCTCTCCCCTCATGGATCGGGCTGGGGGATCTATTGCCATGTGGATCTCTGGCCGTAAGGCGTCGTAAGTGGTTAAAACCACGTCTTGGCTCCCGAGCTCATCGACTAGATCTGCCTCGCTCTGCTTGTCTTTGGCGGTCGACGCTCTTAATCCAGGGTAGTACATGACGTTCAGGTGCGGTGCGTGGCGAGCGAGTTCGGTCCGCCACTGGTCTAACAGCGGCTGCGGCGTGATTATCAATGTGGCCCCTGTCGGGCGCAGCTGTTGTCCAAGAAAGGGGTCAAAAACCAGAGGGGGATCGTCGGGGCGGTGGTGGAGAAGAAGCAGTCCGATGATCTCCAATGTCTTGCCAAGACCCATCTCTTCGGCGAGAATGCCACCCTTGATGTTCTGAAGTGGCAGGTAACGAGAAGGATCTCTTGCGACAACGCCAAAGAGGGGACTAATGTAGAATGGCTTGCCGAGCGCGTCTTGAGCTGCAATAAACGAGATGGGCTCGTCCGCTGATGACTGCTCGAGGTCAAGTGGCTGGATGTGGGATTCGTCGCTGCCAACAGCCTTGGCCCATGAGACACCTTCTCGGTTCAACAGCCAGTTGATAGACCTTCTCTGGAAGGGGAAGAGCTCAGCAATGAGGTTCGGGATCTCTGCACGCAGCAGGCCTGGGTCGAATTTGTCGTTGTCAGGAACATGAGATGCATCATAGAAGTCCTTCGGTGTCCAGTCTGGGATCCTCTTTTTCGGGTTATAATTCAAGCCAGGGAAGCAGGTCTCGAGAACGTCATCCCTCAAAACCTGCTGGGGCCTCTTTCGAGATTCAACGGAGACACTCCGGCTTTCGTTCCAGTAAACATTGATTGTCAACTTGACATGAATCTGTGCACCATCTTGCCGAGCATCAATATCAATGGATGCCCACAAGCAGCCTTCACTTTCCGGATCCGAGCCTTGAAGTTTCGCAACGTGAAGAGCTGTGATAAGTGTCTTTGGCATTTGGGCCACATCCAGTGTATGACACACACAGAATGGATGCGATTTGGGCCGGGGTTTCGGGGATATCTTCAGCTGATTATTTGGCCCTGGTGGACCTGCTGAGTTCGCCCCCCTGATGGAGTGCCAAACGTTCAAGTGTTTGCCGACCCCACGACGGTAAACATGAGTTGACTGAGGTAATGAAGTTGCAGAGCGAGTTTCAAATGAGAGCTCATGGGACACTATCGGTATGGTACCAAGTCCATGGCCAGTCCTCGCACGTTTAGCAGGTGGTCCAGGAATCTCATCGGTGGATTCATCACTCGGTGGTGTATCCGGAAGGGACTCAAGATAATCAATCAAAGTCTTGGCATGGTCGACTAATGTACAGTTAGTTGGCAATTCAGGATGATGAAGATGCATAAGGGAGGGATGAGACATGACACACTTTCATCAGGTGCAGCTGACTTATGACCGGTTGCAATGAGAGACGGCATCCGGAGGTTAGGCTTGGTTCGGCCCATCTTTATGAGATGTCTACGGTGTCCGAGGATTCAGTCGCATGGCCACCGACCGAGTGGAAGCAATGTGGCAGCGGGTCCTTGAGCTGGCGGCAACCTAGAACTTAGACCGGGTGGGCAAGGCAGTTATGTATATCCGGGGTTAACGGGGTTAAAGCGTCAGGGGAGGCCAATACTGTCTGAGCAGTTGGAATGTCGATTGTCCCCAATGACAGACGCCCTCACTCAGGCGTTTATATGATGGATTTAGGAGCCTGGAGAGATGGAACCCGGAGACATGGGCTGGAGTAAGTGGGAGAGGCAAGTCCGGAAGTATAAGAGGCGGAGGCAGTGACAGCAAATGGCACTTCCCATATGCCCCACTCTTTTATCCTTCGACCTGATTGGTAGACCCTGCGACCTGCCAGCCATTGGAGGATTACTAAGAGCTCCCAAACGGACCTAACTCGCCATGATTGGCTGAAAGGCTCGGCTCAGAAGATTTCGAAAGCTCGAGTCTCGAACAGCATCGCAGTAGCAAAAAGTTATCCCTAGCCAGTGGCCCTTGTAATCGACCAGAGCACTGAGCGGGAAATCTCGTGTGAAATCTGCTTTAGGCATGGTAATTCTTTTTTAGGTAAGTAAAGAGCCTCCTCCCTCGCACTCCCACGAGCAATTGGCTAACTTACCTCCCGACTCAGGATGAGACCAACACGCCTCCATTCCGCGTTAGGCCTGCTCCTCCGGCCTCAGATCACGGCTCCCGGCCTCAGGTTGCAGACGCGATTGGCATCCAAGGATACACAGCTTCCTCTGGTCCCTTCCACTCTCCCGTTCGTCCCCGACGTCGAGACCTTTCTGACATTGATTGGTCGGGGGTTGCGGCAACATGCCCCCAAATTCCCCTCGTGGGAAGCACTCTTCTCTCTGACATCCGATCAACTGAGGGAACTCGGCGTTGAGCCACCACGGACGCGACGATACCTACTGAAATGGAGGCAGAGGTTCAGGGAGGGGAAGTTTGGGGTTGGCGGTGACATCCAACACGTGGACAACGGCACTGCGCAACTCAAGGTGCTCGAGGTCGAGAAGGATCCTCTTACCCGCCTAAAATACGTCGTCAACGTACCCGCGGGACAGAATGTGGAGGATATTCCGCAGGACGAGCTGGTCCGGGTTTCTGGTTACCACATCAAGGGCGCCCGAACGATTGTCGGTCCTTATGCTCTGCCAACGGCAGAAGGTGGTGCCCGAGTTGCCGTCACGGAGGGCATGTGGGAGGACAGGAGAGGCCACAAGGTCGACGGAGGTGAACGACGACGGGCCGAGGTGCGATTCAAGAGGCGCATCGCAGAACGGAAAGCGATGAGGGAGAAACAGGGCTTCCATTAAGGGGGGAGGAGATATGCTGCCAAAGACAACCAGTCCTCTTGTTCGGGGAGCAGTGTCTTGAGAAGCAGGGAAGAAGAATGTTAGACTGTAAGCTACTTGTAAATATTGCATATGTACAGTAAGATATCCATCCTACGTTCTCTCATGGTGCATGCCTCTCCCTCAGAGCATGCAGATCAATCAGCATGCTTACTACTGATATTGGCATGGCATCAGGGGTATGGTATCTCTTGGGGAAGTTCTGTTGTGCCAATCAACCTCTACAAACACTTTAGGAGCCATCAGTCTTGGAGGCGTGTTTCCATATCTGACTAGTACATATGACTGGTACCGCAGTACGCACCAGCTCTCATGGGAGAGGACTCCCAGGGCGTCTCTCCTTGCTGCATAACCAGATGTGCAGAAAAGAAATTAGGCATCTTCAAGATAATAATTAGCAGGCGCTTGCACAGCTTGTCCAGGTGTAGTTTGCACCGGATCTCCCAAGTCCCGATTCATCGACATAAAAAAAAGGGCTCCAGGACGCACTGTGCCGCCCAGTGGTGTGGTTTGTGGCTTTTTTGGCTGCCTCTGGAGACTGTGTGTCAGCGTTGACTAAAAGGCATCGAGCTCAAAAGGGGAGAGCGTTCATAACTCAGCGACTCGACTTAAAACTGGGAACTAAAATCTTCTCTCTCCTTCTCATCTTTCTCGCATCTTCGAAGCCTCTCTGGTCCGGATTTTGGAGGCCCTGTCATGGACGATGAACCGGATCGAACGACCGAAAAAAGAAACTGGTTGCCTAACAGGCAGCGTCGAAATGCCAGGAAACTACCTAGCTGCCCGGAACTCTGGATACCGCTGAGCCCAGCCCTGGAAACCCCAGGAGCCGATGGCTGAGCCAGCCATTTCTGACGTACACCTACGGCAGTGCAAGCCCCGAAGACGATGACATCAATTCCTTAGCTTGACGCCAAACTGACTTCACGATCTGAGTTAAGTATTTAAAAGGTGGATTCCACCTTCTGCAAAGCTACGAGGTCTCCATTACGAGTCACGTCCACCCAACCCATTCCGCACGAGTGGAATCGAGCCCCGAGACCTCGTCGAGTTGGTCCCCCACAGACCTGGCTTCTTAGAAGGGCGGACGAATATATACCAGGGCTTCGATGCGCAAAGCCCAGGACCTCGATTCGCGCGCAGTTGCAATTCTATCGCATTCAATGGGCACCAGTGATGACGGTGTGGCAAGAGATTGGAATTTTGGAAGATGGAAGGGTACTGGAGAACTTGGGTCAATGCAGAAAGCCGAAGCCGCCTGGTCAAACCGAGTCAACAATCCGAAATCAGTCGGAGGGAACAGGGCAGCTACGACCGCGTTTCTTGGCATCAAGGTCTCGACCATTTTTTGGTCTCCAAGACCCGACATTTTGGGTGCCGAAGGAGGTCAGGGTTGGGTTCGGGGTCGGGAACCAATGCTGCCGTCGGAATGCATATCGCCCCATGGCCGGTCTGGGTTCTGCGTGGGTGCTTGACCTCCGTTCCGGTTGACACCAACAGCAACGCAGCGGCACACCTCGAGTGAGTCACATCTTCATGACAGGATCCTGTCGATCTCCTTGCGCACTCCCGGTCACAGAAGCCCGCAGCTCCTCGATGGTCCTTGTGGCTTAGACCCCTGGTTGCTACCAAAATACCTCTGGTCGCATTCGCCTAATATCTGCAATCGGGGCTTAGTGGGTTGGATGTTCACAACAGCTCCCAGCTCGTTTTACACTAGCCCGGGCACTGCTGGCATACACCCCCAACGGCCACCATTCCGAGGCTCGATAGGACAAAGAATTCGTCCCTCTCTGACTTGCCAAGGTAAAATGAGCTACCGTACACAACGCAGCTTGGTTCTTGGCTGTTGCCCAAACTAAATATAATCCTGACAAGCCGACACTGCCCACTACGAGTATCATCACCGGATGTGGATGGGGATGCGGATGGGGATGCGGCGGGGGACGCAACTGCCGATTTCAACAATTGTAGTCGACAAACACAAACGGTGAAGATCGTCTCACCCAAGAGACTTTTGTTGCTAAACATACTGCGGCTGAGGTTTGTTTCCATGAAGAGAGGTCTAAGCCTCGTTTTCATGCTGCAATGGCGGACCGCTGCCCGGTGGCCACTTATATTGGAAACCGATGTTCACCCGTCACAGCGTTGCATCCAATTCCGCCATTCGCTCTCTACCTCGGCCAGGTACTTTACCTCGCCCATCGGAGTTTACCAGGCCCGATAGCGGCTTCGGGGCACTTAATCTCACCCAGTCTCGGAGCTCGGGAGCAAAGGCCCATGGCATGGAGGGGGAGTTGACATCGGTTTGCAGGTTATTTGCAGTTTGTTTGCACATGGCATGCCGTTCACACATCGGTCCAAGCGGGCCGTGCATAGGTCGCTGCTCCCAACCCAATGATTCGGCAGTCAAGGGCGGCAGATGACATCGCAAGGACAAAGTAACCACCATGCACTGCGTACCGTGTACTGCGTATTGCGTATTCCCTACAACCGCGTACCCCACGTGCGTCATCGACGCAGTAGACGCGCCAGGAAGCAAACGTTAGGAAACACGCGTCAGCCGACGCCTTACCGAACGAACCGCCAGGTCGATTCGGTCCCGTGTCTGGTACCAAACTAACGTCCACTCTCAGGTGGGTGCATGGGTTGTGTAACATGCATGAGCCGCAGGGCTCAGGCTTGAGCTACCACAGTAAACCTGCAGGCCGTCTTACAAACACCCATACACCAAGTACCATCGAGTCGACACAGTCGAGATTGGAGGTGGAGAGGCGACACTACCTAGGTACCTACCTAGGTACCCAACATTAACTTGTTTCACTCTTCAAGATCAAATCGACCCCAAATCTCTTTCCGGTGGATCCTAAGAGGACATAATTAGCAAACACCCACTGGCACCTGCATACCTGGTTCCTCGCTGACATGGGAATCCCCTACCGCTTGGGACCCCAACGCAGTTCCTTTCCTCTTTCGCAAATAAGACCGCGGATCATTATCCAAAACAGATTTATAGCGCCAATTCTAATTCTAGAACAACCTGCTGGACGGTAGCCGCCACATGCCATTGGCGACAAACATTCAGCTTGCGCGTTTGTCAAGTTCCGCGAGTGGTCCAATTCCGAGAAACGAACGGGCATGTTAGTATTCATAGTGCCGTTTCAAATTGACCCCGCAACCTCGATACGCAATCTTAGCTGTTATTCACAGAGATCTTAGCGGTACGGAGTGCTGCCCAGGAAATAACCTGTCTCAGGCGGAGTTGTCAGAATGGAAGTGATGTGATTTTTAAGCTTATCCACGATCACGATCAGTCAAATCGTCTTTGTCAGCAATATTTGCAGGTGTCTGATAGGTAGTAACTACCTAAGGGTAGGCAGTAACTATACTCGTACTGGATAGAGGTACGGATACCGAGATACGCAACAAGTCGGTCCCTCGCCCTGCCGTTGATATTCTCAACTGCGATGCGCCTTGGCGCGAGGGCCAGGGCTGCCCAGCTCGATGGGGTTTCCCTGCGAGTCGACACCGATCCTCTATCTCGACTTCGAAGAAGAAGCTCACCCGCAGCCCCTCCATGAATTTAAGGACCCACACCTACCTAAGGTGTGCAAGGATTGATGCAGATCTCACAGCCCCATAACCCTGCATCTTCCGCTACCGTACTGTGTGGTAGTACCTAGGTACCTACCTAACCGTCCCATCCCACTACCTTATCCCACTATCCCACCGGCCCACCATCCCAAAGTCTGCTTTTCAGAGAGCCCTGCGTCTGATGTGGGTCAAGAGCACACAAGCTTCTTCAGCTGATTTAATAAGAGTCCGACTCAACTCGACGCCCAAGCAATGACAGTGAAGGGACACGTCTTTTTCTGTTTTTGCTAATAATATCATATTATTATTGTTTTAAGTTACACTATCTCTACCCCCTTCTTCTTATCCCGAGTGGAGAATGGCCAGGGTCTAAAAATATGGCTGCGGGCCGCGGGATCTCTCCGCATCTTTCAAGTTACTAGGTACAGTACCTTACGCCTCGTGCTGCTTGTCCCGATGTGGAGATGAAGTGGAAGCTACCCACCATTCTGGTTGCATCATGTGATCCAGACATTCTCTTGACGACCCCTCCCTGATGAGTTTTACTGCTCAGGTGCAATAGCGATGAAGAATGCAATGGAAAACCAGGATACCTTTCAAGGCCTTTTTATTAATTCATTTTCTTCTCGAAAATAGTTGGGGGGGGGGGAGAGAAAGAAAGGAGAGAAAAAAGAGAGAAAAAGGTCATGCCTTTTCCTGATTTGGAACTTGGGGATCGTATTCCTCGGATTCCCAATAGAGTTTTCCCACCAGTTACCTAATACTAGCAGATCCATACCCGCTTCCCGCACTCGAGTTGACATCAAGCCACCAAATGACTCCTCTCCGTTCTCTGCTAGTGCAAACTAAAGCTAGGTTGGCTCGTCTTTCCGCACCTGTTTGTGTTCAGGACCCGCAGACCTATCCATGCAAGTGTATCGTCGCCCATCGCCTTGTACCTGACCTGCCTAGGTTGCTTAGTTAGTTATGCCTATGCTACGCAGTTATTCGCACATGTGCATACCAACCCCCGTCACATACCATCGACTCACCAATCTGGAGTCCTGCGCGACGCCTCCTGTGCCCTGTTTCATAGGCAGACACCCCCTCCTTTCCAGCCCATCACACATGGAAACAGACCAACGACCACCATCACCCATGTCTCGCATCCCCTTGTCTCTACATATCGCATTCTAAACATCGGGTCCACCTTCCCCTAAGCCCTGTCCGTTATGGTTGCCAAGAAAGATACCCTCCCTAGACCATACATACACTCTAAGGGTAGACGACCTGCGTCACCGTCATGGCATTGGCAGCCATGGCCCGCCTGCCTTACGAATATAGATCCTGGGTGAGGACGACCTGTGCGTCCTCCTTCACTATCTCCATCCGACTAAGACAGACGGGATCCCAATTGGTGTCAGCACAAAGCAGAGAAGCGTATACTACCCCGAACCCTCAAATATCCCCAGAGTGCTCAGCCTCAAGATATTTCCATCTTTAGTCTATCTCGTCGAGTTCGACGGTCAGATTCTCCAGAGCTTACCCCGTCGCTCGTGCCCGCCGGCCCTTGCGGTAATCCCAGTCCATCACTTTCAAGAAAAAAATCGAGTATAATAGGAACACCGCGCTGCTAGCTTTGTGTGTGTTGGAGACAGCGAGCAGTTGTTGTTCTTTAGCAAAGAAGACAAGATCCATCAGGCCGTGAGCCTCTTCCTCCCCCTTCTCTTATTAAATGTCCTCAGTCCAACATCCTAAAGTCCAAGGATCAAGAGTGATCCCTGCTGTCGAGATCACCGACTACTCGACCGAGTCTGTGGAAGTCTTTGACGACCCAGCCTCGCCGCAGCAGTCTACGCGCTCGTCACTATCACCACCGTCAAAGACGTCATCGAGCAAACGGCGAAGCAAACCCACAGCCCGGTCCGGATCAGACGCAGAACAAGACAGCTCCAAGATGTCTTCGCGATCATCCACCAAGAAGAGTTCTTCCAAGTCTTCGTCCAAGTCGAAGCAGAAGACAGATGACTGGAATGAGGTCACGGAGCCAGAAGAGAGGAGGCGCATCCAGAACCGCATCGCGCAGAGGAAATTCCGTACGCTACCCCCACCCGCACCCCAGAAGGCTCCAAAGCCTTGGGCCGGTTTCTGACAGAAAGAGGCAGGCGAGAAGGCGCGTGAACAAAAGGAGCGGGCGCAGCGAGATGCCCAGAACAACGAACACGCCGGCAGCAGCTATCGCATCCCGGAGCCAGACGAACTCGGCCCCGAAGACGAGCTCTCGGGGCTGCCCTGGGGCAGCCTCAACATGCGATTCGTCGTCGCCAAGGGCCACGAGAGCACCAGCCAGCAAGGGAGCCGCCGGACGTCGGATCACAGGATCGAGGACAACCAGCAGTTTCTGAGCGCACAGGCGGGGGGATTCCCGCCCGCCATTGCCAGTTACGACGGACGAGACAGCATTGGCGATGATAGTAGCAGGTACTATGACGACTCATCACCATATTACTACGACTATGAACTCGGGCCGGCGGATCCTAGCGGGCAAATCTAAAATGGCAAGTGCATCCATCAAGCAGCCCCCTGAGAACGCCACCCCACTAACGATACGCAGTTTGGTGTTTTTCTACAATTGAGCTTGCTTCTTGGTGCAAGTCTTTCGCCGGAGAGCGGGAATGATGAGGCCACGACGTGTCACTTTGGGATTCTGCCGTTGGCAGGGTTACGACAACGAATAGAAGACGAATTGCCATGATGCGGTATGGGCTGCAGGCGAGACATACGAGGGGCTGGAGTTGTTTGCTTGGTCTGCTTCTGCACTTCCACCCTGCTGCTCCTCCATTGAGGATTTTTAGACACCCCTCCCCTCAATCCCCCCTCTCCTTCGTACCTCACATTGCATATACCCACCGGCCTGTTCCATGGCCTTCCTTCTCTTGTTTTTCTGTTAGGTAGTGCTGCGATTGGACATGCTAGAGAGAGAGACCTGTCATGGCGCATGCAGAGAAGCAATAGAAGCTGCATCATCAAGTCAATGAAAGGGCGCACATTCACAACCTTGATGACTAATTTGTCGCCTTATGTTACCAGTCCATGCAGCAGATTCATCAAAAGCCTGGCAAATGACCCTGACTGCTGCCTGATCAGGGTGCCAGTCGGTAAGGCTTGAGAGAAGCGTCATACCTGTATCTGGAAAGGCCGGGGGAGGGGCCACATCACCTGCATACGAGCATTGCGAGGGACCTTGCGTCAGCAAACCGCGCGCCTCGGTTGCGGCCTGGGGTGGTGGTGGTCGTAGAAAAATCGCGAGAAAACGTGAGGACGCGTGCCCTATCTGGGCACCCACCCCCGCATCTGCAGAATTGGCTCAAGCCACCAACGAGCGCCACCCGACCCTACCGAGCATCGGACCAGGCGGAATCCACCTTCAGAATTGGGAAAGGGGGGGTGGAATTCTCGATTCGCTCACCGGACAAGTATCACTAGTAGACTGCATGCAGATGCATCTATTCGGACGCCATACCCCTCCCCCTTTGCCTGCCCCCGAACCAGCGCAACGGGCGAGGGTTTTTTTCTCTGTGAAAATGCCTCGGTTGCGAGACCAAACCAGGTGGCATTCCGCGAGTCCCATGGGGTTTGTTGGGGACCCATGAAATTGGCTTCCAGGGGTGGCCGGGAGAAAGCTCGAATACCAGCCAGTCAAAGCAAAAGATCGAGGTGTGGAGCTAGCCTGAGCTGAACTCGGGGTTGCAAGGTTCCTTTACCCTTTTTCGTTTTTTTATCATCTACCGACTTGCAAATCCCTTCCCGATTCTGCTTACGGCAAGGCTGACTCGAACAACGCAGGTCGACAACACACAGGCATGAGAGAGGGCAGGGTAGGGTAGGTACCTGCTGCTCGGCGCGCCTCCGGCGGCCCCGGCCCCCTTGGTGTGCCTTACCGGGGCGGGGGTCTTCGTCTTCCTTTTTTTGTTCCTTTTTCACTTCTTTTTCACCCCCCCCACTAATCCGTACCCGGTCCCGTAACTCGGTTCCCCCCCCTGCTCGTACGCTAATGAATCGCGATGTGATGAGCCATGTGGCCCCCGCTGGCCAATTACGGTGTTTACTGTGAACCGCCGTACCCTTATTCCGGCCCTTACTCCCAGTCCTCTGTAACCTGCCCCCCCAATCACCACCACTCGAGCCGGGGAGGGGGGGTCCCGACCACCAAGCAAGGAGGCATCCTCTGCCCGCACAGCAGCAAGGCGCAACGGGAGGGGCGGGATCGATACGAGAACAGCCAGCTGATGGTGCCCGTGCCTGGTAGAGGGGAAGGGGAGAAGGTAGGGGGTGTGTGGCAGCAGCCCTACAGACGGCAGGGGAATTACAGGACCGGGAAGACTCGGCGGGCCCACACGCGACGTCGGTCGGAAAATTCACGCCAAGAGGCTCCGAGGGCGAGGACACGAGGCGCTGCGGGGAGGGGTGTGCTCGGCCCTGCTCTGTCTGGCGGACGCGGTGTTGGTTTGTTCCGGCGCAGCCGTGTCTAACTTGCTAGAATGACTGCGCTGCACTTCACCAACTGTGTCTTCTGGTGCCGCGGGTTGCTGACCCAGCCAATTTCCGTGAGCGTGCGACATTCTAGGGGATGGGCTTGCTGGCTGCCAGGGATACGATCATGCTAGGAAGATAAGTCACGATATTCTTGGTGTTATGGAGGACCCAGTTACGATGGCCTTGAAGACATGCATGGAAAAGGCTTCTCGCTGGCATAAGCTGCCTAATTCGTTTATTTTGTCTTATTTTGTGCCCGGGTCAGTGCAAGTGCATTGAACTGAACATAGGCGTCCGTATTCCTCCAAGTAGAATTAAAGATATCCAAAGCTCTATCACACAGAATTTCCCTGTTGCTGTCGATTCGCAGGTTAGCTTGGGGTTCTCTTAGAATTAGGTTGCCTGAGTCCCGATGCATCGTATCCTCTTGACGTGTCTAGGCGACCATTATCTAGAACTAATCTGACGTCTGGATTAAGTTTGTGAGTTTTAGCCTGCTTCCCGGGCCCGGTTCGGCCGATTCAGCCGTCCGAGTGTTTTCGGATTATGGAGCCCGGGAACGGGAAAGAACCGTCGGTAGGCCGCTTCCTGCGGGTCAAAAATTCGGCCCCACCCTCCAGTGAACCCCTGCATGATGTAATTGGCGTAACTAGCGTCAGGGAGTTGAGTGCATTTAGCCTCGCAGCCTTGCAGCCAGCTTATCGAGCTCAACGTGTCCAGAAAAAGACCAGCAAAAACGGGCCTCATTAACATCGCTGCAAGGCTGTCTTGCCAAGTTCTAGTGCCCGGTTTGCACTGGATACCTTCTCGTTGATGCAGCCATGGCACGCACGCGCCAATTGAGCTTCTTGCTCACTTTTCTTCTCTCCAGCATCTTGCTGGTCGCCCCGACAGCTCTGGCAGCCAACGACGAATCCATCCTCACTAGCGAGATTGGCAGGCTGAACAACCAAAGCTTACTATGGGGTCCCTACCGCCCAAATCTTTACTTTGGTGTTCGTCCCAGGATACCGAAGAGCCTGATGGCTGGGCTGATGTGGGGGAAGATTGAGACGTATAACGATTTTCAGCACAGTAGGTTCTCAACAACCCCGGGCTGGGAGACACGGCTGCTCAGCCGCCGCCTCCCCCCCCCCCCACAACGGGCTCCCTGTAGGCTGTAACTGACCAGAATGATTGCTTCAAGGTGTTCGGTATACGTGCGAGCAGAATGAGGGAATGGAGGGCTATGGCTGGGACGAGTACGATACACGAAAGGGAGGCGTGCAATCGATACACGACAAGGAGAACAAGATCGACATCACGACATCATTCGTCAAGGTCCCCGGCGGCGCGCACGGGGGAAGCTGGGCTGCGAGAATTAAAGGGCAGCTCAGAGAGGAAGCCGACCCGGAACAGAAAACCATCCTCTTCCTCTACGTCACGCAAGAGGGTTTCGGAAGCGAGCTGGAAGCTGTACGGGGCGACGAGGCGGGTTATGAGGGCGACGTGACCCTAAAGGGCTCGTCTGATGCTCTGGGAATCTATAAGCTGGTCGTCACAAGGGGCACCGGCAAGTATCCCGAAAGCGACCATGAGATATCCGAGACCCGGCCTACTGGGAAGGCCATCGTGCAGTCCCTGAACCACCCGGAGGAGGTTCTCTGGCAAGCCAAACCGGTCATCTTCAAGCAGTTGAAGGATGGCGTCGACTTCCTCGTCGAGAACAACTTCGATAACGACAACCCGCCCCCGCCGTGGCAAGTGTATCAGCTTGCCAACTCGCCTGGGCACGGAAACGTCCAGATCGTGGAGAAGATTTTCGAGGGGGATTTCGAGTTTGACATCCTCTTCTCGAGCGCCTCGAGTGGCAAGGATATTACGAGCGAGGATTTGACTAGAGAGATCAAGGAGACGACTGAGTCGTTTGGTGACCGCTTTTCCAGCATTTTCGAGCTTAAGGCCCCATTTAATGCCGAGAAGTACAAGAAATTCGGGCGGAGCATGTTCTCAAATCTTATTGGAGGAATAGGGTATTTCCACGGACATTCATTGGTCGACAGATCATATGCCCCTGAGTATGACGAGGAGAATGAGGGCTTCTGGGAGGAGACCGCCGAGGCTCGCGCGCGGAGACAGGAGAAGCCCGAGGGACCGTACGAACTCTTCTCGTCCATCCCCTCAAGGCCGTTCTTCCCGAGAGGGTTCCTGTGGGACGAGGGATTCCACCTCCTCCCTGTTGCCGACTGGGACATGGACCTGACTCTCGAGATCGTGAAGAGTTGGTTCAACCTCATGGATGATGACGGGTGGATTGCCCGCGAGCAGATCCTTGGCCCAGAGGCTCGAAGCAAAGTCCCTGAGGCGTTCCAGACACAGTATCCCCATTACGCCAACCCCCCCACTCTATTCCTTGTCCTCGACTCTTTCATTGATAAGCTTCGCAAGTCGAATGGATCCTTGCCAGCTGGGAGGGAGCATCTTTCGCAAGACGAGACCATTTCAACGGCCTCGATCGATAACACCGAGATCGGGGTCGAGTATCTGCGCAGGCTGTATCCGCTTCTGCGTCGCCAGTACAACTGGTTCAGGAAGACCCAATACGGCGACATCAAGTCCTACGACCGCGATGCGTACTCCACAAAGGAGGCATACCGCTGGCGAGGGCGGACGATCCAGCACTGCCTGACAAGCGGTCTGGACGACTACCCGCGGCCCCAGCCTCCTCACCCGGGCGAGTTGCACGTCGACCTCATGTCGTGGATGGGCATGATGACCAAGTCGCTGATCAATATCGCCGACGTTGTCGGCATGCCCGAGGAGGGCGAGGAGCTGAAGAAGATCCTGAACGCGATCGAGCACAACCTCGACGACCTCCACTGGTCCGACGCGGACGGTTGCTACTGCGACGCCACCATCGACGACTTTGAGGAGCACAAGCTCGTCTGCCACAAGGGGTACGTCTCGCTGATGCCCTTCCTCACGGGCCTGATCAAGCCGGACAGCCCGAAGCTGGGCAAGATCCTGGCCCTCCTAGGCGACGAGGAGGAGCTATTCAGCCCCCACGGCATCCGTAGCCTAAGCAAGAAGGATCCCCTCTCCGGCACCGAGGAGAACTACTGGCGCAGCCCCGTGTGGATCAACATGAACTACCTAGCCATCGTGCAGCTCTACGTAAGTACCCATACCCCTCCCAACCAAGTACCCCCTTCTCCGACCCTTCCCCTCATGCTCACACTCCCGCCAAACAGAACACCGCCACCCAGGACGGACCCCACCGGAAGACGGCCGCGGACCTGTACGCGCGCCTCCGCCGGAACATCGTCGACACCGTCTACGAGAGCTGGGCTGAGACGGGCTTCGCGTGGGAGCAGTACAACCCGGACACGGGCCGGGGCCAGCGCACGCAGCACTTCACCGGCTGGACGAGCCTCGTCGTCAAGGTCATGGCCATGCCCGACCTGGCCGAGGGCCGTTCGCGGGACGAGCTGTAGGTGGGTGCACCAGTTGTTCTGTGGAGAGATTGAGAATGTGGGGGGGAGATATTATGGGTAAATGGCGCGTGGTTTGAGATTCTATCACCGAAAAATATGTATGATAGGTGGTTTTTGAAAAGGAGGACAATCAAAACGATCGTCTCGGGGTTTGATCATTTCGGGATCCCCCTTTCTGCATTGAACCATGTGGCCTATGATGAAATAACAAGATCTACTTCGCGGTGCAGGTTACCACACGAGACTAATGCGAGGAACGGCAGGCCTGACCATCCACAGGGATTCTATGACGACGACAGGTCCAAGTATTGCAAAGGGGTTAATACGTACATGCAAGAGTTTCTGACGGCGCAGGTGCAACCGCTTGCTCGCTATGGCGTGCTTATGATGGACTACCCGGCCGATTCGCGTTCGACCAATCTCGTTCGCGCCATCATTGAGAGTAATGACTTGATACCTTAGGTACATGACAGCGCAAGACTCTGTCCTACTCTTAGGATATAAACACCATGTGCAGCACAGATGATCAGAGGAGGAGAATTTGGAAATTGAGAACGCTGTGGCGGAAATGATTCGATGGGTCTTTAAGGAGCTCGCAGGTAGCAGCTAGGCTGCCATTCACAGTGACCCCAGGGGCAAAACGACACTCCTCATATCTCTGGCCGAAGCAATTCGACCCTCACCCATCCGATGACCGGCATACTATCCTCCTCTTCGTAACCGACAAGACCTTATGCACGACCCCATATCATACCGAGCCGCTGGAAGAAGGAAAAGAGCGAGCCTTTCGGAACCAAGCCGCGGTATGTGGACTGCCAGAGGGCGGCAAAGCTTGCTGCTGATGGTTAGCCGGTGACCAAAAGCCAAGCCATCGTGTTCTTGGGGGGGGGGGGGAACACAAACCCTCGACCGGCCCAAGCTCGCCGAACCCAAGAGCCTCGACCGCCCAGGGCGCCAGCAAAGCCAGAACCCCAATGGCGACGATGGTGACGAAGACCGGGTGTTCCCGCGCAAAGTCGAAGAGCTCTTCCGCGGCGCACTGCGCCGTCTCGATGGCCTCTCGCAAGACGGTGTTCATTGACATGGCCTGGTACGCCTTGATGGTTTCCTCGATGCCCCGCAGAACGGCCTTCGCAAGGGCCTCGGTCTAGCTATTGGTACGAACAACCTCATCGAGCCGGAGCCGCAGCTCCTATCCTGGCTTCTCGGCGGTGCAGAGGACGTCGACGATCTTGGTCGCCTGCCGCTCGATCTCATGTGACGGTTGGTTGCTGGCGGAGGAGGGAATCCAGCTCGGCGCGGGCTTGGTGTTCCGCCCAGCGAGAAAGGAAAAGCACCCGAAGCACTGCATCGCGATATTCTCTAGTTACGTGTTCTCGGTGTTGTGAAGAAGGAGTGGTGTGTGAAGAGTCATGACACGACGAGGCTTTATGGAAGCGGAGTGTCACGACCTGTTGAAAGTGGTGGCGTATCATGCCCCCCTTCCCCCCCTCCCGGCCGCGGAAGGTTATAGTCCCCGATTGGCCGAATGGCACAGTCATCGGATTGAGGCCCATTTTCGTGTATTTTGACACACTGAGTTACTCAATTTGATTACCGTTCTTGGTATAAGTACATTGCTTCCTTATTACAATCCCAAGCCTCCCTCAGTTTACGCCAGAACCATCCGTGCCGGCCGCAGACACGAAAATGAATACAAACCCGCCGCTCCCCCTTGTTCAGTCCTCATTTTCTCCCCCCTCGCTCCTTCGGCTCATGCTCCTTTGATTACACTCATAATGCGACGCACTGAAACCCATCCCCCGGCCATCTCCCCTGAACCCCGAATTTCACCGCAGCTTCCCCGCCAGGAACCCGTCCCCCTTGCCTGCGACCTCCTGCCTAGGGAGCACGTCGACGGTCCTGCTCAGCAGCTTCCTCAACTGGGGCGTGATCATCTTGTCCGCGGGCGGCGGGGCGGCGGCGGCGGCGGCCTGGGCCCCCCCCCTCCTCTGCTGCTGTTGCTGCCGGGGGGAGGCGGGCGACGACGGGGGAGCAGCGCTGCTGGTGTCGGCGGCGGTCTCGCCCCCCTGCGCGGCCCGGGGAGCCGGGAAGGTGCCTTTCTTGTCGATGGTGTCGACGAGGCGCTGGAAGCGGCGGAAGAGGGCCTCGGCGCGCACGAGGGTGGAGTCGAGGTCGATTGTGGTGGATAGCTCGTTGACTTTTTTTTTTTTGGTTCGGGGCGTTAGTGCTGGGAAGAGGGAGGGCGGGAGGAGAACTGGGTTGGTTGCCAACTCACTGTACTTGAGGACCTCGTCAAAGTGCTTGAGGTGCATCATGATCACCTCCCGGTGCTTCTCCAAGATGGCCAGGGCGATGAAGAGATGGAAGCTGCTGGTCAGGTAGTCTGTCCAGAGCACCTCCCACAGGTGCAGGACGTCCATCCACTGGAACTCGCGCTTGTACCACACGAGAAGCATGCGGAAGAAGAAGAAGAAATTGGTGCTCTCGGCGGCCTGTAGGTGAGAATAGAGCTTGGGATCCATGAATTGCACGAGCTGGTCGAGAGTTAGCAGCTGCATGCGCATCCCAGACTGGTCACGCAGAAAGTTGCGCTCCATCCGGTCCATGAAGTGCTTAAAGCCCCAGAAGGCCATGGCGTCGTCCTGCAAAACCGCGTAGATGGGTGCCATGAGGTCGGACATGCCCTGGACGTAGCCCAGGTCCTTGTTGTACTCATTGTACGTGAGGAGCATGTCCTTCAGCTGCTCCAGGTGGACGTTTGTCCCAACGCTGGCGAAGGGGGAATCCGGATCCGGGTGGGGGATATCCTCGCCAGCGAATATGGGGACGTTGCGGTCCGTCCTGTGCACATCCTTCTCTACAAGCCTTCACATTAGCAGGAAGAATATTGGACAGGGAGTTGGCGGAGGGGTTTCCATACCGATGCGCGCTCTCTGTTCCCTCCACCATTCGCCCTCTTCTCCTTCCCCTCCCTTATCGATCTGCCGTTCCCACCAGGACCCCTTAAGCTTGATGTATTCGTCTCTCAATGAAGCTGCCTGGGCTTTCCTCTCATCCTCGGTGCTGTCCCAGTCATAGACGCCCAGCAGGAATAACCAAGCCTGCTTGCGGACACCGTCATCTTGATCTAATCCACCATGGAAAATCCTCTCCTTTACCTCGTCTACCGTAACGGATAACCGCCCGGTTCTCGGGTCGAAGAAGGTCTTCCACTCCTTCAACGTTACCGGTTTCCTCAGATCTTGTAGTGATAGACCGGTGCTGCCTTCGAGCAACTCGAATTCCCCAACATCGGTGTCTTCCAGTTCCATGACATCCCGAGCGGTCCATACTCTCTGATTCCGGTCCCGCTCGCCCTGTTCGGCGATACCCATCGCCCACCTCGCCAGGTAGATCCTAGCACTGTCGAATTCCTCCTGCAGGGTCTGCACCTCGGGATTCCTGAGCAGTTTCCTGACCTGCGGTGGCACCCGCGGGTTGTCGAGCACGTCCTGGGCGGCCTGTCTGGTGAAGGTGGTCACCTTGCTGAACTTCTCCATGATGTTCCACCCCGTCTCCTTGACAAACTTCATGAACGGGTCCATGCCGGCCTCCCTCTGGCCCGAGCCGCGGCCTGCCCCCCCGGAACCCCCGGCACCAGTGCCCAATCCGCCGCCGTCCCTCAGCGCGGCCAAGCTCGTCGTCGGCTGCCCGCCAAAGGCGTCGCTGTCCTCGGCGGTCGGCTCGACGAGGTAGACGTTGGGCTCGGCGCCGCTCCTCTCGACGCGGACGTAGCGCCTCAGCCAGCGGAGGACCTCGTCGCCGCCCCAGAACATCTCGCCGGCCTCGCCAAAGGGGTCGAAGGACTCGCGGGCGCGGCGCTTCTTCTGCAGGATGGTGCTCTGGCACTCGCCGTCGTGGAAGAAGAGGGCCGGGAAGCTGTCGCCGGCGCGGCTGTTGATGATGACACTGCCGAACCACCAGCCCATGCTCGGCGGCCGCACCAGCAGGCTGTAGATGGCCGACACGGGCACGGCGAAGGCGTAGTGGCCCACCGAGTCGCGGTGCGTCGTCACGGTCGGCGGGGGCGGCACCAGGTACGACTGCTTGGGCGGCGAGTCGCCGTCGCAGAGGTCCACCTTGACGTAGATGCTCGCGGCGTCGCCGAGGGAGGACTCGGGGAGCCAGGCCAGGAGAAGGTCGGACGAGGCCGGGGACCTGGAGTCGACGGACGAAGATGAGGTCGGCCGGCCATTGCGAGGGGCCTTCTGCTGGAGGAGGGCAATGTAGCCGGGTATGTTGTCCTTTGCCGAGGGCGTGGGATGGATGTAGACCTAACGAAGACGGCGACAGTGGGTTAGCATTATGTCTTCTCGGGGCCGATTTCAGAGGGCGTCACCAAGCACGAGGACACACACCTTGCTCTTCGAATACAGGAGCTTCACGCCGCGGCCAGTTTCCAAATGGGTAATCGTGTTGTACTCGCCCTCGTCGTCGTCGCTCATTGCATAGAAGCTGCCCGAGGGTGAGGCCGGTCGTGCTGGAACACCACTGCCTGACGACGCGGGATCCGACGTCATCGCGGTTCTCTTGGTCATGGCGGGCTTCCGGTTGGAGCCTGGCCCGGCCTTTGAATGGTTTCCAAGAGAAGTCGGAAACGGTCTATTGAGAGACCAGGTTGTCCGTCTGTGACTACCAAATGGTCCAGTTCATATGAATATCTTGCAGAGAGAGTGAAGAATGCCGAGTATCAGGGTAATATGGGGCATGTGAACAGCAGCTGGTCTGATGAGGGAAACAAGGTGGGGTGTTAGTGGTTGGAGGGGTACGCAGCTTTAACTTGGGTAGTCCTCGGTAGTTCTACTTGGTTCAGCCGCTAAAATTGACCACTTAGGACAGTGGTTTTAGGTACTTCTACCCAGCGCAGAAGGGCTGGAGCGTTTAAGTTTGCCAGCCATACGTGGACTGGAGGCAAGCCGTCGTCATGCCCCTACGTAAGCTGCGCAACTATCAAACAGTTCCATGCATGGGCCTGAGGGAACTGGCAAAGTATAGTTTCTGGCTTTACATGAAATCCCAGGTCCTGATTCCATAGCTTGATGATGCCTTTGATTCCTACCCAAGCGGGTTCTACCTCCTAGCGATCGACGCATTTCAACCAGACCCCTCCCGTGTGAAAGGTGAAAGGTGAAGGGCGGAAACGTGTCTCCCAGTCCGAGTCGCAGCGCTCAGCCAACTCCAAACCACCAGCTGCTCCCCTTATAACCCCCTATCAGCTCCAGGCACAGGGTCCTACCGGCGCTGGTTGTGATCCCTCGGGGCCGATAAAAGCAGGCCAAGCGTTATAGGGATATGTTGACCTGTACAGGGGTCGCTATTAGAATCCCCATCGTTGCCCACCGGAACCCCAGATCAGCCGCTAGACCTCGGCTCGACGCAGCATCGTAGCCTCTCTTGCCTGTCAAGTCGCGTACATACCAATCCGCCCAAGACTGCCTCATCTCTTCCTCGGCCCGCTGGGCAAGCCACCTCTCCGGGGCCCGCCCGGCAGGCCCCCTGCCCTACTGCCGCCGCCGCCGCCACCACTGTAGTCAGACTCGTTGGTCGCCCATGGCGCATTAGCAGCCACGAACGGACGATCACTACCACCTCCCCCGCCTCCTCCCCTGCTGCCATAGCCCGCTGAGGCGTCGTACATACCCCCCGGCGCGAACCGGTCCTCGTAGTTATCCCCCGACCCGCCTCCCGACCCATAGCCACCTCCCGCGCCGCCTCCACTGCCGCCGCCATACCTGCTCTGCTGCTGTTGCTGCTGCTGCGGCGGCTGGTACGCGCTCCCAGTCGACGACCCCGGACTCGTCGTCCTCGAGCCGCCCCCCCACAACCTCTGCTTGAGCCTATCCTGCGCGCTCCCGCCGCCCGCCGCCGAGCCGCCCCCACTCCCGCCGCCGCTGTAGAGGCCCGCCTGCTGATAGCTCCCCGCCCTCTGGCTGGGCAGCGGTCTGGCCTGTACGTCCTCGCGGGCCTGGTCGCTGCCGCCGCTCCTGCTGAACGGGTTCCTCGCCCCGGCGGGCGACGACGTCTCGGCGGCGCGCATCGGAGGCGGGGCGCCGCGCCCCTGGCGCAGCGACTGCGGGTCCTGGCGACCGCCGCCGACGGGGTTGTTGTCCCACAGGCTGCTCAGCCCCGCGGCGCCGCCGGGCCCGCCGCCGGGCTGCTGGTTGGCCACGAGTCCACCGTAGCGGCTGCCGACCTGGGTGGTCGTCTGGGTGTAGACGGGGGCGGGAGGGGGCGGGGCCTTGGGGTCGGGGGGCAGCCAGGCAGGGAAGGGGCGGCCCTTCTCGGTGTAGTAGTTGCGCAGCACGCGGCAGACGTGGGTGTCGTCTTCGGTGTCGCCGTCGGACTCGCCTGCGAGGAGGGTGCGTTGGAGGTGGGTGATGCGGGTGGTTGTGGTTGTGAGGAGCTGCGAGTACCAGGACGTCATGGTTCGGGTGGGGGGATTTTGGGTGGTCCGGATTCGATGATGGTGAGGGAATGGAAGTCGAGGTGTTGGAAGTTGGCGAAGGCAATGCCCTGTCGTGGGAGCAAGATTATGGTGGGTTTCTCCAATTACAGATGTAGGTAATTAGGGGAGTGGGATTCGCAACGGCGGCTAGAGTACTCGAGGATTAATATAGGTTGCGAAATCGAACTTGAATGCAGGTGGAAAGGAAAGTTTGACCAAAACAAGCTTTCAAAAGGCTGTGTTTCAAGGCCCATCACCACGAGGGACCCGACGCAACGAGCCCCACCTGTAAACTGGCACAAAGAGTGAGACAACTGCAAGTCTCGTCCAATCATTTTACTCAGTAAACTAGGTACGCTCACAGAACAATGGCAAAAAGTACCCAAGATAAACAAAGAGATGACCCCTTTCTATGGGGGAATTGTTCGAGATAGCTAAAGGTATCCGATGATCTAATTGTGCCCACACACCGAGTAAAGCAACCTATGATGCTGTGCGCCCTGACAAAAACGCCCGAGTACCACCAACTAAGTCCCCTGTATCTGCAAGGTGTGCTCTAGAAAGCAAGCAACTTCTGTCTCGAGTTCTCCTCCTCGATCTCGAGTTCCTTCTTCTTGCGAGGCTTCATGCGGACCACCCGTCCTCTCTTCCGCTTGTCGCCCGTCTTGGACTTCTTTTTGTTCGCCCCCTCATCGCTGTCTTCATCATCATCGTCGTCGTCGTCGTCGTCGTCGTCGTCATCCTCATCATCCTCCTCGCTTCCCAGCCAGTCCTCAATGTCCGCGAGCTCCTCGTCGCTTTCATCAAAGTCGCTGATGTACTCCACCGCACCGTCCTCCTCCTCCTCAAGCTCATCCTCCAGCTCATCCTCGTCCTCATCCTCGTCCACAATGCCCTTATCCATGTCCTTGTCGCGGACGCCCTCGCCTTCCCGCTCCAGCGCGTTGAGAACCTTCTTCCAGACGGCCTCGCTGACGTTGAGTGGCTGGTCGCCGTAGGCGCCCTGCCTGAGGCGCTCGATGAGCTCCCGCTCGATGGTCCTCTCCAGCTTGGCCGCCGCCTCGGCCTTGCGCTCCCTCGTCTCCTCGCGGCGCTTGATCTTGGGCGCCATCTTCGGCACCAACCTCTCGCCTAACCTCGCCTCCTCCGCCGCTATCCTGCGCGTGCGGATCGCGACCTGCGTGAGCCTCGTGAGACGTTGTTTACCTGATGATCAACGTGTTAGAGCAATTCCTGCTTGGCTATCTCCGATTAGGAGTGGGGAGGGAGGCTAACATTTATGAGTTAAGAACTTGGGCCAGTAGATGAGGCGTTCGTCGATTTGGGCGAGGGCCTTTTGGTAATTGTTCGATAGCTTGATCTTCTCCCATAACTTCGACGGCATATGTGCTCGCTCAATGGTCTTCATATAGAGATAAAGAGTGCCCCTGGAATCAGAAGCAAGTCAGCCACTTACTCGGGGACAGAAACGTCAACCTGTCGTAGAAGCAGGACGTAAGACTTACTTTGTCGGATGAGCCCGCACCGTCGCGTACCTGCTGTTCGCAAGTGGGCATGACTGCCGGTTGCAGTATCCTGTGACATTGTACTCGTTTCTGCAAAAGTTTTGGGCTTTCGTAGTCCTGTGAAGCAAACGGTTAGGTCCAAGTCGCCCGTCGAATCAAGTTCCCAGACGTCAAGCTTACTTCAATTTGAAGGCGCAGAACTGCTGGTTTATGATCTGCCACACAATTTCGTCGGAAGCCATCGTTGCGGTTGCTGTTGCTCCTCGAAGGGAGGCTGGGCTTAACTTTCTTGGTGTACTGCTCGAGGGGCCTGAGTTCGCCGTTCAAAAATTTCTGCGGAGACTGCATAAAAATTGGCAAGACCCTGACCGCCTTTCAACAAGCTCCATATTGCAATCATATGAGTGGAGGAAGGAGCTTTTAGTGCGTGGTCTGTGCGTATTTTTCACCTCGGTGTACGAATATCCAACTCTAATTAGTTGCTCTATTTGCATCTCCTTTTCATATGCAACATTCACGAACCGTCCGAAGTCCACGGTGTTCAGAGAGTCAATGTTCCGTCATGTCTTGAGACAGAAGGCTTTCTCCCTGGCAGGATGGCGAACACTTGATCGATGTGCGAGGCCTGGAGCCTATGGTCTTATTAGGTGCCATGCCTCCTTAAGGCCGTCGGTCTGCAGGACACATGTCCCGTACCCATCACAACCGGCAACCTACGGCTGGCGAAGTATTACCAGCCTGTCATCCGATAGTGACACCATATATGCCCTCTCATCTGCTCAGGGAAGGGCTGGCATAGCCGTCATTAGAATATCAGGTCCTGCGTGTAGTGATGTCAGTCTGCCCCTTTATGCCTAGCAACATCGGCTCACACTTTTATAGGTATACAAGGGCCTGTGTCCCTCGAAGTCCTTCCCCAAAGCGAGGCATGCGGTAGTCAGGACTTTGTTTGAGCCCGGTGTGCCAGGAGAGCCAAACATCCTAGATTCGAGCGCCCTGGTTCTCTCTTTTCCTGCCCCTCGCACAGTCACCGGAGAGGAAATCCTCGAGCTTCATGTTCACGGCGGCCCAGCAACGGTGAAAGCCGTCCTTTCTGCCATCCAAAAGTGTTCCGCCGGCACTGCCATCCGCTATGCGGAACCGGGAGAATTCACCAAGCGGGCCTTCATGAACGACCGTCTAGACTTGGCCCAGGTCGAATCTCTCAGCGACACCCTTGCAGCGGAGACGGAAGGGCAGCGACGGGCCGCCGTCCGCGGCAGCTCCGGCACTCTGGGGAGGAACTACGAGGCCTGGCGAGAGCAGCTCCTGCTTGCTCGCGGGGAGATCGAGGCGCTGATCGACTTCTCCGAGGACCAGCACTTCGACGAGTCGCCCTCGGAGCTCCTCAGCAACGTCAAGAGGCTGGTGGAAGACATGCTCCACTCGATCCACCTGCACGAGATGGGCAGCCAGCGCAGCGAGCTCCTCCGGAACGGCATCCGCATCGCCCTCCTGGGCCCGCCCAACGTCGGCAAGAGCTCCCTGATGAACCTGATCGTCGGGCGCGAGGCGTCCATCGTCTCGCACGAGGCCGGCACCACGCGCGACATCGTCGAGGCGAGCCTCGACATCAGGGGCTACCTGTGCTCGTTCGCTGACACGGCCGGGTTCCGCACGAGGGAGGCACAGTCGCCGCCCGGCCCGGGCGGAAGAGAGAGTATCGGCGCCGTCGAGGAGGAAGGGATCCGGCGGGCCAAGCAGAAGGCGCTGGACTCGGATATCATTATCGCTCTGGCGTCGGTCGAGACCGCTAAGGACGGTCGATGCCGCATCAACTACGACGCTGAGACGCTGCGACTCGCGTCCGAGGCACAGCAGTGTCTGATCGTAGTCAACAAGCGAGATGCTGCCGCGGACGAGGAGGGGTTCAGACTCCTCGCCAAGGATTTCAAGTCGACGGCACTCGCATCCGTCCCGGGTCTCGAGGCGGCCGAGCCGCTCGCCATCTCCTGCAGGGAGGCCGACGAGGCATCGGCCGCAGTGAGGCTCAAGGATCCCGGCGGCATCCACTCGCTGATCTCTCGCCTGGCCGACTCGTTCGCCAGCATGACGGCGCTGCCCGGCGACATGCAGGACCTGCTCGGCGTGACGGAGCGGCAGAGGCAGCTCCTCGTCGAGTGCCGCCTGCACCTCGACGAGTTCATGGCCGAGGCGACCATCTCGGCCGACGGCGCGGGGGAGGAGCCCGATATCGTCCTGGCTGCCGAGCATCTGCGCCTTGCGGCAAATTGCCTCGCTAGGATCACCGGGCGAGGGGGGTCGGGGGATGTTGAGGAAGTGCTGGGGGTCATATTTGAGAAGTATTTTCACTCTCTTCTGCGTCAGGCAAACTCCAAGCTAACCATGCGATCAGGTTCTGTGTTGGGAAGTAAATTACATTGATCCCATGTCTATTCTATTCTCTATGGAATTGATGCTCTCCCGTCTACCCAGATCCAATCTATCCATCTATATGCGTCTATCCTCGTGAGAGTTATAGCAATCTTGTAAAGGAAGGAAAGGAGGACGACAAAAACTAGAGATTGCCCCCTCCGTCTATATGTCCCAAACCGTGACGAACACCCCAACCATAATACAACAACAATCGCTTGGGCCATATCCTCTGGCGGCCGAAGCCGAGAAACGGACTGGCGGATTATTGACAAAACACACTGGCGAGAAAGCCCTCCCCGGGGTGTAGCAGCGGCTCGGAGTTGCGCAATAACTGGGGAGAGGTATTGACGCCAGAAGAAGCGAGAACCGAGAAGCGCGGGATCTTAGTTCTGGTCGGCCTGGTCGTCCTCTCCATCGTCACCTTTGTCGCCCCTATTTTCTAGTCAGTTAGAGGCCTTAAGCACTTCCAGGTGGGTGTCTCACTTGTTGTAGCCAGACCGGCCGTAGTTGACGAACTTGCTGTCCTCCTCGTCATCTCCATTGCCGTCTCTGGTGTATTGTGGTTAGCATGGCGGACATGTTTCCAGCGCATAGTGGGACAGGAGAGGGCATACTTGTTGTAGCCGGAACGGCCTTGCTCAACTGGGAAGCGGGCAGTGAAAGAAGTCATGGCAGCCATTGCGGTCGGTGTTTGGTGGATGAGGGTGGAAAGCTAAATAGGCGATGATGTCTTGCTTGGAGAGACTGAAGATGCTGTTGAGAGGCTGAGAGCTGTGTGAGGCTATTGTTGGCTTGTCTGGTTAGATTGCTGGATTGATGGTGTTGAGCATCCAGGGCGAGGTTTATATAGAAGGATCAATAGGCTATCCCAGACGGCCATGACGGACCTTGCCGTATCGATGCCGCGATATGTTTTGTCATCGCCCCTCGGGATGATAAACTTCCTCTTAGACATGGCGGCACGCCTCCTTACAGGCCCCCAAGCGATGCAGGTTGGACATGACATAAGGAACCGTCTGTGGCAATAGCTTCAGCCTCGTCACAAGATGTAAGTACCCCCGGATGGCGTGGGAAGCACGGAATGGTGGTGGCCTGGCAGGTTGCATCCGTCCCAGGCACCGGCATGCACGATGAAATTCCCTGTGTGTTGCTGGAAGGACCCCTGGTTGCTGATGACATGTATGCACATACATACGCGTTCCCCCAACTCACGAGAACAGCCCTGCCACCTGAGGTTGTGGGCTGCCCATTTGGCCGAGGTGATGATCAATGGGTCCGGTCTAGTGGGATTCCGGGGGCGAAGGGCCCGGATGCTGATTATCTGGAATTCACGGCCACTCATAGGGCTGCATGGCTGCATTAGGCGACGTCACTCTCGCTTCTTGCTGACTACTTCCCACAGCATGTCAACCATATCAGAAGAAGCAGGTCAACAAATCTGACCAAAGACACGGGGCCCTGCCCTGTTTTATCTCACCTTCCTACCCGGCGAGAAGAGTCACCGGCTCCATGGCACAGGCGCAGCCACAGGTCTCTAACTGGTTCAAAGTCCCTTGCCATGACTCTCTCAACACCAATGCCGTGAAGAGTACCATCCCGGCGTCTCCCGGCAACAACGACAGGTCAGATCTCACGTACGCGGCATGGTCGACTCGAGGCTAGTACCGCGTCTTCGGGAGGCGACAGCTCAACCGTCCCATCCCTCTTGCATGGCGCCGGCAGTGTCGGTGTCACAATCTGTACTACCATCCATTACCTACCCTACACCGTTATTTACGGGCGGCATATGCCGGGCCAGCCAGTAGGGAATAGGCCACGTTCCCTGGACGCTGGTTTGACTGTTAGTCATTGATTGCTGTTTCCATGTATTTCTATGGCCATCTCAGTCTCCAACATTTCATACTGGCTTGCCATACACAATCCGTAGCAAATAATCACATCTATAGGTATCTACCGAGGTATGTACTGTATTGTATTGTATTGTATTGTACTGTACATACCCTGACCATGAGGAACTCCCGCGGGCCGCCCCATTGTTTCAGGGCGGTACCAGCCTACCGGCTCTCACCATTCCATCCTACCTGCCTATTTATAGCAGTAAGAGCCAGACCAGCCACAACCCCTAGCCACTGCCACGAAGTACGAGGGTACCTACCTTGATAGCTGTAGATTGGGGATGACACTTGCTTCCTCAACTGGCAACTAATCCCGAGTCCGCATTCCAAGGCAAAGGCTGTGCTGCCTAACGGCCATCAAGGCCACAATGGCCATGTCGCGTCTGTAAGCTTAATAATATAGTCGTCTCGTATCTGTATGGCCTTATGGGGGAGCAGAGGCTAAGCAAAAGAACAAACTAGACCTCTCTCACCTTCCGAACCTCCGGACACTCGTTCCCCGCCCCGCCTCCCCTTCCTCGCTCCGTGTCCCGCCGCCCGCCGATTGGCAACGTGAACCCTCCGACCTACCTCCGCCCCCACTCCCCGCGGCGGAGGCTGTGCTAGTCGGGTTTTGCATCCCCGGCCTTAGTAAGAGGTGCCTCCCCATCGCTTCTTTTTCTGAAGCTCCGCCTCAGACTATTCACGCCTCTGGTGATGCTTACCAAATGCAAATGGTCAATGTCAATACGAGCTCGAGTGGTTCGGTTTGACTGTTGACTCCCGAGCCTGTTTTCCACCCCGGGGGGCAGCCGCTAAACACCATCTTGCGTGCCGATAGACCGGTCGCTGGCCAGTCGGCGGATCGGACGCAGGTGCCCGCTTTCGTATACGTTTCCGCCGCTTAATGCAAGCCACGCCGTTTTCCTTTGAATGGCGGAATGCCGTGGCTTCCAGCACTGCCCTCGACCTGGATTTCGTGTCATCAAGGAGTGGTTAGAGATGCGGTCGCTTATTGCCAATACTTGAATGCCGAAGGGATAGTAATCACGGAAATGATCTCAAACCAAGGCGAAGATCATGAGGTTCTTTCGTCCGAGGCTTCATCAGCAAAACGGCATTCTTTAGCCTCACTACTATCATAGACCATCCATCTTATTCATCAAGTCTCATGACTTGGTCATATGAATTGGCCACCATATCGAGACCGATGACTCGCCCCTGAACAGTGTCTAGAGCAGCCATGTCCCTAGTAAAGTTGGCAGGCTCTAAAAGAGCGATGTACTAATTCTACATCGCAAGGAACTAGGTGCAGATGGCTTGTTTGCTAGGGTAGGAACCTGATCAGTTGAAGACCATCGACCTAGTTGACTAGGCCAGACTCCTGGGATCATGACCCAGCTCACTAATCATGGTACTCTACCTCTTGTAGGAATTCAGAGAGTATGTGTCTGGGTCCTCGCCTCGTGGCATCACTACTGGCAGGCGGCCCCGTTTCGAGAGAATGTCATTCGCCGTCCAGGCCATCCGAGTGATACTCGAACGATCGAGGTAACGGCGCATCACCTCCCATCTCGTCCTCATCCGCAAGCACACCCGCCTTGGCCGCAACAGCCTCCACCGGGAGCGGCATCCTCCTCAGCAGCGCAGTCATCAACTCCGCCCACTCCCACGGCCTCTCCCTCCCGCCAGGCAAGCCATTGAAGTACTCCCAGCCCATGACCCCCCCGAACCCCGGATACCTGTCCGCCAGCGCGGGAATGACCGAGGCCAGGACATCCCACGGCACGTAGCCAGAGCCGTTCTCCGGGTTAGTCACGACCCCAACGACGACCTTGCGCGCAGGCCATCCCATAGCCATCAGCGCCCCGTACATGAGCGTATTACTGCAATCGCCCCACCCGCAATAGAACTGCGCATTATACCAGGCAATCTCCCGCCCGCGCAGCGCCTCCAGCGCCCCATACGCGAAACCGCTGAGGTTCCTCGCGGGCGTGACCAGCGCCGCCGCCACGGGCGCCAGGGTGATGATGAAGGCGGGACCAAAGTCCGCCCGCAGGCGGTCGATCAGGCGCACGATGCCGCCCAGCGACATGGGCTCCTCGACGTCGAGGTCGAGGCCGTCGAGGCGGCGCGCCCGCACCAGGTCGCGCACGGGCGCGTAGTAGGCCTCGAAGACGGCCCGGTCGCCGTCCAGGCGAGCGTACGTCCCCGGCGCGGCGCCGCCCAGCATGCCCAGGACCTTGACGCCCGAGGCCTGGAGGACGCGCAGCTCGGCCCAGAGGGTGGTGAAGCGCGGGTGCGAGGGCGGGTGGTCGTTGAGCGTCAGGGCCGCCGGGTCTTGGTTGATGTGGATGGCTGCGAGGATCAGGTGGGTCAGGCCGATCCCCGGCTCGGTGAGCAGGGGGAGGACGCTGATGGGCTTGCCCGAAGGGTCATGGTGGGTTTGGTAATACGTGATGATGCGGGGCGTTGGTGGGAGGGGCGGCATGGCGGACGGAGGGTGAGCCGGGGCCGCGTGAACTGCCCAAATGAGTGACAGGTGATTAGAGCGAGAGACTTGGTTTTGCAGAATTCAATTCCATTCCTGGGGAGGTTGCAGTTCAACTTGTGAGGAGTGGTGGAAGTTCGCTTGAAAGCACTAATTGCGGGACAGGTGGCTGATGCGGGATAGTGCTGGTGCCAGCTGGCCTTCATTGCAGTCTGGTAACCCCTGAGGCCATATACTCGGTAGACTCCACGATCTTGAACCAATGCCGATGCCCACAATCAGCACACGGTTCTAAATTATCACCATGAGATCTAATCCTTAGGCAGAGTAAGTGCTCGCCTTGTTCTTGATGGGGAAAAGGAGGCTATAAAAGCCTTTAACACGCTGCATCTTTGGTCCTGGTGTCTCAACTCGCTGGGTGGAATAACATTGTCACTTCTGAGAATAGGAACAAACAACTGTTATACGTCCAGATAATAGGCTCGATAAGCGATTTGAGCAAGCAGGCTGTTAATAAAGATGTCTATTAAGGTGTCATTTTCCCCCACGAAGCAGAGCTGGCTAAAAGTATAATCTGTAGAACTATTTAGGATATTACAAGAAGATCAGGGTCATCGCAGACAACTCAACAGCCTATCCCATTCCAGCCGTACAAGACAAAAGGAATACCCAGAGAGAACAGAATCAAAGAAAGAGGAGGGAAATAAAAATCCAAGAAAAGCCCAAGAGGCCACATCCAACCCCTAGACAGTCATCCCATACACCCTCGACGGCGACGCAGTCTTCTTCTCCCTGACAGGGGTGCTGATCAGGAACCCATCCTTGTCATAGAGCCCCAAGCTATCCTGGCTCGGCGGGCGATCAAACCTCACCGGCGCCAGCTTCTCGAAGCTAAGCACCGAGTTCTCCCTCGTCGGAGTCCCCCTGTTATTCCCGTCACTCCCCTCCCTAAGCCCCCCCCCGGTCCACTGCTGCGACCTCCCCCCCTCATACCCGCGCACCAGCTGCTGCGTTCTCCTCCTGCCACTACTCCCCTCCCCTCCGGTCTCACCCCGCCCACCAACCCCCCTCCTCCCCTCCCCGGCACCGGCACTCCTCCCCACCTGCCCCTGCCCCTGTCCGGCCTTCCTCACCCGCGCATCCAGCGACAGATAATTCCACGTCCCAGTCCCGCGCCTCATCGACCCGGCCCCGACCCCGGCCCCGACCGCGCCACCCTTCAACATCGGGCCCCCGCCCTCCCCGACAACAGACCCCCGAATTCCCGCGCCGCCGCCGGCGGTCGTGGTGGTGCTATAGACCGAACCCGTCCGCGCGCTATACCCGCTGGCCGTGCTGTTCATGCGCCGCAGCTGCGCGATCGTAGCCGCCAGCCCGAAGGGCCCGCTGTCGTAGCTGCTCGCGCTGCAGCTGCTGTCCCTGCTGCTGTCCCTGATGCTACTACTGCCGCCGCCGCGGCCGCCCTCGCCCTCGCCGACGGCGGTGGCGGCGGTGATGGTAGCGGTGGTTGTGCTGGTCGGGATCCCGCGCGCGCTGTCCACCGAGAGGGAGCGCTGCATGCGGGTCTGCGTCCCAGGGAGAGCCGCGGCGCTGCGGCGCGAGCTGCTGCTGCCGCTGATGGAGCCGACGGAGCCGCGGTGTTGCAGCTGCAGCTGCTGCACCTTCTGCTGGAGGAGGAGGCTGGACCGGCGCCGTGCGGCTGCGGCGGCGGCCGCCAGGCTCGGGGTCGAAGCGTTATCGTTGTTGTTGCTGTTGTTGACCCCCTCTTTGCCGCCTGCTACGGCTTGCGAGCGGCGGCGGGTTGGCGAGTCGCCGGCGCCAACATTGCGGCGGGAGCTCGAGCGGCTGGGCAGGCGGGGCGGGCGAGAATCCCGGGTGGGGGATGTCGATAATGGCGATGGTGATGGTGATGATGCGGGACCCGCCACGGCAACGGTTGCGGACCGCGCCGCGAAGACGACTGGCATGTGTGGCAGGGGCGGGATGTCCTGCTTGTGGCCAAACAGGCTGTTGTTGCGCCCGAGGGTCGGCGAGCTGGCCTGCGGTCTCAGGATCCGCGACGGCGACACGAGCCTGTTGTTCGGCGAGCCCTCCTCGATGTGGCTGCTGAGGAAGGTCAGGTCGGAGATGGCCGGCGACAGCATGCTCGCGGCGCTGGGGCTGGTGACGATGAATGAGGGCCGCTCCGTCGACGGGATCGAGCGGTGGACGACCGTCACGGGCTTGGGGAGCATGATCACGGACTCTCGGTGCTGCTGGCGACCTTGCCTCACTGGCGTGTTCGATAGGTACGGGTGCGAGGCCCTCGCGCTGGCGACCGAGTTGGAAGTCGTGGAGTCTACTAGTCGGAGAGTATGCATGGGAGAGGTGGACGACCTTGTGGTTTTCCCCCCCATCGACGATCCCGGATCTTGGTAAGAAAGCTTGTCGACTCCTTGCAGTAGAGGTTGAGAGCCGCGATGGCCTGTATTTGGCCTCGCTGAAGATGGTGAAAAGAAGGGGTCGCCGATCGAGCCTGGGTTGGGCATTGTAGCCCCCCTTCCGCCCGCAAGAACATCACGGTTCAAGGTCGACGTATCTCTCGCCGCCTCTTGGCCCTCGTCCTCGCTGTACAGCGTCGACAAGGCCGATGAGACGGAGCTACAGGGGGATTGGGCCTGGGGTCTTTGCCTCTCGAGCTCACGCGCGCTCGTAACTTTGTTCGGACTCGTCAAACCATTAGGAGGGCCGGGGGTAGGGCTCGGCTGAACGAAGACAAGGCTGTCCGTCTCCGAGGTGACTGACGATTCCGAGAGCTTCCGCTGGTGCGCGGCCGATACGGATCGGCTGGGTCCTGACTTGGTAGGGCTTGGCGTTCGTGAGTTGGAACGTGACTGGCACAAGGTTGACCCGTCTGTAGCAGCCTCACTCCTTGCAATGAGGGTCTCTCTGCTGGTTCCGGCTGTCTTGGAAATCCCTGCCAGCGCGCGTGTCTGTAGTCTCTTATCTGTAGACTTTAGGATCTCGGTGAGAGTCGAACCAGTCGAATCCTGTCGTGTCCGGGCTTTCTGCGGACTTAATATCCGGGGCCCAGCTGGGGTGGCGTTGGGTCTCTGTCCCCGGGCGTCCTCTGGTGCATAGTACGACCTCGTTGGGCCTTGATCAACTGGCTGCCGGCTACCTGCAGTAACCACCGGCCCCGGGGGCTCTGGCAGTCTCCTGGGCGGCATTTGCTGGACGAGCCCCGGTCCCATGGCCAAGTCCTCCCGCTGCTGGAGTTCCTTCTCATGTGGCTGATTTGAGCCATTCAATTTCGGCAGTGTTGGTACCCTATTCTTCAATGGCCATGAGTCACGGAGGGACCGTCGCTTCGGCTCCGTCTGCTGAGCCACCCTCGGGCCGTGGAGCACATCCTCGTCTATCCAAGACGCCTTTCTCGTCCGCGAACCGCTTTTGCGTCCAGGTTGCGGGTTTCCGTAAAATATCAGGCTGGGCTGGCGGAAGGCCGGGGGAACGGCTGGCAGTGACATGGGGCGGAAAGGCGAGACCTCTCTCGTCGTGAAACTTGGTGGCCAGCTCTTTTTGTATAGCTTCCGGCGATGGACGCGCGTGCCCGTCGTGCTCGTATCCGTATCATCCTCCAAATCGAAGTCTTGCCCCTGCCGAGCAGCGCGCCGGCGAGAAAGCCAGATGCAGAAGTATGCGAGACCGGCGAACATGACTGCCGAGCCCACAAGAACGATGGCGACAATCGCCCCTGTTGAGAGCGGTCGACCATTTCCTTGATTCCCCGTACGAGACGAGTCCCTATCCGCCATATTGTCCTGGTCGGCCATGCTGGTTAGAGTTTCCACCTCGGTGATGGTTCGATCTGGTCGTCCATAACCTATTCCGGTCTAAGACGCGAGAAGGATGTGTGGGAGAGAACATCGGAGGGTAAACATAACAACAGCGAAATCCCCGGGGGGGGAGGGGCGGGAGCGAAGGAATGAGAATGAGCCGGACTTGAGGAATGAGGAATGGCGCAACTCCATGTCAAGTTGTGGTGGATGATGCGGCCTGGAATGTATCCCTGCGCACAACTATTCGCAAATCCCATTCCTCGGTGAGACAGGCTGCGTTTACGCATGATCTCTCCGCCCAATTTGACTCAGACAATAGCAAGGGAATCGGCGGAGATAGGCCCCTCCCTGAGTGAAGAAAATAGATAACGGTCAAAGTCGGACTACACGGGCGGAATGGAGCTGACGATGGAGAAAAAGAGGTATCATTATCACGCAATGTGCCCGAACGGCGTCCAATTCATTGTACGGTGACTGGCCAGCACGGTATAACACCGTGTCATCTCCACGACGGGATGCAATCAATGCATCGCCAAAATACCTCGTCCGGCGGAGCAAATCTTGCGCGTGCAGTCCATCTTCCCTCCTAGAATGCCCCAGGGTTGGTGCTCCGATGCCATGCCACGCCCTCTTCCTCCACTAGGCAAACCAATGAAGCAATGCGTCGAACAATGCCCCTGTCCCTTAAATGACAAGTCCCCAGAATGCATGAAATGAAAAACGAAAATAGGAAAACAAAAGGCCGAAAAGGTGGCCACACCCACATGGCCAGAAATATCAGCCTCCTGGTCGAGTAGGGCAGAAGTACCTGTCATGGATGAGTTGGGCTAATGGTGGTGGGCCCGTCGGCCATTGTGGCCGGCCCGACGATGCACGTGTCCCACGTTTCGGACCTTATTCACAACGGCTGAACGCGTCACCGTCACGGTTGTCGTCGTATCTTCGTACTCAGTCACATACAGGACCGACTCCTTCCAGATGATCTCTGAGACCACGTCGCCATCAGTGATGTACTGCGTGCTGACAATCGGCAAGCCGTCGTCAACCGTGGAGGAAGGAGCCTCCGTGGGCTTAGGAGCGACCTGATTGACCTGATTGATGGCTGGGTGAGCCGAGATCTCTGGTGCACTGGAAGTGGCTGCCGGAGGCGGTGTCGGGCTGGCTTGGGTGATGAAGACCTGGCCCGGGAGATTCGACGGCTTTTCGCCATTCTCGCTACCAGGAGAGTAGCTGACAGTCGGAACGGGCACCGGGGCCGTTTGAGATGGTGGGTTTGTCATGGTCGCTGGCTGCGGACCGTACTGGATGGCGACGTTTCCAGGGATAACCGTGCCGACAACGCCAGCGACTTTCTCGCTGGCCAGCACACTTGGAATCTTCATGCTGCACTGGTTCTGGACGGCCTCGTTTTGGATGTTGAAAATGGGGCAGTCGTACATCGATCCAGAGGGATTTGTGCACGTGTCAACAGCCTGCTGCAGGAAAGCCTCGTCCCAGCCCATGAGGAAATCTCCGTGGTATCCAAAGCCTGCAGAGAATGAGTACACGTCAAGGAGAGAAGGCTAGGCAGTGATGGGAGTAGTTCTTACCGTTGGTATCGCCATTGGACAGGACGAACTCTCCGGGGACTTGGCGGAAAACATCGGTTTCCCAGATGGTCTCATAGAAGAGACCAGGCAGTCTGATGGGGAAGCCAGGAGGGCAGTTGCCCTCCATGACGAGGTCTGGATACGCGACATGGTCTCTATGGTTGGCCGAGTCAAGGTCCTTGCCATTCCAGCAGGAAGGGAACATCAACTCGATGCGGACGCCATTGCTGCAGAATTGATCCAGGTAGTCCTTGCTGGGGAGGTAATGCCGATACAGAGATCCCTCAGGGGCCTTGTCATAGTTGAGGCAGTTGAACCCAATTGCTCGCTGTGTAAGGTCGACCTGGGAAGTCTGTCCCAGCAAGGCCCACAGGGACTTCTCTGGGTCGGGAAGTTTGAAGTCGAGGCCGCCGATTGAGTAGTTTCGGCGGAGGCTGTCGCCAGCAATCATGCGGAATCCATTCGGGAAGGAGGTGATATTTCCAGCTTGACCAGGAGGGGAATTTAGGAAGTAGTACCTATCAAGGGGGTTAGCATCCTGTTGCGCCACATATATGATTTTTCTCTTCCTCATCATTCTGACCCATTTTCACACAGGCCGCAAAGGTGAAGCGTGATACAGCACCAGAACACACAAAACCTGTCACTGGTGGGGGGGAAATGTTTTGGAGGGAAGTACCAGGTGGTCAAAGGCTTGAGTTTGTGAATGATGTGAATGGGGGTGGGGACATCATAAACCATTGTAGCTAGCTCGAGGGAATACTCACCCAGCCCTCCAACTACCGAAGGGCTTTGGGGACAGAGGGGGGACAAACATGGGCAAGTCAATGACGAGGAAGCAGGAAAACTTACGCAAGCATCCCCCCAGTCTGGGGAACCAGCTCGTAGGAGCCATTGGCATGCTTGAAGTACATTGCCGGAGTCCAGTAAACAGACTTGTCCTGGGTAACTGCGCAGGAAGTGCAATCCGCAGACGTAACATCCTCATAGGTAGCTGATTCGGAGAATCCTGTAATAATGCCTGTCAGCTTCTGATGATCTCACAGGCCCGCCAGTCGACTCAGATCAATAGGGCACATGTTGCAAGACTTGTATACCAGGTAGAATCAGGGTTGAAAGGAGGGTGAAAATAACATACCAGATGATCCGTGAATAGCGTGAACATGCTGGGCAACTTCTCCGGGGGAAACCATGGGGTCGATGCGCGCCAGACCAAGGCGGCCTCTGCACTCCATGCGCCAAAAGGCGGAGGCCGGGGCAAGAAGCGATGCCGCAGTGAGAACCTGTGTGATCTTCATCGTCGCAGTGGGGTGGAAGGAACGACTATGGTAGGACTTGATAGTGGGGGGGAAAAGATAAGCAGCACCAGGAGTGCTTGGGATGTGGTTTTTTGTGATTCAAGAGGGTGCGGAAATATCAAGCGAAGAAACGCGAGATTTTTGGAATGGCGGCGATATTCGAAGTTTGGATTTTGTGCAGAGGTAGGAAGTCGGGTTGAGGTTGTGGCCTGTGGTGGTTTGCCAGAAAGTCTTTAACTGCCAGCAGCCGGGATTGGTCGATATCGATATCTGTAAACAGGTGACCTATCGAGAGGTCGAAGGAGGGAAGTTGTGAGGGACCCAACACAGTCGACGTGTTCAAGGTTCTGTCAGATGACAGTCAAGTAGGTACTTGTTTCCTCAGTGACGCGCCTTCTCTGTCGTTCTCAGTTCACTTGACTCCACCTCTTTTGCTATCAGCAGACCCAATCAGATACCCCGTCAAGGAAGTAGCAGGTTGAGTTCCTGACGATAGTTTCCACACTCCAGATCCAGGTGCGGGATTCCTCGACTGAGCTGCTAGTCCAAGGAAGTCGAGGACGGTTTCCAGGTGAGGCAATCGTGGACGGTCCAGAGTACACTCTCAATGCGACGAGATGGTTGATAAGATCTCAGCCACCCCAACCACAACTAGGCACGCTGACTACCGCGATAATCGAGACCGGTTGCCACCTTCAAATATGCGATTTCCAATGCCCCGAGATATCCTCCGGGATCCAGTTTCCAAATAAGAGTTGAGATTCGTCTCTTGCCTCCCGGGCACCGATGATGAGTTTAACACTGTTGAGCCCAAAAACCAACCCTGATATCTTCCAGGTTCCCTCTTGGCTGTCTTGGAAACCACTCTCCAATTTGTTTGCCCTGGATGTCGGTCGGAAGTAGAGAGTTCTACTATCGGATGATCGAGGCCGGCTTTGTCGGTGGACGACTTCGGATGTTCAAAAAAGAAAATGAATGTGGAACCAACACTTAAGGAGAGACAAGAAGCTCGACGATGTCGAAGCTTGAATGCAAAGGAGTGTACTTGATCAAGGAAAAACGAATGGCCAACGGACCGAGAATCAAGAATGGGGAGCCGGCAAGAGGGGCTGGAAAGAGCGGAGGGTGGGAGGAGGCTCAAAAGAAGGGAAGGAGAGACATGCGCAGGAGATATGCATTTCAGGGAGTGGAGGGAAGCCACAGGAGGCCAACCAGGTCATTCGCCATTTTTGGGATTCCTGGGGGAGGCTTGTCGGCCTGTTTCTGCGGAGTACGCAGGTACAGATTAAGAACAGATTAAAGGCATGCCCGCCCAGGCCAGGGTCCAATCCTTGAATGCTGTGTGGGACGGACAGGGCTGCAGTGGCCAACCCTGGCTCCCTGGCTAATGAGCGGGCGTGGCGGCCATGGCGGGGACACTTGGTCATGGTGTCTGCAGGAACACGACTCAAACCCAGCTCTTGGGTTTATTGGGGCTTGGCAGAAGGAAAGAGCCGTTGCAGATCTAGATTTACAAATCGCAGTGTGCTGTATATATTATGCGGTAACATATCCGTAGTCTCGCGCTTAAAGATCAGCCACGCAAAGAGCGATTCCAATTTCGGGACTCCTTTTGTGGGTGGGAGATCGGCATCGTCATGCAAATCCCCATCCACGAGCAAGGGACAAACCCGGAATTCAATCCTTCCCATTGGATTCCACTCTCAATTCCTGTTTCGACACTTACAAGTCGTAGGTCCGTACAGAAAAGGTCCGCTGGTGCATCCCAAACCTTCGGGTTTTAACCGTGTGAAGCAAACATCTCAACCTTCCAATATCCGGTGATCCAATTTCTTTCCATGGCACGGATATTGTATGCCGCTGTGGTATATATTTATTGTTGCTGCAGAATAGAGGTGGCTGCGAGAATGTGAAAATACGGGGGCTGTGCTTCCTGATTGCTTGAGTGGGGTGCAGAACGATGCAAGGGGCTTGGCATGAGCCTCAAGTAAAAACTGCATGCTTGTTTTCCATTGGCTGTAGAACACACAACCAAGATTCAGGCATGGAGCCCCTGCCGCCCCCCCCATAATCCCTGAGGTCGGTAAGTGAAACAAATTGAACCCTTGATTTGTCCACTCTTGGCTCAAGACCGGATTTCCTGGCCAAACATGAATGTGAATTGCGCGAGACTGATGGAGCTGTGGATGAAAGGAAAAGGGCACACCGTACCAAGTACTTGTATGTATTATTATGAGTTCCAACTTTGATCGAATGCCGACGTGCGATGGGTGTTGGTTGGGCTGCTGGGCGGTCCCCTCTGCCCCCCTGTGTTGAATCGCGTTTCAGAAAATCCTGGTCAGCCAATCCCGTCATTGCCAAGTCCTCTACCTTTGCCCCTGGCTATTTTCAGGGACTTGGCACTGTCAAACGCACTTCTCAGCTGGGACTCATTGATGGACGAGGGTATCTAATGATTTATTGCGTATCGTCACAGCCGGAGGAATTAGCCAAACTTGAATGGGGAACTAGGCGGCACCTTAACAAGACGCCATTTTAAGACAGGAAAACTTTGCTTGTTCGGACCGAACGTCAGCAACCTCCAAGCTCCCTGGGTAGGTAGGTAGGTAGGTGCCTAACTAAGTAAGTATCTGCTCGACCAAACTTCTGAACGATCGTCAAAACTCCGCCCCAATGAATATCTCAAAAAAGGCACGGCATATTGGACTACTTCGTACCTGCCTTGATTATGTTCATCATTATGCTTATCGTCACCCAAACCAGGATATGGGTGGCTTAGTTTGGATGAGCCAAGTGAAGTCAGCAGAGGTCTGTGCGCCTCGATCATGCTGGCTCCACAATTAACACCAGCCACATCTTCAAGGAGCTGTTGATGTGGCACATGGGCCAAACATGACAGCCACCAGAACCTCAATTCCGGTGCAACGACACGATCGCAACGGCGCCCCGAGCTCCACGACATGAAATGATGATTTATGACTAGACTAAGTATATCTCGCAGTTACAAAACGACAGTATGGATGACCTCACGGGGCTCGATTGGTCATCCTCGAACGCCCAAAAACCGAATAAGCCACCTCTCATGAGCTCCTCGAACGCCTTCTATCCTTCGCTGCGCCCAACACCCTCCCCCCTCAACTCGGGTCGAAATACCCCATTGTCAACCCAAGGCTCTGGAAACGTCGCTATCAAGCCACCGGCCCAGAAACCGGCTCAAGACAGCTTCAGCAACCTGGTCAACTTTGGCAGTTCCAAGAGCAACGCGAACTTGAGCTTGCGGGAGCAACAAGAACGTCTGGAGGCCGAAAAGCGCAGAAAGGAAGAGGAGAAGCGGAAAGAAGCAAACGCGCATTACGGCGATGGGAGGTTTTGGGATACACTTGGCCAGCGGCAGACGGGCAGTCCGCAGCCGGCGTCTAACTCCATAACGCCCCCTGCAGCCCAGGATGGGAAATCCGCCGATCCCGACGATGATTTATTTGCTGCATTCAACGCGAACACGAAGGTGGACAACTCAAGCTATTATCCACCTCCGTCGGCGCCGAGAAAGGTCTCTCCTGCAGGCGGTACTCCTTCGCTGGATCTCAGTAATCCGCACGCATGGAATAAACCTGCCACGCCAAACAACGGGGGCTTTGGCGACGACGACGACCCGTTTGGACTCAGTCAGCTGAAGCATAATACGAGCGCATCTGAAGCAATTATCCGCGATGAAGAGGATGACTTTCTCGGAGATCTGGGGAAGCCGGTGGAGGAGGTCAGGAAGCAGCGGCCTCCACCTGCGACTGCGCGAGAGCCGGAGCCTGGGAAGGCCATCGAACATTCGTCCTCGGATTCTGACGAGGATGACCAGCCAACAAGGTCGGAGGATCCCTTTGACCGGGCTGTGGCTCAACTCGTAGATTACGGATTTACCCCTGAAAATGCCAGAAGAGGCCTGACGGAGAGCGGAGCGGGGCTAAATGTCCAAGCTGCTGCAAACTGGCTCCTCGACGACGCCCACAGGCAAGCGAAAGAAAAAGCCTGGGCAAAGAAGGGCCCCGTACCATCAGAGCCCAGCGATGTGCGAACTTCGAGCCGGTCTAGAGCCCCTAGGCCCGATGTTCCGAGCCCAGGAGACAGGCGGTCGCCTGCCCTTGACGACAACGATTTCACAAAGACGGCAGCTGTCGTTGGGAGTAATCTTCTCAAAACTGCGAACTCTTTATGGAAGACGGGCCAGAAGAAGGTCCAGCAGGCTGTAGCTGACTTTCAACAAGAGGGTGATCCTAGCCAGCCAAAGTGGATGAGATCGACGCAACCGGACGGGGCGGCAGTGAGAGGAGACGGACGCCCGGATGCTACAGATGAAGCAATGATGCTCGAGGCAGGAATGCGGCCAGGAAGAGGTCCGGTAAGGCCCAACGTGGGAGGTCGACCAGCAAGCGGCGCTTCATCCCGTGATCAGTCGCCATCTGTGTTGGGCATGCCGGCGAGCCGGGCAAATGCTGTTCCCAAGTGGCAACAGTCCCACAGCCCGTCTCTCCTCGACCCGCGATCTCGCCTCCACAAGCAAGCTGTCGAGGAAGAGAGTTCGCAGGTATACGTTAGCCCGGCGCGGAGAAAGAAGGCATCTCCTCAGCCGTCTCGAGAAGCTTCGCGGCCAGCAGAACCCGAGGCAGACTTGCTATTCAGCTCCACTGCACCATCAAAACCCGCGCCTCCGCAAGCCCGTCCTACACCTCTACCTCGACAGGCCTCAACCCCCGGACCAGCGCCCCGCCCAACTCCCCGCCCAACCCCCCCTGCTCGCCAAATACCCAGTATATCCTCCACCGCATTGGACAACTCAACCCGATACCGGCTCGACGGCACGGCCCACTTCAAAAGAGGCGATTACGCGGCCGCCCATGCTTCCTACACATCCTCGCTCGCAGCTGTTCCCCAGACCCACCCGCTTGCGATTCTTCTCCTGTGCAACCGCGCACTCACGGCACTGAAGACGGGCGAGCCCCGTCAAGCCGTTGCGGACGCCGACACGGCGCTGGGGCTGATAGGAGAAGGCAAAGGGGAAGGCGAAGCCGTGGAGCTCGGCGGCGCCGACAGGGAGAAGCGCGACATGCACGACCTCTACGGCAAGGCCTTGACACGCAAGGCCGAAGCCCTGGAGCAGATGGAGAAGTGGGCCGACGCCGGGACCGTGTGGCAGCTGTGCGTCGAGTCCGGAGTAGGGGGCCCGACCGCGATCGCTGGCCGGCAGCGATGCCAGAAGGTGCTTGCCCCGAAGCCCGCAGTCAAGGCCAAGCTGTCGCCAAGACCGAGCGCCGCTGCTTCGAGACCGCGGCCTCGACCGGCGGCACCAACCCATAAGAGCTCCGACGCCGTCGACCGACTCCGGGCCGCGAACCAGGCTGCCGAGAGGGAAGGCGATGAGAAGTTTGCCCTTACTGACAAGGTCGATGCCCGGATTGCCGCCTGGCGAGACGGTAAGCGGGACAACCTCCGTGCTCTGCTGGGCAGTCTGGACAACGTCTTGTGGGAGACAAGCGGGTGGAAGAAGGTCGGGCTTCATGAACTGGTCATGGCGAACAAGGTCAAGATCGTGTACATGAAGGCCATTGCCAAGACCCACCCAGACAAGGTAAGCCTCTCGACTTTCTTGGTTTCCTTCCTCCTCGTCGCCCCTGCTCTCTGGTTACTGACATGGATTCGTTAGCTTCCTCAAGACGCCAACACAGAGGTCCGCATGATTGCAGGAACTGTTTTCGCCACGCTGAACGAGGCATGGGATAAATTCAAGGCGGAGAACGGGCTGTAGACTAGGGATGGTTGATGGTTCGTCTGTTTAGGTAGATAGGTAGATAGATAGAAACCTTGGTCAACATACAGGGGAGTCTCGAGATCTGAATCTGAACAATGCAAAGGCAGCCGGCAAGTCTTGGGCTATCCTCAAACACCATCTCAGCACCTCGTCACCTGTCATGGAACGAGATCACTGCGGGTCGCAGAGTGTTGAACGTTGATGGCCGGAACTCCAGGCTACCTATGCAATAACGATGACAGGAAAATTTGGTAGAACAGGCACTGCTCGACGAGCCCGCTGATCCGTTCTCCAACGCCCAGCCACACACCCAAGTCAAGAACATAAAATAAATTCAATACTAAAATCAAGTCAACAGCACCCCTCCCCACCCCAGGCCTAAAGACCCAGCATGCGCCTGACGCCGTCGCGCACCTTCTTCTCGTAGTCTGCCCTCCGCTCCCTCCACATCTTGGCGGCCTCGACGTTGGCGGGACTCTCGTCGTTTGGCTCGGCGAGCATGCTCATGACGGAGATGAGGATCTTCTCGACCGACTGGATGGGCGACCACCGCTCCGACGCGTGCTCGTAGTGGTTCGGGTCGTCACCCGGCGGGTGCAGGATCGAGATGCAGACCAGGCCGCTGGGGTAGACTTGTGTGTGTGTTTGAGAGAGTTAGTTTAAACTTGGGGGGGTTGTCGTGGGTTGGTTGGTTGGTAGGGAGGTGGGGGAGAAGAGAAGACATGGACGAACCGTTCGGATGCCACACCTCGCCCAGAAATTTCATCGTCGGCGGCGCAAGCGGGTAGTCCTTGGGGAAGCGCAGCTCGGCGGGGAAGACGCCGCCCTCGAAGGGCGTGCCCTCGGGCCCCTGGATGAGCGCCTCCCAGTACAGGAGGTCGTCCTCCGACACGGGCCCAGCGGTGATCCCGTCGGGCGGGTTGTTGGTCAGGGCGCGGTACTCCTGGAGGAGGCGGCGGTGGGCGGTCGACATGGTCCTCTTTGTTCTAATTTTCTAAAGGCTGGGAGTTTCGGAGATGGCGCAGGGGTAAGTTGAGTTGCGGTTTCTACGACGCAGTATTGAAGCAAGATGTCTTTGCCTGGCAGGGGATGGTGCTCCGGAACGGCGTGGGGTGGCGTGTGGGTCTCTCTCTCATGCGCCGGGATATTGCCGGCTTGGTCCCACCAAAACTGCCTTAAATCGGAAGCTGTCGTTTTAAAGCTTCATTCGCGAATTCCTGAACCGCCGCATCTCGAGTGCCTTGGGGTGTCGGAAATTCAACCATCACGCAACCATGCCGGCCCGATTGAGCTTGAGGCCAATCGTCGGCCCAGGCCGGGGTTTCGCGAGGATCTCAGCTAGAGCTCGCCCGGCGACGATCTGTCTGTTCTGCTCCCTCTCAAACCGCCCATCACACAGCTTGCCGAGGACGAAGCGGAAAGCTGGCCCCGACACGCGACGCGCCGAATCCACCCTTGCCTCGCCGGAAACGACGACGCCGACCCCAGACGCGCGAGAGGAGCTTGCAGCGGCCCTGAACGACCTCCAGAGGCACGCGGCCAACCATGTCAACCTCTCGAGGATACAGCTGGCGCTGCGGAACCTTGGCCAGCCGCCCGGCAGGGAGTCGATACGGGTCGCTGTCCTGGGCATGAGCAACGGCTCCGAGTCCGGGCGCACGGCCAAGAGGCTACTAAGGTTGCTACTCGTGGATCCGCTGACGGCCGAGGAGGGCTGGGAGAGGCAGCTGGAGGGGCATGACGCGTCGCAACCTCTTATCGTGCGCATTGGGCAGGAGGCGCCCCGGAAGGACGTGGCTATTGCGTATCCCAGGGACAGCTTGGTGCCGGGGATCAATGTCTCGTCGCCTTCTCTGAATGGGAACAATCTCGAGTTGCTGTTTATGGAGGTCGGTCAGCTCAGCTCTGCGCAGCCGAACGAGGACATCCGGGGCTTGGAGGACGCTGTCCTCGTGCCGACTGTCGATATTCCAATGTCAAACACGGGCAGGTACACGCCCATCACTACGCCGGTCCACAAGGCTCTGCTGGTAGGGGATGGCATAATGGGTGCGGCCTCAGTAGTGTCCCTACCGCTCCTCCAGGATCGAGACACCATCGCTGCGGCCATCAACCTCAAACAATACTCTTCAGAGGACCTATCTGGCTACCCCTTCAAGAGGGTCGATGTCGATACGGCACGCAAAGGCCTCAGGCTCTTCCGAGAAAGTGTGGGCAATGCAATGGAATACGAGACGCTCTGGTCCGAAAGTAACGTTCCCGCCATCAACGAGTGGGTCAAAACAGGTGCCCTGTCTAACGACGCCGGGATTACAAAGGCACCAGTGCGAGGCCTGGTCGCGTCCATCCTGCAGAACACAGCAGCAGCAATCCAGGAAGAGGAGGCCGCGGAGTTGTCAGCCGCGCTCTCGTCCAAGGTCTCCCCACACTCTGTCGCGAACCTAAATAGGGGCCTCTCAGCCTGGGCCCAGAGCGCCCACGAGGAGCTCCAGGAGCAGCTAGACGCGGCCTTCACGAGCCGCAAGTGGCGCAGGCTCGGCTGGTGGAAGCTGTTCTGGCGCGTCGACGACGTTGGCATGCTCTCGTCCGAGATGATCGCCCAGCGCTTCCTGCCCGCGGCCGAGAGGGGCGTCATCTACCTCGCTGGGCGCATACGGGAGGCGGGCGCCGCCGAGGAGAGGCCCGATCGGCCCACCTACCCGGGCCCCCTGCTCGCACCCCCGCCGTCGCCTTCTGACAAGGACAACGGCCCCTTGCGCCCGTCCAGCCCGGAGCTGGAGTGCTGGTGGCCTACGCACATCTCGTTCACCAGGAATTACCTACTGGAGGAGACCGTCCCGGCACTGCAGGCCCTGGCGCAGAGGCTCGTCGTACAGACTCTGAGCACCTCGGCCCTGACCACGTCGCTCGGCGCGCTGACTTACCTATCGGGATACTCGGCGTACGAGGCGGGCGCCGTCGCGGCGCTGGGGCTTGTCTGGAGCCTCAGGCGGCTGCAGAAGAAGTGGGAAACGGCGAGGAGCTACTGGGAGGGGGAGGTGCGGGAGGAGGGCCGCAAGGCGGTTCGGGCTGCCGAGGCGAGCGTGGCGCAGGTTCTAGACAGGCCAAAGGCAGGCGACGGGGGTAGCTTGGACGAGCTGACGAAGATCAGGGGGATCATCCAAAGGGCGGAAGATGCCTTGGCGAGGCTGAAGTAGGTGCCGTTGCCATGTAGTAATTGTATCAATAGGAGGGAGCATGTTGACTCCATTTTCTCTCATGTGTGCGTCTTTGAGCCACGGCGAGATGTTGTCAGCATCTAATAGACACCATAGACGAAGCTGTTTCATACATACCCCGTATAGAGCAGGGCCATATTCTCCTCGGGCAAAAACGCGGGGTTTTCCATTTCCATGTCTCTGATCCTCAGAATCTGGCGGGCATACTACTCCCATCGTTCGGGTTCGCCTCCCGTCTCTCGTCTCCCGTCTCCCGTTCTTCGCAGAAACGCGACCGCGCCTTTTTAGACCTTAAAACGCCGAATGAACCGACCCAATCCCAACATCAGACATGCCTCATCTGCCTCCTTCTCTTCCTCCGCCGCCGCGGCCACCGGCCCTTGCCCGGCTGACTGTGGCTCTGCCTCTTGCCAGGCCGACACCTCGTCCGCGGACGTTGCGACTTCGGAACATGGGCGCGTTCCTGTGGGGCAACCATGGGGGTCAGCTATCCATCTCCAAGTATACACGGCCGATACCTGGGTCAGCCTTGGGAGGGAGGAAACCATGGCTTACCGCAACATGTCCGGCACAATGAAGAATCGCACGTGGCTGCCTCGGATATAGACCTGCTCCAAATGGCTGACTCTGCCGTCGCGCGCCGTGACGGTGATGTCTTTGAGCTGGACGTTCATGTTGTCCTCGGCTGGTTTGTCCTGGTCAGTCTGGTGTTCGTTCGATGCAACGTGCGCCAAAGGCGCAAGGGACAGCGAGGGGTTACCTTCGATCAGCTTGCCACGGTATGTCTGGCCGGACGTGATCTCGAGCGTGACAATGTGGCCCTGCAGAATGCGAGTTAGTCACGGTATTGCAGGCGGGAGGCCTGAGGGAGAGCATGTACTGACCTGCGCCTCATTGAGGAGCTTAATAGGGATGCCGATTGTTGAAGTCATCTTGCTGGATTTTGTTCTATCAATCGAACAAATTGCCGGCTTCGAGTTGTCGTGGATTGATCAGTGCCTGGTGTTTTAGAGCTTGTAGCTGCACCGAACATGGAAATTTGAGGGTCGGTCGGGGCTAAATTTTCCCGCTCCGTGTCGATGGCGGGGTGGGGGCCAGGGGCTGGCGCCTTGTATTCTTTCATCAGCAGTGGCATCAGCAACAAACGAGCCCTCTCACAAACCTCAATTGATGGTGGTCCAGCAGTCATACGTGGGACAGACATACGGAGCTGGGCCAACTCAATGACCAGGTCCTCTTCGGCGGCACCTTTTTCCGATGCTACTTCTCAAAGGCCTCCGCTCAGTCAGCGCGACCGACGGAGTACAACCGCACCAAGGCTTTCATGCTATCACCCCAGTGCTCTTCCGACGACACAGAAAACGAGCCTCAACCCACCAGGTCAACAACCGGGTGACGGCTGCGGCGTGTGGTACAACCGAATTTGGGCAGCAGCAGCGACAGCCGGAGGTGAGGGTGCCTTATATCTAGGTGCTTCCAACTCCACCCAAACAGCCATACGGAGCTGAGCCAAACAAGCAGCTAGCGATATGAATTCCTCGATTTCTGATTCCTCCAGACACTCAATGCATGTGGCTCGTGCGCTACTTTATTCTTTATTTGCGCTAGGCTAAATAGGGTAGGAACTGATATGTGGCCCGTGCACGTGCAATTGCTTGTTTGAATCATACGCATACGTATAGAGGTTACAAACTGTCACGGTTGGACCAAGGGCGAGGCAATGGACATTGTCGTAACCTGGGGAAATACCTAGGCCTCTTATACACGTTAAATGAGCGCTTGATTATGTAAAGTGGCTCCTCACGTGCCGGATCGGGTGCTCCATTTGTTTGACAGTACTTACCTAAGTTATGGTGGCCAGTGCCGGCTTTCTGCCGGCTCCGAAAATCTGCATCCCATTCGCCGAATTTTCGCCGCGACACTGCACTCAGCTCTTCACGACGACGACTCGGAATTCGTGAGACGAGCTATTCGAGACGATCTGGCGGCCAACTGGTCTTGTTTATGCCAATCCGACAAGGTTGCCCGTCTTACTTCATCTACGATGACTGTCCTCGTGGTAAGTCGGCTCTACCGGCCGCTTCTCTCGGTAGCAGCGACCATCTCAGCTAACCTGGGTGCAGGGGAGAAGCCTGGCAACGGCTGGCGCGAGGCGTAGCTGGCGGGGGCTCGCAGTGAAGCCATGCGCAAGTCGACAATGTCGTCAGGCGTATTGCACAACGCCGGTGCGGAGACAGAATGCGTTCCACTCCAAGATGGAGGATCAAGCAGCGCTACCGTTCGCCGCACCGTCTGCCCGAGTCGAAAATCCGCAAACCTTGACCGAGAAAATCGTGCAGAGATATTCGATTGGGCTTCCGCCGGGCAAGAAGGTCAAGGCCGGCGACTTTGTCTCCATCGCGCCAGCGCAATGCATGACCCACGACAACTCTTGGCCCGTGGTAACGAAGTTCACATCTATCGGCGCCACCAAGATCCACAACAACCGGCAAATAGTCATTACCTTGGATCACGATGTGCAAAATACGAGCGAGAGCAATCTCAAGAAATACAGAAACATCGAAAACTTTGCCCGGCAACATGGGGTTGATTTTTATCCCGCTGGTCGAGGAATTGGCCACCAGATCATGATTGAGGAGGGCTATGCGTGGCCAGGGACGCTCACGGTGGCCTCAGACTCGCACTCAAACATGTATGGAGGAGTTTCTGCGGTGGGAACACCAGTCGTGCGGACGGATGCTGCGAGCATCTGGGCGACTGGACAGACGTGGTGGCAGATTCCCCCTATCGCGAAGGTCACCTTTACTGGCTTACTGCCGCAAGGCGTCACAGGCAAGGACGTTATTATCGCACTATGCGGGTTATTCAACCAGGATGAGGTGTTGAACCATGCCATCGAATTCACAGGCTCGGAACTCACGCTCAGCAGCCTCCCGATCGACGATAGGCTCACTATCTCAAACATGACTACCGAGTGGGGGGCTGTAGCTGGTCTTTTCCCAATAGACGCTACACTGCAAGCCTGGCTACGCGCTAAGGCAACGGCGTCGGCTATATTGAACCCAGATCTTGGCGGCAAGGCTCGAATCACGCACGACAAGGTAGAGGAACTCTTTCGAGATCCTCTAAGGCCGGATCCAGGAGCGACTTACGCCAAGTCTCTATACCTCAACTTGTCTACGCTATCGCCCTTTGTCTCTGGCCCCAACTCAGTCAAGGTAGTCACGCCGGTCAAGGACCTAGAGGCACAACGCATAAAAATCAACAAGGCTTATCTCGTCTCGTGTACCAACTCGCGCGCCTCAGACATTGCTGCCGCCGCAAACGTCTTCAGAGAAGCGGCCAAGGGTGGCCCCATTCCCAAGATTGCGCCCGGCGTGGAGTTCTATATCTCGGCCGCTTCCCTACCGGAGCAAGAGATTGCGGAACAGTCTGGAGACTGGCGCGTCCTGCTTGACGCCGGTTGCATCGAAAACCCTGCATCATGTAATGCGTGCATCGGGCTCGGTCGCGGTCTTTTACAGCCCGGAGACGTCGGTATTAGCGCCTCCAACCGCAACTGGAACGGGCGCATGGGGAGCACGTTGGCGAAGGCCTACTTAGCCAGCCCTGAAGTCGTTGCCGCAAGCGCGCTAAAGGGGGAAATAGCCGGGCCCGGCTGGTACCAGAAGCCCGAGGGTGTCGAGAAGGTCATCATCGGCGAGGGTAACGGCGATGCCGAGGCGGACCGAGCGGTGAGCGTCGTCGATGCGCTGGAGAGTCTCGTGGCAGAAGCTGAGAGTCTGATCTCCTCAGCCGAGAAGAGCTTTGAGAGCAGCCCAGTCGCTGCTACAGGTGCTGTTGGCAATGCCATAATGGATGCTACCGTAAACTCGGCTGCAGACCAGACTGGCGAGACCCTTGTTGAGGTCCTCCCGGGCTTCCCTGAGAAAGTATCGGGCGAGATCGTCTTTTGCGACGCCGACAACATCAACACAGACGGCATCTACCCGGGCAAGTACACCTACCAGGATGACATTACGCGCGACGTCATGGCGCAGGTGGTCATGGAGAACTACGACCCCTCCTTCTCATCCCTAGCCCAACCTGGCGACATACTAGTGGCGGGCTTTAATTTTGGATGCGGCAGCTCGCGCGAGCAGGCGGCTACGGCGATCGTTGCGAAGGGGATCCCGCTCGTGGTGGCAGGGAGCTTTGGAAACATATTCAGCAGGAATAGCATCAACAATGCGCTCATGGGGGTGGAGGTGCCGAGGCTGGTGAGGCGGCTGAGGGAGGAGTTTGGTGGCAGCGAAAAAGTGCCGACAAGGCGGACGGGGTGGAGGTTTGAGTGGGATGTGCGGAGGAGTAAGGTCACGGTCACTGAGGGCGAGGGCGGAGAGACATGGAGCCAGAAGGTTGGGGAGCTGCCGCCCAATGTGCAGGAGATTATTGCGATGGGAGGCTTGGAAAAGTGGGTGAAGTATCAGATCTCTAGGGCATGAGTCGCATTGGAAAATAGGGAGACAACCATATTGGGGTCAAATTATAGACTAGAATGCTGCCCGAATCTTGCCCTCGCCCATTTCCTTCTTCGTGAGAGGGCCGGTGCTGCTGCTGCTTTAACCTGTGCAGTGTGTGTGTGCGGTGGGTGTGCGATGGGTGTGTGGTGGGGGTGTGTGGTGGGTGTGCTTGGCCTGCTGACTGTGGCAGTGTTGGGAGCCTCAATCTGCCACCCCGGCTAAAGTTGCTGCAATGCCAAAAATGGCCCAAACTTGCAGGGGTTAGTTTCTAGACCCCATAAACAATATGTTTGGTTTCTACTTCCCCTGTCTTTGTTGCTGTGAAATTGATTTACTGTTGCTAGTGCTCATTATCTAGGAGTCGTTTTCTAATCTAACTGCCTTAATTCTTTCCCAATAGAGGACATGGGACATCAAGACACTGTAAAGATAAACTATATGCTTAATAGAGCTCAAATGATTGTAGAAGCAAGATAAGCTAGCAAGTAGATAACTTACAGGTATTGCTGTTCCAGTGTTAGAGGCCCTTCAAATTCCCCCCTTAATAATCTTGTATCGCCTTGTGGTAATGGCATAGCAAACTGACGCGGCTAATAGAGCGTGGTTCCACCTCGTGCGTTCGAGCTCTCAAGAGACACGGCAACGAGATGGGGTTGTACCTGATCCTGTATGAAACATCCCGGGAGCTATAGTAGACATAGCTAGTGACTACTGCTTGCAATGGCTCGTTTAGACAAACATCCTCTGCGTATTCGTATTGGCAGCAAGTCGGCGTCTTGACTGCCGATTCTCAAGAACTCAACCATTCATAGGAAGATGCCTTCAAGACTAAACGTTTATTGATCGACAACGACTCCTCCCATGCCCGGCTCGCCCGGCGGTTGTCCTGTTCGAGTTCTCTAATAACATTGTGTCATTTTTGGAACTTTTTGGTTCATTCAAGAGCGTCGCTCTTGAATCGTATGCTTTTCCACAGAATGAAGCGTGCTATTTATGATGTCCGTCCCAGATTCCCTCGCTCCGCCGCATCCTGCACCAGGCAAACCCCTAATCTAACATAGCCCTGAGTACCTGGATCTGCTCCAGCACGCTTGATCGACTGGTACCGCCTTTAGACGTTTTCGCTTCGACACTCGTTTCATATTCGAATGCCTCCGCAATGTCTGCTGTGAACCGAGAATCAATGGCTTGCAGTTGCTCAAGGGTCAGCTTGTCCATCGAAACTTCTAGCTTTTCAGACTGTGCAACGACGCGTCCAGAGATGTGGTGAGCCTCTCTGAACGGACATCCCTTCCTCACCAACCACTCTGCGACATCAGTGGCTAGCATCGTTTTGTCCAGAGCAGCCTCCATCCGCTCTGGCCGCACCTTCAATGTAGCAATGACCCCATTGGCTATGCCTAGACTATCCGACACAGTCTGAACCGAATCCAGCATAGGCTCCCACCCTTCCTGGAGATCTTTATTATAGCAAGATGGCAAGCCTTTCACAGTCTTCCAAGTGAACAGTTAGTCGCTACTCTCGATACGCTCCTGGTCACCCTTAAAGCCAAGGCAAGTGGCTGAGATGTTAATATGAGGACTCACCATCATTAACCCAGCCATTTGACCGAAAGCACGCCCTGACTTGCCGCGCAGAAGCTCTAACGAGTCCCCGTTGAATTTATTGGGCATTAAAGAGCTACCCGTAGAATAGGCGTCGGCCAGCCGCACGAAACCGAACTCAGATGTCGAATATATGATGAGGTCCTCGGCCCACCTGCTGACGTGGTTGGTGAAAATCGAGTTCCAGACCAGGAAGTCGATTATGAAATCGCGGTCGGCCGAAGTATTCATGGAGTTCAAGGTTATTCCGCTAAACCCAAGCTCCTCAGCTATTATATTTCGATCGATTCGAAATGGATTGCCGGCCAAAGCGCCACAACCAAGTGGACTTAGATTGACCCTTTCGAAAACTTGGCGCAACCGCTCGAGATCCTGCGAGAACGCAGCAGCATGTGACATCAGCCATTGAGACCACCGAACTGGCTGAGCACGCTGGAGATGGGTGTATCCAGGCATGATGTAGTCGCTGAGGTTGTCAGTCAGCAGGGGGCCGCTTTTGGCCAGAGGTGGAGCTAGGCTTACATTTCATCAGACTCGGCACGTGTGACAATGACCTTGAGGAATGCAACGAGTTGGCTGTCGATTTCGCGGATCCGATCGCGTAGCCACATGCGCATATCACAGACAACTTGCTCGTTGCGGCTGCGACCTGTGTGCAGCTTACCCGCGATGTCCTTGCCGATGACCTCTCCTAAGCGACGTTCGTTTGCCGTATGAATCTGGTCCGTTGTGTTAGCCTCGAGAAGTTGAGTAGAATTGAGTGGACTCTCACATCTTCATCATTCGGCATGATAGCGAAAGTTCCCTGCTTCCATTCTTCCATCACTTGGAGCAAACCACGCTCAATCGCCTGAAATTCGTCTTCGCTGATGATGCCAGCCTTTGAGTTGGCCCTGGCAAAAGCAATCGATCCAAGGATATCTTCTTTGTAAAGAGCCTTATCGTAGTGGATGGAGGCATTGTACTTGTGCATGAGAGGATCAATCGCACCTGCGCATTGTGAGGTCAGTATACTGCATCTGAAGCTTGTTTCCCCAAGACATTCCAACCTGTGAACCTGCCCCCCCAAAGCATGCCAGCTGCCGGGGCGTCCGCCTTTTTCTCGGCCATGTTGAAATATTTGTGAGTTGCGTGAGTTGCGTTCGTTGCGTTTTCAAGGCCGATGAATCAATGGGATCGATGAGACCAAGGGAGCATATGGCACGTAATTGTACTAATTGGCGTTCGAGATCAAGGGCGCGAGTTATCAAGGTCGAAAAGCTTTTTGAGGAATGAAAGTTGGTCGGTCAGTTGAGGGCAGTCATAGGAAAAATTTGTGGAGCTGACACTGGTGTCACGTGTTACGTGTCACGTGAGGATCTCGCCTACTATACGATTAAGCCGATTTTCTACTCACAAGCATTTGACGTTATCAAGATGCCTGCTACCACGAGAGGGGCCCTGTGCCCGTCCTGCTTAGCGGCGGTTTAGCGCCTGTTAAGGCGGCGAGGGTTCTGCCGCTCCCTAGGGCAAGATTCGGGAAGCATTACACGTATTATACATTTTGACGTTGTCTCTCAGCTCTCACAATCCACCTTCAACTGCTTAAGCCACCATACTGAGTATGCCAGCACTTTCGGATAATCTCATCATCGGCTGAAGTGCCTTGTTCATTCTCATATGCCTTTTTGGCTTCGTTTTTGTACTATCTTTGAATTATCTTCACGACAGCATCGTCATTCAAAATGAAGATCAGGCTAGACCTGCTCATGCCAAATAGTCTTGGCTTAAAGGTTGCACTCATCTAGGGGAGAAGGAAACAGGAGAAAGTTTACACGCATCCGCCTCATCTCAGATACGCTCATTAGGTTGTAAGACTGCGTTCAAGAGGTTTAATACGGCTAGTAGCAACTTCTCATTCACCGAGTTTTTCAATTTCCACGTGCAACTTATTTGTTAGATTTATCTTGCTCCTCTGACTACCTGCTTATCCTGTGCGGTATGACATAGGCAATAGACTGATTGACATTCGCGCCACAGTCTAGCAAGAGACGCACCATGTCTTCGTCCCCGTTTATGATTGCCTTGCACAGTACCGTTTGTCCACATTCATCCATGCTGTTGATATCCGCACCGGCATCGAGGATTCTGCGCACGATGTTGGCTTGGCCGCACTTGACAGCTAGGTGTAGGGCGTCCTCTTGCTGTTGAGCCCGAGCGTTGACGTCTGATCTTCTTTCCAGGAGCAGCTTCACAATCGACTCTTTGTCGTTAATAATGGCCACGTGGAGTGCTGTCCCGGCCACGGCGCACGCAGGTGGGCCCCAGGTCTTATCCAGGGTGGCGTCGCGGCTGGCCTATGGCTTTCCAGTTAGTCGGGAATGTTTCAGGCGAATGAGGTTATTAAGGCTCACCAGACTATCGACTGCTGCAGGCTTGGTTTCGATAACAGGAAATTTCGGCAATGTCACAGTCCCGTTTCCGGATCCTGGTCTTAAATTGTCGGGCTGCATGTTCGATCCGCTGTTGGCGTATGCAGCCAAGCTTTCCTGACTGGGGAAAGCTGCTTGCTCATTGCACGGTGCGTCCAAGAATGAGGAATACTGGAAGGGAGAGTCGTGAAGTACTGGCCTAGCCAGAGACTGAGTTGTGAGGCCATTCATCGACAATGCCAGCCCTACGTCATCTCGCTGGTAGTCGTTAGCATTGCTGCCCATCGCCAGAAGTGGCAGGCTGGTCCCTTCGGTGTTGATGCTGGCACTCTGGTCGGGAGGACTCGAGTCATTTAGCCCTTGCCGAGACTCTAGATCCTCGATCCGTTTTATCAAGCTCTTCCCTAGACGTGCCGGGGTTAGAATAAAAGAACCTAGAGTCCTCTGGGGGCATCAACGCAGGAGGCCCGGGATCATATAAGAAGACTCACGGTAGGTGCGTTGAGCTTCCCTGTTCTGTTTCTTCCTTTGCTCACTGACCACACCACTGCCGCTCTTACGCATGGCGGAGGGCCTGGGTAACGAGACCGAAGGACTTATTGGAATCTGTAGCTGGCAGGTAATGTGCAAACCAAGGCCGACTACCAGGATGCCAAAAGAAAATAACCAAACCTAGAGACTGCTGTACATAAAATGTAAAATAGTCTCGGCCCTAATACGGCCTGTAGTTCCAGTCCTGCGTATCCCTGACCAGGCTCGGACTTGGATCAAATGGCCTTGATTGCTCACAGAGATCTTTGTTTTCTTCTATGCACTCCGCGTCAGAAGGATTCAAATTGTACAATGCAGTGGACCCGACTTGAGAGGACCGCCGAGCGCTATGATGATACGATCTACCCCCGGCACAGCACTGTCTCCGGACTCCGGAACAGATCTCTCTCAAGCACGTAAGGTGCAGCGTTGCACTGACCAGGCAAACGCTGGTCGTTACTGGCTAGGTCTTGGTGCAAAAGGTACCACCTTCCGCATCGCGTATTTTTTCGTGATTTTGGTGCAGGTGGTAAGCAAATCATGCGCAGGACTTTTGAAATCTAACGTCATACCCGCCCGTATTACTACGGTGGGCCATAAAGGGGAACTGTCTCAAAGCCACTCTTCGGTAATTACACTTACCCTACGTGGGTTGGGGTGTATATGCCTCAATTACTACAAAGGTGCTTTGTTCAATTTACGAAAACCCTGTACGATAGGGTATGCCTAGTGAAAATTTGATTTTGAGACGGTTCCCTTTATGGCCCACCGTACTACGGTGAGCCTCCCATTTTGATCTTGCCCTTTACCATGGACATCCTCTGGGTGCCCTTACCCAACTGTTCTCCGGCAACGTACAATACAATCCACGGTGCATGCCAGTTGTCCCAGCAAATCCCCGTCACGCACGTCGCTTTCACTTCGCTGTAAGTCCAACTGACATCTTATTGACATGGACAAGTCTCGCGTCGAAACCATGGCGGATAACACTTTAGTAGATGAGAATCAGCTGCAGAAGCCAGGCGAGCCTGTGGTTGCCAAGCTCTCGGACGGCATCACTGGCGTCGTCCAGCAGCAGCAGGATGGAGGTTCGGCAACGGGCTCAGGTTCCTTCGAGCCAGATGAAGCGCACGAGGGAGGCCTTCAGGCGTGGCTCGCGATTGTAGGCTCGTTTTTGGTCTACTTCGCGACGTTCGGGGTCGTCAACAGCTTCGGCTTTTTCCAAACCTTCTATCAGCTCGACTACCTGAAGGACTACTCGCCGTCGACTATCTCCTTCATCGGCACGCTCCAGATTACCTTAATGTATCTGTCGGGGTCGGTCGCAGGAGCCTTGTTCGATACCTATGGCCTGAAGGTTAGAATCCCCTTCTTTCCCCAACCCGCGTCCCAATCCGAGGCAAAAGCTGACCTCTCAAGTGGCTGTATCCCTTCGCCGCACTGGGTGGCGCCGGCTCGATGCTCGCGACTTCCTTCACAAAGCCCAACCAGATCTGGCAGCAGTTCCTCGCGCAGTCCCTCCTCTTCGGCCTCACCGTCGCCTACGGGGTGCAGCCCGCCCTCACCGTCGCGGGCCAGTACTTCCACCGCAGACGTGCATTGGCCATGGCCCTGGTGGCTTCCGGCAGCAGCGTAGGCGGTGTCGTCCTGCCCATCATGTTCTCGAAGCTCATCCCGCAGATCGGCTTCCCATGGGCGATGCGTGTGGGTGCACTGATCTTGCTCTGTTGTTACGCAGTGGCAATGACCATTTCCCGGCCGAAGCAACCCCCGAGGAAGCTCAAGTCTCTCACTCACTTGTTTGATTACAAGGGTTTCTTGGATATCCGATACTCGTGTCTGTCTGCCGGAGCCGTCGTCTCGAGTCTGGGAGTGTACGTGCCGTTTTACTACATAGGCAGGTGCCTCCCAAACCGTCCTTTGTTCTTTTCGGTCAGAACAAGCCGCTAATCAGAAGCCAGAGTCGTACTGCACCGTTCTCGACCCGAACTCCAACTTCATACCTTACCTACTGCCTCTGATCAACGCAGCGAGCCTGGTTGGTCGTATCGCGTAAGTAACGCCTTCTCCACTGCTTTATATGGTACAGTCGCTAACAGGCGAATGCAGTGGCGGCTGGGCTGCCGATCGAGTCGGGCGCTTGAATATCTTGTACCCCATGACCACGATGTGCGGCGTCTTCTGTCTGGCCATGTGGCTACCCTCGACCCATCCGGGGGTGCTCGTGGGTTTTGCGATCATCTACGGCTTCTCCTCTGGCATTTTCATCTCGGTTATGCCCGCTGCTACCGGACAGATCATACCCACCGAGAAGCTGGGAGCTAGACTTGGTGCATTTGGTAGCGTCACTTCCATCGCATTCCTGGTAGGAACGCCTATCGCGGGAGTTTTGATCAAGTCCCACACGAGAGCAGGTTACCAGCCGTTGATCATCTTTGCTGGATGTTGTCTTGTGACTGGAGGCATGATCATCTTCACCGCTCGTCTGTTGCATGACAGGAATCTGAGAAGCAAGTGGTAAAGACAAGAGTGGGCAAAGAGTATGTCGAGGCTTGATCAGGGGGTTTGGCGCGGAAGTCTCAGCGTTACTACAACGTTACTACTAGTCTATGGGCCCTGTGTCATTATAGTGGATTCTTGTATGGACAGTTCCCTCGAGCTGAGAAGGGAAACGAGAAGATAGAATGTGGGAACCTTACGGAAGCAATGGGAGATACGCGTCATGGAAGAAACTGACGGAAGTGTGACCAATATGGCTACGGCTGCTTTCGACGACTCCTGGGCTTGACGTCGTTGTAGTAGACGATCAGTACCTCGCCATCTATTTTTTCAGTAAGCCGAGCCTCCTGCGCTCACCCCTTGCTGAACAACGCTGCAGTGGACGATCTTTGCGGGCAGTGAGTCAGATCCACTCGCGACTACTGTACTACTGTACGCGGCCATTCCATACAGCGTATTGGTATATCGCCTCCATGCCGAGGAAAGGCGACACACTGTTGTTTGCTAAGACGTGATTGCAGAAAATCTTCGCCAAAGGCGAACATGAGCACAGGCAAGCGACGTGTAGCACAAAAATAAGCACCGAATTGCTTACAGCTTGCATAATTCGCTCACGCTGACTGGAATAAGCTTGTAGCACAGGAAGTTTTCGGCACGATGCTCACTGATCGTCGACGGGTTAGGTTACTGCTGGGCCTTGCTTGGTCATCGCGAAAGCCATCATCCCCAAGGTAAAGAACATGCCTGACGAACATCGGTGAGGGCGTTGCAAAAAGGGTTCTTGTTCGTGTACCAGTAGTAGATCATTCTAGGAGCGTTCTGCCCTCCAAACCTCACAAACCTCCTCATCTTGGACCTCTTGACGAAAATTCCTCAGAAGCCCGACGTGCACCGGCCTGCTGATGTGAGCGTCGATCATGGATGAAAATACCATTTACCTGGTGACCGGTGCTGGCCGCGGTAAGTCAAAGAAAGCGCCTCTCATGATGGCAAATACACGTCTAACAACTAACTACCCAGGTCTCGGCCGTGGCCTTGTCGAAACCCTCCTCCTGCGTCCCAACACCACGGTCATTGCCGCGACCCGCACCCCCACGCCTTTCCTCACCTCCCTGCCCGCCCGCCCGGGCAACAGGCTCATCCTCGTGACCATCGACAGCGCCTCGCCCACCAGCGCCCTCGCCGCGGCCGAGCACATCCGCGAGGAGCACGGCATCGCCAGGCTGGACGTGGTCATCGCCAACGCCGGCGTCGGCGCCGCCGCGCCCGCGCCCGTGGCAGAGGTGCCCGTCCGGGACGTGCACGACTGCGTGGCCGTCAACGCCGTCGCGCCGCTGCTGCTCTTCCAGGCCACGTGGCCGCTCCTGGAGAGGGCGGCCGGGCCGCCCAAGTTCGTTGTCATCTCGAGCGTCGCCGGGAGCTTGGGCCGGGTGTCCGGGTACGCCCCGCTGTGTGCGGCGTACGGGATGTCCAAGGCTGCTGTCAATTTCCTGGTCAGGAGGATGGGGAGGGAGAATGAGCGGTTGGTTGCTTTGGCGTTGCATCCTGGGTACGTAGGCTTTTGCCTGTCTTTTCATATGTCAAACCTTGCAATAATTAGGTAGAGCATGTTTTGTTGGGGAATTTGCTAATGCGCTACATGTAGCTGGGTGCAGACAGACATGGGGAACGCGGCGGCCGTCAGGTTAGGGATGACGGAAGCTCCTGTCGAGATCTCCACGTCCGCCAGAGGAATTCTTCAAGAAGTAGGTGGCCCTGGTGATATTTGCAGGTTGGAAAACTGGCTAATCTGCTTAGATTGATTCCGCTACTAAGGAGTCGAGCGAAACGTTTTATACATTTGACCATCAAAAGCTGCCGTGGTAAGGCAAGGTGTAATGTAGTCTACTAATTAGTTTCGTTAATCAAAGATTATAAGATAAGCTACGTACGTAGTCGGACCCAAACTTGAGGTAATTGACATATGCTATTCGAGAATGCTTTAGTCTAGGTCACATAAAACACTGGAAAGATCCCCGACGATTCTTTGCTGGGCCAGTGCTGAATCTCGTAGCATGGACACAGAAGGGTGTAGGATTCATTTTTTTTTTTTTTTGGGGGGGGGGGGTAAGAGACGACGATTTCAAGCCAGACCAAGCCAAACCGAGGACAGCAATGCCTAAGAACAAGCAGTAATTATCAAGTACCTATAGAGTGATCGGGGTGATACGCCAGATTCAATCTACAGCTGAGAGTCTTGTAGTAGCTCCACTTCTAATACTCTGTGCTTACTTGGTATTCGTACTTTCCATGTTTCTTCCTCACCTCAGCAATGTTTATTCTCTTCTGGGTAGCAAAAGTATGCCGACAGTATACAGCGTTGCACAGCATGGACTCTAACCGGAGAATGCTCACCTGCGCTTATCTACTTCATGACATTCTCGTCCGCCATTGGTCTGGCTGGTTACTATGGAGGACAGCTCGAGCCTTCTAAGCAGCATCATCATACAGATCGAGTCTCTAAGCATTGTCATCATACAGCTCTCGATTAGATGCCGCAGCACTCTCCCGTCTGCGAGCCCGTGGATGATCTAAGCTTGCTAACACTTTAGGGAAGGAGAGGTCTGTCTGTCTTCAAGTCGAATATCGAACGTCCACGTGCGAGGAACTGAAATCGAGACGCGTTACCAACCCCTGTCGCTTGGTGTCTCGGGGGGGAGGGGGTTTTCTGGGGGTGACGTTTGCACCGGGACTAGAGTGATTGAGAATCGAGGCAGTAATAACATGTCGTGAGCAGATGGAAATATTGGCAAGAGTATTACTTCTTCGAATGTCGCCTTCCCGAAATACATAAAGCAGGGGGCTCTGCCTTCCACGGCATCACTTCTTCTGTCATGTAATTACATCGTGTTAATTTCCAGTCTCTGCGTTTGCGCACAGTTGCCGAAAAAATGTCTCTGTCCAACGGAGTCGAGGATACCTCCTCGACTTGCAAGTTCCTGCTTGTCGGAGTCGGCTATCATGCCAGACGGACCTATGTGCCCCATCTCGAGACGCTGCGGAAGGAAGGACGAGCCATGCTCCGCGTGGCCGTCGACCTGGAGCCTTTCAGGGAGAGAGTTACGAAGTACACGCACAGCATGGAGCCGGACGCAGAGCTCGTGTTCGTCCCCCCTTTCGAAGGGCCGATGCCCAGTGAGGTGGCTCAACAACTAAACGAGGTCGTCAAACGCACCGGAGTTACCTGCTGCATCATCAGCACGGAGCCGCTGGCTCACAAGGCCTACGGTCTGTGGGCTATCAGCGCCGGGCTCAACGTCATCACGGACAAGCCAATATCGGCAAGGGAGAAAGCCGTCACTGACTTTGAGGCTGCGTACGGCATCGCCCAAGATTACCTGGACATCGCCAATGCCTACATCGCCCTCCAGAAACGGGTCGAGAAGCCCACGTTCTTCATGGTCAATAGCCATCGCCGTTACCATCCGGGATTCTATTGCGTCTTCGACATGATCAAGGAGATCCAAAACAAGACCCACTGCCCGGTGACCAACATCATCTCCACGCACTGCGACGGCAAGTGGCGCCTTCCCTCCGAGATTGTCGACGAGCCCTACCATCCGTACAGAACCGGGTACGGAAAGGTCTCGCACAGCGGGTACCACTTCTTCGACATGATCTACAACTTCATGCGCGCGGGCTGGACGGAGAGCAAGCGACCCGACAAGATGGAGGTCATGAGCAGTTTCGTCCTGCCCGCGGGCTTCGTCACGTCCTTGCACGAGGGCGACTACGACCACATCTTCGGGAAGGACGAATACGCCAAGTACAAACGGTACACGGACGAGGAGCTGTTCGAGCTGATAGGGCCCATGGGCGAGATCGACTCGTCGATCCAGGTGACCTTCTCGCGCGGGGGCCACAACATCGCCATCGCGCAGATCAACCTCCTGCACAACGGCTTCTCGCGCCGGAGCTGGCTGCAGCCGGGCGCGGACCTGTACAAGGGCAACGGGCGGGTCAAGCACGAGGCGCACGAGGTGCGGTCGGGCCCGTTCCAGACCGTGGTCATCGACTCGCGCCAGGCGAACGACAAGCACGACCGGTCCAAGCCCAGCACGGGCGAGATGGGTACCGACAACCACTTCGAGGTGCACGTCTTCCGCAACTGCGACGTCACGGGCGACGACGCGCCGCTCAAGACCTTCACCGTCGCCGACCTCGACCGGCGCTACAACACGACGCTGCCGGGCATCTACTCGGAGAACGTCAAGCGCGGCATCTTGTGGGAGGCCGTCGATTTCCTCCAGGGGCATCGCACCCTGGAGGAGATGACCTCGAGCATCCTGGACCACTCCATCCCGGCGACCATCATGAGCGCCGCCTACATCTCGCACATCAGGAGGGTGAAGGACCTCAACCCGATCGTGCCGGTTGAAATTACTTACGGGGGGTGTAAGCTTGATGGATTTCTTATGTCTTTTTTTCCTCGAAGACCCGAATGAACTACTGGGTAGTGGAGAGAGATGCTGACATGATTCCCTTCGCAGCGCTTGGGCTGGCGGAGGCACATATACCCGAGATCACTTACCGGCCAGAGCTCGCCGTCCAGCCCGCGCGGGACACCGTCCCGAGCCTCTGCGGATCCTCCTCCAGCGACACGGCACCACCCGGCACTCCCATGACCAGGGCGTACGCGCCGCCCTCTGCAACCGAGGCGTCGCTGAGGGCCGCGAAACTGGGCCTGATCGGGGCCCTGAGCTCACTGTATGGGATCGAGACGTCCTTCCTCCGGACCGACGCTGTGGATTCGGGGGCAACCGGGTTGGAAGAAAAGGAACTGCGGTCGCAAGGGGCTGATTTTCTGGCCAAGCTTGATGCCCTGGTGAAGTGAAAGCAGAATACGCGTATAGGCGTAATTGTTCTGGATCTTGGTGGGAAATGACAGGTCTCATTGTTCCCTTATGCGCCCGACTGCTGGCTGCCGTTCAGCTGGAATTTCTGAGAGGTCATGGATTCTGATGGCTGTCAAATACCTAGTAAAGCATATGGCAACTTGCTTTCTTTTGAGTACCTAGGTAGATATGCCAGAACTAGATCTGCATTCTCGAGTTGTTGGCCTGTCCACGTGGATTGACCTTAACAGTGGCGAGATACTGCTCCGTCTCGCTACAAATCTTACGTTGGCTTTTTCTCTCCTTTCCAAGGTCTGTCTGTCTGTCCCGATCACCAAGATCTTCGCATGCTCCACATTCTCTAAACAGCATAGCAAACGCCCCGTTGTAGCTGGGTAAATACCTATCATCTTTATCTCTCATGATCTTATAAGGGAAATCAGCACTCGGTTCATCGTTCCCACAGCTCTATTGTACTCCAATCATCACATTCAACCTTATATCCTGTCTCTTCTCGCGAAATCATGTATCTCGATCGTATGCGGTCCGAACTCTCCCAAAATCATGTTTCAATCTTCGCCCTACTCCGTCTTCACCGCTGCGACGAACCCGCCCCTCTCCGCCTGAAGAGAAGCTCCGCCTTCTCGTCGGGCGAGATCATGGCCCCCTTGACCGAGTTCCTCGGCCTGCCCGCGGCCTCGTCGACGAGCCGCAGGTCGAACCTCTCGACCAGGTCGAGCACGACGCACTTGATGGCCGCGGCGCCGAAGAAGCGGCCCGGGCACGCCTGCCGCCCGAAGCCGAAGTGCATCTGCTCGCGCGACGTGCTCGTGAACTGGTTCCTGTGCGCCGCCGCGCCCCCCGCCGCCGCCTGCCGCCGGTTGTAGAACCGCAGGCCGTCGAACTTGTCCGGGGAGGGGTAGACCGTCGGGTCCCGCGAGATCATGGCCGAGGGCACGAGGATGTGGGTTCCCTCGGGGAAATGGACCCCGTTGGAGAGGGTGAAGGGTTTGAGTACCTGGCGGGAGAAGGCGGCTGATCTTCCAGCGTTAGCTCGTTCTCACACAAGAGAGCTATCGGGCGAAGGCGAGGAATATGAACGCCTTACTGAGGGTGGTTGGATTCATCCTCTGCGACTCCTTGAGAAAGCTATCCAGCTTGCCCAGGCTGTTGACGAGGGCGGACGCCTTCTCATGCCCCCTGGCCACTTCCCCCCGGTACTCGTCCCTGATGACCTTCGCATACTCCGGGTGCGCCGCCAGGTCGAGGACGGCGTTCGCGAGCGTCGTCCCCGTGGCGTGCAGCGCCCCGAAGCCCACCACCAGGCACATGTCGGCGACGAACTCGTCGCTCCTCGCCGGCTGCTGCTGCTGCCGCCCCGGCCGCCGCGAGTTGTCGGCCATCCACTGCAGCAGGTCGTTCGGCTTTTCGTAGGCCCCGTGGGTAGTGTGGAGGGCGGCGGCGGCTTCCGCGGCGCGCCGCGCCCGGATGATGGGCACCAGGAGCGAGCGCGCACGCGCTTGGTGCGCCCACACCCGCCGGATGCCCGGGACGAGGCCGCGGGCGGCGAGGGGGCGGAGGGCGATCGGGTAGCTTTTGAGTTCCCAACCGCCTGCAAAGACTGTGGCGTTGGGCGTTTCGGGTTAGTTGGGTTTCTTGCTCGGGATAGAGGGGGACTTGATGAGTTGAGTGGGTGCTTACGGTCGTCCAGGAAACCCGTCATGGTGGACAGCCAGGCCTCATCGCGGCTGAGGTCGGCGCCGACGGTCATGTAGGAAACCACGAGCGCCATCGTCTCCATCAGGCGCGGCCACGGGGCGATGCGTGTCCATTCTGTGGTGAATCTGTTGGCCGCCGAGTCTCACACGATTTGCAAGGAACCGTCCGGCTTTGGTAGGTTACTACTGACCTTCGCAGGGAGGATAGTGTACCGAATGTACGTATTCAATCTCCTTTCGTATACCAGGTATTAAATTGCCTGTGGTCGTCGTCTTTAGCCCACTTACCTCGACCTGTCGTAGGCTGCTCCACGCAACAATCTGCACTAACCTGTGTTTCGTGTCAAGTCAATCTGTACCGAGTGGAACAGCAGGTGATCGGCAATCTTCAACCACTCGTACTCTCCAATGATGCGCTGTGCAGGATATGTCAGACTTTCGCTTTGCAAAGTCGCGGCCAGAAGACCAAACGGCCTGTTCCTCTTACAGTCTGGCTCGCAGCGTGCACATCCAGCACATCTGTGCCCAAGGCATTCATTTCTTCTGCGTACTTAGGGCTCACAATCACCAAGAACCCGTCGATACCCCAGACCTGGTAGATGCCGTCCCGAAATCTCTGCCATCCCTCCTGTAGTATGTCCTCGAAGTGGTACATGTACTGTTCGGTGGCGGCGGTATAGTCCAACTTCCCGCCCTCCTTGGACCGAAGATTCAGAACGGGGACGTCGACCTTGGGGAATTTCCGTCGTCTAGTGGCGATATAGGATGGGACGAGGATGAGAAGGATGGGGAAAGCGACGAGAAGCGCGGTGATGACGATCATCTCGGCCGAGGATAGGGGGAAGTGATCAAACCGTCCGTTCAGCAAAATGAGCGTCTTTGTTTGGGGATCAACATCATGGTCAGATAACGAGCGTCGGAATTTTCTATATCGGATTGAAGGCACGCTTTCTGCTTTACTCTCTCTCTCCCTCGATCCTTCCTGCGATTCGGTCACAACCACACGGAGGATCAATTACGTCACGCCTGGTGGCCCAGACATGCAATGAGCATCAGATAAACTAAGCGGAAACAGGTCCTTAGTACTTCTGTGGTATTGATGAGGGATGAAGGTTGAAGGCGAGCGCGCTGCCTCAACCTTGGGGTGGGGGTATGGTATGTCCAGAATGACCCCTTTTCAATTCGGTAAGCAAACAGGTAAGCACCTGCGTACAAAAAGTAAGCAAGCTTGGTGGGCCTTCAAGACTGAGCCAATCCGAAGTCTGACGAGTGATTCAGGGGCAAGGTACAGTATGCAACACAACCCGCACATCGCAAGTAAGCATTGGGATTGCGCTGGGAAGAATACAATCGACACACCAGATTTGCTTCTGTCCATGAACCGTCTTATTTCCTGGGTATACGAGATGGCAGTAGGGTCAATTGAGATCGGCGATTGACCGAACTACGGAACGAACCATTGATGTCTACCTAGTATAAAACTATTTTGTACCTAGATCGCCCAATAATGTTGAGATAAGGGGTCCCAAGAGACATAATCTCGTCCAGTTCCGTCGGTATGGATAGCCCAGGCAGCGCAGGCAAGCCGCAGGCAGGCGGCTGTGTTCAGGTCTCATCGAGATCTCAGAGAGGTTAGTAACTGCCCTCATTTGTTGCCGTTTAAAGTCATCTGATCAGAAACAAACACACAGTGAAATTGTTCGACTTTGTTTGGGTTGCATACGAGAACCCATCGTGCGGCAACCCCTGGCAGTCCATTGACGTGGTGTTTTCGGTGAAAACCGAGCAGAGCTCCGTCTCCGCGGATGAGCTGCTCAACGACAGCGATCTGTCGTCTGTGGGATTTGTCCTCCCCACGGCGGCTGAATTCTTCCTCCAGTGCGTCCGGGTGGCCATCGAAAAGGGGCGCGGGGGATCATCAGTCGCCAAACTCATCGTGCCGCTGACGGCAGGGCAGATCGTCCGCGGCGATATAATCCCCCTGCGCTTCATCGACTGCGAGTTCGTGGAGAGTTGTGTCTCCCTAGCAGAACCGCGTGGGCTCTATCCCGGAAAGCCCGCACGGGGCCAGCAGATGGGTGACCTTGCCGCACTGCTCGGCGCTTCCGCGGCCGGCTTGCTCCTGCAGAAAAACCCAGAGGGTCTTGGAGACGTTGACGCCCGCTCCTTGTCCCCTTTCGTGGAAGCAGACATGGAGAACAGGTTGTCTTTCCCCTGGATCGTCGAGCCCACGCCGAGGAAGACGTTGGTCATCGTCGAGGGAAGTCGCGTGCATCCCGACGACGGCGGCACCGGGCCGAACATCTACCTCGCCGCCATGGCTCTCGGCATCGACATGGTCGTCCTCGACAAGCCGGGCCACTGGCTGGAAGGACCGGAGTATGCGCATTGGAGGAAAGACTTCATCCAACTGGACCTGCCTCAACCCCCGGATGCGAAATTTGCAGAGCGCGTGGTGAAGGCAGTTCGGTCCTACGGCGGCGAAGTCGACGGTATCATCACCTTCTGCGACTCGTACCAAGCCGCCGTCGCCTGCGCGGCCCGCGAACTCGGACTACCCACGTCCAGCGCAGAAGGGCTCGCAATCGCGACGAACAAGTACGAAACGAGCGTCTTCGAGGGCCGCACTGCCCATCTCGTCTCGAGTCCCCAGGAGGCTATCCGGGTCGCTGCCGTCCAGGGCGACTCGCTGTATCCCTGCATCATCAAGCCCTGCAACGGGTGGAGCTCCGAGGGCGTCTTCCGCATCGACAGCAAGTCGGAGCTCCTGCCGGCCCTGCAGTCCCTGGCAGCGCTCGCCGGCTCTCGGCACGGGAACGACTTTGTCATCGAGAGGTATTGCTCGGGTCCGGAGGTCGACGCCAACTTCGTCCTGCTCGACGGGGAGATTCTCTTCTTCGAAGTCTGCGACGACTTCCCCAAGAGCGCGGACGTCAACGGGTTCGCCAGCCCCAGAGGGACGCAGAGCTTCATCGAGCTCGACAGCGTCTTTCCGTCCAGGCTTCCCGAGTCGGAGATCAACCTGCTCAAGATCTGCTTCCACAACACCCTCCTCCGGCTCGGGCTTCGCAGCGGTATCCTGCATCTAGAGGGACGCATCGACAACTCGATGGTCGAGTACCGAGACGACAACGGCGTGTTGGACCTCCACGCAAAGAACGCGCACGCGCACGATGCACATGTAGGGACCCCGCCACCGGCGGCGTGGCTTATCGAGATCAACCCCCGCCCGCCAGGCATGAAGGGCACGCAGATCATCGAGTCCACGTGGGGCGTGGACTACTGGGGCCTGGGCCTGTTGATCGCCGTTGCCGACAAGGCGCGCGCGAGGGCGCTGGCCAGGCCCTTCAGGAACGGGCCGCAGTACACGTGCGTCATGGTCTTCATACCGGTGGACTACGACCTGGCGTCCTGCGAGGGCGTCTTCGCCTCGGACGATGTCTGCGCCGAGTTGCTGGAGCGGAGGCCAGACTTGGCAAGGAATATCAGTCGCTGCGGGTGCCTGGTCAAGAAGGGGGAGAGGGTCGCGCACCCAAGCCGGGGTGTGAACAGTTTTCTGGCTTATTTCAATGTCTTCTCGAGGAATGGACGGCGGGAGGCGTTGAGGTTGGCCAGGGAAGTTCGGGAGGAGGTTAGATTTTCCTTCGTTTAACTTGCGTGGAGGTGTTCAATAAGGGGGCGCTTCCCCTAGACATTCCAGCCGTTCGTGCAAACCTACCCACAGGAGGTATCAATCATCTGAGCATGCCTATTGGCTGAGACCTTTCATCGTGAGAAGAACAACTCCACTCGGCCGCAACGACACATCTGAAGAGGATGCGGGTTTTAACTCGGCATGGATTGAAATTCGTCCGAGGTCATCAAGTGCACATAGAATGCAAGAGCTCATCTCCCTCTACCGTCAAGGTAATGCGCATAACAAGATGGCTGAAGAAAACTTGCTAAGGAAGGGATGACCGATTCGCTTCTGTTCGCCTTCGTCGAACGATGCTGAGCTCTCGCAAGTGTCATCCTCGTACCCCTGGGAACAGTGACGATGATCTGTAGTCCCACTGGCCAGCGATCTGACGAATGACAACCGTATCAACCAGATGTTGGCAGCTGCGAGCCTGGTGGTCTCACAACGTGTAAGCATCTGGCCCGGAGGATAAGCAGAGTGGAGGACCCATTTCTTGAATCGAAGCAAGGCACCCTTGGGATTTGGCCATTAAGCAGGGCAGAATGCCAATGGTTACGGACAACGTTGTGCTAAGCACATCTCGAAAGAGTGTGGGATGAGGCACGCGACAGGCATAATACACGCTTTCTTAGATGATTATGCCACGACCCCTTATATCATGCATGTCTCTGTCAAACACCTCTGTTGGAAAACCAAAGGACCTTTGGTATCTTTATTCCCCTGTAACTGGAAGGAGCTAGAAAGTGCGTCTTGCTTACTCGGCACAAAGTACTGGGTACAAAGAGCCTGGTTTATCATGCTAGGCAGAAGCCTAATAGCTGTAGTTAAATAGTACCCTCTACCTCTGGTAGAGAGCCTGGCTGGACATTAGCACCACCCTGTTGATAGCCACATTCGAAATGGCTGCCGCGGCAGATATCCCCAACCCTTCGGAAAGTGCCATCCTACACCCGAATATCCATCGCGCTCGGCCACCGAAAGCCATCTCCGCCAAAGGGTGCTATATCACCCTCGAAGATGGCCGCCAGATCTTCGAGGCCTCGGCAGGGCCGGCGGTGGCGGCTATCGGGCACGGCAACCAGGAGGTCACCGAGGCCGTGGTGGCGCAGATGAACCAAATATCCTACTGCTTCGCCCTGAACTACGCCAACGATTGCGCCGAGGAGCTGGCAAGGGAGGTCATTGCATCTACGAACGGGGACATGGCCAGGGCGACCATCATGAGCTCGGGTGAGTCCTCCTGCCGCACGAGAGTCGGGCATTAGCAGGCTTCGGGTACGTGGTGGTGGAGAGGATAAACACTAAGCGGACAGGCACGCAGGATCGGAAGCGGTCGAGGCAGCCATGAAACTCGCCGTCAAGTTCTTCGTCGAGAAAGGTCTCCCGAGCAAGACCAAATTCGTAGCTCGGAGGGGCGCCTTCCACGGCACCACGCTGGGCTCGATGGCCTTGACCGGCAAGGTCTCCTTCCGGAAGCCGTTCGAGCCTCTCATCAAGGAGGACATGGTCTCGTTTGTCTCGCTACCCAACATGTACCGCGGCATTCTAGAGGGAGAAACCGCGGCGGCGTATGTGACGAGGCTGGCGGACGAGCTCGACGCCGAGTTCGAGCGGCTTGGGCCCGAGAACGTCTGCGCGTTCGTGGCCGAGACTGTGAGCGGGAGTGTAAGTGGACCGGCAGACCAAACCCCATAGCAAACCATGCAGTGGGCACTAATCAAATCGCCAACCACACAGGCACTGGGCTGCCACCCCGCACCCCCCGGCTACTTCCAAGCGATCCGATCGGTCTGCGACAAACACTCGGCCCTCCTCATCCTCGACGAGGTCTTCTGCGGGATGGGCCGCTCCGGCTCGCACCACGCGTGGCAGCAGGAGTCCGTCGTCCCCGACATCCAAACCGTCGCCAAGGGCGTCGCCGGCGGCTACGTCCCCATCAGCATGCTCCTGGCCCACCGGCGCATCGTGGACGCCATCGACCGCGGCTCCGGGCTGTGGAACCACGGGCATACGTTCTCATCGCACCCCGTCGCCTGCGCAGCGGGCCTTGCTGTGCAGAGGATCGTGAGGCGGGACGGGCTGGTTGAGAATGCACGGCGCATGGGCGAGAGGTTGGGAAGGGGGTTGGAGGCCGCGCTGGTTGGCCATCCGCATGTTGGCAATGTCCGCGGGCGGGGGCTCATGTGGGCGGTGGAGTTTGTGAGGAACAAGGAGACGAAGGAGCCGTTCCCCCCGGATGACGGCGTGGCGGCTCGGATCAGGGACGTGGGGATGAGTTCGCCTTGGGACATTTGCTTTCACCCGGGCTCAGGCCATGAGGATGGTGTCTCTGGGGATCATGTGACCATCGTGCCAGCGTACACGATCACCGAGGACCAGGTCGATTTGATCGTGGAGAAACTTACGGGCGTTGTAGTCGAAGTTCTGGGTTCCTTCTGACATATTTCGGGTCTTGAGAAAGATGATCCACAAGCTCAATACCATCAAATCGCATACCTATTGCCTTCAATCAGACGACTGAGTACGTCAACTCGTTGAGCGCACCGCCGCGTCCGCAAGGCAGAGGTGTTCAATGAGGTAGGTCGACACGGTAGCCCACAGCGTCCGGAGAAGCGCACCTGTACTCACCCACAAGTGGGTCCAGTTTACAGATCCATTACAATCCATCCTACAACCTCGAAATTTAACCTACAAAAGTCAATTTCAATAAATCAACAACAAAAAAGATATTAATTGATTACAACTTTGAACAACAAAATATCTAGAAGAATCTGTGGCCGTGTGGGAAAGCCGCCGGATTTGGAAACACGCTGCGCCGGGTCAGCTTCTGGAAATGGTGGGTTTGGGCTGCCAATTAGCAGCCCAACCCCTGACACACGTACTCTAGATGCAATTTGCTCGATTCAGAAAGCAAGATGCAAGTTGCAATAGCTGCTTGCTGCTTGCTGCCGGGGAAGGAGCCGGCGAGGCTTCCCGTCTTTAAGACGGTGGACAGGAAGAAAGAGTTGACGCCTCTGATTGGAGGTTCGGTCCTGCAGAAACACCAAAACCCCCAGGCGAGACCAAGTCTGTGATCCATAGCTTCCGAGCTGTCATCTTCTTTGGTTGATAATCCCCAATTACATCTCCGCTTCTGCTGCCCTGCAGCCACAGCGTCACCATTTAATCACTCGATTCGTATGCTGGTTTCCTCAACTCAATCCAATGGCGAGCGGATCTGCGAGGGAGCATTTGTTATCTCCCTCCTTATATCGTTCTGCAGAATAAGGCTGTCTAGCGCGCGGGGGATACCCTGCGAAAGCCCAAGTCAGCTCGGAATACCTGACATATTCCATACTAGCGAGCAAGAGGCGTGCGCCATATTTGTTTGTCATCTCGGCCTATATTGTCTCTCTTCATAAGAGCCACGGAGCCTCAACCCCCCTTTTCTTCTCACCGGTTTCATACGCCCAAGCACACTAGTCTGATATAATTGTCCCTCCCTGACGCTCGCCGGAAAGCATAAGCTAGCCATGCCACATTCTCATCCTGGCAAACGCTCGCACGAACAACACCCGCATCGTAGGCGGCACCAAAGGGCCAAGCACCAAAAGTCCAAAGGCTACGAGGACAAGGATAAACCCAAGGATAAGCCGAAGGATCAACCAGTGAAAGGGGGCGGCGAGGCCGCAGCGCAGGTCCCCATCCCTATCGAGCAGCCGAAACCGTCGTGGTCGAGATGGTTCGCCGGGGACAATGGGCGGTGGTTTTATCAAGCAAGGCTCAAAGCCGACGGCAGTAAGATTTCCACCATATTTTGACCAAGATTGCGGGCGTCTGACTGCCTACCACAGGCGGTTGGGAATACCAATTTACAGAGGGCTACCCAACGGTAACTCAACGCCAGGGGGTCGCACAATACGGGATGCCTAATTCGCCAGTCGGGCAGCCAACTCAAACTGCAGCGGCCCACGTTACGTTTCCCGCTCCAAGTCCGGCAGTGCATATGACTCCAGTGGCCCTCCCAGAACAAAAGCTGGAAGACATCGAGAACGACGACGACGGCGACGACGACGACGATGACGACGAGGAGGAGGAGGACCACGCCCTTCACCAGGAAGAAGTCCCTCCTGCCAAAGTCACCCCCCAGATACCGCAATCCCAGAACACCTTCCAGGCCGAGCAGCAGCACAAACAACCGGCTCCCCTGACCACGACGGCGTTTGAGGCAGCAGCAGCACAGCGGCCAGGGCTGAAGAAGAGCAACATCGGCGGCGGCGTGCCTGAGAAGAAGGCCGGCAAGGCAGGCGGCAAGAAGAAGCTCAGCGTGGTGGTGCGGTCCGAGAAGGACTTGAAGTTCAACCCCAAGAAGAAGGTAAAGGGTTGGCTGAGCGAGGTGGGGGCGTGAAAAGCATCTTGACAGTCTCGGCAGGTGGAGGAGGGAAACTCCGTGCCTGCTGAATGACCCCTTTTGGGGGGCTGTACGTGATTGGACTTGTTACTTTAAACGAGTTTCGGATGTTGCTGTGTCGTGCTACGGATACTCGACGAGCCTACTTATGAATAATAGCCATGTCACATCACTGACCAGCCGACAAAGCGATCGCACGGTTGTGATTTACAGTCCTAATCATTGCCTCGACTATCTAACAACGCTTCACCGAGTAGGGGGAGATCTCATGTGGCGGATGCTTGTCATAAGATAGGGGTAGTCGGAAGGAAAGCGATTGAAGGACAGTGAAGAGAACTTTGGCTCCGTCCACGATGGCTACTTGCCAGCCTTGTGCGTGCGGCAGTCTCCCGTCACTTTCCGTCGCGGCTGCGAATTCAGCGATGCTTCGAAAATAAGCAGAGGGGACGACGAACGGTGGAACAGGAGCTAGCTAATTTGCCGTAAGCCTCCGTCCTCTCGGGGAGGATTCGTACATCCTTCTTCGGTGTTACTGGTACACTGCATTTTTGTTGTCCGGCAGACAGACCTCAGCTCTGCTCCGTGCTGGGGTTTGACGGAGCCTACTTACACACTCAACGAGACACAAGGTGGGATTTCTCTAGGTTCCGAGTCAGAGCCGTAATCCAAGGGAACACGAAACTAAGCAAATATGTGGCACTCTCAAAGCTGTCTGACCGAGACAGCAGACAGAAGTCCTTTCCGAGGTAATTCAGCTGGGCTGCTGAGAACCCTTATAAGTATCTTTTACTGATGGGGTCAGGATCGTTCATGGGCTACTTGTTTCCGAGTACGCCTCAAGCGCAATGGTGTAAACATATCCCGGACTCCGTCGGTAGTTCAAGAACCTTGAAATAGAGTCTCCTGGTCGTTGCTAAGAAAGGAACCAATCAAGTCACAAGACTCTTCAGGACGAAATAAAACCGTCTCTATTAATGGCACACGAGGAAGCTCTATCAGTCTGATCTATACTCGACACCTTCAACTAAACACGCAGCCATCTATAGGGCATAGTATATGCCAACCCATTTTACCAGACGCCATTACTTGCCATGACAGTCCGCTAATTCAACATCATCCATCCATCCCCCCCGCTCCCAAGACGCAGCTCACCGCCTTCTAAGCAGCAGCAGCCCCAACTGCAGCGCGCCTGACGTCCCCAACGGGTGCCCCCGTCTCTATCGGCGTGACACCCGGCTCCATCTCGCCCTCCATCTGTCTCTCGGGGTCCTCCCCCTCGGACGACTCCCCGTCCTCCTTCTCGGGCCGGGCCAGCGACTCCAGCTCGGTCCGCCCAGCCCGGCCGCCCAAGCCCGCGATGTCGATCCAGCACCACCCCTCGACCTCGCCGTCGGCGCCGCGCCGCATAATCGCCCCGTCGTCATGCGTCCCATCGTCCAGCCCCTGATCCCCGCCGCCGCCGCCGGGCCGCGCGCCGGCAGAAGCACGCCTCCCGGCTCCCGGCTTCTTCCCCGCCCCCGCACCGGGTCCGTCGACCAGGTCGCCCGCCCAGGTCCTCGCGACGGGCACCGCGTTGGCCCTCAGATGCTGCAGCATGGCGCGCACGTTGAGCCGCATGGCGCGCTCGGGCTCCTTGGCGCCGAAGACGCGCCTGCACACCCAGGGGAACAGGACGCCGAAGTCGCTCTGGTTGAGGTGGGCGCTGCCGTGGGCGTAGAAGAAGCTCGGCCCGGCGTGCCGCCGCTGCTGGTGGTCCTCGGCCGCGGCTTGTGGTGGCGGGAGCGCCACGATGCGGGCCGACGGGTCGGGCGACAGGATGCGCGCCTTCGTGTGCAGGTGCTCGGTCCACCTGTGGAAGGCCTCGGACTCGATCGCCAGGACGGCCGTGCCGCCCGGCGCGGTGGGGACGTCGGCGTAGGCGGGGAGCGGGAGCGGGAGCAGCGGGGCGACCGTTGCGGAGACGAGGGGGAAGCACCACATGTCAAGGAGGATGGTGGGGGTCTTTTCTGTGAGGAGACGCCGGATGTTGGAGTCCTTCGCCGGCGCAAATACCGGATCAGGCATGCTTGTGACTTCGGGGCGGTCCGCATAGTAGGTGAGCTTTAGCAGCTGGACTATTGTCGCTGCACCGAACGAGTGGCCGCCCAAGATGATCTTCCCAGGCTCCTGGACGTCCATTTTCGCGGCAAACTGCTGCAGTGCCGCTTTTGTTGTCGACCTGTTCATGTTGGAGCCGATAAGGTCCTCCATCCCAGAATCAATCCCTAGCACCGCCTCCACTAACAAGCCGAGCTCCCAGAGTCTGACGCGGATCTGGGTATCTCTTGCTCGCCAGATCTCTGGTGTCTGGGTGTGGGGAATCCGAACATACGGCACCAAGCGTTGAGATTTCCAAGGAGAAGAGTGGCCCTGGGCCTGAGGGTCCCGGATGATGGAGACCCCAGCACTCCCATCCCTGTGTTCCGGGCATACCACTACAACACCGTGAGAAGCCAGGCATCCCGAAACATAGCTGTATGCGTTGCGGTTCCCGCCGAGGCCGTGGGAGAATATGACTGTGGGCCACCGGCCGTTAGGCGTGTTCGGTGGCTGCAGAGGTGCATTCTTAGTCACCGGCACATATGTGTAATAAAGATGACGCGGCAGGAAGCTGCCATGAAGTGGTTAGATTATTTCCAGAAGAAAATATCACAGGTTAAAGGGGGGGGGAATGATTTACGAGAGTACAGAGGCCATCATTGGATTAAGACCCAGGAATTGTGTGTACGCCGCGACATGGAGGCGTTGCGGAGCTGGCAGCCATGTTATTGGCGGGCCCTTGGAATCCGGTGTCGCCGGGTAGAAGACACGGAACTGGATAGTATGGATGTTCGCCGCTGCGTCGGGAGTAGGACTTGGCGAGTCAAGTTTCGAGACGGGAATCTCGACATCGACAGTGCCAACTTTGTAGGGGCCTGTATATTCAGGGAAGGCAGGGACGGGGCTCATGCGAGAGAAATAAGACTTCATCCTCTGCGCCGACATGTTTCAACCTCAACGCCGGGCGGCTCAACTGTCACTGAAACTTGGGAGTGAGAGCTGCAACTCAATCGCAGAGATGGATCGGTGGATTGATCTGTTATCTGTATGTACGGTACATACAATGCAATGGAAGCTAGATTGAAAAACAGATAAACTACCAGGAACTTGCTGATATTCTTAAACCGCTTGAAGACGAAAAGAAAAGAAGAGAAGAGAAAAGGAGAGGCAGTCAAGATCTTGCCAGACGGCTGGTGATGGAAGTCCCGCCACCTGTTGAAGTCTTCTAGGCTGGTCCAAATACGCATACTGCGGCGCATGCGCTAGCCCTGGTCTCTGCTTGCCTTCCAATGACCAATCAAAAGTTGCGACGATAAGCAAGCAACGTCATGATCCTAAAGAGCCTCGGCTCATGCATCGCAGGGTGAGGAACTACGGATGCCCTGACGATCTCCAAGTACTATGTAGGTATAAGCTAGAATTTAGGTAGGTAGTTCCTAGGAATGCCAGGGTACCTATGTAGATGCACATTTGGGCAGAATCACCCAAGTAAACTTCCCAGGTTGTCCATTGCTAGTGCCATCATCCATGGGAGGCTGGTAAGACACGCTTATGTAACCTGCAGAAGTGTCCCATCATCCATGTTTATGTCACCATCTTCTATCCGTAAACAACACTGCCATTTCTGCCCGCCCCTTGCATTGTGACGGTATCCATCTCCAACCGCCTTTTTCCCTAGCCTCACCACAGAGGACAGCCGACCCTTTGACTATGACCCGCCACACCGCCGAGTTCCTCCGCACTCGGAGCTCGAACCTGTCCCTGCGATCCGCTTCAATTGAGCATTCAATGGCCGGGCTACTGGCCAGTCTGCCGGAGCAGGCGTCCCAGTCGGCATTGGGCGCCAGTGCAGCCGCTCGGGAGAGCATCGAGGACAAGTTTCCCCATTCGAGCATCTTCGTCGCCATGGGGATGGATGACCGGCCAGCGAGCCAAAACCTCGTCTGCACTACTTGCTCTTTGCGCCTGCACCCCGGCTTGCGCTTTGAGAGGACAGACGAGATTGGCGCATGCCAGCTCTGCGCTTACCGCCGAACTAAGCCTGAAGCTTTTACTAAGCCCTATTGCGACTTCATGACTGCGAACCCGACCATCTTCCACACTGTTGATCACTTCAAAGAGAAATTGGAATCTGTGGGCTACAAGGCGGTAAGTGGTAGCGAAGTGGCCCTGGGATGCTTGACGATGCGTATCATGGAATGCCAACCTTGACTAACTTCTTCAACTGTAGCTCCCAAGTCGAGACAGCTGGGCAGGCAAGCTGGAGCCTGGAGGAAAATACTACGTGACCCGGAATGGCAGTGCGATCATCGGATTCTCGATCGGCAAGGCATACAAGCCCGGAAATGGCATCGCCATGATTGCAGGACATATTGATGCTCTGACGGCGAGGCTCAAGCCCGTGAGCGCAAAGCCCAACAACAACGGATATGTGCAGCTGGGTGTTACCCAGTACGCTGGAGGCTTGAATGAGACCTGGTGGGACCGGGACCTCAGCATTGGTGGGAGGGTCATCGTTCGAGACGAGGAGGCTGGGAAGACAACAGTGAAGCTTGTAAAGCTCGACTGGCCAAGTAAATGCTCCTCTTGATTGATAGGTATTGTATACCGTCACGCCTTGCCCCATGCTAATTAATACCTTGCCCAGTTGCCCGCATCCCGACGCTTGCCCCTCACTTCGGTATCGGCATGATGGGCCGTAACAACAAGGAAACGGAAGCCGTTCCCATTATCGGACTTGACAACAGTGATCTTGGGTCATCCTCGGCCAATCCGTCCGAAGCTCCTCTCGGAGGCGCTGGCTCCTTCACCGCAACCCAGCCACCAAGGCTTGTCAAGCTGATTGCGGGAGAGTTGGGGATCAAGGACTACTCGAGCATCGTCAACTGGGAGCTCGAGCTCTTCGACTCGGCGCCCGCCACGGTCGGCGGCATGGACAAGGAGTTCATCTTTGCCGGCCGCATCGACGACAAGCTCTGCTCGTGGGCGGCCTTCCAGGCCCTGCTCCTCACCGACTCGAAAGACGACGACGGGATCATCAAGCTCGTCGCGCTCTTCGACAACGAGGAGATCGGCTCCCTCCTCCGGCAGGGCGCGCGGGGCAACTTCCTCCCGCTGACCGTCGAGCGCGCCGTCGAGGCGCTCTCATCGGACGCGGGGACGTCCTTCGGGCCGGACGTCATCGGCCAGACCTACGCGTCCAGCTTCCTGGTCTCGTCGGACGTGACCCACGCGGCGCACCCCAACTTCGGCCAGACCAACCTGGCGGGCCACTCGCCGCGGCTCAACGTCGGCGTGGCCCTCTGCGTCGACGGCTCGGGCCACATGACGACCGACGCCGTGTCTATCGCCATCCTCGACCGCGTCGCCGCCCTCTCGGGCTGCGTCAACCAGCGCCACATGATCCGCAACGACAGCCGCTCCGGCGGCACCGTCGGCCCCATGCTCAGCGCCGCCACGGGCGTGCGCGCCGCCGACGTGGGCATCCCGCAGCTGAGCATGCACAGCATCCGCGCCACCACGGGGTCGCTGGACCCGGGCCTCGGCGTCAAGTTCTACAAGGCCTTCTTGGACCACTGGGAGACGGTGGATGCCGAGTGGGTTGCTTGAGGGGGTTTTCCTGACGAGGTTGGGAAGGTGGTGACATTTGCACTTGCCATCTATACAACGATATAAGCATTCTAGATCTCTGTAGAGCAGCCCTTTGGATATTGGGCTTTGTTGTCGCATCTATAATGTAGTCGTAGAAGTCCCACATGCATTAGCTTATACACATATTTTTGCTAAGTTGGATCTCATTTCTGTCCAGATGATGCAGCTTAATTAAACCTCCCAAGAGGACCGCCCTTCCACCAGAAGATATCCGCATTCACAGATTAACACTTCTCGCAGGGTCTCACACCCAGACCATCCACAATAACACACACATAATCCACCCGCCTGCCCCCTTCCACCATCCCAAAGTCCATTACGCTGCATCCCTTACGACTCATCATCATCCTTCGCAGCGCTCATCAGCCCCTCCGCCTCGCGCACCTCCATCCGGTCCGCCACCATACTACCAGAGTCATCCTCATCATCATCATCCTCCTCCTCCTCCTCGCTATGCAGCCCGCCCGCAACCACCTCCCCGTCCCCGGCCGCACCCGCGGCGCCCCCGTCCCCGGCCGGCCTCCGCTTCTTCTCAAAGTCCTGCTTGTGCGCCTCGGCCATGATCCGCGCAATCGACCTGCGCCCCGCCGTGTCGGCGCGGCGCCTGCGCACCACCGTCGCGCCCGCGTCGGCCGTGGTGGCGTCGGTGCCGGTGGCGACGCCCTCCTCCAGGGCCGTGGCCGGCGTACCGACGGAGGGTGGGCCGCCGCCGCGGACCGATCGGCCGGTGGAGCGGCCGACCGACGGGGGCACCGACGCGGCCGCCGCGTGGCCGCCGGCGTCTGCGCGGTGCTCGTCCGCGTCGTCCTTGCCGATCCTGTCCGCCCCTCCCTCGGTGATGCTCTCGAGACTGGGGCGTTGGACGATGGGCTCGAGCTGGTAGGGTAAGGGGACGTCTCGCGAGGCGCGGTACTGGGCTACGTTGGCGCAGTGCTCGTTCTCGACGCGGAAGAGGGTCCACATGCCTCTCCTTGTCACCTCGGCGAAGGAGACGAGGAAGGAGACGACGGTGCTGTGCTGGGTGTTGTGGGTGAAGATGGCGTAGAAGATCCAGGCGAAGCGGAGGATGGGGTCGATGATCATGATGGCGTAGTATATCCATCGCCGTTGGAGGGCTATGATGTCCCGGAGGAAAGGGTGGCGGGAGTGTGGTTGGAGGAGGGAGAAATCCATGAAGATATCCCAGATAGCTGCGCACGGTAAGTTAGGTGGTTGACGGGTCGAAGATGCGCGGCCGGGGGGGAAGATCCTTACAGCAATAGATTCCATTGATGGTCGCAAAGGTGATGAAGAGGGCGAGGTTGGTATGGCCACCGTGTATCCGGAACAGGCTAAGACATACGGCAGTCATGATCGACATGGAGTATTTACCGCCGTTGACAAGATGAGGGAATACGTTCCGCGTGTCATAGTATCGACGTAGGCATTGAAAGGCACGCCATATCGGAGGCAGAGCCGAAAAGAAACCCAACAGGCGCGAATGGTTCGAATTACACTGTACGGGATTCTCCCAGTAATTCGCGTAGAGGCAGAAAAATAGCTCGACGTTCTGAGCAAGTGTTAGTGACTCGAGGCTACCTCGTCGTTAAACCGCGGACTGGGATCTTACTTACACATGTTGCGTATGTCAGCGAACAGTAGATATCACCCAAGAAGAAATCTCGGAACTCTACGGGGTATAGGCCAGCAAAAAACAGTCGATACTTGTTTGCCGAGAGTCAGCATCGAAGAACGGAAGAAAAGGGGGGCGCACAGGGCACAGGGGTCGACTTACATGGGAGTATAGAAACCACTTGCGACTCTTGTAGCGGAATATCGGACCAGGGAAGAAGAGAATCAGGACACTGATGAAAATCAAGATGACTGGGTAGTACAGGTACATGTCGGGAGTCCCAAACATGGAGAAGTTGAGCCAGATGAACAGCCCAAAGAGGAACAAGAAGAAACTTCCAAACTCGGCAAGCTGCCTCCAGTCGAGATGGTTTCTCGGATCGAACTCGAAGATGAAAGGGTAGTTGACCTTGTTTTGCGTCCATATGCGGCAATCCAAACAGAACAAGATGAAAATATACAGCATGAGGAAATAGCCTCCATAGATCTGCAGCAGATAGCCTGTCTGTTGGCGCATCACCGGGTCTTCCGGGTGGAAGAGCTGCTCGGAACCATAGACGAGACCTTGGATGGCAAAGACGAGGCCCGTACCAACCAGCAGGCCACTCCGGAATGTGGTAGACGACTGGTCTGCGGGCCGCTTGCTCAAGCTGCGAAGCTTGCCTGCGGCAATCCTGTGGTTGCCACGCTCAAAATAGCGGGCATACAGGTCTTCGACCGTGTTGATATGGCCGTCTAGGACGTCACTGTTGACGAACCAGGCCTTGTTCACCTTCTCATTCATGTACCGGTAGGGGGGACGCGCATTGATGGCCTTGTCGTACTTCTTGTTCAGTTTCCGAAAGGCTGTCCGGTTAAGAAGAGCATATGCCTTCAACAGCTCCAGGCCACGATAGAATTCCTGCAGTGCAAGCTTCAGCTTTCTCTTCGCCGTGCGGTACGGGACCTCCTGGTCTTCGGGCCGCCGTATATAGTCTCTCCGGTCGGCCGGCTCCATTCCCGCCATGACCGGAGTGCGGGCCATCTTTTGCAAAGCCTTCGAATTCGGACCAGGCTTGAATATCTTGCCCTTGATCGGATCGACCCAGCGTCTGTTGTAGTCTTTACCCGCATGCGAGTTTTCGTGGCTGCTGGTGCCGTCGCCGTTTCCGTTGCCGTTGCCCCGCGTTTGCTCTTTTCGTTTCCTAATTTCCGCAATTTCCTCGATTCGCCTGTTGCGCATCTCGTGGAGTTGCTGGCGCAGTAGTCCCAGTCGCTTGCCAGCCTGGTCTTCTTTTTGCTGGTAAAAGGTTTCTACCTTGTCCAACTCGCGGTCGAGGAACAAGAAGAAATCTCGCTCCCGTTCATGGACCTCATCCATGACATGCAGATCAATTCCCTCTCGGGATATTTGCCGCGTCATGGAACCAGCAGTGAACATCCGGACAAGACGCTGGCGAGGGGTTTGTGCTGCTGGCCTCGGCGTCTGGTTTGGACCCGGGGAAGTTTGCCGCCGCTGTGGGACACCCATCGACTTACTACGCAACAGCGGCAAGCGTCCGAGAGACCCTCGCAGCGTCTGAGGAGGCCGCGCAGCTGGCTCACCCGTCCGGGAGGGGACCTTGATAGCAGGAGCCGGGAGCTCGAAGGGATTGTGATGCGCGCGGCCTGGAGCAGGTGAACCAAGGGGAGGGGTCGGTATGAAGCTTCCATATTGCATGTGAGTCCCCGGAGAGCTTGCCAAGGCGTCATGCTCGCTGCTGATTGGGATGGGCCGCACAGGAGACGGCCTAGTTGCGTTGGTTTGCCGGTCTAGGTCCGGGCTGGTAGAAAGGGAGTAGCTTTCCTCAGCCTCATCCGAAGTTTGTTCACTATGGAGTCGTCGGTGAGTGTTAAAGCTCGGCACTCGAGGAGCGTAGTCTCCGCGTCTGGAGAGAGTGGGGGTGGCATTGGCGCGGTTGATGGCCCTCGAGAGAGCCTTGATGTATTTCTTTCCGGCCTTGTAATTGAGGTACTTGATCCTCCACTCTGTAGATAATAAGGAAGATTAGATGCCGTGGCACGTTCGATCAGGCTGTATTGTCCCAGCCTTCAAGCCTGGCGGGATGCTCACCCGGCACAAGCTCTTGCTCGAGCTCCTTCGCAAACTTCATGACGTCACAGTCAGGTATAGGACGCCGATGATAACGCGGAAACTATTGCCATTGAGGGGGCAGATGGATAAACTTTCTAGATAGCGCAGATCTTAGAGGGGGAGCCCTTCGGCATGTGATTGATCCAGATAAACAAAGAGCAGATATCGAACAATGTACGACAAAAAGCCAAAAAGCACGGGGATTTCTGGTAAGGAATGGTCAATGGGAAAACTTGGAACGAAAGAAGTGCGGTGCGCAAATGGCCAATCATATGGCGCCAACCCCAGCTGTGGGAGCCTCGTTACACTAGGTACCTACTGCGTAGACCCTGTACCCAGTGGGACGGGCAGTTTCTTCCCTTTTTTCTTCCATGCCTTCCCCCGAGTGCCAAGCGCAGGTAGGAAACCTAGTGGTTGTCCACAAGGCACAAATTACGGAATACAGACCTGCTATCTGAACTCCGTACTATGGCCCAACGATGAGACGCATATATACATCGTTCCAGATATAACAGTTCTCGGAGGACGGGACCGGGAATTGCCTACACACATACAAGCGCATGATACCCGTGAAGCTTGAATAGCGTGTATCTGACGTAGGTAGTGTGAATGGTACCCACTCCATCCGACAGGTTGGGTCCCGACACTGTCCCCGGCCATTTGGATCTACATGTAAGTTGCGCCCGAAAATCGGCGAGGTTGCGCCGCATTGAAGGTCCTGTTGCTATCAGTCATTGGCTGGCGGCGTGCGCAAGATGGAACCGACACAGGCAAGGCGGCTCCTTCCACGGCCGCTCAACCTGCCAGCCACTCAAAGCTCGACACGCGCGGAGCTGGACTCTAAAAGTTGGGCTGAAAGTATCATTGACGCTCTAAACTCCAAGCAGATAAGTCTGAACGCATTCGGGTGAAGCCGTGAACAAATGCAGCCACAGGGAGGAGAGGAGACGGAATGTTCAGATGGACAACCATAAGGGTTGGCAAGCATTGACGAGCATGATTATGTCAGTCTTGTGACTCTCACCGGATCTTCCCTCTGTCATGCTTGATTCCCAGAGAATGCACACACAAGTAAAATAAAATAAAATAAACCCTCAATGGATTAGGGCGAACCAGGCGAGTAAGCAGTGGCTTCTTCAGTCAGCTCTGATGCTCACCGTCGTGGCACCACATCATTTCTCCAAGACGCTGCTAGGGCTGCCTGCACCGCCGGTCATGAAGCTGATCACCAACCCTCGAGCTTGAAGGAGGGCACGCCCTACCTATCACAGAGAGGCATGCAGGGCCATGCTCATGGCACATCGCATTAGTCTTGGACTTGCATGAGAATATTAAGTAGGTCATCTTCGACATCTTCAGCGCATTTCAGCGTCTTTACTCTACTCCTGGGCCGGCTCCAGAGCAGCGGCAAGTCTCCAGGTCTTTCGAGAGCCGAGACTCGGTTTTCCTGCATGAACTCGTCTATTAGATCAATGTGTCAATGTCGAAGGTTGATTGCTACTGCAAGTAAGTGCGGGCGGAGGAGGAATCACCGGAACAGGAAGCCGTAGGCCAAGCAAATTCTCGAATTCCAGGTAGTCAGGTACCTACCTGCCCGCGCATTAGCTCTTGTTTTTGCACGCATATCTTACGCAGTAGCGGCCCATTGTCAGCAGGTCAAGGATCTCACCAAACTGCTCCCATCCCTGACCGGCCTGACGCTCAGGGCTGAGCGGCAGGCAATGGTAGGCAATAACAGGCGCGGGCTTCTGAATAGGAACTCGTCCCAATCCGTGCCGCCGTGCCATCGTGCCATCTCGCCAGAGTCTTGTACATACATACCTCCTCTTACATTGATTCGAATACCCTAATTCTTGGCCATATGCGTCACCTCCCTTAAAATATCATATTTAGGTGGTGAATCCCCAGGGTGCCTCGTCTGTTTGACCAAGGTACACCAATGCTAGCTGCGTCTGGCAGGCGAACACAAGCAACACGGCGACGAGGATAAAACAAGGACAAAGCGCGAATCTCGATCACTGTTGTTGACAGTGGACTGTTCCTCTGCAGGCGCCGAATACCCACCATCCCTCGCCGGCTCGACAGAGAGGAGATATTACATCAACTGCGACCCCCGCGTGGTGCTCTGATTGGACGAGGGGCCACCCTACCACTTCCACGGTGCTTTTCATCCAGGTTCTCATAACCTCATCGTGGGGCTCGCTCACCGGCGGTGCGAATTCCTAGACATTTGACGCTCCTATTGCGTGTGGTGTCCAAGTTTAAGATCGAACACAGTACTGTGTATTGCAAGCGAGACGCATACCCCGCGGCATTTCCTCATCCTGCCACCAGTGACCAACTTCCTGGGCCCCGTTCGCAAATGGTTGCCCTCTAGCTCGGCCTGGTAGCTGAGGCCAAGAGAGCTATTGTTCACAAAACAGGCCATCGCGCGGTAAAGGCCCTTTTTTTCGGGTGGCGGGCGAATAGGTGTCGACTCTAGCGCCCACTTCCAACCATAAAAGAACCCACTTATCAGGCATAGCATCATCGACAGGGGGTTATGCAACGTTGGTTGAACCGCCAAGTTTGGCCGAGCAGCTTTCCCTTTTGAACCAGATTCCTCCCTCGTCATTTCCATCAACATCCCTGATCACCGAACTTCCCGATCCTCATATCTTTCCCCCCTCCTCTCCTCTCCTCCAGAGTTGCAAAGGGATTGTTATCATCGCTTGGATCTCTGTCCAAACCCGACCCGACGCAGAATTTCTCGGTTCGGAACAACTCGCAGTTCGATCGACGGAGGCCCCGCGCGCTTGTCATTATTCAGGTGGCAGACTCCACTTGGCGACTCAAGTCTCCCATCCCAACTCAGACTCTTTGCTTTGCAATTGCCACAATACCGCACGTCTCCCTAGGAACCTGGAAATTCCCCATTGTCTCGGCCGCCATCCGGCGACGCCACGAATTCCAGTCGCCCAACCTCGAGAGGAAACATGCTCGAACCCCAATATCGCCGGAGCCAGGCGCCGCTCGATCCCTCCAACAACCCAATCTATACCCACAGCCGGACGCGGACGACTTCCTCCAACACGTTTCCTGACCCGATTCAAGCAGCGCAACCCCCAGTCCACTACCAACAGCCAGCCGGCTACCATATGCCAGCCGGGTACAATACGCCGATGCAGATGCACCTGGTGCAGCCGCAAGGTATACATCAGCGCCGATCACCGTCTGTAAACACGTTTAGCACCGTGTCCAGCGCCGGTGGCGGAATGCCACCCCCAGCGGCTTACCGCACATCCCCGACGACTGACCTGCGGAGGTCAACGTCAAGCCGCTCGGGCGGCGTTCCCGGCTCCCCGCAACCCACGAGCTACATCGCCCTGCTCAGGAAGCAGAAAGGTACCGCCTGGTGCGACCGCGCCCAATACGAAGATCCGCGGCTGCAGGCTCAGCAGCGGGCAGCCAAGATGCGGGCGAACCTCGAGGCGGTGGGCGCCGGGACTGGCAGCGCACTCGGCATGGGCTCGGCAGCAGTCTCGGGTCGCACGTCGACGGGGCTGAGCTCGGCCGGCGGCAAGGTCGCTGCCAAGATCCGGCATCACGGAAAACCCGCCGTAGTGGGCTACGCACCGGATAACAACTACGTCAGCGGCGGCGTCCCCTTGCGCCTGAGCGCAACCGAGGTCGAGGGCGGGGATAGCGACGAGGACGACGTGGTCATGCAGCGACTGCATCACCGGCGGACCGGAAGTTCCGGGAGGAGTAGCACTGCCAGCGGGAGGAGGACCTTGGCCTACCGCTCGTCCGGGGGTCTAGGGCCTCTCAATTCCCAAGGCGGCAGCAGGCGGTGGAGTCCCGGCGACACCCCGGAGCGTACTGACTCCTTGGTCGAGGGGAAGGAGGAGCTGATGCTTGCTGGCGACGACTCGGCGAGCGGGAGGGCAAGGAGCGTCGAGAGCGGTAGCAGCAAGGAGCGGCTCGACAACGTCCCCGACCTGGCCGGCAATGCGGCACGCCTGGCTACCAACAGCTTGATGAACGCAACCATAACGAGGGAGAAGAGCGTCAAGAACCCCGAGGATCTAAGGAGACGAGGCAGCGTGGACGAGCGGACCATGACCCTTACTTCCGGGCGGCTTTTCATCGCCAACCCCGACTAAGGCGGAAAAGCGGCGTATCACACCAGGATAGCGAGCATCGGAATTTACTACAGCATGGGCAAAGCCCAATGTCGGTCGTTGAAATTTCCTTTAGTTTGCATTGGTCGGCGCGGAGCATTGCAGGCAAGCAACAATGAGTATCTATTATTGAATACCTAATTCGGTCATTCTGGCGCCTTGGGCTAGAATCCAGTCCGTCAAATCTCTCTTTTCATCTCTGTCCCACGCCCATTTACTTCGTTATCATCTGTTTGTTTGGGGGTGAAGTTTCGTGGCCATTTAATACCCAGGAAGAGAGCGACTGCTTGATGAGGATGTTTCTTTTGGGAGTCGCATGATAAGACAAAATTAGCACTGCTAGATGATACCATTATCATGCAAATGAAACAACGTTTACTCTGCCAGTGTGGATCCCACTTCTGAGCGACCTGCCGTCTATGTCTCTGCTTCCGTCGTCATCGTGAAGAAGTTGGGTTGAGTTGCTAGGACCAAGTCCCTGTACCGGAGCTCTGTTCCAAGGACGCGGCATATCAACTTCTGCCCTGTTTCCTACCTACCTAGCCCGAATCTCGACAGCTTACCCTAACTAGCGTAATTCTCGTCATGTCTCGCCGCTGTCGACCCTTCTTAAACTCACCATATTGAGGGGCAACCGACATCAAGCACAATAACTAGTCGCTTCAAATGACTCATCAGGATCAAATAATACCTGTTAAGAGCACGTTCCTGCGCCTGACATGCGGGCTTCTGAGTGACGAATATTAACTCTCTTCTGGGCTGTCTCCCAAGGAGAACCACGGGTGTGCCGCAATCTCTGCGGCCCTGAGCCGACGGGTAGGATCCAAGCTCAGCGCACCAGCCAGGAGGTCCAGGAAAAACCGCCTCCGATGCTCCGGAATTTGCGGGCACTTCTCGGCAACCTGACGCTCGAGAGGCCGGTTCGGCTTGAAGGACGGATCGTACCAAAAGTCCTTGTGTCCTGGCTCGAAGACCCGGTCGGCCTGGTTGACAAAGTGGCCCTCCCACCGCGGAGGGAGTTGACCTTGCGTGTCGACAATTGTCCCAATCAGGAGGTCCAGCTGGTCAAAGATGAGCGGGAAGAGAACCCGGTCGGTGTAGAGTTCGAATATCAGGCAACCCAGGCCCCATACGTCGTTTGTCGGCGACCTCTGCGCCCCGAAACATAGTTCTGGTGCAAGGAAGGAGCGGGGCGTCCCAGGGATGCCAGGCGGAGGACTATCGGTGAGAAATGACAATCCGAAATCAACGATACAGACATTACCGGATAGTAGACTGGGGTTTATACCCTTGAAGCTGATCGCTTCAACGATTCGTCTGGGAGCTGGTGGTGGTGGGACGGAACCGTCGAGGCACAGTAACTGCACCTCGTTTGGAGCTCCGAAATGCTAGTACACTTCGGAATCAGTCCAATGGCCAACATCATGCAGTCCAAATAGAACATTGGCGGGGGTCAAGTCTAAAAACCTCCTGTTAGTTCCAAAGCTATTGTCCCTCTCAATATCAGAGAGTGAGAGCGCTGTCCCCCGAGGCTGTATAGGTCGATAGGTGCATTGCGCCTCAATTTGTCACTGGCTTGAATCGCTCGACATCCGACTTGCCTGGCCAACCCTTACAGCCAACCCCAAGCTCCCCAAACATGTCCACGATACGCAACGGGTTGGAACCCCGGCCGATATCTCTGAATTCTCTCAACGTCATTCATATCGCTAAGCAACTTGGTACAGTATCGCCATGATCCTGTTTCCAGAGCCAGTGATCGCAAAGTTTGGCGCGAGTGGGGCAGGAGATAGCCCCCAGTTTGGGGTTACGCCGTCTGGGGTCGGAATGTCCAAGCCACACTTTTGGTGGGGGTCCCTGTGGCGCAATTAAACTTTCGGACGCGAACTTAGTTGCATAAATTACCCCTATCGAGGCAGCAGCTGTCGAAGTTACGTATCTAAGGCCAACGCAGAATCTATTTTGGAAAGAGCGTCCAAGTATCACATATTTTTGCTGGAAAACAGGCTGTTACGCATTCTAAAAGGCCATTTACAGGTATTCAACAGGCTGTCTAACTAGCTGTTAAACGGCTTCATATTGAAACGGATCCCTCGAACGTGTACTCTTCTTGGAGGACTATGGTAAGCTTTTGATATTTCGGGCACTAGGTTTCGCATAAATGCACATCACAAGCATGCATATATTGCAGCCCTGCCGAAGAAACCCCTTGGCGCTGCATGGTAGTTACGCTGCTCCCTTACACTTTGGAAAAGCAGCTGGCTCACTTGGGACCAATATAACGCCACGAGCGACCAGTGGCGGCACCATCGGAGGCAGCGCTGGATGCTCACGCTTCCACCGTATTACCATCACGTACACCACTCGCCGAACCCCATCCGCCTGGAATCGGGTTGACTTTCTCCTAAAGTTAACCACCTCGCCCAGAGGGAATACCTACCCGACAGCCACCCATAATACTAACTTTGGCTCTTTAGGATGACTGGGAGACCGGCCCTTAGATGATCATAGTCAGCTGCCAATGCCCAGTTGAGAACTTGGGATTGGAATCGAAGTGAACAAAGAGTTATGAACGTACTGCTTTTGCACTCAACTACTCATCCAAAAATGCCGCTGACCTCAGACGCTGTACCGCATCGGCCGCCGACAGGCGCTGCTCAGGCTCATATGCCACCATGTCGTGGAGCAGGCGAACATACTCCCCCTTCTGACGGACGGAGAGATGCGGTGCCTCCTGGAAAAGTCGGCTGTCGATCGACTTCTCGGAATGCTTGTCCTCGAACCACCAAGCCGGTTCTGTTCTGCTCTGTGCTCGTCCCGGCTCCCGGTAGCCGTATTTCTCGAACATGAATCGTCCCTTCCATTGTTGGGGCAACGGACCGAGATAGCCCACGACAGTGCCTATGAGGATTCCGAATATCCGAAAGAACGTGGAAAACATGGGCACTTTGGCATGGACAATGTATAGGATACAGGCAAGTTGCCAGATGTCGCTTTTGGTAGAGGGCAGATAGCCGAAGCAAAGTTCTGGAGGAAAGAAATCGATAGGGACTCCCAGTGATGGGGGTGGACGATCTGCGAAGAAGGCCTGTCCGAAAACGACAATCCGAACAAATGCGAGTGAAGAATAATCCAGGCCTGAAAACTCAGGAGTCTGGACGACTTGCTTTGGAGCGTGTGGCGAATATGAGCCGTTGGGCAGTTTGAGATCCTCGGCCTTGATAGAGCCTAGAAGTTGATGCAAACGAGCCGGAGACATGGACTAAATGTCTAGAAGCTCGAATACAATATTGGATGCGGTGAAATCCACAATTGTACATTTGTTAGTCAACTTGAAACGAGTTAAGAATGGGGATGTAGCTTACCGCCGTGACAGATTCCTTGGCCGTGGAGGAATGCTATGGCGCTGGTAACTTGGCAACACACCTGGTATCGCGTAGGACCAGGTAACGCGTCGGCAACTCTGGGGTTCTGAAGGCTCGGGTCGAGAACCGGGAAAACGAGACAGTGATGCTCGCCGTTGGGGCCGGAGACTTTGAACGAGTCGTGCAATGTCACCACATTCGCATGTGGGCTGGCGGACTTTCGAAGATACTGGAGGACGTTCAGTTCATTGACGTTAGGGACATCAGCACAGAGGATCTTCAGCGCGAAGTAGGAGTGCATGTCCCCACACGAGCGGACAAGCCAGACCGTCGAGAAGCCTCCGTAGCCAAGCTTGTGGATGACTTCGTAACTCTGGTCGCTCGTGCCAATAATGTCGCCGATGTCGACGGGATGGTAACCACCGGGAACGTACTTCCCAACGTCCTCAATGTGTTCCATACGCGGCTGGCGATACAGGAAAGGGGGCAATATCTCTACCTGAGACATGATAAGGAAAAGAGTGATTGATGCCGAAGGAAGCGTGTCCGATGGTGCCTGCTTGTGGGCGGTGGCCTGGCCTCCAAGTACATAATATCAGAGTGCGACAGCCGTTGCTGCAGAGACGCAGAGACCGCCAAAATTAAGCGGCGGCACGCGCCAGCCCAAAGCGGCGGCCCCAACACCGCTTTCCCAACGCCGCTTTCTCGCACTAATCTGCGCCTTATGGTCTTCCACAAGGTTGACGGCGAGACAGTAAGCAGACCCTGTTAGTCGGGAACAGGGCCGTCGTGGACCGAGGCCTCTCTAGCTGCATTAACAAAGAGATGCTGGCATCTGCTAGCATTGTCTACGACATTTTTGCCAAGTAATTATAAGAAAAGGTTTAGCCCGGCCTTTGCAAAGAAAGGACCATAAAGGAAGCGAAAGAGGCAAGGATCTGGTCAAGTGACTCTGTTTAAGGCGGCTCTTTGGACAGACTAGCTAAGGAACTGGCAAGCAATGGAAATTCTATAGAAAGCTTTACTGACGTTGCAGGAAACAGTCTTAGTACTGGAAATCCTACCAGCATAGGCCTTGATAGCGAGATTAAGGTAGCGAGAGAGGTCACTATCAACCGGAGACAATCTACGGTAGCTTCCTGTGCTTCAACGACATGAAATAATACCAAGTCTGCAAGTAATTAATCGAGCGACGAAGTATTGTGAGAATAATGTCTATTGATGTAACAGAACAAAGAATGAATTCTGTATCCCTCCAAACGAATGTAAGCCTTCCAATCGACGCGTCGTTCCAAATGCTTTCCCCATCAGTCAAGTCGACTGTTGAGTACCCAAGGTACCAGGATCAAGCCTAGTTGCAGGAGTCGCTCACGTCCTTGCCGTTGTCCCTGCAGCCATTCGGGCAATACCCGATCCAGTCGATGACGCCGCTATCGCCGCCAACGCAGTGGAAGAGGTCATCCGAGCCACCATTCGCCCGACCTGCATCATGGAGAGCCTGGTCGATCTGGCCCTGGTAATTGCCTGCAAGTAATTCCCAAGAGGTTTTAAGTTAGGTACTTTAATTTATACGTCTCGTGGTTCTTCAATACGCCATAGCTTACCGATGTTGTTGAGGGTGCTTCCGCAGTAATTCAAACCCGGGGTGCAGTTCCTGGCCATGGCACCTCCGGCCAGAAAGAGGAGAACACTGGTAATGGCGAAGGACTTCATATTGAGATAGGGTGTTGGTGAGGTGGTTATGAGGTAATGGCTAGTGTGTTGTGGGTTGGATGGTGCTGAGGTTTCCGGCGTTGATACAATCCGAGTTGAGTCTGAAGGATACATTGGTTTCTCGAGACTTGCCGGCTCTTTTATACTTTTTTACGTCTAGAGGCCACGGAGGTATTGCTTTCCTGGTCAGAGAAGAGCGATAGCGGACGTTGTGGAAGCATTGAGAAGGATTGATCTCGTCAGCACTGTCGCGATCGACCACTCCCGGTCAGCCATTCATATCGACGTTGTCCCGCAGAAGACTGCGGCCTGACCTACTGGGCCGTGTAGGAATTGATACGAAACATGCTACGCTGACGTTCGTTCTCGTTCTCGCACCAGCCGCTGGGAGGCACAGCCAGAGACGATACCGTGCCTCTCCAAATAGAGACACCAGCACTTAGTAACGCAACCTGCCAATACTATGTTCTGGTAATTTTCATCCCCTAGGGTCCTTCATATTGTACGTCTTACAGGATTACTCCTAAAGGATCATACCCTTGCATACAAATCTGCAGGCTCGTCACAGCGCGATCCTCCCTGTTTTCTAACTTCACGAACTGCTTGAGAAGCCTCACATGTTTATTACCTGAGCTGGTCGATCATAATAGTAAAGCTCGGTTCTTTGTCAGATAACTACGTAACCGGTTAATAAGTCCAATTTCATTCCCATGCTGCTTTCTAGCATTCCATCCTGACTTTACGTTCAGAGTCGTCTCGCGAAGATGCCGGTGAACCACCGAGTCCCAAGCCAGGACTCGGTGCTTCCATACACTCTCCCAATTAACACATGGTCAAGTAGCTGGGTCCATGAATTACTAGCTATCATAACGTCTCTAGCGCTCTCGGTAAACAAAGTGGCAACCGGGGATAGCTTCCTGTGAAACTCACCACCCAACACTTGGGAGGGTACTTTAAAGTTCAAAGAACCTCTTGAACTTCCTTCAGATCCTGTTGGGCTTGATTACCATATCCTCCCTTGGCTTTAATTACGGTAATTACAGGGCACTCAAGGACGCTGACATGACGCACAACTCCTTGGCACAGAGGAACAGCGCTCAGCATAATCCAATCTACGGATACTCAATCAATCTATGCAATCCAATTGAATCGGCAGATTGTCTTCCAGAGCCCACACTTTTGCCCTGAAAAGCATTATGCTGAGCACTGCAGAGGAATGGAAGGGCGCCAGACAAGCTACGCCCTCCCGGAAGACAACGTACAACTCTTCGTGCGAATCGGCAAACGGTTAGTCGAATCAATGATTGATAATAGTCACAACAGGGGCCCAAATAAAGTGGGGCGTGGCACGGGTGTACCATAGTACACAAGTTGACGTGCACGTGCCATTGCCCCGCAGTGCCACTTTAATTGCAAGCTAAACGCGGTCGCGTCTCCAGGGCGCGTGTTTGTAAAACCATCTCGAATTGAAGGCTGCGTGCGCCTGGTGTTAGCAACGAAACCCAGTTTCTAGATATTGGGACTCTCGCAAATCCAACTGCGAGAGATTGACCAGTATCGTTTCCCCAGCGGCCAAAATGGACGCCGAAGACGCCTCCAAGGACGTAGTGCATCCCGAAGTTCGGGCGCACATCAACAGTCTCGCTTCCGCTGTACGTTGACGGTCGCATCCTTTTCGCCCGTACTCGAAAGTTGACATTACTGACGCTCACAGCTTGGAGGAAACGGTGCGGATGATGATGGAAGCTACAAGCTTGGAGACGACGCCCTCGAGTGCTTGCGAGACATAAAACGATGGATCCGTTTCTACGACGAGAAGACGAATCGCATGGACGTTGCGCGATGCCTTGCCGAAGCAAACCTGGTCGGCGGCGACCTCCTCCAGATCATCGCGACATGGCCCGAGAACTGCGCCGATAACAGACTGAAGGCGAAGCTTGCCTTGGCGTGTTACGAGATCATGGTCCCTTTGACCTGGCCCATCGAACGAGACGCCGAAAGGATGACCATCAACCATCACAGACACCTCCCAGTCTTACAATTAGCCCAATTGGGCTACAAACGGGCAATTATCAACTTTGACGGAGCCCCAATCCTTCACACCGCAGTGAGAGTGGCTCTCCCTTCTATGGCCATCCCCATTGGCGACCGATCCCCACGAGACCAGGGCATAATCAAGATCATGCTGTTCTTTCTGAGGAATATCGCCATGATTTCCCCTCCCCCGGGCGTCAAAGACGAGGGAGACGAATCACAGGTCTCGCGCTCTGTAACGATAGACGCGTTTTCCTATCAGGATATCTTCTTGGCACTCCTGACAATCGCCTCCAACATGGGCGAGGACTTCAGAACCGAGGATGTCATTGTCATGGAGATCATATTTCATCTTGTCAAGAGGGTAGACGTGAGAAAGCTCTTCCTCGACGAGCAGGGGCTGAATCAGGCAAAAGCCGTGGAATTAACAGCCATGATGGACAAGGAAGCTGCTATGCTCCGGTCACACAACCAGAAGGCGCCGAAGCGTCACAACAGGTTTGGGACCATGATCTGGGTGAAGAGAGGAAACGGAAAGATGTCGTCGCTGTCCGGACAGGACGCACTGAGGGACGCCGCCACGCGAGATTTAAAGATGGATAGCAGCAAGACCTTCAGGCCACCGCGACGAGCGCGAAAGGAAGAGATGGAACCAAAGGATATGGGACCACCGCCGTCTCTAAACCACAGGGCAAACAAGCAGTTGCGGTCGTTTGTCGAAGACTTCCTGGACTCGGGGTTTAACCCCCTATTTCAGCACGTCAGAAAGTCGATCGACCGGGAAGCACCACACGTTTTGAACTACCACCGAGGCCAGTTCTTTTACTTGGTTGCATGGTTCTTGGAGGCGGAGCGGATGCGCCGGAAGCTCCAGAAGGGTGCGAAGCCAGCCCAGAACAAGGCGGATAATGTTGGGAGTTTCAATCTCATCGCTGGTGTCCTTAATCAGGAGATGTTTATCAGCCTGAACCGCGCCTTGGACCGGTCCTACAATGACAAGGATTGGTCCGAGTTGAGCACCGTTATGAGATGTTTCACCCAGATTCTTCTGACTGTGCAAGAAATGTCGGAATCTGGAAACGAGGACGACGAGGAGATTGCCGAGAACATCCTCAACCGGCTGTTCTACGAGGAAGCAACTCACGATGCCGTTGCAAATATAGCCAGGACATACAAGGACCAGGGCTTCGAGTACCTCGACGCGTGCACCGACTTGACGTACACCTATCTACGCATCCTAGAGGCGTACTCCAAGCAGAACGTGGACTTGCAAGTCCGCTCTCGCAAGAGGACACGGCGGAAGAAGAAGGCCGCCAAGGATGTTGGGACTGACGGCGTGGACGAGGAACGGAATGATGTGGATGACGACTCGGCGGACGACCAGCAGAGTGCCGAGCGGACGACCAAGGAGCGGAAGTTTGACTTCACGCGTTTCGCCCACAGGTTTATCCCGCAGGGGGTCGTTGATACCTTTGTCAAGTTCACCAAGTACTATAAGGACCTCGATGACTCGCAACTCAAACGAGCACACCGATATTTCTACCGGGTAGCCTTCAAGCAGGAGATGAGCGTCATGCTCTTCCGTGTCGACATTATCCACCTGCTGTACAACATGGTCAAGGGACCCGAGCCTCTCGACAAGAACTCGGGCATGTTCAAGGAGTGGGAGGAGCTCGTGAAGCAGATCATCAAGAAGTGTGTCCGAAAGATTGAGGAGCGTCCGGCTCTGATCACCGAGTTGCTGTTCTCCAAGATCAACAGCACGGCTCATTACCTCGAGTACGGATACGAGAAGCAGACAATCTCAACAAATCCCCGGCCTGCCGCCGAACTGGAGTTCCGCCATATCGTGGAGCACGATCAGCAGATCGCCATCGCGGTTGGGGCCCTTCTCGACAAGAACCAGGCCGACCACATCGACTGGGTCAAGAGACAGCTCTCCGCGGCCGAGAGTGAGCGTCGGGCATGGGAGGCGGCAGAGAAAGCAATGCCCTCTGTTGAGGGGCTCGATGCGGAGGCGGCGGGTGCCTCGATCGAAGAGGCGGCTGCCAAGGCCGCTCCACTCATCAGTAAGTAGAAGTCCTTTGCCTCTCTCTCTCGGTGAAACCCCAAACATACCCGTGCTAACATGCTGCCCACCAGCCGTCCGCCCAGACAACGACGACCGGCGCACAGCCGTGTTCAAGAACCCGCACCTCCGCCTCCTCATGAGACTGGTCGGCATGGAGCGCCTGGCCCTGACCCTCGACGAGACGCCCGACTCGGGCTGGGTCGTGGGCCCCGGCATCACGGCCGGCGCGCTCGCCGAGTCGGTCGACCTGATCAACAAGGCCGAGTTCAACCCGCCCACCTTCGACAGCGACGAGTCGGCGGCGGACCAGCTGCGGCGGAAGACGGCCCCGCGCAAGCGCGCCGCATACGACGACGACGACGGGGGAGGCGCCGACGGGGACGATGACGACGATGACATGCTCTTCCCGATGGGCGGTCCCACGGCCCGCAAGGTCATCGACGACGACGAGCAGCCGCGCAAGAAGCTGCAGCGCCGGAGGCGGCGGAAGGGCAGCGAGGAGGAAGAGGACGCCGAGGCGGACGAGGAGAAGGAGAAGCAGAGGGAGGAGCGGGCGCTCAAGAGGCGCGAGAAGGAGCGCGAGAAGGCGCGCAGGGTCAAGAGCGAGATGTACGTGCGGGCGAGCGACGATGAGACGGATGACGAGCGCGACAGGGAGTTCTTTGAGCGCGAGAAGGCCAAGTACGACCGCTTGCAGAGGGAGTTATCTAGCCACCTCAACGCGCTGCTGGCCGACAGTGGCGACGAGGAGGAGGGGGCCGGCGGTGGCGGCGGCGGCGACGGCTCGAGGAAGAGGAAGTCGGGCGCTCTGGTTGTTGTCGACGATGATGACGACGACGACGACGATTCTGCGGACGGAGAAGATGCGCGACCTTCGCCGTCTGCGAGGGGGAACAAGCGAGCGAGGACGAAGAAGGGCGGCACCCTCCCCGCCAGAGTTACCGGCGACGGCGACACCGATAGCGAGGCCGAGTCGGCACGGCCGAGCCGGGGGCTCGCGTCGGGCGACGAGATGGAGACGGACGACACGCCCCTGTCGTCGAGTCCGCGGGTCGACGTGCCCGCCGCCGCCGCGGAGGACGACGACGACGATGACGAAGCGCTTCCCGTGCGCGCGAAGCCGATGGTGCGGGCTAGGGCCAGGGGCGGGTTCCTTGTTGATAGCAGTGATGAGGACGACTGATTTTGTTGCGGTATATGGCCAATTGGCTGGCGTTTTGCGGGGGGTTGGAGTGTTCAGGGGTTGGAAATATCTGCTGGAGGATTAACTGGGTCAGGAATACATGACTAGCATTGTTTTACCTAGCCGCGTGTTTTATTCGTACTTCTGCGTCCTGGGACCTGGTATATGTCAATAATGAAAGCGATCAACTTGGCACATACCTGTGTTATTCCGCTCTGTTGCCATGCACCGTTCCCCCGAGGCATCGACTCCTTCCCCTGCAGCGAAATACGAAATGAGAGGCAAAAGGGGCTGGAATTTCATTGCTCGCCGCATTACGTATATCTAAAGGCAAGTCAACGCAAGGACCTCGCATCCACAACAGCCAAGCACAGGAATACGGGGCCCTTCCCATACAGTCAACCACAAGCAATATCACCCCCCTCCGGCACCCACCGCCCGCCTCCTCCTCACCCCTCAACGCCCGCCGTCCTCTGAGAGCGGCTCTCGCGCACCCACTCCCCGACCATAGTCCCGACGCCGACGACGAGGCCCTCGTAGTGCGGCCCGGCGAGGAAGAGGCCGCAGTGGGCGCCGACCTCGTCGACGCCGTCCATGCGCACCGGCACCCACGCCGGGTCGCGGCCGGCGCTGACGTCCCGGGGGAGCATGCAGAACTTGCGGTCCTTCTTCTTCTTCTCCTTGTCCTTGTCCTTGTCCGGCTCCTCCCGCTGCTGATTGCTGCTGCGGCGGCTGTCGAGCTCGTCCTGCCAGGCCTGCTTCTCGGCCGCCTGCCTCTTCTGCGCCTCCTTCTCCCTCCTGCGGGCCTCCTTCTGCTGCTCCTTGTCGCGCCGCTCGGCGTCCTTCTGGAGCTGCCGCTTGTGCTTGTCGACCAGCTTCTGGCGCTCCTTGATGGCCTTGTCGCGCTGCTTGACCGCCTGGTCGTATACCTTGCGGGCGCGCTTCGCTTCCTTCTCTACCTGCTTCTGGATGGCCTTGTCTGCGTGCTGGTCTAGTTCCGGGGCGACGGGTGGCTCGGGGAGGTCGGGGATGGCGGGTAGCTGCAGGTCGTCTGGTGGTTCGTCCGAGGGGGCGGTGTCTGCGGTCTTGGTATCTGCATTTTCTGTGTATGCAGGCGGAAGCTCGCCCTCCTCTGGAACTGGCCCGTCCTCCTCTGGCATTGGCTCAACATATTGGAGCATCCCGTCGTCGCTGTGTTCCTCACCGGAGCTCCTCGGTGTGGACGCACGTTGGTCGATATCTACGGAGCTTGCCTGCGTCTCTTGAATGGGCGACTCGGACTTCGGGTGTAGGCTAGTCGGTGAGCTTATCTGGGATTCTTGTCCGGCTGAATCTGGTTCCGGGTTTGGACTGGCCGGCGCCGGCTTGGGCTTCTTTTCTCGGCCCGTAGATAGTGTGTAATAGTTGGCAAAGCGCACTCTTGCTGTTGGCCGAGCATCCGAGACACCAGCGCCGAGCTCTTTCACATCCTCCAGCTGTCTCAGCCTGCTGTACCGGGAGTTCAAGGCAGGATAGTCGCCTAGACAAGCACCGAATTCCAAATGGGACATGATGTGGCTCCCCGCAGCTTCAAACAGATTTTCCGATCTATGCTTGTTTGCGAAGTGGACGACATTTTTTATCCACCCTCGGTCCTGGAACGGAACATCGTTGAAGAACGGTGGATTGAAGAAAGGATCAGAGCCAGAGGGTCTTGACTGCAGCGGTGACGGTGACAGACTAAGAGACGATAACCTCTCCGAGGAGATCCCTGAAAGAATGGAGGGCTCTGGTGAGACGGTTTCCCGAGCATTGAGGGAGGAAGGAGTAGGTGATCCCGAGTAGTTGGTTTCTCCTGGTGGACTGGGAGCCGGACGGAAGATGCTCGCTATGCCCGAAACAATGACGCCAGGATGGAGGCCCAAGAAGGGAGCATCCAGTGATATGGTTCCTAGAATCCTATGCCGGAATGGATAGCCGCTTGATGCTGGCTATACAGAAGATACCGTGTCAGTACTTTGCAGAGGCAATATGACAACAAAGCCTAGTAAGCCTAGCCGCCGTACCCGAGCATGATTGATCAAGAGTGGCTCTTGGAAAAGCGTGGAAACCATAAGAGTAAGCACCTACCATCAAGACAATATCGGCTGAGAGCAACCCCCCCATCGAGTGACCAAGTAGGATAACATCGGTTTCCGGCGACTCATGAGGTTCGAGCCATTTGCTGAAGTTGTCCCTCGCAACGTCGATCGCCTTGTAAGTTTTATACCGAGGATAGATCTTGGTGTGGACGACATGGGTATTGGCCAACGTCTCCTCAAGAAAGTGGTGGACATGGGCTGGAAAGGAGTGGAAGGATGCGTCATTGCCCATGAATCCATGAATGTATATCATCAACAGAGTCCGCCGCTGTTCGTCATCCTCTGGGGAAGGTACCAGAGACATGGTCGACGAGGACCGAGGATCGTGTGACTGCCATGAGGGATAGATATTGGCGGCGCCACTTGGAGGAGACGCCAGAAGGTCGGGAGAGGCCTGGGGAAGTTGCAATGAAGGTACTCCATCTCCTGGCACTGCTTGTGAGGGGGTGGCCATGGCGTCACCCGGGCAGTCAATGGTCAAGCAAAGGTATATAGTTCGGGAGCTGCAAATGTCTTTCGTAATGGAGGAGCCTCAACTCTATTTTTCTCATGGGAGATAATATCTAGCGAAGTATACTGTGAGGCCGACGGAGGCAGTTCCAGGCCCGAGCAGACTGTTGGCGATTGAAGCAAAGGCTAGACTTTAGACTTCAGATATGCCTCGTTAGTGAGGCTCTTTATTGACGCTCTGCCAGTCTGCCGCAGCGACGGCGGCCCCAGCTAACAGTCTCGGCGTCTCAGAGTTTCCGGTGCGTTAGTGTTATTTGCAAGGAGCGCCAATACACAGTTCGGAAGATAAATGGTTTCGTCGATGGTCTTCAACAAGTTGACGACAGCTATTCATTACATGAGACTATCGAGTTCCTTGCTTGCAGCTTCCCCCAGGTGGGGGTCCAGGCCCAGACTCCACACTAGTGCACGTGCAGCGAAGGAAGGACGAATTTGATCAACACGGGCAGAAACCGTTTCTGCCCGTGTACTTGGTACCTAGAGGTATACTTCGGTAATTTGCCTTTGGACGCAGTTGCAGCCATCCAAATACCTATACCTACATACTCGACAGGTTGATACCGACGAGGAGTGGAGTTCAAGGCTTTTTACAGGCAACGGGCAAAGGAAGGTACACGTGTATTTGAACCGAACAGGTTGAGGATCTGTATATGTAGGTACAGGTATTACCCGACTGTAGGTACGTGTAGATAAGAATAGGCAAGATCCGCCGTCTGTGCTTGCGGAGTACCAACGGGAGGAACCAATGCCTGGACATTGGGATTTTCCCATACGAACAACTAGCTCGCAGAATGCAACCGTCCGTGCCTGAATACGAGCAGGAAAGAATTGTGGATTGTCAGGCTGGCTTCGTGACTTGCTTTTCCTTTTAGGCACCATCTCGGTATCTGCACAGCTAACAGTCTTCTGCCACGGAAGCAGTGGAACATACATCTGCATGGAAAACCAACAGACGTAAAGGGAATACGGTACAGAGTAATTCAATCTTCGTCCTCAGCTTCAAGCCAGTGTTTCTTTAAATCGCCAAGCAAACCCCCCACCGGGGATTGCAAAAGCTCAAGGAAATACCCATCCTCGTGTTGGCCAATTACTTCGCCGTCTGTCGCCCAGATATCCTTGTTGGTCTATCAATACCGGGCGTTGATTGGCCAATGTGGCGGGCCAGTCGTTCGTGGGAAAAGACCACCCCATAGCCAAGCGAAATTGACTGCTCCCCTACCTAGTAACAACGAGCACAGTCCCCCACCAGGCTTTCCGAGCCTCACCTCATTTTAATTATTTTTGGAATCTTCCTTTGTTTCTCCTTCTACCGCGCCTTTTGTCCTTGTCTTTCGTTTCCAAGGCCACCGAGCGCGTTGGTGAGAATCAGCTGTTCCTCGTCATCACCAACCACGATGAGGTGTGAGCTGCGGCAAGGAGTTTAGTCACGTCGACCACGATGCGATTGAGGACGAGGAACGAGGGGAATGGACTGTGCCGGCCGATCGATACCATCAGGTAGCTGCAGCAGCATTTGCGCAGCCTCGAGCTTACGCCTCACCAATCGCTCCCACGGGGGCACGGTACTGAATACGGGGTTTTCTGGAACCCAAGACGTTCGCTACGCTACTACCTACCTACCTAGGTAGTCATTCCTACTTTCGCTCATTTCACAGCCACGTCGGTCGTCATGACTAAAACCGCCCCCGGGTCTTCACTCCCTCAGACCCGCGGATCCCACCAACACCAACACGACCACCGTCACTCCCACGATCACATCCATCACGGTCGCTACCAGCGCAACGGCGAAACCAATCCCGCTCGTTCACATGAAAAGCTTCATCACCGCAAACTGCCCGACCTGGAGTCCCGCGTCACCGTGGTCGTGCAGACCGTCTCCGTGATCCAGTACATTGATGGCACTGGATCTGTTATTGATGTTCAGACCATATTACCGCAGTCGGCCACCCCACCGGCCTTCAAGCCTGTGCACTTGACTCTCGATTCTTCCTTTCTCAAGACCATCATTCCCACGGTGCAAGTCCCGCACGTGCTATCTGTCCCAACTGGTCATGGTTTACCCGTGTCCACGTCTTCTGGGACGACCACGTCTTCTGGGACAACCACGTCCTCCGGGACGACCACGTCCTCCGGGACGCAATCGTCCTCAGCACCTACCACACCTCTGTCATCGCTCTCTGTTCCGGGGGCTTTGACGTCCGCTCCTTCACCTCCCACTTCTGCCCTCCCGACTCTGTCAGGGGGTGCTTTCAACTCGACGTGTGAGTTCCCTCCTCGCCCCAAGATTCCCACCGGAACGGACTCTAACCTGACCGACCCCATCAGCCCGCCTACACTCTTTTGGCAACAACACTATTCATTCGCACTTTTTCAACTCCACAAAATCAACGTCGCGTAGTTCAAGCCGCTCCTCATCAACCCGCAGCTCGACTTTTCTTACCTCGGTTACCGAAGCCCCTTCGATCACTGTATTTGCCGGGGTTGGGGATGTAGGCGACGCAGGTGCCACGGCAGCTCCGCCTGCGAGCAGCCCGACCGGCGTGGGTCCTTCCTCGCCACCGCCCGTCGTACCGAAAGAATCTGTCATTGGAGGCGTTGTGGGCGGCCTGGCCGGCATTGCGCTCATCGCCGTGGCCCTGATGTTCTTTCTTAAATGGAGGAAACGGCAAATCAACGGCATGCAGCTCCTCGGCGATGGGGACGGGCCGGGCAGGCGACTATCCCTGTTCAGTCGCGGGGGTCCCGGTAGCGGTGGTGGCGGCGGTGCTGGTGGCGGCATGGCCGAGCGTTCTCTTCCTTTCGCGTTCCCATCCTCCATTGCCGCGCTGGGCGGGAATAGGCGGGCGTCACAGGCCAAACTGGAAGGGGCGGAGCCGGAGTCGGCTGAGAGGAGCTTCTACCGTGTCTCTGGCCGGAAGCTGAACTCAGTCTTACACTCCGGCGGCGACGGATACGGCGAACCTCACGAACCTCACGAACCCCACGACAGAGCCGTCAGCGGGACGTCGTTCTACCGAGACTCGATGGCCATGTTCAACCACCCCGACAGCCAGCCACTGCAGCTGGGATCGCCGATGCGGCCCGAGAGCGGCATTGTAGTCGTGAGGTCCGGTCCTGCACGGACCCCCGTCCAGGCGCAAGGGCCGTTTTTCGATGACAATCCTGGTCGGCTATCTCCCCCAACCCTCGGAACCCTCGGCCGGAGCCTCATGTCTCAGGCCGGGTCGAGGGCTTCGGCGGGGTCTGGGTCCCGATTTACTGAAGATGTATGACGGCCCTCTGAGGCCGCGAAATGACTTATACTCCCCTTATTTATACGCGGCGCCTGTACATGGTTTTTTTTTATCGATTGGCTGTCCCCGTAACTAATGTTTGGAATGCTGCCCGTGGTCTGCGGCTGCTGGGAGAGAAAGTGAGCGTGCTGCTTAGCGTTATCGCGTTGTTCGGCAGCTGCTCGTTAAGGATCACCTCCGTGTCCGAGTCCGAATACTATTCTCTTGTATATAGTTGCCCAAAGGACAATACAGTACCATATAGCCGCCAAGCACTATATTTCGTATCGGAGATCAACAACAATCAACAATGCTCAATCCTTGTAGGGAGGAGGGAAGTGATATATCTAAGGGAAGGCACTCCAAACGGCAGAGCGCACAAGGGGAGCCGATCGTCACGGCAAGTGGCGAGCTCGGTTCCCAGAATCACAGAAAACCCAGGATATCCCAGAATCCGGGATTGACAGATCCCCTTGGGGGAAGAGAGCGAAGGACCTAGCTAACCCGCAAGCCTGGGTCATCACCTTGCTCGCTCGCTCAGTCTTGCCAGAAAAGAGTCAATGAGTCATCAGCATGAGTGATGACGACTTTTACAAATCAGGACGACGTTGAGATTAGGGGACTTAAAAGGGCTTTTGCAAGTCGGAAGTCGTCACAGATGAGAGTAAGGGGTGAGAGGGCTTCCGCATCATGCAGAGATGTTTTTTTTTCTTTGGTCGATAGCTCTCGTTTTCCTCGTTTTCGTATTCCAGGAACTCGGACGCTATTCGGGCACTTTTTTTTCAATCATCGTAGGTATTAATAATCCAACCGCGTCGTGGGCTCTCTTTTCTGGATCTCCTCAGGGATCCGAATGTAAGTTAAGTTGGGCTGCCCCTCGAGTTCCGAGTCTGGGGGGGAAGGGGGGGAGGTTGGGGTCAAGCCCCTCCTGACGATGGCTGATGTGAGACGGTCATGAAACGGGCATGGGGTTGGGGATCTGGACTCTGGAGCAAGTCGATCGCCGCCGCTTGGACGCCATCATGACAAATTCTCGCTCTCACTTGTGCCATTTGGTCGAGGGAAAAGCGGTTGATTGTTTTCTCACCCCGCCAGAACCCCACTGCCTGGTCTGGCAGTGGAGTTTGTGCTTCATCATCCCCAACTCAATACCTATCCACACGATCATCAGGTGTTTGTCGTGGATCCTACCAAGCAAAGTCAAGACTCTCAGAAAGATAGATGAAACGCTATACATGACCCTAGACGGTGTAATAATCACTGGGTGCAATTGTCTTTGGCTTTCTGTCATCTTCATCACGGTATTTGTTTGTATGGGTAGGAGTTAAGACTGGGGGGACTCAAGTCTGTCGGAGAATTTATGGAACAAGACCAGCCCCTGGCACTCTTCACATCCACTTTTTTTTGTCGAATCGTCTGATGTCAGCCATAAGCAACAGCTCCCCAAAACGAATTCCGACGCGTATTGTCTCTCTGACCGATTTACCAGGGAGGCCAACCACCTTTGCTAATCATGGAGTTAAGGTATTCTCAACCGAAGTCGATCATGTACAATAGAAGCCATTTGAGAGAAGAATATAAAACAGTTGATTGCTGTTAGGAGCTGTACTATAACACGGCAGAGTACGCGGTAAAGGAAGGATCGCTCTGAGTGGTCTCTTTCCCAGCCAAGCAGGACCATGGCATTCTGCGACAAGGACGGCCAAATGTGCGTCCATGTGTCGGTAGGTAGGTAAGTAGGCACGGTGCCTGCGTAGCTGCCTGTATGTAGGAGCGGGTAGTGAATGACGGGGCCTTCGATGGTGTGCAGCAGTACTGCGTAATGAGGGAGCGGAGGAATACACCTTGGACGAGTCGGAGTTCGGGGTCGGGTTCTTCAACTTGCCTTGCCTGAAAAGCAGGAGTGCCGCCCAGAGAATACCATAACGGCCGTGCTCCGCCACTGCATGTGCGTGTCTCGCCCATGCCCATCGTAGGGTCCTTGCCTCGCTCGTCCTTGATCCTCATGTTTTAATTTCTATTCTTTCCCACTCTTTCCCTTCTCGAAGTGCATGTTGCCCTGTTGCCCTGTTCTTGACCTCGATCCTTTCGTTGTTCAGCCCTATCAGCCCAAAAATTTGTGGCGTCTCGTTCCCTTGATCGGATCTAACCAAGCCGGTTGCTTGCTAGGTGGAGGCTCAAAAAGACCCTTGCCTCCTGCTGATAAATGCCAATACCCGCTCAAGAAGTCACCATTAGCCAACCATCTCTCGACTCGATACTCCCCCCCCCATCGAAGCGAGCTAAAATACCGACGAATCCATACAACGTAGAGTCAGCATGTAAAGGACGGTCACCGCCTGTAATAATAGCTACCTAACTCGTCCAACTCGTCCGCGACTTTTATTCTCGACCCGACCTTCTGCCGCTACCTCCGATCGCCAACATCGACTGCCGACTGCCCAACTGCCCCTCTGCAGCTGCCATTGCCTATCCCGACGGTTCCGGTTGCGATAGTAGATTATCACTACGACACCACAGCCATGGATCACTTACACGCTGGCTTCCAAATGCCAGCTGTGGGCGGTCCTCCGCCGTTAATGAATCAACCGCCCCAGATCTTCGGTGGCTACGCGGATCATGGATTGCAGCTTCACCAACTGCCGCCAGAGTTGACAGCGCAAATGTTTGGAGATCCCGGGTCGTTCCTCGACGATGCGAATGAGGCCAAGAGGAGGAGGATTGCAAGAGTGAGTCGGCTTCCATCGCGCAGTCCGGCGCATCAAAGGGCTGCTCCATCACTAACACTTCCGCCCCTCCCGGCCAGGCTTGCGACATGTGCAGGAAGAAGAAGATCAAGTGCGACGGCAAGCTCCCGGCTTGCACACATTGCATCAATTACAAAACCGACTGCGTCTTCACCCAGGTCGAGAAGAAGCGCAATCCTCCCAAGGGGTACGTCGTCCCACCACCCGTCGCTGCCCGCAGGTGAACCGGGCCGAACTCAGCTTACCGTATTGCATCTAGGGCCAAGTACATAGAGGGTCTCGAAAATCGACTGGGTCGCATGGAGAGCTTGCTGCGACTCTCCGGTAAGGCTACACTACAGCGCCTTGCACCTTTTGTCTTCCCGGCTTTCCTGGGTGTGACAATGCCTCGGCTAACAATACCTGGCATATAGGTCTCCTCGGCGAAGACGACAACGGCGCAACTGACCTTGGCACACTGGAGAAGAAGCTTGCGGAAAAGCAACAGTCAAGACAAGCCTCACAGGCAGTCTCGAACCCGACCTCTCCGTCACAAACCGCCTCCGGCCAGGACGGAGCCGACTCGACTCCCCGCAGCTCCCTGACATCCCCAGAGCCAGCCAAGGATAAGGACCATCACAACGAGAAGAGGAAATCTCTGACGCCCGACGGCGGAAAGGAGAATGAAGAGGAGGTGGAGGCATTGTCGGAGATGATGTGCTCGTTGGTGACTAACAACTCGGGGGAGACGAGATATATCGGTACGTCGGGAGCCCAAAGACTCTTCCGGATACGATGGTTTCGGCATCTAACGTAAATTCCAGGCTCATCTTCTGGGTTCTCCATCTTCTCGCCCAAGGGAATACAGTGGGTGAATGAGAAAACCGGCGACAGCTCTTTCCAGCAGATGATTTCCGACGTCTCCATCGATGACCATAAGTGGACAGCATGGAAACCCGAGGTTTTCGAAGACCTGTTTCGGCGTCCGGTCTTCAGGCCATTGCCAAGCAAGCCCGAGGCAATGTCGCTGCTCAAGGACTACTTCGAGAACTTTAACTGCATGTTCCCGCTGTTTCACCAGCCCACCTTCATGCACCTTGTGGAGAGGCAGTATTCCAAGGACCCCTACGAGGGATCTGGATGGTGGGCAAGTCTCAACGTCGCATTCGCTATCGCCTATCGACTTCGGGTGATGAGTAACCTGGTGCCACAGGAGGAGGACCAGAAGGCGTGGGACTACCTGAAGAACGCGATGGGCGTCTTTTCCGAATTGACGATGCGTAACACGGATTTGCTGAGCGTGCAGGCGCTACTAGGCATTGCTCTGTTCATGCAGGGCACGCCAAACCCGCAACCTTCGTTTCTCCTCATTGCTGCCGCCATCCGACTCTCCCACAGCATCGGACTCCACAAGCGCGGAACGGGGTTCAACCTCAATCCCATCGAGATCGAGCAACGCAAGAGAGTCTTCTGGATCGCCTACATGCTGGACAAGGACTTGTGCCTGCGGTCGGGTCGGCCGCCGGCGCAGGACGACGACGACATGAATGTGGATCTTCCAGATGCTGACCCCGCGGACAATATCGGAAACATCCCGCTAGACGACGGGAAGGGCAAGATGAACCTATTCAGGGTCATGTGTGAGATTGCCATCATCGAAAGCAAAGTCTATAAGCGACTCTACTCGACAAAGGCTACCAAGCAGTCCGTTGGTGAGCTTCTGAACACCATTGGAGAGCTGGACCAGGAGCTCGAGAATTGGAAGGACAGCATACCCATCGACTTCCGGCCAGAGCACGAGATCAAGGCTTCGCATACGCCCCTTATCCTTCACATTGTCATGCTTCATCTTACGTACTACAACTGTCTGACCACGGTCCATCGGATGTCGATTCATCACGGGTATTGGACTAGCCGACTGTCGAACTATGCCATTCAGGGCCTGAATGCGAAGCCCCTGAATCCCAGAATATTTTCATCTGCGGCCCTTTGCACGTCCGCCGCGAGAGCCTCCATCTCGCTGCTCAAGTATATCCCTCAAGGGGATTTCTCTTGCGTTTGGTAAACTGCCCCTTCCCCCACACCCCCAACGAACCCCATTAAAGCTTGAGTTACTGATAATCGAGCAGGCTGATTCTCTACTTCCCTGTCACGGCACTGGTGACATTGTTCGGCAACATTCTTCAGAATCCCCTAGATCCGAGGGCCAGATCTGATACTCGCCTCATGAATCTGGTGGTCAATTTCCTGTCCATGCTAGGCCAGGAAGCTGAGACCGGTGGTGTCCACCGAATGCTGGGCGTCTGCTCCGAGTTTGAGAGGATAGCCAAGGTAGTGATTGACAAAGCCGAGAAGGATAACACATTGAGGCGGAAGAGGAAGGGCCCTGATCCGTCATCGACGACGACGTCAGCAGCGGCGGCGGCGGCGGCAAGGGCGGCGGCGACGTCGGCGTCGGCAGCTGCAACACCGCAACCGTCTTCGTCGGCGCCTTCGCAGACGTCTCGGCCAGCGACAGCGTGTTCGTCAACGCCGCAGCCGAGTCACAGCCAGGTGAACGGGCACCTCTCGCCGTCGCTGAAGCACCAAGCAGCCCTGCAGAACGGGTATAGTCCCATGACGACGACAATGAGCCAGCATTCATCACCGGCCATGGCACCCTCTGGCTGGCACTCCGACTTGGCCGGGGGCAACGCCATGGAGGGCATGGAGGGCGCACACTTCCCCTCCTTCGCAGACCTCACTGGCTTCGGTTCCATCGGCAACATGAACCCTGCTGCTCCCACGGCGTCGGGCAGGCTGCACAGTCCGGCCCTGGGCGGCGCCAACGGCTTATTCACGCAGCCCATGCTCGCGCCCGACGTGTTCACCTTGCCCATGACGCTGGACTGGGACTGGGCGGAACTGAGCGGCGGCGCCTATCCGAGCGTCGAGAATGGAAATTTTGGGGAGGGGCCTCGTGGGAGGTAGTACCTTGTTCCACGGGGATGCCGGGTTTGGTTGGACCCGGCGGAGAAGGCTTGATAGCCAGACGGCCATGGAGAAAGAAGGGCGCGGATGCCCATCGAATTTGTCTGAGTACGTGACGTGTTGTGGGTGGCCTGGCCTGGCCTAGTGAAAGCACATCTTGTGCTGGGTAGGCCTGGGGCTGTTTGTTTTCTTGGTTGGGAACAGCGCACTTTTTATTTTTGGGATTTGCAATCTGCATATCGGGTGGGGGGTGGGGGGGGGCCTTTTCTATATTTGCATTTTACCACCGTCTCTACTCCCTCTGGAGATATTTCCTTACGGAGGAAACGCGCACATTTTATTTTCTGGGGCCAACAAAAAGGGGGGAGCACAAAAGCAAAAACCTGTCAGTCTATGATGAGGGCCTTGCTCGTTCCGTGCGGTCGGTATCCGATATAGTTCTGTAATTGTAAGTATAGCTATGTGTCCAGGGATATAATGGCCTCTGATGTGTCTAGTTAGCATCCAAGATATCTGTCCATCTATATAATAGTATTTGATATGAACACATTGACCACTTGTGTGTCTTCCCTTTGCGGGAGAAAGACACCTAAACAAGTTGCTATAATAGGAACCTGGGTAAGGCTGGGTATGAACGTCGGCCTCATCTATTTTTGGCGTCGTCGTCTGGCGATCCTGCCCACTCACACATCATCCCTTGACGATCCTCCTGTTCTCGACAAGGGGGAGCACAGGACAGTATCTAGTTCAAACTAGGTATATATACCTTGAGTGACGGATCTCGTGCTGTTAGGAAGCGATTAGGAAGACTTGGCGACTTGGAACGGCTGGAATTCTGAGGCCAGCCGGTACTGAGCGTTCTTTGGGAATATTATATAGTCATCAGGTAGGACTATCTACTTGCCTAGGTATAAGAAGAGTTACTATCCCGGCATATCGTTGCAAATGCAGATCCGATGGTCTCTGTCTCTCTCAGCGTACCCAACAAGCTGTGAAGAACTAATCTGGCTCCTCCGCTGTCGCCTTAGGATTCATTAGGGCACCTGTTCTCAAAACCAGAGCTCCAGTCAAAATATCCGTATATTGCTGCCTGTCTTCGTCACAGCATATCTCATCCGCTAGACATTGAGTGGAGCTCCTCCATATCTCAGTCAATACCGGGTTAGAAAGACGGGAGCAACGACAAATTATCGCCGATATGGCCGGCTTTGGTTGACGTGATCAGCTACCTGCCTGTTAAGAAATCGGTATCACGTGGCTACAACTAAGCCACTTTTGGTTAGCTTCAACCCTTAGCCTGCATCTTCTCTTCGCCGCATCCATCAAATAGATTTCTCTGCTTCGTACGATTGAGCTGCACGACTTCGACATTCGACGGAGCACGCCCGAGTGCCCTCATTGTTTCTAAAAAGGTTGCAGGACAAACCTACGACATATGTGCATGGCCGCAGCTACAACTTCCTCAATGACATAGCGCGGCTTCCTCGGCCGTCTTCTCTCGTCTTCCTCCTCAACCGCTAGTTCCGTCGTATCCCGGGACCACAAATCGAAGCATGGCGACACTTCTGCGACCGTCTACGCGACGGCTCGCGCAGCTCGCGAGGCTGTCCCTCAATTCCGGTTCGGGGCCCACGTATCGAATAGCTCGGCCGTCGAAGTTCCCCGTGTCCCTGTGCTCGCGCCAACTACCGCGCTTCTACTCTTCGGAATCGCCTCGTCGACCGGACAAGGACGACAATTCGACACCAGAGAAGGACGATGCGGCCAAAAAAAGTGGCAAGGACTTGTCTGGACAGGAGAATAAGGAGACACCCCCAAGCAAACAGCCCGAAGATGGCAAGGTGAACGCCTCGGGCCAGGAGGAAGAGCTGCACCCTCTTCCGCAAGGTTGGGTTCGCTTGACCGAGGAGGAGCTCAAGCAAATGTCCAAGATGATGGAGCTGCTTCCCGAGTCCCAGAGGGCCGCCATTGCGGATGTTCTCAAGGAGGTAAAGCTCACTGGCTCGCCTCAAGAACTGCGGGATCTGTTGGCCAAACACAAGGGACAAGGCCTCAGTATTGCCGACATGATGAAAGCGGTTCGGCTGGCCTACAAGATGGCGGACAAGCTCTCGCGCGACAAGGTCTCGGCGGGCAAGCCAAACACCACATTCGACTCAAACGCTCCGGACCAACAGCAGAATCGCGAGAAAGCCCAGGGTCAGAAACAGGAAGGCCAGCAGGGAGAGTCCAAGCAAGGCGGGCCTAAGGACGGCAAGGGCTCCAAAAAGGGGCCCCAACCACGTGTCATCGACCTGAGCGAGGCCATAACTTGGGCTGTCGGCGCTGCAATCCTCTATCCTTTCTATAAGATGATCTTCCCCGGTGAGGTCTCCCGCGAGATCACCTGGGAGGAGCTGCGAAAGAACTTCCTGGAGAGAGGCCTCGTCGAGAAGTTTGTCGTCATCAAGGACCGTGTCAGGGTCGAGCTCAACCGCGAGGCGACCCAGTCCATGTACCCCGACTCCGTGGCCGCGAACCCCAACTTCTATTATTATTTCTCGATTGGCTCCGTCGAGTCCTTTGAGCGGAAACTTGAAGATGCTCAGAGGGAACTCGATATTCCGTCGTCCGAGAGGATTCCTGTGAGCTACGCTCGGGAGGGCATGCTTACCAACGCGATCTTGGCATTCGGCCCCACTCTTGTCCTGGTTGGTCTGCTGTTCTACCTCTCCCGTAGAGCCGGAGGAGGCGCTGGAGGCTCCAGCGGGATGTTCGGCTTTGGAAAGAGCAAGGCAAAGATGTTCAACCAAGAGACGGCTGTCAAGGTCAAATTCTCCGATGTTGCAGGCATGGACGAGGCCAAGGTTGAGATCATGGAGTTCGTCAGCTTCCTGAAGTCTCCAGAGAAGTTCCAGAGACTTGGAGCCAAGATCCCGCGCGGAGCTATCCTGTCCGGCCCTCCCGGTACAGGTAAAACGCTGCTTGCAAAGGCGACTGCCGGCGAATCCCAGGTTCCCTTCTTCACCGTCAGCGGCTCTGAGTTCGTGGAGATGTTTGTCGGAGTCGGCGCGTCGCGAGTTCGAGACTTGTTTTCCACTGCACGGAAGAACGCCCCTTGCATTATCTTCATCGACGAGATCGACGCCATTGGCAAGTCTCGAGGAGAAGGCAACCGGTTTGGTGGCGGCAACGACGAGCGGGAGGCTACCCTCAACCAGATCCTCACCGAGATGGACGGCTTCAACACGAGCGAGCAAGTGGTCGTGTTGGCTGGCACAAATAGACCCGACACACTCGACAAGGCTCTGATGCGGCCCGGCCGTTTCGACAGGCATATCCACATCGACCGACCGACAATGAAGGGACGCGAGGATATCTTCAGGGTGCATCTTGGCAAGATCGTCACGCATGAGGACATGGACTATCTCACTGGCCGGCTGGCTGCCCTGACCCCTGGATTTGCAGGTGCTGACATTGCCAATGCCGTTAACGAGGCCGCCTTGATTGGTAAGTCATTCCAGCGTTCAAACAGCCTCCGGTGTCTGTACTAACATCCTTTAGCTGCCCGAGCCAATGCCCAGAGTGTCGAGATGATCCATTTCGAGCAAGCCATCGAACGTGTTGTTGGAGGTCTCGAGCGCAAGTCCTTGGTGCTCAGCCCCGAAGAGAAGAAGACCGTTGCCTACCACGAAGCCGGCCATGCCATCTGTGGCTGGTACTTCCAGTGGGCTGACCCGCTGCTCAAGGTTTCCATTATTCCCCGTGGCCAGGGCGCGTTGGGTTATGCTCAGTATCTGCCAAGTGGAGATGCCTATCTCATGAACGTCAACCAGCTGATGGACCGCATGGCCATGACCCTCGGCGGCCGAGTGTCCGAGGAACTGCACTTCCCCACCGTCACAACGGGCGCCAGCGACGACTTCAAGAAGGTCACGAGGATGGCTACCACCATGGTGACGGAGTGGGGCATGTCGGAGAAACTTGGCCCCTTGCACTTCCAGAACGACAAGAACCAGCTTCACAAGCCGTTTGCCGAATCCACCGCACAAACCATTGATTCCGAGGTCCGCAGGATCGTGGATGAGGCGTACAAGCAGTGCAAGGACATGCTGGTGGAGAGGAAGAAGGAGATTGGCATCGTTGCCGAGGAGCTATTGCGGAAGGAAGTCCTCTCCCGAGACGACCTCGTAAGGCTTCTGGGGCCGCGGCCTTTCCCGGAAAACCGGGAGTTCACCAAGTACTTCGACAACAGGCAGGGAAAGAGCGCGCCGCCTCCGTTCCCGACCGAAAACACGGACAGCCCACCAGACAGCCCACCGAGCGACCCGCAGCCGTCTCTATATGAGCGGCACGATAGGTAGATGGGAGAAGTTCTGAATGGGGGGTTGGACGAGCACAGCGTTTGGGGCAGCATTTGAACCTCATCCGTACTTCCCCCCATCGCTACACCCAACCCACTCTCAACTCAAACCTTGTACATGTTGATACAATGAAAACGGGGCATTGCTGGAAAGCTTGTGTATTTTAAACCGGCTGTGCGCGACGGGGGATTGGGTTAGAAGCATCGGCTGTCTTTTGCATGAATAGATGGGCGGATACGGCAGCCAGGGCTTGCTGAATAGGGAGGAAGGGGGATGGCCTTGTTGTGACAGATTTGGGCAACCAGGATTCTGAACGGCCGGAACCTCGCAAGCGGGTGCTATTAGGCGCCGTCCGTCCCAAGCTTCGATGTGTAAGATATTTACTTTGTCCCTTGACGAGATCTCCTCCGAATTATATACTTCCAGTGCAGGCTGCCTATCACTTTCTTGACGCATTATTGGTGATAAAAGATGCAAGCCTGAAAACACACCGGCCGTGTCCGGCGTGGAGTGAGGTGCTCCCGTCCCTCCCAGTCCCCACCCCGAAGTTCCGGCTGGGCTGACATCATTGGATGGCCGAACGGGAAGGGTGCATTTGCGGCTCCACAAAAATAGCACCAAGCCTACCATGTCATTCAACCAAGAGTTTGCAGACCCACATTAACTGTCCGTATCTCTGAAGAAGGGAATATCAGAGGAAATAGACAGCCGCCAGGTGCTGCCTTTCATTTTTTACGTTTGCCTCTGCCGGACCGGTTGAATATGCCAGTCTCACCGCATCTCCCCTTCCATTGACCGAACCTACCCCCTTTTCCCGTCGAGAAAACTAGTAGAATCGAAAGCTACGCGACTTTTTTGTGCCACCGGGAGGTGGTCATGGTCTAGAGTCTAGACCCATTTTCTCTCGACGTGACTGGTTTCTGCCGATCATTCCGTGCCACCTATCGCAAGAACAGCGAGTGCGGCTATACGGGCATCCAATCCACACAGAAAATGTCTTCGCCGGCAACGGGGACGGCCCCCGCCCCCGCCGCCCCCGCCGCCCCGGGCCCCGCCGGGATCGGCGTGGATGCCGAGCACGAGGCCCGGACGAGGATGCGGTTCAAGCACTGGGCCTCCACATTCGCCAGCCGGCACAGCCTGCCCCGCCGGCGCCAGCCCCGCCACCACTCTGCGGCCCGCACTGGCAGTGGCAGTGCCGCCGGGCAGCGGCCGCCGCGCGCGCCGAGGTGGTGGAAGATCCGCCTCTTCCGCGGCATGGTCAACGACGTCCGGCGCAGGGCCCCTTACTACTGGAGCGACTGGAGCGATGCCTGGGACTACCGGGTCGTCCCTGCGACCGTGTATATGTACTTTGCCAAGTATGTAGCTCTGGTTGTTGGACGACGTTTGAACTTCTTCGTCTCCCTTCCCCCCGTTCTTCGTCTCTCAAGCCAATTCGGTTTTTTGATTGGACATTTGCTATGCTAGCTTTCATTTGCCATTGGATTAGTGATCCGCACTGGCATGAGACGATCACCACTAACATGAACGGCCAGTATTCTCCCAGCTCTGGCATTCTCCCTCGACATGTTTACGAAGACGCATATGCAGTACGGCGTAAATGAAGTCCTGCTGTCTTCCGTTCTGGGGGCCGTGGTCTTTTCTGTCCTTGCCTGTCAGCCGCTGGTGATTGTAGGAGTGACGGGTCCCATTACTGTTTTCAACTAGTAAGTCGACGGTTCGCAACTCCCATCGCCCCCTCGCTAAGAGGCCTGCTTAGTACGGTCTACGATATCATGAAACCTACGGGAACCAACTTTCTAGCCTTCATGTGCTGGATTGGGCTGTAAGTCTTGTCGGGGTCGCATTGGTCCACCAGGTCTGACACACGGCGCTAGGTGGTCGGTTCTCTTACACTGGCTCCTCGCCATCACCAACTCGTGCAACTGGCTCCGCTACGTGACCAGGTTCCCCTGCGACATCTTCGGCTTCTACGTGGCCTTCATCTACCTGCAGAAGGGGATCCAGGTCCTCGAGCGGCTGGGCGACGGCGAGTCCTTCTACCTGTCCATCGTGGTCGCGCTCCTCGTCTTCGTGGTGGCGTACGTCTGCAGCGAGCTCGGGCGCGGCAGCCTGTTCCGGCACAGCGTGCGCGTGTTCCTCAAGGACTACGGCACGCCGCTAACCGTCGTCTTCTTCACGGGCTTCGTGCACATCGGCCGCATGAGGAACGTGCCGCTCGAGACCCTGCCGACGAGCACCTCCTTCCTCCCGACCGTCGACCGCGGCTGGCTGGTCGACTTCTGGAACATCAGCGTCGTCGACGTGTTTCTCGCCCTGCCCTTCGCCGTGCTGCTGACCATTTTGTTCTGGTTCGATCACAACGGTATGAAGTCCCGGCTAATCAGCCCAAAGCATCAATCTTGGAACCCTTACTTATTCAACTCCTCTCCAGTATCCTCCCTCATCGCCCAAGGCACCGAATTCCCCCTCACCAAGCCCGCCGGCTTCCACTGGGACCTCTTCCTCCTAGGCCTAACCACCGGCGTAGCCGGCCTCCTCGGCCTCCCCTTCCCCAACGGCCTCATCCCGCAGGCCCCCTTCCACACCGAATCCCTCTGCGTGACCACGACCACCACGGCAGCAACAGCCGACGACGGCAAGGTCCACCCGACGGGTCCGCGCGCCACGCGCGTCGTCGAGCAGCGCGTCAGCAACCTGGCACAGGGCCTGCTGACGCTCGGCACGATGACGGGCCCGCTCCTCGTCGTGCTCCACCTGATCCCGCAGGGCGTGCTGGCGGGCCTCTTCTTCATCATGGGCTTCCAGGCTCTCGAGGCCAACGGCATCACCGCCAAGCTGCTCTTCCTCGCCCGTGACGCCGCCGTCTTCGGGCCCTCCACGGGCCAGAACAACAACGACCAGCTGGCGCAGCTGCCCCGCCGCCGCCGCAGGAGGGTGGTCTGGGCGTTTGTGGCGCTCGAGCTGGTCGGGTTCGGCGCCACGTTTGCTATCACCCAGACCGTTGCGGCTGTCGGGTTCCCCGTGTTCATCCTCGCCTTGATACCCGTCCGCGCGGCGCTCCTGCCCCGCTGGTTCGACCCGCTCGAGCTCGCTGCCCTCGACGGGCCGACCGCGAGCCCGTTTACCATGGAGAGTGTGGGGGGGTCGTATGGCGGCGGGGAGGAGGAGGATCAGGACGGGGAGGAGGGGGGGAGCGTCATCGATGCGCCTGACGGGTCTGGGTCGGGGAACGATTCTGGGGAGACGGGGGAGGGGGGCAACGGGAAGGGAAAGGGCAAGGGCGGTCTGTTCCGGAGCGACGAGGAGCTGGCAGAACTTGGGGAGGGATTCCCGGCGGGGATGACGAGGCGCAGGGGGAGTGCCATCGGGAGGGGCGAGGGCGGCGGCGAGGTCGTCGAGATGGCGCGCTTGGGCGCCAATAGGCGGAGTAGTGGGCACGCTGGTCGGGCTGGCGTGTGAGGTTCGCTTGGTCGGCTGGGCCGGAGGGAGGGAGGGAGAGACGATGGGTAGATGGGTCTGGGGCCATCGAAGGCTTGGAAAGGTCGGTGTCGTAGAGGGGTAGATAGATGCCTGTAGAGGTCAGTTGCATTGGTTGAGGTCCACCTGCGGTCAGGGAGGAGCAGTCGCGAGTTCATCGGCGACGTCTGATCGGGCGACATGAGAGCAAGGCGGTTTAGAGGATCAAGTATAGAAAGAAAGAGGTGTTCAAATAGAACATATTATCCTATCGAGCCTTGCGAGACTCCCAAGTGCGAGATACAGCAGGCCATTTACTTGGCCGGGCTTTTTCGCCTCGTACGGTGCTTCGAATGCCCTCAGCAGCCTCTGGGACACGAGACGTTTCACGGCCAGGACCGGGCAAGGGGCAAGTGCCAACGGACGACGAGCTACGGGGCGCTGCTTGTTAAAGAAGCATCGCAGGGGAAGCTAATCATCTTAATCATCTATGGTCTTACGATTGCAATAAGTTCCCGAGATGACCTCGGCGTGCTCCTACCTGCTGTTCGCTGTGCAAGGGTGATTTGATCATGATGATCCTTCATCTCCAACAGGAGAGGCGAGCATTTCTTTTACCCCCACCGTCACAACAGACGGGCGCTGGCACAGAGTTAATTTGCGCCTGGTAATGAATGTTTGATTAACCCGGATAGGCCAACTTCGTCTACGAGAGTCACCTTAGATAAAAAAAAAGGCAGGATTTGTTGGTCTGTTGGTGGCGATACCGCCAGTCTGGAGTGTGTGGAGTCATTGCTGAAGCTATCTTGGGACGGACAGAAAATCATAAAAAGGGGCTCCATCACCTTCCTGCCGGCCAACCTGTTGGTTGTAGAAGGGAAGATGCCTCGCTGCTGGTGATGCTTTGCCACTATCTCGGGTTCGGCGGGGGCCCTCAGCCATCCCAGTGGCAGCAGCGGCTGCTAGAAAAATGGCCAAAGGCTGCCGAGCAGGATACAGCCCCCTCTATCGTCCTACAGCGAGCTGCCGTCCTTGGAAGCGAGCGATTGTCTCGGATAAGCTTGGCCCTGAGCCGATGCTAGGTATAGGCCTTGGGGTGGATTTCAGATGCCGTCGCTCCCTTTTCGATCTGCCACTCTGCCAGCCGATCGAGAAAAGGCAATCCTTGGTGCTGGCGACGAAATATGTCGTCACGGTGGGGTTTGTAACACTGAGAAGCGGCAGCAGAGCTTGTTAGCAACCACGGATGCCTAGGAAGAACCGAGTCTTGGCTCGAGAATCCTTGGTTGGCGGCCCAGCTCAGTTGCCTGCTCGTCCGGCCAGAATGACCTCCCCGCCACTCTGGAGCATAGAGGAGCGGGCCCCTGCTATGCTCGTCCTGCCTCGGTCTCGGTCTGACGGCAGGTAGTGAAATACGCTACAGGTGCTCGACCCCAGAGCTCGTAGCGTCTCTACAAAGCCGAGCATATCCACAGACCTCGACCACGCCGGTATGTAGACCACCACCTCCTTGTAGGTCCTACGGCCCCTCGTCCCGCCACTCGCGGCGGCAGCAGGGGAAGGGGAAGGACACGATAACAGGCGACAGCAGGCAAACACGGCTGAATGGATGACTCCAAGTGATAAATGACTCTCAGACCCGGGTATGCCGCAGGCCGGCTCGCACAACTTGCACAAGAGGTGGCTAGGCGAGCAGAGTCTATCGACTCTGACATGAAATCGGGGGGGGGGGGGGGGGGGGTCAAATGCCACCCACCATGGCGCACCCCATGCAACCACGGGATGTGTTCGATATTGCGCCAATTCGACACAACCTTTCCCAAGTAAAGAGCGGCCGT